TAGGATTAGGATTATTATCACGGAACTTTCTTCCTATCAAACCTGGACGTAGTTACAGTAGATACAATACTCCGTACTCCGTATACTCTTACAGATTGTCTAGTTATGAAATCCGTCGCCGTATACTTCTTAATGCTTCGCTTGGATCATATTAAACCCTCAAACGACAGGCGTGCCTGGCGCCTGTCAGGCGTCTCCGGGTTTCATGTTTCCTTGGGGTCGGCTCGATCGATCACTTGTCTAGTTTAATTGACCCTTTGCCTTCATAGACCACTGTCGGCATCCTGAAGAAAAATATCTATCCTCGCAGAAATTTCTCTTCGGCACAAGCTTGCCACCTGTTGAAGATTCGACCGATCTATCGCTCTGGCGTGGCAGACTATTGACACACTCCCCCTCGAGCCCTCCGCCACCAATCAGACGCACTGTGTGGATTTCGAACCTCGAGGATTCTTCTTTTGCATAACTTTTTCTCCCTTGCATTTGGTTTTTGCCTTTTCGTCCAGAGGTCACAGAATCCTGCGACCACATTCCTTGGAACCAGCATCCCATGTGAGGTTCCACTATCTCCATCCTGTTCGGTGAATGAAGCCCCGATCAGCCGCGGTGCCTCCAGGGACGGGTCAAGGTGGATAATTGTGGCGCCGCTCGTGGTTTTCGATGGTTCTTCGACTTCACGCCAAGCCTCCATACGGTCTGCATGCGAGGCTAGCGATCGGCACAAACTTGCTGAAACCGCACTGGCGGGATACTGTACGGGAGACGACGGTACAACTACTAACTTCCGTTAGTTAAGGCAAGGGAAGTTCTGAAACGTTGGCGGAATCCTAGCCCCGACGAAGATGACCCTTCACGTAGCCAATTACTACTGATGGCACCCGTGCACTCCTGATCGCTACGTCTGGCTCGGAGCTCCTTACTACTACTCCAACTAGTGCTCCACAAGAGGAATTTGCTCCGGCATCTACCGGTCCATGTCTTCCTTCCTCCATAGGCCATCGTCTGGCTCCATTGAGTTTGTTGACGCCTCCCAAGCCGAACCGGAGGACCTAATCGCCCCGCATCCTTTTTCAGGACGCCAGGTACATTTTTCTACAGGACCGAGGCCCACGTTCTGGCTGCAACCTCGTTGTAGCCACTACATAATTTGTTCTGCTTTCCACCGAGTGGGCTACCTCCTCGTGGGCTATCTCGTGGTAGAAAGATCTGTCAATCTCCCGCTGCTACCAATCAGGGCAGCCGTTTTGCGTGAGCAGAGCATCCTTTCGCTTAGTGACGGACATGTCACAAACAGTCTGGAAAATTAGCCCGTCAACGTGGATAAAAACAGAGGTTCGGCAATAACAATACCATGGTGGAGTTTGTCACGGGCAGTCAAACTCCACATGGAAAACCAAAACCGTCCCCTGGGTCTTTTCAGCCCGTGCTTCCATAGAACAGAGCTTGGGATCTCTGACTACTGCTGTCCTCCTCCATATGCTCCAGGCACGAGCAAGTCTTGACTAGGACTCAAATCAGAGACGCAGTTCACGTGTGCTGTAGCACTAATTACAGTGTCCCCTTCTCTGACCTTCTTGATCACACAGACGGCACGCCCGGGTCTTCAGTGTCTGTTCATCTTACAAACCCCACACAGGGCTCCCTAACCAAATGACTACCGATGGTTGTTGATCATATGGTCCGGTCCGTCCGCTCGTTACGGTCCTCCACAGATGCGACCCATCGAGAGCATGCACCGAAGAGGACTGGTTCCCCCTCGGTTCAGCATTTCCGGTTTCATGATTTGCGGTCCGTCCGCTATGCACGCCGTGGTGAAACTAACGCAGGGGTCAATTTTTTGCGCGCCGTACGTGCTCCGTTCATCCAGGGGTGTCAAAATAGATTCCCCTATCATGGAAGCCATGCGCTAGATCGACTGGCCAACGTCCCGATCTGAGGGCGAGTCAAGGCTCTCCGACTGGACACATTTCTTGAAAATGGAGTTCCCATGTGTTGCTCCACTCGCCAGAGTCCAGATTCTTATTTCAGTAGCTAACCACATATGACAGCGGATGTGTAGAAAGTCAAGCACTCAAGTACATGACCTCCAACTATCAGGCTGGGGGTATGCCCTCAATTCGCTTACCTGCCATTGGCAACATTGGAATACAAACTCTCATGAGCACAGATCAGATTCGTGATTTGCGAGCTCCGCATGTTTTAAAAAAGTGCCATTTGTCCGAAAGCAAGGACCATGCGAAAAGATAGAAACAATGAGCGCGAAATACAACTCGAGAAAGGGAGGTCCTCTACGAAACGTTCACTAGATATTGATTCCCTTTACACTTCTCTGCAGGTTCCGTTCCCTGAACTGACAAGTCCTCCTTAATTCATCTCTAGCGCCCGTCGACAAACTGGTTTAAGCTCCTAACAAACTTCTGCAAAAACGAGAGCGGCGCACCTCATTCGCTGCCAAACCTGTTTATCCGTACATTAGATATGGACCAGGAGATAGATCCACCAAATGGGCGCACTGGGCACAGAGGACCAAAAAAGCATAATTCCCACCACATGGGTAATTTCCATTCAACGGATTGTTGATTTCGGCCCTCCCGTCCCCTCCAAATCCGTTAAAAGATGCACAAACAAATTTATTAAACTTCTGCAGACTCTAAAGTTAAAAACAATTTCCCTCGGTGGAAGGCTGGAGGCTCAGTTTGACGCTCTTCATTGTTGCAGTAGCTTGGGCAGAGGCCGAAATGGGGAGTCCAGGCCTTTGGCATATCGCAATTATCATATTTACATGATAGTATCTCCTGGCTCTTCGAGGGACAAAGTTATACATCGCCGTTGGAGAGACAATCAAATGGACAAACATCCCAGAACCGTTGTCCAGTGGAACCTAGCAAATTAAACATCGTCGATCAGTATTTGACAGCAAGTCGAATCCCTGGGGCAATGTGCCTTGGCCGCCGGGTCTTCGGGATTTGCTCCGGTGGTTGACGCCCAACTTGGAACTCCTATCCTTCCAAGCTGTCAATTTTGGTGGGAGATTGTCGTTCTCGGGTGGTAATTATTATTATTGAGACTGAGAGTCTAACCACGACTCGTGGCCTTTCATTCTATCTTTAGATATAATAGTCAGGGATGGAAGCCTCCCGAGTCGCTGGTGCTCTTGGGGTTTAGAACGTACCTTGTGTGCTAAAAAAGAGGCAGTTCCTGGTGCTGGAATTCTTGACTCCTCACGCATTATGATGTTTTGAAGAGATTAGACCCATAAACTGGCTTTTCCCTATGCTCGTGCTATGGATAATCGCGTACATACATCTATCCTATTGACCCCTGTGAGGATTATCCGAAGTACAGTACGTGGTGCGTCTATGCACAGAAACATGGCGTAACGTCCTTTTGTCGTTGAACTTAAGATCCCTGTCAAGCCACTGGAAATCAAGCGAGTACTCGCCGTGATAAATACGCAACGAGGGTCATTTTGATACAGCATTATTGTTCATGTATCCCCTCCAACCTCGTATACTGTAACATGTACTCACTCTTTACTATTGCCTGAAGAGGCTATTGGCTTGGTTTCTTCCCGGAGTCTCGATCCTGCATTCGTACCCATCTAATTGCCTCCCCAGCCCAGTCTTGTCCTTGGTGTGCATCAATTGCGTGTCATCCAGCGAGAATGATGAGTGCTTAGTAAATATGTTGTGAAGTGCTTACCGCAACAGACTAGGAAGGGTATACAAAATGACCTGCGTCTATTAAACCCAGCCAAGCATCTGTTTACATGTATTCGCGATTTCGTCAAGTTCTGCTGTACGACTGATCGTGATATATTGGAGACAAGTGCTCACTGGCGCCGCTTGAGCATGTGGCTGTGTCTGTTTCGAGGCTTTCGCTTTCTATTTTGTTCCATATAGGAGTCATTGCTACAGGGCCGGAGGATGGCAAAACTGGCGGATTCTCATCACTACCATTCCATCCGGCATCATTTCCATCTTCTGCTTCATTGGAATCTCGACAGTTCAGCTTTGACCCTGCGGGCATGTGATCACCTCAGGTGGGTATTTTGGCCCTAAAAGTTGAGATCATAACCACCCGTGGTCTCCAGCTGTGCTTGGTATTCTTAGCTAGTTGGATTGATGGACTACGAGAAGTATATCTAACATGGATAGACATGTCGCTGCATTCTTTTAAGAGAGTGGTGAAGGTGGCAAGGTACTCCAGAGACTGAAGCGTCGGAAATGATAAGATGTAATTGATATGTGTCTTATAGTCCCGTCATATGCAAGTGCGTTCGTCCGGAACTGGAGATATAAGATTAACTTGATGGCCTATCTTCTCTTTCTCAGAAGGTATGAATATATCTAAGAGGTTGTGGAAAAGAAGCGGGCTACCACTAGTAATATCACTATCAATTGCGAGACATGGGACTCGAAACGTTAGGTCAAATCAGCCAGCCAAAACAATATATCTTCAACGCAGGCGAGAGAATTGGCCTCCGCCTACCGATGGAGATGTAGGTCAGAAAACGCGTGAATCGGAAGACCCACTGTTATCAAAACACAAAAACCCACCGACACCAAGTTATGTTTCTCACACTGTCCTAGAAAATCTTTGTCTCCTGCAGTTGGTTATGACTGTCATGGAACCCCCAGATAGGCCGCATCACCCAGATGTGCCTCGGAACCCAGCAATCCCCCAATTGGAAGTTTCCAGATAAATAAGTACAAATCTACCGTTTTACAAGTAGATAATGATGTCTAATTTCAACTTATCTGCATCTCGCGAGCTCTATGGCTGTTGTGTAACAGCATCGCGCGGTGCCTTCCCAAACGGGCAATGTTGCGGCTGGCTGACTCATCCAAGGGGGTGACGACATCCATCCCCTCAAGCAGCACCGTGCGGAGAAAGCACCAGAGTACTCATAGCCTCTTGATCAGTCAACAACCAGTGATTACGTTCTCGATTCACCAAGCTTTGTGCCCTGGCTGGGGGCCAGATATCCGTTTATAAAAATGGCTCAACCGTTTTACGGGTTCGTCCCCCTCATCACTACTTAACGTCCGACAAGGAGTCGATAACTAACTACAATCCAGCGACGACATTAAAGAGGGGGCGATATATCTCAGCAATGTGGAGATTGAACCAGAACAAGGGCTTCTGAGCGATGATGATGATGGATTCGAGAACAATGTCTTTGTGCAAAGCACGCCCACGCCTCAGCGCTGCTGTAAACAAAGAGCTCGTCTCCGCACGGCCAAGAGAGTCGTGACGATTAGCTGCATGGGTCTCCTTCTTTGGACCCTTTTACGAGGGCTCTATGGTATTTCCCCATACTAAACTGGCTCTCAGAATGGTATCTGACTCAATGGTCCTCATCAGGTATACCAGCTGAACCCACCGAGCCATCGTCACCTCACTCGCAGTCCCCCCCAGCCATCTGCCAGACACCAGAATGCATTCACGCTGCCTCAGAAATACTCTACAACCTGGATCCTAACCATGAAAAAATTGATCCTTGCACTAACTTTGACCAATTTGTTTGCGGTGGATGGCGGGAGCGCCATGACATGCGAGCTGACCAGGGCTCGATCTTCGCTGGAACCATTATGGCAGAGAACTCTCAGACCCGTCTGCGCCATATACTCGAGCGCCCAGAGGCCCCGGATAAGATTGATGCAGACAATTTCAAGAAGCTCAAGGCTGGATATGATGCTTGCTTGGACGAGTCCGCGATTCGAAAGCGTGGCACCAAGCCTCTAGCAGATCTTCTAGCGGAGCTACAAAATATCTACCCTGCGCAGAGTGGGCTTGTCACTGGAACCAATGATCATCTGACCAAAGCGCTCTTGTTTCTCATGAAGTCAGGTGTCGAGGCTTTGGTCTCCTCCAATGTTTCCGTAAGTCTTGTCACTCATCTTAACCAGGGTTGGTCCAAATGCAACATGGGCTGATGAATTTAGCCTGATGATCGGGACCCTGATAATGTGGTGATCTTTGCGTTCCCACCTCGAGAGATTGGACTCCCTGCACGAGAGTACTATAACAATAGCAAAACAGTGGCCGACTACACTCAGGTCTTGAAAAAAGTTCTCGGAGGATTCGGAGGGAATGACAAGATCGCCGAGAATATAGTTGCCTTCGAGACAAAGCTCGCGGATGTGACTCCGGATACCGCGACTCAGGAGGACGTTACCAAGTACTATAACCCGCTCAGTATCAAGGAAACCGAATCCTTGGTTCCTGAGATCTCCTTCACAGATGTCATTGCGGAGCTTGCGCCACATGATTACAAGAGCGACCGCCTGATTGTGGGATCTCCATCCTATATGAAGGCCCTGTCCAAGATTCTGAATGATGCTTCCCGTGAGACGGTGTCGTTCTTCTTGCAGTGGAAGGTTGTCCAGGCCTACTCCAGCATCATTGAAGATGAGACGATTACACCTCTCCGTCAATTCAACAACAAGCTTCAAGGCAAGGATCCGCAAGCGACCGAAGAGAGATGGCGCAAGTGCCTCAGACGTCTGGACGAAGGTCTTGGATGGAGCTTGAGTCGGTTCTACATTCTTGACTCATTCTCAGAAGAGTCCAAGAAACTGGGCGACCAAATCGTGTCTGATATCAAGGAGCGATTCGTTTTCACTCTGACTCAGACTCCTTGGATGTCACCCGACGTGCGGAAGCTGGGTATCAAGAAAGTGGAGAACATTGTGCAAAAGATTGGCTTCCCAACCAATAGTCCCAACGTGATGGATGCGCACGATGTGAATAAGTACTACCATTATCTGGATGTGTCCAACGACAAGTTCTTTGAGAACGAACTTGCTGTGGCCAAGTTTGATCTTCAGAACGAGTGGTCTAAACTGGGGAAGCCGACCAACCGAGATGAGTGGGATATGACTGCGCCCACTGTAAACGCCTACTACAATCCTCCAGGGAACGAAATTGTTTTCCCTGCAGGTATCATGCAGCCGCCGGCATTCTACGGCCCTGCTGCCCCGTTGTACCTGGCCTACGGTGCCTTTGGTGCCGTCAGTGGCCATGAACTCTCGCATGGTACGTACTGTTTTATCAAGTTCAAAAACCTAATGAGCTTCCCTGGTTTGGCATCACTAATCAACAGCAGCATTCGATTCCACCGGTCGGCACTACGACGAGACTGGAAACTACACGAATTGGTGGGATGACGACACCGTCAAGGCCTTTGAGGAGCGAGCCCAGTGTTTCGTGGACCAATATTCGGCATTCACTGTGGAAGGGCCTGGCGATAAGGTTCTTCATGTCAACGGCCGGTTGACCCTGGGCGAGAACATCGCCGACGCGGGTGGCCTTAAAGCCTCATTCCATGCATGGAAGAAGCATGATGACAAGTCTCCCAATCTACACTTGCCAGGATTGGAGGCCTTCAGCAAAGAGCAGCTGTTCTTCATCTCGTATGGAAACTGGTGGTGTGGCAAGACCACCAGGGAGGCTGCCGAGCAGGCGATTTATAACGACCCGCATGCGCCAAAATCGGCGCGGATCATTGTGAGTTTGGACCCTTCACCGATCTTTCGAAATTGTTGAAGAATAAGAGGGCTAATGTAACGGTGGCAGGAAACCATGGCGAACTCTCGAGAGTTCAAGGATGCATTCAGCTGCCCCGAGAAGAAGCCCGTCTGCAAGCTTTGGTAGGTAATTACTGGGTTCTACTATTACGATGGGGCTGTGCTCTGATTTTCGGGGGAATTTTGTCTGGGGTGTCTTCGTCGTTGCGAATCAATGATTTTGTATGCATACGGTCCTCGGGTGATTTGACCCTCTTCTCTTTGGGAGATCAAAGTTGTAGACGTCCATAGCTATATCATAATCATCGATCCTTTCCGTCCGTTTCTCACCGATGCGAGGCATCAACTGTACATAAGATTGATCCAAAGCCTCGTCTCCGCAAGCTTATCGTGCAGCTTCCCCTCCCGCGGGCGATCCCTGCGATTGCTCTTTTTGAGTTAGCCTCGCAAAGATCCCGTGTCCCAAGCGAAGTTCGCAGATCATGAGGGGCAGGAAGCTTCGCAAGAAGGAGATCAGCTCGTTCAGATTGGACCCATCAGTCCGATGAGAGTTCGGGAGGACTCCTTTCTTTTCTCGGTCCTGAGCTTGTCCGGTTCGGAGTCAATAATATGATCTGTAATTGGCAATGATAAATTGGCAATGATTCGAGAGCTGTGTGAGGAGGTGAGTTACAAAACCGACGATCCCGGAGGAAAGGGAATCATCATGCGAAAGGCGTTGCACTTGAAATTGCGGGTTGAATTCCCAACCACCTGACGAGGGCTTAATTAGAGAGACAAGCCCTCTCTCGGCTTGGCATTATGACGGCTGGTGGAACCGGGCTCAATAATCGAGCGACACCCGTCACACCGATCAGCACTTGCCAGGGTTTCGGGACAGGTGCGGGTGCCATGCCAGCATCTCTCGAGTCGCTGGACTCCCTGCATGAGAGCTCACTGCAAGCATCATCGCATTTACGAGACCGTGGACGACAGGTCCAAGAAGGGCTGCAGACAGATCCAGGAGATCAGGGAACTGAGCTCCATCTATCTGCTCTCGGCGGGATCTAGAGTCGCGTCACCCTGACCCGACTAAGTGGAGATGGCATAACGGCGGTACCAGCGGCCAACCAGCAGGCGCCCTCGCAGCCTAATGGAGTCCGTCCAATGGGGGCCCATCGAGGTTCGCTTCACCGGGGCAAATAGGAGAGGCTGGTGAACCGGGGCGATGACCTATCAACTGGACTGTGGTGCCATTCCAGCGCGCGGTCGAGTTCCCTTGGTGGGCTTTTTTCAGCTCGTCATATCTGGATCAGTGGATGATGGTGGGCAGTGTGGAGGAGAGAAGGAGTCTCTTTGTATAACCGGGACAGCTGGTAGACGTTAGCAGGATGCTGTTGTTGACCTCTTGAGACGTCATCATCTAGTCTGACCAGGCACAAAAAGTCAACCAAGGTTGATCAAGTCTTCCCGTAGATGGGTCGTAATTCCCCCCGGCCAAGGTTGACTCAGTCAAGGAGATTGTCAGGGGCCGTGGCAAGAACGGGGTTTTTACCAAATCCCCAGCGTTCACGGTTGACGGTTCACCCAGTTCCGCCGCGCCGGGTCGACTTCCCCAACTCCACTTTGGCCCTCGAGCAAAAACAGAGCTGTCGCTCACTCCCTTTCTCTTGATCTTGACACTCAAAGGACTCCCCCTCCCCCCCCAGGTCATGTCGTGCAAGCGTCATCTCCGATCCCGACCTGGGCTGCTGATGCGTTCTTAATTTCTCGAGCCTATCAAGCTACGAAAACAAGGCTCCGGGGGTACTTTCTGGACCTTTCGCGACGACGCGCGACGGAGCGGTTCGCCGCAGAGCTGTTGTGTGGTAGCTCTCGCGAATCGCCCGCAATGGAGCCCCTCCCTTCGGCCATCGATTCACCGACCCATTCCAGAGATAAGTCGGCGGGGTCCCAAATTCGCATCGACGAGCTGCCGGCCGTGAACCGACCCCGTCATGGAGGACTTTCCAACAATGCGACCTCTTCTCTCCGCCGCGCTAACACGGTGGCACAGAGTGGGAACCTCATTAAGAGGAACCTGGAATTGAAGGCTACACGAGAAAGGACTGGCATGACGACTGGGATACGTGCTAAAGATAGCCATGAAATGTTACGAAATGCCCCATTACAACGATCCAAGACGCAGATACACCGGTCCCCGCTGGAAGCCCGTCCAGCGACACGGAAAGCAGGTCATTTTACGGTTGGAAGTGTCGGCCAAAATGGCAAGATCTTTCTCAGGTACGATCGCAATCGATAATCTCGGCGCCCGGGGGGCTTTGTGTCGCACACCGTCGACTGTAGAGCTAACAATATCCCTTTCCATTGGCCAGGCCGATTGCAAATCCACCGCAGAAAGCCCCTTCAATAGTTCCATTCTCCTCTATCGATCAAGTGACGAACGACCGTCTTCAGCCGCAAAAACACACACCAGTTCGAGATGACCCGTCACGGTGGTCGAGTTCGCAGCTGTCTGAACTTCGTCCACGCGGAAACCCCGGCGATGATAATGAGTCCGTCTTTTCCGAAGCACTGCGGCCTGAATCGATCCTCTACCATCGTCAACGAGCCAACTCATTTTCTACAATTTCGGAGCAACAGTCAGTATCGGGTGTGGGAAACCGTGGAGAGTTGCGCATTGTGATCGACCGGTCTGAAGATCGACCCAAGTCAGCGGGCGAGAAAACTGGCACCTCAGCTCTCGAAGTCCCCATCCCCCATTACCGGCTCGGCTCCCCACGTTTCAACACTGAAGGTAGTGCAATCCTGCATAGTTCCGTCTACACTTGGACCTCAATGTCCGACAATTTTCGGAATTCGACTCTGTTAGGTGGCATGGCAGATCCCTTGCCATCGCATCTCCAAAGCGCGTACAGCAGAGATTCATTTTCTCGAAACAGGCCCTCTTTTGCAGTCTCTTTATTTTCAGGGACTGGGGCTATAGATCTCAGCCGAGCTTCCCCCATCCCGAGGAACTCGGTGGTCCATGAGTTGAAAGGACCCGTGGAACCCTCTATCTATGAAGCCTTAGTTTCGGATATGGATGGTGAATCGGTCGTGCGGTATATTCCCGGCACCAAAGATATAAGTGCAGCTACGCCCGCCCGCATCGTTGCACAGATCTCTTCCGAGTCATTCATGGACTACGAGCTCGTGTCGGACTTCTTCCTCACGTTCCGCTCATATCTTTCTCCAGGCCACCTACTTGCCCTACTTCTTGCACGCCTGCAATGGGCGATCAACCGACTTCAGGAGGATGGACGCATTATCCGTATCCGTACTTTTGCAGCTCTTCGCCATTGGATCTTGAATTATTTTGTTGACGACTTCGTTGCGAATTATGATCTCCGAATCCACTTCTGTGACACTATTAACATGCTGTATACCAATGTGAAATCACGAGAGACCGGCGGCATGAGTGATCTAAAGATTCTCATTGACTTGAAGCGGTGTTGGAATGGCAAGTGCTCCGTTTATTGGACAGCAACGGAATTCTCCCGTGCTTATAATGATCCCGACACTCCCATCGCCCCCGGAAGCATTCAGATTGACATGCCTCATGTTGATGCGCCTGGACAGGATGTCTCTCCAGCGGGTGCGGTTGCCCACGCGGATAGCACGTCGCGTGATAGCCTGCCTGTCTCCGTACAACATGACCGAAATGATTCTGCTGCCACTGCACAAAGCATACCTTTCTCGAATAAGAGTGAGCAGAGCGTGGTAGCACTTTCCTGCTCGTTGCCCCCCAAGTCCCTGAGGCGCTTGTCCATGCCTTATTCAAAAGGCAAGGCACCGCATCCTGTACCTTTGGGCCTTACGAAAAGCACGTCTCCTCACGAACCACCTCCATCGTCACCAAAGCTGTCACGGTACCCCTTTCATAGCCATACACATAAGAGAAGTGGCAGCTTTTCTGATTCTGTGCGAGATGATCGCATGCCCATGTTTGGCGTCGAACCCAGTTCGGCCGGGTTAGCACCACAAGAGATTCTGGACCCCGTCAGCTTCATTCGCGGGGCTTTATATCCTCCGGCAGAGTCGTACATGACCATGATGGCACCGGATTCACCTCCTTTGGCTCCACCTTCAACCTCGTCCAATCCGGATCGACGAAGCATTCCAGATGGAGGGGCTAAAGCAGGGCCATCTAATTCTGGCGTGAGAACTATCATTGGATCGATCAAGCGAGCTCTTCATACCAGAAACGGCGGCCAAAGTGTCTCTGCTCGGATTGCAAATGCTTCCGATGCTATCTCGCTCCCCTCGCGGGGGAAGACATCCGCCATGCCTAATCATATTGCTTTGGGGTCTGAGTTTTATCGCGAAAGGAAGATGGCTGCCGTTCCTAAGCGACCAGCTCGGATTGACGTGCTCTGCGATGAATCTTTGAAACAATACCGCCAGCTTATGGGTACAAATGAGGTCCAAAGAGAGACGACTCAGCAGCTAGCCGCTGCCCCTGGCTTCGAAAATGCTCTACCCGATGCTTCTACTGAGCCTCCTCACCTGTCGTCTTTGGAGACCCCCAAGGCTGACGGCTCAAAGATCAAGAGTGGATTGACTACAGGTAGTGGATCCATCGTTATTGTAGATGACACTGGATTTGAATTTCCCACCATGTCCGGAGCTGTGCAGGATCCCGAGCCTGCCAGTATTGATAACCATGTCTGTTCCAATTCGGACAGCAAGGTGATGTCAGCCATGTCACATGTCCAGTCACAGACATCAGCGCCAGGAGAGGGAGAGTATTTGCTCCCAGTATATTATAACCGCGATGCGCCAGAAGCCCACGACCCCGTGCTTGCCCCTTTCAACCCCACTGGCCCTCTCCCACAGCGGCGATCCTTCTCAACCGATCGCCAAGCTACGCCCACTAAGCGAATATCGCTCTCTCTTCGCCTTCGGAAATATGCTTCCTTCCAGAGCGGAATTTCTAAGCATCGCCTGTCGATGAATAGCGATGCTAGCAAGTCCAACGCTGGCTCCATTGCCACGCACGAATTTGCGGATAGGCCGATGGGTCCTTCACTTCGCCGCCGTCCTGGCGGCAACTTGCGTCAGATGCATTTTGTGGATGAGCTTGAGCCTGACTCTGGTCGCGAATCCTTTGTGTCTACTGGTTCCTATGATGGCTCCTTGGCCGAGACATCCTCCACGGCCAATTATACTCTCGAACGCCCGCCATCAGCTCTGATCCCCCCAAACCCTCGATTCTCCTTGATCCAAGGAGGTTCAGCCCGCAATTTGCGGCGCTCTTTCGAAGCAGCCATCGCTCAATTTGCGCAGATTCCTGATGACGATGACGGTGGCATTGAATCGACCTTGCTCAAGCTCGAGGGCAAGTGGAAAGGACCGGGCACTGTTCAAGAAACCGGCGGACACGACGAAAGTTCTCATAGTGGTACTGAAAGGCATGGTAAGCCTGGCTGGGAAGTTCTTGTTCGGCGCCGACAGACGGATAGATCGGCGTACTCTACCGTTGGTGGGAGACTTGCACCTCCCCGACCCTACTCCGACTCTGTGGCGGAGTCTGAAGAGTCTTACAACTCTATTCCACTGCTCGAGCGAGGACTGACGGACGAGTCAATGAAGCGGCCGCCCACGAGTCGACTTCACGGCGCCGATGCTCATGGTGCTCCCCTCAGTCTCATTTCTAGTCGGGATACTTCGGAACTAGCATCGTCGCATCCGTCGATTCAGATTATTCAAAAGACTGAGAGCATACAGCGCATCCCCCGTGGATCCACTGTTCCTGAACACGCTTCAGGGTCAGCCGGTCAGAATACTCCCAAGCGCCGATCTGCATTGTCCTCGGACTTGTCTGTTGATATGATTGATTCCCGCGAGGTCATGGATGGCCGGTTGTCTATGGATACTCGTAGCCTTACCGCTTCGACTGTTGATATCCCGCCACATCCTCTCGCACACCCTCCCTCGCCTCCGATGACTATCCAACATCCGGGATCATTCGGTTCTTCTGTTTCGCCATTGGACAAGGTGCTGTTCCAGCCCCAGCCTCTCACGCCAGAAACGTCTCCACGGCATCGGGAGGTAGACACAACCAACCTCAGATCTAGGAATGTCCCCCAATTCTCGACAGATGTCCTTTCCAATTCGGAGAAGAACCGTCCCGTCCAACTCACCCTCAACGAGGTTGGGCCCGACCACGTTCCTTTCATCCTCGCTTGTGAGTCTCAACTGCTTGCTCAGCAGTTAACTTTGGTCGAAATGGCTGCTTTGAGTGAGGTCGATTGGCGAGATTTGGTCGAAATGAAGTGGAGCAGTGCTTCTCCGGCTATCATCAGTTGGGTTCAGTTTCTTTCTGCGGAGCAGCGCAAAGGAATTGACCTGGTCGTTGGTCGCTTTAATCTGATGGTGAAGTGGGTCGTGTCCGAAATCGTCCTGACCCAGGACATCCACGAGCGGGCTCGCACCATTATCAAATACATTCATACTGCTGCTCATGCACGCCGCATCTGCAATTATGCGACAATGCTCCAGATCGCCATTGCTTTGTCTTCGTCGGACTGTACTCGGCTACAGAACACTTGGCAGCTCGTTCCACTGGAAGACAAGCGGCTGTTCAAGGATATGGAATGTTTGATTCAGCCTGTGCGCAACTTCCATGATCTTCGTGTCGAAATGGAGACAGCCAATCTGCAGGAAGGCTGTATTCCGTTCATTGGTAAGTCTGATCTTTTATCATCGCTGTCACTTTTACTCTAATTTGGGAATCTAACCTTCGAACAATAGGTCTCTACGTACACGACCTGACCTATAACGCACAAAAGCCCGCTCAGATCAACAGCTATGGCGGAGGATTACTAGTCAATTTTGAACGGTATCGCACAGCTGCCCGAATTGTCAAGAGCCTTCTTCGCCTCATCGACGCTAGCACAAAATACCGCTTCGAGCCCGCTCAAGGAATTATCGAACGCTGCTTGTGGATTGCATCTCTCTCCGAGGAAGAGATTCAACTCCGGAGCAAGAGGCTTGAATAAGCCTATATATATGGTATCCCTTTCATGAGATTTACGTCTTTTTGTTTTTGTTTTCTTCCTTTTTGATGATTGGACCCTTCATACCCCCTTTTGTTCCAGAGGGTTTGGACTCCCTGCCATATATTCTGTATCCATATTTGCATTTGTTCAATTTTTTTGGGATTTACGGACTTGGTTATCCTGTTTGCGTTTGAAGCGAGCATCTGCATACGATTTTGGGAATTTGGAAATATCACGGCTGAATGGTAGTTACTGTTGTTGGTTTGCTTTCTACCTCGTTACATACACCACGGCATATCCGAATACCCCGGTTGCGTGCATTGCAACGTATCGATTGAATTGAGCGAGTTTATTGTTTCATATTGTCTCAAGTACCCAGTAGATCATCCTGCAATAACCCATAGCCTTTCCTCGTTATCAAATTCCACTAACACTGTCGAGTTGCGGTTTTATGTTAAGTGGGCTCTTAATGTGCGTCATAAAAACGCGGGCGTCACTGACTGAGCCGTGAGTGATCTACGGACCCGACCACCTTTTCCAGCGCCGACCCCATCACCCTCCCCGTCCGAACCACCCATCTCCGACCGTGGAGGTCTCCCCCATCTCGCCGTTTCACACCTTCAAGACTCGTCATCATCCAACCTTTGATGTCCCGCCTTCGGTCTCAGCTATTGCAGGCCCGCCACGATGGACACGACCGAGCCGCGGCGCGGGGCTTCAGAGGAGGCTGATCGAGACCCTACCTACAGCCCCGCGTCCTCAGAGCATCCGCAAGAACTCCCCGATGACCTACCTAAGTCGCTGGACGATCGCCGGTCGGTGCCAGTATTCCACGAGACCGAGATGTACGATGCGTGGCAGGGTAAGCGCCAATTTCCCCAGATCCCAAACGCTCATTTTTGCAGCCGTCTTGCGGGCCTCTCGGTCCTACCTAGACTGGTGGCATACCAGTCCGAATTACTATATGACAGAGGCTAAATCACGATACGAATTGCTAGGACAATCACAATTCCTCACGACCCCAGTCGCCGCGAAACCGCTGAGTTTTAGTCTCGCGCTCGACGACCACATGCACGATTCTGAGACCGACCTACGAGCTCGTGACCTGGAAGATAGCGATGCCCGACTGATGGAGATGCTTGCGGCACAGGCTGCGCATCGCGAAGTGGACTCCCTCGGCACCGACGAGGAAAATATCGCGGCAGACGAGAAATTGACAGTTGCGGAGAAGCGGGATATCTTGCAGAAGAGTCTCAACATGGCCGCCAGCAACGGTGATGTCGAGCGCGTGCGGAAGCTGGTGGATGGGCCGGCGAAGAGCTATGTTGATGTGAATATGCCGGATGAGGAGGGCACAGTACCCTTGATCTACGCTAGTTGTTTTGTGGGTGACCCCTGCCTTGTTCCTTGTGCCCTGGAATAGGGATGAGTCTCTTTCTGCCATTGGGTGCATAAAGCTCTCGCACAAAGGGGGCTATGCTAACGAATGAATATACAGGGCCATCAAGACGTTGTTTCCGCACTTCTCGACGCTGGTGCTTTTGTTGACCAGCAGGATCGTAATCAGTGGAGCGCGCTGATGTGGGCCATGACCAACAGACACAAGACGATTGCAAAGATTCTTCTGGACCATGGCGCCTCGCCGGATATAAAGTCATCCTCAGGTGGTACGGCGTTCGACTTTGCGCAGCCGGGCAGTGAGATCTCGGAGTATTTACATGAGAACGGATATACCTTTGGAGCCGCTGGTGTTGAGCATGATTTCTATGATGCCGGACTCGCACATGGTCGATTCGAGGAGGAGCTCGCGGAAAACGAGATGAAGCGTCGTATGATGATGGAAGAAAGCGCAATTAACCTGGAAGTGGATCTGTCAAGTCTTGGTCTGGACGAGAAATTCGAGGTTAGTACCATTGCCGCTTCCTTATATGTGACAATCTTAACTCGAGAACGGCTTAGCCATCGGATGATGAAGATCTGGACGAGGAACAACAAGAATTCGTCTGGGACAGATGTCTCAACGATCAGATGTTTGTGTTCCAAGATCACGAATTGGAGCGTATTCTGGATATGATTATCACCAACATGACTCCACAGCGATCTCCGTCCCAAAAACCTGTTCCAGCCAATCTCCTCTTCCTCAGTGCGCGTTATGCACACTATCATGCCAGCCCTGAGCTTCTCACAATTCTCCTTCATTCTGCCACGGACAAGATCAACGACGTGGTGGAGCGTTACCAATGGGATATGACCATGCAAGCGTTCTGGCTGTCCAATGCGACTTTATTGCTTCATTATCTCAAAAAGGATGCTGGGCTGGTGGAAGCCACCGTACAGTTCCAGCTCCACTTGGCGGAGCTTATCAATGAGATCTTCGTGCTCATAATTCGCGATGCCGAGCGACGAATGAACAAAGTCCTAGATGCGGCAATGCTGGACCATGAAACCATCCCTGGACTGGAAGATATTGCATTCCAAAACGAGTGGAAGCTGTTCCGAAAGAAGAAGTCGGAGGCCCCCGAGCCCGCAGAGAAGCGATTCCGGCCTCCCTCCCTCGCCGGCGTGCGCAAATCTCGCCTCGCAATATTACCTCGCTCCTCTCGTCGACTCTCTTCGTCCTTGACCTCTACGATGTCCATTCTGTGATCACAACACAAATCATTTCCCAACTTTTGTACTGGCTTAGTGCGGAGATTTTCAACCGCATCATGAGCACGAGACGATACTTGGCGCGGACGAAGGCAATGCAGATTCGCATGAATGTTTCCACCTTGGAGGATTGGGCCCGCACCAACAATCGTCAACCGGAACATTATGAGAATGGATCGTTGACAACCACCGGAGAGACCACGGTGGATGCTGCCCGCCGACACCTGGCTCCGGTCATCCAGCTTCTTCAATGGCTGCAATGTTTCTCCTCACTTGGCGAGGACCACGAGTCTCTTGTGACGACTCTCCTGCAGCTCCAACAGCTCACCCCGATCCAGCTCTTGCATGCTGTCAAGTCCTACAGACCTGAAGTTGGCGAAAAGGGCCTGACAAAGCAAGCGATGAGGTTCCTTCTGGACCTACAGCGTGATCCCGAACTTATGTATCGGGAACAATTCAGAATCCAGGAAGAGAAGGCGAGGGCCGATGCCGGCCCTATCGCCCCTTCAACTATCGAAACCAGCCCGAAGACGCCCACGAAGGAAAAGCCCAAGGAAGACGTTACATCACAAGCCCCTGGAACTCCCGATCCCGGGGCGGCATCCCCGGGCTCAGTCGCTGTACCATCAAGACCTAATAGCATGTCCGGCCCATATCATAGCGACGAGCGCCCCGGCAGAGACAATGTGTTCCTCGATCCCACTTTCTTCCTCCCTTTCTCCCTACCCACAAGCACAGACATGCTCATCAGCTACGGCGCCGGACTGGGCGGAACCAACCGCGAGCGCGCACGCAAGTATATTCCTACAGTTCCTCCAGAGGTGCTCACTCGATTAGACCGTGGTGCCGAGATATGAACAATTTAAGGACTCTCTTCCATTCCCAAATTACCATTTTCCGCTTGCGTCTACAGGCCGTTGTCATATCCTGGCTCTGTCGAGGCTCTACCTCGTCCTCGGGTTGTCGTTTCTGTGCATGGCTTGAAAGAAAGCATGAATCAGGCGATACCATTCTCTGGTCTTGCTCATATCCCACTATAGCACGTCTAAATGGAGGGGCATGTGAATGTTGACCTGAATGTATATATTCCCAATGAATGTTTCGTTAATACCATGCGAGGTTTCTGGAATCTGAGATAGGTAGTAGTTAGGACCACGCGTAGCAAAACTGAGTGGATGAATGAATCGCGGCATCAAGGAATGCGTACCTCGCCCTCGTGATTCCAAAGTGTGCTCTTTACGGAGCCAGTACTTGCTCGCAATGGAGCCGATCCGAATTGTGTCAGTGAGTACTTGCATGTTTTGGTCTCGTGGGATCGGTGAATGCACGCTTGGCAGATGGAGGGTACTGTGACTAAATCAGGATAACCAGTATTCTCAATTTAAGAATTTAAGCTTAATTTGGTACCATGGTGGCTGATGTTGACGCACCACGTGGGGGCCAGAACCATACATGCCCAGTGCAGTAAGCAGACCTAACTTGGTCACCCTCGTGATCATACATGGTATCAGTAAGCAGACGGATTTATTTGACCCATAAGTAGAGAGGCTCTGAAAGATGGGAATTGTTTCGATAACTGCAAGGACAAAACTTGATTGAAGAAAAGGTTCCATGATACTAGAGGTTTGACAGAACACTTCCACGCGCGTGGAAAAAGCCAATGGCAACACTTTGTCATTGCTTCTATATCTCTAGGTCTATTTAATCTTAGCTTCTAGGTCCTATCTTGACTTGACAAAATGTAAATACATGCGGTGCACACCAACCGATGGAAGCAAATAAGACGGAGTGGTTAACCCTCAGGGCCTCTGCTAGTCATGCTTTCAGCCGACACACATGGCCTTTTCATCATAGGGTAAGTTCGCCCACAAGCCAAATAAATCATTGGATCCCTCGATGCCCACAAAGTCCTTGGGTGCCCGGTAGTATTTGTTGTTTCAGCGGCGCTGCGTTCGGTAGTCGTTCGAGTCGTCGTCCGATCCAAATCCTCCAATCCAATCCTCAGCCCCTAGTCCAATTCCTCAAAGTCGTCAAAGTCGAAGTCGTACAGTCCAAGCTCCCCCTAGATCGTCCACCAACCCTGCACCTGCACCTCCTTCTCCACTCAACGTCCCCAGTGCCGATGGATGCTTAAAACACGCAGAGCCAAAGGCATGAATCAGTCCTGTTGCCTGTACCTGGTGTAAGGTAAGGGCTTCGAATGTGAATAAGAATAAAGCCGATGGGTGCTTAAAACACGCAGAGCCAAAGGCATAACCACTACCTGCTGCCAAACCTGGTGTAAGGTAAGGGACTCCAAAGGCAAATGGAGGTGGGGAGGAGAGAGAAGAAAGAAGAAGCAAACGAGAAGAAGAGAGATACAAAAGATGGTCTGGTCTCACTCGCTAACCCAATCGGGAAATCCATGAAGCCTTCTGAGGTGAACTCACCATGTCGCCCCCAAAGGATGAGTCTTAGATACTTGATGGATATCATCCAAAGCGTCTTGGCCTACTGATTAAAAATATGTAGGATTTGCGGGGTGCTCTTGGAATATTTGGGCAGTTACAGGCGATTTCATGGGAGCAAAACGCATATTCGTTGCAAAAGTTGCTTCGAGTTAGCTTAAAATGTATCGATAGAGAGCTAAAGACCGGAAGTTTCGAAGAAACCGTACCGTTTGGGGAGATTATCTGCATTGGGGGAAGTAATAGTCTCAGAAAGGGTGCAAAGGGTTGATGAATTTTGCTGGAAAGGCTGATGAAGTTGCGTGTTGGGGTTTGGTCGCTGCCCATGAAGACAAACATTTTTTGTGACTTGTTGAGGAGAAGCGTCATCATACTGATCTGTACTGACAATCAAATGCTATGATGAGGTTACTCTGATCGTTCTTATATCTATTATGGCCTACAATGTTAGAGTGAAATACACAGGAGTATATTATGAAGTGTATGCGGTTGATATCATGGATCTTGGACCCACATCAATGTCCGTGCTCCCCATCTGATACCAAGCTGGAGCCGGGCTGTGATGGTAGTCATTGATTGGCCTTTTACGATCAGGAAATAATGTCTTCCTCGGTGAGATCTCGGATATCGTGAATGCATAGTTCAGTAATGTCTACGCAGATCGTTCCCCAAAGCCGGAGGGTTGAAGATGCATACTAAATATAAGGTTAAACCCCCCAAATCACGGGATGTTGAGCAAAAACACTTTGGTGGCTGTTCACGGCCCTTGCGACTGGCTACAACCTCGATCTTCCAGGGTCCAGTCCACAGAGACCACCAAAAGCAAACCTCCATGGACTGGGATAGGAACAGGCAGCAAGGACCAGAGCAGAACTTCCGTTCCCCCCTGATTCTGCCGATGGAGCAGTGCGGACTGTGACCGACAATGCAAATGTCGGGAGCCTGAATGCTTCTGATCTCGTGCTGGACTGCCGTTGTCACCAGTCACCAGTCACCAGTCATTATTCATTGGATGTCTGGGTCGTGAGAGAACCCACCTCACTGGATCGATCACGAACGCACGTCCATCTCCCTGGGGGCGCCCGGCGCACAGAGTTTCCACTTGGGGCATAACCAGCCCGCGTTGAGAGTTCTCGTGTCTCAGCAACCTGCTACGGTTGCCCTTTTTCTGAATTTTGTCAATCTTCTCAAGCTACTCAACCTTCGAGTCGTCGGGACGGTCGTGCCTCGCTTATTCTCCAATCCATCGCCTTGGTTGCAGTGGGTGTGCTCAATCTCAAACACTCGGAGCCTGCGACGCCCCCGACTCCTCGATCTCTCAACAATTCAACCACTTGAACCCTTCCCGAGTGCTCGATCTCATCAAGCTCCCGTCTATTCCCAACTGGGATACGATTGGCACCATTGCCGAACCGCGCCTCCCCCCCCCCTAAAACATCCGGATCGACGCCATGGCTGGAGTGGACCCAAGCGCTTGCGCAGAATCTGGAACCCGCCCGTTTGTACAGCATTGCTGGGCATCGCCATTGGTGCTGGGGATAACCAAGTGCCCATAGGACGCGGCTCCTTCTTCAGGCTAACAACAATGGCAACACTGCTCTTGCGCAGCACAACTGGGGTCGCCCACTTGTCCTAAAGCTGTGTCATCGACCTCGTAAGGCAATCTCTTGGTAACTAAAGTTCGCCTGGTATCACCGGTAGGTACTATTCCGAACCTTTCCCCCCTCTTTCTCTCGCCCTCTTACTTCCTCCCTCCTCTATTCTAACCCAGGCTTCACAGGGCCTACGAACTCAAACCCCGTCTTTCGAAGTCATTCAACGCATTCCACCGGTCCGGCCCGTACTTTGCTTCCGAGGAGCTGATGGCTTTGTTTCAGTTTGCCTCGGATCTCGTCTGCCCCGCCTTCTAGACGTTCCATGTTTGAACTATTCTGGGCTTTTCTGGGAACGAGCAGGCCATTCCTACGTCGTCTTTCGGTTCAACTCCCTGAAAAAGCCTGATAATAGCATCGTCACCCGTTCGATTACGCAGGCTTGGGCCCCCATAGGTAGGCTTTCAAGCTGACTCAGCCCCATTGGGGACGCAACCCTAGAGGGTAGGTGTTTTCCTATTTGGGTTGGGTAAATCAGGAGCTTCCTCATCGGGTTGATGGGGCATGCACGTTGTGAGACGTCGCTTCAACGCTGATGCTGCTCTTCTCCACTCCCCACTCCATTCCCCCCAGCCATTCTGCTGTCTTTCTGATCTTTCATCATGTTGCTGACGCTTGAAACCTTCGACAGGGAATCCAATGATTCCATAATCGCTGATCTAAGGAAAGCGCTCACGCGCTCGTCGTCATTTGAATATTCTCCTGAACTCTGTCGCTATTTGTATATCCTTCAATCCTTCTATAGGAATCTTCACCAGCTTCTAGTGAGCCGCGACTTGCTCGGCAACCTGGAGATGCATACACTACCCCCAGCGCCTGGCCCCTGGGCAGGTGCCGAGACGATGCAGCGTTGGTTACAGGCCAAGGTCGAAGAGGACCGTCGCTGTCAAGAAGAGGAGAAGACTCGCCAGGAGACAATGAAGCTGGAACGGCGCAAGGTTGACCATGCGATACTTGTGGATGCTTTACGTGCAGGCGTGCCACCACACCTGGCCCCGTTGGTTTTTGGGGCCATAGACGGACCCATGGATGGGAAACCCGCTACGCCGGAGATGCTACAGTACATGGCAGATATAAATCGAAATCTCTCGGCGCAAACGCATCAACCGCAAACACACCCTGAGGCAACTCACCCTACCCTTCCCTCACTCAGTCAACAATTCAGCACACAGTCAGCAAGTGAACCCTTACGGGACATCCACACCATTCCTACCAATGCCTATGCCTCACTTGCGCAAACTCAATCATCGGGTGTGAGAAACAGTTCATCCCAGTTGTCAGTTGGAGCGGGTAGTTCCAACGGTGGTGGTCGTGCCCCGTTTGTTTCAACTGCCATCGCTTCAAATACTGCGTCAGCTGGTAATATCTCACGTCCGATGGAATTGACCACGCAAAGCCGGTCAACCTCCGGATTCCACCTTGTACATTCCCTCAGTGCTCCAGCGCCGCCGTCGAACCCTGCTCGCAGTCAGCAAGAATCACGAGCTCGCCGTCCCTCTCCATCTATCGCCTTCCATCACTGGATTCCTCCCGGTCAATCACAATCAAACAGAATCCAAGAGGATCATATGATACCATCAAATGGATCAGCGCAAATGCGCCCCGAGATACAAGGCTCTCCAGAACGGAAGAGGAAATCGCTGTCTATTCATCAGCAGTTGCTTCCACCATCCTCTCGATCCTCCGGTGCATCGGAGGTAAACTCTCGCTATGGTCGACACAGTCCTGGCGGCAGTAATTCCGGCCAGACCAGCGTACAAGGGGATTCTCGACGGCCCAGTGATGTATCCAGTCCTCGAGAGAACCCCTCTACAGAAAAAGGGTATACAGAGAACATTCAAAACGCCGACCGGCTCCGACTTCCTGCAAATTTATTCACTGAATATGACTCTCACGAACGTAGGAGGCGGTCTACGGGTGACAATGCTGAACGCGAGGACAGTGATCGAGGGCCCGACCGAGAAAGTCAAAGGCAATATCCCTCTCGTGGGTCGGTGCCAGGTGCTGAAGATACCCCCGATCACCAGCCAGACGCGAAACACGGTACTAGATCTAGTGCGATGACCGGTTGGGGCGACAGGGACTAGTTCTTGGCCTTGTCCAAGCACCCCTTGTTTCAAATTTCTTACTTTTCCCTTTCCGGATACCATGTTGATGGCTGGTGACGGACTTCTCTTCGGGTGGCTTCTGTTTTTGTGCAAGTATTGAGAGGCATTGTGCAACAGTGTGCTAGAATAATCTATTTGGCGTTGGTGGTTTGCTGTTTAACAGGTTTGTTGTGTTATGGCGCGGATGCGCCAAGTACTTGTGCTCGCTTACGGTCTGGGTCTGTCTTACGGATAATAATGGGCGGCTTATGTCAAGATTTGCAATCATTGATCTCACTACGCATCTTCATACTGCTGCCGAGCTGTGTCTAAGTATGCTTTTGGGAAAGAGCAGGCGGACGTGTTCAACACTCAATTTGTAAACTCGTTACTATATTACCTAAAATAGAATTCAAGGACTTTATCTCGGTCCAAACACTTGACTTCACATCCTTGCTTTACAACATGTACCTGAATAGAGGGGATCTATCTCCTAGCGAGTCCGGATCACTCGGGTACTCTGAAGGATCGATCTGATCGCGCTTCTTGTTGACGCGCTGGTACGAGAGTCGCAGGAGAACGACGGCAATCATACCCACAACCACAAAGCCAAGTTCGAGAGCGTGGCCGAGGATGTAGTTCGGAGCGTCCTTGGCGCGATAGAAGTTGGACGACATAGCTAGTCAGAAAATGTCAGAATGTGATAATCGCACGGCTTAAAAGCTAGAATATGAGATTTCTCAGGTCTTACCTCCTGCCAAGTTACCAATACCAATGTGGATAGCCATTCCAGCCGCACGCTTATAGTCTCCAGCGAGGTTAACACTCAACCAGGTGACGTTACCCGGGAAGGCAGGGTAAATTCCTGTGATGGCCCAATTAGATCTTGTGAACAAGCGAGGTTAGGTAATTTGATCGAGGACTCACCGATAACTGCGATGAACACTCCGAAGTAGACCACGCCAGGAACGCCGCGCCCGGTGGATGCGATGACAATGATGAAACCGATCGCGATCAAAGACATGAAGAACAGGATGAAGGGAGAGCGCTGCTTGCGGCGGTCGGAATACCAGGCTGCGGCCACGGCGACGATGGCGGCGGTGATGTAGATGGGGACCTGAGAGAGGAATTGTCAGATTGGATTCATTGGCGCTCACGAGAAGAGATTTGCACTTACAGTCAGAAGCTGCGCGGTCGAAGAGGTGTATCCCAGGTCTTTGATGATAGATGGGAGGAAGAAAGAGATACCGTAAAGCGGACAGGTGATACCCCAGTACACTTTTTTTCCTCGAGTTAGTAAAGCTGTTGTAACATAGTCTCTATAATGTCAGAATGTTACTCACTGAACAATCCCAGCCAAATCTGCCAGTCCGTGAAAGCTTCAATCACATATCTCATTTCGAATTTGGACTGGTCCTGGATAATCTCCCGAGAGTCCGCCGAGTGCTGAACTCTCAAAGCGTGAATCACCCATGCCCGCTCCTGCTCAGTGAGGAACGTGGCTGTCTCGGGAGAATCATGAATTGCGAACGGGGCAAAGAAAGCCACGATCACGGTGAGCAGACCTTCCAGAATGAAGATCCAGCGCCAACCAGCGAGGCCACCGACTCCGTCCATTTTCTATCCAAAGAGTGAGACATATGTATGAAAAGAAACTGGGTGATACAGAACTTACAGCAATACCGTAGGCGAGAAGTCCGGAGAATGCACCGGCAACACTGGCCGCGCTGAAGAAAAGGGCTTGTCGGTATTGAGCGCGATTGCGAGGGTACCACAGAGTAATGTAATAGGCAACGCCGGGATATAGACCAGCCTCTGTAGGAGGTTGTTAGTACACTGTTAGGATTGTTTCTTTCGGGTCATCCATACCAGCGATGCCCAGGCAAAGGCGAGTGGCAAGGAGTCCGCCATAGTTGTGAACGATGCCCATCAGGGTCTAGATACCAAGAGCGTTAGTTTAATCGAAAATAAATGAAGTCTTGTTTGGTCGATCCCCTTACCATAACGATCCCCCAAGCAACCATAATCAAGGGCAGCCATCGGGACGGTCTCAGCTTCTTCAGCAGAAGATTACTGGGCAACTCAAACACGCAGTAGGTAAAGAAGAACACGGTCACTGTCCGTTAAAAGAATGTCAGTACATGAGATACTCGTTCTTCACGGATTGTTTGGTGACATACATGCCCAGTTGTACTGAGGCCCCGTCATGTGTAGATCATCCAATAGACCCTCAATTTTGGCATTACCAATGTTGCCTCGGTCCAAAAAGGCCAGCAAGTAGAGAATACTCAGCATGGGAATCAACCGAAGATCCATCTTGCGCAGTACCGCCGCTTCATCTATCCCGGCGAAAGAGGGAGAGCTAGCAGCAGCCGACTCTCGATCGGGATGCTTCTCATCATAGGGGGAGTTACGCGCATCCTCGAATTGGTACTCGGTGGGTTTGCCCCCGAGGGAGGTATCGGTGGAGTCGGGCATGGTGAAAAAGGGTCGATAGATGGACTGGGCGAGACTCGTACCGTGTCTCTCTCTCTCTCTCTCTCTCCTTCTTTCTAGTTGCACTGCGGAGCATGCATCTGGGGTATTTATATTTGATTAAGTAGTCCTGTAACCCTGTTGAGACCCTGCGGGGGAAGCTACCCCACGGCCTTCCCGTCCCCCCAGGGAATTGTGGAATTGTGGACCTGGGGAATCTTTAATACCCAATCTGGGTTAGATCATCGTTGCTCTCGTTTCTGATCCTTGGCGATCGCGACTACTGAGGGGTCAGACCAGTCTCATGCGTCCCTCGCGGTGGCCGGGAGGTATTTTCCGTCAAATTTTGGCTTTTTGTGTGACGGCTGGTGGCTGTCGGCTTTGCTTGCTAGGAATTCAGGGGATCCGAAGTACGGAGGACTCGAGATGTTGGCTCTCTTTGCTGTCCCCTTTCGGTCCCAGATGAGATGTTTTTTTTTGCGGCGTAGGAGTATAGGATCCAACATCTAGACCCGCACAGGCAAGAGCTCAACTAACATGTCAGCTGGCCCGTTGATTAAACTCGACTAGGCTCTTGTGCTAGAATGTTAAGTCTCGTCTGCGTCGAGGGTCCGAGGCTGACAGTCGGCTCTGATCCGAACGGGTTCGGTTCTGAACCGCTCCAGAAACGCCACCCATCGGGGACCATAATCGTATTACAACCTCCGCTACCGACTCTACTATATCCTCCACGCGCTCGGGCCTTTCGACTTGGCGGAGCGTCTGGATGTCAAATGCTCGTTGCTCTTGTACCATTGATGATTTTATGTACTCGATTCAGATCCATTCATTAATCTTTTTGGCATCTACTACAGATGCAATGTATCTTGCGACAGCATCTTCTTCTCTCCTTCCACTGCTGAAGAACTCGGCCTTCTAGGACGGCAATGCACCACCTCGCTGACCTCTAGGGAGTCTACTTAACTTTGGAAATGGCAATCGCTCCGAAGAGAATGTAGCCATAAAGAATACAAGGTGTCCCTCGAGTTGACCATTGCCACAAGGCTAGCTATAGGTGCTCTCAGCGTTAGATCATCATGGACAAAACAGTGGCTCCGGCGCAATTCAGTCATCAAGTGTCATCATAGCATCATTATCGTCGTTTCCCATCTCTCTGACTGCAATGGACTCAATGACTTCAATTTTTTAGCAACTCACAGGCGAATTTCACCATCACAATCGTTCCATCCACCCTACCTCAGGCGATCTCCGCTAACCGCCCATCGTCATGCCCTCGACAAGTCCGTGGACCAAGCCTGACACCACTACTCGCCCAATCGCGATCATCGGTGCCGGCGTGATGGGCCGACGGATCGCGATGATGTGGATGGCCTCCGGACAAACCGTGATTGTCTGCGAAAAGCAGACAAGCAACCACGACCCAGCACTCGAATACATCAACGCCAACAAAGACACACAAGCCGCCAAGCTAGGCACCAAACCCGGCACTGTCAAATTCACCACCTCCATGAAAGAAGCTGTCGAAAGGGCATGGATGGTCATCGAGGCCGTCCCCGAGGTTCTCGAGATGAAAATCGACATCCTGGGCCAGGTGGATCAACTGGCGCCGGCGGATTGCATCATCACGACGAACTCGTCCTCGCTACGCTCCAGCCAGATGCTCGCCAACACGACAAAGAACTACCGCATCTGCAATGGTCACTATTACATGCCGCCCGACCAGCTCTACTTTGAAGTCATGTCGTGCGGGTACACCGACCCGGATATCTTCTCGTTCCTGATGGAGAAGGCTGCCATCGCGGGGTTCAAGCCCGTGCATGCGCAGAAGGAGTCGACCGGCTTGGTCTTTAATCGGATTTGGGCGGGTATCAAGCGTGAATGCCTGCTTGTGTTGGCGGAGGGTGTTACCAATGGCGCGACTATTGATCACATGTTCAAGTCGTGGTTCGAGGCGAAGAAGGGCCCTTGTCTGATGATGGACACGGTCGGATTGGATACCGTGTACAATATCGAGAATGTATATTCGAAAGAGCTGCACACGGATCCGCGTGCGAAGGAGTGGCTGAAGGCTGAATATGTGGACAAGGGTAACTTGGGCGCGAAGTCTGGTAAGAGGTTGCTGGGATGAATTCAGAATGATGTTTGGCCTCTTTAGAAGAGAACAAAAGATTAGGTATATAGATTCATGCAAAAGATAAAACACGGATGGTGAATTACGATCAATTGATGAGAGAACATTTAGTCTTAGGGTATCAGTGGTATTAGCGTCTTTGAGCGCTCTATATAGTATTATTTCACAGCAAGACATAGGTCCAAGTCACAATGCCAGAGACACGGCAGACTTGAGCTCACTCTGATGAACATTCGGTGGGATCTGAAACCCATCTAGCGGTTGATACATCAGAGTTGCTCAACCCAGATATGAATGAGAAGCCAGAAGATGTACAGCGGTGTTGTGTGGGAACGCGAGGCGCGGGGCAAGAAGTTGAGAAAAGAAAATGTCGAAAGAACGTGTAGGGATGGGTAGGGATCATCAAAGGAGCCCACAGAGACTCATAGGCAGTCGCGTGGAGGGATTAGATGTGAAAGGGAGAAGGAAATCAAGTACATAGGAACGTGACGGAGGTCAAAATAATAGGGTGAAAAGGATATTAAGAAACCAAAGACAGTCACCATGAGACTGAATCTTCCACAGTGATCAAACATCCCACAAGCTTGTGAGGAACCGAGATAGGTGAATGGGTATAAGAAATTAGACATCAAAAGGGGTTCTCGGTATGCACCCCGATCATTAGGGTATCAAACGATCGTGCGAGCAATAATTAGTGAGGAAATAGACTGTAATGTCGATTCGACCAGATGACTATGTCGTCTTCTTGCGACGGTGGACCTTCCACTCCGCTTTGGCAACACGCATGAAGATTTCAATGTCCTTGATTGGGACCCAACTGGTGAGGACTTTCATGCCGTTTTCGAAATCGGATTCGAGGATTATGTCGCGCATGCCATCGATGAGAGCTGCAGAGGTTGCATGGAGCACGTCGAGACCTTGCCCAAAGGTGCTAGAGCGGGGGACAGGCAAATCCTTCTTGCTCTTGCCGGACGCGGTGTTTGGCCGGGCAGTGGCAGTGAGGTCGTCGGCATCTCCGAGGAGCATGAAGACGTCCCACACCCGAAGCTGGGCAGGGAAAGGAATGGAGTAATTGAAAAGGGTGAGATACCATCGAGTTCCGTAGGCTGTGGGAGGAATCCCGACTTCGTTCTGTACCGTTGACGCGTGAGTATTTAGCCTCTAAGGACTTGGCAGGTGGTTTGCTTACCAGTTTCGAGGCTACTTCACCACCAGCGAGCCACTCTCGCTCAAAGTCACCCAATGCCTCCATGAGACCTGCAAAGCCAGACTTGTACAGCTCCTCGAGACCACGCAGCTGCCAAAGTCGGGCCAGCATGACAAAGGCATGCTCCTCATCATAGTATGCCAGCAACGTTGCCGCTAGAGCCGCCATACCTTGCACGTAGCCAGTGTCGGGGAAGTACAACGACATCGCATGAAGCACACGGAACAGCAGTCTTTGTCCACCACGATACCGTCGACGGAACATGATATGGCTGGTGATCGTGCGGGGCACATCGATGTCAATCTGGACATCGTCGGGGGAGGAGATGTATTGGTAATCGTGGAAGGCCGCAACGAGCGTGTCATCAGAGGGACTGTTTTCATGATGCTTTGCGCTGCTCTCCAGGAACGAGTACCAAGCTGTTGCGCGCCACCGGTCGGGGATGCCCTTCCACGTCCGCTCGATCAATTTGGTGCTATGTGTGTCAAATTCGAATTTCATGCCACCGCCATCACGACTTTTCTTAACTGGTTTCGCCATTTTGGTCCACTTGTCCTCGCGCTCCCACTCCTTTCTTCGCATCGCGCGCGCGGCAGCCGTGTCTTGGCCTTCGCCAAGGACATCCACAGGAAGAGTCAGCATGTCGCCGGCTTCGTCCTTAACCTTTCGGTCCCTGTTGTGGGGGAGATGGTTCGTCGCCGAACGAAGACGCGATGTGGAGCGACGGACTGGCATACTACGTGTGCTTGCTGACGAGGTTGGACGACCAGTCGCAGAGCTCTGGGAGGGGTTGCGCGTGGGGGATCGAGCACTAAAGGAGCGGTTGCTGGGCCGGGCAGTCGGTGGTCGAATGGAGCGCTTCCTTCGAGGCGTCTCGGAGGCAAGAAGAAGGCTCGTGGTCACTCTTTGAATGGGGTGAGGCTCATCGGCCGATGCATGAATGAAGCCATAGCGATCAACCTGTCCGGCGCCCACATCTTGCCAATACTCGATGCCCCCTGCTAGTTCCCTTGTCTCTCTCTTCATCCTGATGCGCTCCACTTCTTCAGAGGCTCGGCCCTTGAGGTCCGTTCCGTTTACCTCTGGGGCAGGTGTGGAAGCAGTCTCAATGCCGGGGGTGGTCGGCTCTTCCCAGAGGACGCCATTGTCAGATGCCATTGCCTTTGCAACCTCCGCATCGGTGACATTGTCGTCACCCTTCTCATACATCAGCCGAACTCGTCGGGACAGCATATCCTCGTCTGCGGAGATGGCTCTACTCTGGAGGCTCGTCTGCCTTGGGCGAAGGGTACTCTGTGGTCTGGCACGGGGCACTGCCTTGGGAGCGCCATTTGTCGCATCTTCCTTCTGACCATTCGTCGTGCCTTGCTTTTCATGATTTGTCTCCTCCTTGTAAGATGGCATCGACGCTGTGACTTTTGATCCTGCGTCTGTATCTGCGACTCGTTCGACAGATATCTCCTCTGCGGGCGGTGCCGATATTCTTTCAGACGGTTCCTCTGGTTGTTTCTCCTTAGGTAAGGCAGGATATGGACGCTTCAATCGGTCTCTGATGAGGCTGCCACGAGTCGAAAATTTCATACCCTGTCCCAACCCGCCCAGGGATGCCGTCGGTATATCCAAGCTGATTCCACTAAACTCTGGTTCGATCTGAGGCACAGGAGGAAGTTCCTCCGTGCTCATCTTGCGTTCCAACTCTGCTGACCTCTTTCTCAATCCACCCCACTTGCGCTCCGACCATCGAGAACCTGGCCGCGAGACCGGACGCGAGCTGTCATTGATCACAATGCTGGGCACACTGCGCACCGAAGGCATTACCCAATGATCATCCTCCGACCTTGGTGTTTCTATGTCCTCGCCAGCTGGAGTTGGCGGCGTCAGTCCTCCATTTTGTTTCGTGTTGCATACGGAGTGGGCTGTCGAGGGACGATCGTTGGGTTCAGGAGAGGCAGCGCTGGTGCTGAAAGACCGGCCATTAGGTTCGAGTGGCGTGTCCGACGGCGTGGGCAGTGAGACTGAACGAATAGCAGCGGGTCGCTGGGCTGCGACAGTCTCGTCAAAGGGCACAGCTTGAGTCGCCGGGCGCAACTCCGAACCCACTGGCGATAACGATGCAGGACGCTCACCGACCATTATCCTGGCATGACTTGCACGGCAGGAATGCGCGAGAGGGCAGTAAGGAGCGTGAGGGGTGAAACAATTGAGGTGGAATCAAATGGCGATCAAAAGGAGGGACAGGTGCAAGACACGCATCACCGTTTCGTCAGGGTCTGGAGATTAATAAATTTGACTCCTGGGGATGGGTCCAGAGATGTGGAGTCTTGGCGCGGGCCACTTTCATTCCATACAACAAAGGGACGCACTGCGCCGACTGAAATGCCAGTGCGCAGTTTTGAAATATGAGATGCACAGGTTGGAATTTCTCTGTGAAGAAGCAAAACAAGGGTTCAAGTCTTGTAGGTCGCGCTTTTCGAGGGGGTGGTATTTTTAGGGGAAGGCCTGTCCCACCAGGCTTTTTGGGGCCGCGCAGCAGTGGACCGCAACGAGGCCAGACAAGGAAGCTAAGTGGAGCACGCTAACTAGTGAGTGCTTAGATTAGAACACAACCATGGCGTCTTGCGTGGAGGGGAAGGTGGGCAGTCAAACTATGTTTTTAGAAGGCATTGAAGAGGAATAGGAATGGGGAGATGTGAGCCAGGGGATGACGTGTCTGTTAGTATATAGTCGAGAGGAAGAGTACGCCAGGAGATGACAGGGTCTCCCGTGGGCTAAGCTTGGCAGGTCCCTGCAGAAAAGAGACCAAAAGTGTACTAAATATAGAGTACGGAGTGTAGAGTGTACAGTGTAGATAGAGTGTGAAGTGTAATGTATATCCTAATCCCAAAAACTGTTCAATTTTGGCGCAACCTGGTGTGGACAGATTGTACACACAAAAAAGAAAAAAACGCGTGAAACTCCAGCAGCCGAGGCTGTAAATCCAGTAGGCCATCAGCTGCCAATGCAAAGGGGCGCTAACACCCCCGGCTATACCTACAAATATCTTCGTGGCATAACAAGAAAGAAAGGAGAAACTGAAGAAGAAGACGCGTGAAAATAGCATAGAATGGTCATGGCGATCTAACGGTCCAGCATTAGATCCATTTAGTTCAAGCCACCGCGGCGGTGTTGGCCCCGGACGGGGATTCTCGACTGGTCCGGCTCCGGTCGACGGGCTCTTTGGGGAGGAGTTCAATCTGGCGCACTAGGAAGCTCTTCTCGTCCGTGAACTGGTCGTCATCCGTCCGGTCTTCCAGGAATTTGGGTAAAAACCTCAACAGTCGGTCCCGATTGTTGATGAGAATTCGCTGAACCGCCACCGATTTGTTCGGGTTTGCAACGAATACCTGTTTCGGTCAGTACATTCCCTCCCTTGGATCAGAGATCGTGGATGGCAGATCGGGGATGATGGGTGGTCGATCAGCGAGCCTGACATACTTTGAAAACGTGGAACCCTTCATACTGCACCATCTTGCGATCATCACGCAGCAGCTTCATACACAGTTTGAGGTTATCCCCACTTTCCACATAGGCCATCATCACGTTGTAGTTGGCACGGTCCAACAGGATCTCGCCCAGCAACTTGATGCTTTGTCGTTTGGTGACATATGAGTCAGACTGGATAAGGATGTCATTGAATCGCCCAAAAAACAACTCAAAGTTGGTCGCAAGATATGCAGTCACCAAGCTCTTATGACGTGTCAAGATTTCCTGCATGGAGCCCTGTCAGTCTTCTCCGTCCCCACCAATGTCCACAATTGCAGAGATAGCATACCCGGAATGTTGTAAATGCATCGGCGCTGACTTCAAAATTGCTTTTATTGATCCACTCAAAAAAGTTCCAGAACACACCGTCGCCATTCTGTGGAAGATTGGGCTTCAACTCCGAGAGTCGGACTGCGGGCTCTCCCTCGTGTGACTGGTCATATAATATCACCGCTGTGACCACATCAAACTTGAGAGCCTCCCGTAGAATCACGCCGCAAGGCATGGCACTCTGAGTTTGCGTATACCCCCGACATAATTCAACAAGGATCTCTGGTCGGTTGTGAACAATGTATGAGATGACCGGAGGGTCTTTGTCGGTCGCATACGAGGCCGGCCGGAATCGTAGAATATGGGAGAAGATGGTCTGCGTATCTTTTCGGGCTTCGAAGGGGAGGAGGTGAATAATTCGTGACAAATCATAGAGTAAATCTTCTTGGAGAGTCGCTTGGACCAAAGCGTGGACCTGATCGGGTGATGTGTTGATCTCTATCGGGGCAAAGTCAGCATCAGCCATGCAATTCATTCAGATCCAGTCCAGAACGACGGGAGTGGCGGTAGATCTCCGAGATGATCAATGAGATGGTGAGCGGGAAACCAACCTTGTGTTCCTTGTACAATGACCTTCATCTGACTGAGTTGCTTGGCCAGTTCCTCGTCGGCCTACTAGGATTAGCGGATGCGTCGCACGCCAGCTTGAAGCTTGGGGTTTCCGGACCTTGGGGTTACTGGGTGCTTCCTGGACCCTGAGCAACAATTCCTTTGTGGAGCGGACCACGTCCGCTGGTTGCCGCGACCGGCCACGATTAAAAAAGAACGCCATATTCCCCGGGCGACGAGAGTTGAAGATATGAGGATCCCGATGATGCGCCGGGGAAAGCCAAGGTCGATACGGCGGTTTGGTACGGCGAGTAAAGTAATAAACAAACGGGGGCGGGGCAACCGCTGGCCTGAGGCCACCACCGCTGATAACGGATTTTTTTTTATCAGTCAATTTTCTGCCCCTCCCTTCCCTCTTCCAGCTTTCTAATTCTTGTCAATTGGATTTGATTTACCATGGCTTCTTCTAGCCGTGTTGCCGAGCCTCCTGTCAACGAGGTCCCTTCTGATGATCGCTCAGTCTCGGGCGAATCGGACTCTACCAACGAAGAAGGATGGGAAGATGTCGAGCCCGAGGATGATTCCCAACCAGTCGTGGGATTGTTCTCGGATGTTGTTTTCCCTGACATTCGCTCAATGCTGAAGGAGTGCAAGGAGAAGAACAGCTTTGATTTGATCAAGATTCAGAAGGACCTTGGTATGTTATTTAGTTGTGGATTTCACGATGCTTATTGCTCCACCTTACAATATACCCCAAACTCATAGCTAACATTGATCTTCTGCCGCAGATTTGGACTTCCTGGATACCATCAAGCTGGTCAACTACGTGCGATCGGAGGTGAAAGCAGGAAACCACACCCCCGATGTTTCCTCCAAGGCAAAGTTCGAGGATGACGCCTACCTGAAGCCTGTGCTCGAGGACGATGCTGTTTTGTATAGCCTGGACGATATCAATGAGGATCAGAACGACGAGCCAGCCCCTGGCACTGAGGCCGAGCGCAAAGTTCTCGAACTTCAAGAGCAGTTGGAGCGCTTGCAAACCCAGTTTTCTGAGTACAGGCTCGCGGTGCAAAAGTCGCTGGACGACCAGTTGAACAAGGAAGATGAGAAGCTTGAGCCTGGTGAGAACGTGAAAAGGCCTGTCAAGGATCGCCTTGAGGATGCCGATGCCGATTACTTTACCTCTTACGCCTACAACAGTACGTTTATCAGCGTTCACGCTCAGTTTATGAATACTCCCGCTAACATATACCTTGTCAAAAGCCATCCACGAGTCAATGCTGAAAGATGCTATCCGTACCGATGCCTACCGTGACTTTGTTTACGAGAACAAGCACCTCTTCAAGGACAAGGTCGTTCTGGATGTGGGTTGTGGAACTGGTATTCTGTCCATGTTCTGCGCCAAGGCTGGTGCGAAGAAGGTCATTTCGGTTGACAATTCTAATATCATCGACCGGGCCCGTGAGATTGTGTACGACAACGATCTAGGCGACGTGATCACGTACGTATATCTGCATCGTATATCTTTCGATATGATTGGCTGCTGATTATCTCCATAGACTCGTCCGTGGTAAGATTGAAGAGGTTACTCTTCCCGTTGATCAGGTCGACATCATCATTTCCGAATGGATGGGCTACGCCTTGCTTTTTGAGGCCATGTTTGATTCTGTCATCTACGCTCGCGATCGCTACCTTGCCCCTGGTGGTCTGATGGTCCCATCTCACGCCACTCTCCGTGTTGCCCCCTACGCTGATCCAGATTTCATTGCGTCGCACATCTCTTTCTGGAACAACGTGTACGGTTTCAAGATGAACAGCATGCAGTTGAACATCCACGACGAAGCACTTGTTCGCCACATCCCGACCACCTCTATCCCTGCTGAGTCGGCCGTCTTCCTGCCATTGCCCCTCCACACCATCACTGTTGATGAGTTGACCTTCTTGAAGGACTTCAAGGTCACCTTGAACGAGGACATTGACGCTCTAGATGGATGGGCCATCTGGTTCGACATCTTCTTCATGCCCTCTTCGGATTCCACTGTGCCCGAGAATGCCGTCCCTGCCGATATGCAAAAGAAGGGCTTCGTTGCATTTACCACTGGTCCATATGGAACCGAGACCCACTGGCAGCAGACTATCTGTCTCGTTGACCATGGAAAGCAGGTACCTAAGCCTTTGAAGAAGGGTCAGGTTATTGCTGGTAAGATTGGCTACCAGAAGAAGGAGCAGGGCTCTCGCCTGCTGGACCTCAGCATCCAATGGCAGGCCGATGAGAACACCAAGGGTAACCAGCGCTGGTCTCTTCAGTGAGAGGCAAGCTACCCAAAAGTTGATTGATGCTTTACGAGATCCATTCATAGACAACGTTCCGGGTACATTTAACGAGGAACGAGAGGACATGATTCAATGCGAACTAGAAGTCTTTGACATGAACATAGCTTTGAATGGGGTTTTTACTGGACAACGCACTTTGCGCCTCCAAATTTCCAAGAGATTCCTCCTGCGCTTTGTAATTTACACATTCTACACTAGACTCTTGGGGACATACGATCCTGCAGGATAATTCTTACAAAAGGGGCCAAGAAACGAGGTAAATCGCCTTCCCAGATCCCTGCGTTAGTGTACAGCTTGGCCCGAGCGGGGCGCTCTGGGCCGCCGTAGGATGGGGCGTTATCGATAAGCTAGCTCTGAGCCTGCTACTTCTTCAACTTAATGTATTCACCACGATGCCGCTGTGAGTGCCTCTCCTGCTATGTGTTCTGGCTATCACTGACATTTTAGCAGTCATCTTTTAGGGAAAAAGTCATGGAACGTCTACAACCCCGAGAACATCGAACGTGTCAAGCGCGATGAGGCCCAAGCGAAGGCCCGAGAAGAGGAGGATGAACGCCGCATGCAAGAGGTCGATGCCGAGCGCCGAATCCAAATATTGCGTGGCGAGCGTCCATCTACACCTCCTCCGCCACTGCCCTCGCACTCTGCCTCTGAGGCGCGTCAGATATCAGAGAGGACATCCGTCGATGGTGCAGGACAACACCGAAAGCGACGTCTTGCAGGAGAAGATGACACGGATAGGGATATCAGATTAGCTCGCGAGGATGCATCAAATGCCAGTGCTGCACGAGATAGACTCGCGCTCACCTCTAGCCGAGAAGGTAAAGGCGCCGAGGCACCGCTAGCGGATAGTGCTGGTCACATCAACCTCTTCCCAGTCGAAAGTGGCAACAAGAAGGCAGAGAAGAATGTCGAAGCCGAGGCTGAGGCTGCGAAGAAGAAACGAAGATATGAAGATCAATATACAATGCGGTTCTCCAACGCTGCAGGCTTCAAGGAAAAGATCGGCCGCCAGCCATGGTACTCCTCCTCCGGCCAGGATCTGGCTGCTCCAGATTCTCAGCCTGAGAAAGATGTCTGGGGCAACGAAGACCCGAGGCGGAAAGAACGAGAGAAAGCGCGCATGGACTCCAACGATCCTCTGGCAGCCATGAAACGCGGCGTTCGGCAGTTAAGAGCCACAGAGCAAGAGCGAAAACGATGGAATGAGGAAAAACGAAAGGAGCTTGAGACATTGAGATCTGAAGAACGGCACCGGTCAAAGCATCGTCACAGGAGACGATCAAGGTCGGTGGACAGTCTGGAAGGGTTCAGCCTCGATACGCCAGAAGTGAAAGCCCCTAACCAGAAGGAGCATAGAAGCTCCGGGCGGCATCACCGACACCATCGCGAGGACAGAAGTCGAGATCGCTCGCATCGACGATCAAATCACCGCTATGAGCACTCTCATGGACATCGTGATAGCACCCATCGGGATGATAGACGTCCACAGCGATCAGAGAAGCGCTCATCTCATGAGCGGCGTTAATGCACTGAATATTAAGGATGCGATGATACCACTATACCACTTTGATCCAAATACAATGAATTATGCACATGTGATAGAATGCTACATGGCCTTACAATAATCTCCAAAATGGTAGTCAGGAGCATAGCACGACTGAATGGTCCTCTGTACAGTAGTTACCAAGTTTCTGCCAGTTGATGCCGAGGAGTTACTGGAGTTGCTTTCTGGCCTTATCGATAACGCCCCACCGCCCATGTTCCCGGAGTGACGATGCTCCCCCCAGGCTACCTTCGTTGCTCTCCTCAACTATTTGGCTCTCACACCGTTCGAAATGTTCAACCGGAGCAACCTCCCTTCTGTACCGAGTCCCTTTGGGAACAGATCCGATAGTGGACGTCCCTCCCCTCAGGGATATTCAAACCCCAACCAAGGACCGCCACGGTATGATTACAGCCACGGCCTTGCCCCAAGACAAAGCGCAGGGCGAGCCCGCGACGACGATGTGCCTATGACTGATGCGTATAATGATTTAAGGGGATATGGAGCTCCACCAGCAGTAGCAGGAAGACCGTCACAGCAGATGCCTACACGCCCACCAGTGGGCGGACGGCCAGGTGGCGGCGTCGCGGGGGGACAAACTTGGACGCTTCATCCTAGCAAGAGCCCAAATGACAATTTTACATTCGGCAATCTGTAAGTAATTTTCGGTTTACCAATTCTACTTCTATGCTGACTCCAAGCAGCGTGGCTGTATCACCACAGGACATTCCGCCTTCCCGAGACGGTAACGACATCCTCCTCCTGATCAATGACCTCTACGTTCTCTCCGGCCGCCCCCTCGAGGGCTTCCCTCCCGGGTATATTAGCATGTCGGATCCTCAACGTACATGGGCCAGCGTGGGGATGCGAGATGCTGTTAAAGTGCAACTTTATGACCCGTTCAGCCAGGGAGGCCAAGCTTACTTGGGAGCAGCGGACATTGAAGTCAGCTTTGCGTCTACAAAGAAGCGAACGGAGGTGCCATACGATCAGGAGGATCTCACGAACGCTGTAGTTAGAGTGAGTTTATGTACAACGGGAGTATGAATGCCTGGGATACTGACATCATCAGAACTTCGAAAACCAACTGCTCGCTCCGGGACAAAGGATTCTCATGGACCACAAGAGCATTCCGCTCTTGTTGCTGGTAAAAACCGTTCAGCGAGTCGATCTGACCTCGGAAAAGGTCGATTTGAGCTCCGGGGAGATTGAGACCCATCCTACAGCACGAGGAATTATCACCCGCCATACTCAGCTCAACTTCTTCAAAGACACCCAAACCGGAATCAATGTGAAGCCATCCAATCGCCGCCCAGCTGCCAACTCGATTATTCAGCCTGGTTTCAAGTTTGAGGACATGGGTATTGGTGGTCTGGATTCTGAGTTCAGCACTATCTTCCGTCGTGCTTTTGCTTCCCGTATCTTCCCTCCTGGTCTGGTCGAGAAGTTGGGTATTCAACACGTCAAAGGTCTTTTGCTGTATGGACCTCCGGGTACTGGTAAAACCTTGATTGCTCGCCAAATCGGAAAAATGCTCAATGCAAGGGAACCGAAGATTATTAACGGCCCAGAAGTCCTGAACAAGTACGTTGGCCAGTCTGAAGAGAACATTCGAAAGATGTTCGCCGATGCCGAAAAGGAATACAAAGAGAAGGGCGATGAGAGTGGACTGCACATTATCATTTTTGACGAGCTGGATGCTGTTTGTAAACAGCGTGGAAGCGGTGGAGGTGGTGGTACTGGTGTGGGTGACAGTGTTGTCAACCAACTTTTGTCAAAGCTGGATGGTGTTGATCAACTCAACAACATCCTGCTGATTGGTATGACCAACCGGAAGGATATGATTGATGAAGCGTTGCTCCGACCTGGTCGTCTGGAGGTGCACATGGAAATCTCGCTTCCCGATGAGATGGGCCGCAGTCAGATTCTCAAGATCCACACGGAAAAGATGCGGACGAACAATGTTATGGATACCGATGTTGACCTGGAAGAGCTTGCTACCCTAACCAAAAACTTTTCGGGTGCCGAAATCGCTGGTTTGGTCAAGTCAGCTTCCTCCTTCGCCTTCTCGCGCCATGTTAAGGTTGGAACGATGGCCAGCATCAACGAAGACGTGGTAAACATGAAGGTCAACCGATCTGACTTCCACCACGCTCTTGATGAAGTGAAACCGGCCTTTGGTGTTTCTGAAGAGGAGCTTTCCAGCCGTATCCAGTATGGTGTGATCCACTACTCGAATACCATTAACGAAATTTTGCGAGAGGGTGAACTGTTTGTCAAGCAGGTTGGTCAGGCAGAGTCCACTCCACTGTTCTCTGTCCTGCTCCACGGCCCCCCTGCAAGCGGCAAGACGGCCTTGGCAGCACGCATGGCCATTGACTCTGGCTTCCCCTTCATCAAGCTGATCAGCCCAGAGGATATGGTTGGCTTCAACGAGGCTGCTAAGATCTCGCACATCAGCCGCATCTTTGACAGTGCCTATAAGAGTCAAACCAGTATTGTTGTTGTTGACAACATCGAGCGTATAATTGACTGGGTTCCTATCGGCCCTCGCTTCAGCAACAATGTTCTGCAGGCTCTCATGGTCTTCCTCCGCAAGCCGCCAACTCACGGTCGTCGCCTGCTGATCTTGGCCACGACCACCGAGCGTGCTCTGATGAAACAATTGGACATCTATAATTCGTTCAATTCGGATATTCTGGTTCCCAATGTTCTGTCTTTCGGCGAGCTGCGGTTTGTTATGGAAAAATCTGGCGCATTTGACGCGCAAGAAATTGCCCAGGCCCTTGAGGGAGTCGGCGGTCTGGCAGATGACGGCAAGCTCAGTGTGGGTATCAAGAAGGTTCTCCTTGGTATCGAAACTGCTAAGCAAGACGTGGATAAGGTGGGCCGTTTTGTCCGTGTGATTAATCGGGCCATTGAGGCAGAGCAAACCTTTGCTTAGAACGTACATATATAGAATTTATCTGTTCTTCCCGATGAATACAGTGTTCCAAAGAAGCGCGTGATTGTTCGTTGAGTACATCCTGTGACGACACCTATGTGTTTTACATCTCTCCCCCTCCATCCACTCGGCTAGACGTCTCAGCTGGATAACTGGCATCGTAGGTAGCATACTAGGCGCAGAGCCTCATACCCATCGAATTCTGGGGTTCCATGTGAGTCTTCCAATGTAGGCGGAACACCATGCATCTTCCAATTCTTCCAACGAAAGGTAATGGCCTAAAACAGAGCTCCGGGGCTGACGGTCTCAACCACGCAACAGCCACGTGAGAGTAGCTACAATTACTTGTGATCGTTCATGCAATGTTCTCTTTGAATCAATAAACATTTACAAAAAAAATGTACTCATGTCTGTCGAGTCTTCCAGCAGTTCGAGAAACTTATATGGAATTTGTTCTGGTCATATCAGCATAGTACTTGGATTTTAGGAAAGTTTAGATATTCCCATTCACGAAAATCGTTTGTTGTCACTTTTCCAATCCTGAATATGTTGCAATGGGCCCCTGACTACCACGCGTCTCACCACCAACGAGCCTGACCAATGGATATCAAAAAGCCTTCAATGCGCTATTTTTAGAGCTTAACACCTGAATTTCCCTCACGAGTGGATTCAAACTTGCGGGACAGCCTATAACCATCTTTCATTCAAGCAAACAGCCCATAGGGCTTCACTACGTACGATACTCAGCTTAATACCAAAGATTCGTGTTACACGCCCTCTGAATGGCTACAAGACCCATTCATTACAATGACACGAGTAAAACAAGTACGATTCACGGTATCTACTCCAAGTGTAAGGCCACAAGTCGCACAATATCCACACGTCACGAAGGGAGAGATATACACATAAAACACAGTCAAAACACGCCAAAGCCGTCCCAGAAAAGCAAACTAAGCCATCCTAGCAGTTCCAAAGTCCCGATTTTGCCCGAATCCCGTCATAACAGTCGTCAAAATAAGCAAACAGATTAAGCATAAACGCATCATGCCTTGCCGGGCTGAATCAGTACTCGTCGTAGGTGTACTTCTTCGCGGCTCGGCGGTACTCGTCCGGGTGGGCCTTCTCGGCCTTGCTCTTCAGCGCGCTATTGGTACAAGCTCCGTCAGCCTTTTTCCAGAAGACGCATGCGGCGCTAATTTGGTGCGTCGATCATCCCCAGACGCACGTGCCAAGGGCTGCCCTGGCGGAGCGGAAGCAGACATCCCCCCTGCGCGGAGCGGGGCGGAACTTGGGAACGTCCACTCCAGGGGGTGAAGATCGTCTGCAGAAAACTCTTGCAGTTCTTACCTGACACGCTTCTGAGTCCATTCTAGATCTCGCTTTGTCTCTCGTGCAGTCTTTACACCTTCGGCGAAGTTTGCCCGGACGCCCTTTAGGCGGCGCTGAGCGAGCGCTTGCAGTTCTAGCAGCTCGCGTTGTTTTGCGTTCAGATGGCCGGAGCTGGAGAGACACGCAGGCTGTTAGTTTGGGAATTCCTTATTTTGGGATTTCTAAAATCTCGCGGCAAATCATTCGCGATTCCTCGTTTCGAGGACGGCGAATCGCTGTTGCCCGGGAGGGATGCTCAAAATGCGGAGCACTCACGTTTGCGCCTGCTTTGCCAGGCCCTTGTCCAATGGAGTCGGATCGAACGCATATTGCATGCGGTCGCTCAATACATCAACAACGTCGACACCAGAGTACGAGGCTGAGCTCGACTCATAGTCTCCGCTCCCGCCAGCGGAGCTGAAAGTGAAGCCGCCAGAGGTGCGGCTACCAGTAGTGGTGCTTGCATCAGAATAATCTGGTGGCGAGCCTGGCACCCGCGAGATGGGGTACATGCTGGCTGACACCGGTGCCTTTGATGGCATGTTCATGGGGTAAGCGGAAGGCTGGTAGTAGTGACGTTGCGTGGCCATGATGATGAGATGCTGATATAGATATCAATTGTCGGATGAATAGGTCGGCAGGACGACAACAATGTCTGGACAGGAGTCTGATGGTGATTGACAGAAGGATGGGGAGGCTCTAGGTCAAGGTAAGAGAAGCAATATAAGAAGGTAAGGACTAAAGGTGTTGGGTCTCGGACTGGGATGCAAACGACACCTGGGAGGAATGAATAGGGAAGAAGGAGGAGAGCCGGGCCCCCGGACCAAACGAGAGAATTTATAGGCGTCCGCGGAGAGTCTTCTCTCCGGCGGGGACATGATCAGACCTTTGATCACAGTTGATCCATGATGAGGAGGCGTGGGTGGGAGGGCAAGGGTGGACGGACTGCGACGAAAGCCATTGGACCACCGGAGGGACTTGGGATTGCACCCCTCTCTCTTGTAACCTCCAACCTTGCCAATCTCCCCCAATCCCCGGGCTTCGGCTGCATCTCCTCCTCCGTTTCTGCCCGCCGATTCGTCTCTTGGACCTCGCGGACCCCGCTCCGAGTGGGAAACGAGGTGTGTCTGGCCCAGTCCACTAGGGATTCCGCCCTCCGGTGGCTATTCCTCCCTGCTTCAGTCTTGGTCTATGCGGCCCCTCTTCTCTTTCCCAATTGTGTACTAGGCCCGAGCGGAGCCTGAAAGTATCCGGATTGTTGCAATGGAGGGGGCAAGAGTGGGTGGATATGGTCCATCAAGAGGGGCGAAGTTGGGCAGAGAGGAGAAGTATATAAAACGGCCATGCACCCTCCCCGATCCTGAGTTTCACCTTTGCACCTCTGAATTTCCTTCTTCCCGAAAATTCCCCTACACTTTTATCACCCCTCCTCGGTTCGATATCCCGTTTCTCAAAAATTCGGGGGCTGGGAAGACGGATGTCGAGTCAAGCATCGAGATTGATTCGCTCATTGAATAAAGCCCCGAGAAGAGCTGCAAACTCTACAGGAACTGGCGTCACCTACAAGCTGTATGCCCCCAATCACACTTCCGGCCCAGTCATTGCCAGATTTGAATACTAACAACGACATAGGTCTTCATACTTGCCTTCAAAGCTGTCTGCGGACGCTTGACTGGCCGACTGAAAATACCCGTTGGGTGCTGATGAGCTTGCCTGGTGGGTCAAATAAGGCCTGAAGCCCGCAGACACGGCATTGCTTCCGACTCATTAAAAAGGTCTTCACCAGAGAAAAAAAAGAACGAATAGAGGTGACAATGTCTTACGGTCTGACATCATCGAGAAGTCCACCATCCAAACAAAAAAAAAAAAAAAACTCAGAAAGAAATCAAGCGGGAGCGAGGCAACAAAATGAGATTCACTTGGTCATTTGGTCACACGGCCTGACGATCCCAGTGTTGGACACCATTGCATGGCCCGACGAACCGTGGAGAACCCGGCAATGCTTCAAGCCGCCCAAAAGCTCCAGCCGAGAATCAGCAACACCATATTGGCTCACAGGGGGAACCTGGGCACCCAAGGCACCAAAGTCCAAGAGTCGGATAAAGACATTGCGTGACTGAAGCCTGACGGCATCCGACCCAACGAGGAGGTGGAAAAGGATGAGAGAGAAAAAAAAAGGAAAGTGCCTTGCCATGAAGATCCCTGCGGCCTCCGTTTGCCCGCCCTCCCATGCGGCTATTGCTACGCTCCGAGGACCAGAACGCCTCGCACCAGCCCACAAGTGGCTAGAAGAGCAGGGAAGAAGAGCAGCGCAGCACAGACAAGCGCTCTAGACGCCCGTCACGGCATGGCAAAGAAGAAGCATGCCACCCCACACGCCATGCACATGGGCAATGACTTGCTTCTCGACGTGGACCGGACCATCGACAAGAAGGACCCTCTCTCTCTGCAGGCCCCCGTCGGGAAATGCAACAGGCCCGGAGAAGATGGGCATAGCGGCCATCTCGTCATCATTGGCCCCGGATTGGCTGCTGAGAGGGAAACTACATACCCAAGCTCCAAGAACACAGAAGAGAAAAGAAGAAAAGCAAATTGGCCTTGTGGCTGGCACCAATCTGATTCGGCAATCGTGCACTGCCTTATGCTGGGCTGCGCTGGCCAGCTCGTACGCTTTGGCTACCCTATGTACCTTGTCGACTTGGGGACTGGGTACCCAAGTGTCCCGAGGGTTTCTGGGATGGTGGTAGTAATATGGCGCCTCCTCTCCTCGTTGAACTGCGCCCTATCCGTGGATATTCTGCATGCCTTGCAGCCTGACGAAGGACGATATGCCCCGTTGACTCGCATACGACCACCGAATTACACCGTGCCACCACCCTCCTCAACTAAATACTAAATCCACCCTAATCATCCCCCCAAAAGGTCCGCAGGGATGCAACTCCAAGAACGCCGTCCGCGATCTCGTTTCTCCTCATTTACTCCTTCCTCCCAAAACAAGGGCAATCGGGCAGCACATCAATGACGCGCAGCATACGACCAGAGTAGAACCTGCGAATGGGAAAGTCTCTCCCCGTTCAGCGCTACGCACCGTCATAGGTCGCTCGGAACGGTCTCTTCCATCCACCGATTTCTAATTCGCCCCCTCCTCGAGCCTTGCTATCGCGATCTCCGGCTAAAGAAAGGCACTCGAATCTGAACGCAGAACTTGGTCTGAAGATTTTGCCTTTTTTCGCCTTGCCTCCGTTTCCAATCCCATGCTTCTTTAACATCGAAGCCCATTTCGACGAACCCGCTGTTCGCCGGGAGCATACCTGTACTGTCCAGACACACAACACATCTGCACTGCACGCTGTCAACAACGGGCCAACAGAGTTGCATGCGTTACACGAGCCCACGCCTCTGGTCCAAGTCGATCGAGAAGTAGCAATGTCATCCCTGGGGATGTGTCATTCCGCCCTACACTGATCAACATGATCCCCGATGTTAACCCAGGAAGGATCAAGGAAGGGAGACCCATATTATGGATCAACCATAAACCACGAACCACCATTTTTCAGTCTCGAGAAGACCACGACCCAACACTAATAAATAATAATACTTTAGGATTACAGTATCACTAATGTCTCAAGCAGGACATCATCTTGGCCCCCTCTGACGAGTCACCGAACAAATTCCCAGACCCAAGTGGGGTTGAGGCGGGGAATATTTTTTTTCGCAGTTCCCTCACCGCCACATGCAGCACTTTGACTGGACGGTTGGTCTGGCCAACTCATCTCGCTTTCCTCTTTCGGGGGTGGTTCGCTTTTGGTGCGAGCTAGCCAAAATCTACGGCCAGTCGGACGTTTGGTCTGTAGACTCTGTACTGTTATGTTAGTCATGCACAGAGATCGGCTGCTGGGAGGGGGTTTCCGCAGAATATGTTACAGGGAACTCTCCCCATGAAGTCGACAACGCTATGGAGCGGATACTGACGGTGCAAGATGCAATATCAGTACAATTCACTTTGTCCCTCGAATCTTAGCCAAGCTATGACAATCTTGTTGAATTGTATTCCGGGTAATAGAACTTCGTTAACTTGTGCGTCTTGTATTTTCTGTCCTCTCTCTTCTTATCTTTCCTTCTGAAAATCCGCTGCTAAGAAACTTTGTTCTTCCCGGTTGGCTTGCACCCCCCTCGGATCCAGATGATTCACGCCTTACATCTCGTCTTACCCGTTGATAACCTTTTCACGCTTGAAGTCTAAGATCATCATCAAAGGCTAATGAAACTCTGTTGAATGTACCCTTGGATTTCGCTAGACCGCGTATTCGGATCGCCCCATCCTCCCTTGATTCAGGCCTCGGCATTGGCAATATGAATGGCTCAAGGAATAGCTCATTGAGCTTAGCATAGAGCTCGTGGACGGCAGGCAGGCTCGTCGGGGGTGTCATGATGGCCGGGGCCTGGAGAGCAGTGCCGCCGGGGTTGTGAACGCGATCGACCATAACAAGGTAGGCCAAGTTAGCTTGCACCCGGCGCATGTACTCGATGTACTCCCGGGTTAGTTTGGAGCCATTCGCCTTGATAGCTTTTATTAGCGACGCATTCGTATCACCACTCGGGGAAGCAGTACCTACCTTGCTTGATGCTTCTTGGAGATGAACCACCTCCTTCAACAGAACGGAGTTAATGTCAAGCAGGGTATTGATGCGGGCGTTCTCGCGAGCCGCCATTTCAGCCTGCCCTTGGGCTTGAGGTTGATGCCGAGTAGGCGACTGAGCTATCGGGGAAGAGTGCATCTGGCCAGGAGGTTGTGGATGACGAGATGGTTGTTTGTTTGGACAGAAGCCACGCTCAGAGGAAAGACGAACTTGATGACATGGTGAAGGAGGAGCAAACAAACATACTTGGATTTGAGATGGATTTTCTCACTAAACAAGCAAGCACAGTTGATTTATGACAGACGCCAAAAAAGTATCTAGTATCACTCTTCCCTGAAAATCACTATCTAGACTCACAACGCATATAGAGAAGAAAACGAAAAGAGAAACAGTAAAAATTGGATTATTGACAAATACAGATCCAGAAGGAAGACCAATATCGTTATGCGCTCGTAATCTGGTATCACAAGAAGAGAAAGGAAAGCAAAACTAGACTCGGAAAGAAAAAGCCAGACGAGAAAGGGGAAAGAAATACAAGCACAACAGCCAGGTCCATGGCATTAACGCCATGCGCTCGAGGTGAAAAAGGTCAGCAAATCAAAGTCGCCGCAAGGCCATGGTGATGGGAAAATTCGATAATACAAGAAAAGAAAGAATAGCCCTCGTCCTCGACGCAGATAAACAGATGCTTTAGAGTGCACCGGCGATCCTATGCCCAATGCAGATGCAGATAGCGCGTGGAATGCCCGAAGCCCGGCAGACGGTGCGATGCGACGAAACAGAAGATCATAGGCGAGCACATAGGTGGGCTCGCGCTGGTGTGGTGTATGCCCTCGTCTTCCAGAACCCCCAAATCCCACCTTTACCGTCCTGTTGCCCCTTGTAGTTGCACCGTTAACAGATCATAAAAGCAAAAAAAAAGAACCATAAGCCCGCTCACTCAATCGTTGGCTGAAGAGGGAAAAGAAAGAAAGCTGTTCAAATGCTGGGAGGGCATTGAGGAGGAATGAAAGAAGAAGTACCGCCAGAGCACGAAGGGAAGGGTTGGTAATTATGAGTCGATGGAGGGCGGTGTTTGTGCCAGGGGTGAGGTAAGAGTCTCTAGCGCCGGATTGAGGGAGACGGTTCACCTCCGCCGCTGAGACGATCCCGAAGAAGCTGAAGAGGTCGGCCAGGGTCCAGCAGCCCCATCATCATTTTTCCCAGCTCGTTATGCTTGATAGGTTTAGTGACATAGTCATTGAAACCAGCACGCGCAGCATTCTCGATCTGATCTGTCATCGCATTGGCCGACAGAGCCATAATCGGAATTTGAGGATAATGGTTCTTCTGTTCCCATTCGCGAATATCTCGACATGTGTCGTAGCCGTTCTTGATGGGCATTTGGATATCACACTGAACATTACAAAGGTTAGTCAACCAAATTGATAACAAGAGAAGAAAGGCTGCGACTTACGATGATGAGGGAGTAGTAACCCGGTTCCTTGGAAAGCACCATGTCAGTGCACTCTTGCCCGTTCGAAGCTGTTTCAGACATGAGCTTGATCTTGTCCAAGTATTTCAGCATAACCTAAAACTTCATCAGTATCTTGAATAATTCGTCAACACATGGAAGGGTGAACTTACATCGCGATTAGTTTCGTCATCCTCGACGAGTAAGATCCGGTAGCCCTTATTGCCGAGGACCTCCTTGACCATCTTGGACACGGTTTTGAAGTTGTTGTTGATTTCTCGCGCCATGTCTTGATTGCGATCTTTGCTCAGTTCGCGTTTGCTATCTGGGTCAAAGATTGTGGAGAAGGCAGAGGGTTTGACGGGCTTCGGCACGATGAAGACTTGCTTCCCTGTTGCAGCCAACTCCTTGACGCGGGTGATGATCTGGCGTTTCTGATACAAGTCCGAGATAATCACAACAACAGGAGCACTATCCTGCTCGGATTCGGACACGTGCTGAATCACTTCCAAGATATCATCGGTTGCAGGCAGGTTGAGAACCAAGTGTGTACAGGGAGTCTTGGAGCCAGGCTGCATCATGTCCTTCCACTCGTCAATATCCGGTAAAGTCGTAATCGTATAAGGAATCTCGTGTGGGACGACTTGTTCAATATGCTGCTTCGTGGCTTTGCGAGTATTGTCTAAAGGACATAGAATGATGATGGAGAAAGGACCCTGTGGAGACACGGGTGGTGACCCAATCGAAACTCTGCTTGGAGACGGGGAGCCTCGAGACCGTGGCGGAATCAGGCGAGTTGGTGCACTAAGTGCCTCTTCTTTGGATTCGCTCTGAGGCTGGACACTTAAAGTAGCAGCAGGCGGCGTTTGTGCTGTAGAAATATCCGGCGTTGGCAAGGCAGACAACGCGGCAGACAGAGGGTACAGGCGTTTTGATCCAGGATCAAACTCTGGCGACTCGAGTCCAGGGGAGAGGCTGGCGAAATTCAACACTGGATTCGGCGCCAACAAGCTACCCTGCTCAAAGGAGGTCGTCCTGGACGCTGTCGGTCGTCTTGAGACAGTGGAAGCCTGGCGAAGTAATGAGGGCCGCTCAGAAGGCGATGGCGGGGGAGGAGCATCAACCTTGACATTGAAGGAGAATTGGGCCCCCTGACCCTCTTTGCTGCTTGGGGTGAGCTTGCCACCATGCATCTCGACCAGTTGCTTTGATAAGAACAAGCCCAAGCCGCTACCAGCATGTTGTTGGGATCCAGTTTCTCCTAGTTGACTGAACCTCTGCATGAGACGTTCTGCATCCTGTGAGCTAAATCCTTTACCGGTATCCACGACATCGAAATTCAGGAACGCTTCGGTATCCTTGAGTTTCACCGAGGGGTCACGGAAAAGACTGCAGCAGATGTAGACTTCACCATGCGCGGTGAATTTGACAGCATTGCCAATAAGGTTGATCAAAATTTGACGGATCCGGAAACGGTCACCAATCACCATTGACGGAACGTCTGCCTCCATCAGGTAGTTGATCTCCAGGCCCTTATCGATTGCTCGTGAAGCGACAGTATCAATCACATCCTCGATCATAGACCGAACATGGAACCACGAGTTGACCAACGACATTTTCCCGGCTTCAACACGAGATACATCCAGAATATTGTCAACCAATTCCCGAAGGTTAGTTGAGCTGTTTTGGATTGTGTCAAGCATTCGTCTTTGATCGGTGTCAAGCTGAGTATCCAAGATGAATGGAATGGTGCCAAGGATACCATTGAGAGGCGTTCGAATTTCGTGAGACATGTTGCTGAAAAACTTTGTCTTGGACTCCATCTGATTGTTGAGTTGGGTCATTGCCTTGTTGAGCTCTCGCTCAAGGTTCTTCCGGTCGTTGATATCAGTACACGTGCCATACCATGAGGCTTCTTCGCTGCCGAAACTGCCGGTCTCAACTCGGACTAAGCGCACGAGATGCCACCGGAAGTCACCTCCTCGAGACCGGAGGCGAATCTCGGTAGAATAGAAGACGCGTCCATTCTCATCCTTTTGCAAGGAAGCGACACCGCGTCTCACAAGTTCGTCAAGCGCAGATGAAACCCCATGGCTGTCTGACCGCGATCTACCTTGTCCACCATCCGTCGTGGTTTCATCGCTTGAGGCGGCTTGTTTCCTTTGCATTGCAAGCCCACCACACTTTTCGAGGTCATTGGGATGAACATGTTTCGCAAACCCGAGATTCAAAGCCTGCTCGAGACTTTGGCCGGTATACAGATTCCACTGCTCGTTGACAAACATCAATCCCCGATTCTCTGTAGCTTCGAAGACGACTTGGGGAATTGAATTAGAGAATGCCCGGTATTTTGCATCGGTAGCAAACTTTTCTCTTTCTTGGGTCGCTTTAAGCTCCGCAATGTGTTGCTCGTGGATGTCAAGGAAGGAGCCAATCCAGTAGAGGACCTCACCCGTCGATGACAACAGAGGATTTGCTCGGAAGATGAACCAACGATATGCAGTCTCGTCGTTGAACCGTCTGACACGGACGCGTTCAGTGAACTGTGAACCCGTACGTAGGGCGTTGGACCACTCGCTGGACACATGACCTCGTTCACTGCTGTGGATATTTTGCCAGGGATCCCGTAATCGCTGCTCCTGAGGTTTACTCCTCCGATAGGCATCGAACTTGGCATTGGTCCAGATGACTTCGCCACTCCGGGGCTTCGCCAGGAACAGATGAAGAGGGACGGAATTAAGCATTAACTGCGCGATTGTGTCCGAGAACGGGCGGGGCATCTCACGCTGAAATTGGGCAAAGAAGGAATTGGTTGACCCCTGCCGTGATGACTGCTGAGTTGGCGACAGAACAGTTGGCGGTCGCATCTCCTGTAGCGGAGATGCCACGATTGAAGCTGGATCTTGACCATTATTACCCTCTTCCGTGGCGCAAGATTTGCTTGTCAGCCTGCCCGGAGATGTCGGGGTTGAGGACGTGAGGCTTGATTTTGATTTGAAAAGGCGAGATCGCTGATTTGGGATGTTGTCACGAGAGGCTTTGGTATGTTGGACATTGAAATAGCTGTCGGTGTTATCCCCATAACGAGAGACCAGGGCTGGAGATTGAGTTGCTGAGTTCAACGCCACCTGACCAAGCTCAAATCCAGGGGTACCGAAGCTGGATATGGCGGGACTAAATTTGTTCGACGATCGATCGCTAGGACTAGCAATACTAGCTTGCGCAGACATTGAGTTGTCGTCGCCAACTGAGTAGCTCACATGACCACTTAGACCTGCTACAAGCTCCAGTTCGCTGCTCGCGTCCGAAAAAGTACCACCGAGTCCAAGAAGGTGTCCATACCGAGGGGTGTCCACTTTGGATGTCAATTGTCGCTCTAGCTGACTGTATTGTTGTGCAAGGCAAAAGGATATTGTAAGGTGCGGCATCAGATGCGCAAGGGATTGGCGGAGATTAGGCGGATATGGCACAATTGTAGAGAGCATGGAGATAATAGCAACCGGAAATCTCAAGGTCGAGTGAGGGCCTTGATTGACATGACCACCGTGTAAAAGAGGTATGTGAACGACCGTCTTTGAATGGTCGATACCGATGGCCTCCAAGGGTTGCGAGTTGGAGTAGTCATGGTGTGGCGGGTTCTTCGAAAAAGCACCTTCATCGACGGTGTGACATGTAAAGAAAGGGTTTTGGTCTGCATGTGTGCGAGGGGCCGGTGAAGGCGCCGGGGATTGAGACCACGGAGACTGTGGAAGCTGCTCATATTCATCATAATGTCGCAGTCCAGCTGCGACATTGCTGATAGGGGTGGCACCTTTCCCATAATATGCAGTCGTATGTTCGGGTCCTTCAGCATTCGGGGTCCTCTGGACGATCTCGTTCGGACTCCGAGGCGTATTGTTCCCGCCCACTTGATTATCATTCGTATTCGCAGAGTACTCGCGAGTAAGAACGACAGGGGTGACCCGTCCAAAAAGCTTGACCACACCAGCCCGCTTGACCAAGGGGTCTGACTCCACTTCTAATGGCCTCGGGATTGGGAAGACAGCTTGTCGCAATGGTGAGGCCACTGGATTAGGAGGGTCGTTCAATTCGGATTGAGTCATCGGTTGTCTTTGGCTGCTCAACGCCGCCGCCGTCTCCCCCAAATTAGATGTTCCTGCAATACGAGCGTGCTTTTTCTCCCACCTGGTGGAAGCCTTTGGAGTCTGCTGGAGGCGGTCCGATTCTGGTATTTGGGCCGGCTTTTTGTTGTATCCAAACCCAGCAAAGGAGTGGCGCGATTCCAGAGGCGGCCGAGCAGATGTAGGGCTCTTCAAATCCGAGGCCAACCCTGAATTTTGATCGTGGTATCCTTCATCGTGGTATGCACGGACGCCAGTAGTGGACTCTGACAACGTGTTACCAGGAACCGTAGATGAATGCACATCCTCAGGCATGGAGGTCAGGTTCTGGTTAAAAATTGCTTTCTGCCCCCAGGGCACATTCTCAAGATCTGTCAAGTCCCCTGGGACGGCCAGTGACACACGCTCTGCGCCATAGTGAGTTTGCAGGATTTCGATCAAGTTGGACCACCAGGCTTCCAGTCCCGGATCAGCATTCAACTTGAGAGATAAATTGTAAAGGCTGGGGGTCGGGTATTCCGAATCTTCGGCGGGATGATTACTCTGGGACGGAAGAAATGTAGGCTGTGTGCTATAGGTCTTCGGGGCAGGTTGCTGGTCCTCGGATGTTTGCGATCCTGGTGTCGATGATCGAAGCCTCTCCGAAGGCAGCTTCAACCGGAATTGTCCCTGGCGGCCTGTTTGCTCGACTTCCGGATGCGTAGTCTGGTGCTGGACTCTTGGAAAAGGATAGGAAGGCGTTTGAGAGACCGCATGGTCCATCGCGGTCGTGCCATGGTGATCGTCTGCTTTGATGGTTCCTCCAGACCCGATTGAACCTGACGATGGCTGAACATTCGACGGCGGTATCTCCGTGGAGAGCCGGCGTTTCTTCGGTGTTTCATTCGAATGACCAGGAGCAGTTTGATTTGAGGCCGAGGATTGATTTTGGTGTTGTTGCATTTGTTGATAAACCAACAATTCCTCCATCTGCCTGCGCAGTTCCTTTAATGTCTGCGAACTCCGTCCCTGATCTTCCTGCCGCTCATGTTCCGGTCGTGCGTCTTCCGTGATCGGGGTCAGGCCATTTGGCTGCTCTGCAGAGTCTCCGCGGGAGAAACGGGGCATTCGAGGTGCTTTTAACGAGCCGTCCACGCTGTCCACGATACCATCCATCGATAAACTGCCCGCATTATGATGATGATCGGCGATTTGATAGCTCGGCAGCGACTGGGTCGGCTGTACGTGGGGAGGTTGAGGGATGGCGACGGGTGATACAGTTCCCGTTGGCGATGGGAATGGAGGACTTCTCCTGTTATGCACGTCTCCCATTCTCGCGCCTCCACCGATCCGTCAGAAAACGATTCAGTGGTCCTGGACAATACTGACAGCGCAGGCGTCAAGTCGGGCGATCATGTCTTGGCCCAAAGCGGTCGGTTCGGGGAGGCCTCGTGGGCGTGGGAGGAGAGGGGAGTGAAGCGAGGGAGGCAGGCGGAGCCGATATCGACGAGCGGACGGGAAAGGAAGTTGACGATGATGCAGCGTGGGAAGAGGAGGCGAGTTGGGTCGATTTAGAATCCGGGGATTTCGAGACGAGGGAATAAGGTTCAGGCGGTGTATCGTTCAGGAGAAGATGAGACGAGATGAAGAGGTGGTTAGAGGAGAGAGAGTCAACCGGAGCGGCCGTTGATGGTGTGGTCGTTTGAGGGGGAGGGTGGGGGATCGAAGGAACAAGCAAGCGAACGTGAGTGCTGTTGGGAACTGTGGAAAGTCTGGAAACTGGCGTCAGTACCCGCCGACCGAACTGCGTGGGATCGGCCAGTGGATGGGAAGAAGGCGAGAAAAGTGGACTCTCTGATGGTCCGTCTCCGGGGGGAAGAGGCTATGACGTAGCGTGCCCTGGAAATCTTTTGAATCCAACGAAACCCTTTTACGCCCTGCTGCCAACGGGCTCCGCTTACGGCCCTCTTACTGGTTCGGTGGGAAGAACACTGCTTAAATAAATCAATGGTGCTTTACTCAGTTTGATGAGTATATGACAATGGCATGAAATGTGAATCTGCAGAATAGGATTCGGTGAGCGGATACTATTTACCCAGAGAGGCTCCAGACGGGACAATACGTCCTTGGCCGTTTTCTCGGGACAGGCCCTGGCCATGGGTCAGATGATCAGCGGATGCACCCAGCGATGACGACCGGTTACCGCTCCACGTCCCATGAGACATCCCATAGTCATGACTATAAGTGACTATCCTTTTACTATTTTTACAATACAATAGTCTTGTTATGTTAGGACTATTGAGTATTCTATATTCCCCCCTCCTTCAATAAATCATCCTGAAGCCCACTCTTTTCCAGCGTGTGAATAGTTACTGTAGTTACTGCTTGCGACTAAGGAACAGACAGAGAAAAAAGCCAAGAGCCTCGACTCTCGAGTCCCTGCTCCCTTCTTCCCAGCCCAGATGGCAATCTTGCCTTTGCTCTGGTGACTAGCCATGCGGAACTGGGCCTATTGTTGACCCTCTTGACCGATTATGACTCCCAAGGCCCCAGAGCCTCGGATCCAATGATCTTCCATGCTTCTGTCTCCAGGAGTCCCAGTGATGGTTCCATGCAGATCAGCTCGCGTGTACTCCGTAGTAGCGACCACAAGACGAAGTAGGCTTCGGTGACTGCTCTTACTATACGTGATGAGCATACAACTCACTAGATATCATGCTTCCTTCCATTTCTTCATGAGCAAATCTAGGAATACCCTTCGTCGGGATTCATGATCGACATCGTCCTGCCAGAAGCAAGGTCGCAGGGGGGTTTAAGGGAATCTGGCGAGATGGTCTAGACCTGGGGAATGGGCATCGTTCCATGGTGATCAATCATCAAGGAGATCGGTACCACCAGAGGCGCGTTTTACGTCGTTAGCGAGAGTTCTTCCTCAAAAGCCACCATCGAGATATGGCTGCACCGAGGCAAATCCCCTGGAAAAAAGAAGCGATCGATTTGCGGTGGCGCATCCATCAGCCGCTAGGCCCCAGTGCGCCTCGATCCTTCCGTCCACTCAGCAATCATCAGGCCAAATCAAGGTCAGGGCAAAGGCGTTTTTCCCTTGCTATTCTGCGGGGTTGGGGCTATGGGGTACGCCGCGTCTGGAGACGAGGCGTTCCCCTTTTCTCGCAGTAACCTGGCTTGAAGTCATCCGATCTTCGCGGACTGGAGCTGAGGCTACTCGCCCTCACCATGCGACATATTAGGCCAATCCTGCCTAGTCGGTTAATATTTCCCCGAGGAAAAAACATACGGTAAGGGGAAGCAGGAGGGAAACTGAAATCTGAATTGAAATGGTTCGTAGTTCGGCTATGTTATTATAAGCAGAAAGGACAGAAAAGAAAAAAGACAGGTTCAAAATAGTTGGGTTCATCCTCGTGTGTACACTGAGACAGTACGTCATGCTCGCAGCACGTTCAGCGATGCTGACAGATCGGTGCATCTGAAGGATCGGAAATTCTTGTCCGAGTGGCTATGTGCTTGTTTTTGGGGTTTCAAGAAAAAAGAAATATACGTATAGAACACACAAGTTGAACTTGAACTCAAATAAGGTCCATCTTGGTGGACGTATCGATCTTGTTGACTTGCGACTACAACTAGGTGTACGGAGTACCTGTTTTGCATACACTCTTCCACCCATGAACCGCCCCCGTTCTAGCTTGCTCCAACCCTGGGGCCCGTAAACTCAAGGGTGGGAGAGCAAAGAGAAGCTGGATCTATCAGTGGAGCGAGCATCAGTCCGCTAGATAGGCGATATGAAGTCGTCATGAACTTATGACAGATGCACCTCCATAATTGTGTCTGGTGGAGTACCACATGGCGCATCTATATATCTCGGGGTCCTCAAAACGCCACCCGATTGTAAACTGGACCTGGCGCTGTGGAGGGGTCATCTATAGAGCACTTCAATACAAATTACTGTGGCCTGCTTTAATGCCTCGATCGTTTGAACGAATGAATCCAAGTCCAAAACTTCAATCCCCAGTCGCATTCCGTTCGCAGAAGCTCGAGAGACTCCCCGCGGGTCTCGTCTCCGCCCGAGCGCAACGGCCAGACCCCCTCGTAAAAACAGATTTTCCGATTTGACTGTGCCGTCCCACTTGGAACGTTTCGAATTGTCCGTACACATCCACGGCTGTCTCACGATCTTCTTTCTCTTTCGTGATCGGCTCTGCGAGGATTACGGCCTGTCGACCCGTTACCTTTATTCCTACCTCCCCAAACCCTGTCGCGACGCCGTCTAGGGGCCGACACTGGTCCACTTTCGATAACACGCCAACGCCGCTTCCGTCCACCATCCATGTCCGTGCCGCCGCTATCTCAACTTTCTTGACACTTTCCACATCGTCGACCGTTCGGAAGTTTTGGAGGGAGGACAGACCCGACTAAAGGCCATAGTGGCCTTAGACATACGCAGAGACTCTGGAAATGGAGGAAAGCCATCTGATAGGCGACGATTTGCCGCTTCCACCTGCTCGACTTTTTGAACGCCTCAGCCATCTGCCTGGATATACTTGGGATCAGTCAGTTGAGCCATTTCACTCGACCTACAGCCATTGGCATATATATGGGTTTCGCCATGCGATTGAATCTGACATATCGACCCCCATCGCAACCTCCTCCAACCCGATTTCCTCAGGGCCATCTAGCCTCACTCGTTACTCACCACGAACCGAACTTCGTCCATCCGGGCGCGTACCCCGAAGAGCTAGTGTCAGCGAAACTAGCAGTGAACTTTCGCTTTCTCGAGGTGAACAGGAACAGATATGGCTCCCCGTCGTTGCACGCGTCTCTACAAACGTCATTAGGCTCGAGCGGGAGTTTCACATGATCAGGTCTATCGTGCAGTCTTCTGACCCAGACTGTAACCATACGATAAGGCCCATTGACTTGATCCGACTGCCTCCAGATCCAGGGGACGTGGGTATGCTTCTAGTGGCGATATTCGAGTCTCCTGGCCACGACAGGTTACGAGACTTGGTCACATTTGGTCCTGCGTCCTTTGTCGCTGGGGCCAAGGGTGATAACAATGTCACTCCCAGCGAGCAAATCCCTTTACCGGCCTTCTTGGATTTCGCGATAGGTGCTTGTGACTGCTTGGAAATTTTACACTATGGAGTAAAGACGGTGCATGGGGAGATTCGCGGAGACGCGTTTCACTTCAGCGCTGAGACCGGGGCTGTGAGACTCGCCAATGTTGGAAATGGCGCACGATCCTTTGACAATGTTCTCAGTGAGGGCTGGTCCTCTGTATCTCGTGAACTTGGGGCAAAGTACAAGCTTCAGTTTATCGCCCCGGAACAGACTGGCAGAATGCCCACAGAACCGGACAGTCGCACCGATATCTACGCTCTCGGCCTTCTCTTTTGGTCAATGTTAGTTGGGAAGTTGCCCTTTGCAGGAGCTGACCCCGTCGAAGTTGTTCAAAACGTGTTGGGCAAGAGGTTAACTCCTGTCTCCGCGAAGCGACTAGATGTCCCCGATGGTCTCTCTGCCGTGGTTCAAAAAATGACACAAAAGGTGGTCCATGAGCGATACCATACGATCTCCTCCGTCAAGAGGGACTTGATGCAGATCGCGCAATTATTGGGTGACGGGGAAAGTGAAACCTTGAACAACTTCCAAGTCGCGCAAGGCGATGTATCGTCCTTTTTTACCCTTCCGTCACAGATGTTTGGGCGCCAGAAAGAGTACGATATGATCTTGAACGTGATTCAGAAAGTCAATAAACGCCACGCTGCCGCCTTTGCCAATGCATTTACCCAAAGCCCGGGAACTGCGCATGCTCTCGCCTCCAACTCTTCAATCTCCGAAGGGCGCGTGGATAGCTTCGAGTTCGCATCCGTATCCAGTGACTCCGGATCCTTCCATTTGCCACCAAGAACGAATTCTAATGCTACCAGCCACCAGCTGTCCCAAGTCAGCACCCATGATTCTGCAGCAAATAGTGACGTGACATTTCAAACCTCGAAGCAGGTGCAAACACCAACAAGCCAGGACATGTCTTCCCAGGCATCGCCCATGCCCCTCTCCAGCAAAAGGAAAAGTCCATCACATTCTCGCTCCTCTTACAACACGGACAGAGAGAGCCACCTATCTATTGGCACAAACACCAACAGTCAGCCATCTACTCATAATTTCAGCCAGTCTGAGTCCATGGGTTCCCTCTCAAAAACAAAGGCTGGAGCAAAGTATCGTCGAAGCGGGCGATGCGAAGTCATTACGATTAGTGGGGCTGCAGGAATTGGCAAGACAGATCTTTTGAATCGAGTCCAGCCAGTAATCCGCAAGTCGGGCTATATTGCCATCACGCGCCTAGATCGAGCCAAGCGAGTACCTTTTGAACCATTCGCCAAGATTCTCGCCAGTCTTCTACGCCAGATTTTCTCCGAGCGTGACGTGACCACAGATTACCATGACAGCGTGCGAGTGGCTTTGCGTCCGCTGTGGCCGACACTCCACAAAGTGCTCGATCTTCCGGAGCAACTGATGTCCCCGGGGTCAAAGTACAGCCCAAATTCACCCAAAACTTCGATTGCCCAAAATATCGCCAGATCAGATCGCGCCAAGAATGAACGGGCAAAAAGAATCCAAATTCCCGGGATAGACCATGGCCAAACTTCTGTCGAATTCTTTTTGTCCAACGCTGCCTCGAACAATATGCGGTTGATGGACATATTTCTTGAGATTCTGAGAACTCTCTGCCAGTTCAAATTGATGGTGGTATGCTTGGATGATCTCGAATATGCAGACGACGAGACGTTGGAACTAGTATTGAACATCATCCGCGCGAAATTGCCCTGCGTACTTATTCTCACGAGTCGCAAGGATGAGATTGCACCGGATAATGTCAGGTCGCTCTTTGAGGCCGAGAACTCTAACATCACGCAAGTCGAGCTTCAACCACTTAGTGAAGCAGAGATCATGGAGTTTGTGGCTGCGGCAATGCATCAGGCACCAAACCCAACGCTGACTCCTCTTTTGGCCGTGGTTCAAGAGAAGAGCCACGGAAATCCTTTCTACGTGAGAGTCATGCTCGAGACATGTTACAGGAAAAACTGCATTTGGTATTCTTGGAAGGATTCTAGATGGCTGTTCGACCTTGATCGCATATTTACTGAATTCGTGGCTCCCGTTTATGGCGAAGGACTTGGCTTGGGCTTTCTCACCAAGCGACTTCAAGAGATTCCACCCGCTGCTCGCTCTATCATGGTCTGGGGCGCTCTTTTGGGCAGCGCGTTCTCATTCTCGCTTGTCCAAAAGCTTCTCACCAGTGAATTCCTGTTCTCGTCTGACGACGACACATCTGGTGATGATCACGAGGGATTCGATCTCACCTGCCCTCACAATGTCACCTTGCTCAGACAATCTGAGGGTGACATTGTCGTTGGATTGCAGTACTTGGTCCAGTCAAACCTTCTAGTCCCAGGGAAAACCGATGATGAGTTCAAGTATGTGCCGTGCCACATAGGAAAATCCCCTAGTCTATTGTGTTTCTTTTCACTTCGCTGACATGCCCTACAGATTCGGAAACGACCGGCTTGCGCAGGCTACGCTTTCTTTGGGTGAGAGCCGCAATGTGGAGAAAATGCACTTCATAATCTCCCAAGCCTTGATGAAATATTATCACGACCATCGCAGTCGCTACTCAATGGCCCATCACGTTGCGCTCTCGTCACGTATCCTCAAATCTCGCGTCCAACGCCGTATTGACTACCGACGAATTCTGTGGGAGGCTGGACAAACTGCCGCCCAGTCCGGGGCTCGACCAAGCGCGCTTTGGTACTTCCGCCATTGCATTGCACTACTTCAAGATGACCCTTGGGATGATCGACAAGTTGACGTCTTCTATGACGAGACCATGCGCCTCTTCATTGCAACAGCTGAAATGTCATGGTCCCAGGGCCAAAATGAAGAAGCCCTCAGCTTGATCGAGGGAGTGTTTGCTCATGGCAAGGACGCAATGAGCAAGTCGAGGGCTTGGGTCATTAAAGCTAAGATTTATGCGCAGGTCGGGGATCATCATCGGTCAATGGAATCTCTACTCACCTGCCTTGATGAGCTGGGTGTCCATCTTCGTACGCCCACATCATTTGAAGAATGCGATACTGCCTATTTCAAACTTAAGGAGCATCTTGAATCTGCCGACTTGGAAGCTATTGCTCAGAAACCCATCAGCAAAGATCCGATTTTGGTCACAATTGGAGCTGTCATGGCCGAGGCAATGGCTGTCACCTTCTGGGACGACTCATTGACATTCTATCGCATGGCCATTGAAATGATGAATATCCATATCTCCCGCGGCGGTTTCACTCAGATATCCATTGGTTGTTCGCATCTCGCAATGATCTCACTCAGTCGCTTCAAAAACGAAGTCTTTGGGTTCAGGCTCAGCGACCTCTCGCTCTCCCTCCTAGAGCGCTGCCCCGAACTGTGGACTCAAAGCCGAGGGTCTATAGTTCACAACCTCTATGTCAGCCACCTACGCGTTCCGATGGCGACAACACTACCTGCACTGGAAGCATCCTTGGAGGCGTCTTTCACAATCGGCGATCCGTACATCACCCTGATCAGTATCTCCTCAATGGCAATGACGAGGCTTTATCTGGGCCAAGACATGGCTCAACTTGAGGTATTCTGCTTGGACACCGCCGAAAATATCCCGAATTGGATGCAGGACACCCGTGGGGGTGCCAGCATCATTGCAGTTCGACAAGTCGCTCGGGCTCTCCAAGGAAAGACCGAGTATCGGACCGCAGATAATGTTCTGTCGGATGATGAGCACAGGACAAGCGAATATATGGCCTACCTGGATGCCAACGCTAGTAATGTTGACAGACCCCGTGACATCTACTTTGGCCTCGCTATGATTCCTTTGTTCTTGTATGGTCACCACACCAAAGCGATCCAGGTGGGCACCCGCTTGCTTGAGACAACGCACCGACTTTGGTCCGCGCGCGTCTCCTACGTGGTTTACTTCTATCTGTCTCTCTCACTCCTGACTCTACACAATGACTACCCTGCTCAGGGCTACCTTGACGGTAAAATGGACACGGTCCTTAAGTACAAGGCCGAGATTGATTTTGCCCGAAGTTGTTCCGACGCAAACTATGGCATGTGGGCGCTGCTGCTTGAAGGTCTCATTGCCGAGGTACGCAGCGACCACAGCACTGCTATTCAGTCTTATGAAGCTGCGATCGACCACTGCCAGGTTCATGGATGGCTCCTGGAGGAGGCACTTTCCCTCGAATTGCAGGGAGAGTTCCTTGTCCGGCGCGGAGCTAAGAGAGCGGCACGTTCTGTGATGCAAGAGGCTATCTCCGCATGGAACTCCATTAGTGCCAATGGCAAAGCTGCCATGGTTGCAGAGAAACACGAGTGGTTACTCAAGACAGCAACGTCCGCCAGGACTATGGATACTGGGTGCCAGACGGTTGATTCACTCCTCGAAATTACCCGCGATGCTGTCCAGCAAGAAATTGTCATTCCCTCGCAAATTGAAGAAGAGGATAGACATCATCGCTGGATAGAACAGAACGGCGTTACAACCGGCGAGAGATCACTGGATATTTCAAGCGTGGGTCTCGACATCATTGATCTTTCCAGTATACTCGAGTCTAGTCAAGTCATGTCATCTGAGCTTCAGATTGAGAAACTCTTCACCAAAATGTTGGAGATCATCTTGGATTCATGTAACGGCTCGGACTTTGCCGTTATCGCTACCGACTTCGACGAACAGGGCTTTGCAATTGCTGCGGCAGCGGATGCTGAGAAGGGTCAAAAGTCTTTCCCAGAAGGTCTTCCGCTCTCAGAGCTGGAAGGACGAATGGCTCAAGAGATCACCTACTACGTCATGCGCACAAAGGAAGAGGTCCTTGTTCACAATGTTCTGGAAGACGAGCGCTTTTCCAACGTGAGCGAGAGCTATCAAGCCAATTTCCCATTGGGTCGATCCGTGATTGCTTTGCCCATTGTTCAAGCAGATCAACTTCTTGGTGTCATTCATCTCGAAGGAAAGCCCAACTGGTTCACTCAACGGAACGTCGTTGTACTGCATCTACTCTGCAACCAGATTGGAATTTCATTGTCGAACGCGTTGCTCTTCCGTGAGATTCGCAAAGTTAGTGCCAAGAACGCCTCGATGATCGAATCCCAGAAGCGGGCTCTCGCACAAGCGCGTGAGGCCGAGCAGAAAGCCAAGGTGGCGGAGGCCGAAGCTAAGCACAACGTCAAGCTGAAGGATGATGCTGCTCGCGCAAAGTCTATATTCTTGGCTAACATTTCCCACGACTTGCGCACCCCGATGAACGGCGTCATTGGTCTGTCGGAGCTGCTCAAGGGTACCACCCTCGACAAAGAGCAGGACGAATATGTTGAATCTATTCGCGTTTGCGCTGACACACTACTTACGCTCATCAATGACATACTTGACTTCTCCAAGTTGGAAGCTGGCAAGATGAAGATATCTACGGTCCCACTCAACTTGAAGGAGACGATTTCCGAGGTGATCCGCGCTCTTCGTTACACTCATCGGGAGCGAGGGCTGGAAACAATTGAAGATTTGGAGCGTGTGCCACCTGGATTGGTCGTTCTTGGTGACCCAGTCCGTCTCCACCAGATCTTCATGAACTTGCTAAGCAATAGCTACAAGTTCACTCCCAAAGGCTCCATTACCGTCAAAGCAAAGGTTGCCAGAGAGGGCAAAGGCCGTGTACGCTTGGAATGTTCTGTGTCCGATACTGGAATTGGTATTCCAGACGAGCAAAAGGCGCGGCTCTTCCGGCCGTTCTCTCAAGCGGATCCATCCACCGAACGATCATATGGTGGTAGTGGACTTGGCCTCAGCATTTGCAAGGCCATTATCGAGGATGTTCTCGGTGGTGCCATCTGGCTGGATTCAACCTTGGGAGTTGGAACCACCGTGACATTCCACCTGGTCTTTAACAAGGCGCCAAAGAAAACCGCTGTAAAGACACCATGGTCTCAGGATCTCAGCCACGCCGAAATCATGGAACCTCCCCGAGCCAAAGCACGCGACCTTTCTCACATTCCACGCGACCAAATCCGAGTCTGTATTGCCGAAGACAATCCCATCAACCAGAAGATCGCAGTCAAGTTCGTCACCAGCCTTGGCCTTCAATGCGAGGCATACAGCGACGGAAAGCAAGCCGTGGATGCCCTACGCGCAAAGTCGAAAGAGGGCAATCCCTTCCACGTAGTCCTGATGGATGTCATGATGCCCACTCTCGATGGTTACAACGCCACCCGTGAACTGCGGCGAGACCCAGATCCCAACGTCAACGAAGTGCTCGTCATCGCCATGACCGCCAGCGCCATTGAAGGCGATCGAGAAAAATGTCTCGAAGCTGGCATGAACAACTACCTTCCTAAACCGGTGCGATCCCCAGTTCTGAGCGAATTGCTGGACAATTATCTCGCACCGGTCCCATCCCACCCTCGCATTCGCTTGGCGATCCGCGAAAAGAGCTCCAGAGGCAGCATTGGCTTTGATGCTGGTACGCCTACCAGTTTCTCCTCGTCGGGGTCGGATGAAGCTCAGAAGCATCCGCCTCCGCCTACATCGGAGCAAAAATGATTTCACGCACTTACAAATGATACCCTGCATACTTGCACTAAGATAGAGGTGATGAGGCGTCTAGCAATTGGTTTTTTTTTTTTTTTTTTTCTTTTCTTTACATTTCGATTTGGTCAATTTTGTTTATGATCTTCGAGCTCGCGGGCGTCAAGTGCACTGTTTTCCTTGTGTTGTTTGATACTCTCCTCGTATGAAGCTTGTTTGGCGCTTCTGGATATTGTTTTGGTATGGGTTTATGATTCGACTGCATCCGTCTCATCTGTTGCATGATGGGAACTGCGGTCTTTTTTTAGGATTAGGAATGTACAGCAGGATTGTCATCTCGCCATTATCATTTTACATGTGCTTCCTCCGTGTATGCCCTGGATTTGGTTCGTTTTCCCCCTACGATGAAACGAGAGAGATTTACAAAACGAGGAAGTATCAAAGCCCGTGAATTCTCGTATGGAAAGGAAATGAAACCAGGTTGATCTGCATTGGCCTTTCGTCACGTAGAATCGCGTGTTGGTGCTGTACAGCCACGAGTAAGTGGTTTGAACAATCGACACCATTCATGTTTGGGCTCCATCGGGTATTATTGCATAGCCGAGTCTACTGTTCAAAAAGTCCGTCCAAGTCTCAATTCATCAGAGCTTCATAAAACCCATATAGAGACAGGCAGATCCGACCTCAATCTGAAGCTCTATCATGTGTCAATGGAAACTCTGAAGAAAGTCCTCATCACCAGTCTGCATTTTTTGTTGGTGGGCACAGTTTCAGCCTCAACCTATTAACACCTGACACGAGATACCCTGGCCCTTTATTTGATCCTGTCATGGATATCTTCAGAGATGGTGGGTATCTTTCAGATTTGGCCCACCTATCACATGTCTCTGAGAAGCTTGTAGAGCACCGAGGATTTCCAATGTGTATACTTGGGAAGCCCATTTTCCAGTGGGTGGACAGCAGCTTCGCTGTCCAATGCCAAGCATATGACAACATGGAGTCCTGTCGGTATTAGAGCAAAGGAGACCACCACCACATGTAGCTGGCAGATTGCGATATATCCCCATGATGCTCACCTTTCTAATCCCCTTTGGGTGGTACAGGGTGGTGCATTTCAAAGAACTTTTCCAGGGGGCAATCATTCGCTGCCTAGTCCCCGAGAATTCGTCTTCAATGTTGATTACAAAGCTAAGTCTCAATTGAGGAATCCTTGAGGGGATGATTTGTCTTTATATTTTTGATGGTTCATGATTGAGATGAAGTAGAGAGTGCCAGTTACGTTACCGTTGCAATATTGACTGAATCGTTAGGCTGGTCGTGTAACACCCCCGGAACATCTCTCGAGTCTTGCTGCGGCAGTTGCTACAACTCACGAATCATTTGGATGAGGTTTTTCCTATCGGCCATGGCTAGCAGAACATCCTGGAAGTGGTTACCCTTCCGTTTATGGGAATCTCCTGACGTCGAGGAGAAAGTTCGTTGCCTGAAAAATGCGATAATGATATTCCCACTATGAACAGACGAGGAAACATGAAGATATGATGTTGAATCCAACTCATGAACGAAATACAACGAAGCATATGATTGCCCTCAGAATCTCGAAAGGATTCTCCGTAGTCAATCACGCAGCAAGAAGTGAACTGCGCAGCCGGACATTTCCGGTTCTAAATAAACGCCACTAATGCCTTCGTGTCGTGCAATGGCTGTGTTGATGCGATGGGAAAACAAGAAAAAAAAGCACTTTTCTGTTTTTTCTATCCGGTAGTGGTATTGGTCGCGGTTTTCTCCAGCTCCTTATACCTCCACTCGTACTGTGCCAATTGCCTCTTGTCAGTCGGCAAGAGGCTCTTTCCCCTTCTCCGCTAGCTCCTTCTCAAGTTGTTTGAGCATTTCCCATCGTTTGAGTATCTTTGCCTGGGCCTCCGAGATAGATGCGAGATTGCTATCCTTGGAAGCCATGCGCTCGTCAATGGTGGAATGGTATGACAGCTTGGCGTGGAAGAGGGCCATCTCGGATTCGTCATACTTGAGGCCTTGTGCCTCGGGCACCGCAGAAGTATCTTGAACTGCCTTGGAAGGCATTGCGGGGCTATCGAACAGACGAAGTATAGATGGAGATGGGTTTCTCTGGAATCCCAGCAATGAATTCTGGTTGGGGGCGATTTTTGGCTTCGTCCGCAAGATAGGAAAGAAAAATGGGAGATAAGAGGGGAAACAAGTTCTACTAAAACCCCCCCAAAGACGTGAGTATAAAAGACTTGAGCAAATACGATGAAACGACTGGTTCACGGGAGAGATGACTTTGCTTGGTGCAAACAATTAAGACTGTAGGCCAAGAGGAGCAACATCAAGGAAGAACTGGAAAAGACTGAATATGGATAGTTCTAGAGAGGAGCATGGGCAAGAAGGCGATCCATACCTCCCTATTATATCTCAATCAGTCGCGAGTTAACCTTCATTGCTCTTCTCGAAAGAGGTGGCCCTCTAGTGCCCAACAAGCCCCTCATCAGGGTGATACCAAGGGGTAGGAAGAGGCGACCACACAATCACCCCATTGCGGCTATAGACAGAACCAAGCTATTCTAGAAGATTAATTCGATGAAGGCAAAGGCTGAATTTACGAGGTCTGTCCATCAGACTGGCCTTCTCCAACCATTTCCTTTGTTCGGGACTCGAGATAAATCCAGCGCGCAAGGAGCAGTGGCGTTCTGTTTGCCTTGCCAAAAGCTGAGGGCGTAGAAATTGTCTCGTGATGACGATTATTGAATTCATTGACACCGTTGCGGTACTATCTCTACTGCTTATTGGTAGTTTAGGGTGACACAATTTTTCTCTACCGTCCGCCCAACCGGATATGCATCGCCAAAAGAATCTGCTCGAAGGAAAGACCTGGGCGATGCAGCAATATCGTCTCAGTCCGTATGGCCGTGCGCACATATTGAGGCCTGTGTGTCAGAGTTAACAGTCGCCAAGTATAGAGGCGTATCTGCAAACCCTGAGCAGCTGGTCTCGGGCAGTAGAAGGCGATCCTCCTGGCTCCTGTCTAGATTCCACTTTTCACGAACATGGACAGACACCTGAAACGGCAAGGTTCTAGGTTAACCCAACTAGTCATTGCCACGAGGAAGATGAAGAATTGTAACAGCGTTGCTACTCAACCGATAAAGGCCCTCTAGTCCTCTAGTCGACCCTATGAAATTACATGAGAATACAGTTGATGTAGCCTGCCAGCCATGAAGCATACTTGCCGTATCCCCCTTCGTTTTTACCAATGGAAATAATGGAGGTGCAAAGTGGTCCACTACCCACTATCGTGTCGAGAACCTTCGATCGCTGCATAGAAGTATTAGAAGGAAAGCGCGATCTAGAAGTCTTACCAATGTACAGTGTGTGATCATCTAAAACGGCACGGATGCAATCTAACGCTGTGTTGCCCCAAGGAGAAGCAAGTGAACTACATGAATTCCGAGAGCTTTCCCTTACCGGCAATTCCACGAACATCTGGGTATTACCTGCGGTATCCGAGGTAGCATACAGAAGTTTTTGTTCCGCGGGTTCCAAGCCTCATGTGGGATCCTCGCAATGCAGTAGTCGGTCCACCTTGCTGCTCTTCCAAAGATACATGGTACTTAGGACCCTTTGGAAGCTTCTGGATACGAAACTATTTAGTCTTCAGTTTCAAAAGTAACGATTATCTCTGACATGCTGTGATGAGAGGAAAGCGCTCGGGGAAGGTGAGGATGGAGGCAAAAGTGTGACTTAATTCGGTACCTGATCTGTGTTACCATGTTTACCGACATTATAGGGGTACTTCATGAAATTTAATTCAAATTCAGACCAGTCATAAAAGTCCTCGGGGAGAAACGCCAAGATACATGCTACTTGTACCTATCATTCTGTGCTCAAGATAATGCCTAGTATCTGTCTTCGTGCTTAAACAAATGAGCTCGAAGCACGGCCATTGAATCCTTGTTAGCGACCCAGACTCACTTGATCCTTGCTCTCTCCAGACTATCTAGTAGGGGCAATAGAAGACGGAAACTGTGCGACAGAACATGCACTCCTCCCGACGGATAGGCGCAGCTGCGTCGGGTTCAATTTTGTTTCATCCATTGCGTCTGGTCATTTGACCTCCGAAGGTGTGTGGTATCGAAAAAATCGATCTTCCGAGTTGAATTAGCCCGACAGACAGGATGCTAAGAACCATACAGTGTACTCTATCATGGAAATCTTTCGCATATACAACGATTGCACTCGAGGAATCTATGGCTCCGATAGAGGCAGATCCTCAATTCCAACCAAGCACTACGAATGGAGATTGATTGATATTTGACAGGGCCCGAAGGCCCAACAACCGGCGAGCAGAAAGTGAGAGGGGAGGCTGAAGCAGGAAGACAAAGTTTAGTCGATTTGGGTTATCTGAAAGAGAAGAGAGAGACGATGGCGAAGTATCCTTCGACCAGTCACGTAACCAGTTTGGTATCCATGTGTAATGGATGGTCCATGAAGGCATAGTCAGGCTAATGGAAGTTGATAAGTATCAGAACCTAGAACTGGCTTCTTCATCTCTCGTTGCTGCGAGTCTCTCCTTCTTGGCCTTTTGGATATCCAGTGACATCTTGACAGGTCGAACTCCGGGTGTTTCAAACACACTATCAATCTCCTCCAAACTCAAACCAGCTGTCTCAGGGAAGATGAAGTATGACAAAATGAGTTGGATGGTGTTGTAAACAATATAAACCACCCAGATTTTATACCCAACTTTGGCAATGCCAACGCTGATGCCATATGTTTGCACTGCACTGGCACCGCCCTGGATCAAACTGTACAGACCCATTCCCTTCGCTCGAAGAGGCAGAGACAGAATCTCGACGGGATACAGATTATGCATGGTCGCGATAAAGGTTGCAGAGAAGGTCTGATAGAGGAATATCCATAACAGTGTAAGTGCTGCAGTGGCTTGAGTCGCATGGAGACTGTATTGCCATGATGTAATGGTTGTTGCCGTCTGGAAGACGACCATACTGATCAATCCCGTAAAGATGAGGGTTCTTCTCCTAAACTTATCGACCAGAAGAGAACCGACGGCGGTGAAAACGAAGTAGACGGCTGTCGTGCCGATAGTGATGCCCAGTGGTCGTTTCGTACCTGTAATTCCGACAGTCTTCAGCGCATCAACCATCTGGCGAAGAATATAGATTAGCAAATTTGAACACCCGAATAATGGGAAAAAAATCAGAGCGCACATAATACGTGAGAATCGATCCACCATTCCACTGTTGGAATAGAGAGTACAAAGTCAAGACCAGGAGGCGGTATCGAGCCATCTTTGTGAAGAAAACCCGATAATCCCAGAATGCCCTGAATCCAGTGCGGTCGTTCTCCAGTGATTCCTCGATTTGAGATACTACAATCTCAACCACTGGCTCATTGATGTCAGTGCTGGTCGTGTGATACTTGGCCACAATCTCCTTGGCCTTCTGACGGTTTCCTCTCATGACATAGTAACGAGGTGACTCGGGTGTCAAGACGTAGATAGTGAGGCAGACAATCGCCGGGAAAACGGCTTCGAGAATGAGAGGGATCCTCCAACAATTATTTCCGGGGAGATTCGCCAAGCCAATCATGGCGCCCAACATTGTGAGACTTCCAACCTGGAAGCAGGCACCGAAGAAGCCAACCATCCGGCCACGAAGGTGAATTGGGGCGATTTCACCAATGTACTGAGAGCTGGACATAAGGGCTGTGCCGAATCCCATGAAGAATCTACCAGCCATGAAGGCAGGAAGATTTGGTGCACAGCCTTGGAGCACAGCGGCGAAAATCACGAGTGCGTTTCCCAAGAAGTTGATTCCACGACGTCCGATGATATCAGCGAGGCCCATGAATGGAGCACCACAGACCGTTCCGATGCTCATCAGCGCATTTATCAAGCCATATGTACTGCCGCTAGTGCCGAAGCCAAAGTATTCGTGCCAAGGGTCGAGGGCATTGATACCGCTGATTACGCCCCAGTCGATTCCAAAGCCGGCTTGATTGCAGCCATGCACAAACATGATGAGGGCCAGGCGGAATCCAGTCCATGACCAAACGGTGAGAGACTCTTGGGATAGCTTCCATAGATCCTCCTCGGTCAAGCGTGCTAACACCACCTCTTCAATGTGCTCTTGTCCCTTCTCCTTGAGCACATCGGCCTCGATGACACCGGGGGTATCCGTCCTCGCCATTATATCAAGGCGTAGGCGATCAACGTCGCTGATTGATTATCGAGCGAGAGCCAAGTAAAATAAAAAGTATGTTGAGAGTTGTGGGCCAAGAAGATATTCTCGCAGTCGGGCCTATGCAAAAAGCAAGGGGGAGGGGGCTATCTCATGGTATTTCTGCTCCGGCGGCTATTTTGTAGCTTTAGCAACCCGAGGAAAATGTTCATTCAAGAGCAAGCCTCATGATCACTCCAGCCAATTCTGCCACGGATATGCACATAAGCCGAGTCAAAAAGGGAAGCGCGTGAGCTTAATGATCAGGTTTGGTCGATCCGCCATGTGGAATGAGCTGGTAAAGCAAATATCCGCTGGCTTTTGATTGCCGCGGTGGAATCCTAGCACGAGTCAACGCTGGTCTTCTTCCGAGGTGGAACTCGTTTCGCTCGTCCTGACTGGCAATCTAAAGCTTTGTTTGCAAGAAACGCCCCGATTGGCCCTTTGGCTCTTAGCGGCCAGCAACGAATTGCCAAAGATTCTCCACCACTGGCAAGCGAGTGCGGGGAACCCAGTCAGCCTGGCGGGCCTGGTGGGCCTGGCTGGCCAGACCGCGATAAATGCGGAGGACTCCGTAGATTGATTATGATCGTGGCTGGATATTTTTGCTCGTCACGCGAGTTGAGGAGTCTGGCTTTAAGGCCTGTCTCCAATTCGGAAAATCCGGGGGCTGACGAGAAATTACCCGAAATCTATCCGAGAGACGCTCATTGGTCTAGGTCCAAGTTAGGCAGGATAACGTGCTGATCCAATTCCCCTATTAGCCTAGACCACAGGGCGTCTTATTGTGTGTATGTGTAAAGCTGCTATCGACTCGCCTAAATGCCACACCACCATATCTCCGGCAATGGGACTCCTACGATCAAACCATCTCGCTTCAGGCTGGCGTCGGAAATCTTAGAACTCAACAAGGTCATACGATGAGCAAGCTTTGGTACACGCAGCCCGCAAGCAACTGGAATGAGGCCCTTCCGGTGGGAAATGGGCGCCTTGGGGCCATGGTGTATGGCCGCACCGATCAGGAACTTCTTGCCTTGAATGAGGACTCCGTATGGTACGGTGGCCCCCAAGACCGGACTCCTCACGATGCTTTCAAATATCTTCCGCAATTGAGAGAAGCTATTCGGGCAGAAAATCATGCCGAAGCAGAAAGACTGGCGAAACTTGCATTCTTCGCCAACCCAATCAGTCAACGACACTATGAGCCTCTTGGTACCGTGTTCATGGACTTCGGCCACGAACCTGATCGGGTAACGAATTATCACCGCGAACTAGATCTCGATACTGCCACAGTAAATGTAACTTACAATTACTGCGGAGCCGAATATCGACGACAAGTTATAGCAAGCTATCCCGACGATGTTCTCGCCATCCAAGTGCTCGGTCCGCCTGAAACAGAGTACGTGGTACGGTTAACCCGTCTGAGTGAGCTGGAATTCGAGACAAACGAATACCTGGATGATGTTGCCGCTTCCAATGATTCCATCACCATGCATGTTACGCCGGGAGGACGAAATAGCAATCACGCTTGTTGCATACTTCACGTTCAATGTTGTCAGGGGGGTTCAGTCACGAGAATCGGAAACAATTTGGTAGTCAATGCCTCAGAATCTCTTATTCGGATTACTTCACAAACAACCTTTCGTCACGAGGACCCAGACAAGGAAGCATCTGAAGATCTCGCAAAGGCACTGGGCTATGATGCGGGACAGCTATGGGATAGGCACATCAAAGACTACCAGTCACTGTACAACCGGATGCATTTAGAATTATGGTCCGATACGCCAAACATTCCAACAGACAAGAGGTTATTGACCTCTCGGGATCCCGAATTGATTGCAACATATCACAGCTACAATCGATATCTGATGATATCATCCAGTCGCAATGGAAGCAAATCACTGCCTGCCAACTTGCAAGGAATCTGGAATCCTTCTTTTCACCCGGCATGGGGGTCCAAATTCACAATCAATGTGAATCTGCAAATGAACTACTGGCCAGCCAATGTGTGCAATCTTTCCGAGTGCGAGATGCCGTTGTTTGACCTCCTTGAGCGAATGGCAGAGTTTGGAAAGAAAACCGCTCAAGTCATGTATGGTTGCCGAGGCTGGACTGCCCATTCCTGCACTGATATTTGGGCCGATACTGCTCCCGTGGACCGATGGATGCCAGCGACCATTTGGCCCCTTGGAGGAGCCTGGCTATGCTACCACATCTGGGAGCACTTCCAGTTCACGCAAGACTCTCCTTTCCTCTCTAGGATGTTTCCAATCCTGAAGGGATGCGTGGAATTCCTACTTGATTTTCTGATCGAAGATGCCTCTGGCAAATATCTTGTCACGAACCCTTCAGTCTCGCCCGAGAATTCGTTTTTTGATCTGAAGGGCAACAAAGGGGTGCTGTGCGAGGGATCTACCGTGGACATCCAGATTATTCAGGCGATTTTGAGCGCTTTTGAGTCTTGTGCAGATCAACTAGGCATTTCAGACTCGCTCCTGCCAACAGCTCGTGAAGCACGAGCCCGACTTCCGCCGATGAAGATAAGTGATTCGGGGTATCTTCAGGAGTGGGCTTTGGACTATGGCGAGGTTGAGCCGGGTCACCGGCACACTTCACACTTATGGGCGTTGTATCCCGGGAATGCGATTGTCCCAACAAAAGAATCCGAACTGGCCCAAGCTTGTAAAGTGGTGCTGCGTCGTCGTGCTGAAAATGGTGGCGGTCACACGGGCTGGAGCCGAGCTTGGCTCATCAATTTACATGCTCGCCTATTCGACGCAGAGGGGTGTAGTAGACATTTGGATCTGCTTTTGTCTCAATCTACCTTGCCGAATTTACTCGACAGTCATCCGCCATTCCAAATTGACGGCAACTTCGGCGGGGGCGCAGGAATTATTGAGATGTTGGTACAGTCTCATGAGCCAGGGCTGATCCGACTACTTCCGGCTTGTCCCAGGGATTGGAAAGGGTCCATTCGGGGAGTTCTGGCTCGTGGAGGCGTGGAATTGGCGTTCAGTTGGGATAAAATGTCTCTTCTCTCGCTGACTGCCATAGTACCCGAATCGGGTGGGAAGTTTGCCATTTCCTTTCCTGATGGGAATGAGACTCGGGTACGAGAAGTTAAGGGACCTGGTCTGCATGTAATTATCGAGGCATAGATTTATAGAACTCGAGGGCATAGAAATGTGAAGTGAATCACTACTGGGAGACACATGGACCTGGTATCGTAGTTCAGTTATTTTCTCGAGATCTGTTTTAATGTCCTAATTGAAAGCGCCGAGCTTGGTTACGAAGGAAATAAAAACTGACTCATTCTCCTTCGAACAGTCGATTCCATGTGTTCGATCTACATACTGTCCCAAAGGGGTATTCCTGCGGCCAGTAGCTATGATCCCTTCAGCTGAGAAGGCATATCTAAACAGATCTATACTCCCGTGTACCAACTTGATGGACGATCGATGCCTTTCTCGCCGACTCTCAGGTACCCGTCTCGTCTAAGCTACAAATCATCATCTTCAGCCCTATCTGGCTACTACGGTCCCTACAGTCTACTGAGATGGAGTATCCCAACACCTTTTTGGTGATAAATCCTAATATTAAGGATGTAGATTTAGCACTTCTCTCTGCCCGTTGGCCCGTTATGCGGTCATCTTTCGACATGTTGGAATACTCATTTTGTAACAGCTATTGGATATTATGTGATTGATTACATTGATTTTGGGCAAACCAGGTTTCTACTTTTCCGAGGTGCCCCCATCCCACTTCCCCCACTTAATCCCCAGTCGCTCGGCTTTTTCCCAATTTGTCACGGAAGAATGCTCCCGCTTTGGATCATGGATAAAAGGGAAGTGGGTTTGAGAAACCCTGCACTATTAGCCGCAAAGTAGCTCAATCTTTGCATTTTCCAGGAACGATAAGATCTTTAAGAGTGACAATACCATCCATAGCACCACTCTAGATCAAGACCTCCCCTACTATACAAAGCACAAAGCACTAAAACAACCAATATGGACTTGAAATCAGTTGAAGACCTGAAAGATGTCCTTCGGCCCGATTTCTTCCATGGATACGCTACCGCAGCGGCACAGATTGAAGGCGCCTGGGATAAAGACGGCAAGGGAGTTTCGATCTGGGATACTTTCGGCCATACCCCCGGCAAAGTCTCGGATGGGAGCACGGCCGACGACGCCGTGCGAGCGTACGACTTTTTCCGTGAAGATGTGGCGCTCATGAAGTCCTATGGTGTGAACGCCTACCGCTTCTCTCTTGCCTGGTCGCGCATCATCCCATTAGGCGGTCGTGACGATCCCGTGAATGAGCAAGGGATCCAATACTACTCAGATCTTATCGACGAGCTCATCCGCAATGGTATCACTCCGTTCGTTACTCTTTTCCACTGGGATACTCCTCAGGCATTGGAAGATCGTTATGGGGGCATGTTGAACCAGGGATCCTACACTCCCGATTTTGTGCGCTATGCACGAGTCTGTTTCGAGCGATTCGGCGATCGCGTCAAGCACTGGATCACTTACAACGAACCAGGAGTTTATACACTCGCTGGTTACGCTGCTGGCGTGCATGCTCCCGCAAGATCCTCATTCCGTGATCGCAATGCCGAAGGCGACTCGTCAACAGAGCCTTTTATTGTCGCGCACACGGAGCTGGTGTCCCATGGCCATGTTTCTCGGATGTACCGCGAGGAATTCCAGCCACACCAGAAAGGCACCATTGGGATCACTCTTCACGGCAACTGGTCTGAGCCGTGGGATGAGGAAGATCCCTTAGATCAAGCCGCCGCTGAACGGGCACGCGAATTCGAAATCTCATGGTTTGCCGATCCTTTGTATAAGACTGGCGATTATCCCGTATCAATGCGTGAGCAACTAGGCGATCGGCTGCCACGTTTCACGGCCGAGGAATCTAAGCTTGTTCTTGGCAGCTCGGAATTCTATGGCATGAACAGCTATACGACATTTTTCGTGAAGCACAAGACCACGCCACCTGATATCAACGACCACAAGGGCAATGTGGAAAGCCATGATGAGAATAAACAAGGTGTCTCCCGGGGCGAGGAAAGTGACACACCCTGGCTTCGCGCCGCGCCTGGCGGGTTCAGAAAATTGTTGAACTGGATCTACAAGCGATACCAGATGCCAATATATGTTACCGAGAATGGCACCACTGCGAAGGGAGAGGTAGCTCCGACACCGGAGGTTCTCAACGACACGTTCCGCATCAGCTTCTTTGAGGGTTATGTCGGCAATGCATTGGCTCGAGCTGTTAAGGAAGATGGTGTTGATATTCGATCATATTTCGCGTGGACTTTCACGGATAACTGGGGTAAGTCACTGTATCTACTTGATCAAATTGAAAAATACCGGATCATCTGACTGACTTTGTGGTAGAATGGGCCGCTGGGTATTCGGATCGATTTGGGTGCACATTCATTGACTTCGAATCGGAGGAGAAGAAGCGCTACCCTAAGCAGTCTGCTTACTATTTGGACAAGCTGTTCAACTATTTGATTCGACGGGCATAGAGGCTCGGCTTCAGGTTCTGTTCGTTTGCTCCAAACGGCAAGAATTTTGATATTGGTACAGAATAGAGGACCAATATGTTATAGCAAAATCGTTGCAGCAGACCTAATCCAAAATCACCTTTTCGGCTGTTAGATCTACCAAAAAATTATGAATATGTCCCGGAGGTGATACGATCTGTTCATTCACAGAGCAAGATTAACGGAGTAAGATGGAGTTGATTTCCAGGCTTCGAATATAAGCCTAGTAATATAGTCCATAACGGATCCGCCGAAATTATTAGTAGCCTAACTAAGCGGGAGTCGGCGCCGCCGAATTGCTATAGCGAGACCTAGGAGTAGTATGACACGGACAGCTAGAGGACCTAGTACCAGGTCTAGGCTTAGGTTAGCAACTGCTTCTACTACGATACCTATATAGAAGCTATTGCCGTCAGTTTCGGGGTCACTAAGACCTAGACCATTAGACTAAGTGAAACCTTTCATAAGGTCCTCGAGTACTCCGTACTCCTTTAAGTTTATATAGGGTCATACGTATAACTTGACTAATACCCGCACCTATCAGTGGAACAATAGAACATAGATGCTATTTAATCTAGTATCAGCCCTTGATATCCTACCACAACGGCTATACAAACTACTAGACCCACACCTACTGCAGTGGTGGCCTAGGCTAACCTACTGATTTATATTACAACCACAATTAGGCCTTTACCAACGTGAACGGGGCCGTCTAGGGCTCCGGCACCGTCAGTAGCGGCAATTTAGCATACAACAGTGGGTGCGAGGTGTCTGACCACGCAATGCCAATATGGAAATTCTGGTGGTCTTCTCTGGCCCAATTCGAACTAGGCAAGACATTGAAATCCATTATCTAGAAAGCATCTTGTTAGGATTAGGTGTCAAGCTAAGAGGTAGTTTTTACCACGAAGACCTGTGTGATGATGTGGAACTACGGGTTATCCACCGATCTGTATGGAAGTGCTTGTTCATGTAGTTAACCTCTTCTAAATTGGTGATTCAGGAGATAGTCAGCAGTTTAAACCTTCCTGAAATTTCACTATTCCGTGTTCGGCGAACCAATCATCAATCGAGTGGACGACGCGATATGGAATTGGGGTCGTCCCTTCTGAGGCATCAGTTGCGGGAATGGCTCGTTGGGGTAGGTCGTTGCGATGGCTTTATCGGCTAGCCCCCGCACGACTCCAACGAAACGAAGCTCGGCTCGGCAGTCAAATGGGCCGTGTAACCGACGATAAATGGCGAGACATTCTTCCTGAAGATAGTTTGGGAACCTCAATAATCTAAGTGAAGGGCGGAAAAGCTAACTATAGTGATCATGTCTGACGGAGGACCAGTCAAGCTCACCCTGAGGGGTAGCCCTCAAGAGGTATGGAACATTAACACGAACGAGCTGCACTGTGGAAATGAGTTAAATGCAAAGTTCTTAACTTCTTGTATAGATCGGCGTCAAGCATGGCCAGTCATTGAAAGACCAGATCCACGACCAAATGCGTATCTACGAGAGCATGTTCGAATATACTTCAAAGCTATCCTGGCAAGAAGTCCGCGAAGTTGCCAAAGAATTTGTTTCTACGCTTCAAAGCTTGACTCCTGATATATTTGCCGAGATGGAAGGGATTGCGGAGGGAGCAGAGGTTGACATACTGGATATTGTGGCTCTGAATTGTCGAAGCGAAATCGCCCTGGGCAAGTTCTCCGATGGATGCACAACACTGTGCTGGAAGAAGCACGAAAATTGTCGTGTACTATCGCAAAACTGGGACTGGACTGCAACCGTGAAGAAAAATCTGGCCATGGTTTCTATTGAGCAGTCCGGGAAGCCTACTATATACATGGTCACCGAGGCAAGACACGATCATCTCTACCAAACTCCCTTCGAGCGATAACTAATCCTGCTTTTGAGCTTGTTTAGGCAGGAATCGTCGGCAAGATTGGTTTCAATTCCGCCGCCGTGGGGACATGCCTCAATGCTATTCGTGCCAAACCCATGATTAGCAGTAAGCTGCCTATCCACGTCGCTCTCAGACTATGCCTTGAAAGCACCTCAGCCGCCGAGGCTGTTAGCACACTGGAGAGACTTGGCGGTGTTGCATCTGCTCAGCATATCTTGGTCGCTGACAGCACTACAGCCCTAGGGCTCGAATTGTCGCCGGTGGGCAACAAATATATCCCCGAAGATGCATCAGGGCTTATAGGGCATACCAACCATTTCATCGAAAATCGATATGTGGAGGAGCCCCCATGGCTGTCTGGATCACCAATCAGACTCAAGCGACTGAGTGATCTCACAACCGAGCTCATTTCGAGTGGCGTGAATGGAGATACCATTTCGCCTGCTTTGTTGCGAGAGCGAATATTCTCGGATACCTACAATGCTCCGCAGGCGATCGCCTGCCAGGAGGACGAATCTCGTCATGTCTCAAGGCGTAGCAGTTCTTTATTTAACATTGTCATGAATCTAGATCCACAGAATCCTGGTGCTGAGGTAGTCTGGGGTCGTCCCGGCTCTGGGGAAGAAGGGCCTGTCCTCAGGATGCCTTGGTGAGGATACGACAATTCAATGTCAGTGTAAATATTTCAATCAAGGCTGTCGCCGGACCGATTCTTTTCAATGGAATGAGCTTGCATGTACTTTGATTTAGGACTCGATAGAGTGGACCTCCTGTGCATCCAGAGAGCAAAGATATGTGTCATGCAGGGTAAGCTCATCTACAGCTGCCGTGGAATAGCATAATTAAAAAGTCTTGATGAGCTTCTCTTTAAATTTCTAACAGCATGTTAAGCTACCAGTGGTGAATAAATTGTACCTAATTTAATGTATTCGATCTTGACTGGAGAAGTCAACCCTGCGAACTTCCTCCGATCAACGCATAGTAATTCCCTCGGACGGACAGGGAAAGATGCCAGTCCGTGGATCCAAGGGATCAATGGGTTGCGTTGGAGAAGGCGATCGGGTTTGATATCGCCCTTGCGATTGAAACCGTCTAGTCAAAGCAGCCCTGCTGCTTGCCTAAGATGCCGCCATCCATGGGGACACGGGCTTGTCAGACACTCCAGAGTGGGCTTGTTGTTTCCCACTTTGTGGTAGCATAAGCGTGCTAGCAGATTAAAGGTGGTCATCCGGCATCAGCCGTATGTTCTTTCAGGCGTCGGTGGAAGGGCTATGCCTACCGTCACTTTCCAGGCTCGAACCTGGGGGTTTCCAAGGGTTCTCCGAGAACATGTATATATGTGTATAACATGATTTATAAAGGAGAGGAATGTAGACAGAGAAGGGTAGGGAGATGGGGATGGGAGAGAGAGACAGGGAAGAGAGAAAGTGAGGGAGAGGGATATCACGAGAATGGCAGGATCCTCTGCAGCCTAAGGCTTCAAGGCCTCTACAGTCTTGGGAAACCTGCCGAAGAAGATGACAAAGCAGATGCAGGAAGCCAGCGAGAATAATACCAAGGGAATAATGTTTGAAAGAGCATAGCATATCAAATAGATTTGTTATGGAGTTTCCCAGGAGAGCTTAGCTCTTCCTATTTCTTGACTACTACATGCATCTTACGGTGACTATAGTTAGAGGGGAACTTACGAACAACCGTCTCCAGACATGATTTATCAGGTCTGAGTGTCAACTTTTCGTGATTGATACTTCCTCTCCTTATAGACACGGCAGTGCCTTTTGTTATCACTCAATACCGATGAGCCATTAGCAATTACGGCCTCCACTTGCCGATTGATTACATGGCGAGTTCGTCATTCTCGCCAGCGATCACGCCAAATCAAGGCACTCGATCGATCGTTCCGCACGAGTTACAAGGACGAGGATGAACTAATATTTCTTGATTGGTCATCATGTTTATACTGTAGACCAAGAGTGATCACCATACATGCAGATTTGTGATCATCGAGTACCCCCAGCCGGTTGAATCCCTGGTGCAAGATCGATCAGTTCGATCATATAAACAGCCGCGGGTATCTCCTCCGAGAAGCTTCAACAATCACCTTCGTGAGAATGGCATCAGTCGCAGATGATCCTCGAGAACGGCAGCCTCTGCTGGGCTCGCCCAGCGCTACGACACAGAAGCAGGAGGCTCACTTTGCCCGCAATCTGATTACGGGTCAGTGTCGGACACTTGGGTTGAGGTATCTGTTGGCTATTGATGGTTTGATTACTGACTTGGGTGGATGGCCCCCATTTAGGCACTGCAAGTGTTGCACAGGCGGGGATCTGGATGGCGGGTGCCCCTTCCGATGATTCTTCCCATCGAATACTAACAATTGAATAGCTGGCTGCTCTCGTCTGGTCCAACGTCTTGGCCTTGCCCCTCGCGCTCTTCACGGGACATCCCGTAAGTTGACTGTGCATCTGCTCATGCTGGCATATTCTGTCTGGTCTCTAACCAATTTACAGCTGCTGGCCAGCACGGCCCTCCTCCTGCAAGTCCAGGCAGCTCTCATCCTTCAACCAACCGCCACTCCCGACCAGAAAGTGCTCGGCACTCGCATCCACTACACCATCCAACTGCTCAGCATCCTGTGCTTCTTGAGTGCCTTCACCGTCATCGAAATAAACAAAGGCGACCACCCTCACTTCGTGTCTCCACACGGTATCCTCGGTCTGACCACGATCATCTTGGTGGTCCTCCAGGCCTCTTTCGGGGTGATCCAGTTCTTCTTCCCCGTCCCGATACTCGGCAGTGTCGACGCTGGCAAGCGAGTCTACAAATATCATCGCTGGACTGGATATGTTCTGCTACTGCTGGAGGTTTCGACTGTCCTGGCGGCGACCCAGACACCGTACAACCTGAATGCCATTCACATTTCCACATGGGGTGTTGCCATCGCGGTCATTCTGATCTTGTTAGGTGTGGGCACTAGAATCAGGAAAGGTAAATTGGGACTGGGTGATGCTTGATTCGTGAGACTGTGATGGAGATTTCTCTGCTTGTTAGCCATGCTATTTACTTTTGCAACGAATACACGAACTTTCTCGAATTAAGTGTAACTCCCTTAATATCTATTTGATCGATTTAACATGATTAATTGAACTCGAACATCGTAAGGAAGTCTTCAATCGGCATACTGTCCTCGGGTGGCCGTAATGGGCCCCGCCCAGCAAACCCGCCCGTCGATCCACTCCTTCGTTTTCTCCAACTGCCTCTTCTCCCAACCGCCCTGCCAATGGCGCCCTCTCCCTCCCCTTATATCTGCTTCAATTGCAGATTGACCCCTCGGAATGCATTGAACCGTCTCCCGTCATACCGCTCATTCTCGACGACCCGTCGTCACCAGCAGATTCTGCGTCCTGCCACTGCTCCAAAGCCCACGCCAGATGTGAAGCACATCCGCCAGAATGCCGAGCTCTACGCACAGAATTGCATAGACAGGAATTATGCCGGTCATGCAGAGTATCCATCCAGAATTCAGGCTCTATCCGACGAAGCTAGGCAGCTCGATCAGGACCTCAAGTCGCCGCGCTCGCAGATCAAGCAGCTGGAAAAGACTATCGCGAAGCTATCGATTGCGGCGCGGCAGGCTTTAAGTAATAATGGAGCGAGCTGTGACCAAGGGGCAACAACGCAAAAAGAGCTAGAGGACCTGAAATCAGAAGCGCAGCGCTTAAAAGACGAGTCGCACGCCATGACCACCCGCAAGTCCGACTGCACCGACGAAATCAACCACCTCGCCCTCTCCCTCCCAAACCTTTCATCCTCCGAGACCCCCATCGGCGACGACCCCCGTCTCGTCCACTATCTCAACTTCGACCCCCAAGCGCCACCCTCCTGGACCCGGCAGTCTCCAGCAGAGCTCCAGGCTCGGTCACACGTCACCATCGGCACCGAACTCGGTCTCCTCGACTTCACAAGCTCGGCCACCACAACGGGATGGGGCTGGTACTTCCTCATCAACGAGGGCGCCATGCTTGAACAAGCCCTAGTCCAGTACGCCCTGAGCGTAGCACGCCGCCGCGGGTGGAAAACAGTCTCCCCGCCGTCAATCGTGTACTCCTACATCGCCGAGGCTTGCGGCTTCCAGCCGCGCGACCAGCACAACGAGCAGCAAATCTGGTCAATTGAGCAAAACGAGCGCGACCGCGATACAAAGCCACCGCGCTCGTTAACGGGGACCGCGGAAATCCCGCTCGCAGCCATGTACGCCGGCCGCGATATCAATGCCTCCGAGCTCCCCATCAAACTCGTGGGCGCGAGCCGATGCTACCGTGCGGAGGCAGGCTCGCGCGGTGTCGACACAAAGGGTCTCTACCGCGTACACGAGTTCACCAAGGTCGAACTATTCGGTTGGACGGATAACCTCGCCCCCGAAGCAGCGACCGCAGCAGACAACCCCACTTCAGACACCCTCTTCGCCGAACTACTAGACATCCAAACTGAGATCCTGACATCGCTACATCTCCCCTGCCGCGTCCTCGAAATGCCCACCGGCGACCTAGGCGCCAGCGCAACCCGCAAGCGCGACATTGAGGCACTCTTCCCCTCGCGATTCCGCCCTACGCCCGGCTCCACGAGTCCCGTTGACCCTGCCGTTTCAGAACTCGAGTCTGCCTGGGGCGAGGTCACCTCGGCTTCTATCTGCACTGATTACCAGAGCCGGCGGTTGGCGACGCGTGTACGGGGCGGTACAGCGAAGGAATCGCGGTTCCCGCACACCGTGAATGGAACTGCTATGGCTGTTCCAAGGGTGTTGGCTGCTATTCTCGAGAATGGGTGGGATGCCGAGCGCAGAGTGGTTGTTGTACCTGAGGTGTTGAGGCCGTGGATGGATGGGATGGAGACGATTGGTCGGCGGGAGTAGGAGGGTTGTCCGTTGGGAGTTGAAGATTCTCCATTCCGTATTTTGTATATTAGTGTATTAAATGAGTGAGATGGTTGTATTTATACTAAGAAGATGGAACATATCATAGCCGATTCAAGGCCATTGTGGGATTCCAGTAAGCTTTCTTCTTACTACAGGCTAAATGAATCGAATACTTGTCTCCATGAATGCTACGATGATGCTAAGGAAGCTTTGCGCCCATGGTGGGATTATATTCGATATGTTATTGTACACGAACCAAGAGATGAAAATCGAATTGAATACAGGCAGGGTGGTATGCTCAGTGCACCACAACCAACCCCATGCGCAGAGAGAAGAAGAAAAGTAAAACGTCAAAGGAAAAGAGAATAATACAGTGTAGAACAGGTAAAAGGTATCCCTAGAAATCCAGTTCATAGTATCCCGCTAGGTTGCCTATCATCTTGGGCCATGGGTATCATCGCCGATTGAAAAAGTACAGAAAGAAATCCCCACTAAGTCATTAGAGAATGAGCGCTCAGCCCACTAAACATGAAATTGCTCTGATATTGTCATTAGAGCTATGAAGAACACAAACAATGGGGGGAGAAAGAGAGGAAGGGGGAGGGAGAAGAACGACAAGACTGTCGAAACCCTGGAGAGTCTACGATCATGCGGTAGTCCCATTGGTCATGGGAATACTCGCCTGATCTTGCTGACCGGTGCTGGCCTCGCCGTCAGGCATATTGGCGTCGTCCATGCCCTTCAGATCTGAGATAAGATCTTTTGAATCACCAGCGTCCATCTGGTCTGCGTCGCCCTCGGTGAAGCTCGGCATCTCAAGCGCCACGCCACTGTTCTTCTTGGCCTTTTTCTTGCTCGGCTCGGACGGGCCGGCCTTGGCGATGGCGGCGTTTGGCGGCGCAGGGCGTTTCTGCGGGCTCGAAGTGTTTCCAGAGACACCAGCCGGGGGAGGGATCTTGCCAGATGCGGGAAGGCGAGTCTTGGGAGGCATGGGTCTCTGCTTGAGGGGCAACTCGAGATCTTCAACGAGCGGCTCGTCACTATTGGCGTCCAGCTTGCCCTTGAGGAATTGCTGGACCAGCCCAATTTGATTGCCGACGTTTTCAGTGCTGATCCGAGCATAAGGAGGAGGTGGTGCGAAGGAGTCCTCAGTCTGGATTGCGGTGGTGTTTTGCGCCTGTGCCGCGTTGAACATGCGACTCGGCAGCAAATGCAGCGGCACGCTATTGAAGGCAATGCCAAACTCGACATCCAAGCCGAGTTCCTTGAAACCAAGGAAATCGTCGTTGATGTCATCCGCAAACGTTCCGGTAACGAATTGGTCGCTGCCATCGGCAAAGGCCTTGGAACCATCCTCACCCACATCGGTCAGAGCTGGGCGCAGCAGCTCAGTGAAGAGATACTTGAGGCGATCATGAGCCGACGTGAGCTTGGTGCCAAGCCGTTCAACGTCGTCCTTGATATAGAGCTCGAGCTCTTCAATGTCCATACCGACGGCAGCAAGAGTGTGAAGAACGATCTCAGGCTCACTGTACGCGGCCTTCCACTCGGCAGACGACGAAGCGTCCTCAGTCTCAGTGACGGGGACCTTTGGAGTCTCCATGTACGACTTGATAGTCTGGCCGATCTTGTGGAAGTAATCGGCGGCGATATCAGTAGCGACCTCAATAGCTGAGGGCTGATACTCCTCGAAACCAGTGTGGTAGAAGATTTTGGCGACCGATCGCTGCAGCGCCGCTCGGCATACTCCTGATGCCATGATAGGGCCGTTATCGTTCATGACGTGAGGTGGAATATCCTGTTCGACAAATGGCTCGGGATTGTACTTTTGGAATTGGTTCGCGTACATCTAGTAATTTTGTTAGCTCATATTCCAACTAAGCCAAGGAGAACTTTCTTATTCAAGTACGTACCTGAGCTTGGAGCTGCATCTGCTTCACGATGCCAATCTTAGAGCAAATCTTGCGAGTGTCCTGCATCTGCCGCATGTTGGAGTCCATCTTGCGGGACAGTTTGCTATCGGGCTGAATGAAACTTCTCGGTGGAAGAACCCGTAGGAACTCCTCAGAGGTGTCAACAATGTTTCCCTCGGAATCTTCCTTCCACGCGAGACGAGATGGGAGGTCTGGTACACCATGCATGACGTCGTAGTAATAAGGGAGCATCTTGTCCTCCTCAACTTCGATACCCTCCGCGAGCGATTCACCGGCAGCTTCGGGCTCCATCACCTGGGCACCAGCATCCTGAGTCTTCTCGCCCTCACTGGCGGCTTGTTTCTCGTGTCGCAGCCAGCGACGCATGCCGGCCTTGGTTCGGAGCAGAGCCGGCTCGTCAGGGTTGAGCTTGTCGCCCTTCAGAAGGCGATGTCTCTCGGCAGCGATTAGAGCTCGATCTTTCTTGGTAACTTGCTTCCACACCCTGTACTCGGGATCTTCGAGTTCAAGACCGGGCACCGAGAGGGCACTCAGAGCAGTAATATCCATTGTCGGGCCATCGATTTCCATAGCGTCACCCAACTGGCTTGCCGCAGCACCTGCGACAGCCCCAGCAGGATCAGAAGGAGTATTAAATCCAGGAGGCGGGGTCGAGAAGCCGTTCTGGCTTGCTTCCATGGCCGTATCGGAGTCGGCACGAACTGGACCTGGTGGCTGACTGGAAGATGCACCCGTAGGGCCTTCAGAGCCACTAGGGGTACTGCGAGAAGGAGCAGTACCTTTCTGGGAGGTTTTACCGGGGGCCTTCCGACCTCGAGAGGACATGATGGGTTCGTCGTCACTCTCCTCACCCCCATCATCGAGCTCTGCAAGCTGCATGCGACGTTCCTCAGCTTCAACCTCGGCACGGTCCCGAACGACGATATCCGGAATGAGAGGCACAAGCTTGTCGGTCTCTTTCCGCATAATCACAGCCTTTCTCCGCAAGGGATGATTTGGGTCGGTGTTGTACTTGAGACAATTCGCCCAGATAAGGTTGATATCATCCACGAAATCTTGCTTCGACCTGTAAGTAAGTGCCTTGAGCTTCTTGGTCATTGTTCCAAGGTCCATTGGGTGCCGAATGACTGTAAAGACGGGAGTTAGCGTGTGATATGACAGGTATGAAGAATAAGCAAACTTACTTTGGTGATAATCAGGCACATCGCGCTTGTTGACTTTGTTCAAAAACGGACCCGAATTCTCGGTCATGGCTTTCAGTTCGGTGAGAACCTTCTCCGCGGCATCATAGAGCTCCTCCTGGCCAATTCGATCCTCATTGTACCACTTGCTGCGGTTCTTGCGAACCTCACGGATCAAACTGCGAAGCTCAGCATCAGACGCTTCCACCATATCGCGCTTCTGATCGATCCGAGCGAGTAGGTTCTTCAATGTTAAGCTAGAGGCACCAAGATTGGTCTGGCTGAGTGTACCATGCCCGCTCGAGCCCCCAGAAGTGTTATTAGTGCCACTGTTTTGGCCAGCCATCTCGGCTTCAACCTGGCGCTCAGACTCTTCAAGCCGCTTTTGGTCCAGCATCGCATAGCGGTCATCCTCGAGAGTGTAGAAGATAGTGTGGAAGCTATGCTTGACAGCTTCCTCCGTAGCCTTCTTATCTTCTTCGAGTTTCTTTCGAATGTCCTCTGCCGTCTCCTTCTTCTGTTCCTTGTTCCCGTCAACATTGATGGAAGCTGCGGTGCCAGGACGTTGCGCCGGGAGCGCGGCGACGGTGGTGTCTTGCGACGGCAGGATGGACTTTGCTTTCAGAGGGGACTCCGTCGAATCAGGCATATCCGCGTCCTCATCTTCATCATCGTAATCATCATAGTCGTCGTCAAGCTTTCGGGCGGGCTTGGTAGGCGGCTTGGAAGGGGTGCCGTCGCATCGACGCGTTCGGGCTGAGTATCAGATTGGTCGTAGACGGCAACGACGGCGCCGGCCACATCATCCTCGGTGTAACGCTCTGAGAACAGTGCGCCGATTTTCGCTTCACTGATGCGATACAAGTCGCGAAAATGGGCCACGCGTGGGTCCTCCTCGGCCGCGATATCAGGCTCCGATGTCATACTACCAGGGATTGGACCATCGGCGCTGATAGATCCGCGCGTCTGAGGTGTTCGCGAGCCAGACAAAGTTTTGACGAAGCCATTGACCGGTCGCGGGGAATCCTGATGCTCATCCGGAGGACGAATATTGCCCGGGGGCCAGGCGTGATGACCGAGCGACATGCTCGCTCCAAAACCCCGGCTCTGGGGGCGGGCGAGACTCGATTCTCCACGCTTCGGATCGCAAGCCGAGAAATCGCAACGAAGGGGGTTCACGAGATGAAAAAGGTATGAGGTTGTAAGTCAGAGCTAGCCAACACAGCAGGCAATGTCAGAAAGCCGAAAAGCGATGGCACGGTGGAGAGGTTTGATGAAGAAGGTAGCAGCTTCAGTAAGGAAGGTCTTCTGGATGGGGATGGCTGTACGCCAACCGCCAGCCGCGAAGGCGGCGAGGCGCGGCAGATCACAGAAACGGCAGACCATGGGAGCCTGGACAAGAACAATCTCTCTGTCATCGTCGCTAGACCTATTACCTTGGTCGATTGGTTGTTTCTTTCTTCCGAGGCAAGCTGTGGGATGCATTCGTAGCCTTGAGATCTTCATATTGAGGCCTTCAAACTCACCACCCGAATCCACATATGACGCACAGGTACCAGCCGGGGCCAAGCGATCGTCGTCAGCTGTTGAACACCACCTCTTCTGCGCCGCATAGCGAAGACTTGCGCTGAGATACAACTGAGTGGAGGAGTGTGTGGGTACAGAAAAGGATTTGAAGAGTATATCTGTCAAAACCTATCACTATGCGGGTCCGCTATCCTTTCGCAGGTACGTTAAGCTGTGGGTGAGCTCGTGGAGCAGCTCTACACCGGTTCACTTCAGCTAACAAGCAATCCAGGAGCTTTCGTTTTCCTCCTCATTCTCGCGGGATACATCGGTCTTCTTCCACACAGCGCCTCTTCATCAATTCCCACAAATCTCCAACCAAATGACAAGTTCCTCCACCTCTTTACCTTCTTCCTGTTATCTGTGACCTTCTACTGGACCTTGGATACCTCCAGGCGGCGCACTCTACACATGACCCTACTGGTCTGCACACTCGGTCTAGGAATCGGCTCGGAGATTGTGCAAGGCTTCCTTCCCAATGACCGAACCTTTGACCCATTCGATGTCGTCGCCAATGTCGTCGGCAGCCTGGGCGCCGTGGGTCTGTGTGGCTGGTACCACCGCCGCATGCTAGAACGTCGTCGCAAGAGCCGCTTTGGCATGGTGGATGGTGGAGAAGAGGATATCGAGCTTGGTGTTGGAGTGGGTGACTCCCGAGAAGAGGACGGGCTGGGACCGCAAGAGTCTGGTGTCACGAACTTGGAGCAAGAGGTGGATAATTGGGATGAGAATGCCGTCGACAATTGGGATACTGAGGATGGTCCGGAGCCAACCGAGCACCAAGCTGCGCCTCCGAGCTACCATGAAAGCCAACCAGCTGGAGAAGGCGCTACGAAACGTACCGACTGATCCCTCTAGTTTTGGTTTGAGCTTTCCGGGTGACAAATTCGCGTACAGCCAGGCCTGATACTGGCTGGCGTATTTCCCATTTGATGATAATTATGGACTGATGCATTGATCGATCTCACGTTGGCATGATACCGGACATTTAGTGCTCATGTATTTTTCTCAGCGGTTGCGCTCTTTTTTCTTGTCTTTTTTTCTTGTCTTTTTTGCTCGGTTTCGGGCTCTAGCCACAGGTTTGCATAAGAAGGTGGGAAAATGCCCGGTCTTGTTCAATCTTGCTCAATGCTACAATACTCATGGATACCTATCAAGAACTCCCCCAATCAAATTTGTACAATTCAGGCTCTTTTTGAAAAACGGCGCATGCTTTGATCCCCAGCTTGATATTCTATTGTATACAAATGTTCTTTCCAAGACGTCCAACCGTTCAAGTACTCAAGTGAGAACAGCCATGGAAGACATCAGGAAACGGAAACTTGATAAAGCCGGGGACAAGCAACGAAATATGGTCGGTTTTTACGAGGTAGAGCTCTACAAAAGTGACGAACGAAGCTAAGTTGGCTGCACAAGATCTTTGCTTTAGTCGACAGATAAATAGCAGACACAACTGGACACACCGCTAATATACAGTGATTCTAATGCAAAGACTAGGGACGGGAGTCAACGGTCATAGAACTACAGAAGAGTGCAGGGGAATTCATAACAAGTGGCAATGTAGACTGGGGGTATTTAGAAAAGGCAAGAAGATACAGGGAAAGGTGCCGCAGGCGAAGGTGAAAAGAGAATAGGAAGACATGGTAGGTTAACAAGACAAGTACAGAAGAATCGAGAGAAAAGGATAATGGACAATGATAAAGGAGCAAACACACAAACACCGGATGCCATGGTATGATGCAAGAGGACATATGAGATCGGAGGTTCAGGGACTCATGATCAATCGTGACGAGTAAACAAAACGGGTTGGATACGAAGCCGGTCACATCTCATGGTAGACATAAATCCAGCCGCCAATGATACAGGTGCCGGGGGGAGAAGCAACGGGGGGAACAAGACATAGCACGCATTACTCATGGTCAGAGGGCTCGGGCATTTCAGTCGGAGTTGCAATTTGGTCTGGGACAGCCTCTAATTCAGGCTTTGATGCAGGCAAATAATCAGCCTGGTCGCTCAACTTGGGGAGCTTGGCGGATCGTGGTTCATCCATTTGGCTCCTGGGCGACTCGTTGTTCGGCCCCGGCATCTTGCCCAATTTGATATCCGTTTGCTCACGCAGCACCTCGTAGATGAATTGCATTTGCATCTCGTTGTAAACCATCATCATGCGTTGTTCACGCATCTGGTTGACCGTTTCAAAGACCGGGTCGATCTCGGGATCGGCTACCTGCAGCAACTGGCCCGATTCGAGTTCCTGAAGGAGATGGTCCAAGGCGATGAAAGTTCCCGTGCGGCCGACGCCTGCACTGCAATGGACCACACGTGGATTGTCAGGCCCCCCGGATTTGGAAGCTGATTGTTTGATCAGTTCCAGAAGCGCCTCGCGGTCGCTGCCTTCGGGCTTGGAATAATCTGCCCAACCGGCGAAGAGGAAATGCCACACAATCTTCGACTCTGAACCAATGGTTAACTCGAGCTTGCGAATCTCCGAGCGTGACTTGGCATCGAAGATTGACTCCAACAAGGTGACCTTGCCAATAGACTGAGGAGTTTCTTCCTGACTACTTTCATCGGTTACGGGCGGATCCGACTCCTCGTCCGAGAGGATCATCGAAGCTTGCTCCGTGTCCAGAGGAAAGTATTGTGCGCATTTCTCTCGGCCAGCCTCAGAGGTCTGGGTCAACATGACGATGACAGCCACATCTTTGCTTTCATGGAAGACCATATGCCAAAAGTGTGAGAGATGGCCAAGCTTGGGTCCCTGGCAACGGAGACAAAGTGTTAGTCGAGACTTGCCAACGGTAGCCTAGAACAGGGAGAGGGGGTAGCATGCCAAGGGATTTGTCAACATACCTGTGTCGCAATGTAGGTTCGCTCCTCCTGCGAGGCCGAGTCCTTCAATATGATCGGTGAGGCGTTGATAAAATCACACTTGCCCTCGGGCACCCGCAGATGGATGCGGCAGTTGGCCCATGCCTGTACATTGACATATCGATTCCGGGCCTTGACTTTGGGGTCGCCCTCGAGTGCAAATGGGTGGGCAGGATCGTTGGACAACATGGCCTCGGCCAGTCGCGTCCTCTGCATCCATTCGAGGTCTTCAAATTTGTCGTGAATCTCTACAGTTCGGTCCAAAGCGGTCAGTCAACTGGTTTTTTTTTCCCACGTGTGTGAGGCGTCCTCGATCTCGATCTTCCCCCCCCCCCCCCTTCCTTCCTTTCTATTCTCCGATAGGGCGCATGCACCCCCGCTTCCTTCACTTACCCGAGACTGATTGGCATAAGAACGGCGGGACATCGTCTGTATTCCCAGCATCCAACCGGGGATTCCCCTGTTCGCCAGGCACCCCGAGACCATCGCCATCAGCGGGCAAGCCACGTTTCCCCGTCTGAACGTTGGTATCGATCTTGATGGCAGGATGCGCCATCTTGGCGGCAGCGATCTTCTGGAATGCGCGAACCTTGCCGATCACGCCACGAGCTTTTCGGGAGACGGCCTGGCTTTTGGACCGTTTTTTGGTGCTGCGCGGGGCCGTGGAGGGGTTTGGGTCTGGGTCTGGGGAGGGTGTGCGCGAGGCTTCGGGGTTGGTGCTAATTTCGAGTTGATCGAGACCGTATGCGGCAGCCGAGACCTGAGATATCTGCAACGAGGACAGATCGGGACAGCTATAGAAGCTGTCCCGGGAAGGTGTGTCCAGGGCCAGGATTTTTGGGGAAAGATCGCGCGGGGGGGGGAGGGACTTGGGACTGGGTTTGGGCGTCGACCGGGGGCTGAAGAGCCTTGTCGCAATGGACCGGGCCAATCGTGTGACCCTCGTATAAGGCCGAAATGCGTCCGCCAGCAGATGGGCTGGTGAGGTCAGCACGGGGATTTTTCAGGGTCGTCTTCCTTGTAGAGACCAGGCAACTCTAGGAGAGAGAGAGAGAGAGAAGAATTTCAACGATCAGAGGCGAAACGGAGACGACGAAGAGGATCAGGGGAAAAGGAGGGGCGCAACCAAGTGAGATGAGGGACTGGAGAAGCGCCCGAGGTCTCCGCCGGGATTTGGGATTTGGCAGAGAGCAGTAGACCTCCCGATAAGATGGGAAGAAGTATCGAAAACAGCTGGTAGTCGAGCTACTCATACGCCGACTGAACTATATACCACGTGTACTCCGTACTGTCCATCGAATTGCTGAGAAATAAATATATAAATATAGATCCAGCCACAGGAGACGACTCTTGGTCATTGGTCGCAGTCAGTCCGTTGCCACTTGCACTCAGCTGCTTGCGGCGATCAAGGAACAGGATCGATGGACGTCACGTCGACCTGAGGGAGTCGGAGATTTCCAGGAACCGAGAGACGCCTTTTTTTTCCCCCTTGACCCCTGGGGGATCCGCTTGTGACACTCCAATCTGTAACATCCCCCATTCCGATCGGAACAGGGTTGTTGTTCCACGATCTACTTCTCGTGAAGTTGACTTACTCAACCTCCGCGCGCCAACCCCAAAACATCCCGCACCTTCGACTACCCTGAAACAATCCCACACCCAGGGCTCTAGGATCCTGAGAACTCTCGGACAACCGTCACGCATGTCGCCCTCCGTGAGCGCTGGAAGGTGTTGATCGCCCGCGTCTCTCTTTCTCGCTCTCTCTCTCCCCCCTCTCTCCGATACATGGCCCGATGACCACTGCCCAGCGTGCGCGCCCTCATGAAATGGTCTCCTCCGCGCAAGTCCTCGATCGCATACCCCTCCAAAGCGCCCCCTCCGTCGTGTCGCGACCCTCGCAGTCCACGCGCCGACACCATCGCTCGGGGCGCTCGCATCATGGCGGCTCCATGCAGTCCTCCTCGAATGATTTCCCCATCTTCACCTATACCGGCGACACCGAGATCGTCATTCGCGCCGGCGCAGAGGAACGCCGCTATCTCCTCCACCGTTTGATTTTGGCACAATGCTCGGGTTTCTTCGAGGCAAGCACAAATGAGGACTGGTCGGGTCAGACGGCTCCGCCGCGGGTGCCGGCAAAGGCAGACGGGTCGTTGTCACGCGTGAGCGAGGATTCCTTGTCGAATGGGTCAACACTAGTGCAAGGAGATCATGGGAAGGTCACGGCGCGTGTGGTCGATAAGCGGCGATGGAGATATGAGCTGGATTGGGAGACTCGTGGGAAGGATGAAGAGCCAATTCTCGTTCAAAAGGTATAGTAAACAATGCTATGCTTTCCCCGCATGGAGGGTAAAGGGGCCATGAAATCTGGATATCGCGGGAAACTAACACATGTACACCTGCATAGCAACCCTCCTACGCTCCAATGTTTGGCGGCGACCAACCTGCATTTTCCCCGACATCGACCAAACCGTCTAGCGCACAGGCAGGATACTTTCGTTCCATGGCCAACCTGGCTGGAATGCAATCGGTAGTGCATCTACCGCAGACAGTTAGTAGTAACCACAGCTCCATGGATCCGTTGATACGCGACTACGACAACCTTTTCCGCTTGTTCTATAATCACCCACCCGCGTTGAATAGCGTCAATATTGCCTCGGCCTACACGGAGTGCAAGTCTCTCCTCGCATTGGCAGACATGTACGACGCACTCCCCGTGACTGGCCCGCGAGTCGACCACCATTTGCTGGGATTCGGCTCGCGCCTGTTCAAGCAAATCGCCAAATACCCACCCAGCTACCTCAAGCTGGGATATCTGGCACGTAGCCGGGTCATCTTCACCGAGGCGTTGATTCACGTTGTGGGACAATGGCCCGCAGCCCTGCCAAACCTACGCAATGGCTCCTACGCCCCATTGCCCAACTCCGTCCTCGACTTGATCGAGGACAAATTTGAGGATCTTGAAGACCTCAAGGCCCGCGTCGAGTCCAAGCTCTTCCGTCTTACTCTCACAACCTCCCGCGGTGAACGCGTTGGGCCGTCAAATGCGTACCTGGACTGGCTCGCTGTCTCCCTCTTCCGCCAGTGGCTCATTGAAAACATTACTCCCCCACCAGCACCGATTCTCAAGAATCCATCCAGCACCCACCACACCGCTCCTCCGCCTCCAGCTGTTGCAGGCTCTCAAACAACCTCTACCAAACCTACCGCCCCACCTGACCCAACCGCTCGCGTATACAGATTGATCGGTTCCCCGTCATCACAGGCATACCTCGCCCACGACGAAGTCAAACGCTTCCTCAAACTTCACCCAACACCATCCTCCGACGCCCTGTACACGCGTGAAACCCTGAAACGCTTCGAGCGCAAGATGGACGAGATCAAGCGGCTGGCCCGCGAAATCGTCAAACCATTGATGCGCAACTTCCTTGAGCTAGAGCTGAAGAGCAGCACCGAGCAGACTACCGGCACTGCCGGCCCTCACGACACCAGTCCATCTACTGGCCTCCCATATCTAACCTGCACTCGCGTAGAAGAGGCCGATCTACCTTGGGACCTTTGATATACCTTGACAATGTGGCTGGCGTCTTGAAAACGGGGGCGTACATGATCTTTTGGCCATATACCTCGATTGGTCTATTTGCATTTTGCTACTACCATCTGGTGACTGATATGGTATTACCCTGGCGTCTGTTGGAGAATCCTTTACTCTTCCTCCTTCTCTGGACTGCTGGTTCTGCCTAGAGAAGATTTGTTGAGAATCGGCTGGCTGTACTCCTACCTATTTTCTGCTGCGATGATGTGATGTGTTATTTGATTGATGCGTGTACTGGTTTATGCGTACTACTAGTTAATGTGTCTACGATATTATGAATGATTTTTACATTACTTATCTTGAGTTAGAACAAGTATTCAGGCGTGCGTGAGGATGCCAGACAGAACGAACTTTCAAGGTTGGCAATTCCATATGTCGCTGACCGTGCTCTCCAACATGTTAAAGTTGCCATTGATTAAGAATTCCCAGCGCGACGAATACAAGGTGGAGTAACTCCCATCGATCTGGACATAATTATCTTACGGGAGTCATGCATAGCACAGAATCTACGACTTGGACTAACGTTGAAGAAATATTCTCCTATTGTTCTTTCCTTTTTTTTTCCAGGATCCCCAATAGCTGCTACGCTTAGAACACGATATGACTGCCACAAAGCCATCCATCCGGATCGTAAGGCCAGATTTCGAGTTCTCAGTCCCTCGAACCTTCCACGGCCAATCTAACACGGTAAGTGAGCTCTCAAAGTGCCGAATTTCCAATCCAATGCATCGGTGGGAGAAGGGTCATATTAGATAGGCGGACAGACCAGGCTCAAAAAACAAACAAGGGGATAGTCAGACATTTTCACGTTACGGGAGTGGAAAGGGGCAAAGTTCAAGTTCAAAGTATGAAATGGAATGTGAAAATCAACACTGTCTCAACGTTTGACACCAAACCAGGTACCAAGTGTCACTGCCAGCGCAAAGTGAAAACACAATCCATTCAGACATACCACATCCGCAATGGCAAATGATTGCCGTTGCTGTCGTCGATTGGCAGCAAAGGGATATCGGTACGATCAGATTCCTTGGGATTCGCCTGCATAGCATGAGTCATGCCACGACTCACCTTCACGCCACGTCCATATTGAGCCGGTTTGCCCTTGAGCATGACGTTCTCGTGATGACGGGCACGAACAGAGATCAAGTGAGCATAGTAGACGGCCGGGTGAACCGAGACAGAAGTTGTAGAGCGAACGTACTGGTAGCACTGCTCGTAGATCATGTTGATCAAATGCTCCGGCTTGTGCTTGACCTCGTCCAGCAAGACGGTGTAGTGGACTGGCCGGGCAGTACCCTGAAGCGCGACGTGCGAGTAGAGGAAAAAGTCCCAGCCATGAGGACTGGTGACGTCTTTGTCCACCAAAGTGCCTGGGAGGGGATTGCCATTCCTATCACCATGTGCTGGGAAAGCCCGAATGTGGTGTCGCTTGTTGGCCACGACGACGCACATCTTTCCTTTCCATTCGGCCCCTGCGGCTGCGGACATGGTCTCGCGAATGGTCTTCACTTCCTTGTTGAGGACTTCCGCGTACTCGGTTTCCGAGACGCCATCGCGGAAGTAGTAGATAATGGTGGGAGGCCTCTGCTTGCCCACCGTCTTGATCCACTGATTGAAGAAGGGCGTCAGAATGTCCCTGATGTTATTCTCGGAGATGATTTCCTTGCGGGCACCGTTCACTTCGCGGCCACCCCAGTAGCTGATTCCCTGGAGGTCGTTTGAAACGGACATCGCGGCCAGCGATGGAGTCCAAACACCCATCATCGGGTGGGTGACATCAGCTCCGATGATCATCGAGGAAGGGCCAAGGCCAGTCCCAACGGATGTAGGAACAGCACGAGCCGTCACGCCTCCAAGTTTGGCGTTGATTTTCATGGCGACATTGGAGTGCAGTTGGGAATTTCCTCCGCCCTCGCAGCGGCCTTTCTGGAGAACCTGGGAGGGGACTCCAAATCGACAATCACAGGATTTCTTGAGGCGAGCGTACTGACCAACATCCTGGGTAGCTGTTATCATGATGATCAGCTGAGGAGTCTCGCCGTAAGCTTTCTTGGCGGTATCGTGAAGTTTAGCCACTGAAGTCCCAATGTCCTCGGTCATCAACATCGACACTGGGTTTTTCTTGACGGTGCCACCGTGCAGCTTGAATACTTTGACAAAGTTGTCCCGCCATTCATCGATTAGCCGCTGGTCAAATCTATCGCGTCCATCGGGGTAATAACCAATCGCCCAGCAAGTCAGAGCATCAGAGTGTGCCTTGTAAAACTTCTTGCCTCGAAGATCCCATCGTCCATTGTGAACCGGTTGGACCTTTGCGTTTCCAAATTGAATCTCCGGACTGGGAAGTAAGCGGGCTTTGGTTTTGTACATGTCCTGCGCGATCTCCATGCCATAGAGTGCCAGATTGGGGTCCTTGTCATGTGCGAAGAGCTTCTTGCAGGTATGAATGTGATTCATACGATCCTTTGGTTTTTGTGCAGTGTACTTGATCATATCCGCTGTCATACGAACATTAAGCTTCCTGTTGTATCGCTGAAGGCCCTTGAGTTCCAAAAGCTCGGCGGGATAGACAATGTCACGATCTTGCATCTGCACAAGGCGCATGTCCGGGTACTCGAGGCTAATGTTGTACTTCGCCTTGAAATAATCCTGGACCGACTGGCTCTTGACGATGCCTGTGGCGCGGTCCGTGATGTCCAGCATGTATTCCCTTGCGCAAACGGGCATGAGCTTTCTAATTTTGAAAGTTCGGTTTGGGTTCGGGCATCCTCTGAACTCGGGGTTGACCAATAGTCCAGAAATCATCTTGTCGAGTTCGATAAATGATCTGGACAGCTCATAGAAATCCTTCTTGATTTGCGGTCTGTGAACTGGCATACAATTCCTAGACACGTCGTCTTGATGTTGAACTGCCAGGAGCCCTTTCATGACTCCCATAAGACTGATGCGGGAGAAGAAGACACCGTAGGCAGTATCTACGTTGAGCATCAGACCGCGCTGGCGGTTACTTGGTCAGCTCAGGGTCTTGAAGAAATCGGGGTATGGCAAGGTCCTCACTGGGCAAGCTCTGATTGTCTGGAATGCTCCTCGGTAGACAGTCGCAGCATACGGCAATTGGTGATGAAATTGTGGCACCATGTCAGCAAACTCCGGACCCAGGACTTCGATATTTTCGAAGAAGTATGAGCGCTTGTGCTCAAAGAACCTAGATCGAGGCTCGTGACGAAGAAGATGGTCAAGAAACACTGTATATATTATCAATATCCTCCGAATTCCAAACGGAATATCTCTCAAGGCTACGTACTGAATGACTGAATCACCTGCTCATCAAACTTTCGCTTCTTTTGCAGCCAGTCCTGGATGACCTTCACCATAAGCTTGTGCTTTGGAAGAACCCGAAATTGAACCTCCGACAGCAGAGTGAGGAATTCCCGGGACCTGGGATTTTTTGCCTCTAGTCCGCCAATTCTCTTGGGACCTTCATAGTGCTTGTATGGAGGATCGAAGGTAATCTTCTCTCTGATACCTCCTTTATCCAGGGCGTGCAAAGACCTACATTTCTCAAATAGTATTCAATAGTCAGCGGCATGGATCTTGAACTTACCACACAATGTGAGCTCCGTCATGAATAGCATCAGGGAGCAATTTCTGTCGCTCCTTGCTCTTCTCAAAACACAGCCGCATGAGTCGTTGGTCAAGGGTGGGCAGAAGTCTCTTGTCCTCTCGAGCCTGAATTTCGGCAACCACTTGGAGCTATAAACATTTTAGCCAGGACAGTATCTTCGAAGGGCATGAAACGGCTAAAGCTTTGCTCACCTCGTACATGTACACGGGTTTCTTTGGAAACTTTTGAACTGGATAGCCATTCACAGTAACATCAATTTCCTTGCCAGACGTGCTGTATTCGTTCTCCTTCTTTTTGCAAATCTCGGGCAGGGGAACAACGACACAATCCATCCATTCTTTCGGTTTCATTCGACGGCTTCCTGCTTCATCAATGTATGTCGCGTCATTCACCATACGGCGGGCTGCGTTGCCACTGTCTGGCCGGAGCTCGTTGCCCTCGCCTGTCTGGCTAGCGGCATCCGTGCTGCTCATCGTAGCCACTTGTAGGTATCCAGTCCCTGTGAAATGGAGGCCTGAGAAATTGATTTCCAGCCAATAATATTGAAGAGAAATGATGAGTATAGAGAGAACAGGATTGGTATCAAGGCTGGTAGACAGCCCCATAATCAAACAGCCTTCTTCAGGATTGTAGTCTGCGAATGAAGTTTTAAATGATCACTTACCAGCTTTGGAGAATTTAGAGTTACGATGATGTGGAGGGAGAGGGTCGAAGAAGCTCAAATATCGGGAAATATCAGAAAGAAGATAAAAGAAGTGGTTGGTGTACTTTAGAACAAGGTTGCTCGCCAATACCCACTAGGGTCTTAGCAAGGAGAACTAGAAGGACTAGGATTGGAAAGGATCAACTGGCCCTGTGTGTGCAGGAAGATGGAAGTATGAATGCAAACAAGATGAGGATGGATGAAGGAAGGAAAGAAAGAAAGAAAGAAGATATCGAAGGGAGTGGGATACAAGGGCATTTGTATACAGCAAAGAGGAAATTCCCTAGTGGACCTAGGCCAGGAATAATGGAAACAACCACACTCAAGATGGCGGAAGCTACCATCAAACATTGCTATAGGATACATTTTCCCTTTTGATGACTTGATTGAAGTATCGAACGGGATCTGAAAGGAGATACCCGTATAGGTGAGGATCAGCGTTCACAAACTACACTCGGTTGCAAAAAAAAAAAAAAAAGGTTGTAAGCCTCCATTTCTAGGTCCTGTCTACTACTGAGGTCCCACTCTACAGTAGTATTGACTCATACATGAACTACCCTGTTTATCAATGTACAGAGATATTCGGTGAACATGCAATGATACGGCCTATCGACAACAGGCTCGCAACATGTCTACATTACTGCCTTTCCGGTTTCCGGTGACAAAGAAATCGCGAGTCCACCTAGATACCCTGCCAAGGGTCCAGAAATCTCCAATACTCTTACACCTGCTATGGCCGCCAAGTCTGGCAATGGAGAAAGGAGCTTTCAGAGAATGGGATATGATTGGAGTATCTGCACTATTTGTATGGCGATGTACAGATGATGTATCAGCAGAAACTCCGCCGTCGAAAAGAAATGCTCATCCTGAAACTAAGATTGGATCACAGGGCGACCGATGCCCAAGATAACAGAAAAAAAGCCAACCAGACCGACTCCGGCAGATGCAACGGGTTTGTAAAACGATCGAAAGATTAACCGGCCACATTCGTGAGAGATGGTGGAGCGGAAGCACCACCCAACGCGATGGAATGTCATCAGGCAGGAGAGCACATCTCGCAGATTAGAAAGGGATTATCATGGGAAGTGGCAAGTTTATTCACAGAGAGGGCCCAACAGCGATCAACTGAGCGAAGAAAGAACAATTCAGCGATATGATCCTGTTAAGTTTTCAATGTTAGTCGATATTCCAATCAAACAGTATATAGGTGGACGATAAGACGTGGAGTCACTTCAGGAAACTTACCACCATACTGATTCCCACCGGAGTTTTGGGCAGCACCCAGCCCTAGCACATTGGCTGGGAGTGGTATTTGATCGGTACTAGCGGGGATTTCAGTGTGGCGCAGAAGATCGACCATCTTCTCTGGCAACAGGCGCACAATGTGGTAGGAAGATGCGGGAGGAATGATGCTGAGCAAATGGACGACATCCCGGGGTAGAGGGGCTGGTGATCCCTGAGGTTTATAACCGGACGTAGCCTGTCCATTCAACTGGGCGACTCTCTTCTGTACATCGATACGGCGGGCCTGGCTGCCCTTGAGCGGAGATTCCGCACGCGCCAACTTGCGTGGGCGATCAGAATCGTAGTCAAAGTCATCCGTAGGATAAGCGCGCTTGGGAGAATTCAAGGATGCATCCTGGTATCGTGCGGGCGAGCCACGAGTCTCCGGTGCAACAACCTGATGCATTGTTCTGGGCCGAGTCTGGGAAGGTGAAAGGATAAGGCGGACAGTCATTGGGTCGAAAGTTGGTGCTGCGTAGCGGTGCGAGAATTGCTTCAAAGAAGGATCTTCGGGGTAGAGCTCGCGCATCCGGTTCTCCAGATTGATTACTTGAACCAAGTCACCGTAGCGCGACTCATATTCATGAAGGAAAGCAAAGATGGGCTTCGCTTTGTGGACGTTCTCAGGACTGGCTGCCAATCTCCGTACAGTCGTTTCGAAGACAGCCCGGGCATCTTTGATGGAAGTTAGTAACCATGATGTAGTTTGCGTCATTGACTTCGACTTACTGATGATATCGTTGATGTCAATCAAATGTTTCAAATACTCCAGCGCAAAGTTCTCATCTTCCGGGAAAAGCTTTGCGCCTCGCTCAAAGATCTTGGTTGCCGCAGGGTCCTTGTAGCAATGGTACTCCATGAGTGCACTGGCAATGTAGACATCACTAGTGATGCGGCCTCTCTTGCGGGATTCGGCAAAGACCTGGCGAGAACCGGCTAGTTCACCTGGTTTGCCCTTGCCCTGAAGGCGGCGCATCGCACGCATCAGCGCAATCCAAGCAAAAGAAATCGTCTTGGACAGGATGTTGATCTGAATGGAGTGAGCTTTTCGAACGGCTTCAATCTGTGCCTGTTTCGCAGCCTCCTTCTCCTTTGCTTCACTTGGAAGCCCGTCGTCATCCTCGTCCTGCGTGACCTGAGCATCAGGGTTTTGTTGCGCGAAGGCCTCCTCGATCCGGGTCACATCCTGGGACTCTTGATTTCGAGCTTTATTGATCAGCTCGTAGAGGGCGTCGAGGAGTTTATCGTAAGGTTCTCTGACTTTCGCTGCCCGTTTGGAGGAATATTGCTCTGAGTCTAAGGTGACCTCAAGCCGATCAGCCAACTTGAATGCTAGAAGGCAGCTTTCCGGGTTGGCTTCGATGCCTTGCTTCAACATGTCAGTGCCATCGGTTTCCATGTCATTCAAAAAGCAGAACTCAGCAGCGTCAAACCAGACCTCTGGTACAAATCTGAGAGCCATGAGGGCCTGCTTGTAGACGTAGAGCACACGGGCCTTGAATGCAGCAGCGTCATCCTCTTTCAAAACCAATGGGTCTTCTTTCTCCCAGGAGATCCAGTGCTTCCAGATATCGACTTGATGAGCAAACTCAACATCACCCTCGGAGCCGGGAACTGGAGGCAGACGAGGCAGGGATGTACGGATGAGGTCACGAGTAATGTTCTGCAGTTCGGTGTAGGAACTTCGAGCGGTCATGTATGACGGCGACTGCTCTTGCAAGAACTTTCGGCCCTAAACAAGAAAGTTAGCAAACTTGTCTGCGCCCGTAGATCAGAGACTGAAGGCATTGTACGGTAAGCTTGTTGAGACCCATCTCAAATTGGTCATATTCCTTCCACAACGCGTTGACTGCCTGGGTAGGAACACAGATGGCTTTCTGATAGGCCTTTCGGAGCAGGTCCATCTTCTGCTGGTCCTGCCAGCCTGAACCTCCGACAGTACCTGGCCCAGAGCGAATGAACTCCACGTAATCGGTCCAGATGTTCCCGCAGTCCTTGTCCATACCGACATATTGGATAGCAAGGTCATAAGCTGACGAGATTGTCCGTCTTGCCTGTTCGCCAGTATCCATGGTCAAAGGATTCCGACGACGAACATAGTCCAGATAAACAGACCAGAGCTGAACACTAGGAATGGTGAGGAGTGTTCGGTTGAAAATCTGTTCCAGGCGGAAAAGCTCATTCAGCTCCGACTCCATAGTGGCATACGCCACCCATTGATCAGCCTGTCGATCAACGTCAGTGTATTCGAATTTCCATAAATGCAAAGTGCAGACTTACCGCCATAGGGAATTCCTTGAGGAATCGTTCGTAAGCTTCACGCGCACTGTCCAACCGGTTACGAGCTCTGTGCTCTGCAATCAACTCCAGCCATGCCGAGAGATCCCCGCGAGGATCCTCGTCAACCCTGTCCTGGAGGATGCCCACGCGGTCATGCGCCATGCGGCCTTTCGAAGGAGAGTCAGGTACAGCGGTAGGAACGGTACTGTTCTGCATGCTCGGGTCATGCGCCCACTGAAGGGAACCAGAAACAGAAGGATCGATATTGGAAACAGGAGCAGGAGAATAAGAGCTATTGGCAACATCTAGCACGGAGGCCGAGGGCTGCACCAGGTGCGATGATACATCAGGGGAAGTGGTATGATTTTGATTTCCTGAACTTGGATCTTCAGACATGGTCATAGGCATGGCATTTGAGTCATCCACCCCCAGTACCGCCGGCGGCTCGTAGTCCGCCTCCTCTTTGTCATCCTCATCCTCGTCCTCGTCGTCCTCAACGTCAAATCCCCCAATCGTTCTGGTCTGGGGCTGCGCCAACACGCCCAGGGGTGGAACCGGTGTGGATGTCTGAGACTCAGCACGAGAGGGATTCTGGGCAGTATCGAGCGCGTCACTAGCAATGCCAGTGTCCATGTCTGATGAAGCAGTCTGGTTAGGGGCTGTCACTTCTGATTCTTGTTCTTGATCATCATCATCATCTTCTTCTTCTTCTTCTTCTTCTTCTTCTTCTTCTTCTTCTTCTTCTTCTTCATCATCATCATCATCTTGCTGCTGCTGTTGGCTTTCGTCTTCTGTAGCCTCTTCTGTCTGCTGAAGGCCTTGCTCGGAGCTTTGGTATTGGTCGTCAAAGGTTCTGGAGGGGTCGTATTCGTCTTCCTCATCGAAGTTATCCACAGCTGATTCCTCAGTGTCCACGGGTACCGCAGAGTCTGATTCCGTGGCCTGGGCCTTGAAGAAGGCTTCCTCAGCTTCATTGTCCGCCATGGCTGGCGATAACAGTGAGACCGATCTCAGTGAACGAGAACCTGTGAGCGGAGCTTTGTCGATGAATTGGGTCACAAGATTGTGGAGACTGTGAGGTTAGAGAAAGAGAGTAGGATGATTAAAGTATCCCACTGAGGGGGTCAGCTCAGGAGAGTAAGGTCAGGTCAAAGCGACCAGATGGAATGGTGATGGTGATGGTGGAGATTGGGTGGAAGCTCATTACTGAATTCGTGAGTTCATCCCGCCGAGACTGCAGCAAGCTGTTCAGTCACGTGGGCGGTCAGCGCGCAAGGGACGCGAAGGCGCGTCGAGCGACGGGCTCCTCCTCGCATATTGCCCTCGTTGCGATCTCTCAGACTTCCTTTGCATTCCTTGCGGTGAATCTGTTTGTTTTCTCTTTTCACCCATCCCCCCACAGACTTGGTTTCTTCCATAAATTTCGGTTCATTCCCTCACATTGCGCCTTCAAGTCCCACTTCCGTACATAATCGCATCTCATACTCATCTACCCTATCACTATGTCCGTCGTCTCGCTACTTGGGGTTAAAATCCTCAACAACCCGGCCCCCTTCACGGCCTCCTACCAGTTCGAAATCACCTTCGAGTGCTTGGAGCAGTTGCAAAAAGGTCAGCAGTTCAAATCAAAATGTTCACCGTCTGATTTTCTAACGCCCCCGTCTTTAGATCTCGAGTGGAAACTGACTTATGTCGGATCCGCCACTTCGTAAATCCACCCGCTCACCGCGTCCGTTTGCCCCTCACTAACCAACACCTCTTGAATAGCTCCGAGTACGATCAGGAACTCGACTCCCTTCTTGTCGGCCCGATCCCCGTCGGCGTGAACAAGTTCATCTTCGAGGCCGATGCGCCTGATTTGCAGCGCATCCCTTCCTCCGAGATCTTGGGCGTCACTGTCATCCTCCTGACCTGCAGCTACGACGGCCGTGAGTTTGTCCGTGTGGGTTACTATGTCAACAATGAGTACGACTCTGAGGAGCTGGCGGCTGAGCCCCCAGCCAAGCCCGTCATTGAGCGTATCCGCCGCAATGTCCTCGCTGAGAAGCCCCGTGTGACTCGCTTCGCCATCAAGTGGTATGTTTTTATGGATTCCTCTCTTGAGTTGCCCCCGCAACCATGCAAGACTAACATTTGCTTTCAAGGGATTCCGATGAGTCTGCGCCCGCAGAGTACCCACCCGACCAGCCCGAAGCCGACAGACTGGACGACGACAGCAATGCCTACGGTGCTGAGGAGGCCGAGCTTGAGGCCGCCCTTGTCAAGGAGCTTGAGGAAGCCAACAAGCAGGGCGAGGACCAGGAGATGGAGGGTGGCGATGTTACTGCTGGCAACGATGATGACGATGTCTCGGATGCTGGCAGTGAGGACCTCGAGGAGGAGAGCGAAGATGACGATGATGATCTCGATGAGGATGAGGCCGGTGATGGCGATGAAGATGTTGAGATGGGTGACGATTCTGAGCAGAAGGATGAGTCTGGCAAGCCTGCCCATCAGCCCCAGCCTGAGGTGATGGTGCACTAAAAGCGTGCTCTCAGCCCTACTCCCTTTCCCTCCTTTTCTCTCCCCATGTTCTTGATGACCGTTAGTACGCTACGTTTATGACACCTCGACCAAACCTAACTTTACTCTTATTTTCTGGTCATTTTATCATCTCACTATCCTCTTAGTTCAACGTCGGCGTTGAAATGGTCTACGAATAGAATTTATCGTGATTTTCAAAGAAATCAGTATCTCCTCACTCTGTTGTACTCAGCTGCGGTAAGATTGAATCCATCCCGAAGGGTACGTAGACCGAGTCTCAAGGGTGCAGATCAACGTTGAAAGAGTGCATGCCTCGATACCATAGCTGTAGCTATGGTTGTTTCGCCTGTTAAATATACCAGGGCTATCGGTGTATTTCTCATCTCGCGAGCTCGAAACCCAGGTGGAGGTATGATTGACTACAGGCAATACCTATGGGAGAAATATATATGTGGGGATCGCGTGTACATATTCTACATCGAGGTTGTAAACCACAGGGGTAATCCACAAACAAACACAAGCCAGCAACACAGCTTCATTTTATAAAAAGAAACTCTATACAATCTCTGTGCAAAACCATAGTCCGCTTAAGCGAGAACCTAGAACCCAAACTTGGACCCAAGGGCTACAAAAGGTCGGTCAGTCTCATGTGCCTAATGACGCAAGGGATAATGTTGCTAAGGGAGTCTCCAAGACTACTGTACTTACCGCCAAAGACAGCCTTCCGTTTCTGATTCTGGATGTACTTGCCCACATCGCTCGCAAAGTTACTGCTATTCTCCTCCAGCCGGTCCATCGAGTCACCGGCAATTCCGAGACGCTCGGTTCGTTCCTGAACTTGGCGTGACATGTATGCCAGGTAGCCCTCTTGACTACCTTGGGGCTCCGAGGGTGGTGCACGACCTTCTCGAAGGGCTTGACGGCGTTCTTGCTCTTCCAGTCTCATTTGCTCGATCATTCGTTTGGAGGGCGGGCGATCGGGACCTCCGACTAATAATTCTTGTTAGAAAAGGCGATGCAGATGCTGAAACGCATGGCAATCAACAAGGGTCACGTACTGAGTAAATCCATATCGGCTGGTGAGATATATTGAGTGCCAGAGATCCACTGAATATTAGTAATAGTAGGACGCGCAGGAATCACTTTTTCGGGATCGTAGAGACGATCTTGTGAGGGGCTCCTATGAGTGTGATTAGCATCGCTCGGTCCTAGACTACGACAGAGAAACGTACAGCCTATGTCCAGATCCCCACACATTAAACAGTCCGATCTCAGACGGACCAACCCATGTCAGGACATTACCACTGGGTGTAATAAATGCCTCCGAAAGCCGTCGCATATCAGCAATGAAGTCGATTCTCGCACATCCAGTTTCCCGGAGTGCAGGAATAGAGAAAGCTCGTGCATTCCCATCTCCAAATAGACCGACCAAGCTGTACCCGCGGCCTTCAACTTTGACAACTGCGGCTGAATCGCAAAGATAGTCATCCCAAGTCTTGTGGGCACCCTTGGATGTTGGAGGCTTGAAGATCCGGCAGCTTGACGGGGTGACTGCGATGACGACACCGTTGATCTTCGCGCCCGTTCTCAAGCCCCCAACAGTATTGGGAGTGGCAAGAGCCTGACCACCAGAGTCCGCATCAATGGGGATAAGATTGATGATCTTGTCTTCGACAGGTGAAAAACCAGCAAACGCCACCGAGTAAGTACCATTGGATGCCGGGAGGATCTTGAAAGTAGCTACGTTGCCTCGGTTGGTACCAACGAAGCAGCAAATGCTCGAGTAGTCTGTAATGAAAAAAAAAGTCAACGATGGAGCCCAGGTCTTCATCATCGCGGGTATTTACCTTCTCCTTCCAGAGTCATCACGCCAAACTCGATGCTGGTTGGCCACTCTGCAGGAGTCTCCTCTGCACCACGCGTCTTGCGGAAGCTGCCCCGCTTCGAAGCCTTGATAAAGTCGGACAGATGGGCAGTGTGGATGATAGCAGGACCGCGTAGATCAAGGATAACTAAGCTACCACCTTCGAAACCAGTGGCCACGAAGCCAACCTGACTGTGTTTCAAAGCCGTCACCGGGCCTTGCTGCATGTTCAATAGTGTCAGTGGGAGCATACCCGTCTTCAAGCCAGGATCCGCCCGCGTGGTGATTGGAGTCAGAGTTCCAGGACCCTGGTTAGTACCGGGAGGGTTCTCGTTGCCGTATGATGTGTTGTTGCCCCATCTGAATATAACCACCTCACCACTGCGGAGGCCAACCGATAGCTCGCCAGTCGTACTAGCAAGAGACATTTCGGTGACTTCCACATTACTCGTCCGTCCAACGGCCCGAGCCAAATCCACCTGAACCACCTCGCCATTCTCAATCTCATCGTCATGGCCCGCATCCCAGAGGCGGATGGTCCCATCGGCATGTGCAGTAGAAAGAATATTCCGGTTCTCGAAGCGCTTCAACGGGTTCTTCGCTTCCGCACCTCCAAGTACAAGTTTGGGTCCCTGTGCTCGACGCTCTTTCAGCCCGAGCCAGGCATTTCGGTCAACTGGAGTGAGTGTGACTTTGTTCACAAATGGGTGGACAAATGACAAGTATGGATGGATCATGTTGGTGGGAGTAATGGCGTGGCCGCTCGGGAAACTCATTGTCACTAACTCGCCCGAGGAAAGCACAACGATAATTGCAATTGGGTCATGAGCACCAGCAAAATAGGGAGTAGTGCGGGGAAAGAGGCAGAAGTTGATAGCATGGGCGGCGGGTGGAATAGGAAGGTTGATATTGCGGCGACTTCTCTCAAAGTATCCAGATAGCACTTGCCAGGACGATGTCGCGTAGTTGGGAGTTGGACCCATATCCAAGAAAGTGAGGCCTTTGTTTGGATCCCCGACGGGTTTCCCACCGGCCACGAGAAGACCAGTATCATCTGGGTTATCTTTGGCACACCACGCAACTTTCGTGATGGGTTCCTTGGGCCCGGTAGGCCCACCCGCGGATCCTGGCCGGCCAGAGGAACCTGGCTGGTCAATATTGGTATCCTGCACAGTCCTGGCATGAAGCTTCCGCCCATCCTTTGAGTCCCAAAGGACAAGGCTTGTATCTTCATGGACTGTCAGCACAAAGATGCCATTGGGATGCCAGATCGCATTGGTCAGCCGAGGTCGGCGCACGCCAGCAGCCGACAACTCGTTATCGCCGCCCGGAGCCCCAACTGGAACCTCATAGACAAAGAATTTTTGCGTAACGTTTTGCTTAAACGAAAATGTGACAGCACCCTCCGGATATCCGATGAGGATCTTGCCAATGTCTCGCGTGGAGAATGCTAGCGAAACGACCGGATTTAGCCGTGATCGGGGATTGCGCTCCAACCACAGGTTGGGGATTTTGAAAGGCGTCAAGCTCTGCCGGTCGAGATCGTATGCAATTGTTTCACCTAAGGTGCTGTTAATGGCAATTCACGTGGATATCATAAGCACAGGGGAACAACGGACCATTTGACAACCCAATGAAGGCGTATTCCAGGCTAGGGTCAGTTGCGAGCGCGGTGGGTTGGCCCGGTGGCGCATAGGACGTCAGCAGACTCTTAGTCTCTAGCGAGAAAATACAAATTTCATTCTTCGAATCCACACTAATGAGCTTGTCGGCGCAGAATTGGAGATACTTCGCCGACGCCTTGCGCGGGAAGGCAAAGACGACCGACACGCGCCGTTGTCCAAAGACATAAATCTGCCCACTTCCAAACGAGGTATCACTAGTCCCGACAGCGAGAAGGGATTGGACGGGATCGTATGCGATGGCACTGATTTGTGAGTTCACTCCGCATCGTGCAAACTGCAAAGATTGCTCGGTTAGTGTTTCAAGGATCGCAAAAGAGGATGCCTGGAGCGCCAAGAACATACGTCGTCGATACCAAAGAGGTCCGGGGACAAGCCCTCAGACAGGTCTTTCTGAATACCAGCTTGCTTGCCTCTTAGTAAATGAGCCATTTCCAGGGCAAGTAAGAGGTGGCAGTTCCGACGAGGTAAGAGGTGAAAGGGAAAAAAGCGGAGGAGCTGTCTGCGGGATGGTCACAGCTGACGACATGGCGGAGAGTCTAAATGGACCTGCCCCGCTCCCGCCCTACCGGCCCTCTCCCGGTCAAGCCATGTGCAACCAAATTAGATGCACTAGGCCGATTTCCGACAGCAGAACCGAGGGCCAAAGACCGAGATGAAAGTAGAATTTTGCCTGAACAAATTATCTATAGACTAAACTACTAGGGATATGGGGAGCAACATCCGTTGAATACTTCACAATGTACTGGTGGTTGTATGGAAAACCCCGAAAATCACATGCTGGACTATGTATACAGGGCTCCATATCGGTCTCGTCTGGACGATTTCGGCCCTCAACACCCAACAATTTTTGCAAATCGTGTTATTATATGGATCTAAAGTCCAAGGGTATCATATTCTCATATGGATGTCTCATCTCGCACTTGAAAATGTCGTTTTGTCTAGTGAATTCTCAGGCTGATTCGATGGTCACCATGTTGGCAATAGTGGCGGTCAGTCGCCGGCGAGCATCAAACTCCTTCGGTTCATTTCGATTTCGATAGTATTGTATGGTAATCTGGCAGACCAATCGGTAGCATGAATACCTAGCGAGATGCAATGTGTTAGTAAGATCTCGGTTCATGAATGTACTGAGGAGGATGATGAAAGAATCGGACCAACACCTACATCAACACCCGAATGTTCTCTCTCTTCGTTCTGGTCAAGGGGAATCCTGCACCTTCTACCACAGCAAGTGATGGACTCTCGAAGATTTCTGCCATCAGCATGTCACCCCAGAAGGCGCTGCTAAAGTCCACGACGCCGGATAGTTGCTTCGATTCCTCATCCAGTAATACATGTGTAGACCGACCGAAGCCAACTACGGCCAGACGGGGCAAAGTAACCTCGTCAAGCGCAGAAGCTAAGCGGACCAGCTCATGTCGAATCTCTGCGTAAGGTAGATGGATAAACATGTCCTCAGCATCCCGGAGCACACTTTCAAATAACGAACAGAATGCCTCACGCCAGGATCGTTTGCCAGCGCCGATGGCTACTTGTTGCAACGTGCCAAATCCGGGAGCCACGTTCTGGCCGATAGTGGTAGCCAGAAAACCCAGATGACGGTCGATATCGTTGCGTTCCCGAACATTCAGTTGGCTCTCCATCTCGGCGAGGCTGCGCCCCTTTACACACTGCCGAAGGAGAAAGGGAGAGCCGAACACGCTCCCGCGTGGATCATAGTGATATAGTTGAGGAATGCAAGGATTTGCACTTTGGCCTAGTAGGGCCAGAACTCGGGCTTCCGTCTCCAGATAAAAGCGCTCTTGTCGAAGCAACGGAGTGCCCGGACGGGGGAACCTTTTAATAGTAGCGAAAGTCCATTGCTGAGTTTCAGACCTCGTAAAGAATGGAGATGACCAGTGATATTCTGCGACTGTTGTACTCGGACGGTGGAAGGAAACAACAACGACAGCACGGCATCTAATCGCCGGTATTCATCATATTCGACAGCCGGGGCATCGTGATAGGCAGAGGGCATATTAGATCCCTTCAGGGATAGACAGGCAGAGCGAGTCGTCACATCGGACCGATGCATCCTGAGATTGTATAGGGGTTTTTTTGGTGGGACACCCTTTCGATAGGGGAGAGCAATGATAAGTAGAACTGGGATTAGTTCAGGGAACGCTTCATAGTTAATTATGGCTCCTCAAATACCGGCCTTCGTCCGAAGAGATTATTGCGAGGCACCAACCGATTCTTCGATCTCCGGGCTGGCTCGGCATTAAGCGAACTCGGCGAGGCTGGTAAGAACGAAAAGAAAAGAAAATTCCAAATTTAAACCAAATCTCAGACTCCATGGTAGTATCCAAAAAAGGGAAGTGGCTATCGCCTCCGACGAGCAGGGGGGCCACCAGACCGCCATCGTGGTATGCCCACGTAAACCCCTCGGAAATAATAATATATTCAGCCAGAAAAATAGCCACGGGCCGCAAAGCGCGCCATGACATGGATCTACTGTACGGTAGTAGGTTTAGCTACGCGAGATACGGGACCGGTGGAGGCACGACCCGAGCTTGTCCCTGAGAAATCGTGGTTAGTTGGTGGGCCACCTTTGGCTCATGGCTCATGGAGTCATGGCTCATTGACCATATAGCTGAGAATCATTGACCAATTTGGACATTGAACTACTTAGATAGAGAATGATCATAATAATGATGATGATGAGGATGATGATGACGATTATTATTATTATTATTATTATTATTATTATTATTATTATTATTATTATTATTATTATTATTATTATTATTATTATTATTATTATTATTATTATTATTATTATTATTGACTTGCGAGGTGGTCTCTATGACGGCGTCATTGTGTAGGCATTACTCCGTAGTGTATGTATGATCGTCGAATTAGCCGGGAATTGATTAAACGCAATGAGCAGGTGCGTAACAAGCTGCAACAGGCGCTAGAACCTCGAACCTCGGGAGCTAGAAGCGTGAGAAGTCAGACAACTGGGCTTCAGCCACCAATGAGGGATCAGAATGGTTCATGGAGCTGACTCCAAAAAGGTAACAAAAGGTGTCAGCGATGCCGTCTCGCGTAAGGATCCCGCTTGAAGACATGGCGAGCATCCAAGCCCCCCGCCCGCCCGCCAATCAAAAGTAATCCTTGCCGAATCTTTGGCCCCCCTCCCCCACCAGTGGATCTACCTTTCCCCCCTCTCTCCCATACAGTAGGAACTTAGTTACTGTACTAGGAGTAAATTAGTAAGACGAACAGTCACCATCCAATCCCCAGGAACCCTCCAAACACTGTATTGGTAAATGGTAAAACATCGCCAACGCTGGCGGGTCAGCGGGTACGGACGCTAACCGAGTGTTGGGTCTCTGGAAGGTCTGCAACCCCTTGTCGCATGGTTTCAACTGTTCCAGATGTTCCGTGCGCGGCCCACTGCCCACTACTCTATATCCAAGCTTGGCTTTTTCGCTTCCGGTTGCTGGAACTACTGGGAAGGCGCCAGCCAATCCTCCCCACAAAGCCAACGAACGAACCCTGGAAGGACCTGGAATGGAGAGGCAAGCCTGGCACGAGCTTTACGAGTGGAGTACCACAAGCGAGAAGATTAATATCGATTGTGACAATTGGAATTGTTCTGTTTGCGTGCTGCGTTATGATTATGATTATTTTTTTTTTACCCGTGGTTGTCTCCTCACACCTCAAAGCCCTCCTCCCCTCCTTCCCAGGATAGACGGGAATCCCGGCCCCATTATTGATCGACAGTCGAGGCAAGACCCCTCAGGTCGTGTTATTAGCGAGGACCCTGAAACTTTGTTGATAAGTCTCTGCCATATATTGCTAAGCAAGCAATCTCGGATTCCTTCATCTCGGGAGAAAGAGGGTCTGATTGTGGTACGGGTTATCGTTTAGGTATGAACAAACACTTCCGTTGGATAATGCGAGGCATTGTGGCTGCATGAAATTCGTTGAGGCAGGGAAAGTTGATAGATTGAGGAAGCAGCTTGACCCGCACGCTGGATATGCAAGGCTACCGCATTCCATCATCTTGGTTCGTGGAAAGAACGGAATATTTGATTCTCTTTCCATCCCAGGCTGAAGAGGCGCTGGTGGTGATTGGCCTCGTATAGATTGGCCACAATGTACCTATGACTTGGCCACTGCAGCCCCTTCTTTCGGGGCTGGGTCGTAGATCTCCGCCAGATTAAACCGTTTAAGCTGGTCGTAATCGCTTTCCACGACGCTCATTCCAATGATATTCTGCGGGCACAGTCAGCGTTCTACTTTGAATGCTTCGCCAAGAGCGTCAGAATCGGGGGAAACCTACCTGGCAGACATCAACCAGAATCATCTTATCGTAGTTTTTCAAATTCACGGGGTGCTCCTTACCAACGATATCGGCGACGGTCTTGATAATAGAGTCTCGATTGAACTTGTTGTTTCCTCTTACGGAAGGCCGGATGGCGTACTGTAAACCATATCTCCCAAAATGACATTAGCCCAGTTTTTTGGATTTTCAATCTTACCAAAGACCTAATACGCGGGATCGCGGATTATGCCCGCAACAGTACAAGGTCTGACGCAGGACGGAATGTAATCATCATAATCATCATAATCATCACTCACCTTTTTCGGTGGCCCTCCCGAGTGGAAGTGTGGCTTGAGGATCTCACGAGCAAAGGCTTCGAGATCCACACTAAGAGTCTTTCGGACCTCAGTAACCGGGGTCATACGCTTGACGTATCGGCTCTTTTTCGTCTCTGGATTGGCCCGTGCTTCAGCACATAGACGGTGGACCAGCTCTACGGGATCGACAGTCTTTTCGAGTCGCACGAAAATCACTAGTCAGGAATTAGCAGGAGCACCATGGGCTGTTACTTCGTGATGCGAGCACCGATACACCAAGGCATTAATTGAACGTACCACAGGGCATTTCTAAGCGAATAGCTTCGAAGGGGCGCTTTTTTTCCTTGTTGGGCTTCAAGCCTGCCAGCTCCCTTTGGATCTGGGCCTCGATATCACCCTCGTCCTCATCCTCATCCTCATCAAGATCATTTCCTTTGAGCTGCCCGGAAGCCTCCAGAGCCTGGGACATGAGAATAGTGAATCAGTGGCTGCAGAGCTAACGGTATCTGGCCGAGCACCTTCAGACGATGCAGGACTCAGGACGCACAACCGAGGATGAACTAACCTGAGAGAAGATGTCCATTGTTTCAGCGATGCACTTGCCTTCTCGACCCATGTCGCAGGTCACAATCACACCCACATCGCCAGTGTCAATGTTGACTTTGCGGGCGGATGCTTGCCATCCTGGCTTCCCACTCTATGCAATCATTCAGCTTCCTGGTTGACTTGTCTACTGGCCAAACTGTGGCCAGAAACAGGTACTGGGTGGGAAAACGTACCTTCTGGCCCTTCTGGCGCTTGGCCGACTGATTAGCGTTACCGGGCATACTACGCTTCTCTCCAGCCATGAGGGTGGACGGAGGAGACTTGAATGGGCGGTATTCTGTCTCCGAGAGATGAACCCGACTAATAATTTTCCACAATCAACTGATAGGCGGCGGAGTGGGGGAAGAGTCCCGAAGCTGCGTTTGTGTGGTTCCCCTGGTCGGCGATCAATCGGGTTTAGCGTGCGGATCGCCTTGAGTTGGTCTTTTGGGAAAGCTTATTGCCGGTTGACATTATGTTGACCTTCTGGTTCAGCATAGCTAACCGAAAATGTCCAGGATGAAAATATCTGCCGGATTGCGTTGAATGTACATTTGAAACCATCCAATCCAACAATTCATCAAAACGTTTCACTAACCTCGTGGGACAGGGACGGATATCCAATGCGGCGGTCGTGTGGCATGACATCAACGGCCCAATCATGACGTAGTCCTCGTTCATCTACGCCTTCGCTGGAGCTTATCAGAAGGGCAGAGGCCCATTTTCAGCATGATCCGGCAAGCCAGTTTACCTTTTTTTTCTTGTTGAAAGTGTTCCGATTGCTCCGTATCACCCCGAAGTCAAAGGGACACTGCTCGCCTGGGGTTTAAGTCGATCGTCGACCTTCTCTCGTCTTTGTCTTCTTTCCAGCTTCCCAACTCCCCGTTCTCTCCTCCCACCATCACCCAGTCCAACATGACGTCTACCGATATCGCTACGCGGGAGCTGGAGAATCCCATGGACCTCACTGAATACCTTTTTCGGCGTCTTCACGAGGTTGGCATTCGCGCAGTCCATGGTGTTCCTGGTGACTACAATCTTGCGGCGCTCGACTACCTCCCCAAGTGCGGCCTCGACTGGGTTGGGAACTGTAACGAGCTCAATGCGGGTACGCAATGACTGAAACGGCCGATGAAATCTTGCAATCACCTCTAACAACCTTTTTGGAATCTAGGCTACGCGGCCGATGGCTATGCTCGCGTGAAGGGCATCAGCGCTCTAATTACCACCTTTGGTGTTGGAGAACTCTCGGCTCTGAACGCCATCGCAGGCGCATACTCTGAATTTGTTCCAGTCATCCATATTGTTGGTCAGCCAACTACCCGGTCGCAAAAGGATGGGATGTTGCTTCATCACACACTCGGAAATGGAGATTTCAACGTCTTTAACAAGATGAGTGCGGCCATCTCTTGTTACGTTGCCCATCTGAATGATCCTCGCGATGCGGCGACTCTGGTCGATAGCGCGATCCGCGAGTGCTGGATTCGCAGTCGCCCAGTTTACGTCACTCTTCCCACTGATATGATCACCGCCAAAGTCAATGGAGATCGCCTGAAACAACCAATCGATCTTTCCCTGCCGAAGAATGATCCGGAGAAGGAGGACTACGTAGTTGATGTGGTCCTGAAGTATCTCCACGGGGCCAAGAACCCAGTCATCTTGGTTGATGCTTGTACTATCCGTCACCGTGCTCTGGCAGAGGTGCAACAGCTGGTCGAGGCTTCTGGCCTGCCTACCTTTGTCGCACCCATGGGTAAAGGTGCAATCAACGAGTCCTACAAGAATTTCGGCGGTGTCTATGCTGGAAATGGCTCCAACCCCGGCGTGAGGGAGGTCGTAGAGTCCTCAGACCTCATTCTGAGCATTGGCGCTATCAAGTCCGACTTTAACACGGCGGGATTTACATATCGCATTGGTCAGCTGAATACGATCGACTTCCACAGCAGCTATGTGCGCGTGCGGTATTCCGAGTACCCCGATGTCAATATGAAAGGTGTTCTTCGCAAGGTCGTTGAGCGCATGGGCAAACTGAAAGTGTCACACATTCCCCAAATCACCAACAAGGTCCCTGAGAGCGAGCAGAATTCAAGCCAGACCATCACTCATGCTTGGCTGTGGCCTACCGTCGGCCAGTGGCTAAAGGAGAGGGACATTGTCATCACAGAGACAGGTACTGCCAACTTTGGCATCTGGAACACTCGCTTCCCAGCTCATGTTACGGCAATCAGCCAGGTGCTCTGGGGAAGCATTGGGTATTCGATGGGCGCCTGCCAGGGCGCCGCGCTGGCCGCCAAGGAACAAAACAACCGCCGTACCATCCTGTTCATCGGAGACGGAAGCACCCAATTGACAGTCCAGGAAATCAGCACGATGCTTCGGAATAAGCTGAACCCTATCATGTAAGTGCAGTCTATATATACAACACCCCCGAGGTTGCGCGATTCCATGAAGCGAGTACTGATCAAGCCATCTCTAGATTTGTCATTTGTAACGAAGGATACACTATTGAGCGATACATCCATGGATGGGAGGAGCGCTACAATGACATCCAGCCGTGGGACTATGCCAACATCCCCAAAGTTTTCGGGGGTGAAGATGGGTACGAGAGCCACCGCATCAAGACCCGGGACGAGCTGAAGGACTTATTCGCCCATAAGGAGTTCAGTAGTCCCAGCGGCCTTCAGGTAAGTCATGAGTGCGGGTTGAACTGTACCACCGAAAGAAGTCCGGATAATCTAACTTATTGTCTGTAGCTGGTTGAGTTGTACATGCCTCGTGAGGATGCTCCGGCTGCATTGAAACTGACGGCCGAGGCCGCGGCCGCGCGCAACAAGTAGGCGGCTATTTGTTCTGAGGCAGATCTCTATTATCAAGTCGCCATCAGCCCATTTCAATACCCGTTCAATTTGTTGCCCTATCATCGCGCCTCGCCCACCTGGACGGTTGTTGTCTTCCCCTTGGGAAATTGCTTCGAACGGGTCAGTGCAGACATGTGTGCGACGCTCCGTACGGTTTGGATCATGGTTTACGACCCCATAGTTTCTGTTTAATCCAACAATCCCATCTCCACTTCATTCAGAAACGATTCGCAAAGTATTCCCCGAGTCTAGATTGTTGATATTCCCGCCTAAACAACTGTGGAGCTTAAGGTTCTTTTTGGGCAGAAAGACAAAGTGTACAGTACAAATACTGTAGGATCACTTGCTTAGCTAGCGCAGTACTGAGTATTACAACCATCAATATTCTGCACAGCGCACGGAGTAGTTCCGGTGCTGTTAGCGTACTGACCGCTACACGCTTCCTGGCCACTTCAGCGATGCAATCGCCGCCACACGGGGACTCATCAATTTTGGCGGTTTCACACTGAGCAGAAACGGGGCCAGGGCTGCTAGCACGGATATGACACCGGCTGGAGCTAACCAGGTCTCGACCCCCTGGGGGGTCGAATCCCTGGCTGCCACTTTGTGGCTTTGTGGTATTTGTGGTAAGCAGGGGAACATGATAGTTAGTTACTCTCGTATGACCCCTGCAGATGATTGATCTGCGGTATCTACTAGATGTGTAGCTTCTCCTGGACTAGTCTGCAATCAGCTCGTCCTTGACTCCTTCATGCTGTAGACTGTTCTCTGTACTTTTGGCGCTGATCCTAACAAAATCCCAAAAATCCGCGTCTCCACCCTTCAACTGCGGGCCCCACGTGACGATCCCAGGCATCCCAATCTTGAGGCATCCAAGCTCTTCTCGAGTCCCTTTGTGTCCTGAACAATATCTTTCTCCTCTCGAAATTTTGCTTCGGTAAGTGACGGTGTGTGCGTGCGTCCATTCCTTCCGGATGAATCGTCCGACGCAAGGAGCTTGTGGCTGGAATGCGCTCCCATCGCTTTGACTTGCTCCGAGTTTACGATCGGAGGGGGATCGCCCTTTCTTACCTTCAGATTTACTGACGATAAGGCCTTTTCGAGCAGCACCGAACCCCAGCTCCTTTGCCGCTGGTAACACTTCGGTCGGGCGCACTGCGGCATCTTTTCGACTTGCGATTCGAGTCCTGGCGTTCAATAACAGCCAGGGCTTCGGCGATAGTTTCGGAGACGCCAATACCGACCATGTCAATGAAAGGGCTCGCTTCTTGATTACCACCAATGTGATGCGGAGAGCCTGGCGACAGTACCACGAGACTCCTCCTCCTCAACGGTGGCCTAGTGTACGGTGATCGAGATAACGCGCTCGGTGGATACTGGCCGTTATGGACGGTCAACGACAATACATCCCGGGACCACCACCCACCCAGCATCCCATCAACCTGCCTCCACCTCCTCCACGACACCCCCACCAACATCAACCGGTACAGCTTCAGACCGGGGTGCCACCTCCTCCTCCTGGGCCCCCTCCAGGGACAGGATACGGCGCACCCACTGGATGGCAGCAAAACTGGGGTAGACAGGCGCTGCCTGCTGGCTTTCCCCCTCCGCCTCCTCCGCCGCTGCCACAAAACCAGCATATTGCAGCATACCGTCCACTTGCTCCGCTATCGATCGTGCCCCCGCACGACAACCAACCACTCACTTCTGCAACGTATATACCCGGAAACGACACTATCGGTGTCGGCATCCCACCCTTGTTCGAGACAAACGGGCAAACATATGATCCCTACACTCAGCAGCGGCAGCCAAGTAGCCAGACATATCATCCTTGCAATGATGGAACCTACAACCCTCAGACTCCAGGGACCAGGGTTACCCCTCCGTTCGCACTTCACAACAATGTTCATGAGTTGGTGACCAACGACAATTCGGCGCAAGCCTCGATTTCCCAGAATCCAGATCTCACAAAGTCACCGAGTCACCGGCATCAGACGAGCGGTGCATCATTAGGTGGAATGTCACCTGGTGAGGCCGCCGTTCAATGGCCGCTTGATCGAGTACTTCTTTGGCTTGCGAGAAACGGATTCTCCAAGGATTGGCAAGAAACGTTCAAGTCCTTGGAACTGCAGGGTGCAGACTTTCTTGAGCTTGGTATGGCATCTGGTGGTCGTGGAAATCTTGGGAAAATTCACAAGGTTGTGTATCCCCAGTTAGCCAAGGAATGTGCCCGTAGCGGTACCGGATGGGATTCAACCCGGGAGAGAGAGGAGGGCCTGCGTATGCGCAAGCTGATCCGTCAGATTCATGATAACGAATCTGACTCTTCTATTTCAACCCCCATGCGCGGCGAGCCACCAGCTTGGGCTAGTACCTCGGCTGAAGGTGGGACTGGATTCCATTCAAGTCAATTGACTGAGCCCCGTTCGGCTGGCCCGACGCCTGGGGTTAATGATATTACTCCAGAACAAATAGCAAGCGCTCAAAATGCGGCTGCTGCTCAGAAACCTCCGCAAATGCGTTCCGTTACCCTGCCAATATCCTCGGGTCATGATTCGCCTATGTACGAGTCTCCATCGCGTGAATCTCCATCGTGGCTACGCTCTGACTATTCCAGAAGCGCTTTGGCGGCAACCAACGATCATAGACGACAGAGCCCGTCTATTTCAAGCGAGAATGGCATGCTACCGCCGTCCTTGCGGGCTCAGGATAGCCCGAAGAGTGGCAGTCCTGCTACCCAATACGTGACCCCGGCGTACGGGGGCCTGACGTCTTCATCGACCGGAGATTTGACGTTGAAGTATGAGCACTCTCGTGTGAACAGCACAGAATCTATTCCCGGGGCTGGCCGGGGTTCCGCTACGATGGGTCGGTACTACGACAGCCGCAGACAAGGCCAAGATATCCCTCGGCCATCGCCCCAGGATATAAGTAAGCCTTTCGGTGGAGATGCATCTTCTTCATATTCCAGGGATCACGGGAAGAGCATTTTGAATATCTTCACAAGGAAAAAGGGGCACAAGAACGACGTCTCATGTCATCCGTCTCCTGAGGATCTGGAGTCTCCGCCCAGCCCCGAGCCTCGCGCAAACGGCTACCTTCCGTATCAGCCTTCTTTCAATTCAAGTGACATGTCTCTAGGCGAGCGTCCTTCCTCGGCCACCACTGTCAAGACAAAGAAGTGGATTTTCGCGACCATGGACGGCGTCAACTATCGCCTGATTGATGTCACTGAGTGGGACTCTGTGGAGGCTCTACGCACTGGAATTTGCCAGAAGTTGGGGATCTCAGAGTGGAGCAGTGCACAGATCTTCCTCACTCAACCTGGACAGGCTGAGCACGAGGATCCCATGAGCGATTCGATCTTAGCAGCTAGCCGCAGGACCAAATCCGACGCGTATGGGTCTTTGAAGGTTTTTGTCAAGGGCGCACCTACCCATCCTCCAGCGAACCATCTTCCCCGGTTCGACGGCCTTGGGGTTTCGATACCCACTGACAAAGCGGCCCATTCACCAACAGCGACTCATGCCCCCATCCATCGGAAACCGCTAGAGGAAGGAGCATTGAATAGACTATCACCACAGTCTCAGACTAAGCCAAATACCGATCTTCTAGGCTCCCGACAGAATACACTGAAGGCCTCAACGGGGAAAACATTACCAGACGGTTCTCCAGACCCTAGCCAGACCCTGGATGCCGAAAAGTCGGATCTGCTTGCACGCCATGAGGCACACATGCGCGAAGTCGAGCGTAAACAAAAGGAGCACCGTATTTCTCGTCTTCCACCGTCGATGACACAGCAACCGCGGAAGGATACCTACGGTGAGACAGGGTATAGGCGTGAAGGTGTGATCGATTTCGATTCACCGCGCCTTTCGCCGTACGAGGAGAAGAAGTCCGAAAAGGCTGACACCCTGGTCCCTCTTCGGAAACCACCAGTCGCACCCATTGAGTCAAACACCCTCACCAAGGTCAATTCATTGAGAAAGGCTCCGGGTGAGCGAGCAGATCGTCACCGACATCAGCCCCAGTCTGCAGGGCAAACCCATGGCCTTGGGGCAGTGCTAGCCAGCGTTGGTCGAATGACCAGTGCCATTGGCACTCCGTCTCCCTCAGTCCCGGTGCCTTCGACACCTTCTTCGAACAACCGAGACAGTGTCAGTTCCGACTCGGATCGACCGAATACAATGGATTCTGCTGCAACAGCTTCGAGCAGGACAACTCTAGGTAAGGCACACCAGCAAGCCTGCTATTTCCAAACAACTATCCACTTTGATGCCATCAGTGCTGACCCTGCGGCCAATCTAGATTCTGGAAAGACTGCCTCCAGTTTTGCCACAGAGCACGTTCAGCGGTCACCTTCCTCGTTTGCTTCTCGGTCTGCCACAAATACTTCCTCTCCCCAGAGCGCGATGTCACAGAAGCCGGCTTTGCAGTCTCGCAAATCATTCGGTCCCGAGTTTGACTTTGAAGAGTCCGAGGTGTCCTTCTTCCGCACCCCACAACAGCCTGCAGAACAACCTGATTATGACGATTCTTCTGACGATGGTCTCTTTGCAATTCGACCTACACGAAATGAGCCCAAGAAAGCCGCGCCCGAGCCTACAAAGAGACGGAAGCCTTCTCTCAGCCTAAATACAGATAATGCCAAGCCGCGTCGAGTTGTCAGCTTCATCTCTCCGAACAGTACTTCCGGGAAGAGCTTTGCCGCCCCGGCTGGAGATGCCTCTGGTGGCGATACTTCTGAGTCACCGGAGAAGTTTTCGGGCACCTTTTACGGAGCGGGTTCTTCGGACGACGAACAGCCCCCACGCAGGGATTCGTTTGCCAATGGAGATGTCTGGGCTAGCAGACCTGCCGTGGAGGGCGTTATCGATAACCTGGACAGCTTCTTCCCGGATGTCGACCTTGATGCTCCTTACCTAGACGAGCCTCCGTCGCCTAATAACAGCAAGGGCGATCTTGATAACGGGGCAACCATCCGAGCCAAGCAAGATGCTTCGCCTGCACCGCAGTCCGTCGTTGATCTAAGCAGTTTCACCCCAGATATATCGACAATGCGTCCCCCGCCTCCCCCACAAGGCGCATCGATCGTTGCCAGGCGCAATGTGGATCGCAGTGGTGGCTTGTCACGGAAGAAGTCAATTCGTGAAGTTGCTAGAGGTGCTGCGCACAGAACCAAGAGCATTAGCTCCGCCGGGCCTCAACAATCGAGCAACCTGCTCCGACGTAAGAGTACCAAGATGTTCGGCGCAAAGATCATGCAAATCAGCCCCAAGCGCGGCACCAGACTCAGCCAGCTCGACCCCATCCCTCAAAATGCCCCCGCTCCAGGACCGAGTGGGTCCGTACCGCAACGTCAGCCCACATTCCGCATCATCCGTGGTCAACTCATTGGCAAGGGAACTTACGGTCGTGTGTATCTGGGCATGAACGCAGACAATGGTGAAGTCTTGGCGGTGAAGCAAGTTGAAATCAACGCCAGGATTGCAGGAACAGACCGAGATCGTATCAAGGAGATGGTGGCTGCTTTGGACCAGGAGATTGACACGATGCAGCATCTCGAGCACCCGAATATCGTACAGTACCTGGGTTGTGAGCGAGGAGAATTGTCGATTTCCATTTACCTCGAGTACATTTCTGGTGGTTCTGTTGGAAGCTGTCTTCGCAAACATGGCAAATTTGAAGAGAGTGTTGTGCGATCTTTGACACGACAAACTCTTGATGGTCTGGCCTATCTGCACGACATGGGCATTCTCCACCGTGACTTGAAAGCGGATAATATCTTGCTTGATCTCGACGGTACTTGCAAGATTTCGGACTTTGGTATCTCCAAGAAAACCGACGATATCTATGGCAACGACTCGACCAATTCCATGCAGGGCTCGGTCTTCTGGATGGCACCGGAGGTTATTCAGTCGCAGGGTCAGGGATATAGTGCCAAGGTCGACATTTGGTCCCTTGGCTGCGTGGTATTGGAGATGTTTGCTGGCCGTCGCCCGTGGAGCAAGGAAGAAGCTATTGGTGCTATCTTCAAGCTGGGCAGTCTAAACCAAGCTCCGCCCATTCCTGACGACGTGTCCCTGAATATCAGTCCTGCAGCGCTCGCCTTTATGTACGACTGCTTCACTGTGTAAGTTCAGCCATTCTCTCAAAAGTAAATGTGTCGTTTCCGTTGCTAACCTGTCAAACAGAGATTCATCCGAACGTCCCACTGCTGGCACTCTGCTCACCCGCCATCCCTTCTGCGAGCCGGACCCCAAGTACAATTTCCTAGATACGGAGCTATACGCCAAGATCCGTCACGTTCTGTGAGATGGTTCTGTCTTTCTAACAAGCTAAAAGAGAATAATGCTGTGCATCTCTCGTTGGGCCTCTGGAGCTATTTTGCGTGTTGTTTTCTATTTTCTGGACGGAGTATATACATACATTCTTCACAGTTTCTCTTATCGCTCAAGTGAGTATTGGTCACGCAGAACTGGTCACTCGGTGTCTCTGAGCCGGATTATTCTTGTACATATCATCATTCTCGCAGATACCTAATGACTATGCATATGCATTGCACTGGCTGATGATTTCGAAAATCTCTTCGCTAATAAAGAGGATGAAGATCACGCATAGGCTCTCTAGGTCTAAGCTAGTAGGTAGGTGTAACCGTGGTGGTTCGGAGGAAGCGATCAGGGGACGAAGCCGCTGAGAGAGCTCTTCTTTGGTAGGCAATTCGGCGGTAATCTCGTCAAGCTTTGCGCTTAGATGTAGCCGTAGTAGCTTTCTTCTTAGCCATGGTATACTGTATAGCAGATTGTATAGCAGATTGTATAGCAGATTGAATAGCAGATTGGTAGGCAGATTGATAGGGGGCCAGGCGTAGAGAAGAACACGCGTTGATGACTTAGCAGCTAGTTGAACCGTAGTATCCAATAACACTTCGAATATATTACTCTGCTAATCTACTGGCTAATCTAATACGCTAATTGAAATGCGCTAAATGGACTTCCGGGACACGCTCGGGGATACTCTACAAAGCATGGGTCCCTTTCGTCTTCTCCGCCATCATATGGGCGTCTTGGACACTTTGTAAAATAACATCCTTATCCTCCAGTCCAACCGAAACCCTCACAATGGTCTCCCTCAACCCATGACTAGCCGCCCATTTTTTTTCTTTCTGTAGGACCATCTGGACATATGGCTGTGCTAATGTGATATTGGCACCCAGCGATGGACCCTTCCGTACATCTAGACTGTCGAAAAAAGCCCTCGATGCGTCAATCGTATCAAAATCGACTGTAAAGAGACACCCATAACCTGGCGTGAACTCGTCGGTTGCCTGGCGCATACAAGATTTGTAGCGCGACGCGGACTCGCATGTTTTCGGGTAATGAACCGCGCTGACGACGCTGGATGGATCCGAGGCGAACGGGGCTAAGTAGTCAACGATGCATTCGGCGGTAGCGTTCATGTGGGCTGCGCGTTCGAGAAAGTTGCGGCTGTTGCGCTCGAGTTGAATTGCGTCGTCGATGTAGAGATTGTTGGTGTAGCCTTCAACTAGCCAGGTCGTGAGGGCACCGTAGTAGCCAGAGTTGGGGTTCAAGGTGACGCTATTTTGATATTGTCAGATCGGCTCACCACTCTTGTGTCTTGAATTGGGTTTCATACCTCCCGGATAACAAATCCGCATACCCATTGAACGACTTGCTCAACGAAGTGACCACGATATCTGCCACGCCCAAGACATCAACATTGGCAAAGCTCCCGATGGTCTCATCGACGACAACAATAAAGCCATGCTTGTTTGCGAGCCTTCGAATTCTTTCCAGGTCGACCGTGTATAGTAAAGGATTTGAAGGACATTCACACCAGACAGCCTGAATCATTGAGCCAGCTCTCACCTTAGTGTCGATGTATATCTCAAACTCGTCAATCTGCTCATCGGTACCTAAGCTGTAAAATTTGAATGACGGGCCGTATGTCTCCATCATCTTGACGGTAACTTCGTATGGAAACCCAACGACCACGCTCTCGAGGTTCCTCCATTTCAGAAGCATTTGGTGCACGTGGTAAATCGCTGACATGCCGGATGGATAGAGAAAGACGTCTGAAGCATTCACAGCCAGACTTCGAGGGCTTCCAGTCGGGGCTCGTTCCATTAGGCATGCGATACGAGTGCATATTGTCTGGTAGACGGGGTGAACGGTGGTTATTGCAGAGTAGAATCGTTTCACGGGCCGTTCGACTCGTTGCATCGAGTCAATGTCTCGAAGACAATGCTCGGCAAGACGAGACGAGATTCCGGTTCCCGTGAGTCTCCAGAACAGAGCTCCGATTTTGGCTGATTCTTCTGGATACGCCACGGCCCAGAGTGTTGTTGGCCCGACAGGAGGTTGTTTTTGGCCAGCAGGTAGGTCTGTTGGTTGAGATTCACTGGCCTCTAGCGCGAAGATTGATATCGACTTTGACGACACGGCTTCATCTTTGTGGATAGCGGATGAAATCATATAGCTCTTGCATGATTGGGCGCTTCTTTGATCGGGAAATAGTAGTATCTTTGCCGAGGAAGAAAGAAACCGATTCTGGCATGCGCGAGATAGCTGAATATCTTGTCAGCACTTGTCACTCTTCTCGCTACTATGAGATTTGCCTAGGAAGTAGGTACCTTTTGAATGGAGTTATGAACAAAAGTTCGTGGGTATCCATTTCGCAAAGCTTTTATGACCTGGGAGTCTCCTCTCCCCATTCCACACATATCACTCCATGTCGGTATTTGCACTGATATCGCGTGAGGCCTTTCGGGGATCGCCTTTCCCAGGGGTAATGTTGTAGTGGTGATGGCCATAGTGATCGTTTCAAAGTGCAAATTTCAGCATTGGAATTTCTATTCCAAGATTTATAGATGAAGATGAGTGATTATATTGATGGCGTACTCTACGAAAACGGATAATCGCAGAGCGAGGACAACATTCCAATCTGTCAATCACTGCCTGACACAGCCACCAAGAAGCCACGAAATGACCCCACGACAATCAATCCCCTCTGCAAATTCGAATATTGCGATTATTCCTACTTCAAAAGTAACGGATGATCAACTTTGTTCTCGGAACCATTATCCTTGACGATCGTTTTAATCAACCCAACGCACGATGATCGACGTTGTCCTATCCGTAGGCTTCCCGTTGTCTATCTAGGGATGAACACCAGACGTCGATCGATCGGCGAAAACAGTCTCACGGAAGGCATGACATCATGCCTCGAGATGACTTCGGGCAGTTTGACGGTGCTACAAGGGCACAAGCGCCCGCCACGACGAATGCAAGTTCGGATCGGATCATGAAACGATTTCATATATGTACAAAACGGCACTATTCCACATGGTATCTAGGCTCAAGATGCAAAGTTCAATAAGGACAAGAAGAAACGATGACATCTAAGAGCCCTGACTCAATAGGTCGTCATCATCCTCGGCGAGGTCATCCACCTGCTCAGATTGTAGACCCGCGACGCCGACTCGGAAAACACCCTCACACCACACGGCAAAGGTCTCCACATCCCACACTGCATCGTCCCGGCCCTTGCCAAGTTTATTAACGGCATGGCCCTTGCCTTTCTCGGATGAGGTGTATTTCTCGAAGAAGTCCTCGTAAATCTGAATTGTGCGATCCTGTACCGCACCAACGAGAGTTTCCTTCATCCGCGTATCATCAATGTACTCGTTGAGGATCTTGCGTAGGGCCGGTACCTCTTTCTCGATTGTGCGACAGGAGGGATGAACGAGTTCACCGTATTGCAAGTTGCGTGTATCGATGAATTTTGTGGGGAGTGAAGCCGTCATGCGAGACGCGAAGGCATTGATAAAGTCGTTGATGACAGTTCGGAGGCGGCCATCCAGTTCGACTTTGGCGTCAAGCATGTTTTCTACGACACGGGGAAGGAGTCCATGACCGACAAGGCGCATCAAGTTGCGCGGATTGAAGAGGCCGCCCCGCTCTCTAAGTTCCCAGAATGTGCTTGTTACGCCCGAGAAATCAATTGAAACCTCCGGGGCCACGTATTCGATGTCGAAGGCGACGATCTGTTGCTTCAGGATGAGAAGATGACTCATCAGGAAGAGTTGACCATCTGCAGGAGTAGATTTGCTGGAGATGATAGTGCTGGCACTGTGAAGAGACAGGGTGGTTTGATGGACGATTTGGTGGGCAAGATCGTCAAAGACAGTAGACTGAAGTGGAGTGTTAGTGGGATAAGCCAAATCAAGACTCCAGTTAAGAGGCTTACATTTACAAGACGATAGATCCGACTGAGGAGCCAAATCGCCTTTCGCAAGGTTGGATACCAACCCTTAAGCGCAGTTTGAGTCTCAAAGTCCCACTTTCCATCCTGCTCCGATGCGGCGGTGGTTTCGTCGCCCCCATGGGCAGTCTTAGTCATGTCAATCATCGTGTCAGCAGATGTATCTTTCTTCCCCGAGATTTGAGTATCCGTCACAGTTAGGGACACTTGTTTACTATGCATGGGATAGTCAACGTCCTCTGGGCGGGGTTTGTATCTCTCGATTTCATCACGAAGCACCGCCTGGGCCCGGAAGACCAGACGAGTCTGAACATCTTGCAAAGCAGGTTGGATCAGAATGGAGAAGTCAAGTTGGTTTGCATCGGTTTGTTCTGGTTCTTCCTCGGGATCTAGGAAGTATCGAGTCTGGAGGAGAGTGCAGAGCTGGCATAGATTGCGAATATCGGTCTCGTGGATAATTCGAGGGCGGAGATGGTCATAAAGTGGCTCACAAATGGTCTCCAGAAAATCATATAATCCTACCTGACCGTGGAACCATTCACCCCACAAGTCGTATTCGTCCAGGCATAGCCCACGGATGTAACCGATACTCGCTCGGGCAAACGCGACGAGATCCTTCGATGAACTGGGAGTCTGCGTGATTTCGTTGAGTTTCTTGCGAGCTAGCGGTACAATGAGTCGTACACGAGTCGCAGCGTAATTGCTATGCAGCTCATTCATCAAGCTCTGGTATTCTGCCTCGTTGTTCTGATCTGGATTCAACGGTGGAACGGCTCGCTTTTGGATTTCCACCCCAATTTGTTTCAACTCTGGAGCGCCAACCCTGAACTTGGCATAAAGGAGGGCCGATAGAGCAGTGTCGTTCAGTGACTGGTCTGATAGCTTTTTCGAAACGCTTTGATAGATCTCGCGAAGAGACGACACGAAATTGCCTCGGATAAGGGTAAGAGCACGGGTCAAAAGCAATCGGTATCTCGACCGATAGACCTCCGCCTCCTTTTGCTCGGGCTATGGGTAGCGTCAATACAACGTACTGCAGAGAAGAGAGGTCTGGCTCAAACTCACATGCGTTTCCATATAGTCCAAACAAACGTCGAGCCGTCGAAGCATGTCGGAGAATTCCTCATCGCGAACCGTGTTCCCGGCACCAGGGGCATTGAGTCGCCGTGAAGCAGGATCCAGAAACTCGTAGTAGTGAAGATTGGTCTGTATACCATTTGCAAGCTTTGTATCCCGCTCCTGGGCAGCTAGGAGACCCTCGCATTGTTTCTCGAAATTGGAGGTTTGCGACTCGACGGCATTGAACTCTTTAGCCAGATGTGAAAGCGAGTCGAGGAGGGTCAAGGTGTTCGTCAATATGTCATCAATGTGCTCACGCGATTGTTGCAGGTCGTCCAAGCAGTTTCTAGTGCAGACCAAAAGATCATATTAGCCACGATCAACATGTCACCCCGCATTCACCGGACATACTGGTATTGGTCGTAGCTCTCCTCGATCAGGTCATCCTTCACGCCATTGAACCATTCAGAGAATTCGAGTTCATTGTCACACTTAGGAACACTCCATTTCTGAAGGCTGTCGGGATGTTCCAATGGTGGTTCGAGAGTCAGCCGGGTTTCGGCGATGGTTGGCTTTCGCGGCGGACCAGATGGTGCGGTCTGGCGGCGTGCTCGCTGCTGCTTGGTGGATGGCATGCTGAATTTAGAGCTCAGAGAAGTACTGTGTCACCACTCTCTGGCTCATGACTCGTACAAAGTGATTGGGAATGGGCGAGCCGGAGTTCAGTAAACTTGAGGCCAGAGGCGCGATCTGTTAACTGCTGTGGCTTATTCTGCCGCGGGATCCCGCCCGATACTGACGTATTGAACTTGAGCTTCCTCGACCTCCTCTGGAAAGCTCACGGAAAAGAACCGACGAGAACTTGGACGTCTTATCGACAATAATGGCGACCCGAGTACGGGGCTCTGTATCCCCATCTGTGCGCCTTCTCCTTCGTCCTACCCCTGCCACGACCCGCCTGCCTCTTCAGACACCATGGCGCAGACTAGCAAGCAGTAACACGCGGAAGTCTGGTACCTCCCCCAACTGGATTGTCAGCTCGCTCGGGGTGGCAGTTGCTGGCGCCGCGGCATATTTCGGATATTCATACGTGAATGGCGACTTCAAGGGCGCATGGATCGAGAGCCAGACTGCACCAGAGAAGCAGGTGATCAACGTCAACGATCTTCGCGCTCAATTTATCCAGGAAAAGCGAAGCTTGAAGAGTCCAGCAGTCTACACCTGGGGCTCAAATATTTACAAGGTGGTGGATCCAGGATCAAAGGATACCGATATTAAGACTCCCCGGCGGTTCAAATACTTTGACGGCCAGGTTCTTCGTGATTTCAAAGTGGACGAAAAGTCCGGCGCTGCCATCACCGAAGACGGTGATCTCGTCCAGTGGGGTAAAGGATTCTCGGAGACTGAGTATAAACCCGCCAAGACTTTGACCGGCAAGAACCTGAAATCGCTCACTCTTTCGGAAAATCGCATTATTGCGCTGTCCTCAGATGGCAGCGTCTTCTCTCTTCCCATCTCAAAGGAGGAGCAGAAGGCCGGTCCTAAGCCGCGGGAGAGCTCCTGGGTACCCTTCTGGGGCAGCCAGTCTGCATTGAGCTATCGCATCCTGAACCCTAATTTGGGACTCGGCGAAAAGGTTACCTCCATTTCGGCGGGCCAGGAGCATGTCGTTCTCCTGACCAGCTCTGGCCGTGTCTTTACAGCTGCCGCATCCACCGAACACTACCCTTCACTTGGTCAGCTCGGTGTACCCGGTTTGACTTGGTCCACCCGCCCCAAGGGTCCTGTCGATGTATGCCACGATGTAACGCCTTCCATTGGCTCTAAAATTACAAAGATTAGCACGGGTGACTATCACTCGCTTGCGTTGACCAAGGATGGCCGCGTGTTTGCCTGGGGTGACAACTCCTTTGGCCAACTAGGCATGGATTATGAGCCCGAACTACCCTACAAAGACACGCCCTTCGCCCTTCCTCTGCACAAACTTTACCGCCGAGGCGTATACACATTACAAGCGACCAACGTCGCAGCTGGTGGCGCTGGCAGCTTCTTTATGGTCGACGCAAAACGAACTCTGGGCCCTGATGAGGAGCTCGGAGCAGTTCGGGATTTGGGCAATGTGACCGCTGATACATGGTCTTGCGGCCGGGGCATCTGGGGCACCTTGGGCACGGGCAGGTGGGTTCATTTGCAAGATTCGCCTTCCAAGGTGAAGGACCTAAGTGGGCTGGCCGAGTACGACGAAACCAAAAACAAAATGACGCCAATTCGGCTTCGCAACATGTCCGTCGGCACAACCCACGTTGCTGCTGTGATGGACAACAAGACGACCATCAGTTCGAAACCTACAGATTCTTTGGATAAATCGCACGACTTTGGTCTTGATGTGCTCTTCTGGGGAGGCAACGAGCATTTCCAACTGGGTACTGGAAAACGCACCAATCTCCCTCGACCCAGCTATATCAAGGCGCCTGCCGAGTCCTCGAAGAAGGATGAACCAGAAGCACGGTTGCAAATTATGCCTCAGCACAAGGGCAAGGTTGGCAAGCGCTCAGTGAAAATGGAGCAACGAGTCGAATGTGGACGTCATGTTTCTGCAATCTACTCGGCGGCTGCCTAAGAGGCAATCGCACAAAAGCAATGTACAATATGCATGTATTTATACCTTAACTAGTGCAAATTAATGACCCTCCCACTTCTTCACTGGTGATCTCCAGCCCATACTCTAAGCACCCCGTCTACGCGAGCTGGTCATTTTTCTCGATGGATATGTAACGACTCTTTAGTCAGACTGTGGTGATTTCCAACTTGAAGCTCGTATAGCTTGGGGTGATAGCACTTATCTTTCCACCAAGATGAACTTTTGATACCAGGCTGGTTGATATTTTAGGCACCTGTTAGTTTGGGCTTGGCGCTTCGTGGAGTCTCGCCGCGGTGCCGAGCTAAAGTGTACCTTTGCGCGCATACATTCCTCGTCAGCCTCAGGTTTGTCCTCCTCTCAATCTACCTCCATAATCACCAAAGATTCCTACCAATTCTGCTGTAGAGGCGATAGCCACTGATATTTCCAATACCCGTGTTATCGCTCTCAAAATGGCCACGCAATCGTTCCCTAGCCCGTACGATTTCTTCCAGGCACTCAGGGGAGTGAATAGCACCTTTCTCACGGAACAACATGTTCCTGGTATCGACTTGACAGGCAAATGGATAATCATCACTGGATCAAACCATGGAGTTGGTTTTGAAGCGGCAAAATCCCTTGCAGCAATGGGCGCCAATTTGATCCTGGCGTGCCGAGAGCCTCCAGCATGGGAGCTTCATCCCACGGCCGCTGTGAAGGAATGCCAGACACTGTCCAAGCCGCAAGGTCACTCATCAACCATCGAATGGTGGGAGGTTGACATGGCTGATATCGACAGCGTCGAGGCCTTCTGTCAAAGGTGGCTAAAAAGCGACCGTACTTTGGACATACTCTGCAACAACGCAGGGCTTGTGTCTGAATCCCAAAGCAACATGACGAAGGACGGGTTTCAGTTGGTTCACCAGGTCTGCTCACAGCCTTCTTGAAAGTCATTGAAGTTTGTCTCAACTGAGTTTCTAATTGATTCTTTAGGTCAATTTCTTATCCCACGTTCTGATGACGCTTCGTCTGCTACCATCATTGGCTCGTAGTATGGAGCCTCGGATTATCTGTACAACCTCATGCATCCATCATCTTGGACTCTTCGATATCGATCACTTCAACGGTGGGCCAGAGATGAAAGGCAATGATTATCAGAACAACAAGCTCTACTATCAGATGTGGGTTACAGAGCTGCAATCTCGATTCCTCAAACATCCCGAATATCTCCACATCACAGTCAATGGAGTCAACCCCGGCTTTGTTGCTTCGGGGATCTGGAGGCCTGTTATAGTCACCGAGAATCTGGGGACCAGAATTCTGAATCTCCTTTTGCGGTTTGTCGCTATTACACCGCAGCAAGGGAGCTTGGCTATCACCCACGCAGCTACTTGTCCGGAATTCGGACCAGATCCTCAGAAGCAGAGTGTCGGTCACGCAAATGGACGGGGCGGAGGCAAGTACATTAATCGCATCTGGGAAGCGCCGCCAAAGTCCTATTGCAATGACCCGGATGCCAGATCTAGACTATGGAAGAAATTGGACGAGGAACTTCATCTACAAGAGAAGGGGCTTCTCGCGACCCTTGGCCTCTAGCATCATGTCAAATCTCTTCTTTCGTACATATTGCCGGGAATCAATCCAATTCTGGAAGTACCATCGCAAACCTGTGCGGACCTTTTTTCTGCATGGGTGAAAAAAATGCTTTTGAACTAAACAACATCAAATAAAAATGAATGAGCCTTGTAATCGTAAATTCGCCTAGTCTCATTGATTGAATGACGTCGGATGCTTTGCCTAGCGAGTCGATTCCTGTCAGGCCGGGCGTTTCCCAAGGTTGCGAGTGTTTGCATTTGAAAACTGAGATACAAGCAGACACAAAGCCTGATGAGGGAGTATGGATAGATTAATTTTGGTTGGGCCTCAATCGAGTTGATGAGGCCAATCAAATGGTACCAAAGGCGCCGTAGCGAACCCACCAAGCTGAACCGCCGCAAGGCTGTCACCATAAGCACTAGCCAACTAGCTGAGAGCTGATACGAGCTGACCTTCCAGGCTGAGTGCTCTCGTACTGTGGCTTACTCGCAGGATAACTTCCTAGCCCGGAAAAATCATGACCTTTTCCTCTGCAAGCATCAGAATCATTTGAGATCATTGCATAGCTGCTGGGAGGTGTTGGATCTTCCTAGTTCACGATGGCCAAGAACGCAACCTTAGCTGGGGAGCTACTGAGTGCCGAACCTGGAGTTTTGCTTGAGCTTCCTGCCCGTGAGGCTAATGAATCCCTGATCTCCCAGAAAAGTTGACTGACCACATGATAGACCGATATCAGAGAGAACATTCTCTAGTGAGTCGTTTTGGTATGCAAGCTAATATCATCACTGCTGCCACCTACACCAATACACAGAGCAGGAGCAGCACGCTGTCAAGGGAACTCATGTACAAAGCTCTGCATCAAATGGCTCCAAATTACCCCGAGCTTGGGGTCACGAATTTCTGTCGTCCTTCCGAGACAAAGTCAGGGCACCATCGGTGCTGGTCGGTTTTCTTAAAAGAGATCAACCTTGATGACCATGTGAAGTTCATCGACATTTCAGCAGAGGAAGAAGCAACAGGACTTACTCCAATCATCGCGGAATACCATGGCCTTTGGTTTGAGCCATCAAAAAGACCACCATGGCAGCTCGTGGTTGTCAATGGAAAACATGTGTTATTCATTTACGATCACTACATTACCGATGGGCGCGGCGGTACATACATACTGGAGAGTATCTTGGACGCTCTCAATTCTCCCAAGAATGATCTTGTCAGCTCTTCGACCGTCAATTTCACAACAGACGTCAAGGGATTCCCTGAGCTTGATCCAATCCAGCGCGCCCCGGCACCACTTTCTTTATTCTACGCCATCTTGGGCTATCTTCGTTTCTTGGTCTTATTGCTGTTATACAGGCAAAAGGACCTCTTCTTTCATGATATGACTTACCATCATCGTAAGTTGGACTGGTATGATCCACAGAAAGAAGACAATCTCGTCAAAACAAGGATTCGTAGTCTTCGCCTCGATGCTTCCACGACGAGAAGATTCCTCCAGGCCTGTCGATCCCATCAAACGTCTTTTACAAGCCTCCTGCACACTCTTATCAAAGTTACACTAGCAGCGGACTTCTACCCTAAAGCCAAATTCAGTCATTCGGGGACAGTCGTTGATATCCGATCGTTTTTGAAACCCCACGACAGGGAAAAGACCGTGGAAAATGCGGCTTCTATTGTGTCGAGCTACGACTGGCTACCCAAGTTCCACCAAGCAGGGGAGCAGACAGCTCTCAAAAAGGACGCAGGCTTTGAAGCAGATTTACTCTGGGAGCTGGCGCGCAAGCATCGCGCGCATGTCCTCCACGATCTCCATCACAAAAAGTCGTTCTTGACCGCTTGGCAGTCCATTGAGCTCCTCGGAGAAGACGAAGAAGACTATATCACCGGCTTCATTCCTGGATTGAAGCTTGTGGGGCGAAATTCTTTCTCGGTCTCAAATCTGGGTGCTTTTCGTCCAAGTGTCTTGGTTGGCCAGGATGGGGGCAATGGTGATTGGACCATCAGCAATATGGAGTTCTCTGCTGGTGCTTTCAAAAATGGATACAGTTCCGATCTTGTGTTCAATGTGGCAGGTGTTCAAGATGGCCCGACCACTATTCACGTTTGCCATGAAGAAGGTTCCTTCAACGACAATTTTCTCGATTCGTTATTGGACCGAATCAAAATGCGGATCGATGCCATCATCTAGCTAAGGGGTTGTACATAGAAGATGCCAAGTAGGTATCCAGTCAATCTATCAAATTCGAGTTATATTGTACTCGTTGCAAAATCAGACAGATGATCTCTATGAGACATCAATATTAAAGATCAGTCTGCTTCGACTACTCTATTGTGAACCGTATGCTGAGTAGCTGGTCCATAGCTGGATAGACGATAAGACGATGCAAACAAGACAAACAATCGCCGCGGAGACGCTTGGACCACTGCTTATCCAAAAAATTTCCCAGTGCAGCCTCCAGGCTTTCTCTACTCAATCATCGCCATGCCCCGTGAAAAGCAAAAGAGAGGCCGCCGGGCCGAGCAGAAGGCTCAAAAAGAGGAGGCGCAGCGCGATTATGACGATTCTCTTGAGGCTCCCTCCGCCAAGCGCATGAAGCCTTCCAGCGACGCCGACGATACCGCACCCTCGTTTGCGGAAGGCGCAGACTTCATTTCCCTCGATGTCGGAGGTGACCAGCAGGATCTGGAAGAGACTGGGGATGCGGCCAATGATGATACGCCTTTCTACGGATTGCTCGACAGTGACGAGCAAGAATACTTTTCGCGCGCCAATGAAATGCTCGAAGCGAACCAATTCCACGATGCCGAAGAGCGAAACCTATTCGTGGAAAGTGTATACCAAGAGGCGAATGGAAAGGAGTTGAAGATTGCTTGCAGCCAGGGCTGTTCGAGACTTGTGGAAAAGTTGATCTCCATGTCAGATGTCAAGCAGATTCGTCGAATCTTTGGCAAATTCCTCGGCCACTTCCTTCACCTTGTGCAGCACCGATTTGCGAGCCATTGTTGCGAAACGCTCTTCATACACGCCGCCCCGGCAGTTATGCAAAAGACCTCGAAGGCCCAGGCCAAGAATTCGGAGGACGTTGATGGTGAGTCAGACCTGTCTCTCGCCGACATGTTCATGAGCGTGATCGAGGAACTGAAAGACAACTGGGGTTATCTCTTGACCGAACGCTTTGCCTCGCACACAATCCGAGTGCTGTTACTGGTTCTCGCTGGAGAGCCTGTGGACGTTACTTCGAAGGATTCGGTGGTCGCGAGTCGCAAAAAGGAAAGATTGGGTCTCCCAGCTGCCGGCGCGCAAGAAGATAATACACCTACACAAAAGCGGAGTGTACCGGAATCTTTCGAGCCCGCGCTCAAAAAGATCATGGGCGACATGGTTTCAGGCCTAGATGATACATATTTGCGGGCTCTGGCTACACAGCCCATTGGAAACCCTGTTCTCCAAGTGATGCTTTTCTTGGAGCTCTCTCACTTCGGCAAGTCTAGCGCCAAAGATCCAAAGTCCATTCTTCGTCGACTCGTACCCGATGAGTCTTTTGAGGAAGGCACTGACAGCGCAACCTTTATTCGCGGCTTGTTATATGACCCGGTCGGTTCCCGCCTGGTGGAGACGATGGTACGATACATGCCCGGCAAGGTGTTCAAGAACCTCTACAAAAACAACATTCGCGATCGCATTGGGTCTTTATCCCGGAACAGTACTGCCGGTTATGTCGTTCTGCGAACATTGGAAAGACTCGGAAAGGACGACTTGCAAAGCGCGATGGATCTCATTATTCCCGAGGTTCCAGGCCTAATTGAGCGATCCCGTCTGGTCGTCCCCAAGATGCTGATTGAACGTTGTGTGGTCCGGAATGTCGACACGAAACCTTTCGCAAATGCGCTCAAGGAGGCGTATGATGCGGATCCCACGATCCGCCTCCGACAGATGCTGCGACTGGACGAGTCCACGGATCAAGCTGGGCAGGAACTGGAGGATGAAGAGATGGAAGATGCCGATGGGGGTGATCACAAGCGACGCAAGCCAAAGACACCGGCCGGTGGCTCATCTACATCTGCTGCAGAGAGGCTGCACGGCTCCCTCCTAGCGCAAGCGATGCTCACCGTTCCCGGCCCTCTGAGCGAGCTGGTATACTCCAGTCTTCTTGCACAATCATCCGAAACAATTGTTCAGCTTGCCAAGGAAGCTACCTCCTCTCGCGTTCTGCAACAGGCCCTGACTTTGCCCACTTCCACCGCCCAGTTCCGACGACAATTCATCCCCCGTTTCCAGGGCCACCTAGTCGAACTGGCACAAGACAACAGCGGATCTCACGTTGTGGACGCCCTCTGGCCGGCATCTAAAGATGTGTTCTTCGTCAAGGAACGCATGGCTCAAGAGCTGGCGCAAGACGAAATGACTCTTCGCGACTCTTTCCTGGGTCGTGCAGTTTGGAGGAATTGGTCGATGGATCTCTACAAGCGCCGCCGAGGCGAATGGTCTGCTCGTGCTAAGGGGATCGAGCGAGATCCCGCGAGCTCTGAAGGCAGTGGAGAACGTCCCAAGTCGAAGCTGGAGTTGGCTCGGGCGCGGTTCGCTGCTAAAGAGGCCGCGGCTGCGGCTGCGAAGGCTTGAAAAGTTTGGCGATGTATATAATACACATTTGATGACATTGGTTAAAACCAACATTCCATGTATCTGGTAGAATCAAGCTCTTGAGGTGGCTGCAGGTGCTTGGGTTACACTTCGAGGAATGTAGGTCCATGCACTGCCGGGTCTTGTTCATTGGCTGTGGTGTTTTCAAGGTACCACTTTGGTGGAAATTTTATGTAACAATCTTTTGCTGGTCGATCTTGACTGGATACATTTTTCAATGCATGGAAGTGGCCTGCACCAGGCAGCCTGCGATAAGAGAGTGCCCACTGCGGGGCATTTGATCTGACAGTGCCGAGTGGAAAATCAAACAAAGAGTGGCTACGCGACACAAATACAATGTATGGTCCTATGGCTATCTAGAATTCATCACACCTGTGTAGTTCTCTGATGTTATTATTCCGTTCCGAGGTCTTTATCGGCCGATGATGTCAGGCGTTTGGCGAGTGTCGCCATCGTCCGGCGAGATCGGCTCGTCCAGAAACTTTTTTTCCGGCTGATCTTATGGTGGATGCCTTCAACTCCAATCCTTATTCTTCTGCGTTCTTGTCATACCGTTGATGCTGGCGCATATTGATTTGGGTTTCTTCTAGTATTTTTTTTGCTCTTCCTCTGTATATACTGCGATCTACGTTCAAAACAATGGCCGACATCTCCCCGTCGAGTCGCGCCGACGAGGTGCAGACGGTGAGATCTCCTCGTGTCCCAATTCTCATGAATACTTGCATTTCCTGAGGCGCTGCTCTGGAATTGAAGGATTGCTAAACTGGTATAAAAAAAAGCTCTTGAAGGCCGTCGAAGACCTTCTTATTCCTTTCATCCGATCCGCAGACGAGCCCTCGGTCCCCGAACACCACAAGAACGGCGCCAATGGACACTCGAACCCAGACGGAACATCCTTAGTCAACTATAAGAAACCAGAAGAGCTACGAGATATCCTCCAACTAGAGATCCCAGAGCAAGGTCGGAAGCAGGAGGGCTTGATTGAGGTTCTGCAAAAGGTTCTGAAATACTCGGTGAATACCTGGCACCAGGGCTTTCTCGACAAGCTATATGCGTCTACAAACGCTCCCGGTGTAGCAGCGGAGCTCATTCTTGCGACCTTGAACACCAACGTGCACGTCTACCAAGTCTCGCCTGCCCTCACGGTCATTGAGAAATTCACCGGTCAGCGACTAGCAAACCTCTTTGGATTGAACGGTCCTCGCGCAGGAGGCATTTCGGTCCAGGGCGGCTCGGCTTCAAATACTACGTCAATTGTCATTGCTCGCAACAATCTCTACCCGGACACTAAGGCAGACGGTAATGGCGGGTACAAGTTCGTGCTCTTCACCAGTGCTCACGGCCACTACAGCATTGAGAAGGCTGCTCAAATGCTAGGATTCGGCAGCAACGCCGTCTGGCCCGTACCAATCGATAAGCAGGGCCGAATGATCCCGACCGAACTGGAGAAACTGGTGCAGAAAGCGCAGAGTGAAGGCCGAACTCCATTCTACGTCAACGCCACGGCCGGTACAACGGTCATGGGCTCCTTCGACCCTTTCAATGAAATCGCCGCTATCTGCCAGAAATATAACCTGTGGTTCCATATTGATGGCTCCTGGGGTGGTTCGTTCATCTTCTCCAGCAAGCAGAGACACAAGCTGGCCGGCTCGGAGAATGCGAATAGCATTGCGATCAACCCGCACAAGATGCTCGGTGTACCGGTGACATGCTCGTATCTTCTGGCTGCAGATATTCGACAATTCCACCGAGCCAATACCCTCCCTGCGGGCTACCTCTTCCACAACGAAGATGCCGAGCCAACTCAGAACGGAGACACGCATGAGTCCGAGTTGGAGCCTGATTCACCCGAGGTGTGGGATCTCGCAGACCTAACTCTCCAATGTGGTCGTCGTGCAGACTCACTCAAGCTCTTCCTCGGATGGACATACTACGGCAGCGAGGGATATGAAAAACAAATTGATAACGCTTGCGAAGTAGCCGCACACCTGGCTACGCTCGTCTCGCAAAACCCCAACTTCACCCTCGTCAGCGAGAACCCGCCTCCCTGTCTGCAGGTTTGTTTCTACTACGCGCCCGGCAAGGAAATGGTGTACCCGCGAGGCATTGTCTCGAATGAGAAGCAGCGGGCTGCGAATAATAGCAAGGTTACGGAGCAGATTACGCATGCGATTGTGCGTAAGGGCTTTATGGTGGACTTTGCGCCTCCCAGTGGGGATGCGAATGAAGTTGGGAATGGCAAGTTCTTCCGCTGTGTGGTGAATGTGTTGACTAATAAGGAGACGGTTGAGAATCTTGTGCGTGCTATTGAGGAGGTTGGTCCTGGTATTATTGAGACTTTGAAGTCGGATACTCCGGTCGTTCAGAAGTGGAAGCGGCCTGGTGAGCATGGACATGGTCCCGTTGTTCATCACCGTTGAATGTGCTTTCTTGAATAGACATACCCTTCTTTGTTTGATAGATTTGTGACTTTATGCCTTGGAGATGTTGAAACTTGCTGCAAATATGATTTGACTTGATATATATTATGTCATATGTGGAAGTAACCTTGCTCGACAGCGTCATTTCCTCGCCACCGGGATATATCCAAATAAGACCCATGAGCTCTAAGCCGCCCAGGGTAAAGTCGTGAGTGGATACAGGCTACCTAACTACCAATCTCAACCCTTTTCTCCAAAACAGATCGTGCCTCGGTTTCAGCCAAACCATCAATCTCGAGTTCAGCAAGCACAGCACGGGCACTCTCATTATCCTTGAACAGCCTCTTTTCCACATCCCACAATCTCAATCCAGCACCAGCCCCTTCCACATTCTCTGCACTTGGATCCGTGGATGCGCTCAGGTTCAAGAGACGCAACCCCTCGTTGATCTTCTTCACAATTCGCGTGGAACCACCAACATGGCCTGCCACGCCTAGCGCATTATCAACCACACTGCAAAGGTGATCGATGTCGCTAGACAGCTGTGCAGCGCCTGTTTCAGAGAAATTATTCCTCATCAATACGTTGTCCCAAATGTAGTTCTGGATTGAGAGGAGGAGCTGGCGGGAGACACGTCGGAGAGGTGCAACGCCTAGAGCTCGAGCGAGGAAATTCAGCTGAGTCGAGAGAGTGCGCATCGCGTGTGCCAGGTCGGAAGAAAGAGAAAGAGAAGAAGTCGTTGCGCTGGCAGAGGGAGTGGAAAGCGTTGCCCAAGTAGCTAGGCGAGAGTAAGGCTTCAGGGCTGAGGTGATGTTCGAGGTCAATGTTGATGTAATTATGGATTCGGATTGCAGCCGGAGACGACGGTATGCAGAGGCAGTCTCATCGAAGAGGGCTCCCTCGGACGTTTGTGTACTAGCCGCGTTGTGATTCCCAACGGCTGGTGATGTACGCGAGGCAACTTCCGCAACGGACATGGTACCAGCAACATTACGGCCACCGTCGCGGTTCTGCTTCACTCGATCTTGGAGCTCGGACCAGAGTTCCACGAAGAACACATCATTGCTCCAATCCTCCATCTTTTTCTCGAGATATTCAGCACTGCCGAAAACCCGGCAGAGCCGCTCAAGGCCCGCGACACCTTCAACGCTAGCTTGCCCGTCAGCTCCCTGGACTGTACGGCCAAGAGCGGAGGTCATGGTCCGGTAAGCATCCAAAGCTTCACGAAGGCGCTCGTGAAATTGATCGAAAATGGTGATCTGGATATCAATGAGGAATCGAAGCTTCTGGCTGAAGGATGACAATGGCTGGTATCGCTCGGTGATCGTTTCAAGCAGGTCGTTCACCCGAATTGCAGCCTTGGTAGGTTTTGTTGCAGTGAGCTCGACACCGTCATAGTCGATTTCACCGCTATCCGGAGTGTCGATAATATCTCTGTATCGCGCCAAAGCAAAGTCCTTCTCCACTTGGAGCCATCGATCATACCATCCTTGCTTAGTGAGCACCTCCCAAGTAATACCTTTCCAGTTGTCTTCGGCATAGGGATCCGGGAGGTAATTCCACGTTTCCCGGAGATCGTTGTCAAAGTTCATCAATTCGTGGACGAAATGGCTGAGCAATTGAGGATGATTTGCGATCTGAGGCATGAAGTTTTCGATTTTGTGTCTCAGCATTGGAAGCAAGGCCGTGATAAAGGCATGCAGAGCATTATAAAAGTTCCATTCCAATTCTGGACCGGCGGTTTGAGCTTTTTCATCGAGGATTGGTTGCAGATAAGATGTGAAGAATCCCCCAAACTGGGTGATTAGATCCATGACGTGCGCAAGGAAGTATTCGGGCTAGAGAGATACATGGTTAGATACAGCAAAATGTTCGAAGGAAGAAGCATCCTTACCTTGTCAAGTCTGTTCGTTGGCTTGTCGCCACTAAAGTGATACTTGAATCGCAGGTCTAGAGGGTGTACCATCTCTTCCAATGGGAACAGAACTGGTGGTTCAAGGCCATGGCCAGTATCCAGAACATCACGAACTTGCAGTTCCCTGGCGGCATGTTAGAATAGACCATAAAGTCCGACAAAGTGACAACAATCCACATACGGCATCTGTAAATCGATCAAGAGCTCCACATCTTGTCTCCACTGAGCTAGCAGCTTCTCCGTAATATTCAACTCTCGCGTCGGCCACTTCAACCCCTCCAATGTCTTTTGCAGTCGGTCACCGAAGAACTTCCGTAGTTGTTGTCGCAATGCGGATGCCAACTTCTCCGTGTAGTCGATGAGATGCGGGGCAGCTCCCTCGGCGGCGGGCTGAGCTTCTTTCAGGGACAAGACGATGCTACGCAGTCGAGCATATGGCTTCAATGCGGCATGAGGATCGGACGAGATACTAGCAAGAGCTTCCTTGCTGTATTATAGTATTAGCGCCCGTCCATTACTGCTGTCAGCGCTCCCCGGCGAATCTTACCTCAATTCCTCAGCCTCCTTCAGCAGCTGCACATATCCTTTGGAAATTTCCAAACGCTGGAGCCTTTCCATGCTCTTCTCAAGCCGCCGTACTGCCTCATCGCTCGTCTCCGATTGTGTAATGGCCTTTAGTCGGCGATCGATGTCCGCCTGCTCCGCTGCGAATGCTTCGGCCCGCTTGCGTGTGGCCTCAGCATGGTCGTTGGAAGCTTTGGTCGCATTTGAGAGTGCTTCGTGTGCTTCCGCTAGCTAATTGCCCGCTGGATTAGTCGCCTGTGACTGCCGGGATTCGTCGTCAGGAACGGAGGGGGTTCGGGAGAGGTACCTGCTTCCGTTGAAGCTCCTGTTGCGCGTGGAGGCTGAAGAGCAGCGAGTCAAGGCTCTCAAGATCGGCAGAGACCTGAATCTTATCATTCAAGTAATCCTCCACCCTTGTCCGCTCGTGCGACGACAGGGACGTTGGGGGCGCCATTGTTGTGGAAGGAAATAATTGCGGAAGCGCAACGGTGTCGCGATTATTTGATCTCCGCCTTTGCGGACTGACGTATGTCTGGGGTTCTGCACCTGAAACATGCTCCTTTCCCTGGACACTTCCAAGCCATGAAACATGTCCAGCCCAGCTAAAAAGCGCAAGAGAAATGGCAACGAATCATCGCCCCAACAGATGCGCAGTATTGAATCGTTCTTCAAAGGACAAGCAACCAAGCACGCGAAACAGGCAGAGCCGCAACCAGAACCAGAGCCAGAGCTAGAGCCGACAGAGCAGACCTTGTCGGATGAGGCGTTGGCCCGAAAGCTTCAGGCTGAATGGAACCAAGAAGAAGATGGAACACCTTCTTTTAGAGACACGAATCAAGCTGTCGATACAGACTCCGAACCAAAACAAGTTTCAACGGTGCCCACGATACCAGTAGATGCGATCCCGGCAGCTCCGTCGACACCAAAGAAGAATACACTATCTTTGCAATCATCTACGGGAACGGAAGATACAGTCTCGCTAGCTGTTCCGTTTGATCAAAGCCCGCAGACATTTGACGCGACCAAATATGCCACGGAGCTGCAGTCACATTGGGCTACCGAGGGCGGCGACGCCTCCTACGCGTTGCTGACAAGGGCATTCGTGCTTGCCAATGCAACCACCAGCAGGATCAAGATTGTTGATACATTGGTCAATTTCCTTCGAGTGTTAATCGAAGGAGACCCTTCCAGCCTGCTTCCTGCAGTTTGGTTAGCGACCAACTCGATTACGCCGCCGTATGACGAAATAGAGCTAGGACTTGGAGGCTCCTCCATCTCCAAAGCTCTGAAGAAGATATACGGCCTCGACAACCAAGGTCTCAAAACTCTTTATAACAAACACGGCGATGCAGGCGACGTCGCATTTGAAGCTAAGAAACGGCAGGCCTTTACTCTAGCCAAGCCGAAGCCTCTCAAAATCAAAGGCGTGTATCAGTCACTGCTGAAAATCGCTACCAGTAAAGGATCTGGAAGTCAAGAAGCCAAGCAGCGGATTGTAGAGAAACTACTGCAGGATACGCGAGGCGCAGAGGAAAGCCGATATATCGTGAGGACCTTGGTTCAGAACCTACGAATTGGAGCTGTCAAAACCACTATGCTGATTGCCCTTGCCCGCGCATTCCTCTACTCGAAACCCGATGGCACAGAGTATACAATCCGATCGCGAGATGAGTTGGCTCGACTGAAGAAAGATGAGCTCGCCGAGATCTACAACAACGCCGAAGAAATTGTCAAGGCGTCTTATGCGAGGCATCCGGACTACAATGACCTTGTACCATGCCTTTTAGAGACTGGCGTGACCGAAGAGCTTCTCATCCGCTGTGGCTTGGTTCTGCATATTCCATTGCGGCCAATGCTGGGAAGCATCACCCGCGATCTTGCGGATATGTTGACAAAGCTTCAAGGAAGAGATTTCAGTTGTGAATACAAATACGACGGACAACGTGCCCAAGTGCATTGCGATGAGACAGGCAAAGTCTCTATCTTTTCTCGACACCTCGAGCTCATGACAGAAAAATACCCCGACCTGGTATCTCTCGTGCCGCAAATTCGCGGAGAGAGCGTGTCAAGCTTCATCCTCGAGGGTGAAGTCGTTGCCGTGGACAGCGAGACAGGAGATTTGAAAACCTTCCAAACACTTACGAATCGCGCAAAGAAGAATGTCGAAATCGGAGCCATCAAGGTCAATGTGTGTCTTTTCTCATTCGACCTCATGTACCTCAACGGGGAACCATTGTTAGATCGACCATTTCGAGAACGCCGCGAGCTCCTTCGCAGTCTTTTTGTCGAGATTCCAAACAGATTTACCTGGGTGAAAAATCTGGATGCGACATCTGCGGACTCCGAAACCGTTCTGGAGTTCTTCAAGGGCGCCACCGATGCCAAATGCGAGGGCATAATGGTAAAAGTTCTCGACAACACCACCAGGACCAATAATGCTATCCAAAGCACCGAGACAGATCAACCCGACATTGAAAGCAATCCGCCCGAACCACCAGAAGCAAACAACGGCACCAACCCCCCCAAAGAAAAAACAACCCGGCGCAAAGCCCTCCTATCCACCTACGAACCAGACAAACGCCTCGAATCCTGGCTCAAAGTTAAAAAAGACTATAACACCTCCTCCGAAACCCTCGACCTCATCCCCATCGCAGGCTGGCACGGCAACGGCCGCAAAGCCAAATGGTGGTCCCCCATCCTCCTCGCCGTGCGCAACCCAGAAACAGGCATCCTCGAAGCAGTAACGAAATGCATGTCCGGCTTCACGGACAAGTTCTACCAAGCCAACAAAGAAAAGTACGCCCCCGGTAGTCACAACGTGATCTCCCGACCCAGCTATGTGGATTACAACGGCGAACCGGATGTGTGGTTCGAGCCACAGGAGGTGTGGGAGATGGCGTTTGCGGATATCACGCTTAGTCCGACATATACGGCGGCGATTGGGCTGGTGAGTGAGGAGCGGGGGCTGAGTTTGCGGTTTCCGCGGTTTTTGAAGGTTAGGGAGGATAAGTCGATTGATGAGGCGACGACGTCGGACTACTTGGCGCTGTTGTGGAGGAAGCAGGGGGAGAAAGTGAACGCTCAAGGGGAGGGTGAGGGTGGTGAGGAGCAATTAGGGTGGCAGGAGGAGTGAATCGTGGAGAATAGGCATTCATATATATACGATAATTTTAATGAAAATATACTTGATGATAGGCTGAAATGGAAAACTTGTTTTGTTGATTATGCTGAGAAAAAGAACAGTGCTGTCGTGACGGTAGAAGACTAGCCGTATGTCATACGGGTTCGTAATAGTTATAGAGCTGTTGTAAAACAAGGTTGTTAACTAAGATTTAGATAAGAGAGCAAGAAACTATTCAGGTCGAAGCTAACATGAGCACTTGATCACGTAAGAGGGAATTCAAATAGACTCAACATTTTGTCGATTCATCAACGCTCGATACACAATACTATTTTGCAGTACTGCTCAAAAAACCTCGGCATCATTCTCCAATTTAGTCTAAACACATTGTCAGACAGCAGTAGGAAGCCTAGTCATCAGAGGCAGAAGACAAGAAGAGAGGGTGCAGAGTATCATCACAAGGTATGTTGGATGCAAAGAGAAGCACGGATACAACGCTGGCAGTAAAAACGCCAAAAGGACAGATGGAAACATGTGCGAGGGCAACGGACTCAAAGACATATCATTCATGGTGGTAAAAATGAGAATGGATGGCTGCAACTATGCAAAGACAATGACAATGACAGTGACATTAAGAATAGGAAAACGCCATGGATGCAGGGTGACTGATGGTGCAGTGAAAGTGGGCTAATTCGAGGATGGTCTCAATGTGACGATGGATGAGGCCCTCGGTCTGACAGAAAGGGAATTACAAAGGAGACTGAACACCGCAAATGTGGAATGGGTACATAACAGAATTCGTGAAGCCGTCATAAAGGGGTGGCGGTGAAGGAAAGGGAAGCAGGGGACATAGATGGATAAAGAATGGAAAGACTGAAGCAGCCATAGTCCAATCTAAGGACGCAGCTCGCCGCCAAGCTGAAGAGCTAGTCCGGTCTCCTTCCCTCGGAGGCGGGGGCTCGAGGTACTGGGTGGAACGAGTGCATCAAAGTTCAATCGCTTGCGGGCATCCTTGGTAGAAAGCGGCGTGCGACCTGGGTTGCCAGGAGTACGGCCGCCCCAAGCAGGCTGAGCTGGACTGGGGGTCACGTTCACGAAATCCGCAAAGTTGAACTGCTGACCCGGTGTGCCCAGGTTCGAAGTAAGCGTCGGCAGGACTGCGTGTTGGCTTGGGGGAGTGGACGGCGGGAACACATGGTGCGAGCCGCCTGCCACACGAGCTGGAGTAGGCGAATTGGCCAGATATAGAAGCAGGTCTGCACCATCCTCGTGTTGCGAGGGACGGTCACTCCGGGCCAGACGGGCATGCTTGGGAGGGGGAGTACGAGGCGGCGAGGAGCCCACCATGGAGCCCACATGCTGGAAGCTATGTATAGGCAGATCGGGATCGTTGTCCTCGTCAGAGGGAGCTTGATATACAGGAGAGGATAGCTCGGGGATCGTGGCCTCGGACATGAAGGGGGCTGGTTGTCGGCGAGTTATCATATGGCGATTGAGGCCTGGAGAAGACGCAGGCAGTTGGTGGGAGCTCTTCCACGACACACGAGCTGCCTTGGCCGGACGCTCGGTATCAGAATCAGACCGGACACGCTTGCGGCTGGCCGAGAGCATAGGCTGCATTACACGGGAATTGAACGTGACGGCATGCTTGTTGCGGGCTGATCGAGGCAGCTCTTTGGAATACGTTGCGGCTCGAAGGGGAGGGGATGTCATGGGAGTCTCGCACCGGCTACGAGAGAAGTCGGACGAGGAGTCGGAGGGCTTGTCACTGTTGTCCTGCGTCGGCATCAACCCATGAAGTCGGCCATGCTGGTACTTGAGCTTGGCCAGACCCAATCGGTCCTGGAGACTCAGTGAAACCTATGAGAGAGCCATCTGGGTCAGCTTCTGTTGATTCTTGGCCGATACGGAGGATCTTGAGGCAGTGGATTGTATGCCTGCCCCTGCGGAGCCATTACTAGGGCTTGACAAGTCTGGATGCAATCTGCACCCCAGACACAGACGATCCACTCGGAGGCTCTCTGTTTTTTTGATGTCTGTTTTTGAGGTGGATCTTTTTCTCCAGCACAAGGCACTCTTACCTGGGCAATATCAAGTTTCCGAATGGCCTTCTCTGCCGACCCAGGGTGTGAGGACAGGGTCATGGTGGGCAATGGGGTAGGAAAGGAAAGTCGAAGGCAGGGAACGAGATGGTCTTTGCTGTGGAGGATTAGGCTTGGGAGTCGCTGCAAGGGCGGGCTGAGTAGCAGGGCCTAGTGAGACCCAATTGGCGAGAATAAAACTGGGGCCACTTGACCGAGAATGGACTCGGACAATTTGGGAGGAAAAGGGAATTAGCGAGTGAGACGGAGTGTATACTCTTGCACAAGAGATCTGGGGAAGACACGAGATCCCAAGTGCACCGGGCGTGGCGGGGAGGGTGGAAGAGGATTGACTCGTTGAGAGCTGAAAAGTGACGGGAGGGAAAACGCGTGCCGCGCAGACTCGCACGCGATCGTGTTTTCCCGCATTTTGCTGACCCGAGCAAAGCTGGGCCCAAGTAACTAACTACAACCCAGGAAGATCGACTCAACACTCATCTCTCTCAACGATCAGATTCGATTTCTACTGCCTATGTCTGGTTCAATAGCTAGCCTGGATATGTCCTCCCATTCTAGCTGGTCTGGTCATCCACCTTTACCGTGATGTCGACTGGAAAAAATCAATCTCTCACCCGCCGGACTAGTGGCCTCACCAGCCTCGTTCTTTTAGTGCCCCCACATTCGCCAGTTCCAAGCGGCTCAAGCTCCGGCGTTGGCCCTTTGCAGGCTGTTGATATGATATGAGTTCTGCATGGTGGATTGCTGAGCCAACTTCGTTGCCTCAGTGCTCTTTACAGGTGGGACTTGGCTTCCCCTCGAAACGATCTGGCATTCCAGCCCAAGATTCCACTCCACTGGGGACTGACTGCTACCTTGCCATTGGGCCCCCAGGAACGTGGGGCACTGGACACGATGTCATCGCTCAGAGGTCCTTTGGTGACAAAAGGAGATGATATTCTATCCACGTACTGTGTTCTCAGTCTGGTATGTTGGCGATTGTCTCGGTTGATGTTGAAGTCGCCGGAAAGGTGTTGGAAGCAGCCTGTCCTTGACTAAGGATTTGATCCCCGGTCCGTTCATGCATCTGCTAGACGTCACCGGGCAACACGAGATGCTCATGGAATACCCGGGGGGCAATGGAAAAAAAAAAAATCAAGTTGTCAATTATTGTTAGAAGCAATGCAAACCCCTGCTATTGCGGCTCGGCATCGCGAGGTCGGCAATTTCGGCGCAAGAGACCTTAAAAGGTTCAGCATGGCCGAAACCTCAAGGTGGTCCCGACCGTTGTGGGAATACCGAAAGCTGCTCTCTTTCTCCTCTCATGAGATGAGATCCAGAGGAAACTCCTTTGAAGTAGCTGCGAGCCTGCGACACGAATTGCCCCAGTTCGGTAGATAAAATGCACAGATCGCGTGTCTTGCGTCAGACTAATGCGCGTGGTTGGCCACTTGTCTTTGATTTCAGGACCCCGGCCGACCAAAGCAGACAATCATTGCCTGGGGATGGAGGCAGAAATTGGGTATTCGTCAAGGCTGATGATGGACCCAAAAGTTTGGAGTCGAAGAGAGTTGTGCACTCAGAGACGAGGTCAAACTCTGGGCAGGCCCAGCGGCTCCTTCCTCTGAAGATCTGAAAATGCAGCATAGCTGGGGACGTCAAGCAAGTTTTGGATTATCGGTTCCGGGACCAAGCCCCCAGTGGAGAAAGTGTGTGAGGAAGAAAAGGATCACAGCAGCGGCAATGGCGCAGGAGTGAGGCAGTGCCGATGTTACTGCAGGAGGGGCCAGTTAGCAGATCAGTCTGGATAATACAAAATATCAAGGTGATCGATGGTGATCGATGGTGGATTGCTTGAAATGTTCGACCTTCGGATGGCCACGAATATACCCACGAGCATCCCGCAAATCTGTGCCAAATTGCAATTGGCTTTGCCAAAAACAAGGAGTCCGTCCACGGGCCTTCAACAGGCTTTGCGATGTCTTGGTATGTGGTGGTTAGCCCAGATCTAGTGCCCGAGCTAGGAGCGTTAGGGCGATCATTCAAGATCCACCGGTGAAACATTGCGACTCTTGCTGTTGGAAGAGCGATAGGCCCTGTCGTGTCTGAACGGCTGAGGGCAGAGGTACGTAATGGTCTGACAGGAAGCCCACCTTTTAGGGGCGCGTGCTAAGTATAGCTGATCCTGGAGGTGAGTTGAGAGTTGAGGATACCAAGCTTGTTCGTCCTCCACTTCCATCTTTTTTTTTTTTTTTCAAGTCTTGGGATTTCATCTCTTCAGTCTCCCTTTTTCATTATAGTAACTCCCTTTTCTTTTTCTTTACTCGTTTTTTCCTTCTCCGAATTAATTCCAATTGCCCATCTCCGGTTCTTGCGGGGCGAATCTCCAGCGGCGTCGTCACCCGCCGCAAACGGTCGCGCTCTCCTGTTCCTGACGCCCTCCCAAACTTCCCCCTCCACGCCCAAGTTCAAGCCTCCAATTACGGAAGCTGCCCTGGTGGATTTTGGCTGGTTCTTCTCCTGGTGAGAAGTTCCTAACCTTTGCATCCCTGCTGGTATCCTCCGGGTTTTCGTCCTCCTCCATCATGTCGTTCTTGAAGCAGCTGCGCCGACGCTCCAAAGCAAGCTTCCATACTGCGGCCGACTCAAAAACCCCCTCACATCAGGTGGAAGTGGTATCCGGGAAATCCTCCTCAACGATCGACACTTCGTCTCATGCTTCCATTACTCCGCCATCATCGATCAAACCCACCCTCTCCTCTCCTAATCTCCCCTCTTTGACCGAGTCCAATGACGGCAGCACCGTTAGCACCGTCAGTACATCATTGCCTCCGCCTCCACAGCGACCAGGACCTTTTGTCACCCATTCGCAGCGGAACAGCGTCGTGGTATGCATCGCTCCCCGTTGATGCTTCGTAGGGAAGCTCTGCAAGCTTTGGAAACTGATGCCGGAGTTCTATTCAAACAGGGGAGTTCGTCATCGTCGATCAATGGGGTATACCGGTCGCCGACCCCAAGCTCGCCTTATGCGCCAAGGATAGTTTCGATTGCTGATAACTCATGGGTCAGTAGCTTCAAATGAGCTCAGAGAACCTCAGAGAACCTCCCATAGAACATCCCGAATGCTGACAATCGTGTCTTCTAGGTCCATCAAAAAGTTCTACTTATTTACGGCCAGATCGGAGATCCGCGACATCATCCATTAGACGGAAGTATCACCGTCTACCATCACCAAGATAATTTCCCGTCGATCGGCTGGCCCGTCACGGCATCCCATTTCAAAACCCTTGTTCATCTCGTTCCTGGTCCCAATCGCCTGCGTTTCGATTTCGTTTCTCCGAAGCTGTCATCTGGGAGTACCCAGCCAGTGATCCATTCGACATGGATTTGCATCAACTACCTCCCCCTTGTCAATTCCCCGCCATTGCATCTGGTTGTGTTACTCGGCAAGGATTCGGACGGAACTTATGACGCAGTACCAGAGCGGGTGGAGCGCGAAGGAAATGGTCTGGAAACGGCACTTCGAAAGTATCGCACGGCAGCGTATTTATGGCAGGCATTCACGGGAGAGCAAATGTTCCGCAACAGTTTGGGCCGGCGCTGCTTCCGCTTTGAAGAGGAATGGCAGTCGGGCACTCTCAGTCGACGCGATTCAGCTGCCCGGCAGATGCGCAACGAGGCGAAGATTCATGTCATCCGCTCCGAGAAAACCGTAGCAGAGTTACGAGATCTCAACATCGCACAACAGTATGATGCCGCCAAGAAAAAGGATGAGCTTTTCAACATCGCCAAGGATGCCATTCGCAAGCATTTCAACCCGCAGCCTGGTCAAAAACAATACGTCTCCGTCTTACTGCTGGATTCTCACTGGGATACCCAATCTCAGACCATTACTGGTCATGCTGCTCTAGGATCAGGAGGTGATGATATCAAGATGGCTATCTTCGGGTCCCACTGTCTTCAAAGCTATCCATCCTGTCTTGAAGAGGTAGTGGATGCATTCTCGGACTGCACGCGGACGGACACCAACTACGTGGCTAACGACTGTGGCGATGCTGGATCTAACTGGGAGTCCGCGAACCTCGGCATTGGCGCACACTTGCATGAAGTTGGCCATCTCTTTGGGTGCCCGCACCAAGAATCTGGCGTCATGCTCCGTGACTACGTTCGCCTGAATCGCTCTTTTTTGATTAAGGAGCCTTTTTGCACTCGCACCAAGACACAGGGCCTGAAGGTCTGTTTACCAAACGACGAGTGTGGGTGGCATCGCCTGGATGCGCTCCGTTTCCGCTTCCATCCTTGCTTCCGGCTTCCCAGCGATGCTTCGGTGAGCAATGATGACAGCGTTCAAGTGTGGCCAGTGGAGAATGGAAAGATTCTGTTTACGGCTTCCTCGGGCATTGCATTTGTGGAGTTATACGCCGAGGGTGACGACGTCTGCCACCATTTCATCGAGTATATTAACAGCGAGTCCAGTGGTAACGGTTTACCCAAGCAAGTGTCCATCACCGAGACCGAGCTGAGGCAACAAGTATTTGGGACTGAGAAAGAAAAGAAGAAGAAAATCCGCGTGGTAGTCTTCTCCGGCAACTTGGGAAGCTACACCGTGGAGGATGTCAGTGCTCTCAAGTCCAAAAACTCCTTGGTCAAGCTTCCCAAGAACCAATCTGGCTACAAAAGTGGCCAGCTGGGGCATTCCTCTATGGAGGGTAGTGAGCCGGAGCAATTGCTCTTAGAGTGTGCCTTTATCAAGACGAAGCTTTTGACATCCATCAAGGTATACCATGGAGCTGCGTTGGATGGAATTGAGTTCTGCTATGAGGACATGTCGAGCCAACTATTTGGAAAACGTGGTGGAAAACCTGGGGGTGATGAATTTGTCCTCGGTAAGCGTTCCCAGAGCCTGTGTGGAAGAAGCTGCTGCTAACTTGAGTAGATACCCGCCGTGGGGAGATTCTGCTTGGTTTCTACGTCCGAGCTGGACTCTGGATTGATGGAATCGAGATTCTCACCAGTCTAGGGAGAAAGTCGGGGATCTATGGCAATGCCAATGGCGGATCAGGGTAAGGGAAACACCGGCCACATCGAGCAGGATCAAGTTCGAATGCTAACCAACATCAACTTTCAGTCACACCTTGATCCCGCCTCTTGGATATAAAATTGCTGGAGTTGCGGGCTCCAGTGCAGCTTGGGTTGACGGGTTCTCTCTCATCATTCAGCACTGAACTGGACCCGTTCATTGATATCCTACGCGAGACTTGAAGATACACGGTCTCCTATTTCTTCCCATTTCCTTGGTCCTCTGGACATGACAGGACTGGCATTCTCCAAAACAAGGCTGGCCCAGGGTCGGCCAGCATATATACACGCGGTTCTGCGAGGCTACAAGGTGGCTTTGTTCATATGCTTCTCTTCTACTTTGACAGGCGTTGTGGCGGTGACGGTGTTTGCGATGGCAGTTATTCCTTGTATCATTCCCTTTCTCTTTCTTGGCGGGGCCAACGTGCATTTGAGGACACTTCATCATGGTATCCGTATCAAGCAGACGGACGGGCGATTCGTTTCAGAACCATGCTGACAGGATTGGAGCATTTTGTATAAGGGACATTCATATTATTGGGCTAGACAGGGTTATACATAGTTAATATCAACAGAGAATGGGCAGATCGCTCTTCTCTTGTCCAAGAAACCTCGGTGGCCAAGTATAGTATACGGAAGAAGATGTAAGCCACCTACAGTGGGTATGAGCAGTCGCCACGTTCAGTAAGTTCGAGCATCTCACTTACGCCCGGTAGGTTCAGTTTGAGCCATTCAACGGAATGTGAATGTCACGGTTCTCTATTCATTGGCACAATTGAGACGGTAGAGAGGAAAGTACGTGCGAAGTATATTTAGCATTGAGATCATCCCACACATGAACTGACACAGTCACATCCACGGATCGATCATTCGATCACTTAGATCATTCAATGATCGTCATTCAGTAATTGACGAGATTTCCCACCTTTGAGGCACACACGGCACACAGCAAAAGGTATCCGCACGGGAGTTCGCCACCTAGCCCGACTGGGGCCTTAAGGATCAATGTACTGAATCAAAGCTCAAGGGCTGCAGGTCAAAGAGGGGTCGTTTCAATGATGATTCGTCAGAGGTCAGCCAAAAAAGCACTGCGAACCAATCAATTAGATAGAGCTGTTACGATAAAATTGTGGGGTTTCGGGCTGCGGATCGACAGTGGCGCCCATCTCCGCGGGATCAGCTCGATGACGTACTTTGCCCGTACTACTCATGTATGGGGCTTGCAGTGTGGTGTGGAATGGATTGGGATATGTACGAATTAATGCGATTCGTTATCCAGAATGTAAGACTCTGATTTTCGGTGGAATTGTGACTCATTGATTGTTAAAGGTACATGCTCTCCGCGACCATTCGCACTATGCAACTCCGAACCCTTTTGTTTTTACTGTACTACGAAGTTTTTTTTTTTTTCTACTTGAGAACTTTTTGACTTTGAGACTACGCACTGGTGACAATATCCGTTATGCACGACCCCCCCCCCATCTTTGGGCTTTTTCGCCACACCTTTTTCCGCAGCCCCTCCTGTACACTTTCATTGGTCATTTCTCTCGTCCCGTCCGTTCCGTCCAGCTTCTTTGCTCCTCAAAGGAAAACGTCAAAAGACTTGAAGGCGTCCCCGCAATGTTTTTGTGGCTGGTACTTCTCCCCCGAGAAGCGGATGGTACTATTTTCCGTATTTCAGCACCCAATAATCATTGGCAGGGAGCAGTGGCCAAAGCACCATTTGTGGCGGTGGGGTTCACTTTTTTTGGGTACTTATTTTTATTACTGCTGCTGTAAGTCGGATGCCACAATCCCATGTGGCAAGGCCGATATATATCATGACTGGCTACACCTTAGAGCCCTAGTCGCACATTGTCGAATACGCAGCCAGCATATTACTACTGAAGCGGAAAAAGCAGCCACTCCGTTTGATGTGCCATCTCCCCAGTCTTCGCTCCCATTTAGCCAGGGAGTTGGGAAGGTACCCTGTTTCGGGCGCGCCCATTGAGGGCGCTGATGGCGCGAGGGGATCTGCGGCGCCGCACTGGCTGTGACTGGCTGTATATCTGCCAGGCGTCGTGGTTCATTTGTTGTACATGGACATGGGAAGCATACTGTAGAGATACACCGATTATAAACGAGGGCCCGTGACCGGATTGACTGCGGTCGTCGAGTGTTGAGTGTTTCGCAAGCCCCTGTATGCTCATTTGTCTGATGCTTCATCCGTGATATTGCCCCATCCGCTTCTTCCATCCGACCAGCCAGGAGGCGCACGTCGTGGGTGATATGCAACCTAATGGGTCGGTCGCCCCCTCGTCCCAGCTGTCCCCCTTGAACAAAGAGCGATCCACCAATCAGCGATGACCTGATCGACTGACTCTCGATATCGTTGCCCCCTGCCCCCGTGCTTGTTCGTGCGCTGTGTATAGAAAAACGATTGCCGAGTACATAACTAAACGCCGTTGCCTACTACTGTAACCGCTACGTCGGTGCAATCTCCGTGCGCCGTTGTTTGTACTTGGATATCCCGAGGACTCCACGTAGTTTCCCTCCAGGATAGCCAAGTCTCTGTATACAAGCACGAGTCAGTCTCTACCGTCCGTCATGTTCCAATGTTCCCCCCCCCCCCCCCCCCAGGTGGCGTCTGCCCCTTGCCCACGGTCGAACGCCCATGACGTGGTGGCTTCAATTGTCCGAGCTACTCCGTACTTGCGTACTTTGGATTTGACTATTCTGTCTCTGGCCCAGGTGCCAATTGCTCCCATGTCACTTCTTTCAATTACGACCGGAAAAATAGTCCTGACGTCAGGGACTGGTCGATCGTTTTGTTCGGCGACCGTTGGATCACATGTGGGGAAGGTTCCTGATTCGGTAGGGTAGGCTATTTCTCGGCGTGCCAATTAATTAGGGTAGGGATGCTTTGTCCTTTGCCCGAAAGTACGTAGTTATCCCGAATAAACGTTGATTGAAGAGAGCAAGGCTGGTGAGGTGTGTTTTTGGTGTCGATGTCCCCGTTCGCCGTGTAGCCAATGCTTGCGTGTCGGTGGCGAGTTGAAGATTCTCCCGGTAAAATCGAGGAAAAGGTACAAGGTACTGTTGATACTAACCTCGCAGACCGTACTACTAAATGTACTCCGTACCATATACTATAATACCATACATAATACATTTGATCAATTGTACTGTACATCAAGTCGATAACTTACTCGTGAACTTGCATGGTTACCATCGTGCGTGGAGTACTACTCGGCACTGTAGCTCGTAGCTTAAATGCCATTTCCACTTGGGCATTCCGCTGGAATGCCCGTGCTGGAGGTCCCCGTACCTTTTGTGGTGTCTCTGTCAATCCTTCTTAGTTCTTACTCTAGGCAGGGTGCTCTTGATAATTAAGTTCCACCTAACTGTTTTGTGTTTGATAATGGCGTTCGTATGGCGTACGTATGGCGTAGCAGGGCTCGTTGATTTAAGTTAAGCCCTCGACAGCCATAGAAATTAATATTACGACAGCAAAGTGCTGTAGTACAGCATGTACTATGTACTACTCCTGTAGGGATGTCTTGGTGTGCTTCTCTTTGAGTATCCCTGCCGCATTGGGCCAAGTGCCCCTTGCTCTTGATTACTATATTTTCTTCTTCACAGTGAGCCCGGCACGTTCAGCCGACCAATCACAGGCAAGCCTGATGTGTATGGTCGCAATTCGTCACAATCTCGATTCGGCAGTTGTCAAAATTCTTGAGATCAATTTCGTCATTGAAACGCGGCTCCGGGAGTAGGCAAGGCATTACAACAGTTCGCACTGATTATCCCAATGAGCAAATCCCGTAGCCGAGGCCAACGGCATTTTGACCACACCTTTATCATCTGTTAGACACGATGCCATCGGGGGGCTCGCAAGTTCCGTGCACGTCTGGTATCCACTTGGTACTGACCGCGTACCGTACCGTTTTCGGCACGTGCGCCGAGCCGTTCGAGCTGTGGTCCCAGAGCTTTGATTGGCGGGTTCTCAACCCAGCAATGAACAGCTCGCACTTGACCAGCAACGTGTACTGTCATGGACGGGTATGTATTAACGTATTGGGGCCGGAACGATAGCTCTACAGTTACATGGCCTTTATACATTGTATAGATGCAATTAGACTCGACTATAGGGCAAATATGCTGCAATTGAACCTCCCATTGGCAAATGTCCACCTGCATAGAACCCGTCCCAATGGTTCTGGACCCTGTCAGGTCAAAAATAAGTGATCGAACAGTCACTAGGGCCGTACGATCCATGGAATCCTCCGCCGATCCTACGTCAAGCCACGCTGGAGTCGTCCACGGGCAGGGGAGGCACCACCGCCACAACATGACGATGCGGCGTCCAGGTTCAATAATATCTTCGAATCTTCAAATGAGGTGAGATGCTAGCGTGAGGAGCTTGAATAAGTGAAACTCTCTATCGCTACCCAAGGTTGCGAAGCAGAAAAAGTCATCGGTCATGGACCGTTGATCATAATTGATCACACCAAAGGCTACAAACGTGGTATGCTCAAAGTGCTCGCGCTATACCCCTCCCTCGGCCCCAGGAACCGCCTATCAAACAAATTTCCCGAAGCACAGCCACACCAGGTCGTTCCATGGGGCCAGATTGCAGCCACACTTCCCCAAATAATACCTGACCATCGCTCAGATCCTCACGTTGCTGTTCGAACGAATTTTGTTGCATCCGCGGTTCATACCGCCTGCTTTTGGTCAAGACGGCGGAAATACACTTCCACCATGGCTCTCATTTGTGAAGAGATGGGGTGCATGCCCCCTTCGGCCACTAACAGCCACTGGCAGCCACCAATGACCCCCTGGTTGTTGTACATTCTGGTGCGCCGTAGATAAAGTTTAGGGCCACTGACATGTTTGAGGGGGATTCAATCTCGAGATGATGGCATCTCGAGATCTCTCTTGGGCTATTTCTCTCGATCAGTAGTCCCTTCCCAGGGAATCTCCTCTACATATTCGTCATACCTGTCAGATCCTCAGGCATGACCGTTATAGCAAGGTGTGGCGGAAGCAGTGGCGGAGCTCGAACCCGGAGGACTGGTACTCCCTTTTGCAATCGATAGACGGAGTGCATCCGGCTGGTCCAAAGCGTCCCTGGGATCTTCGAGGTCCAAGAAATAGAAAAAGAAAAAAAAAACCGAACCCCAAAAAAGACAGAGAAGATATCGAGGTCTGATATCAGTTACAGGCAGTGAGCGATAGTTTTGGCAATAATAGTGCTATGATTTTACCAAGTCATCGCTATGCCCTTCCTCTACAGTTTCCTCTTGGCTTCTGCTTTAAAATCCTTCTGTATGGTACTCGCAGAACCACCAGGGCCAAATCTCCAAATCTCGAGTCAGGAAAAAGATACACCGACGATACACCGTAAATTACATGTTTGAATGTCACTTTCTTCCTTCCATTTTCATTTTCATAGTTCAGCTCCAGTTCCTATTTTCATTTGTACCAATTTGAATTCCTCTTCTTTTTTGGTTCCCTTTCCCCCACCGATTTCCTTCGATCTGGCCTCCAGTTCCGTCCAGTAAACCTGCAGTGACAGCCCGATCCGTCAGATCCATACTGTCGTTCCATTTTCCTTCTTATCCACCATTTCGTTCGCCGTGGCCCTTCCCGCTCGTCAACATCCACTCCTGGTACCAATCATTTCTATCCAAAGGAACGGAAATGAAAAATATAAAAAACCAAAATTATGTAGATAATAAAAATTTGAAAAAAAAGAAAAAAAAAAACGCCTTCCCCTGGTCATTTTGGCGCTTATGGATGATACGCTCCCAGTGACCATTAAATTACCGAAGCTACCAGCTCGCTTTCGTCTCTCACCTTCTATTTGGGCAACGAAAAGGAAATCTCCCGAGCTGCTTCGCTCTGACCAATTCTCCATTCTCCATTCTCCGTCTTTCTTTCCGTACAGCTCTTTACCAAATCCTTTTCTTACACACACTCCCATGTCCCGTACCCATTCTTACCATCCAACCACAACCCACGGCTAACCTTTTCCTTCCCCCCCCGAACTACACTGACTGTACACTTCCTTCCACGACCACTAAACTCCCCCCCCTCCTCTTCTCCTTCCCCTACCACATCTTCAACTTCTGTGGCTGAGTTGATGTCAGTTGGTTCCTCAGGCCCCTTCCTATAGATCTTTATTGGAAGGCTCTATGGACCGTACCGTCTTTACTATTTTTTTCCTTTTCCCTTTCTGAATCCGCTCGTCATACGTCTCCGCCCCTCCTTCCACCACCCCTCGCCTCCTCAACATTTCTCATCTTCAAATACAAAAAGGGGCCCACGTCACTATTTCACCCTCTGGATTAGGCTCTACTTCTCCTCTGCCCTGTGGTCGATTCAGAATCTAAATTTTTGTACAATCAAACTATCGACTAATACATCGACATTTCGCTGACGCTCCGCAATCTTCCCTTGATCGTGGCATCTACGCCTTTTCGTTTCTTTTTGAGGCTCGCATGTTTCCGACCCCAACCATATCGCGCGTCAACGTCCGTCCTTTATTCTAAATCAAATCTCAAAACGATACCTTGCGATCGACCTGCCCTTGCTACCTTCGCTCCTCTGATCAACTGAACTTTTGATCTCGATTTCGCAAGTAACGAAGCTCAACCGATCGCCCGCCCCCAACCTCGGAACCTCGGGGGAAAGAGATAACGGACCTTCTCTTCCCACCCTCCCCAGGACCACGACAATACAGGCGCTCGTGGTCTTCCCAAAATTGGCCCACTTCAGATGTTACAACGAATTCTGCAGTCCTTTTGATCCCCTATATCCGACACTTCCTCGAACTCCGGCGTATCCCTCGGCGCAAACCACTCGTAGAGTTATTCTCAATGTTCCGCAATCGGTGCGTGCCCTTTTTGTTTTTGCGCATGAATAAACGGCATTCGAGCCTCTTTCTGAAAATAAAATGAAAGGAAATGGTTTACTAACACCAATTTTTTTGGGAATATCTAGCACCAACACTCAGAAGCCTGATGATGAGCTCATCAGTCGCTTCCAAAGCACATTCGCGGATGTCGTTCCCCGACGAGCCAGTCATGCAAGTGCCTCACACAGCACATTTCCCAACGGGACGGGAGATCCCATGGTTTCGAACAGGTATGCAGTCCAAAGCTATGCTAGCCCGGGACCGGAGGCTGATCTGGCACACGGCTTCAGACCATTGGAACACCATGAGATGAAGGTGGAGGAGCACGGTTTGAAATTCTCCAGCGAACGAACTCCTCGGAATCTGCAGGATCTCAACTTCACGCCCTCATGGATCGATTCGCAATCGATGACGATGATGTCTCTTGCCGGGCAGCACCCGGGGTTTTATACGCCAAACTCGGGAGGGATGGGTGCCATTTTCCACAACCAGGCAGGCGACCTACACACGCCTACCGCTGGACTGAACATGATTACGCCTCTTACCCTTCCCAACCCGATCCCCATCGGCCAACATAATCCCCCGTCTACGATAAACCACTTCAATCAGCAATACCTCGCCCAACACATGCCCGATATGAATCCTTACGTTCAACAACAGACCTTTGCTCCCAGTGCATTCATGCACCGAGACTCGTACGATGCTATGGACGAATCTGTGGACACCCCGTCAATCACGTCAATCAATAGTTTCCCAATTGATCAAGCATCAAACTTGTCTGTATCTACGGATTACTCGGGTGCTCTTAACATCAGTTACGCCGAAGGTGAAAAGTACGTGAATCCTTTCTACCATCTGATTTGTAGCCATACTAACAATGGCTCTCGCGCTAGTTTCCGCTACAATGTCTCTCTGCGAGCTCCAACAGCAATGGTCAAGCATTGGCGAGAAGTTCCCATCTCCTACCTTAACAAGGGTCAAGCGTATAACCTGACAGTCGTGGACTCTAACCCGCCCATGGTCGGCTCTGAGCCGCTCCAGTACCGAACATACGTGCGAGTTTCCTTTGAAGAAGAAGAACAGCGTTCGAAACCGGCCGCCTGCTGGCAATTATGGAAAGAAGGTCGCGGTATGAGCGAGTCGCACCAACGGGGAGGGAAGCTACTGGCAGTGGAATATGTGGATCCGCACCAGGGTGGTGAGGACCACAAGCCCCGTCAAATTCAGGTCGAGCACACATCTTTCGATGGATTCTGCGTTACTTGGACTGCCAATCCGGCAACCGGCACACCTGACTGTTCAATCCCTGTGCGATTCAATTTCTTGTCGACCGATTTCAGTCATTCCAAGGGTGTAAAGGGTATCCCGGTGCGATTATGTGCAAAGACAGAACTTCTGACACCCGGTGATGGATCGGAAAGTCCCCGCGAGGCGGAGGTATGCTATTGCAAAGTGAAGCTCTTCCGTGACCACGGTGCCGAGCGCAAGCTCTCCAATGATATTGCGCATGTCAAGAAGACGATTGAGAAGTTGAAGCAGCAGATTACCCAAACAGAGATGGGCGGTGGGTTCAGCAAGCGCAAGCGCGGAAGTAACGCCACGGCGAACTTGAAGATGGCAGACCGGTCCAAGAACCACCTGAAACACAAGCGCACATTTTCCGTGAGCTCACAGGACGGTCAACCCGAGAAGTTGTCTTTGGAAGATGATCTGCAAGCCAAGTTGGTTATGATGCAGGACATGTTCTCATCGACTCGCACAATGAGTGTTCTTGCCTTGCGCGGTGACGAGGAAGATGACCCGGACTTGTACCCTGTTCGGCTACCCGCTGATGGCGAAACCCTCAAGGTGGAACTTCTCGGTCGACAGAACACAAGCGCTTTGCAATCGATGGAGTCTTCGATTCCTTCTCCATCCAGCAGCAGTGTCTCTTTTAACTCGCCCCAAGTACACGAGAGCAAATTGGGTGCTGCCTTGAAGGACTCGAAGAATCCAACCACCGTCCCGCGGGTCACGATTGACGATTCTATCTCGACTGGATTCATCGAGGCTGTTGATATTGACCCGACATACCGCCCACCTGCGGAGCGTCCACCAAAGCCTAGTATGTATCATTCTTCGAGTTAAAAATTTTTCTTTTACTGACCATGTTGCAGTTGCATGCTTTTACGTTCACTTCGCCGGTACTGACCAGCAGCCCGATTACTACCGTGCCATCTACCTTACTGAGCGCACTGTACGGGACTTGATGAGGAAGATTTCCGAAAAGAATCACCTCGACCCAGCCCGCATCGTGCGCATTCTGCATGTCAACCAGAACGGCCTCCGAATCATGGTTGACGACGATGTGGTCCGCGAGCTTCCAGAGGGACAAGACATGATCGTCGATATCTATGAGTCTCCCGCTACTACGAATGAAGACGGCGATTGGTCGCCTGGTACTCCGGTGGAAATCAAGTTGACATACTGATCTGCCCTGGCCTCACTATGCCACATCGCGCCATCGGGAGCCAACACGATGTATTTCAGGATGCATCTACCTGTTTCCCCATGGCTATAATCTTTCGACTCTCGCTACAAGTCCCGACCATCCTTTCCATCTCCGCTCGGCCTCGTCTCTGCCTATGCTGGCATCGAGTTGCACCTGGTGTGTACTTGCACTTCTAGGATAGCCCACTTTGCGGGTTTCCAATTTTAATTCTCTTCGTCCCTTGTTATTTTTTCCTATTGTCTTTTGTCATTGGGTCGGCGGTTACACATTTACAGGGAGTTGGATACGGAGGTAATACACGAGTCTCCGAACAATGATACCCTGTCGCCATATGTTATGGTTTGAAATTTTTTTGGAAATTTTTTTGATGATCCCCGTTACTGTCATCGATTTCACTCAGGGCGTTGGTATGTATTTCATTCCCTCGCCGACTCTATCTGTGTCCATGGGCGACGGTGCGAAGTCGCTGATATACACATACTGCGCTTTGCTTTATGTCGATATCACCACGATCCGCTTCTATATTTTTTGATCTTATTGCCCGGTCTTCTTTCATTCACCTGGTCTCGGTTCGACGCACACGAATTTAATACCCCGTTCCAAAGTTCTGAAGCTCCTTTTGATCTTGATCTCTGTTGCGTGGTCTCTCTGCATATTGTCTTTTGTCTATCTCGTTCAGCGTTTTGGTTTTCTCTCGTTTATCTGTGAGGCTTATTATCTCTTCTCCTCTTTCCTTGTGTTATTTCTGCCGGGGGCGCATATACACGGACTTTGGATCTTTTCGATACAGATAGTTACTAGGGGACGGGGGTTATAAATCAACATATCCGATGCATTAGGTACAAAAACGGCAACTGATTGATTCATCAAAACTTCATTCCCGCATTCTGAATACTAGAAACCTACACGGTTAGCCCCTAAATCTCAAAATACTGTAAGTAGTACAGTAGTCGAGGTTAATAGGGAGACGTGAGTTTGAGTGGACTGAAATTAAGATTTCGGACTTAACTCACGAAGGCTATGGTAAAAACGCTTCCAATTTACCTCCTTCTCAAAGTAGTTCTCTCCTCCGTGCTCCTAACCAAAAACATAGGCAACAATCAGCCATGTGAACTCCAAGTTCCCCCAAGGATTCACACAATTGGTGGCTATCGCCCCCTCCAAAGGGGAGATGAAGAAGGTTTGTTTGGAAAGCCCCACCCCCAGAGCCGGTCCCAGCAACCAGGTAACGCGCACAGGGCTGTTGAGTTACTGGTCCACGAGCTGGGCCGCGGTAGAAAGCAGAACCACAATTTGCCATTATTCCTAATTTCCATCATCTTCGACTCGGATCTGTGCCATGGGTCGATGTTGGGCTAGCGTGTGATGGAGTCTTGCCTGAAACGGCGATATGGACTCGGAGGTCCGACGGCTTTAATTGGGCGGGAGTCGAGGCCGTGTGTATTTTTTTTGACGTAGATGGACGAAGCTGAGGCTCGGGAAATGCCTTTCCGAGGGGGGCGGATGTCGGCGTTGTGGGGGTGGTTTTTTTGGCTGGCGATATGTCATCCGTTAATGCTTAGTTAACTTATTAGGTATAGTATGATCGATGGTTATATTGTTTTATGTCACTGCTCTTCTCTTATTGCTCCATTCTTGATTTGGTTCGCCAAAGGGTTTGATGTTTGGTTGTGTTGCATTTAGCGCCATGGTGGTTTGGGAATGGGGTCTCGGACTCGATGCTGACGACTGTTATTTGGTCGAACTAGTTCGCTGTTATTGCTGCTTTGAGGCTTGCTGTTCCATGGCTAAATTAGTGTTCTGTCAACGGGCTAAACGGTTTGATGAACACTTTTGAAAAGCATACTGTATAGTATAGATGGCCGTTCAAGGAGCTTATTGGCTTACTACCAAGATAGTCTCATTTCGTTTAAGATTATCAACGTAGATCGCTTTGTCCTCTCGAGCCCGAATATTCTGCAAATCTCCGTTATTACCACGCTGTTAGACTTGGTGTGTTTCATCACGTTCTTGGGCCCTCTCTCGCAAACTGTTCTATACCCATTACTGTACGACTCCCACGATCCCTCCTCCACTCTGCTATCTAGAAGGTCTATGACGTCAGAAACACCTTCCCCTTCTCACTGGGAGTCTCGAGTCATACCCTCGCAGAGTAACACGCCTAGCAGGCATCCATCTTGAATCGCAGCAGCTCGATCCAGAACGTTCTCCCGGTCTGCCGATCAACGCCCCCCCACCACCCCCCGCCGCTAGACTGAACCACAATAATCACACCCCTTCCCTCTAGTCCAGTGGACCTGCGATCCTTGCACCCCTCCATTCAACCCTTTCATCTATCATGCGTGCCATGAGCGCTAAATTCCAACGGGTAGATCACTCTCTCCGGGAGACTTTACCAGCGAATCCCATCACCGCCTACGGAGTATTTCCCCCTCAAACCGGTCCCTATGACATCATTTTAAAAGTTCCTTGGCGGTTGGGTCTTGGCTCTTCAGTACAGTAGTAACAGTACGCCCTCCGTATGGCATATTCCGTACACGTTTCTGTTTCTCACCTGCCAGAATCCACTTTGCTAAAATCTTTTCCACACGGGACGACCCGTTACACTACTTGGTCCAATCAGTAAACGGGCTTGTGCTGCGCATCTTTATACGGTATTTCAGATCTTGACTGCTAGGTACGTATAGTATTCGGTTTTTCAGTTCGATGGCGCCGTTTGTATGAAATACCGTACTCTCCACACGGGTCATGCATTGCTCTGTGCTCTCGTGGCTTTTCTATCATGCCGTTTTGGCCTGTACATAGTTTAGGCGTTTTTGTACCGCGGTATATGTATGCCCCCGCTGAGAGATCGTCTGCTCTCCCTCCTCTTCTTGATGAGTCTGATCCCGTGTTCTGCTGTGCGTCTGGCCCGGTCGAGAAGCCACATTTGCTTAACGGCGTGATATCTTTTCCGGATAGGAACCTGTTTTTGTCATTGGAAGATCGGGATCACGGTGTTTGCTTGAAATATAGCGGGAATAGCGGTAAGATACACTCTAGAGTCTGGACCTTGTGGCATAGGTGGTAGGGGTAGCCACAGTTTAGAAGGCAAACCTGGCGTTGGCTGTTTTAAGTCTACCAGGCTCGTTTGTTTTTTGCCTCCTTCTGTGTTCCTTAGTTTGCGAAGATAAAGAATTGTCATTTATTGCCACGTTATGGTTAGTTCCCATAGAACGAGTTCTGAAGGTCATACCCTGACTTGATGTTTACCAGTGACTGAACATGGCATGTAAATTAGTAGTAAACTAGTGGAGCTTCCCCTGACAGCATGATCATGGCGCTGGTGCTGGAAGGGCTGGAGAACATGACATGTGTGGCTGGGTAGGGTTTTAGTTTAGTGCGGGTAAACCACAGCATCGGGACTATAACTGATGGTTAGTGTGTTGTTGACCCTGTACCTTATTTGTGCTTCATGATAGAGATATTTTAGTAGAACTAGGTAGGACTAGGTGTTTTTTGCTTGGGTGCTCGTAGAATTCGGAGTTTTAGTGAGATGCTGGGCATTCTTGTGAACATCTGGGTTCTCTTCTTCACTTCTTCCCAGCTATGCATAGCTTCTAATAGTATATTCTAGATTGAGCAACGTCTATTAGAGGATTCATGGATATCAGGCTTTCATAGTATTTATTCTCTTTCTAGTTTTCCTACTTCATACACTTAAAAGTGTCTGCTTCTACAGACTTCTTCGTTATTCTTATACACTTTGTTATTACTTCTTTCTGTCTGCTTAGGCAGGCAATGATATCTCGTTTTATAATGCGTATGATTGCGAGCAAAGAGACTGCAGAACAGAACTTTAGGCTTAGATTAATGAATACCATGATGCTACAAATAAGGTCATACCTGACCTGGAGCTCGGTCTCAATAAGCTTATTCGCTGTTTCAGATTACACAAGCCTTCTCGGTGTGTTTACTCCTGCGCTGTTCTCCGGTGAATGTCGTACATGTAACCCTATTAACTCCTGTAAACACCTGGTGGTATCTCTCCTCCTAACGCTGTAAGCCGATATTGCCGGTGGTCACCGTTAAAAGAGTCCGGTATAAGGCAAGCCCGTGAGCACGAGCTCCGGGGGTCGCTCCTTCCCGAAGTGGGAGGTGCGACAGCCGACTTGTGCCCCCCGGCCTTTTCTCCCTTCGTCTGCTTTTCTCTTTCTTTTCTTCTCCTTCTCTCCTCCATCCTTCTCTCCATCTCTGTTCCATCACGCGTCCATCAAAAACCCGCTCGTTTCATCGATTTCGTCATCTACACTCGTTCAAGCACCCGCTATCACGTCAAAATGGCTTTCCTTGAGAAGGTTCACTTCATGATGCTCCTGCTCGCCATGGTTCTGGTGAGCATGGGCTTCGCTCAGAGTAAGTTCCCTGGTTGACGGCTCCGCCCTTGACTTTGTCTGCTCACATGTCCGGACAGATGTGAATGCCTTCGGTGAGGCCTACGATGTCGTTGGCCATAACGCTCATGGTCGTAAGTCTCATTCCCCCCCTTCCCAGTCCTGAGTCAGATCGCTGACTATGTTGATATAGTGGATGATTTCTCTGGTCTGGTCCCTAATGCTTTCATCCATGCTGCTCGTGGTAAGTTTTCCTTCCTCTCGACCAGAAGTTTTATCATCGAGGACCGTTTCTGATATTGTAATAGCTGTCTCCGCCACTGCAACTGATGTGACTCGGGTTACCATCTCCCTCGGGCCCACCAGCACTTCCGAGATCTCTTCCACCCAAACCGAGGTGACCCGTGTTACTTTCTCAATTGAGCCCAGCAGAACCTCCGAGGTGTCGTCCACTCCAACTGAAGTGACTCGCGTTACTATCTCGCTCGAGCCTACTGAGACTTCGGAGGTTTCCACCACCGAGACCGAGACTGAGCCTTGTGGTGGCGAGGAGACCACCTTGACCTTCAGCATCTCTCCAACCAGCACTGGTCCTGCCTCCACCCCTGCCACTGGAACTAGTACCAAGGTCACCTTGACCATCATCCCCACGAGCACTGCCACTGAGACTGAGACCGAGACCGTGACCTGCTCTCACTCCTCCGCATGCCACACCAAGGGGACTACCTCGACAGGTTTCGGGTTCACCATCTCTCTGACTAGCACGATCATCAACAAGAGCACTTCTTCTAGCGCCCCTGCTACTTCGGCTAGCACCCTGACTACCAAGCCTTCCACTCCCGGCGTCCAGGTTACCAGTACCAAGAACACCGTTGAGACCACCCCTCTCAAGACTGGTACCACCGCTGCCGGGACCGCCACTTCCACTGCTGTCTTCAACGGTGCTCAGAAGATGGAGGGCCTCAACAAACTGACCGTCACTGGTATTCTCCTGCTTGTCTGCAAGCTGGTTCTGTGAGCTTCCAGAAAGCCTGGCCTTTTGGCTTTGCACCACAGCAACTGCTCGTGGTTTCTGGGAACGATGAGATCGTTATGTTCTTACGACACAGGGATATGGCGTTTATGATTTCTCTTTTCTGAATGTGCTTGGGATGCAGTGTCTGCTCCCTTGATCTGATGTTGTCTTGTGATTCCATTTTTTGCCATAGTGCGAGCCTAGTCTGCACCAGTTAATCAACACCTGATATCGAACTTTCAACTTGAACTTTCCTTGTAGTTATTATCTCTTCTGCGATTAGATTTGATCAATTGTGCCTGTCAATATGGCCACTTAACAACGTAAAGTTTTAGATTTCAATTTTCAGGCATCACTGGACTAAGAGTGGAAGGTAATATCCTGTTGACAGATCACAGTCCAAGTCTTCTTGAAACATCTTCCGTCTACCAAGCTTGACCATCTTCATCCATCCATTCTTCACGGCACTCCCGCTAGCAGTAGCAATGACCACATTGTTGCAGCCTGGAATGATCCTCTGCACAGTAAGGGCGGCTTCCCCCAGAACAAAATGCTCATGGGGAATCGGCCGATCTACCTCGTTCCCCATCGATAACATTGTGTGGTCATGGTTCTCTGTACAAGTCGATTGGAATGGAGGATTAAGCAGGATTCGAGTATACAACGTTGTCTTTGCACTGTTGAGATTTGCCACTCGACATGGCATTGTACATGTTCGGACAAGTCCGTGATGTGCTTCCATGCAGCGTTGGCTCACGACAGCAAACGTTGCCACGTCTCGAGAGTCTTTGATGACTCGAATCCAATTATTGATTTCGCTGTGAGATGGGGATGGCTCGATGCGGTGCGTTCGAGAAGTTTCTGTGAAAGGCCAGTATGCCTGCAGATTGTTGTCGTGGTCAACCCCGGTGTCTTCGAGAGCGATGATTGCGTTCATGATTATGCGCCGGAGGTATTCTTTTCTTGTCGGGTCACCTTCTGGTGGGATGTTGACTGATGTATCGATGTCGTCCGTGGAGAAGAGTCGAGTCCAACATTTTTGAATGCAGTCAGGATCGGCGATTCGGTGTCGACAGGGTGTTGACTGTTGAGGTAGTGGTAGTGGAGATATGCCCTGTTGTCTATTTGCCGTTGTCTGCGAGAGACGAAGCGCATCCCAGAGAGTCACTCGATGGGCATTGCCAGTGCAGGCACTGACTTCCAAACCAATATAGCTGGAAAGAAGGGACCGTAAATTCGGCTTCCCGTATTTGCATTTTTCAATGATCGAGGTTTTCCATTTGCGGGCTGGATTGCGCTTCCACTTTAGCGCGCCTCCGGCCTGAACGTAGCTTCCCATGGTGGCTTGCATGGTAAGGTCCCACCCCTCGAGAGTATGGTAAGCATTGTGGGCTCCGGAGGGCTGGAGTCGAGGTAGAATTCGTGCTTGGAGATAGTTGATTTGTGCTCGACATCCTTCATTGATACTCAATCCTGTGCCAATCAGGATCCGAGATGAACTGTATAACAGAATTGGGTTTTCGGTTTCGTAGCCTGTGTAGGAACTTGTCCAGTGGCACTCAATCTCTGGTAGAGACTGATCGGTCTGCCTGTGGCGTGGAAGGGGGATAATGTATCCCGCTTCCGTTCGAAGGAAGACGCCTTCATCTTCGTCTCCTCCCATGAACCAGACTGGACCCCATAGTTCTTGGAGGTCTTTGACTGTGAGAGATACCTTCAAGCCAGTCTGTTGTGACACATTTTGATCTATCTCGAGAACACAAGCTGGCCCACCAACAAAGTCTTTCAGGCAGGCTAAATCTCGCCAAGAGAAGGAATGACCTTGCCCAACAAGGATCTTGCTCAATTCCTCTCCCCAAAGGTTCTCATCAAACCGGCAGACATGCGAACCAGAGAAAGCTACCAGGCCAATTGCCAAGGCGTTAGTCAAGAACTGCACATACTCGAGTTGGTCCCAGTTCGAGTTGGGAGACGGGCTACCGAAAAGATCGAGAAGTAATGGCCACCCAAAGATAGAGGTAAATTCGAGAAATCCATCTGCAGTAGCGAGAGGCGATACTCTACAAAGGGCGTCGTCAATATCGTGTATAGAAATCCGGACGGTATTAGCAACATCAGGTCGTGACTGATCTCTAACCAGAATAGAGAATGCGCCATCACAAAAGCCCTCCTCTGTTAGATTCTGAAGCGCATGCCTACTCCTCTGCAAGCTTTCCCTGCATTCGCTTAGGGACTTTTCCTGCAGCTCGGGGCCTTCGATGCCACAGATCTCTGCTGTTCTTCGTTCAAGAAGATCTAGCTTTCTATAGTAGGCACCGGGGCGGAGGATGTGTTCCATGTCCTCCGAATCTGCGAAACCAGTATCGAGGTCGAAATCCTCTTGTTGATCAGGCCAGGTAATGTTGGTTTGCATTGAATCATCATCAGATAGTTGTGAGGACTTGCTTGTACTCGAATCAACTGTGTTTGGGATAGGCCGCGTTGGTGTTTTACCTTTCCTGAGGGTGAGAGGCGCAAATGGAGTTGTAGTCAGGTCAAACTGATCATTGTCCTCTGGTGTAGTGTTTTGGATTTTACTTTGCGCTGTTTCATTCGACTGCATCTTGTCCATTGAAGCGAATTGCATGCTTTCCTGCCCTTCTTCACTGTTCTGAGGAGATTGGTACTCGAGTCCAGAATCCTGGAATGCAGGCAATTCATAGATGCGCTGCAAATTGATCCCCGTAGTTTGCTCTTCAGTTACCGCCGCTTGTTGCTGACTCCCATCTTTCTGAAGTGCCGTACCCCGCTGAGAATTCCGTTCATTATCACTAGGATCACTTCTGGTCCCACTGTTGCCGGACAGTACCAAACAGTGCTCTATTAGACATTGGCATAGCTCATTCCGGTCGTGGACTGTGCGCGCACAGATATCACATCGGGGTGGACATTTCAATGGAACTCTGGCCTCGTCCACCTCCTCGTCTTCAGGGTCTTTCTTGTGCTCAGTACGAAAGTGGTATTCAAATTCGTGACACACCCGATAAACTCTACCGCACCCTTCCTCGGGGCAGTGAAACTCATGAGAAGGAAAGTGCTGGATCATTAAATGCCTTTTGAAGACGGGGTAGCGATTGGAAGTGAAAGGTTTGGCGCCAACCGTCTTGCATAACAGGCACCGGTATTCTTCTTTTGATTGATTCGATGTGGAATAGCTGATTGGTTTTGGAGCTCCCGTGGCCGGGGTTTCTTTAATCAGGTCATCAACATGGCTTATGAGCTCTTGCAGATCCTTCCGTAGCTCAAGTAGTTGAGGTTGTGGGATTGCATGACGACGATGTTGCAAGTTTGCGCCCACAGCCTGAAGACGCCGACCTAGACTTTCAAATATTGCATCGCGAGCACTGTGCTCAGTGGGGTGTATTTTCATCGATGGATGCGGATCCAGCATGGTATTGAAAGGGATTTCAAGAGGAGGCATCTGAGGAGAAACATATGCACGACTCGGCCTGGTGCCCAAGGATTGGAAAGGATCCGTTGGAGACAATCCTCTTGTTGAACCACCACTCGGCCTCGTTTCTCCTGGAAATGTGTTTGCCGAATAGTTTAGGATATCAGAACTCAGGGTCGGTGAGTATTCAAAATTCGACGATGGAATTTTGGAGGGTTGAACGCGAGGATATTCGACTTGAACATCCAACATCTCCACATCCTGACTAGGTGGCATAGGCCCCGCCCAGTAAATCGACGAGGACCTTGACGATCCTGTCTCATCCTCATTCATGTTGGAACAAAGTTAAAAGACGTATGCAAAAAACTTGAGTACAATAGATGACAGCCCATTCTGTTTGATTAAAGTAGGAGCTTCGGCTTCTTAAGCTTGTCTGTCGGTACGGATTGCCTCGATTACCTGGGTGCTGACAGCTCGCCGCCAGGCTGCGGGTATTGGTCCCTCGTGTGACTGGAGTGCATTGGCTACCGCTCAGGGTCCAATGAAATGGACCCTACACGAATGCTTCAGCCAATCTGAACGAATAAAAGGTGCCAGCGACTCGAGACTGAGCCTCCTCGTGCAACCTTAAGAGGCCAAACCTCTTGCCCCAGAGAACGCCTGGCACAGCCACAGCCTCACTTGTGGCAATGATTGAACCCAGCCGTGTAGTTATCGGCAAGAATAGTGAGCTGTGGCCGTACTAAAATGGCCGAATTCGTCCATGCCAAGGCCAGAGGCCTCTTGATCATATCGCGTAAAGTTGTATGAGTCCACACGCTTTATGGCCAAGTAACCGCAGTTTTCAAGGGGTAACATCCACATCGATATGGCTATACACAGGTACATTGAATGTATTCAAAGGTAGACTTGCAAGTATATTTACATAATGAATAGTTGTCAAGGGCAAGCCAGATCCAAGAAACCAAAGACAGGGCTCCGTTTGGTGAAGGTGGCTTGGCAATACCCTGGGGTTGCCTTCTTCACAGCATCAACAGGTGGCCCGAGTAAATTCACAGGGTATCTCAAAAGAAACAAAGGGAATGCAAGGCGTTCATTTACATGCAGAAATGGGTATATGAAGAGATCGCTCAACTAGACTTCGACTTCGCTGCCAAGGGACTCAATTTTCCTTGTCAGCCCACAGATCCGACACCCGTCGCCAATCTTGTCTCGCAAAAGACGCGCCGTGGTAACCTTCGGGCCAACAGTGCGAGAGGCACTTGGATTGGTGTGCTCCTCGGAGGGAGATGATGGACGGGGTGTGCGATCTGCAGACCTGTTCGAAGTGTCCACACTGGATGGCTGCTGTGAGTTCTCCGAATGCAAGTGCGAGAGGTGGAAAACGTGTCCACAAGCAAAGCCAATCAGAATTTCTCGTTCTAAGAAAGAAATCATTTGTTAGCATTAAAAACTTCTAGTAACACACTAGCTCACTGGATCTGAAATTACATACCGTTTGCTTGGAAGGGGGCGTTACAACCACCACATCGCCCTTGGCCTGGACTCGCGCGTCGGGTTGAGCCACTGGATACTGACTTGTCATCACCTTGACCATTGGTCAGTGCCATGTTTGGGAGCGTCGCCCCATCAGCAGTCTCATCGTGGCTGATATTGAATTTGATTCCACGTCTTTGTCCTTTGCGCAGGGTATCCATTCCCAGAGCAACCTCACTCTGCATGACTCGGGCAGCACCCTGACTGATACTGGTCTGTAGGTCATGTTCCCGTATCAATCGAGTAAGGCCGTCTCGTAGGCCCTCGATCTCTAATCCGCTTGGAATTCGACGCACCAGTTTGATGGGATCAATTGATGTTCCAGCCTCGACAAGCAGCCCGTGAATGAACTTTGGTTTATCCATAGAGTAATCAAGAAGGTCTTCCCAGAGATCCGGGTCGTCTTGTGTCTTGGCAAACGAGATGGCTTGGGATACATCCTTCAGATCAGATAATATCAGGTTCAAGGCTCGCTTTGTCTGGCCCACCTTCGACAACAGGTAGATCAGCTCTTGAGTAAAGTGGCGCTGTTCACAGATATGTGTTGCCGTCTCAAAAGAATATGAGATGCTTGTCTGCAAAAATTCCATCAACAAGGGCCGGTCATAATCAGCAAAAACCTCCACGGCAGTATCGGCAAAAGCATCAATCAGAGCCTTCCCTTCGTCGGCCGCCAATTTGCTTGCTGCATCACGAGCATGGGCTCCGCGGCCACGTCGGGGCTTTGAGGCCTCGTGGGGCGAGGCTTCACCACGCCAGAGAGCTCGAAGATAGAAGTAAAGGAACAAGATCCGGTTTGCAGCCTCGAGCTGGGATACCACTGTCTCAGGACGGACAATGCCCGTATAGGCTTCACTGACCAATAGCTGTATTGGTTCTGAAGCCAGCTCCTCCAGCTCGGACTTTGGAGCTGATTTCATCTGCTCTTTGGTCACTCGAATCATGATGAAAGCGGGTATATCATCTGACACTGTATCCACTAAGTGGTGTTCCTTTATCAAAGCCATGGCTGCTTCCGCATCCTGGAGTCGAATGTAGCAGTGCAAAGCCTCGCGATAATGACCACCCATGAGATGCAGTTTCGCAAGGCAGTCAGTCAAGGTTAGCCATTCTTCAGACTGGGCCAGAATTGACTTCGACTTGAGTTGATCCTCGATAGACAGTATCACATTGTCTGCTTCGAACAGATCCGAAGGCCATGAATCAACTAGATCTTTGAACCGACCGAGATCTCGTGAAATATAGTGATTGAGGATGAACTCATATATCCCCGCAGGTAGGGAAGGGTGTAGGTCAATGGGAATGTACGGTGTTATCTCATCTACCTTGTCTTTCTTGATGAAGATCCATGCCCAGTGTTCCCAGCGGGATGAATTACATAGGACTTTGCCACAGATTTCAGCAGCTTCTGACCACTTGTCTTGATCGACCAGTTGCTCAACCCACCGTTCACCGATTTGAGCCTTTTCTTGATCAGAAGCAGAAGCTTTTGCCCGTCCAGCAGTCATGATAGAAGATCGGTCATCAGCAAAGAAGTCTCCCAAACTACTTTGCGACCTGATACCAGGAGGAATATCGGCCAAGTCTGGAACTGATCCTGCGACTTCAGGATGTTCATCAATGAGGTTCCATGCCTGGTCATACTGGCCACGAGAATTCAACCAAGCAAGTCGGTCTGTAAGATCTCTTTTCATCGCAACAACGCAGTCATACGGGCTGTGGACGAATATCTTTGCACCTGGAGCTCCCGAGACGTCTTGCACTTCCTTAGGAGGTGTCTCATCAACCGAGAGTTGTCTTGAAATGAACGACGGGGGCACTCTGGCTGAGACTTTGTCCCCGCTGCTTGCTGTGCTGCGAATGCTAGCGCCGGAGCTGAAGAGCCTGGCAGAATACATTGTGGCATCGAGAAGACCGTGCCCAATAGTGCCCAAAGCACCCCGCTGAACCACTTGTCCCTCGGGCGTTTTCCAAGGTGGCAAGACACTCAAATGATAGTCTGAGGACGTGAGGCCTTCGAAGCGGCCAACAGACAGTGTGTCTGCACTAAGCTCTTCCTTCGTCTCGATATCGATGATTCGAAGCTCAGGCTCCAGACTCCTCTGTCGGTGACGTTTTCCAGAGGTCTTCTCAGCACTTTCTGGAGAATCACCTTCCGCTTCGATGTGTGCAAGTACAACAAGAAGACGAGGGCTGTACAATGAGATGCCAGATATAACACAGTCCGTTCGCAATCTGGATTTGAGAAGGTTAAAAGTGAACCTCACAGGCCCGTCGAGTGTGCAACTTACATTGTAGATACCTCTGCAGATCCATATCGCTGTCCTTTCGAGGACTTGCAAGCCCGGTCAGGGAAGACATCAATGACCCACACAGTACCTCCCCATCCAACAACAAGCTTTTCGGACTTTTCTGCTCGCACTGTTGAAGCTGTGCGTTTCCCCGCGATATTGTCGCCGGGATCTAACTGGTCGTCATCGTCCAACGCGGATTCATCGATCCATTCTGCTCGTGCTTTCCACACACTGGCCATTTCTTCCCATCCAGGTCCGTTTGGACGATCAATATGACTGATCCGCTTCCAAGCAAACTCCGATTCGGATGATTCAAGATGCAAATTGGATCGCATTATCTTGATACCTTCTTCATTCACCCAGGTGACGTACTTTCCTGACAGAGACCATCTGATTGTGCCGATTGCGCCTTCTCCGCTGTGTAAGACGGTGTCTTTTCCACTGCTCGCCCCCAAACCCATGGATCCCAGCCAGCTTGAAGCTGTAGCAGTTGCGCCTCCCATTGTAGTGGCGTTGGAACTCACACCAATACGGCCGCCTGTTGTGAGAATCAACTCACCAGCTCGGCCACCGGAAATGAATGATCGATCATTCTTGTAGTCCGGGGAAAGCGCAACCGCTTGTACTGGTCGGCCAAAGTTCCGCTTGAGGATATCTTTGGGGTCGATCAAAGAGGCAACGCATACATTACCATCAATTGAGGCAGACGCGATATGTATTGAGTTCGAGGGCGTTGGTGGGATCGGTACCTGCTGGCCTGACTTGGGGTTTCCGCGAATACTACCCGAGCTTGTCGATGTTCGTGTCGGAGGTCGTACATCTTCAGCACCCAGTGTGTTGGAGGCATCGAGCTTGAGCTTCGGTAGAGGAGGGGGGAAAGGAGATATAGATATGGACGTGACGCTTGCCGAATGTGCGTGGTATACGCGGAGGGGCTGCAAAAAGGGCAAAGAGAGGACATGCTGGGTGTGATGTATTAGCGTATGCTCCAGCTGGATGCGATCAGGAATGAACCACTTACAATAACGCCATTATGTGTTCCAACAATCTAGCAATGCCTGTTAGCTATGTTTCCTCGTTATCTCCAAGAGAGACCGACCATCTTGTCTCCTGCGACTAGGAATGTACTGGTCGCATCCCCCCTGCGATATACCGATCCCAGGTGCTTGGTGAGGTAAGCGTATTTGAGTCGGGGCTCCCCGTCATCTTCGTCAGAGTCCTCGCCATCTTCTTCTTCCTCTTCATCTTCTTCAAGGTCATCACTTGCTGCGATATCGTCGCCGTCATTATGGGAGTTCTTCTCGTGTTCGTCAGGGTGGGCGGCCGAAGAGGATCGGCTCCGTGCAGAGGACGCATCGAGCTCCGAAGCACCCTTCGTGACCCCTTGGTTCACCGTTTTCACGCCAGGCGCATCCATGGCGAGACCTTGTAGCGCCTGGGAGCTCCAGGTGTGTTAGAATGGAGGTGCGACAAGCATAAAGCAGCTGGCGGGACATGGATTGGAGCTGGGAGCTGGGGTTCAGGGTGGAGTAGAGATGACTAAGCGGGAGGGATCCTTGACTTCTGCAGGCAATGACATCGTCGCGATTTCTTTGCTCGACTATACGCCCGCCATGTTTGCGAGAACACCCCTTTGCTCGGCTTGCAAGCGACCGGTGGCTGCTCGCCTGCTACGGTTTTCACAGAATCAATATTTACATGCATCACCGGCATTGGGTCTCCCGCGCCGCAAGGACTTCTTTTCCTCCAACGCCAACCTCGCACAGAATCAGCTAAGCAAAAATGACGGGCCCTCGGACAATTCAGATTTCCAGAAGCAGCGACGACACAGCGGGAGAACACCTGCTGCCCCAACATCATTGCGACGAGTTGCAGTAGAGGCACAGAGATCGAAGGACGGGTTTCTTTCAAAAGCCCAGCTCAAGGAGCAGGGCATTGACCAGTCTAAGGTAAATCTGCCCTATCCAACATCTACGGCCATTTATACTAACTTTTGCTGTCACTCTATAGACAATCACTGCCTACGCCGTAGCCGAGCAATTCAATATACGCAAAGTCCGAGAGATCCTGCAAGAGAAGGGCTATGAGCCTGATCCACTAGCCACCGGACTCTATCCACAAGTGGTTCACGTCCAGATACCCATCGATTCAATCCGACGGGTAGGAAACCCGTCAACCGCTGGCCTATCATCCGACGAGGTTGGTGATATATTTGTTTTCCCGTCTGGAACAGTAGTGGCATGGTCACTCCCGGATGGGTTTACTTCATTTTTGGCGACGAGAACCTTACTTCCGGCCGCTGAAGGAGCCCATGTGGACAATTTGGAAACGGAAGACCTCGAGTTTGTTGAGGATCCCCAGCGAGAAAACAGCAGCATCAAGGGCGACACCATCATTCTCGGCACTAGATCGACGGATCAAGGACCAGAAACATCGCGTACAAATCAACAATCCGTTGACACCGTTCTAACTAAAGTTGCATTCTCGTCGGGCTTGGCACGAAGTACCAAACTCGCAGTACTTGAGAGCCTTTTATCAAATTATTTCGAATCAACCCGCACCATTCCCACTCTCCTCTCGCAGGGCTCGCGCCTACCCTTTACTCGGGACTTTGTCCTTCGCAAGACGGGCCAGCTGCTGAGTGTCCGCGCGCAACTCAACCTTTACTCGGAGCTTACCGACTCTCTCCCGGACCTATTCTGGGACAGTCGACATGAGCTTGGCTTAGAGGGATACTACGAACAAGTGGGCCGAGCTCTCGATGTGGGAATCCGTATCAAGCTTCTGAATGAAAAGATGGATTATGCACAAGAGATTGCAAGCGTGCTCCGCGAGCGTCTTAGTGAAACCCATGGACTTCGGCTTGAATGGATCATTATTCTGCTCATTGCCGTCGAGGTGGGCTTCGAAGTGCTACGGTTGTGGAAGGAGAGGGTTCACGAGGAGGAAGAAACAGCGCGGAAGCGATCATCTGAAGCTGAGAATGTTTAATGTTGCACATAGTCTTCGGTCATACTGTACTATACAATAAGATACCCCTTCGCTCTTGATCCATTTTTGACGCTCGTCTCCACTGCGGAGCTTCCCATGGATCGTGACCAGATCACGGGGTTGGGGCCGATGATCGCCTTAGTCATCGAAGCTTGGCGCATGAGATGAGAACAACCTCAGCCTCCATTCTACTTGTCTTTCTTTTGTAATAAACACAATAAACTCGACTTTCGATTCTGTCAATATTGTTGGTTGAGAACACCAAGAACTCATCAATTTCAAACTATGTGGAACCCGGCTCAGCAGGTGCTGGGGATCCCAGGACCTCAGAAGATCCTGAAGACGCTGGGTACCTGGTGGATATCGTCAGCTGCAGATGATAAGAAGCCGACCATCGGAGCTTCGACATCATGCCCCCTGTCTGAGATCAGTTGTCAAACGAAGTATCATGGCCAAGACACCTGCTGTTTCAATTACCCGGGAGGCCAGATGCTGCAGACGCAGTTCTGGGATGCGGACCCCGCGGTTGGTCCCGATGACTCCTGGACTATTCACGGCTTGTGGTAAGCGGACATCCCAGACCTGAATCGGACGAACTTCAGATTATTTATAATTTGTGATAGGCCTGATCATTGTAATGGCGGCTTTGATCAATTTTGTGACTCCAAACGGAAATACAGCAACATTTCGCTGATTCTGGTCGATTCAGGCCGTGGAGATTTGCTCGAATACATGACCGAGTACTGGAAGGACTACCGCGGCGACGATGCTCACCTGTGGCAGCACGAATGGGAAAAGCACGGTACCTGTGTCAGCACCCTGGAGACGCACTGCTACGAGGATTACATCCCCCAACAAGATGTAGTAGACTACTTCGACAAGTCGGTCGAGGTCTTCAAACAGGTCCCTTCATACGAGGTCAGTAATATTCTTTGTCTAGATCTATGGTCTTGCCGCTAAATCTTTGTGCAGTTCCTTGCCGCGGCTGGGATTCTCCCATCACACAGCCAAACCTATGCACTTGCAGATGTCGAAGATGCTCTGGAGCGCGCCCACGGTGCTCCCGTTACTGTGCATTGTCGACAGGGATCTCTCAGTGAGATTTGGTATCATTTCAATATTGCAGGAAGCCTGCAAACAGGAAAATTCGTTTCCGCGCCCCCAGGTTCGAGTGATCTCAGTAAACCTATGTCAAAGCAAAGCGCTAACATCCTCGTAGATGGACAAACTTCCAACTGTCCCAGGCGGGGCATCCGCTATCCGCCCAAGCGATCAGCGCCCGAGCCGACAAAGACCACTACGTATGTGCCAGAGCCCACGCAGACCGGAGCTCCCTTTTCAGGCAAGGGAAATCTGATGGTGTCCACCCTCAACCAGAGACGAGGCTGTATCATCAGCTATGGAACCTGGTACGCGTCTGGGACATGCGCAACTTTCCGCGCAAAGAAGGCGTCAGGTCAGTTTTGCCTTTTCCTTTGCGTAACAATAGTTATTTTGTGTGCTGACCCGAACTTTGCAGATGATACCTTTACTCTAAAGTCTAGCAAGGGCCTTTGCGCATTTGAAGATGATGCGTTGAACTGCGGTAGTCATGTCACTAGGGCAAGTGAATTCGCGGTACGTTATAAATCTCAGAGTTGTGTTCTTTGATTTTCAGTCATGCTAATCGACTATCACTAAACAGGTCAAAGACGACAAGCTCACATACCTTGGCAACACGACTTTCTACGCCGACAAGGCCCCCAAGGGCCAGGTCCAAAGCACCGTCTTTGCCTCTCAGGCAGAGCATTTGATTGAAATAGAAATTACTTGGAAGTCAAAGGATGCATTCTGATCGCATCTCGCATCTTCTGTGTCCAATCCTGCCAATCGCTTACCTATTGATAGCATCATCCCAACTGTTTTATGATATTTTTTAGATTCAGTGGCTTAGAGCGGAGGTTTATGTCTTACGTATAGCTATATGCAGACAACATCCTATGAAGCAGCTTATCAAATCCATTAATTGGTTTTCTAAATTTTACTATTGAGACTTAACATCGGCGGGGGTTGCAAGTATCATGCTATGGCGTTGCCTGGTATGACAACTGTGCCAGCAGGGTATAGAAATAGTTTCAAAAGGATTGCCGGTCGGATTCAGCAGTCAGATAGCCTGTGTAATCGAAGCACCTCCTGTCTCTCTTCCTCGCATTTCCTTGCAGAGTCATCCATTCAATCAGATAATTGCGGGTTGTTGGCAGTGAGTTGCCTGTGGTTGCCCATCACTTTCACCACTACGGAGCATCAATTCGAGCTAATCAAGTTGGTTCACGATGTTAGCAAATGTATTTCAAACAAAGTCGAGTGTCAGGTTTGACTTACCAACTCCAGGTCTGCCAAAGCCTGGCTGGGGCTCTGTTCAGGGTTCGGCTTGCCAGCTGCAAGAGCCACTCCCCATTGTCGAACTTCTGGTGGAACACCTGTCCGCTCGTCATCCACATTCTGGACATCTTCTTTGCCATCTAAGGTCCTAATGGTGATCTTGGGGCCTTCGACGCTGACACTGCCATTCTCACACCCAATAGTCCACTCGGGGCCCACCAGGCTAGTTCCATTCGACACCTGGAACGTACCCTGAATGCCAGTGTTGGCTTTGAAAATTGCATCAACTGTATCCACAGGTGGCAGGTGTTCCTTGAGCAGAGTTGTGAAGGCAGACAATCGAGTAATGAATGTGTCGGGTCCGAGCAGGTAGCGCAGTCCAGCTGTGTAGTGCACTCCACCGTCGAGCAGGAAGCCACCCTGGTGCGTAGGAACCTTTCTCCAATCGGTGTCTGAAGTCAAAATGTCAGCTTCTCATACACAAAAGGGCCGGGTCAGATGGTAGTATTACTGAAGAACTTTCCGTCCTGTTGGATATTGCCATAAACCTTGACACGGAATCCAATAATCTTCCCTAGGCCCTGGACTTTCTCCCGAGCGTATCGGAAGCTATCGAGGTAGCGGAAGTTCTCTGCTACACTCCAAGTAGCCTTCTTTAGAGGCTCAATTTCCTCGGTATACCATTTGATCAACGCCTCCGCCTCCACAACATTTTCGGCCACGGGTTTCTCTGACAAAACATGTTTTCCTGCGGAGAGCGCTGCGCGGATATAAGAGGCTTGGGAAGCGATGGAAAGTCTGGAGACCTGTGAGTTTGCATTACCTATGTGAGAGATGGATCGGCACTCACGCGATAATGACTGCATGGACATCCTCCCGCTTCAGCAAATCGTTGTATCCTTGGTCCGAGTCTTCGGAATACAGCTCAACCTGCTTGCCCGAGGCCTTGGCAGTATCCTCCGCAGAACTCAGCGAACGAGAATACACGGCCTTCAGGTCCAAGTGCTCCGATGCGAGTACCGCTGGCTATAAAAGGCAAATGAGTCGCCGTCTCTCACGGTGGTTAGCGGTCCCACATACCAGATGCTCCTCTTTGGACCAGATTCCTGCTCCAATCAATGCCACGCCGATTGTCATTTTGTTTGAAGATAGTGACTAACTTGACGACAGGGAATGTTTGGCAGTGTGTGTCTCGGACGAGTCTGATGTGGGATGTTGCGGGGATAAATAAGCTGTCTTATGAGGGGTGGGGAAAAGGTCGGAGATGGTCCGACGGGGTCGGGGGACCCTTTGGACACGGAAGTACCTCTCGATAATGCCCATCAAAGTCCTTTTTTTAGCCTAAAACGCTCACCGTCCGAGGTGCAATGCTTATATATCACGACGGCCAAGAGCTGTCCGCGGGAACTCTATCATGGAAATTGTCCAAGTCAGAGATGTCTGCCTATGGTTGAGCTCCTTTTCAATCGATATCATGGCCAAGCGAGTCGCGAGGGAAAAGATTACGGGACGCTGGGTTCATCTTTTTCGGCTGAACAGTAGTGACCGGAGGTAGTGATGGTGGTGATGCCCATTTAGCACCAGTAAAACCAAGAACCCCCAAAATCCCCAGCTCCAAGTGTTCTGTAAGCCGCTTGAGGAAAGCTCCCAACTGGCGAACTTAAAAGTCCACAAGAGCCGATTGGTACCCGAAGTGGGGACCTCCAATTCACCAATTGAACTCTCAGTACTCCGTGGTCGGCCACACCTTTAGAGAGAAAAAAACACGTTATTCTTCAAGGATTGACACTATTTCACACCAGACCCTCCAATCACAGGATATTATTCACTTATTTTGTACAACACCTGAACCGTTGAGATCCTGGCCGTTACGTCTGAAGTTCCCCTACTGTGATTTCCAGGCGCGCTGCTCAGAAGCAGCAAATCAATCTTCACTCGGATTCATACTAGTTCCTCAATATCGACAACCATTACATATCAAGAATTCAAAATGGCCCCGACAAATTCATCAATCCTATCAGCAGACATCCTAGAGTCTCAATTGGCCACAATCGACCTCATAGCGGCCATGTATCCATCTGCCGGGGAGCTGGAAATCCCTGAATCCACAGCAGAGTGCATCGAAAAGCTTCGCGACTGGTGCCAGGACCCAACCTCCACACTATCTAAGATCCCTGAAAGCATATCTCTTACCGTCTGCCTACCAATCGCAGATGGAGACAAGACAATACAAGTGAATATCTTGGTCCCATTGCATTCTGAGAGTCAACAGTCAATCGACCAACCCCCACCACTGGGATATTCTCTTCGACAACCGGACTGGATGTCCAAAGCGGAGGTGGCAGAACTTGCTGCCTCGATGCCGAAGGATGATGCGCTAGAAGCGTTCGAATACATCCAAACGGAATGCGCCCGCTTTCTCGAAACCAAGCAAAGCCAGGCTATGGCTTCGGGGGCAACGAACACAGATGCACGCTCCCGCGGTCCACTTGTAAGAGTGTGGTTCTACTTCCCATCTCTATCAACTCGCAAAAAGAGAGACGACATGGTCAACCTCGCACCGGGCTATTCTCTGACGGGCTTTGTGCTTGCAGGAAAACCGGGTGTACTCTGCCTAGAGGGTTTGTCACCGGATATTGATGCTTATATGAGCTTCATCAAGACACATTCCTGGGGTGATATTCCAAGTCATCAGAAGAAAGTCAGTGAGCGATTTCGGGAAACGAAGAGCGTTCAAAGAGTATTTCCAGGGATGGAGGAAATTACGGACTCGTTGGGTGAACGAGGTGGGCAGCGGGCTAATCGGGGGGATATGCAAGCATTGGAGGCATGGTTGGGGAGTAAAGGGTTGCAAGAGGCGTTCGAAAAGGTCATATTCTAAAACATTGGCTTCTTGAGAGATTTAAAATAGTCCGAGTCTCCAAGTTTTAGTGGATAGTGTCATCGAAAGCTCCGAGACGAGATCTCCAATGACGGTAAATGCCCCTGGTTGATAGTATCTTTGAGATATGGATTGACTAAGGGAGGCGGGGAAAGTACTAGACACTACAACTATTTACTACGAAGTTTACAAGGATAAGAAGTGACAGGAATAAAATACTGCAATTGGTGACGCATGTACCAACAAAAGCGATCCAAAGTCTAAAATTTAAACTGATAATATCAAGCACGCTTCACTGCTACAGAAGAAAGTACACCAAGAAAGTCTGCCCGCATAAAGCTAGCTACAGAATCTTCCATTCAGAACCCATGAAGTACAAATCGAATGGTAAAGAGAGGGAGGAAATTAAGGGAGAGCGAAACATAACAAAGCACGCCATGAGGCAATCTAGCAATCCCAGCAGACCCACGGGGTAACGAAAAAGCCACCGAGGAGAAGAAAAGAAAACACCATGTTCGGAAAATAGGAATGTAAACAGAAGGGGGATACAAGTTTCAGTGCGTAAATGGGCAAGCAGAGGGGTGAAAGGAAAAAAGCAAGAGTTAGTACTCCCAGTTGCACCAGAAAATTCCCCGAAGCCCCTAATCAGAAGAGACATTGTCATGTGCGCTAAAGTCCGAATGTGCAGAAGAAGAGCGTCAAACCCCAAGACGGTCGGCAAAAAAGCCGAGTCAATGGGGATACCGAAAGAAGGATTCGCGTGGTTCATCGTCAGATTGTACAAGCTCGTATCGTGTCATCGCAAAATTGCGCCGCGCCAGAAAGAAGAAAGGTAGTCACATCGTCTAAGTCATGCTTTTGGTTGAAAAAGATAAATCATCGCAGTGAGGTCATGTAGGCCACGTTCAAGGATCAATCAAGAACTCATTGGAGAGCGAGTCAATTTGGTCCGAGTAGGGATCGTCCAGGGGGTTGAGGCCGGAGAAAGGCTTCTCCGGCATGTCGGTGTAGAACGACGAGCTAGGGAAATCGGACGAATCGACATAAGAGTATGTGTTTGAGAAGCTGGACAGTGCCTGGGTGGTGATGTTGCCGAACTCTTCCTGCACTTGCTCTGAAGGATCTTGAGTCATGAAGAAATCAATCTCCGAGCCCACGGAGGACTCGGCCAGCGTGGGTGCAGTGTGGGGCGAAGACATATCATGAGGAGAAAGGGCAGGGTCACTGTAGAGATACTCTTGAGAGCCAGGCGCTCCAACCATGTTTGGGTTGAACTGAGCAATGGCTTGCTCATATCGGGCATGGGCCATTTGTGGAGGCGACAGAGGCGGGAGCAGATCATCTTCAAATTGAGATGTAAACGAATTTCCAGCCGGCAGAGGTGACGGGACATCATTAGCGCCGGGAGAGGTAGGTGGCGTGAACGAAGACAAGCTGTTGGACGGGGCATAATTAGGCGATGCAAAAACGGGAGGCTCCTGGAGAAGAGTGCCTTCCGCCTTAATCGGAGTGAAAGACTCGGTCTTTTCGGCAACGCGTTGGCGGGTACGGGTGGACTTGGTCTGACGAGTTTCGATATCGGGGCGGTTCTTATTGGGTGGACGGCCACGTCTCGTGGTCTTCAAAGTGTGGCCATTGTAGCCTCCGACGCACATATCGCGCTGGCGGTGACGGGTCAAGGCATCTTGCCGGGCGAAACTAGCACCGCAGCGACAGGCAAATGGCTTCTTGCCAGTGTGGGTCTTCAGGTGGCGCTTGAGATCGTGGCCTCGGACAAACTTCTTGTCGCAAACATCGCACTTGTAGGGCCGGTCATCGAGGTGGGTCTGCACATGGGACTTGATGTTCTCCTTGCGACCGAAGCGGCAATTCTCACAGTCATGCCACAAGCACACCCACTTTCCGTCCTTAGGATCGGGTCCAGAGATGTACTTGTTGATCTCATCGTTGGAGACACCCGTCTCTCGAACGGATGCCTTCACACGAGCATCAAGGTCGAAATCGTCAATTGGTTCGGCACCCATTTCGGATCCAGATCTCATGAGTGATGACTCGATCGAGTTTGCACGCTCTTGACGACCACCCAATGAGGGTGTTTCTGGGCCATCAGATAGACTGCAGGACCCTGGAGAGGGCATTGCAGCCAATTCGGCGAAGGCGACAGAGGGCGATTCAGCGGGAGACGGTATATGATGCTTGAGCTGCACAGGACTAGCCGAAGAAACTCCTTGGAAAGACTTGGCTCTCTGCATTTCGGAGCTGACTGGGGTACGGGGAATTGAAAAGCTCTGGGACTTGGTGGGGGTCTGGTCATTGCTGTACATGGTAAAATCAAAGGAACCCTTCATCGGGGTAGACTCGGGGGTAAGGGGGGAAGTGTCTGTCGCATAATGTCAGCTGGTAATCGACGCGATGAATGAGAATATTTTCTATCTTACAACAAAGATATGGGTTCATCTTGGGAGAAATACCCTCTGGTTGAACAGAGAGTGGTTGCATCACTCGAGGGTGTCTGGTGGTTTGCTCTCTTTGCATCATTGAAAGATTGCGCTCCTGACGCATACGGTAGAGGGCACTTGTCAACGAAGCATTCTTGTCTGAGCTTTCACTAGCGGATCTTGAAAGGGCCGGGGCAATTGTTGTTGCAGGGGAAGTTGAAGCAGCAGATGCCGAATATAGTCCCTGCAATTCCGCTTGGCTCCACATGGGTAATGACTGATATTGACAGGATTGTTGCAGCACAGGCAGTCCACTTGGCACAGAAGAGTGCTCTGATCGTTGAATGTAGGCGGGGAACTGTTGCAGATTACGTGCCTGTTGAGGAATACCTGCTGATTTTGCGTTAAAGAAGTCTCGAAGCTCCGGGACAGTCTTCGAGGCATGTCGTTGGTCAACGGCGGGAATCTGTTGACCATACGAGCCGTAATCCATTGTCTGTCCCCGGCGATGTGTTCGGCGGGTGGGGATTGCAGACATGGCTTGCGGGGTGATTGCAGCGTCGAAGGGTGCTGGAGTCGAGAGCTGACGGCGGTGGTGACCGGGTCGCAGCGACGTTGAGTTGGTGGAAATCATGGCTATCCAGCCTCTCGGTGATCACGGCCCTGTCACGGTGTTAGTCTGTGAACACAACTATCCAACGCAGCAACTAAAACAAAGAAGACGAAAGGAACGACGCTAGAGCCTCAAATCGAGAACTTCAGCTATCAACAGAGTCTGTTTTTTTTGTAGGTTTGTGTAGGCTTTGCAGAGTATCACCAGCGCCCTGCTATGGCAGTAGTGGCAGTGACAGCAGGTCCAGGGTTTCTGAACTTGAAGGATTGGAGAGAAGAGCAGAAATGAAACTCAATAAGTGTAAAGGCCCGGACCTTGAAGCGGGCCAGTGGGTGCATTGACGATCTATCAGCACCCACGGTTCCATCAACAAGCCGCGTGTTGGCATGGCAACGGGCTGTGATGGGAGTCTGGGAAACCAACCGAGCACTAAATGTGACGAAAGGGCGGGCCCACTTGAACGATCATCCCGATACTTTCGTATCTCAGATCCAGGCCTCGCATACAGACTTGTTGCTCGAGGGCGTCCCTGACCTCCCTTGGTCTCTCTGCTCTTCTACTCTGCAAGGGCGCTCAATCGTGCTGTGAGGAGAGTGGCCATCGCCTGGTCCTTGGGTAGGGGGCGAGGCCTCCTATCCAAGTCGCCATGGCAATATCCCTTAATGGACAATAGTAAATAGCTGATTTCAGCTGGATTTTAGCTTCTCGGGCTTTTGTGATTGCGATTGTTACTGTTGTTGCTGTGCTGCGGAACGATGTCATTTGTGGCCTGAGGCTGCAAGGCTACAATTACCTATAGGTCATGTGACATTTTTATCAGCCGGTATTTTACCCGGAGTCCGGGTTATCTTTGATCCTCATTTCCTGCGCTAGTCCCTAACTAGTCATATTGGCACCACGTGACCACACAACGATTTTAACCGTCAACCGAGTCCCACCCACACTGAATTTCTTCCATCTTGCAAGGTTAAGGAAGACAACGTGTCGAGGTGAGTTAGACGCGCCAACACCCATGCGCTTCAGCACTGGAGATGTCGGAGGAAATGTGCAAATATCATACGCTCACTTCGCCCGACGTTTTCTGTCGCTCGCGCACTCTGAAATCTCCGAGTCCCGCTGCTAACATCCCACCGCCAGGCCTTCATCAAGATGCAGATCTTCGTTAAGACCCTTACGGGCAAAACTATCACCCTTGAGGTGGAGTCCTCGGACACCATCGACAACGTCAAGTCCAAGATCCAGGGTACGAACAATTCCTCTCCAAGGCTAGATTCCCGAACATCCGGACTAACGAAAGTTCCGCTCGCACAGACAAGGAGGGCATTCCCCCTGACCAACAGCGTCTGATCTTCGCTGGCAAGCAGCTCGAGGATGGCCGCACTCTTTCGGACTACAACATCCAGAAGGAGTCCACCCTTCACCTCGTGCTCCGCCTGCGTGGTGGTGGCAAGAAGCGCAAGAAGAAGGTCTACACCACCCCCAAGAAGATCAAGCACAAGCACAAGAAGACCAAGCTCGCCATCCTGAAGTACTACAAGGTTGACGGCGATGGCAAGATCGAGCGTCTGCGCCGCGAGTGCCCCGCTCCCGAGGTATGAGACAGTCCTACAAAAAAAAAGCGAGAAGACGAGCGCAGCGACTAATTTCTTTCCTTTACAGTGCGGTGCCGGTATCTTCATGGCCGCTATGCACAACCGTCAGTACTGCGGCAAGTGCCACCTCACCTACGTCTTCGACGAGTCCAAGTAAATGGACCCCGTCTAATCGGGAGGTTTCTGTGATCGAGTTTCAGCATGGTTTACTCTAGGCATGGATACGAGTTATCGAGATCTCGCGATAGATGATACGGTTGATGGGCACCTACGTTGGGACCTTGATTACTGTGAATACAAAAAAAATCACACCAACCTGGCTTCTGCCAAATCCAATTGGTCTGCTGTAATATGTAAACGATAGGCTGCATGCACTATGCCATTGCGTAAGGGAACGACAGACTACGGACACTATGGACAAGTCTCCACGGTCCGGGCCGCTTGCATGCGTAACTCCTCGCCTTCATGCACCGATAGTCCCATCTCGATAGTTCGATCTACTTACTGGCCGGGAAACCCAGCCCGCAAGTTATCATACTTGCTCTCGGGATAATCAAGAGCATTGTCAATCTGCTCCAATGAACCGACGCCACCAATGCCGTCCACAAAGGTGCCGATCAGGCTACCATGCGATGCATTGCCCTCCTTACCTCCCTTATCACCGCTACTCTCCCACCACATACCTCCACCAAGCTGTCGGTACTTAACAAAATCAGCCTTTCTCTGGCTCATCTCAACGTTATCGTACGAGACCATGGTGCGTGAGTTAGGATCGTAGCTCCAGGATGCGTCCGCTTCCGTATCAATATGCTCTGTAGCGCCGGGACGTGGCAAGGCCTTGTAGTCCCACACTCCATTCTCCCAGCTACCCTGGCCCACGCCGTTGTATGGGGTGCCGGGGCCATCGGTATTCTCGAATGCACGTCCGTACAGCGGCATACCGAGGATCATCTTCTTGGGTGGCACACCATCCACGTGAATATAGTGGTCAAGGGCAGCGATGGTCGAGAACGGCGTCGAGGTTGGGTTCGACTTGGATGGGAAAAGGTTGGCCTGGTGGCCGGCTGCGCTGTCCCAGCTTCCGGCGTAGTCATACGCCATTAGGTTGTAAAAGTCCAGCAGAGGCGTCATGTCACGCAACTTGAGCTTAGAGAAGTTGCTTGGCCCTGCGGGACAAGCAATGGAAAGGTAGAATTTGCGGTTGGGGCCAGCCGCACTATCGAGGCTCTGTTTTCTTTAATCAGTCACGGGCCTCGTTCAGGGTGTAAATACAAGGGGAAGGCATAAAAATCGCACCTCACGGCATGCCCGTAACAGCTCGACCAGGTTCTGGGCTTGGTTATCGTCTAGAAATCGGGTCAGAGATTGGCTGTTCCTTGAGAAGGAGCAGTTAGTTCCCTGTGAAGATGATACATACCTTGGGGATACTCCCAATCAATATCAATGCCTACATATATCAGTCAGCCATAATCCTGATCACAACACACAAACATTATACACACCATCAAGTCCAAGATCTAGAACAAGTCGAGTGGCCGACTCGGCAAACCTCGCCCGACCTTCTGGGGTGCTAGCAGGGCCAGCAAAGTTGGCAGAGTACGTCCAGCCACCAATTGAAATCAGGACCTTCAGCTGGCGATGTTTCTTCTTCAGCAGGAACAGCTGCTTGATGCAACCATAGACATTGTTGCCGGTATCATTCCACGAGTCTCCAGCGTAGTGCTTCTCAACATCAGACCAACTGTCAGTCAAGTAACTGCAAATGATTCATCAACTCTCTGTTTTTGATGCTGAATATTTGAGGGGTCAACGTACACTTCACCAGTCTCTGGGTGAATATTGGCAAATGCATAGAGCACATGTGTCAGCTTCTCGGCGGGCAGATCTTGTGGGTTGTAGTTGCGCCCATAAATGGCCTGCAAGGTGGGGTTAGCACGAATCGTCCATCAGCGATCGTTCATATATCAGCGTGGCGATAGAAGCCTCTATGGAGGAATGACAAGGGTAGTTAGGCCAATCATGGAAAACCATACCCAGTTAACGAAGTAAGCAATAGATTTCATTCCAGCCGACATGGTTGGTTCCGGAGTGGTTGCACAGGGGGAGAGATAAATATTGCAAAAGGAGAGCCACAAACACCACAAACGCAGTGAGCAGTACAAGGGGCTGAAGTCGGAAAGCCACAATCAAAGATATGTTCAACAACCGAGTTTCAAGATTCGTAAAACTTGGGGCAAGAGGACCCTGGAATCGATCTGATAAATGATGAATGGAGGGGTACCTAATGTCGCAGCCTAACTGTTAGCGGGACTTTGTACCTCCACGTTAAAAATAACAGACCCCTCAACGACGTCATTGGTCAGAGCGTAGTGGCTGTGCCATTGAATGTGGCGGTATAATCGGGGCTTCCGTACCTGTGGCTGAAAATGTATATATTTAAAGAATCAACAAACAATAATCGACAACGTGCTTGGGTTTGAACCTGGCCAGAATCCGAACATCACCTTGCGACAGAGTCAGTCAGTCCTACAAAACCCCCCGGATTGCCATTCTTATAGACAATCACACAAACTCATGAAACTGTGCAGCGTGACATCTCCACCTGCGCAGGGTCTCCGTGCGACCGGAGAGATCAGTCATGCTGCTTGCAGATCTTTCAGCATACCCTTGAGTCGGCATATTATATTATCTTTGGTAGATGGGAGTCCCTCTTGTTGCCAGAAATGGTGATAGAGGAGAATCTCATCACCCGTGATAGCTCGGCACGTTATTGCCGTGAGAGGGTTTCGATCATATTCTTTCGGAACCAGCAAGGTCTTTACAGGTCACACGAGTACTGAATTCCAAAGACTGGTAGATTTAGAGTGACTACTCGGGCGCGGGATCAATTACCTCAATCAAAGCCATTTCCGTAGCTGCAATTAAAGTTGAAAGTGGAATTCAGAATATCCCGATCAAGGCTTCAAGGCAGAGGAAGATCTTCACAATTTCACATTCATGAAATATTGCTTACGATACTATCAACACCCCCGGCACCCTGGAAGGTATCATGCGACAACAGCAATAAGTGACTATCTGGGGAAAGGTGGTCAAAAATCCTCCGCGTGTGGAGTTCTATTTCTTGGCGAAAGATTGGAGGTGGATGTAGAGCGGTAAGAATTTGTGAATACAGGCTAGCGGAGGGTGTCAAATTTAACATCGAACAGATAATTTAGAAAGTTTACCATTATGAAGGCAGAGAGCAACGGACTGTGCTCTCGACCACGAGCTAGCTCTGCGCACGAAGGGACATCAGCAAGCTCTGGGAATCGACAATCAGTTTCATGACCCATGTACCGTGATGATAGAGAAAAAGATAGACAGGTCATATAAGGCCAATAATTTATAGACCAAAGACTGAAAAGTTTCTGAATGACCAAGTAGGAAGTACCCGAAGACAATGCCACACGTGGTGGTTGAACTACGGGATGATGAAATCTACCAACAGAACGAAATGAAAAGAAAAGGAGCCAAGAAGAAGTTAACAAGCCATGACCCACTTCCTAAAAGTCCTGATACAGGATAAACTGCTCTTTGTGTACTACTGTACACACCATTGAGACGATCCACAAATAACCTCAGGCAGCACATCCCAGCTGAAACGGCCCCATCGACTGGGAAGGAGAAAGCCTTGACAGGCCAGGAATCAATCCGAATACTTATGATCAGTCCCACAAAGTTGTTATAAGGTTAAATGGGGACAGAGAAAAGATTTTTCATTCCTTGAAAATCAGGAAACCAAAAGGGGAAAACAAAAAGGAGAAGACAAGGGACCAACACCAGCTGAACTCGAGCCGACAGACGCCCGATCTCAACAATCATTGGCATAGCGCCCGGCAGACTAACAGTTTTAGGGCCCGAATGCACCCAGATCTAACCCGCTTCTTCCACAACTAATGCATCGGCCCCTCTGTGATTCACACTTTCAATTTCCTAGTGATGCTTTGCTGTCAATCTATTGCGCCAAAACGGTTTGTTCGGGATATTCGCCACTCTGGAGTATTCCGTTCCTACCGGGGCACTTGCTCGCCACCCCCTCCTTCTCGATCTTTGCAGAACCCGATTTCATTTGAATCCACTCGACGCCAGTCCATGCAACCTATCCTATCTTTGGGACCGAGGTACTACCCAAACTGGATCGATGCAGTTACCACTAGCATAGGCATTGCCTGGACTATTTGGCCGTCGCTAAACTCATCGTTCGATTTAACTGGGTACCTCGGGCACAGTGAAGGTCGTTGAATGCCGTCAGTGGCTGTACTTGCAGACGCCGAGAAAGAACTGCCGTGTCGACTGCACGACTACTGCACAGACGTCGTTGTGGCCCCTGACCCTCTCCACTGGATCCTCTTGTCTCCTCTCTCTCAGCTGGTATGTCTGCCTCGAGACCCAGGTGTCTGGGTCTGGGTTTTTGTCAATTGCCCAATCGCCGTTCGAAGCTCCCTGATGCAAGGGCCCTGGCTCTCCTTCAATCGCCTTGGACGTTGCTAGTTGCTAGCGCCTCGAACGTGGTTTCTGGTCCTCAGTATTGGAGTTCTGTAATTGAGCTAGGTAGTGTTATGGTGGAGACTGTAGGGATTCTAGATTGTGTTTCCGTTTATGAAGGTGAGTGCCCCATGCTTGGGCTTAAGATATAGTGGGTAGTAGAGAGTAGTAGTGACTCCATAACTCCATCAAACGCGTTTCAGAATGGGAAAATCAGTCGAGCATTCTATGTACAACTCCAACTAGGAATAATGCAAAATGTCTCTCTAATTCTTGACCCACACGATAATAACTAAAAAGAAAATACACCTTCGATAGCCCGAACGCCTAAGCAAATATAGAAATGCAAAGGTCCTAATCAAACAAAAAACGAGTCATAAAACGTCACAGAAAACAAGCGGCCAACAAACAAGACATGAGGGTATATCGTCGCCATGCTCAACAAGCTCAACAAGAACCCAAACTTCCTTTTTTTTTTTTTTCAATTCGTCCCTGGCCAGGCTTGCGACCTGCGCTATGCCCGCCAAAGTAATGTAATCCCAGAAGAAAAAAAAAGAGGACGGTCTCATCCCATGCAAGCCCCCTTCACTACCCAAAAGAATCGTACAAGTGTCCCAACCCCTAGCCCGCCGGCAGATATATCCACGGTTCATCAATGGGAGCACATATCAATGCCAGTCCCATGTCCCTAACGACCCTGAATCCATCGCTCTATCGTATCCAAAGACGGATCGTCATCAAGCCAATGACCTGCCCGCAGATCGGCGGCTCGGAGATCTGCGACAACGTGCTGGTCCGTAACGCGGGCCAATTCCTGTTGTAGCGTGACGTGTGCGGGTTTCAAGGCTGGTGCATATGCCGATGTTGGTCGTTGACCGCGGAGGATATTCGCTCGAGTCATCGCCCATCGCCGTGCTGCCGCGGCTCGAAGGTAGATTTTATGTGCTTGGAAGCGGCGAGCGCTGCTGTCGATTATAACCCTAGGACCAATATTGAATAAGTAATTGGTTTATAAAGCGGGAAATTGATGCAATTGAACCGCAAGGGGGCAAAGTGTGAGTACCTTTGAAGCTCTGCTTTCTCTGTCTCCGCATTCCCTCTCCCTGTCATTGGACATGGATGGTAGTTGGCGCTTAATAGGCGTTGAGCGGAGGCGTGGCATTCTCGAAGCACGGTGAATCCTTCTTCGTAGTATTCCTCGGGTGAAGCGTCAGCTTGTTGCTGGGAGATGTGCAACAACAATGTCCGATAGTCGTTTATGAGTTCGGCCACTCGCACTGCGCGGGCCTGATTGACTGTAGTCCAATTGCATGATCAGCGTCTGAGGTCCTGAGTTTGATCGATTGGTGCGAGGTAAACCAATGCTTACGTCCGTCTGCCATTGAGAAAAGGAAGTAGCTACCGAGCGGCTTATGGGTCGTTATTAGAAGGAGAGTATGAAGCGTGAGGAAAAGCCCTTGAAATCACATCAAAGAAGACCAATTGAAAAGGAATGTTAGAGCTCGAGGAGAGGGCATAAGAAGAAAGGCGCTCAACGTGCTGTCAACGGCTGTGGGGGAAGAAGGAAGAGATGAAGCGAGCTTTATAATCTAGAAACAGAGAGAGAAGGCCAGATTCAGAAAAAGAGCTTCGAGTCTCCTCACTACCCCATACATGACAGCACCCCCTTTCTGGGATAGGTCGTCCCAGCATGGCAAGTGCCACCTGTAGAAAGAAAATGCAATAAAATCGATTACCAGGATAGAACCAATTAGCGTAAGTACATAGATCTTACTACATTAAATGGAGTAGAAAAAAAATACCAATATTTCCAAGAGCGAGCATAAATAGACTAAAAAACCCTTCCCAAAAAGGATTGTTCGCCCGTGACAGCGGAGACGAACGCCAGGATCATCGGCGGTGCATGGCAGACTGCACCAATAGAAGGTGAAAACGCCAAGATTTAGGAACCTCTGTCCAGCAGCCAGCTAGGTTCTCATGCGAGGGTGGATCGGGCCTAGCTCCCGAGAAACTGTCCCAACGGCAGAGATTCGACTAGAGTAGTACTGTACGCACGACGCTATACGGAGAACATCCCTGTTCCTCGGTCCCAAGGGAAGGGGAGTGGATTATATGGCCTGCGGGTTGAAAATGTAGGTATCTTGGATGAATCTCTTTGGCTACCAGGATCATGCTCGTACAAGACCACCTTAGATGCCTCGTAGATAATAGCAATGGTATCCTTTAATCGGTAAATTTAGTTACTAGCTAAAGAGGCGAGCAATTAGATACACCGTCAAAATGCAAACTGGAAAGAGGGGCACCATGACGAGAGTGGGACCAAATCGACCGAGAGATTAGGTTCCTGGGTCGATTCATTATTACGTCGTCATCAATAGTGACCATTGAGTAGTATCCAGTATATTTCATATCCCATACCTCATATCTCAGGAAATTGGGTAAAGAAAAGAAACCCTCGTTCAGTAAGCTGATTGGTGCGCACTGGGCTAACTCCCCCAGTCGGGACGACAGAAACTTTGAAATTTTGACAGACATGCACCATAGAGGGCCCTCATGGTGCCTCATGGCTAGTGGGACCCCTGTCAGCTACAGTGCACTGGCCCCAGTAGTTGGTCTGGGCCTATGAACGCTCAGAACGGAAAAATCTGGTTAATTCCCAGCAGAACAGGACCGGACGTGCATGATCGGATCCCCCGAGCGGATCGGATGCAAAGTAAAAATAACCAGATGAACAGCGAGTAGGCCCGACCAAAGCCGAGGATTTCCAGGCAAAGATTGGCGGTTGATAGTGCTAGAAAATATGCAATAGGTTCGTTTGATCCAGGCTTGCTAGTCGCTAGTTCGATGCCTCAGCTCGAATGCGAACGAACTATCACTACTAAACGAGATAAGTTATAACCTTGTTCGCGAACGAGTAAATAGTTTCGGACCCTACCACCAGCCACAATTTTGCTAAGCCACATATGGCGTCCCGTGGCGCCTACACAACACAGCTGAAGCGTATGTCTTTCTCCCCTTGCCTACAAAAATGGATGTTGTATGAGATTTTCAAAAAGTCCTGTATAGATCCGACGAATATGGAATGTGTGTGATTCATCGCGCCTTTCTCCAGAACGGTGGCAACAAATTGTGCCCCACTGGGCTTGCTGAAGCTGAGGTGATCCCCCCAGCCGGGCGGTTTACGGTACTTTAGACGCCAAGCATAGTCCCGGCGTGCCATTACAGTGTAGCCATGCAGCAGAACAGCAACACGACAACACCGTTGGCAGGCACTGGAACGCCGTGCATATGGAACACGGCCTAAACTCGAGATTCTTGCAGGGAAAACGAGAGGAAGAGGCGAATTCAGGGCAATTGCAGTTGTCATTCACAGACGTTTCATTGGGTCTTTCTCTAGAACAAGTAGAAAAAAAGGGAGAAAAATAGAATATCACCATCATCGTCACTGAAGCGGCTCCTCCACCCCGTCGGACCTATTCGGTCAATAGCTCCCTGTCTCTCTTGCAGTCGTCCATTTCGCCTCCATCGACCAGACCATTCATACTGCAGGATACGACCCGCTTAGTCCTTCTCCGCTATGGCCTGCAGCCGTTCATCAATCTCCTCCTCCGTCAGGGCCCGGAACTCTGTAGTGGTGCCCTCCTTGCCATCTGTCTGGGGGCCACCCACGATACCAACCTCCAGCTCGTGTTTCTTAAAATCAACACTCAGCACATTGCTCAACGCCGTGATACCCAGCTCCACCACTTCCTCCCAGCTGCCGGGTGCCGCATCCTTGTTCTTCAGCTTCTTCTCCAGGTAATTCTGCGCCTCCTGCTGCTTGGGGCCCGAGGAAGTCGCCTTGTATCCAACGAAGTAACCAGCCGGGTCGCACTTGTAGAGTTGCGGACCATTCTCATCATCGACCGAGATCAGGGTCATAGCGACGCCGAGTGGTCGCATGTAGGCCTGGCAAAAAGAGTGTGTGTGTAAGCACAACGGAGTCCCCGAAAAGTGACCAGCGAAGAAGGAAAAAGCCGTGGATTGGGTCTCATTGCGAGGATGATGCCTTGGGACTTACTCGTTGTGTGTAGACCTGGTTGATATTTGCCAATCGCTTCGCCAGCACGTCGCAGGGCATCTCATAACCAAATTTGTAGCGGAACTCAGCAGCCTCTCCACGGGCCCGGTCGACGGAGGCACGGGCATCTGCTATCGAGCCGGTCATCACGCAGCCCACAGAGGGCGAGATCTTGAAGACATGTGAGACGGAGGAAGGGTCGATCAGTTTGTCCTTTGAGCGAGTGTGTTAGTCTTTGGTAGCAACCGCAGGGGCCATCGGGTAGATTCCGGGATCGTGCGTACAGCCACTTTCTTCTGGGAGACGACAATAGCACAGTCCTTCCCCCTCACACCGATGGAGGTGATGTTTGCAGAGGTGATAGCCTTGAAAGCATATTCTAGCGGTACACAGATTGTTGGTCAGCGGTCATGAGGATGGAAGCGTTGAACAGCAGTCGGCGGGAGACCACAGCCCGGCATTCGAAGGAGGGAGCTCAAAGCACGTACCAACTTGGTACAAACGACCCTGATCGGAGAAGATAGTGATATGTCTGTCGTATCCTGCGCTTCCTGGTGCGGAGAAGATGGAGGTTAGTCGGGGTTGAGGTCATGGGGGCTGGACATGGTGCCTAGGATCAGCACTGTCGTGACTGCATACCGGACATTATGGCGGTATCTGAGTTTTTCTATAGGAGAAGGATCGAGATGTCAAGAAGGAGGAGAATGGCAGGAGGTTGGGAGGTTGATGAGAGGTGCAATTGACAGTGACGCGTGCCAGCGGTGCCTAAGCCGAAGCTCGAGCTTGAGCTTCAGCGCTCTTCACCGCCTTTGGCCCATTACCAGCCAGGATGGACCCAGCTGAGAAGGGCATGGAATTCAGCGAAGTGACACCAATTAATACAAGTCCTGTTTTCATTCCTATTAGGCCTAATTTTATTTCACGAGAAGTTCTGGGACTTCATAAGAAATCCGACAAGCGACGTGATATGCTGTACATATTCTCATGACCTTCCTAAACTCCAACCTAGCACTTACCTACAAGGAAGCCCAGAAGCTTTTGTCTCTACTACCCCCACGGTAATCAACTATGTAGGTACCTAGATATCGAGAAATTGATTTATGCTCTCGGTTTCAAGATCAACTGAGACCGATAGGACCATCATCATATGCCAAATCTCATATAGACACTACAGTATGATACATCATCATGGTATAGGAGAATATGCAAGAACAAGAACACCCAAAGCAAAGACCCATACAAACACACATTCCCAAGTCTAGGATTAACAGCAAATCCTCAATCACTATCACTCTCGCTGCTACTCGAGATCTCAATCTGCGTAGTTCGGACTTTGCGCTTTTGCTTCTTCTTGTTCTTGCTAGGCGCCGGCGGAGCAGGTTCTTCCTTCACAGGAGCAACAGATTTCGGAACATCCTTCTTCTTCAATGCGGACTTGTTAGGCGCAGGCGCAGGTTTCTTCGCGGGAGGCGCTTCGCTCTCGCTGTCGCTGCCACTGCTGCTCGTGCTATCATCGCTATCGCTCCCACTGCTGCTGGTATAATCATCACTGCTCTCCGCCTTGGCAGCGCTCTTCTTCGTCTGGACAGGCTTCTCTGCATCGCTGTCGCTCTCGCTGCTGGAGATATCCACAACGACAGTCCGATTCTTCCGCTTCTTGATTTTCTGCGCTTCCGCCCGCGCAGCTTCTTTCTGCTTGCGCACAACCTCTTCCCGATCGAACACCTCGCCCGTGACGGCGAAGAAGACCAGCTCCGCCCGTTGTCTCTTTCGAAGGCGCTTGGTCGCTTCCAAGTCCAGGCCGTCAATTGAGTCGGCGGCATTTAGTTCTTCTGTGCTCTCGGGCAGCAATGACCGGAATGTGTCAACGGCCTGCTCGTACTCGGCGCCAGCTTCGGCGGTGTCACCCTTGAGAACTGCCACTGCGCCGTCGCTCAGCCGCGTCTTGGCAGCGTCACCCTTCAGACCTTGCAGGTAGGTCAAGAGGGGGACGTTGTATTGCACGGGGACGTGCTCAATCGAGTAAAGGTGTTTGAGGAGATTTGTTTCGCGGTTCTTCTGGAACTTCCACGACGCGCGGTCACGGTAGTACCAGCTCAGGTAGCCGAGGATAGGAGTCTCATGAACCTGCTCGGAAGATGTAGACGTAGATGTAGTTCCAGTCTTGCGTGCCTTCTTCTTCTCGCGCTTGCGCTTCTTCATCTGCTCGATCAACTTGTTCTCGGCTTCCTTGGCTTCGGAGTTGGCGTCCATCACGGTCCCGGAGGTATTGTCATTGTCATCATGCTCATCGTCAGCGGGACTGTCGCTGTCGCTATCACTGTCTGCGTCCTTTGTCTTCGTGCCTGGGCCAAAGGAGACTCTCTTCTTCTTTTTCTTCGGCTTGTCGTCCTCCTTGTCCTGCTTATCGTCCGTGCTATGCCGCCGCTTCTTCTTGGTCGTCACGTCACCATCGGCCTCGCTGGATGACTTCCTGCGCTTCTTCTTGTCTTTGGAATCGGGCTTGTGTGTCTTTTCGGGGGATGTAGCTCGTTGTGTCTCGACTTCGGCGTCCTCTTTGGCGTGTTTCGGCTTCAGGCCGACTTTTGATGTCTCTTTGGCCATTGTTGCTGCTGTGTACAATTGGAATGGGACTGCAGCAGAGATATAGACCTCGGTCGCACAGTCCAGAAACCCAATTGCGAGAGCGACCTGATTTATGTGTCCCAGCAGGATTCTCCAGGCTGGTTGTCGTTGCTAGTCTGGCCAAGGGCGGAGTCAATTATTTTTTTCTGCCGGATCCACGTGAGGGCGGGTCCCGATAAGCTTGGACCGTTAGTATGGCGTCCAGATACAGCATCTACAGTTATAGATCTAACTGCAACTTTCTTCCTTACAAAATACGGAATGAAATGGAATCATGGATTCATCTCACATTACCGTCTATACTGTATCAACCAGACCCTTATCATAGATCGACAAAGACAAACTATGTCGCAGCGCCATTGCCATTCCCAGGCTCAGGACCAGCACCAGCACTTCGTTCTCGTCGCATCTCTCTCGATGACTCCGTGCCCGAGCCAGTACCAGCATTCGCCGCCGCAGCACTAGCAGCTGCCTTGCGCTTCGCCCGCTCCCTCTCTCTATCTCTATCCCGTGCGCCAGAAGTCGGCTTGGCCCGCCTTCTAGGTTTGTAGACGTCGTTGAAGTTCATCACGACAGCGAGGAAGCGCATGTCTACATCGGGTTGGTAGGACAGATCACTAAGTAAGGTCGTTAGACGGGATTTGAAATCGGCAGAGAGATCACGCAGTCGGACCCGTAGCGAGGCGAGCATGTTGTCGTCTGCCGCGAGATCCTGTGCTGATAGTGAGAATGGCGTGTCTATCCCGTCCGGCCCGGCACTGGCGGGTCGAATATCTGGTGTTGATGCCATGGAGGCACCGCCACGACTATTCGCGCGACGCGGTAGCATGTCGCGATCCGTGACACCCCAGCGGCCTTGTGCTGTCCGCGTTTCAATCTTCGCGCTGAGTTCCTGGCGACGGGTGAATTCAGCGACGGAGAAGGAGTAAAGGCCATCCACGGCATCCTTGTATGAAAGCATGATCTTGAGGATATGGTGGAGTTGGCTGAGGAAACTTTCCTCCGGCTGTTTGGCGGAGGCAGAGGTAGAGACGCCATATCGAGATGCAGTGGCCGAGCCTAATAAGCCCTTGTGTGTGATAGAGTTGAGGTATTTGGTGTGTGCTTCAATGAGGTCGTCGAGAGTGCAGCCTGGCTTCGAAACTTCGGCCTGCAGCTGATCCCAGCTGGATTCAATCACCTCAAAAAGGATGTAGTATTGCAGTTGGCAGACAAAGTGAATCATCTCGGCGATAACACAGCGTGCGCGCTTCCAGTCCGGCCCGACCTTGTCGTCCACACTGCCTAGTACGCCTCGTGCACCGGTCATGCAGCGACGCCAGGTACTGTTGAGGGCGAACTCGACGCGCTTAACGCGCCAGAGGAAGTTGAAGACTTTGAGATACTGTGTTGAGCCCCAGGGTGTAATAACCACGTCGACGGGGGCATCGATCTTGTACTCCAGAGTAAAGCAGTCCCACCCAATCTCGCCGTGGCTCAGCTCGAGCATGCGTGCATCCAGCCGGCGGAGCACATCGGGGGAATCATACTGCGCATTGGAAGCTCGGATGGCATGTTCCAGCTGCGCGGTGAGCGTGTGTCGGTACTGCGAGTTTGCAGGCCGATCCAGGTTCGAGGCCAGTGACTCCATGAGGAGAGCGATGAAATCGCCCTGTCCTAGCAGTAGATACTTCTTCAGTGCCCGCAGGTGGTCAAAGAGCTTGAACTTGTCATCCATGAGGTGGATTAACCGCGCCATGGTCGTCTTGTAGGCCTCATCAATGGAGGTCTCTAGGGTTGCAGTGTCGCCATATCGCAGCTCTTTCGAGGCTTCTTTGGAATAAGCCTCCACCCATCCAGAATCACCGCAGCCATATCGGATGAAGTTGAGAGACTTTCCAATCAAGAAAACCTTCTTGGCAAAGTCCTGTGTGATAATAGACGGCACCATATCATCATCCAGCTTATACTTGTCCTCCCAGACGCTGGTTGCTGTACGTCTGGGGTCAGCAGTCGTCCGGAGATCGGATTCTGCAACGAAAAATTCTTTATATGGGTCAGACAGCTCGCCGTCGTAAATCCATAGCCGAAGCATATCGTAGAATGGACGAGTAACATGGGCCAGAAGCTTCTCGGCAAAGGCGCAGACAAACGGGTCCCCATGAGACGACGAAAATCCGTGGATTAAGGAGATCAATTGGCCTCCCTTTTTATCTGCATCTGATATCAGTACCTCTACGCTATGCAAAGCAAGATGGTCAATCACTTACCTCGAGCTTCTTCCACAATCAAACTCATCAACCTCAGCGCCATGGTCGCATCTCTCGTCCACACCATACACCTCTTCAAAGTAACACCACCCTTCCTTACCCCCTGCATCGTACTCGCATTCCCAATAGCAGCCAAAGCCTGCCGAATCTCCGCCTCCAGCGTCGCAACCAAACCCAAGTACGAGCGCAACTCATTCGCAACAGCAGCCCTCAAGCTTTGATTCACGAGTCCCCCCTCTGCACTCTCCACAAACCCAGCCAACTCTTTATAAAGCAAACAAGGCTCAGCCAAAGCATTCAACAGCGATACAATCGGAGCCGGTAGATTAGAGGGTAATTTCAAGACCGACGTCGACTGAAACTGTAAATTTGTCGACGACAACCCCTGCAAATTAAACGGAAGATCTCGTAAAAGCCCGTTCTCAACAGACTCCGTCGAGCGAGCATGACTGGCCGGTGTCTCCGTCGGCGACGCCATACCATCGCGCTCATCACCAGTCTCATAATGACTCGCACGACTCGCGCTCGCCCGCTCCGTAGACTCCTCCCAATCCCTATGCAGCGAACTCGGGCGCTGCGCCCTGGACTCCCGAGATACGCGAGGCGGTTGCGACGCAGACGAACTCACAGCGGGACCTTCATCATCCTCCGACTCGACGACCGCGCCACGCCGAGGACGTCCCGCGCCCCGACCAAGCATATTCTGCAAATTTCCCTCGTCCATCAGCGGACTGCGGCTGCGCTCGACGGGCTGTTGTTCTTCGTCCGTCTCGCTCAGCTTGTACAGCAGATACAAGATACCCCATTTCTGCGAGAGCACGGGCTGCGTGAGTAGACGGGTGTACAAATTCGAGAAGCGCACAATCTTTTCTGGACTGGCGTTTTCGCGCCGCAGCTTGCGCTTGATCAAATCCGGGGCGTGGTTGATGTCTTCGCCGGCGGAACTGCCGCGGCGGCCGGCTGGTGAGGTTGGGTCTGCGCCGCTGCTGGGGTGTGCTTCGAGGGTGCGCCAGGCGCGTTCGAGCTGGGCATGGTGGCGGTGTTCCTCGGCGGCGGCGAGGGCTAGGTCGTCGTCGGAGAAATCGTGGTCTTGGGGGAGCGCGGAGAGCGGGATCTCGGGGAGTAGAGATTCGACTAGTTGGGAGAGGGCGTCGTCGATACGGCGCGGGCGTGTGGTCGGGCGGGTTGAAGTCGACATGATCCTGCCCTTCCCCCGCCGGTTGGGCAATGTCGAGTGGTGTTTTGAGACGTGAGTTCCTTTGAGGTTGGGGTCAATTGGTTGCGGAGAGGTGGTGGGTTGTTTTCGGAGGCGATTGGGCGACGAGGTTTCACGGGTTGGGCGGGGTTTCTTCAGATGATCGCAGCCGACTTATTTTATATGCAACTGCAAATCTTCGATCGTGCCTTTGGACTTTCTTTGAGTGATTATCGCCGGTGCTCCAGATGGAGTTCATGCAATGAGGTGGGTTCGTGTTTGCGATGTTTGGGTGGTTTGACATCGGACGCGTCCAGGCTCTTATCAAGCTTATCATCTCCCACTATCAATCCACTACCCAGATCTAGATTATTGTACTGTTACTGCGGTACTACAGACTACGAGATATCAATTTGGAGCAACACTTCTGATCATTTGCTCAAGCATCCTGTTCAAGGAAACTAATCAGACACGTAACGAAAGCACAAAACCACCCGGAACGCCGCCTTGAAATCATGTATCTCAAACAGAGAAGCAACCGGATCAGAAAAACAAGGAACAACATGCAGCCGCGAGTCCTCCTATTGAACAAGCGAAGGAAGAAAAAAAAACCACACAAAATCAATCTCTCGAGGCCATAAACAGAGAGAGGGCAAATTAGAAAAATGGAAGAATGGGTAAGGGGAGTAGAAAATACACCGCGGGGAAAGACGAGGAAGCAACGAAATCAACATGAGCCATGGCAAAGAACAAACAACCTTGAAAAGCCAGTAATAATACTCTCAAAAGACGCCGAGATTGACGCGCCATCCAAAGACTATAACGAAATTTATCCGCTTCCAGACCACCGGAATCATCTCGTCGGAATTTTTAAGTCGTGTGGATCGTAAACACCTGACCATGCCAGAGATTCGGTGAAAGCCGTAGCCGTTGCCGAAACAAAAGAAGAAATGTTGGGGGGAGTATAAGAAAAAGGGGAATCGATCCCCCCCCAAACCAAGTGAAAAGGGTACCGCCCAGGCTAGGCATCAAGGATCAATATATCCTCGCTGCTATGCGGAAGAGCAGAGGAAAGAATTTATATCACCGAAAGCAGAATTGAGAAGCGAATTTTGGGATGCTGAACTTCCTCCCTTTTCTGCTCACACTCACGCTCGGCGCATACCCTGGGCAGGGATGGGTGGACCTGGCGGCATACCCATTTGGCCGGGCATACCGTAGGGATGGGGGTCAAATCCAGTCGACATGCCGTTCATCATCAGCGGGCCCAGACCTTGAGCTTGAGAGACGGGGCAGTCTTTGTGAGCCAACAGGAGCGTCTTCAGGTTCACGATCTCCTCACGAAGCTGGGTCACCGTCGCGGTAAGTGCATCGTTCTCCGTCGTGAAGAGCTCGACCTTGGCTTGAAGATTGGCGAGCCATTGCTTCTTCCGTTGACGACACTTCAGAGCAGCGACACTGTATTTGTGTTAGCTGAATGTATCACAAAATGAGAGCAGCCTGTCGCAATCGCGTGAGTGACATACCGGTTCCGTTCCAGGAAATTTCGCCGCTTCTCTTCGTCGGTCATCTTCTTCGGATCCATATTGGAGTTCCTCATCTCCTCATCCTCCGAATCGTCCGACGGTGACTCCGTCATCTTAGCCTTCTTATTGGGGCCCTTGGCAGGCTCATCCGCTTTGCGCCGGTTGTTGGCAGCATTTGCTTTGGGAGCATTCTTCTTGCCCTTGCCCTTGCCAGCGGGCTTGGAGAGTTCCTGCTCTGAGCCGTCGCCGCTCATCTCGCGACCACCCGCGCCATTATTTTGCGACACGCGTCGGGCGGCCGATGAACGGCTCTCGTTTTGCATAACAGGAGCCTGATTCATTTGCATATTGTTCGCCTGGCCACCCTTGGCAAGCATGAAGAGGCCGTTAGCCGCGTCCGCTGCGTCGTGTTGGGTGAAGTCCGTGGCGGTGTTTGGAGGTTTCTGGTCCATGGTCGGGTTGGAGGTAGGCTCTGGAACGTTCGCATTGGAGGTAGGACCGTTCCCGCTATTTTTCTTGGCGGCCAGTGCGGTACGGTGGAATTCGATGGTGGAAGGAGTAGCCCCGCCGCTTTGGAGTTGTTGCAATAGCGCCTGGGAGTTAGGGCTCGGGGCCGGGAACATAGAGCCACCGCCGCCAGGGGTCAAGCCTGTCCGGAGCGATGACTCGTTGGGAGTCGGGAAGCCTCTACCAATACTGTCAAAGTAGTCATTAGATCCAGTTGGGCCAGGGAGCATTGCCGGGCTGAGGGGCCCTGAGCGCAGGGAGCTGGACCAGTTGTAGCCACCGCCAGAGGATGCACCAGGCAGGGCAGGAGAGGTGAGGGCAGCGACAGGAGGCAGTAACGACTTTCCGGGGGTTTCACCCGAGTTGCCAGTGCCAAAGGACTGCTCGAAGGGATTGGGTTCGAGCGAGAATGGATTATGAACGGAATTGAAGTAATCGGGAGTATCGCTGGCGGTCGTCGCAGCAGGGCGTGGAGGTGGCGCCAGCGAGGTGGACGCTTCTGCATCCGATCTTTGATCCTTGGTGTCTGAAGACACGGCCTGCGAGTCTGTCGAAGCAATTGAATTAGCATTTACGAGGGTTGATGATGATGCGACAGCGCGAAGGTACCGGTACGACGAGAACGAGGACCCTTCATTATGGGATGTGGAGGGTATGGGGAAGAAGTGGTGGAGGGAGAGTGGTGGTGGAAGATCGATGACGCCAGTTGTGAGATCATCCCAACGGCAGAGGGGCTTTAAGTTAAAGTATGGGTGACCTTCCCCCCAAGTGGCGTATTACCAAGCCGAATAGGGGGGTTTGTGGTCAGACACGAGACCCAAAGGGAAAAAAGAAAAAAAGTAGATTGTATTATCCAGCACCACTGAATTTTCCGGCGGCGAAAGAGAACACAAGTTTTCTTTTCTTCAAGGGTTCATAAATGTAACCGCGACCGTTTAAGGAGGAGGCAGCGACGAACGGGGGAGGGAGGGGGTTGGAAGAAAGGGGAAAAGAAAACAAGAGGAGATGATGTGGTGGTGGTAGTGGATGGTATGTAGATGGATGATCGGTATATAGTGGAGGGCAGATAGAACTCGAACAACATCACGCGATTTTTTTTTTCTTACGAACCTTCTTTGGCAATCTTCTTGGAGTCCATGGAGGTCAGAGTGTTCGAAAGAGTCGACACACTGGGAGCGACTGCGGCAGTCATCACCAGTCGCGTGAAGGAGCAAAAAGAGTGGCGAGCGCTCAACGTGGCTTGCAGTGCAGCAACAGAAGAGAAGGGAAAGATGGGAAGGAAGGGAAAAGTGACGTAGAGGAAAGGAGGATGACGACAATTTTTAGGGGAAACGGAAAACATTAAGTAAGGTGGCCTCGTCCGAACGGCTTCGGTTGATTCGATTCTGTCGGTATCGAGCGTGGTATGGCCTGATACCGTACCCGATACCACCCAGTGACGGGTTTGCCACGCGCGAACACCATACTCCAGCGAGGTACTCGGTATGTTTGCCTCCCGAACCGGGGGGGATCTCTTACCATCTCAATACCACCCGACCCACGCGACACTCGGTACATACAACACTACAACATCGCGCCGTTACTATGGATTCTAGATTACTACTATGGACGGCCCTGATCGAGCTTGCGGTACGGTAATGGCAATGTAACTGGGCCAAAAACGTTGATCCAGCTCGAATCAGGGAACCGCCAAAGGAAAAAATGAATATATGGGGGGTGGCCAGCCATTGTGGTTGGCTCTGGCCTCGTCTCCGCGAAGGTCGGCCTAGATCGTGTCTCTCAATCAGGGCAGACTTTTCGAGATTGCTGCAACCCTTTTCATCTTTCGATCTTGTTCGACATACCTCCATCAGCGTCTGTGAGGATCTCCCAGAAGAATCTATCCTCTGTCTAACTGCGCGATGTTAATACCCTTGTCAGAATGGTCCTTCTCTCAAGATATCGAGAATAAGGGCAAAAAAAACTTGACCACGGATTGGGGGACCCTCGCATGTCGATGTTGAACCTGGAGAGCGCTAGTGGACCCTCAGTATCGACTGTGGACCAATCAGCATGTGATCAAGAGAAGGAAGCGGGGACTCGACACTCCTCGGACGGATTGGCCACTCGCCCCCCCTCGAAAAAAAAAAAAAATTGCGTAATTTTCTGATTCATTTGTTCAATCAGAGAGAACATCGGGATCCCTTGAAGCAATCCGAACTGGAGAGAAAATGGCTCGGGGATGCTGAAAATTGAAAGAAACGAAAGGAGAATTTTATCGAACGCGCCTCCGTACCGATCGGTCGGGCCTGTTGATACTTGATAGGACGTATCGAGTATAACGCGACTGGCATATCCTGGGCGATGGATGATTTCACGATGACGACGACAGGAATGTGTCCCGGCTGTCGAACCTGTATGGGTGGGGTCCGTGACGGGGGATATCAACCACTCATGTTGCAGACAGCTGGACGGAATGTACTTACTTAAGACTCGGGCTGCCGGGATTGGCTTAGACGGCCAGAGTGGGAAGGTGGACTCAAGCAGTTGAGTACTGCGGTGTGGATTCGAGGAAGGATGTGAAGTGGTTGGGGCCATGACGCAATCCACGTGAGACAGCCGGAATCCTGCGCTGACTCATCAGGACAGGAACTACTCCGGGACCCAAATGACGTGCGTGGCCCTGGGACTGGGCCGAATGGGGTAAGGACACACTGGACTGAAGTCGTGCGGAGTACATGAACTTAGCAAGTAACTTGAAGGGTAGTATAAAGTACAGGTTTTTCAGATGAATGAGGCTACTGTGTTGATGATGGAGAAGAGATCTGATATAACCCCCGAAGGTGAAAGCTCCACATCTTAATATCCACAGGACCATCTCGCAGCGATCACCTTCAGCCCTATCCCGCCATCACTCATCATCCCCAATTGCTAGGACGATCGGTATATACCACCAGCACCACCAGCTTCCTATATATCCCGCTCGCTACTTGGCTCACCGATTCCTGATATCCGCCAACTTAGCACGAGCGTTGCCAACAAAAGCAGTCAGTGTATGGAACGCTGCATGCAGGCTCCGGGGTGCGTTGGACCAGCGGTTTTATTTACTCCGCATTCCGCACAAGAGTATCAGAATGGGAAAGGATGTGGAGCTGACCTTCCCCGGACCCTTGGCCCTGTCAATACTAAAAAGTAAAAGATGCGACTTCTCAAGTGCTTGATATAGGCCACCCCGGCTTTAAAAGGGTAACCCCCTAGCCCGCCAAGGACGGCTTCGGTGATATCTTCACCGAATGTGTAAGGAACCCCATCTCTTTGGAACTGTGTACTGACAGGCCATCTCCGCAACAAAGCGTAGAATCTCATAATCAATCTTGACTTGATGTCCCTTCTGGGAAATAGGCCCATGACCTCCAAAGATGCCACGCTCAAGAGCAAGGGATTCTCGCTAAGATTCGCAGTGGGCCTGGCCTACTATCCGCTGGGGAGCGATTCAGAGAATATTGTCGCGCCTCTGGGGACGACTCCGGATATTGGTAATTTAGTAAAAAGCAAACTCAATGCCAGTTCATTATTCATGGCATGTGTGGTTCGAGAATTGATCGTCCCAAAAAAACTCAAACAGGCGTGAGGCTCCATGCGACGATGTCGATGCTACATCTCCTCTCTGTATCAGAAATCGGGATTTGCCTCTCGCATAGATTCGAATATGCTGAGAGAGACAAGTTGAAAGCTCGGAGCCGAGGTACGAAACAAGTCCACTGATGCTCCAGCTAGCCTTGTTATATTTGTTTCCTGTCTACTGGTACCTGGAGACTTTGGTTGTGAGTAGTTTTGAAGAACTTGTACTAGATTCTCGAGCAAAATTTGGTTTTGGACCTTGAAGGTGTTCGTGGAGGTACTGAATATCGGTGCCTCATTAGTGTCCTGTACCCTTTCTCGGTGCTACTTCTCCCGATAAAAGTGCCTGATCCATGCCTATCCTCAATATCGCCATAAAACGCCGTATTAATAACTAAACAATTGGTGCATTTATATTTCCCGATTCATCTTAAGCTTTGCGGGGCTCCGTTACCAATATGCCGATCCTCCGCGGCACTTGCCTTAGAACGGTACGGAGGACATCACATGAAACACACTGCCTTTAATTATCCCCTGAATAGCAAGTCAATACAAACCGTGATTGTGGCTTTTGGCGCATTTGGTCAGCTAGCACTTTCGGCATCATCTTTTTATTATAGGAAAAATTTATGTGTATGGAATATTATAGTGCTTATATTAGACCACCCTTGACGGAGATGCGACACGGCTCGAGTTAAGGAGTTCTTTTCCCATTGAACATAATAACATAAATAGAATCAGATCGCAGGTTCTCCTTTTTCTTCAGCCCACAGATTGTAAAGCTTATCACAACTCCACTCAATTGATACGACCATAGGGCATAATGCATGCCAAGCATCTTCTACTCGGCCTTGGCTACGCCTCCGTCGCCTGGGCACAACTTGCGGATACATCCGCCTACCCAATTGGACCATTAACGTCCTCAAGCACTAAATGGGCCACCAAAATTTGCGACATCACGGACTACGGCGCTGTAGCGGATGGGTCGACCGATGCCGGGCCTGCGATTCTGGCGGCCTTCAATGCCTGTTCTTCGGGAGGAGTTGTGAATATCCCATTAGGGACATTCGCCATGGCAACATGGGTCACCCTCAGTGGGGGAAGTGCGTGGGCTATCAACCTCGAAGGCATCATCGTTCGAACCGGGACTGCAGGGGGTAATATGATCTATATCGAGCATAGTACCGATTTCGAAATCTATTCTTCCAGAGGTGAAGGTGCGATCCAAGGCTATGGGTATGAATTCCATTCTCAGGGGGAGTATGGGCCCCGTCTGCTGCGTCTTTACGATGGTAAGTACTGTTTAGGTCTCTGGGGCCCAGGGCAGCGCTGATTCTGCGAAGTGACCAATTTTGCGATCCACGATATTGCTCTCGTCGACTCTCCGGCTTTCCATTTGACTCTCGATACTTGCAACCAGGGCGAGGTTTACAATATGATCATCCGAGGTGGAAATGAAGGAGGCCTTGATGGCATTGACTTGTGGGGCTTTGACCTTTGGGTTCATGATGTTGAAGTCACAAACAAGGACGAATGTGTCACTGTCAAGAGCCCGGCAAACCACATCCTTGTTGAGAACATCTACTGCAACTGGTCTGGTGGCTGTGCGATGGGCTCCCTGGGAATTGACACCGGTAAGTCATGGTAACCATTCACTAACGCCATTCCAGACCAGATGACAAGCAATGTCATTGAAAGTGGATAAAGAAGCTGACTTTAGTACTTGAAGACATCTCAAAGGTTGAGTACAACAACATCTACACCGTGAATTCCAACCAGATGTTCATGTTCAAGTATGCTCTTTCCTGGGACCTCTAAGCACTATTATCAAGTGACTTGATCTAACATTATTCTATAGGAGCAACGGAGGAAACGGTACCGGTCAGTACTTTCTTTTTCTCAGACTACCTCCCATGAGTAGCATCAACTAACGCTGCTATCGATAGTGACCGACGTGACTCTGCAGAACTTCATCGGACACGAGAATGCCTACTCCCTCTACATCGACGCGTACTGGTCATCAATAAGCGCGGCCGCAGGTGACGGAGTCCTGTATAACTCCATCACTTTCAGCAACTGGAAGGGAACTTGTGCAAATGGCGCCACTCGTGCCCCGCTATACGTCTTGTGTCCTTCGACTCAACCATGCACAAACATTGTCATCGAGGATTTCGCCATGTGGACTGAATCAGGAAGTACAGAGTACTACAAGTGTGCCGATGCTTGGGGCTCAGGGTACTGCCTGCATTCAGGAAGTGAACATACCGAGTACGGTACTGTAACCTCGACATTGACGGCTGCTCCATCAGGGTACTCGGCGACGACGATGCCTGATCAGCTTACTGCTGGATTTGGACTCAGCACGTCAATTCCGATCCCTACTGTCCCGAATACATTCTTCCCCGGTGCTACGCCGGCCACGGCTAGAGTGTATGGCAGTTAGTTAAATGTCCAATACTTCGTCGCCGCAGACAAGCGACCGTTATATGCTTCGTGGCTGTGGCTCTTAGTTTACTTCATGGTAACATTTGACTTCAACAAACGAGTCCATACTAAGGATCGATCATAATTTAAGCTTGGATTTAACATAGTTCGAAAATAACAGTCATCTCATTTTGGACAGCCGTGCATTGTGGTAAAGAAACAATAGCATGGTCTAACTATCGTCAGCCCCTGCCCATTCCATCAAGACAATAGACTTTTTTCCACCTCCTCTACTTTCAGACACAGGCGCCCAGTCTTTCAATGTACACCCTCGTAGAAAACTGTTCTTTTCAAAAACCCTCATACTGCCTTCGTTGTCTTCGAATGCCCAACTCTTTAGTCGTTGGACCTTCATTCGAGGGATCGCCCAATCATGGATGATAGTTTTGACGGCGAGCGTCATGATTCCCTTACCATGGTGACTCGGAGCCAAAAAGTCTAACGGTTGATTTTTGTCAGTACAGCTATCATCGAGGTGCCAGGGGTTTTGACGTACCTGCCAGGCTCCAGATGATATTTTTGTCTCCAGCTAGTAGCTCATCATTTTGTCTCTGCGCTTGGGCTCTCTCTTCGCTGCCTTCGGGAAATTCATCGAAACTTGAGCGTGCCAAGCGGATATCGCCAATGAGAATGTCTTCAATTGGATGGCCAGTCTCGGGTTCTGACTTGAGCACTTCCCTAATACAAGTGAAAGGACAACCATCGAAAACCTGCCCATCTTGACGGGAATTATTGCCTGCATGCTTCTTCAATTTTGTGTTCGTCTGTTCTTCAAGCTCTTTTCGCAAGTTGGACAGCATTGCCTCCTGCTCTTTGCAGTTGGCTTTGGCCCATTCTTCGCCGTCAGACTTTGAGTACGGATATGGTGTACGTTGTAGACGAAGGGCAACGCGGGGGTCATTGAGAATGTTCGCAAGTGCTGAGGAGGTTTCGTCAATGCTGTTCTGACGGTGTGGTGTGATGATTATGTTCGTATGTGGCTCTGGGAGCCTGAGATAAGGCTCCTTGGTCCTTGAATTGTGTTGAACAGTCATTTTAATGTCCGTAGTACAGATCACCTGGTGCAGTAAATAATCATCACTAACAGGAATCTAGGTTTCTCGCTGAATTATGAGGAATTAGACTGAGTGAGTCATCCATACAAAGGGTAACTAACTAGTTAACATTGACCGTCCGTACTTCGGACGACATTTTTAGATACTTTTCCATTTGCTGCAACCATGCCAAAACCTCTCGGTTTGATCAGAGGTAATTAATCTGGATAGTGGCTCAAGCACTTGATCACAAACATGGCAGTGCCTCTCCATTGAGGGCTGGCGTTGCCCCCTTGGGCTAACACCTTCATGGATCCATAAATTGAAGAAATCTCCATCAAGCAAGGCAAGATGGCCGAGTTGGTCTATGGCGCACGGTTCAGGTTTACCTGATCCAAACTTCCGTGTCTCGAAAGGGGCGTGGGTTCGAATCCCACTCTTGTCAAAGAATTATTTTTTTGCATTCTTTCCTTTGATCTGATGCTACTGTTAGTATTGATCCATTTACTTTTTATCCAATTTACATGGTTCATCTGGTGTAGGTTGTAATTACCAGACTGATCATTATTGATCTCAATGCTCCGGCGGTGACCACTATTGGAAATTTGTATGGCTGCATAACAAGATCCGCTTCCCATTGTACTCTACGATCCTCTAGTAGGAGGAACCTATAATCATGACTTAACGCTTGCTTTCGGTTCGCGGCGGCCATCTTTGAATCATGCAATGTGCTTCGTTCAGTCTTGAAATGCTGGAGCCTTCTAGCTTGGGTGATGGAGGAAGGTGTACCAGTTCAGTGTCTGCCTGGCCTGAATAGACGAATACTTGAGCATTTAAATGGTCAACTCGGTCCTAACAAAACCTTCGATATATTCTCATTTTAAATGTTTGCAGAACCTTGAACCCCCAATTTCCGCAGTCCCCATCGTACCCGATCGACGGAGTGACAGTTCCGAGTGGCTTCCGCTTTGTTTTGTTTGCGTTTCAACGGTTGACCGCCCAGCATCCTAACTACTGTAATCAGCCGCGTGTACAAGTTTCTCTTTTGACCACTTCACCTCCAGACTTCTGACCTCCCACCTCGCCAAGGCTTCTAGGTTAAGTCCGCTCTTGGTCGCTTTTACGATTCTATCATCTACTTGCCCATCATGACACTTGCTGAGGAGTTCCGATCGAGAAATTTCAGTACGTACCCCTCGTGCTGATGCGGCGGCAAACGTCGATCAACCCCATGGATTAACAGCTTGGCTGACCTCTTATTCTCCTAGGCATCTACGGTCAATGGTTAGTTTCTTAAATTACTTTCCCTTTACTTCTTTTAGATACTTCTGCCGAGCTCGTCCGATTTACGACTGCGCTGCAGAAGAAAGGCATCGTGGCGAGATGTCACATGGGCGCCTGTGCCTCGTATGAGGCCTCGGACATCTCTGAAACTCTTCGATTTTCTCAAGATACACGTTTCTGACGACTCTATTTTAGGACCGGTGTGCTGTGCATGGTCCTGTGCTTTGCGCTGGGAATTGCCAACATCTTCTCTCCCTGTCCTCCGTATCATCTTCTCCGTCATTTGCCTGTGAGTTTGGCCGATCCTCCGCGACTATGATATACCATTCTGACATTGGCAGTGCCTGCTCATTTATCATTCTCTTCATTGAGGTACCCTTCCTACTCCGCATCTGCCCTACCTCCTCCAAGTTCGATGCCTTCATCCGCCGCTTCACCACCAACTGGATGCGCGCTGCTATGTACGCTATTATGTGTGGCATCCAGTGGGCCAGTCTCTGCACTGGTGCCTCGAGTCTGATTGCCGCCGCCGTCTTCCTCTCTATCGCCGCTATCTTCTACGCGCTGGCCGGTCTGAAGAGCCAGGATTTCGTGGGCAGCAAGACCCTCGGTGGTCAGGGTGTTGCGCAGATGATCGTTTAAATGCCCCTTGCCTCCAGACAGGTCTCTTGCTCTCTTTCCTGCGTCGGGTTTATATGCGGGGTAGAAAGTCCCCTGGCTGGTCCAATGTCTGGGTGGAATGATGCTATGCTCGATGCGAATTTCTGGATAATGACTCTCGGGTCAAAACATATTGGAATGCGCCACGACCCTGCTTGTTGCTGTTTTTGTCATCCTGTACTTGTATGTCTCCCATTGTTTGGGAGCGGCCTGCTGGGCGCCTCTTTGCCGCGGCCTTAGTGGATATTGTCGTCTATGGTTTAGGTCTGCGTTATTCGGTTCTGCTGCAGTTTTTAGAGCGAAACTAGGTGCAATGTCAATGCATACTTATGCTTTCCTTCGAGATGGTCCACTTTGGTCACAGATAAACCCGAGGGCGTTGTTGTTGGCTGATTTGTATAGCGACACTTCGTCGCTTCTCCAGGGTGTGGACTGTATCTGCGTATACTGAATTACTATCCTGTTGTGTTTTCCGCGAGCAGTTCCACGGCGCTGCTGGCATTCACCTGCTGCCTGGTCCTCATACCCGTGCCCCGCGGTTGCTTGGTTGGGTAAAATTCGTGTGTACGCTCCATCTACCTAGGTAGTCGGCTTCACCACCAATTCGACAACTTAGAACCTTATATATATTTGCGGACCGCGCGGATCTACAAGTACAAACGGTCTGTACAATGGATCAAAGAATGATAGAATGAGTCACCGGAATAACAGAAAGCTGTAAATTTCCCAAATGAATAGAGAATACGCCCGAACACATGGATACTCGAGACACTGATTATAGGGATACGTGAACTCGACCAAGTAATTCCACATTGGGTGGCGTCATATTTTACCCTTATGTAGTCAAAATCCGGTCCATCGTACATCGAAGTTGGTAAGATGGCCGAGTTGGTCTAAGGCGTCAGGTTAAGGTCCACCTTAGCATAAATTCCTGATCTCGTTTACGGGGCGTGAGTTCGAATCTCACTCTTATCACTCATTTCTCTTTTTGATTTTCTTTTTGCGCCCGCCACTTCTCTTCCCCTTCCCTTCTTTTTTTCTTTGCTCCCGGTCAAGTCGGTCGTCAACGTATTCATTATTGCGCGAAAGTATCAACTCGTCCCTTCTAGTCGTCGCATATCTCAAAGGATGTATATATCCTGTAGTTAAACCTCGGCACGCAGTCCTCCTCGAAGACTCTTCCCACATTGGCATTAACATATACAAGCGTCCTAGATTGTAGTGCAAATACTCCTAATGTCATAATAGTTAGTTGACCAATGTCTGCATAAGCAGTCCACGAGAAAAAGAAAAGACCAACATGCCAATCAGTTCGGTAGTAGACTCGGTCAATAACCATTCTATTCCTATTACCAGTTTCCCTCACCATTAATATTAACCCAACTTCTGAGAGACGATCCGAGCACCTCATCGGATGACTCTTTCTCCCATCTGACCGGTCTGTACGTGTCCTAGCATGATCGTCACCCCGCAAATATTAGGAACCACTCAACCGAAATGGGGAACTCCATCGGCTCGAAAATCTCAGCAATCCACATGACCACTTTCCCCCTCTCAATAAGTCAACCCCTTTTGATTAATTACAGTTCAGCCATTTCCCGTGTATCATGTAAATCTGACCAGGAACCAGGTCAGAACACCCGGTTATCTACGTGGCAGTTCAAAAGTCTGAAACCAGGGACCTAGAAAACAGGCCGTCAAAATATGCCCTCGATTTTATGTTTTTAATAGATATTTCTGAATGTCTTTTGAACCCTCTTTCTAGATATTCCCGGCATCTGTGTTTCAACTTGTCTTTCAAAGTATAGCTGATGAGATGGGTTTGAACTTTTTCGGGTGTTGCAAACTTATGGAACTCCACTGTACATTGAAGCCCCCGCGTCATACAACCGGCCTAGTGGCGGTAATTTTTCTAGGGCTACAGTATGTGGGCGAAGATCAGTGAGGTGGGGATCTAGTTGCACTGTACTGTACAGAGAACACGTTGAGCTCAATGGAACTATTTCACTCATGTCATCATTGATTTCTGGGGAGCGGTTGACGAGATGGACAGAGATAAACTATCAAGTACCACTTTATCATTTACAAAGGGGAAGGTTCAGGATGGGTTTATCGGGGTACTACTGGCGATGCTAGATGATGCAATCCCATGGGATGCGGAGAATCCTTCTTCGTTTGCTCACCGCCTCGGTTATCGTGGCCAATCCCAAGACAAAGAAATAATCTGGGACGGCCGATACAAGGTCTTATCACTTGCAACGAGAAGAAGACACAAAGTCCTAGTACGGAGTCCACTTTAACACGTTTTATGTCTCTCTTCTACAGCAGTCTGTATTATTCATGGATTAGAGTCAGAACTCCCACGGAGTAACTATCTGTATGTCCCTATAACCATCAAACACCCATTCGCACCGCCACTCGAGACTGAGTCAGTAGTAATACCAGCGCTATTAATATACTTTGGACCCACGGTCTAGCCACCAGGGATTATCGGTCTAATGTCCTCATACGAAACGAGGAGACGCCTATGTCTGCACGCGATGCCCAGAAAACGGTGGTTGGACAAACCGCACGAGGCATGATTTGCCCCCTCCAAGCTGAACCATCTCGACCACTCCACTTGGCGACCACTTATGAGGTATTTGCTTGAAAAATGCCGCAAAAGCAATGCATTGCTCAATTTCAGGACGGAGAACAAACTGCCTCGATAATCATGATTCAGTCTATGATTCGAGCGTTTTATAACCTCGATGGGAAAAAGGTAGATAAGGTATCAAAACTTGGTTAAATATAGTCGTGGGCCATTTTGGCGTCACCGTCTCCGTAGACTCTCGAGAAGAGAACCTGCGCCGAGTGTAACCGTACGGTAATCTGACGGTACCAGTGGGCTTTGGCTGGACTGGATGCGGTCAGAGCACGTCACGCGCCCGGTGGGTCGTGGCAGAAAGAGACATACATCATCCTCTCTGCGCTCGCCGGATTGCTTCATTCTCTGCCAGTTTCGACTTTTCTGTACTCTCGTACTCATTGACTGCTACCTTTGACCTCCCCCCCCTGATCCAATTGGGAATTTCCCAGACCTCGATATCGGGTATATCAATCTGGGTAAGCAAATCAGCCGCCGTCCGCTTATCAGCTGCAGCCCTCTCTCCCCTCCTCCTTGGCTATAGCCGAGTTATGGGGCTTCCTTGCGTCAATGCAGGTCCTTGAATGGCCAACCCCAGAATTCTCCGTCGGGGGGAAATCAGACACTGTCTTCTGGGCCCCCACGGCCAGCAGGGAAGGAAGGGCCTAAGCTGTCCCACCAATTCCGGGGTTGTTGGGCTGAAACTGCTAGGCATTGAGCTAATATTCAAACCCGGTAGCTTCAGAATATCCTCCATCATGTCTACTCAAACTGCTCCGGTCATCCCACCTCGACCGGCCCGATCTCCGCAACCGCCCGCCTCAATAGACATGCCGAAGATCCCCCTGCGCCCGAACCGCCGCCTCGACCGGTCGGTCTCCCCAATGCGAGACAGCTATGCGCCATCTCCATTCAATGAGTGGAATGGACCGAGCATGGCCCGCACCACGTCGAATGAGCTCCCTCCACGCCCGCCGAGTGTCACGATACCCTCCCTAGGTGAAGAGGGCATTGAGTATGCCGATCTTGATGTCGGAAACATGGCGGACAGTCATCACCAGGCGCCCGCAGAGACACGCAACGTTAGCACCGACCTCAAAATCCATGCACCTCGCCCATCTTTGCCTACTTCAAGTGCCAAGGCAAGAGTCCAGGCGGTCACTCGCACTGATTCCCGGCAGGCTGCGGCCGCGGGAGTAGGCCGTGAAAGCTCGAATTCTCCAGCACTGGATGAGCAAGATCGTCCTCGCCGCATGTCAAACTCCCGAGGAGGTGGCTCACGGGCCGAGTCTAATGCCTCCTCGGACCGCCGACTTTCTGCACAGCTCGGAGAAGAGCACGGCTTCCGAGTTCCCATGTACCCGCATGCCGGCGAGGTCCAGGCGCCTTCTCCCAGCCCTTATCTTGACCAGGGCTCACAGCGACAAGGCCGGAACCACCACCGCAGCCGTAGTGCCCGGGACTCTTCTCTACCCCCGGGCAGTTACGGTCTGCATGGACACGGCGTCCAGCACGCCGATAAGTTCGAGAAGGCCTGGTACGATAAGCATCCAGATGAACTTGCCAAGGAAGAGGGCCAGTATGGCCCTGGTGTGGGCAGTCCTCGACCCGATTGGGCTCTCAGTAGCGACGATCTGAACAAGATCGTTCGTGGTCCCAGCCGTAGTGGCTCAGGGATTGGTAAGAATATTCGCTGTAATCATGCCTCGAAGGAACAGAATACTGACTTCTTGTCTCCTCTAGGCACATCTCCCGTGGTTACAGGTACTCCGGAAGAAGAAGTGGGATATCTTGCCTCGGATGAATACATGCATCGCATGGCATCTCCGCCTCCCGATGCCCGCCACGAGTCTCAGCCAGCTGTGGAATCTCCGCTTCGCCAGATGAGCTTCCCAGCATCCGAGATTGAGCCCAAAGTTCCAGCGTCCCCGTTGCGCCATGATCGGAGCAGTTCTCATGGACACCGTGCGGACGGCGAGGTGATTCACGTCGATGACCCAATGCACCATCTTCACCACCCAGATGGATTTGCTCCGACCCCGGCACCCTATGAGCACACGCCTGATGTACAACAGCCATCGGAAGAGGAGGAGCCTATTCTGGCTGCTGATGAAGTGCGCCCCGAGTCCGCCTATCTGCACCCCGCAGTTTCACCCACATTCGAGCACCGAGGAAGCTTTGACGAGGAGCGCAGCCGCACCCCAAGCGTCTCCCATAGCCGCTCTAACAGTAGATCTGCAAGTTCTCAAGGTGCTCCTATGCTCACTCGCTATGATTCTCGTGAGCAGCACGATGATCTGTCCACTCCTTTGGAGGACGTGGAAGAATATGAGCCTCTTTTCCCCGAGGAGGGTGATTCGAAGAAGCCACGCTCCCTTTCGGCTAATGAGCGTTTCAAGAAGCGCCCGGATATGCTCAAGCACAGATTCCCCAGTGAAGATCTCTGGGAAGATTCTCCCAACAGTCTGCAGCTTCAAGCCACAGTGACAACCCCCGATATCCCCAAGCGAGATTCCGCTGAACTCTTTGAGACCCCGGAACAAGAGGCTGTGCGAAGAGCTCAGGCTTCTAAGGTCGACTCGCATCAAGTTGCGCGTCATATTCTCCAAGGGGAGGGTGCACGTGATACGGCCAAGGTCCCTGCTCGGCCCGATACTATCAAACAACGGTTTCCTAGCCAGGACATCTGGGAGGATGCTCCTGATAGTCAGCAGCTGGTGACGACTGTCGAGCCGGCTAATGACGAAGTCAAAAGCCCCGAAGTGCCTTCGAAACCTTCGATTCCCCCGCGTCCGCAGAAGCAAGCACAGGCAACGTCGCCCACCGACAAGCGTCAAGCGCCTGTCATCCCGGACCGCCCGAAGCCTCAGATCCCAGCTCGCTCCGCTAAGCCTGGCTCACAGGCCCCAGCTGAGGGTGCTGCCGCACCCAAGGCAAAGCCTGCCATTCCCGCTCGCCCTGCTGGTAGCAAGATTGCGGCTCTCAAAGCCGGATTCCTAACAGACCTGAACTCACGCCTTCAGTTGGGTCCTCAACAACCCAAGCCCCAGGAGAAGGAACCTGAACCACCCGCAGAGAAGCAGCCGCTTAGCGATGCTCGTAAAGGAAGAGCCCGTGGCCCGGCCCGACGAAAGCCTGCTGCGGAGAACGCCAACGCCAGATTGCCCACAATCCCAGAGATCAAGATCACTGAGACATGGAATGTGTGGTCGGTTGGTGAGGACGGTAACCTGACCGTGGGTAGCGAAGACATCAAGCCTTCTGTTGCGGCCCCTGAGTCTTCCATACCATCTGAGCCTCCAATGGCGCCTGCCCTCGCCAAGAATACTGCTGGAGAATCAGTCGACCCCACTGTACAAAGTAAACCTGAAGCCTCGGAGGTGGTCCCTCCTAGCACCGTTGCAGCTCCAGAAGCAGAACCAGCCAAGCCTCACGTTTCAACAGACGTCCCAACAACGAGCGAAGACTCTTCAGCGGCTGCTGAGCCCACTCCCAAACAAGAAGAGCCCGAACCAACTGCAGCAGCGGGCGCTCAACCCCTCGCGGGCCATGTTTCAACATCAACCAAAACGGACGACGCTCTCGAGGACATGGCCGCCTCAGCCGACGGCAAGAAGACTTCTGATGGTGAAGTCCATCCCACAGAGTCTTCTGCTTAAATAACCTTTCTGTGATTCAATTTCGTTTCATACTATGTCTTCTTCACTCGCTTGTTCTTGACGATGCTCCATGCCCGACAAGAATCGGTTGCAAGTGTCTCACTCATAGCAGACCTTGTCCATACCTACTACCATCTTTAGTTTCAGTGCGTTTTTAATAAGATTTGGGTCCTTCAGACCTTGAATCTATTTTCACCGTGGCATCTGCTCAGGATGCGTGACCCAATCTTGTGTGCTTTTTCTACTTTAGTCTTCGGTTCTTACCCAGCAACCGACTCTATATACAGATCGAGTAAAATGATCTTCGTAGGATGCGGTAATTACCTCTCGCGGTGCCCATCGCTACCAGCAGCTGCCATTGACATCAGCAATGGATCCATTGTATCGTGTAGTCGAACTCCATATCTTACAAGCATGTCTTCTTCGGGCAGCGGGGTATCTTGAGTGTACATGTTCCAGGGTCAGTCTATGTGCGCTGCACCAAATGAGCATCTTTGCGGGTGTAGTGACACGCTTTTATGGATATACTGGGATTCGATATTGTATGATATGTGGCGTGTTTATTTCACACTTGCATGGCTCGCTGGTCTCATGACACTGGATCCTAACTTCGAAACTGCATTTTGCATCGAGAACGCAGGAATTGCTATAAGATAACAGATATCGCAGATGTCATCTGGCGGAAAGAACATCCAGAGGTCGTCAGGATTATACATCGCCATCTTGATTGAAAATAAACAGAACTCCGGCATCGGAGGATGATAATTCTTTTCAATAAGAGTCGGGATATAGTCAATGGTTCTGGGTAAGTTGCGGACTATGCCGGTTGGGTGATCAGGCTGTTTCTGTGCCCTTCTACTCTAGACAAGGCTTTGTGCTCCAACGCAAGTCAGGGTACTATTTCCGAACTTGAGACCGGGTCTGTAGCGCCAAGTTCAAGGATTGTTGCATCGCAAAGAAAGATTGGCTCAAGAACAAAGGGAAAGAAATTCAACATTTCAAAGGTGGTCTAATTTACAAGCTTCAGGACCTGAGGAGGCGGCCAGACTAGTGGTGCCGGATGCATACACAACCGTCCCCTCATATTTCCCCAGACCTTGCCAAAAGAAAGGGAAAGAGAGAATTTAGTGGGCGGCAGCAGCCTCTTCCTCCTCCTCCTCGAACCAGCTCTCCTCGACGGGGGCGGCCTCGCCGGTGGCAGCCTGACCCTCAACCTCAACCTGCTGGGTCTCGTAGGCGGACAGCTCACCGGCGAGGTTGGCCTCCTCAGGGGAAGGGGGAGCCTGGGGGAGGTTGAAAGTGTGGACGTTGCCCTCGGCGTCGCTGGGCTTGACGGGGGTGGGCTTGTAAGCCTTGAGCTCACGGAGGTAGAGGTCCTGGACCTGGTCGGCTAAAGCAGGGTTATTCGAGTTAGTGACGGGTCGAGCAGAGATTGACGTGGTATCCCCTCAGGATGCGGCCAGCGAGGGTCTTGGAAGTAGTGACATACCGCGGCGGACAGCGGAGGTCAGGAAGGTGCGGCGAGCAGCGACAGGGACCTGTTGCCGAGAGGCACGGGTGAAGAGGGAGCGCTGATTGTACTGTGTTAGCCAGGCCTAGCGGCGCAATCGATATTCTGAATCACTCACCGAGGCCCGGAGAGACTGGGACATCATCTTGACGGGGAGGTGTGGAAGATGAGGGGGTGTGAGGGAGGGGTTGGTGGTCTCAACAGGATGGATCTGATCCGTTCTCCGTGCAAGTCGAGGTTGGAAACGACTTCTCTTCGGAATCTCGGCTTGGCGCTGAGTCATCAAACCCGCCTTCTCCCCATCCACGTGACTAGCGCATTCATCTGGTAGCCTCACGCTTCTTCTAGTCGCCTCGATCGCTGCCTCATCTCTCTCTCTCTCCCCTTCCCTCTCTCACTTTCGCCCTCTCGATCCCACCCCCTTCTCTCTTCCTCAGCCTGTCCTCCCTGGAACTTCGACTTCTTGTTGCTCTTTGCCCCAGCATTTGCAGCGATCCGTCAGGTTCTACGACCCTTTTCGTGAGATATCTCTCTTACGGAGACCTTGACTGGTTCATCGTGGTCAGACAAAGCCGAGGTTTGGAGAATTCTCTCTTTTTGCCCGAGAAAGCGCAGACCCCCGGTGACAGTTCTTTCACGTCTTCAAGAGGGGGGTGATTTATCGAGCCGCGACTGGCCCTGGTTCTGAAAAAGGTAATGCCAGCTTCACTTAAGAGATTTGAGAAGCCGGTGGCGTCGTGGATGATTCTTTCACCCTGAAAAGACCCAATCGGTGGATGTGTTCTATGTGGATTTGTCTTGCCTCTAAACGTTTTGGAAACCAGAGAACTAGGCTAACCACGACTGCGCAAGTAGTGGCCCGCGATTCAAGAGATAGCCTCCTGCTGTTCCTTGCCCCGCAGTCCACGTCCCTGCTCAGTCAGGGGCCGTTGACCTCTCCGGTGTTTGTCTGTTGCAAGCCGCCAAGACGTATTCGCCACTGTTCCTTCGCTATTATACACGCAAATACCGCATTCCTGTCTCCCACAAGAACATCGCCCAGCGACGCCAGGCACGCATCCAACAGTTCGGACAAGTCAAAAAGATGGCTACCATGTCTCCAGCAGTGAAAAATGAGGTGGCCACGGTTCCGTTCAGGAAGAACCTCGCGGCGCATGTCATCTGCAGTGAATGCAAGGAAGTGCCACCAAACCTGGAGTTCGACTCCCACCAGACAACCTGCGGCAGTTGCGGCCTGGTCCTTGGAGACCGCGGAATCGACATGGGCTCCGAATGGCGTACCTTTTCGAATGACGACCAGAACTCGGATGACCCGTCTCGTGTCGGAGATGCCAACAACCCGCTGCTGAACGGTGATCAGCTGGAAACTACGATCGCCAGTGGAGCTACGGGCCGATCTCGTGATCTCTATCGTGCACAGAACAAGCAGTCTAGCGACAAGCAGAACAAGGCTCTGATGCAGGCTTACAAGGAGATTGGTGCCATGTGTGAGGGATTCAATATCCAGAAGAATGTGGCCGACACTGCCAAGTACCTGTTCAAGACTGTCGATGACGCCAAGGCCTTCAAGGGCAAGTCCCAGGATGTCCTCATCGCTGGATGCATTTTCATTGCCTGCCGCAAGTGCAAGGTCCCTCGTTCGTTCTCTGAAATCTTCGCCGTCACCAAGGTCAGCCGAAAGGAGATTGGCCGCATCTACAAGTCCCTGGAGAAGTTCTTCACCCAAAACGATGAGGCCCGCAAGGCCGCTGTGGTGGCGAGTGGCGGTACCCCCGACAATGCGGTCTACGAGACGACCACCTCGACCAAGCCCAGTGACATGTGCAACCGTTTCTGCAACCTGCTTCGTCTCGAATACCCTCTCCCCCGCATCTCTGTGCAGCTGTCAGACCGAGTCACTGCCTCTGGTATCCTGGCCGGACGCTCGCCGCTCTCCATTGTGGCAGCCTGTATCTACATGGCTTCCCACCTTATGGGCCAAGGCAAAAGCCCAAAGGAGATTTCACAAATCGTCCACGTTAGTGACGGGACGATCCGCGGTGCTTACAAGCACCTGTATGCGGCCCGTGAGCGGCTCATTGACCCGTCCTGGATCGAAAAGGACAAGGGTGATATGAACAAGCTTCCGGTAGCCTGAATGGGCAGAGTGGGGTGCGATGAGAATCGGTGATGACCTGTGCTTTTTTTTTTTCTTCCAATAATTCCGAGCCCACAAAGGGCATCAACGATATCAACGACATAGCTGACGTTTGCTGATTTTTCCCCTTTGTAATTCCAAATCGATACCTGTGCAGTAAACTGCTTGATACAATATGCTTATGCACGGTCATTACAAACTGCTCTTACAGTGTGACTTGTTACCCCATGAATATGTTTGAGGCTTTATTCCCCAGTTAGAAATAACCAAAACTCTGCCTTTCGTGCTCTATTGAGTACTACTTTGTTAGCTCAGATCGCTCTCTGTGCATGTTCATTTCGCTTATCCAAATTGTCGCCATGGAACTTTGCATTCGTTTAGCTTTGGGCAGACCCCAAATCTAACTGTGTTAGATGACATTCTCTTCTGTAGGATGTATGGGATGAATGAAAATTCCACATACACATCTTTGACCTTGATCAAATCTAGGCTGCTATATTTACAAAATCCCAATTTGATAGGGAGAAAAAAAAACTCTACCTCGCTCACTGTTTGGACCTGTTATACTGGAGGACTCCCTTCCATGAGTTCCAATAAAAACGTGGGAGACAAAAAGAGAAATGAGTGATAAGAGTGAGATTCGAACTCACGCCCCGTAAACGAGATCAGGAATTTATGCTAAGGTGGACCTTAACCTGACGCCTTAGACCAACTCGGCCATCTTACCAGCTTCGATGTAGGATGGGACAGATTTTGTCTACATCAGTCAAATAATTCGTATTCATCCAATCCACTTTGATAAGGCTGAGAGGCTCCTCGTTATTGATTCCCTCATTCGTCGACGGGACGGCCGATGCGGGCGTCGTAAAGGTGGATCCGGGCTGAACACCACGCATCTTGCGCAGCGACGTGGTGGCCTTTCGGTGGAGCCATTCGCCCAAGCTTATTTCCCGGTTCCCCCCTTGTTCTGCCTCGTCTAATAGAAGTAACGCGGTTGATTTTCAGGTCCCGTCAGGCAGATATCAGATTTGCTTTTTTGGGTTCGCAGCCAGCGAAGAACGACATATACGGAGTACTATCGTCTCTTCTTGCTGGAACCGAAGTATCGACATTCGTGCCGATGAACCTCTTGTACAGTAGTGCGGTGGTCGAGCCCTGCAACTACCGTACGGTACGACGTGGCATCTGCGGGGCTAATGGGCACCAGCAGCGTGAGAATGAATCTGGATTCTGGATTTGGCTTCTGGATCAATTGAGTCAATTGTCAATATTGAGCGGTTGGCTGGTCATCCAGGGTTCTGAGGGGGTGTTTGGTGGACGGCTTGCGCAAGCCGCGAGGCGTTCGGGGGGCGTCTAGACTGCCGATATTGGGCGCTGGGGGAGCTAGGTCTACCGACACGACTGCGGCCCAAGTCAATCTGGCCTGTGGATATGGTCTATTCATGACTACGGAAGCAGTTGCTGGCGACGAACCTCGCGCTGGCAGGATCCAGATCGTTACGAGGGTTGTTGGACTTGGGTGGCTACAATTGTCTAGGCAGAGGAGTTGTCATGCAAATCCTTATTATTGCTAGGAGTCGCACTCTCCTACGGAAGTGTCGCTTTTGTTCAGATCCCCTCGTAGATAGGATTGTTGATTGCCTCTGTTCTATGAGGAATGCGGGGCAACGCATCACGGCCTAATCTTCTTTGCTTGTCAGCCGGCGACACTCCGTATCTTTACGTTGGATGCAAGCTATCAATTGTATGCTATGCTGTGCGATGCTATGTCATGCTATACTAGAACTACTGAAATGGGGTTACTGAAATGGGGTTAGTGCCATGACTAGCCGCTGGTGTGCGGGCTGATAATGGTGTCATCCGTTTGGACCGAAGCGACATTCTCGAGCAAAAGGGTTGTCCGGAATGTGTTTGAGGGGGTAGAGGGGCAAATCATAATCGATGATGGGGTACCATGATATGTGATGACGACTTATCAGGGTCCCTCGCGAGCGAGAAGAATGGGAGGCATCCCACGGGTCAACACGACGCTTGGATGTCAGCGGAAGTGGCGGATCGGGTAATAAGTCAATAATAGATGCCCATGGATTTGATGGGTAAACAATTAAGATCGCGCTGTGTTGCAGTTAGCCGCTACCTTGTCTGCTGAGCTATACTAAGCGAGGCCGCTCCAGATATTTCTGTTCATCTATAATCTTCCGGAGCGCATGCGATTGGTGGCAGGGCTTGACATGGGGGGCTGAGAGAGGGCAGTGCGAATCAAACTCGTTCATGCAGGGCAGCGAGTGGGCGAGGGGGTGGGACAAGACGCACTCAGCCTCTCGTAGATTACGAGAGAATGACGGGTATTGCCTATGGATCCGTGGAAAGACTGAAAGCTTTTGGAAAGGGCTGAACAAGGCTCGAAGAGGAGGGTTAGAACTTGGGAATATTCATACCCTCTTATAGCACTGCAAAGGTTATCAGGGCCGAGTGCCGAGTAGGAAAGTGGAGTGGACAAGATGTCTCAGATGTGGAGTGGGTGAAGTGGTCGGAGTGGTGAATCAGATTTCACATTATGATTACAGGATGTATTATGATTCGATGTCATTCTCCGATTGCCTCCTCCAGGAGGATCGACGGAGTTGGAAAATAGGAAATCAACGCGGAATCAGAGTGTCCGATGGTCCAGAGGATACTGTAGTCTACTGGACTGGGACTGTAGTAAATGCCAGCCAAGAAAGTCTCGCGGAGCACGAGAATCCATAACGTTTCCAGCGTTTAGTCCTGTGTTTAGGTTTCCCCCTGTCATCCTTCAACTCGTCATTTATTCTCGTCTCGTTCCATTTCCATTTTCTTTTCTTCCCCTTGTAACCTCATTTATTGATCTCCACTTGCTCCCTCCTCCTCCCCCACTCCCCTTCCCTCCACGCTTCAATTATTTCCACCGAATTGATACACCCTCGCTTCCAAGCCACTGTTCCTGCTTCCGTTCCTGCCCTTCCCCGCCTCTCTCCATCTCTCCAACTCCGTCCCCGACAAAGTCCAACGACAATCCCAAACAAAACGGAGATCCCTTCTTCGGACCCTGTCGAAAACTCGAAACGACTACCCGTTCAGCTCCTTAGCCTGTCGATCAGTTGCTGATTTGGTGTCCGTGGCGCCCTTCCTAAGTGGGTGTGCAGCTGCGTCGACGATCGATCTATCGTTCACTAGACCGACTTCTTTGCTGAATGTGCGCTGGTCGGCTAGCAGACGAACCTATCCGTTGCTAGCTCGCGCCCGTGTGACTGGTCACTACCCTCGAGTCGGACTGATCGAGCCTGCTTTCTGGAGGAGGGTTGAATTCTTGTCATTCTTCCCCGTTTAGCAATGCTGCGCGTCTAAGCAGAACCGACCTTACAACCACCAAAACGACAGGACTCAAACTCGGTGTGCATGGAGGAGCTGGTCTTCTTCGACACCCATTCTCGCGTTCTGTCTGCGGTGCCCCCAGGGGAAATGTGAATTCGTCGATAGCTATTACCCTAACTCGATTCCCCTCTCCTTCCCGAGCTCCTAGACCATGTCTTCGCCCTTTCTCAAGATAACGACGACGACCACGAGCAGCACCTACCCAGACGACGACAACAATGCCTTGCTTTCGCGTGCCGCGAGCTATACCGACCTCCCGAGTCAATCCCCGGAATCCGGTCCTCCGGGCTTGAGACGAACCTTCTCCGACTATGCAGTACCCACCCTCTCCTATTCGCCGACAAAGGAGACCGTGGCCGCAGGCAAGGATATTCTGCGTCGGACATCCCTTCGCTCGAAAAAGAAACCCGAGAAGTCGCCCGCCGCCGTTTCCCACTTTACACTGTCTTCCTCGGAAGATCTCAAGGACGCGGACGCGCAGGATGTGACCGCGACGAAGATGCCGGAAACGAGGGCGCCCGAACCTGTAGCTCGGCCATTAGTAAAGAACCGTTCCATGTCTGGGCGGATCGTCAATTTGGCACGGAAGCCATGGGGGTCCTCGTCCCGATCACCTTCCCCGGCAGCGAAGAGGAGTAAACAACGAGTCGAAGAACAATCTCCTACTCGGTCGAGTGGACGCAAGACGGAATCGGCTGATGCGGATGGGGCGCAGCCTTCGCGCAGGCGAACGGTGCTATACAAACGGCCACGCCGGCCAATGGTAGCGGTGGTGACAAAGGGGAATTCGGACTCTCCAGATTCACCCAACAGTCCGTCGCACTCATTACGAAACCGGACTTCTTTCGAGAAATTTACAGCCTCTCTCTCCGTGTCAACTCCGGTTCTCCCGCCTATGCCAAAGGGAGCCGTCGCAACCGTGGCGTCCTTTACAAACAACAGCAGCACGGTTGAGCATTCGCGTAAGAAGGATGAATTGTGGGGCATATTCCGTGGCCTTGAAGCTGATTTCCAAAAGTGAGTAAGAAGAGACATCTAGTTCTTACTCAATTGCTCATTAAGATTACCCGCAGGTTTCAATCCAAATCGAGCTCACTGAAAGCTAATGTCATTCGCTCCTCTTTGCTCCCTTTTCTTGGCCGCCATCACCTTCACGCCTCCTGCAAGAACCTCAGACCCGAAGATTTGGATCGCCGGGTCAATATTCTCAACAAGTGGTGGATTGGGATGTTGGAGATGCTCAATGGCAAGAACAATCAATCGATATCTGGGACTGACCGGCCAGTTTTCCTCGAGGCGGTGGTGGGTATTATGACCCGACCAGAATGGCGGATCCCATTCCCTACTGCCCAGCAGAGCGATGGACCTACGGATTCGCTTAAATACGCCTCGACCTCAGTATCGGAGACCTCTGACGGGTCAGGTTCATCTGGATCGGACTTTCTGGTTGAGTCCATTCACCACAATATTCGCAATGTCTTTGTCCAGAATCTTCTGTCCCAAATGGCATTTGTGGTGGAGCGAATGTCGATGAGACACGCACCGGCCAGTTTGGTAGCTTTCTGTGGAAAAGCGTGTGCATATGCCTTCTTTTTTTGCCCAGGAGTCGCAGATATCATGGTCCGACTGTGGAACACCTCTCCCACTGTTTTCCGCCGTATCCTGGCCGAGAACCCCCAGTCTCGCGCTGGGAACATGCGTGCTTTTACACAGGAACTGGCTCTGAGCTTTCCTATGGCACTTCGACCTTTGGCTTTCCATTCACATACACCTTTGCTCCGGTATATGCGACACAAGCCCGAGCCACCCTTGAATACAACCAATATCTCATGGCATGGCCCTTGGATTGCACGCTGGTGCGGACGCGACACAGATTTGTTCTTTGTCTTTGTGAAGTACATCCATATTCTGTACGCAGAGTACATGCCCCCAGAGACGGAAAAGGCGAGGAGAATGTTCGCACCTGGACTGCTTCTAGTTCATGCGCAACTTTTGATTGCCATCGAGGATACGATCTACAAGCAGTCCCTGCATCAGCCGGAAACCACTCACGCAGCAGCAGCAATCACTTTTGACGATTTCATTGAATCGCCAGACGCGTCTGCTTCTCACTCCCTCGCAGGTAGTAGGAACAGCTATCGATTCATGGCGGAGAATCGGTTGATCATTCTTCTCCGGGACCTGCTCTCAGAATCCTCTGCCGAGCCTAATCGCGCACGACTGCTCTATGCGGAGACTTTCTGTAGCCTACTTAAGGTTGCTGCTCAAAGAATCTCTCTTTTCGATCATAATGCCTGCTTCCTTCTCTGCGATTTCCTGGAAGAAGTTATTTCGATAATCACACGATATGCACAGTCCATTGAGACCGAATTGTTCGATTGGAGCTTCTGGTTAGAGGTTTGTCGGCAGATGATGCAAAGCCATAATTCGCTGACCGAGGTGCGCGTGTTCTCCTTCATCTACAGCATCTGGGGTACCTGGGCTGCGACAGAGGGGCGGAAGGCGAGTCTCTGCTTAGGCTTTTTGTTGTCTGAGCCTGTTTTCTACCATTATTTCAATCATTGGAGTCCGATGGTGCGCGCCTACTATCACCGTGTTTTGTGCTGGAGGATCGGTCGTTTCAACGGGGACCCCTCACCGCTTGACTCGTGAGTATACAATTTCCCTTTTTGGTCTGAAAACATCCTTGCTAACAATATCCTCCCAGAACGATATATGAGACGCTATCTGAGAGGTTGCTACGGGTTTGGGAGTACTATATTGGATTCCAATCCAAGGCTGAGGAGGGGCTCACTGCTCCGCTGTCGTCTGCTCCTTGCACCCCAGCTCCGGGGCGGCGGATAATCATCATTAGGTGTGATAATCAGCTGTCTCCGGTCAACCTTTTTGTCTCGTTTGATCGAGTTGTCCCGCCGGTCCCCCCTGATCAAGTCACGTCACATCGGAGATCTAGCTCTGCGGACTCGAACGGCTCAGACGGCCAGCCACCTAAGCGGCGATGGGGCCTGCTTCGCTCCATGTTCGGCAGTTCGGCTAAACCCGATGCTGCAGGTGGCAGTAGTTCAGACGAGTCTGACAGTGGTGTCACGGATCTGACAGTGACTCCAGACAGCAAATGCATGGACGAGCATGAGAAAACCCCAAACCACAGTTCAGATGAGCTCGTTCGACCCAAGACTCCGCACCAGCCGTATTTCTTCAAGTTTTCTCTGGAATGGATGGACCGGCCAAATTGGCCTACCAAGAACAAGCGTCTCTTTACACCCTGTCTCCCGGTGGCTTCGCAACTCCACGTGCAGCACTGCCGGTCTCTGTCTGACTCGAAGTCTACCGATTTTGATACCGCATCAGAGAACCTGTCTACTTCGGAGAACACGGCCGATGAAACGCCCACAGAAGAACACGAGACCATTCCAGCACCCTCGTCCCAACTAGCTGCGGACAGCCAACCCAGGACACCCACCATGAAGAACTCTCCCCTTCCCAGGCTCCCGGCTCGTCCTACACACGAGTATCTCGTGGCCAGCAAGTACGCTGGCCGCGCTCTGGCAGAGTGGGCACACATTGTCTCCGAATGTGACAGTTTCTTCGCCCGACGCCGCGACGAGGGCGTCCCATCGGATCGCAGGGTCGAAACGCCTAGCCTGGGTGTAGAGAGCTTTCGGAAATAAAAAGGCTCGGCCACTCCTCACTCGGTTGCAACTCGGTCTCATCGAGACCGGAAAATCCACCGCCACGACATCCCTTCCCTATCCAAAATCAGCTTTTCTACGTTTTCCCGTTTGAAGCGACTATAGACGTCATGTGGCTCTTCCTACGGAAGACGCCTTTTAATACTCTTGTTGGCCTTTTCCCTCTTCTTCTTCTTCCTTCTCTCCTTTTCTTCTCTCTCCATTTTGTCATTCTACGATACTGCACCGTGTGCATTGCAGGACCTGGTGGCATAGGATATGGCGTTTCTTCGAGCCTGATTTCCTTTTTTTTTGTTTAACTTTGATGGGTTGGGTTGGCTGCTCTGCTTGTTTTTTTCTTTTCTCTTCCCTTGTTCGGCCACACGTGTCTTTTCCTTTTTTCTCTCTTCTACTTTTCTTTTGTCGAGATACACCTTGGTCGTGGTAATCATAGTGAGATCGCAAGTCAATTGGGATATTCCGGAACTTGAATTTGATTCTTGAATTGTGTTTGAGTTTGAAGCCAACGGCTTCAGTTGTAGACCGAGTATTACATCCCAAACCCATGTTCTGATATGAGCAATTCATCTTAATCTTATAGTAGTTACGTTATCTTCCGTGGCTCTCTCTTCATTGTCCCTGCTCCTGCTTCTCTTCCGCAATTTGCTTATTGAGCAGATACAGCAACGGACCTTGGACATCCTCCCTCTCCATAAAGACCTCGACAATCCGTACTCCACTCCCACTATGCACGCGCTCATTCTTCAAAACCTCCTTCAACTCACCGCACGTCCAAGCCTGGAAAGTACTATTCTTAACCTGCTCCTCATCCGCACCAAAGTAATTTAACGCCTGCGTATGCCGCCAGAAAGGCACATCGTTATACCCCTGCTTCCGGCCATGAATCACCCGTTCAATGGTATACCCCTCGTTATTAATGATGAGAATGAGAATATCCAGTTTCTCCTTAATCATCACGCTGATTTCTTGCGCGGTCATTTGTAAACTGCCGTCGCCGATGATGAGCACGGTTTGATTCTTGGTGCCGGTGGGCTTGTTGAGTTCCCGCTTTGCGATGGCGGCGCCGAGTGTGGCGGGGAGCATGAAGCCGATGGAGAGCCAGGTCACGGCGGTAAAGAGGCGGGATTGCGGGGGCAGTTTGAAGGTGCGGCCGCCGTAGGAGGCGGTGCCTGTTTCGGCGAGGATGATGTCGCCTTCGTTGAAGAGGGGGTTGACCAGGCGGAAGAAATTGGTTTGGGCGATGATGTCTGTGTCTTTGATGTCGGTGGTTGTTACTTGGAGCTTTGGGGGGCCGCTGGCTTGGACGAGGCGGGTGGAGTCGAGAGACTGGAGGAGGTGGGTGAGGACGGTGCTGGAGGATATGTCTCGGTAGATGTCATTTTCGACTTGGATGGTGCTGTCTTTGAATTGGATCGCTGCGGCGGGCTTGGGGACGGTTGAGTAGAAGTAGGTGTTGGTGTCGCTGTAGTGTGGGCCGAATGTCAGGATTAGGTCTGCGGATTCGAAGTATTCTTGTGCGGGCTTGTCGCCGAATGCTGCGGCATAGAGGCCGTACACATTGGGGTGCGACTCGTTCACAAGACCCTTGCCGTAGACGGTTGTCCATGTGGGCCAGTTGGTAGTCTTAATGAGAGAATCAAGTTGGTCTAGGATGCCGAGAGCTCGGCTCTCGCCATCGACAAGGATCAACGGCTTCTTGGCACTATAAAGCCTCTCCAGGATCCGGGCGATCACCTTGGATTCATGGGAGGCACTGGGGGTCACTGGGACACGGATGGGAGTCTTCAGGTTCCCCGCAGAGACAAGAGTCTCACTCATGTCATCGGGAATCTCCAGATACACGGGCCGGCTGTGGATCAGCGCCTGCTGCAAGATCCAATCGATCTTATCCGGCGCCGTGACTGAGTCAATCACATTCGTCTGCGCCGCGGTGATATGCGTGGACATGGCCGCAAAGCGACGATACTCGCCATCGGAGAAGGTATGGTGCATCAAGGCGCGCGAGTTCTGCAGCGGCCGCGGGGGCGTTCCGACAATGTGAACCACAGCAGACCTCTCGGCGTATGCGCCAGCAATGCCGTTGGCCGCAGACAGCTCGCCAACGCCAAAGGTGGTGACCAGCGCAGATAGGCCGTTGATACGGGCATAGCCATCCGCGGCATATGCCGCGTTGAGCTCATTGCAGTTGCCTACCCAGTGTAGACCCGAGGGCACGATATGGTCTAGCAGGCGCAGGTTATAGTCGCCCGGCACGCCGAAGACGGAGCCAACGCCGAGCTGGAGCAGGCGAGTAAAGAGATAGTCACCAAGCTGGATTGAGTCTGGCGAAAACATGGTGAGATTGTATTGGTGGAATATGATTGATCTCAATACAGAGGAAAGCAGAGAAAGGGAGGAAGGAGAGCGTCTTTATACAACTCCGCACTTCAAGTGACTGGACGAGACCCGCACCTGGCCCCCGCTCACGCGTCGCTCTTATCGCCGACTGGCCGGTTCTCCGCCGGTAACCGACTGCTTTTCGCTTTCTTCTCGCTGCCAGCTGCCCCCCAAGTCGAATCCACAGTGCTCGAATATTCACATTCAATGCCTACATGGCCTCGCGACTCGCAGCATGCGAGTCCTGTCGCAAGGCCAAGCTAGCCTGCGACCATCAACAACCGGTGTGTTCGCGCTGCCAGAAGAGTCGTGGCGTGTGTATCTACCGCACGGCCCCATTCAAGCGGCGGCGGGTCGAGAAACCGAGGTAGGATCTTGGACAATCGTAGGGCGCCGTAGGGCGTATCCCGGCACTTCTTACAGTCCCCAGTTCCCCACACAGTCGTGAATACAATGTTAACTTAGTTCGGATCTGCTTAGCGTGCGATCGCCCGATCCATCGCCCTCGTTCGAGCCCCGGCGCAATCTGTATCCGAACCCTGGATACTTGGGCTCGTCGAGTCATGCTGCTATTTTCAAGCATATTACCCCGTCGACAGATGGCGAGCAGAGCACGAGTACCCAACTACTGGGCTCGGACAATGCGAGCTCACAATGGGTGGGAGATAATCATCTGCTGCTGCAGGGCGCAGATATTCTGCGACATCTGTTAACGACCTACTCCTTGTCGGCGATGAAAGATCTCGTCCTGTTCTGGCTGGCCAAAGGTGCGAATTTAGCCCTCGCGGAACCGTTTGTTGCGCAGTGCGCCGAGAGTATTAGTCAACTGTTCACTACGCATGACGAGAATTGGCATCTGGTCTATGCTCAGCGTTTACTACAAAACTCCGCCCGACCGTTGCAGTTTGATGCTTCCGCGGATCTTCAGAGCTTTTCAGCGCAGTTTCTAGATCATCATGCCCGATGGGAAACATTGGGTATTTTCTTTGCAGCCGTCAGCCGAGCGACGATTGATATTCCCTTCTTTCCACTGCTCTACAATACCGAGGAACAGCAGTATACGTTGAGACGCCTTGCCACTAAACTGAGCGACTTTTCGTTGGAAATTTCACTCTCGCTGGATTGTCTTAATGACCTACAGCTGATAGTGCAGTATGAGAACTTTATTGTTCATTCTTACGTGGATGGTGACCAAAGTGAGCCTGGCATCCATGTTGTCGAACGTTCTCCTAATCTGCCCTTCTATCAACTAACTCTGTCAAGGCTACCACACCTGGCGCAAGCTTGGAGACGTAATTTCCTCGACCTTCGCCTTAGGCTATCACGAGAACCTCGAAGCCAAGCCAGAAATCCCACTATTTCTAATGGACTTACGGAAAACGGCCTTTGCCCGGATCTACTCTGCGGACAAGAACATCGCCATTTTCCTTGGCAGACCGCCGCGAATGAACAAACGCTTCTGCCACTTCCAAATTCCTTCTGACGGGACAATATTACGTTCAATCGGATGCCACTTTACCTGGCACCCGGATGCAAGAGCTGGATATAGGGCGGACACGTGTTGGTCCGCTCTTTGTGCTTCCTTGAAAGAGGAGGTTTGGGAATTGCTACAAGACAAGCAGGATGCTGATTGTGTACGGAGAGCAAGGTATTTCGAACTCCTAGTTTTCATGTTATATCGCGATGGCTTAACGACAGAACCGAAAGGCTGATAATATATAGCGTGATCCAACGGAGAGCCGAGGAGCAATGGGAAGCTCTACCACCCCAGTTTCGACTAGAAAGCAGCCTAAAGCAGTGTGCACAGAGCCCATTTGACCGGGACTTTTTAGCACATGTTCGGCTCAACCATTTACATGTCCTATTCTTACTAAGGCTTCTACTTCTCAACACTCTCACCGAGCCCGATATCCCTATCATTGAGACGGCGGGGCAAATGCTTGCTCTCGTGGTTGAGCTCATTCTACTCCGGGATCAATTGACCAATTCTGGGACTGGTCTCATCTGGAAGGTACCTATTCTACCACTAATCGAAACACTTTTCGACCGTAGTGTCTTGGCTAATCCCACTAGGTCGCATACTACGGGCTCCCAGCAGCAGGAATCATCCTCCTAGCACTCCTAAAACAACACTCCCATTCCACACGGGGAATGTCACGAACGAAAATCCTACGGGATCTAAGTGTCTTCGTCGCAGAAGTACAAATCGGCACGATAGTTAAAACCGGGGACGCGAATTATGCGTTGCTGTCTAAAGCCACGCAAACAATGCAGCGGTTTCTGGACTCATTTAATTCGGATGCTGGACAGCCTCACGATGGAGGGTCCGATGATGCAAATGAGGATTGGGCGGCTTTGCTCAGTCAGGATTTGTGGGATTTCGAGGCCGGATTTTGGCAGAGTTTGGCTGATCATCCGTCGCTTTTGGTGCTGGATCCGCCGTTGCCGAATGTGTGATAGCTTTATGGACCGGAATTCGCTTAGTGTCACTCTCAGTCTTGCGAGCCTGGTCCTCTTTACTTTCTTGCTCTCTCCTGCTCGTTGAATCATGGCGAAATTCTTCAGTATGCTTACACCGGCCCCACACCACTTTGACCTTTCCAAGATTCCTCTTTACCATCTCCCAGGCCGCTGCGGATTCTGCGGAACGGCCATATCCTTTAATTGTCTCATGACCGTGAGGAACGTTTGTAGACAGCGGTCGAATACTCCAGTCCAATCCTCGAGACCTTTAGTCCAGTTATCGAACTTATCGATTAGAAGCCAGATCTTGAATGGTTGCTTCTTTAGCGAGGAATAGTGCTTTCTAATGCATGGACATAATAGACCCTGAAGCCCTGACACAGACTCGATGAAAGTAGAGTAGTCAGATAGGTCATGCCCGGCTACTCGACTACTGAACAAGGACGATGCGAGTATAAGATCCTTCTGCCGATCATGTAACACCCCGCGGTCAGATCATGGTGTCGTTTGATTCTGTAAACAAAATCTAGTAAAAAATGACGTGGAAAGATCAACGTGGTCATCTGTGCCATTTGACTTTGTTTTATCCACTTCTCTTGTAAGTATCCGAGAAAAACAAACCGGAAGAGACATGAACATAATTCGTACCCAAATTATGTACCCCCATGGTTCAAACGGACGTACAAAAATAGACAGCCCGTCGTTGGCCCGATTGCGGAGTTGGGATCCACCGATTACATTTGCACTTCATCATTAACCCCCTCACAACCCCGTTCGATTGCTTTGTTTCTTTTTGTCTACAACAGGTTTTGAATCAACATTTTTGGTCTCAAAACTCGAGATTATATCCGTATAGGTCCGACGAGGTCTGTTCCCGTGAGCCGATAATTCTTGCGAATAGTATTCATGACTCGCTTAGTTTCAGATTGACAGAGCTGGGACTTAAAAGGCTTAACTGAATAGAGGCGCAAATGTAAAGAAAAACTATCCCATTATTAATCGTATGATTGATTGATGTGAATCAGAAAGAACCACCCGATTTCCTCAGCCACGAGTCAACCGATTTGCGGTACTACAAGTCAAGGCCTCGGATATCGTGGGGGGAGCGAGGGCCTTCCATGTCTACGTCTTAGCTCTTGTTGGGTCTGGACTACTTGTAAACCCAATAAGCAACATTGTCAACAAGGATCAGAGACATTCTGGTTAGATCCCAGGGATCCTACCGCTTACATCCGTTGAATACTCGATCTAGCCAATGATTACACGCAAATCCAGGCGGCATTTGAGCTGCGAGCCGTGGTAAGCGAGGTCGCCACCAGCACCGCGCTAACAATTGCACTGTTCTGGTTAATGTGGAAAGATATTACGATGCAAGTTGTCGCTGGGGCTCAACAGTAGCAGATCCCTGATCATTTCATGGGATCCAAGGCTACGAATGACGTCTACTATCACGTCCGTATTGCTTTCCGGATATCGGGTCCCATTTTCTTGGAATGAATAATATTCTTTTGCCTCTCCCCAGGTATAAAATTGTGTTAAATTCCTCCGTAACAGATTCTAGTTTTTACTTCAAGCATCTCTGTTTTTCATTGTTCTCGGACAAGTAATCATCTAGTCACGGTCGCTTTTCATCTAAATTCCAAACTTAAAACATGAGGAGCTTCTTTAATATTGCGGCCTTTACTGCCGGTGCCCAGGCTCTTGTCCCTCGTGGTAGCAGCTGCTGCTTCCATTTAACCGCCTCCGGTGGTTCATCTGGTCCTGTTGGACAACTTAGTGATGGGCAGAACCGTATCGGTGACAATAGTCTGTCCCCTGCGCAGTTTTGTATCGACTCTGGTTCTATCACTGATGGAAGCGGTCGTGGTTGCATCCTCACACGTAAGTGATACAATGAATTGATAAAGGGATCAAATCCGCTAACGAGTCTACCAGCACCCACTACCCAATTCCAATGTGACGTGGGTGCCACTCCTACTCCAGGATTCTCTATCAATTCCTCTGGCATGCTGGAGTTCCAGGGCAACACCAACTTTATTGCCTGCGAGACTGGTCAGAACGGTGGCTTGAACATCCATACCACCGCAAGCTCCGCTCTCAGCCAGTGCAAGACTATCCAATTGACGGCCGACTCGTGCGTACCTCCTGCACCAACTACCCCCGCTCAACCACCCCCAGCCGCGACCACCTCGGCTGCTAGTAACGGATGTGGCACTACGTTGAACTCGGGACAATTTGAATTCCCTCACTTGATCATCCCCATTGACTCGTCCTCTCCCAACACTGCCTTTGGGACCCAGTTCAATGGCAAGGTGACATCGTCCGTGTCGAGCATCTTCAACTTTGATATTCCCCGGTCAGACTCGGGCAAGACCTGCAGCTTGGTCTTCCTGTTCCCGAAACAGGCAGATCTTCAGACCTCGTCCTTTACCTTTAGTGGTGATGGTAAGATTGATTTTGCTGCGTTGTCCCAGGCTGCCACTAGCTCCACTACCTTCAACAATGCTCCTTCTGTCTCCAAGGATCTCGGCACAATCACTGTCTCGCCTGGCAACTCATTTGTTGTCTCCACCTTCTCTTGCCCGGCTGGTCAGACCGTGGCTTTTGAGATGAAGAATGCTGGAAGCACTAGTCTCGAATTCTTCGAAGACTTCAACCCCTCTCCGTGAGTGTCACCGCCCCCGATTGTGGCTATGATAGAATTTTTGCTAACCCAATCATAGCATTGGTCTTTTCATCACGGTTTGCTAAATCAGTAGACGTCGGTGTCTTATGGAAATTTATCAGGTAATTATGCATGTATATGCATGCTGCTTTATTCTATGCGATTCAACATGTTTCATCAACCTACCGCACAATAATTACTTTATGTCCGCTCCAGTGATATTTCACCACTGTTTTGACCAATTTCTCAATTTGTGATTTCGTCTCATCTTCCAAAAGCTCATGTAATTAATTCGTGAATTGAGTCTATTGGAGGGAGGTGGTGTTTTCTTGAGGTGGACGACTTATTGATGAAACCCCCGGAGTAGAGGAAGAGAGGTGATACTTTGATTCGAATTTCTTCTATCTATCATCTGGGGATCTAGAAAATAGTTGAAATAGTACGAGAAGGTTTATTAAATCAGATAAGCGAGAAATAGAGATGGTTTCGCCGTCCAGCACCTAGTATCGGTCTGCTCCGCATTTCCGTAATTTGAGTGGTAGTGGGCTCATTGCTCGTTTTCCAGATCAAGCAGAATCATATAGGTACACAAAGTCCAAACGCTTCCGGAACTAACCCCGCTCTCTTCTTGTCTCGTGCTGCTTCAGGCGAAGACTTTGGGTAAGATAAATACATCGTTCAGTTCAGATCAATGTCAATAATAAGTCTCCACAGACCTTTGGTTTAATGCCAGTGGTAATTATCATTTTCTTAGCGCTTTCTGATTCACAGAGAGCCCCCCAAAGTATAAAGGTTTCGCATGACTCCACTGTTGGCAGCACAAGAGAAACCCGTGGTATTTTCAGTGAGTGAGTGGAAACATATTAAATTAATTGATATCTTGAAACACGCTCTATTACATTCATAACACATTCAAAACCTCCCAATATCACACCATTTATTAATCATTCTTCACACATCAGACAAGCAAGGCATCTCAAGCCTTAGGTATCAATGAGGCACACAGACCAGCTTTTCACTCATCAGAGAGGGCAAACTTGCTCATAGAGCGGAGTCGAGCACCATAGTAGTAAAGCAACCAGATTCCGATAATGCCAATCACACTCAGACCACCAAGCAGACTGGTACCCCGAGCAACACCGAGGTTGCCAAACAAAGGATGAGCAAACAAGACACTACCGCAAGCCAAGGCACTGCGGAAGAAATCGTTTGCAGCGAACAGGCTAGCAGCGTACATCGGATAAGTCAATGGAATGTAGACGAACAAGCACTGCATGACGATGAAGACTGTCGCACCATAGATGGTGATGCCGATGGTGGGAACGATCCAATGAATCGAGGCACGGGCCGTCCAGGCAAAGAGGAACAGGCCAATAGTGGGTCCGACAGAAGCTGGCAGCGCCGGGATCAGACGAGCCTCCTGAACCGGGAATCCGAAGCGTGCAATGCGGGGGTTCATCCAGAAGTAGAGGTAGGAGAAGTAGACTGCAATACCGATGATGCAAGAAACCAGGATACACAGGAAGACTAGACCAACTTGACCGAGATTCATGTTGTAATCGACAGGGTAGACCAGGGGGAACACCTCGAAGAAGGAGTAGTAGATTCCGTAGATGATAGCAGTGTAGATCTGAACGAAGAGGACGGCAGGATCCTTGATAGTAATTTCCAAAGGCTTGATCAAGGCGTCGACGGCAACATCTGAGATCTTCATGTTGCGCTGATCAATCTCGGACTGGGACAGGAAGCGGTCATTGTTGTAGATCTTGCGAAGACGCGCAGCACGACGTAGGAGGATCGTTGCGGAGCTAGTCTCGGGAAGGAAGAAGAACATCAGGATGAACACAGGGGAAGACATCCAGATGGATTCAAAGAGGGACCAGCGCCAAGTCTCAGCGGGGACTGCGAAGCCACTGATGAGAGGACCAAGGGCAGGCTATATGATGATGTTAGTATCCAAAAGTGAGATAGTTTTGAGGGCCAGAATTCCACTTACACCGCAATAAGCTGCTGCTACCCATGACATCATGGCATAAGGAAGAGAAATGAGGCTGTACATATCTCCAATTGAAGCTCCTCCGGAAGCGAGACACGGGGAGCCGAAGAATCCCTGCAGGAATCGGAGCACCATCAGCCCGGGGAAGTTACCCACGAAAGCGGTGGGAATGGAAATGATAACAAAGAGGAACATAGTGACAATATAGACAGGATTGCGGCCAATGACTGGGATCTCGCTGAGAGGCGAGAAGGCCAGAGGTCCGGTTCCATATCCAAGGACGTACAATGACAATCCGAGTGTAGCAACCAGATCACTGACGCCGAATTCCGCCATAATCCCCGCCACGGAGGATGTATAGATTGCAGAAGTTGTGTAGACCACGAATGTATAAAGACAGATGAGTGTCGTGATCAAGACACGCTTCTTATTCGACCAGTTGTGTGGATTCTCGGCGTCATCGGTATAGTACCAATCGACCAGGATAGCACCATCCTTGGTCTTTTTGGGCTGAATGGGAATGGACTTGATCTTTTCAATTTCATGTTGCTCATCAGCTTCAAGGCGCGCTTCTGTGAAGGGAAGAGAGTTTTGAGTTGATGCACGACTGATAGCCTCGCTAGTTGCATCCAAGCCTTGCGGCTCGGGTTGCGGCTCGGGTTGCTGCTCGGGTTGCTGCTCAGTCTTCTCGGGGTCGGCTATCGTTGCAGCGTCCGAGTCGTTTAATAGTCGAAGCCATGTCTCGGGTAGCTTAAAATCGGCCTTCTCTTCGGGATATTGGAAGTATTTGTTTTTCGTCAGATATCGAACTAATTGCCCAAAGGCGGCTTCTCGAATAACAGATGCCATCGAGGTGTACCGTGATATGCGAGTATGCTTTGTAAGGCGATCAGATGGGGTGGGTCCTCTCGATGCTCGAGGAGATGATTGGCTGGTTGAAAAATGGAGCTTTTGGCTTTGGACGAAGGCACCAGAAGGATTGCCAGATGAATTGTTGATGATGAAATGATAAAAGAGGATATGTGGTAGAGCATGGCTTCTTTTATAACCTGTTAATCTATGATAGAATTCGAGTGATCCGTAACGTGCGTTAACCCCGATTCGAATCCTTTCGATCCTAACGCGATCATAACGTTAAGGTGTGGGACATGCTGTAAGCAAGATTATTATTCGACGAATTATAAATCAGGTTGGTCTGTTTCGAACCCATGGAAGCCCAATAGATATTATTCATCTCCTTAGAAATCCAGATCTGCACCCAATCACCATCCCTGTCATCGAACAAGGCTGTCCTCGAGGATCCACTATGTCGATACTCTTGCATGTCGTAATTGCCCCGAGCCCCGAACGACGGACGCCTCTTATCTCCGTGGCGCGATCCGCGAAAAGTCTCCGTCAAGCAAACTCGAGGACGAATATTCGGCAGAGGACGAAAATTCGGCAGACCGAATATTCGTCCTACAGTGCTGACAATTCAAAATCTCACTGGATTTTGGCTTGTCTTGGCGTGATTGCATCCATGTGGTGATTCATTCCAAGTCTTTCTGAAACTTTATCGCCGTCGGCCATACATAGCCTTATGGCCTAAGCCCGATTCCTTTCGTGTCTGAGAGGCTCAATTGACTCATCTAACATACAGATCCAGCTCATATCCACCCTTCCAAAACATCATAGGCCCTCTCTTCTCCACACAGAATCCAACCGTTTATCATTTCAGGTAGCCCGGATGACTCAGGAGGAAGTCGAAAGCCCGGCAGCCTCGATGAGAAACTGTGCTGCTTCTTTGGCGTCGCTGCCATAAGACAAGTGCGCCATCACGTTAAATCCATTCTCGCAGACGGGGTCACCGCTAGCACAGTACTCCTTGACCTTGCCACTGGCTAGCTTACCAACGGCCTGAGTCTTGAAGGGGTCGCCGAAGAGCACGGCACCGGTAACCTCTGCGCTGAGGCGGGACGCGGCGTTGTGGACGACCATCGAGCCTTGCGAGTAACCACCCAGCACCACCTTGGTATCGGGACACTGCTTGAGAGCAGTCTCGACCAGGTTCGCCATGATAGGGCCACCATTGGCGCCAAGTGCCACGTTGCTCTGATTTCAATTTCGTCCGTCAGTTGATTTCGACCCACTAACCTCCCATGCAAGCATGACTAGATATCACACTCAGGGGAATAGGGAATAACGGGTAGACTTACTTCGGCAGTCGCAGCATATGTCACGCCCTGAACATTGACCTTGTTGCCAGTCAATGACTTCAACTGAGTAGCCACGGGGGGCCCAACGACCGAACCCATGTTGCCTAGTTCGTCGCTACCGCGAGCGAAAATAAAGGTAAGCTCCTTGCAGCTAGCCTTATCGATGACGTCGTTAGCAGTAATCGAGCCTGTAAGCTGCCGCTTAGACAGGCCTCCCAGCAAGCTGCTGATACCGGAGCTGGAGGAGGAATCACTCAGACCTGAGCCCAGGCTGGGAATCAGAGACGCCAGCGCACCCAGGCCGCTGTCGCTGCTCGATCCACCAAGGGAACCGAGACTACTGAGGTCGCCGGGGCCGCTGCTAGAGCTAGGCAGGAGAGAGGCCAGAGCACCCAGACCACTCTCGCTGCCAGATCCTCCCAGTGAACCAAGTCCACTGAGACCGCTGCCGGAGCTTGGGATGAGGGAGGATAGAGCACCCAGACCGCCAAACTGGCGGTTCTCAATGGTTTTGGTGGGCGCCCCTAGGGCAGCACCGACCAGGGAGAGAGCGACGACGGTCTTCATGATGACAAAAGAACGAGAGAATAGTGTAGAGAAAGCAAGAGACCAGCTCTTCTAGAGGAGATGTAACTCGATAACGAAGGTATGAACGAACTGAATTGAAGGCACTTGAAGCACACTCTCCCAGCGACCGGATGACCACTTTTATACCCTTTCTTCCTCAATTTTCGAAACATCTCACTCTTCTCAACCGAGGATGATCTAATGTTACCATTTCCTCTTCAAATCCTCTTCAAAATGTCCTGAAGTACGTCGACCCAAGGTCGGGTCTACAATTGTATACCTGATATGGACCAATCGGGTAATTGACAAGGCCACTGAAACGGTGGACCCTGTTTCACCGTCCGATGTTTCACCGTGCGACAGGGTAACCGGACAAACCCTTTTGGGGCAGTTTGCTGTCCTTGCGATCCTTTCCCAGCAGATCTTTCCTTGTAGTTTATCATCGCCGAAGCCCTAAATTCCAGATCCCTCTTCTTTTTGGGATTAAACCGCTGAAAGTTATCTAGTGTAGTCTGTCTTTGCGGTATTGATCTCCTCCGATAATCACCCAGCCCGGAGGTACGCTGTTTCATAGCCCAACGAAGATATGGGATATCTCAGATTCAAACATTCCGATATTACTCAACCTCAATCGTAGAAGTACCGAACCGCGGTCTTCGGCATTTGTACAGATCATAGAACATCGAGAGCCAGACCCTGCGATTCAGGGAAGTGTTTCCTGTAGATTGAGGGTCTACCTCGATCGCCCCAAAATTGAGCCATTCGTGTTAAATGGGGAAACCTGTCCGACCAACCCCAAATTCGGGCTTGGATCGGGTGTGATGCATCGACATGTGCGAGGAAGGATGGATATTGCCCCGTGATTCAGTGTTTCTAGTGCAGCCCGAATAACAGAATGCCTTGGCGAATCACGGTCGAGGGTATAGGTTTTACAAATAGTAGAGGAGTGCATGATCAATTCCATAAGCATATGTATTGTGATCGATTGAGATAACTACCCAGGTCCATAATTCTAGAGAATTCCGCTATGAAAGCACACACAAGCACACAGAGGGCAAATATAGCTCAGCTGGTATATGACACGCAAAAGAAACCGGGTGATGGATCTTCCAGATATGCAAGGACGGAGATCAAGAATGCGAGCAACAAGACAAAGAAAGGATCCAATCAGAGCTAGGCTGTACAATGCTCATAGAAGAACCGGGAGAAAAACAGATGAGATGCCAAGAACAATATGAGAAAGCGTATGGGGTATGCATAATGGTGGAAGGCTGACCGAACAGAGAGATAGAGAGGAGGGGAGGTCAAGTGAGGGATTAAAGGAAAGGAGGTATGGTTTCTGCAGAAGGTAAATTACATTTAGTTCAGGAGCTTGTTGCTGGCAACGTGGATGATGTTGGCGACCCGATCAATCCAGTGTTGAGCGAGTGACCAGTTCCCGGCATTGATACTGTCGCGAATCGCAGGGAAAATGGAAGCGTCGTAACCCGACCAAAGTTCTGGACCGAAGACGACATGGCGGAATTGGGTTCGATTGGGGATCTAGAAACAAGCAAGATCGTCAGTCAGAGATAAACAACCAGATGAATGGGAGAAGGGTACCACCTACACCGCCGTCCGCATCTAGGTCCAAAAGATGAGTGTCGAATTGAGCCATTCGGACGTTGTGATTAACCCGCTGGATCGCCATGACGTTGCTCTCGTACCCACCAGAGCCCCAGACAGTATCGTGCCAAACATCATTCCAGGCCTGAAACCGAGCCGTGTTGGCCTCGAGCTCCGCCGCAGCGTTGTACATCAGTTGCATGTCGACCTCGGCTTTCTTGGTCTTTGCGAATTCATCCAGATCTTTCACCCATCCAGTCACAGATTTGCCGTAGGCTTGCATGTCGAACGGCAACATCGGGTTCTCCGAAACATCCAACAGAAGAAGGGCCCAGAATTGAGCGAGTAGCTTGTGGTAGATGAAGCCAGGATCGCCAAACTTCTCCATCCAGTCGTACGATTCGTAACAGCTGTGATAAGGGTATGCCTCGCCTTCAAATCCGAAGTCAATACTTGAAGTGCCGGCAATGTCCTGGAACGCGACGTAGTCACTGCCGGCACCGAGGGGCTCCAGTCGCTGGCCTCGTTCATCCCAGAGTTCCTTCAGCGTCTTATTGGCGACGGGGTCGGATAGACGACCTAGGATCTGATGTACCGAGCGCTCAAAGACTGGAGACCCTGCCGCGCGGAAATTGGAACCCGACACGCCCACGTCGACATTCAAGTAGGCGTATCCGTTGGCTCGGAGATTGTCAATTTCTTTTTCGACATGCTCTGTTGAACCAATCAAGTTATACTCTTCTCCATCCCAACTGACAAACTCGATCGTACGAAGCGGCCGCCAACCGTAGGTGAGCAACTCGCCAAAGGCTCGCACGATTTCCAAAAAGACGGCAGTACCACTGCCAGGATCAACGCTGCCCAAGCACCAAGCATCACGGTGATTGCCGACAATGATCTTCTTGTCGCGCTCTTCCAATCCAATAATCGATCCATGAACGTTATAAATGGGGCGTCGCTCGACTTCATCCTGCAGATTCATCAATTGCACCGTGGGCGAACTTTTATCGCCCGTCCACCATTCTTGGACTTTGGGCACTCCGCCAACCCATTCCTGTGGTACCTTGGACCCATGGCCTTCGATCGCTTGCAAGAGTCGCTGCGCATCGCGCCAGGCGATGGGCAAACTTGGGATTTTAACCAAAGCAGGACTGTCTTCGGGGGACAATCGTTTCTTCTCGTCCGGGGTGGATGCAAACCCTGGGCTAAGAACATCACCAACAATATGAGACATGAGGCTGACGCCGCCTCGCTGTACACCATCCGAAGGCATAAAACGACCCTTCGGGTACGCAGGACCTTTCACAAAGCCATCCTGAGCTGGATCTGAGTAGATGATGCAGCCCACTGCTCCGGCCAATTCCGCAGCCTTGATCTTCAGCGCCCGATCACCCTCGGTTCCGTAGTATCGTACCAAAGCGATCGAGCCGTTGACCGAGATGCCCTTATCGGCTAGAAGCTGGAAATCTTCGCGCGATCCAAAATTCGCATATACTAGAGGTCCCGTCACATTTCCAGACTTGGAATGTCCGTGGAAAACGGGATATTGAGCCCCATTCTCCTCGAGAGTGGCCTCCCAGACCAGATGGGGCGGATCCACGATGGCCACCTTGCGACCGTCGTCGCGAGGATAATTCAAGTAGACCTGGAACTCTTCACGTTTCACTGAATCGAAGCCAGCCTTGTAAAATTCATGCTCGATCCATTCGGCCAACACAAAGCTTCCTTCGGTTCCCGCGACACGAGTATTACCGGCGACCAGCTTCAAGTTCTCGGCAATGTTGGTTTCATTGATGTGCCCCTGAATGAAGTTTTCGACGGACGATGAACTGTAGGATTGACCCATGACCATGCGGCTGTTTAAATTGAATAAGTCCCCGATAAAGAAGACATAAACCAACGTAACAACCAGCAGCAGCGCAAATAGGCGTAATAGCATAATACAGCCATGGTCTTTCATACGCGCCCGAGTATCACTGAGATTTATCGTGAATCGGAAGCTGGGCATGCTAGGGAGGTATCGCTGCAGGGGTCGTTGAATCGCCGATAACGTGCGGGTGAGACTGGAGAACCGCTTGGAGAGGTGATGTCGTAGCCGGGGACGAGTACCGCTAGAGGATCCCTGTCCGGAGTCATCGACGTCCATCTGATCCAGTTCCCTCCGCAGTTCATCGGTCGACCCCCGGGTCGAGCCCGCTGCGGAGGAGGCAAGGTCATCGAGACTGCCGCGCTCGGATTCTACCGTCGGGGGTTGATAGTGGGAGGCCTGGCGACCGAGGAGTCCTTGTCGTTCCGCATCGGTGCCATCGCCCAGGTCGGACCGGGAGGAGGAAGGTTGGGCAGTGGCTTCCTCGTAGGTGGGAATAGGGAGGGATTTGTACTGGAACTTATCGTCGCCCATGGCGGCACGGGGTCGGCTCGGGGGAGCCTGGGCAAACGGAAGACGCGGATACTGCGATCAGGAAGATCATGATCTGCTTGGTTTTAGGAAGGGAAACGAATGACCAGCATCATCCCCACTTTGTATAGCGTGGGAAGATGGGAGGAAGTTGTGGCGGTGGTGGTCGAAAGGTCGAGAGATTGCAGATCGCAAAGACGGGGGAGAGGAGACGGGGAGTTTGGCTGCCTTGAGGCCTTCCCCCGACCTCTCGTGGCGCAGCGACCCACGCCGAGACCTGAGACCTCTGGCCAACGCGCGTCAGTGTACACCATTGGCAAGGGCAATATTGGCAACATTGGCAGGAACATATCGCCATACCTATGGTGACTTTTGGCATGGTTCGAAGGGTTTGAATCACCGGCCACTGACTCCTTTCAGTACTGCTGATGCGCCAGGACACCAATCGAGGCGATCATTCCATAGAGGGCTAATGTACGGGATGGTCCACTCGGTGCAGTTCGACTCGCCACTCTGACAGGTACGTCTCATGTCAGAGTACTCCGTACATGGAACGCTTAAGTGATACAGAGGTCGAGGACTCGGGCTGGGCTCCTCAGGTAACTCTACCATTCGCCTCTGGAGTTACTTACCCTATAATAATGGAAAGCCTTTACCACTACCACACGCTGAAACCTGCCAGTCTCCTGTATCCGAAGTGATGCCACTCAGGGACAGTGTTGGAATTGTGTGGTACGGAGGCCATCGGATCCGATGATCCACCTTGACGGTGAAGACTGGTTCGTTTCCCAAGTAGAACAGGTGGATACATACAAGATCCGAGATAAGATGGCCAGGTTATACTCGGGCGCACTCGGTGATCAAGTTATTTCCTAGGAGTTGACTGCAATATTGTTGTAATCTTTAAAAGGCACTACCTAAAGACTAGTAGCATACATTACATTTAACCTGGTATCCGATAGTGTGGTCATGTTTGGAAGGGGATAGATGGTGTTTGGCTATAGGGGCATCTATAGAAACCGGCATATGCCATATGCATGCGTCGACTTTTATAAGTATATCAAGGTTCTAAAAGAGCACAAAAAAATGGCATAGAAAGCAGCAAGAAGAGAATACACTTAAGCAACAGATGGACATCCAAGGGGGCAGGAAGATCGGCATTTCCCTAGTTGTACGGAGTACTTCTCCGGTAGTAAGATCCTGAGAATAGGCTCAAAAGGGGCAAGCTCGGGACCAGCGACCCCTCTCCAGTGGATTCTTGAAGAATGTCCTCCGTACAGTATGTATGCTTGAGCCCTAGGAGCGGTGAAGAGGAATTGATTACTGTCGCAATCACTCGTTGCCTAACATTAGTTAGGTCTATACTAGTTCAGAAAAGTAGCGGATCATGAAGCTGCCACGGAGTCTTTCAGGGCCAAACCAATCACGTGTCTGAAGCACGGGAGGCTCGTTGGACTGTGAGGAGATGTACCCCCAACGGCGCACGGCAGTGGCGGGGGTACTTGGAGCACTTCAATTAGTATTTTTAGTTAGTATTATTATTGTTTCTGACTATAGTCACTATGGAGTACACCTTGTGCTATGTATACTGAGTAATTCTATAGGTATAGGTCCTGTAGGCACTACAGATCCGATGTATATTCTAGTCTTAGTCTGAAGGGTACTATAGTATATTTCAACGGGGAGAGGCACGAGACCATACAATCGAGCATCATCTCTACACTTTGAGTACATACGTTCTCCCTGGTGAGATGCTACTCAACTCAAGCACGGGGTAATTAACCTACTAACCCAATTAATTATTAAGTCATCTAATCTAGAAATAGTATAGTTAGTTAGTAGTCACCCGGAAGAATCATCGTTCGGTTCAAGGGAAGAGCGTCAGTCTGCCCGTTTCTGCTCCACCCCCGAAAAAAAAAAATAAGTGACGGTGACTGAACATACACCGTAGATCGGAGTACACAACAACCTCCTTTTTCCTGGTGGCCCTGCTCGATCTCCCCGGCAATTCATACTTTCGTGTATAAAGATTTCCTTCTTCTCGCCTCTTACTCCTCCTTTCCATTTCACTCTTTCAATCCTCCTTGTGCCTGTGTTGTGTCGTTCCTCATTCTTCAACCCCTCCAACTATACACAACCCCTCTTCCCCCCACCACCACCACCATGTCGACCCGTCCCCAGAACATCGGCATCAAGGCCATTGAGGTCTACTTCCCTACTCAGGTGAGTGGTTCCGAGTCAATTGCCCCTGAGAGACCTTGAATACTGACTTGCTCTTTCTCCTCTGCAGTGTGTCGACCAGGCCGAGCTGGAGCAATACGATGGCGTTAGCTCTGGCAAGTACACCATTGGTCTCGGCCAGACCAAGATGAGCTTCTGTGATGACCGTGAGGGTATGTACCGCCAATGGAACGAGAAGAGGGAACCTAACAAGAGATTTTTGACTAACATTCTGCTCTCTTGAATAGACATCTACTCCATGGCTCTCACCACCCTCTCCTCCCTCATGAAGAAGTACAACATCGACCCCAAGTCCATCGGCCGCCTTGAGGTCGGCACCGAGACACTCCTGGACAAGTCCAAGTCCGTCAAGTCCGTTCTGATGCAACTCTTCACTCCTTCCGGCAACACCAATATCGAGGGTATTGACACCATCAACGCCTGCTACGGTGGCACCAATGCCGTCTTCAACAGCATCAACTGGCTCGAGTCTTCCGCCTGGGACGGCCGCAACGCCATCGTTGTCTGCGGTGATATTGCCCTGTACGCCAAGGGTGCTGCCCGCCCCACCGGTGGTGCTGGCTGCGTTGCCATGCTGATTGGTCCCGATGCCCCTATTGTCTTCGAGCCCGGTCTCCGTGGCTCCTACCTCACCCACGCCTATGACTTCTACAAGCCCGACCTCACCAGCGAATACCCCGTTGTTGATGGCCAGCACTCTCTCCGCTGCTATACCGAGGCCGTCGACGCCTGCTACAAGGCCTACAATGCTCGCGAGAAGGTCCTCAAGGCCAACCAGAACGGCACCAACGGTGTTGCGGACGAGCCCCAGACCGCTCTGGATCGCTTTGACTACATCCTTTACCACGCCCCTACCTGCAAGCTGGTCCAGAAGTCCTATGGCCGTATGCTCTACAACGACTTCCTGGCCAACCCCTCCCACCCTGCCTTCGCCGAGGTTGCCCCCGAGCTGCGCGATCTCGACTACGCTGCCTCCCTGACCGACAAGGCCGTTGAGAAGACCTTCATGGGTCTTACCAAGAAGCGCTTTGCCGAGCGTGTGCAGCCCGGTCTCCAGGTTGCCACTCTTTGCGGTAACATGTACACCGCTACCGTCTACGCCGGCCTGGCCAGTCTCCTGAGCCACGTCACTTTCTCTCCCAGCGAGCGCAAGCGCATCGCTCTCTTCTCCTACGGCAGTGGTCTGGCTTCGTCCATGTTCAGTGCCAAGATCGTTGGTGATGTCTCTGAGATGGTTGAGAAGCTGGATCTTAAGAACCGTCTGGAGTCCCGCACAGTCCTGGCTCCCCAGGCCTACGATGACATGTGCCAGCTCCGCGAGCACGCCCACTTGAAGAAGAACTTCAAGCCTACCGGCGGTGTCGAGACTCTGCAGAAGGGTGTCTACTACCTCACCGAGGTTGATGACATGTTCCGCCGCCAGTACGCCATCAAGGAGTAAAGGGCGAAAACCGACCGTGCCATTCCGTTCCATTTCTTCTGCCGTTGGATATGACCCTTGTTTAGACGGTTTCAGAAAAAGATTCCCCCAAGCGTTTTCTTTTGCTTTTTCTACTTCGGTATAGATCATGCAAGGTCTTGACCTTTGCTAATATTGTTCATTTCTTTTTTTCCTTTTTGTTTTCTACTGAGATATTTAATGGCTTGAGCTGTTTTCCTCGCCGCTTGGCGACGAATGAATGTGATGAGATAAGCAGGATCCTGGCCATCCAATCAGGTTTGAGGCCAGGACTAACTACCAAATTCAAATGGATGATATATGAACATGTGCCCGGAATTATTCCTGCTACTAAATTATCCTCATTTGCTTTTTTCTGATTGAATGATTAGTCCAAATTCCTGAAACTTGGGACAATTTGTCTGCTAATTATGGGACATAGAGAACATGATCTTCCAATAATGTCGAGTGCGTGACAATCGCCCCGGCGCGTATTTGAGACTCGCCGTACAGCTGTAGCCGCCGAGCTCTGCATATCACGTCTCCACAACTCCCCCATGAACGCCTCGGATCAACGGTTTCTTCTCCCATTCTTTTGACTTCTACCTCTCACGCACCTATGGAACTGCATTTTCGGGAGGGTCTCCATGCACTGTCACAGCACACGCCGGGCTATTTTTATCCTCCCTCTTTCACTACCCTTTGATCCTCTAACCGCCCACCGAGCGATTCCTGAGGCATGGCGCTCGCATCAGGAAACACCTCGCGGACCGGCGATGCCGCTAATTACCCAGGAAAATGTGACCTAATTGTTGCTGAATTTAGAAGCGTTCACTCCCGCTGCAGCCCTGCTAATCCCAACTCGGCATCTGAAGAATAACCTCGAAGCTGATGCAAAATATAGCAACACTTTAACGCGCGACTGTCCGTTGAAACGGCACTATGCCCAGAGGAAATGCCCCTGCTCGGAGTTTCAGGCCTTGATTGCTGGCCCCTGTCGCGCGACCTCAGGCATGCTGGTCGGCAGTTTCGCGTTTCATCGCGTGGGAAGCTGTTTAGATCGGAGCTAGCATCCCAAAAAAAGAATAGGAGCCTCTGTTGGCGTTGCGATGGAGGGCTTCTCCATGTTTCAGGTTATCCAAGTCCCACTGGGGTTCGTCAGTGGGCCTGCTTGCTGCTGTTTGTTTATATACGGCTTCGGGCACTTGGTTTCTGAAACTTGCCTTTGTCGACAAGCATTTAACTTCCAAACATTCTCTCTACTATATCATGTCCTTGTGTCTTCTGGAACAAGAGGCTCTGATCTGAAGTACTTGCTTCGACTTCGACTCTGGATTTCGACCTCGATATACATTCGTTGGTACCTCTCTTCTCGACAGTGAACCACAGGAAGCTGGCCCTTCCTATTCCAGGCTAGAATTTACCCCGTTTAACCACACTCTGGCTGCTCTCTTATTATTATTACCATCATTACCGCCATCAGCAGCACCATCATCATCATGTCTTTGGAATACACTCATTATCAGCCGACGACACCTCCGGGTGTTCCTCTCCAGTTGCAAATTGGCTCCGCGCACAGTCGCAACGCATCCAATTCATCCATCTACTCTAATGATTCATCTCCATGGTCGACGATGACAGGCAGCACCAGCCCAACCACGTCACCTACTCGACATCACCATGGTCCGGCTCTACTCCCCAAGATCCGCCCTCAAGATATTGTCGTCGAACCCGTATCTGCTGGAGGGCCATTGCGGCATCGACGTGTCTTGTCAAACACTCGCAACCCACCGGGCTTCGTGCCTTACCCCAGCCGGCCACCTCTTCAGCGCAATAGAGAAGATGCATCAGAACGGCTCGCCTTAGCATCTCCAATCTCTCCTATAGTCACCACGGGTCATGGCAGCTACTCGGCCTTGTCGTCTCCGGTATCCGTGAATCCCTCTCAAAGGCGCAAATCTGGAGGAGGCCACTCCCGGTCAGTGTCGACCTCTGGCATTGATGAGGCCACTCTCAACCGGTATGGATATCCTACCTACCGACACCTTCCAAAGTACGTGCCCGCAATTCAGGCACAGACAATGCCAAATACTCCGGCTACACCAGTGACGCCAATAACACCAAGTATTGTCGTTCATTCATCCTATTCCCAACGACAGACAGCAAAAGTGCCACAACTATCCCTTGTACGACCTCCACACTCGTTGACAGTACGATCGCCCCAGTACGACTACAATCAGACATCTGAGGCCCAGCAATCACCGATTGCTCTACTGAGTCCTCAAGAAGACTTGACTCCCCCATCTACCAATTTACTGTCCTACTTGACCTCCCCCACACAAGCTATCAACCTCGTCCGCAATGTCAGCGTAGTACCTACCCGGGGCATGCACGACTATTTCTGGTGGGATATCCGCAACCTGCGCAGTTGGACCTCCTACTCAATTTCAACCTTTGACTCGATCCATGGTCTCACAAAGCTGCTCAAAACAGAGATCTCAAGCTCTCTTGTTCCTCCGGTCAGCGTCATCCCTGGACGCCTCGCCCCCGAATCTGAGCCTGCCCTAGTCAACCTTATCAGAGATCTCTATGCTCCACGCGTCAACGCCGCACTAGCCGTCTCTCAAGGCTCAGAGCACCTCCAGCTCTACGCCGCACCAGACATACGGCACACCGGCCACAAAAACCACGGCCACCCACACTTCCTCGCCAACTATGCCACAGACACGGAGCGTACAAGTGCCGGCCTCCCACGCGGCCGCCTCGTCGGCATCGTCAAGAGCTTCGACCGATGGAACTCGGGCATGCGCAACGAAGCTCCACACCGGCGCGTCGAATACCTCAACGGACTAGCCCACCTGCAGCGCTGCATGCGCGAACACTCCTGCCGCTACGGCTTCATCATCACCGAGATCGAGCTAGTCTGCGTCCGAGCAGGCTGCGACGCCGGCGACGACGTCCCCTACTTCGGCTTCCTAGAAGTCGCAACACCTATCCCTCTCAAAACAGCCGCGACCCACCCGCATACAGGGCACCACGACGCCCCTCCGCTAGCAACCCCCATCAGCGCGCGGTCCTTTTCATCCTCCTCGCACGCATCCTCATCACACTCCCACCAGGACTCCCCGACACCAGATGAAACCGAGGAAGGCTTCACAGCGCCCATGACGGCAAGCATGGCTCTATACTTCCTCCTCATGCTATCAAAATCCGTCCCCCTGCCTTACCAACCATCCGCCCACCTCAACGTCGGCGGACCAGGCGCGCTCACGCGGCAACGGATCCTACCCGAGCCGAAGGATAAGTGGATTCCTGAACCGCAGATTGGAGAGCGGCGGGATGCGAAGCGTGTTCGCGGTTGGGTTTGGCCTGGGGATGCGTGGCATCGGAGGGAAGGAGGTGGTGTGACGAGGATGAGGGCTGGGGATGGAAAGGTGAAGAAGTGGCATAAATGAGTTTGGTGTGATTTGTTTGGCATAAATAGGCGTTGGATATGCTGCGTTGGGTATTGGATTGGATTTTCTTTTTTTTTTTTTCGGATGCTACTGAAATCCTTTCTTTTGTTCTTTGTTTTGCTTCTCGGTAGGGTGTACGGTGTTTGAGGGTATCTTGAGTTTGGTTGGCGTGGGCTTGGGCTATGGTTTTTTCTTGCAACTTTTCTATGGTGGCTATTACTGATTTGTTCGGATTCCCCTTTGGTTGGTTGGATTTTTGATTTAACAGGAATGGACTTCTTTGTTATATAAAATTCTTCTCTTCTCATGAATTGTAGTATATGGGATGGGCGTCGTGTATGATAAAGGTTAGCCTCTACACGTCCGGACTTTGCATTCCGGTGGACATAATCAAACATACATTTGAACAGCTTTTGTCTGGAGTGTAAAAATAGTGCATGGTTCGAATGTGGAAGAACTATTGATGAGACTCCATATGAACTACAGCAGGCCAATCTCTCGCAAGGTCCCCAGGACATTGACAGCTTCCAATCAGCACTTGCGGTTGTGGGGTACTAGGCCTTTCCCCATGCGAGAATGATTTTATCACCAACTATAAGGACCTTGGGGAAGAGTACCTCGATGGTTAGATTCATATTGAGGGCATTGCAGAAAACAGCCCGGTGGGCCACCAGTGTATAATGCACACCTATAAATGGCCAGAACCCTTCTAAAAAGGCCATACTTCGCAAATACTGCATACACGTTTATAACTTCCACAAACCCTTCTCAACCGCAATAATCATACTATGATGAATCTCACCAATGAAATCCACGATGTAATCATCGTCGGTGCCGGACCCTGCGGTTTGGCCGTGGCTGCACGAATTCACGAGCAGACTCCTTCAGCGGTATTCACAGACGAAGAACACCAGCGATACCACTGGATTAAAAGACACACTGGGAAAATGAATCTTATCCAAGCAGGGCGCAGCAAGAAAAACGGTGTCCGAGCAGAAAAATGGAATCGCGGACACAGAACCTGTCCCTGCAAGGACGAGAAAAGTACAAATTCAACCCGCCGCGGGTCTACCGACTCAATATCATCTGTGCCATCGCTGTCATCAGACTCATCGACTTCGTCTGCTACGTCGATTTCGACGTTAGTTTTGGATGGGACGGGGGATCAGTGGATGCAGCGGTGGAACAACGCTTTTCGCACCCTGGAGATTAAACAACTGCGGAGCCCGATGTTCTTCCATGTAGACCCTGGGGATCGAGATGGGATGTTGGCATATACGCAGGAAGTTGGGAGGGAGGATGATCTGTGGGAGATCTCGGGGTGTGTTGGGAAGGAGATGAGCAAGCATAAGAAGAAGAAGAGACGTCAAAGTGGGAAGACTCAGTATGTGATGTGATACTTTGACTCTTCCTGTCACATTTAAGCATTACCAAACCAACGCTAACATTGTCAATTCCGCAGAACCCTAGGAGTTGAGATTGATGAGCGCGATCGCAAAGACTACTTCTCCCCTTCGACCGATCTTTTCGCCGACTACTGCGCTTCTATCATAGATCGATACGGCCTGAACGAACCCAGCCAGATCCTCAAACAAGAAGTCACAGACATCACCTTTGGATATTTGCCTGACAATCTCGATATTGCGGTACCAAATTGCAAGACTTTCACTTTGACTACTTCGACCGGACAGAAATTCTATAGCCGGGCCGTTGTACTTGCAATGGGTGCTGGAGGAGCTGGGATCCAGAAGATCTTCCCCTGGAAACCATCAAATGAAGCGGAAAGTGCTGATACTTGCTGCCATAGCATGGAAATCAAGACTTTCCCGAGTCCCAATGTGCGAAGCAAGATTCAGCAAAGGCGAGAGACTAATGTGGTCGTTGTAGGAGGGGGACTTTCCTCGGCCCAGATTGTTGATATGGCTGTGCGAAAAGGAGTGACTAAAGTTTGGTTCCTGATGAGATCTGAATACAAAGGTTAGCAGCATAGCATGCTCCTATAATGTGCATTGGAGCCTATCACTAACGGACAAAACTAGTCAAACACTTTGATATCAGCTTGCCCTGGATGGGAAAGTATAAAAACTGGGAGAAAGCAGCCTTTTGGTCAGCAGACACTGATGAAGGTGAGTGATCACACTATCCATGACTAAAGAAAGGGTTATCGTGACTAATATATACAATGTCTCCCTTTCTACCAGAACGCCTCGAAATGATCAAGACTGCTCGAAATGGTGGCAGCATTACCCCTCGCTACACAAGAATAGTCAAAAAACATGTCACCCACAACCGAGCATCCATTCACACACGTACGGAAATAGCTTCCCACAAATATAATCCAGAAACCCAGACCTGGACTCTAACTACCGATCCGCCGATCCCAAACCTACCGCCGATCGATTACATTTACTTCGCAACGGGGGCACGCTCCGATGTCCGCGAAATGCCACTTTTGAGTAAAATCAACGCGGAGTACCCTATTGAAGTCATCGAGGGTCTTCCCTGTCTCACTGATGATCTCATGTGGCGGGACGATGTACCCCTCTACATTACAGGGCGACTAGGGGCTCTACGACTGGGTCCCGGAGCTCCAAATCTTGAAGGAGCCAGGCTTGGCGCAGAGAGGATTGCCTGGAGCTTGGAGGAGATCCTTCAGAAGGACCGGGACATTGGAGATCACTGTGAGGGGTTCTGTGGACTGGGAAACCGGTATGCTTCATTAGTTGGGGATGGTGAGGACGATAATGAGGAGGCTATAGCTACACGCTAGGGCCGCATAGCTCGGGAATTTGTCTGATATAGTCTTCTCATCACATCCTTCAACAGCGAATATTGCTTTCCGGAGTTTTACCAAATGACATAGTGTCATGTGAGTAGTTTATCTTTTTTTCCCCCTGCTCGCTGATACGGCGTTAGAGGTCATTGGATCATTGGTGAATCGGCGTCTGTGCCAGTACTTTTTGAGTGGGTTGTCCATTCCTCCCTTCATTCTCCGCGCTTTTAAGTAGATCATCGCTTGACCCCGCTCAATGGGGGAGGGAAGCCTTTACGGGCATATATGGCAAGAATGTGGAGATGATCCCTTGTTCCGAAGAATTTTTTACTAGAGAGCTCTATGCATTATAAAGCTTATATCAGAAGCTAGGACTGCAAGCACGATGAGCTCACAGATTTATTTATTGTGCCCTGCATCAGGTCTGTGAGGGCGAGGATACTAACTGAACAGGACAATATGGCACCATCAATGAATCCGCATGCACCCGTGGAGGCGCTGAAGATTCTTCCCAACAGAACACACCAGAACTGGCTCAAAGATCGGGGTCTACGAAAGTTGAATCTGGGGATTGCATTTATATTCGCCTCCTCAGCTGGCACGGGATATAACGGGAGTCTTATGAATGGTTTGCTGGTTTTACCTGAATGTATGTCTCAAACAGAAAGGAAAGTTCTAGGTCATTTGCTGAATATCTCCATGTAGTTGACATGATCATCGGCGGCTTGAAACCTAGCATCGTCGGTCTCCTTATCGCTGCCACCTCTCTGGGTGCATTCTTCGCCTTTACTCCAGCCTCTTATATTGCAGATACTCTGGGAAGGAAGTGGTGTGTTGGCTTTGGATGCTGTTTGGTGATTATATCCTCGATTATGCAAGGTTTTGTTCAGAATCACTGGACCTTTTTCGGTTGTCGAGTTCTCGCTGGTGCTGGCGTGGGCGCTGCTCAAACTGCTGCACCGCTACTGGCGACCGAGATTGCTCATCCACGCCAGCGACAGACAGCTACGGCCTTGTACAACGCATGCTGGTGTATTGGATCTATTGCGTCGGCAGCGGTATGTTTTGGAACATTATCCATGACCACTAGCTGGTCATGGCGAACTGCTTGCCTTCTTCAAGCATGTTTCCCGGTAGCCCAGCTGGTGGGTCTGTTCATTGTTCCTGAAAGCCCTCGCTGGTTGATATCGAAGGGGAGGAATGACGAGGCTCTGGCAATTCTCGCGAAATATCATGCAAACGGCGACAAGCATGATGAATTGGTTCAGCATGAGTTCCATCAAATCTGCAATACTATCAACATCGAGGCACTGGAGCCAAGAAGCTGGGGGTCGTTCTTCTCGTCCAAGGGCGATGTACACCGTCTGGTAATTTGTGTTATGGTTGGTCTTATGCAGGAATGGGCTGGAAATGGTAAGACCTACGGTTTGAAGCGACTTGGAAAAAATCTTGCTGACACTATTCAGGAATTATCTCCTACTATCTAGCTCCAATTCTGGCTTCTGTCGGGGTAACCCGTGCCGCAGACCAAGCATCAGTTAACGTGGGCCTGCAAGTTTGGAACCTCTTCCTCTCTGCAGGGGGTGCTGTAGCCTCTGAGCGATATGGCCGACGCATTCTTTGGCTTCTTGGAACAATGATCATGCTTTTCTTCCTCTCCCTGATGACAATCGTGGCCGGGGTCTTCCAGGAAAAGCATATAGCCGCTGCAGGCTTAGCTGTGGTCCCCATGATTTTCCTCTTCTTCTCCGGGTTCAACCTCGCCTATGCGCCATTGTTCATTGCCTATCCTGCTGAAATACTACCATTCCCGCTTCGGGCGAAGGGCATGGCTATTACACTGTCAACGGATGCGGTTGCGTGCTTTTTCAATCAGTACGTCAATCCGGTTGCATTTTCTGCTATACAGTGGAAGTACTACCTTGTCTATGTGGGATGCTTGACATGGTTCTTGGTGACGGTCTATTTCCTCTTCCCGGAGACGAAGGGAAGATCTCTTGAGGAGGTTTCCAGGATCTTTGATCGCAAAGAAGTTCGAAGCGAGGATTCTAGCGATACCAAGACGGAGGCATAAGGGAAGGAAGATTTGTCTCTGTTAAATTTCCGGGGCACTTCCAACGTACACGAGTGCGTTCTGCGTATATGAGAAATTGTTGAAAACCTATATGTTACAAAAATCACTGCATTTTATACGATAACGAAGACATTGGCGAGATATGACCGCGCTCATGTATATCGACTTTCTTATTATATCACTAAGGATCCTCCATTTCCAACGGTACTTCCATTCTCTTGGCTCTCAGTCACTTCTCCGTTTCCCCTACGCATTTCCCCTAATTTCCCAGATGCGGGTAGACTATCCTGTTCCTGAGCTGTCTTCAAGATACTGAACAACCGATCTGCCGTGAGATGGTCGTTTACCCCCTCCATTCGATGAGCATATCGAAGTCTTCCCCGTTGGAAGATCCACTCGCCCCCTTGCTGATTCCAACTCCCACCTCTCAGTCCTGCCCACCCGCGTTTCCATATTTGCTTGAGACATTTGCCCAAAGCACTAGGGAACGACTCTGGTGTATAGGGAGGTGGACTGGTAAACCCCTCCGTGGTTCGTTTCATATGTAGGGTCTCGTATATTTTCCCCGTTGGATCAGTGTAGATGGGGAATGCATCAGAAGTTTCTTCCATGTAGGGAACTATGAGAGAATGGTCGCCGCACCCGATGATAATCACCTGGGCTGGTTTGGCACTGTCTGGGATCGTGTCGAGGAGAGTCTGAGTGAGTTGGTTGGATAGTGTTTTGACATAGGCTTGGTCGTACAGACAGAAGAAATGGCGAACTAGATGATGTTTCATGTTAGGTCTGGATTCACCAGGGTAATCGTAATGTGACGCACCGAAAATGACAATGGTGGTCACCGAGTCACCTTTGCCAGCTACAAGCTCCCCAAATCTCACATATTTACCATTTTTGGTCTGGATATTGAGCTCATAGGCCTCGTGGAGAGTCTCGTCGCACAAAAAGTCGGGACCGTCACCCGTAACAATGCAAGTAGACATGGTGGGACCGGGTTGAGGCTTGTATACTCTATCGGAAGACGAGCGAGAAGATTAAATATCTTTAATTTCAAGAATTTGGAAGCAGGATTCGGGTTTTGGTCGCCTTCTACGGAGTATAGCCCAGGCCACGGACAAGGAAGTCCAGATGCTGGCCATGACATCATCACCTCCTGGCAGTGAAATATTTGGCGAACCGGAATGATTGAGGGCAGAGAAATGCTTAAACTATCACCCGTTTCCTTTGGTTCAGGGGAAAGGGAATAGGCCTTTGCAGACACCTCGTGACCAAAACCTGTATCTGTCTCCAATTGAAGGTACTCGATAACTCGTGGTTAGTTTGGACGAGTGGAGACTGGCTCCTGTTCTGGAGGGGCCTCCGTCATCCTCAGGCACACTCTGACTTAAGCGTTGATAGAATCAACTCACAGCTACCAGAATACTTCCAGTCGTACTCTACTCGAAACAATATATACTCTTACCCTCAATACAGAAGGAGCATTGATGCCCTAACATGATATACTTGATCAACGGCCAATAGGAGCAGCTCCGATGTTGATGATACGTTCCCCGCATGCAACACAACGCGCCACCAGTGCAACCTCATCTTTTCTCAACCCGCTATTTAGACTGCCCAAACATCCCTCGTCAGCGTCAATCTAATATTATTGAGCAGTGTCTGACGGGCGAACACCCACAAGATCTGATACGATTCAAATCGGAGCAGGAAAAGGCCAGACCGCAAGCCTAGAGGCACGGAACTCGTTCCAACAGCATCCAACATCATGAAAGAGCCTCAACCCCCGCCAGCAGACAACCCAGTCAACACTGGCAGTTCCACCACTGCCAATGGACAAAGAGCCCCTCGATTCATCGTCATCGGCGCCGGCTCTCGCGGCAATGCCTATGCCCGCGCCGTGAAAACCACCACCCCTGGCGTCATCCACGCCGTGGCCGAGCCGCACGAGTTCAAGCGACGCGAATTCGGACGGAACTATATATGGGACGCAGATGGATCTCCCATCGAAGGGCAAGAATTCTCAGACTGGAGGGAATGGGTGCAATGGGAAACCGAGCGGCGCAAGAAGGCCGGCTCCGCTCATGAGCAGGCCACTCCCCTCGGTGTAGATGGAGTCTTCATCTGCACACTGGACGAGACCCACGTCGAGATTATCAAGGCTATCGCACCTCTGCAACTCCACATCCTCTGCGAGAAACCCCTCGCCCTCTCCCTCGACGATTGTCTAACCGTCTACCGAACCCTCCAACCCCCGCGTCCCCAATCCACCAACCAAGAACCCCAGTCGCCAGCAACAATCTTCTCCATCGGCCACGTCCTCCGCTACAGCCCACACAACACACTCCTCCGCAAACTCCTCCTCAACGACCGCGCCATCGGCGACATCGTCTCCCTCGAACACACCGAACCCGTCGGCTGGTGGCACTTCTCACACAGCTACGTCCGAGGAAACTGGCGACGCGCCACAGCAAACGGCGACGGCTCCCTACTGACCAAATCCTGCCACGACATCGATTTCATCCTCTGGCTGCTCTGCTCCCCGACCTCGCTCGATGGCACGCAGCAGCCGCATTTCCCGCGGTCGATCTCGTCGGCGGGCTCGTTGACGCAGTTCCGGCGTGCTAGGAAACCCGTTGCGGCTGGGGATGCGACGAATTGTCTCTCTTGTCCTGCTGAGCGGGACTGTACTTACAGCGCGGTGCGGATTTACAAGGATCGTCACCTGGCCAAGGGGCATCGCACGTGGCCGGTTGATATTGTCTGTCCTGATATCGAGGACGTGTATAGAGCCGAAGGGGCTGCTGCTGCTGAAGAGCATTTACTCTCGCGACTGCGGGAAGACTATGACGTTCGTGTCCAGTCAGACGCTGATGTCGCCGCGAGACCGTGGTATGGCCGATGCGTGTACGAAGCGGACAACAACGTCTGCGACGACCAGGTCGTAACACTTGCATGGGATGACGAGGACGTCGAACCAAAGCGGCTGGCCAAGACAGCTACCTTCCATATGATTGCCCCGACAGAGAAACAATGCGAACGACGGGGTCGTGTATACGGCACAACCGGGGAGATCGAGTACAACAGCAACGCAATCTCCATCTATGATTTCGCATCTGCAAAGACGACGACTATCGATGTACCCCGCCCGCCGCCGGAGAGGGCCGAGTCTCATGGAGGTGGTGACTATGGTCTTGCGGGACAGTATGTGAATGCTGTCAACGCCGTGATGAACAAGGGGTTGGACGTAGAGACTGCACAGGCGCGGTTCATTGGGTGTACGCTGGAGGAAGCGGTGCAGAGCCATGCGGTGGTGTTTGCGGCAGAGGAAGCGAGGAGGGAGGAGCGTGTTGTTAAGTGGAGGGAATGGTGGGAGGAGAAGTTGAAGTATTCGGCTGCTGCTTGATCGGTGATGCGGTTGTCAGGCAGATTGCCGTGTATGATGATGTTATGACTTGATGTTTAATGGAGACTTTATGCTTGAAGGATGGCTCGTGGTATTGTGTAAATCCTGTAAATGGATGGCCTATATGACATAGCATCTAGCATCGAATATCGAGGCATATCCAAGACTTGTTCCCAGAAATCCAAAGTCAATAAATCCTCCACCTCCATGAATCGAACACCCAACCTTCCGATTCCCTATATACTTCACAGCGATGTTCTATCGCCCTCCCACGATGCCGAAGTACATCATCCAGAGTCAACACCGACACCGCCAATAACCAGCATCCTTCTACAGCTCGTAATATCTCTAAAATCTCTCCAGAAATTTTTTAGAAAAATATAACTTATATGCCCTAGAATCTAGAAAGACGATGTTTTAAAAAATAAAAAATAAAAAAAGATCTTTGTCCGCGAAGTGGTGCTGCCACCACCTCGCATGCCCACCCGCCCACTCTCCCCGCCTAGGGATGTGCCCAACCATCCGTGGAGTTATACTCGACATGGAGGCCTGTACCCATATCCATATGTTTGCCCACTCCAGGGCACACCCAAAGGTCAAGAGACCACTAGGCCAAATGAGGGGGGAGAGTGACTGGAATACCAATACTGGGATTATATCCCATGAAATGCTTACAATGCTGGATATGAGAATTCACCATGGTAATTGACCATGCACCACGTTTACTGTTGTTCTACCATAGATCTGGCAGTCTTCATGCTAGAGGAGGAGAGAAAATAGCTGGGAGATTTCATAATTCATGCACCGAGGAATCAATTTCGTATTCATATTACTCGAATAAAAGACCTCGCTCTATCCATACGTTGCCCTCCACGCATCATCCATTTCTTCATGCATCATCATAGTTATAAGCTCATTCCAAATATGACCAAATAACAATATCAAAAAGACAGAAAAAGAATAACCTTGCGATCCCCATCCAGTGGATCACGCAAGATATACCAAACGCTTCCGGTCCCAGCTTAAGTCTTAACATCGGGCTCCTCACGACCAACATACTCCTTGAACTTGAGCAGGCTCAGGGCCGAGGCAACGTTGTCAGCTAGGTACTCTTGAGCACTGAGGCCGAACTTGGATGCATCGCTCTCGTAGCGCTCAATGTACAGGCGGATAGTGGCGCCGCTGCTGCCGGTACCGGACAGACGAACGACGATGCGGCTGCCGTCATCGAACTTGGCGTACAGACCCTGGTTCTTGGAGACGCTGCCGTCGAGGTCGGTGTAGGAGAAGTTACCAGCGTCTACAACCTTGCGGGAACCAACGCTGGAGCCAACGAAGGAGCCGCTGGCAACCAGATCGGCCAGGGTACCGACAACCTTGTTAGCACCGTCGCTGTCGACGTTCTCGTAGTCGTAGCGGGTGAAGAAAGTACGGCCGTAGGTCTTCCAGAACTCGTTCTGGATGGACGCAATGCTAGGGGTCTCCTCGGGCTTCTGCTTGGCAACACCAGCGATAATGTTCAACCAGGCGACAACGGCCCACACGCCGTCCTTCTCACGGATGTGGTTGCTGCCGGTACCAAAGCTCTCCTCACCGCAAATAGAGATCTTCTTGTTATCAAACAGGTTGCAGAAGAACTTCCAGCCGGTGGGCACCTCGTAGCTCTGCAAGCCCTGAGCCTGAGCAACGCGGTCAACCGCACCAGAAGTGGGCATAGAGCGGGCCAGACCGTACACACCTTGCTTCTGGAACCAGGGGATCAGCTTGGCGTGGTGTGCGATAATGGCCAAGCTGTCACCGGGGGAAACGAAGCTCTTGGCGCCATAGATCATGTTACGGTCACCGTCACCGTCACTGGCGGCACCAAAGTGCACACCGTTCTTGTCAACGGCCTCGACAAGCTCGTGAGCATAGACGAGGTTGGGGTCGGGGTGACCGCCGCCAAAGTCCGGCTTGGGTACGCAGTTCATGGTGCTGCTGGCAGGCAACCCGAGCTCCTTGACGAAGATGTCCACACCGTAGGGACCGGTGACACCGTGCATACCGTCGAAGAGCACCTGGAAGTCCTTGTGAGAGCTCAGGAACTCCTTGATCAGGTCAAAGTCGAAGATCTCCTTCATCATGGTCACATAATCCGCGGTGGAGTGGACAACCTCAATCTCGAGGGGGCCGTAGGTCTTGGTGCCAATGGTGGAAAGGTCGACATCAGAGATCTCGGCGTACTTGTAGGAGGTCAGGGACTTGGCAGTCTCGAAGATCTTGTTGGTGACGCCTTCGGGGGCGGGAGCACCATTGGCCAGGTTGTACTTGATGCCAAAGTCGTTGTCGGGACCTGGATAGGGATCACAGGGTTAGTGATTTGGGAGAGAACGCGCCGAATTGAAGCAGTAATCCAAACATTGGCTCTCTTCACTTACCACCGGGGTTGTGACTGGCGGTCAACAGGATACCGCCGGTCGCCTTGCGCACGCGAATCAGGTTGCTGGCCGCGGGGGTACTCATGATACCATTCTGGCCGACCAGCAGCTTCTTGACACCGTAGGCGGCGGAGATCTTCGCGATCTTGTTGATCACCTCATCGTTGTAGTAACGGCCATCACCACCAATGACGAGGAAAGAACCCTCGACACCCTCGGGAATGGACAGGAGAATACTCGTAATGAAGGATTCGGAGTAGTTGGGCTGCTGGAAGACCTTGACCTTCTTGCGGAGACCAGAACTGCACGAAGTGGGGGGTGGTTCAATTAGCATTGAAACAGGGACGAGGATGAAGCGGAGTAAGAGTTAAGGAAGGAGAAACAACGTACGTGCCCGGCTTCTGGTCAGCAAAGGGCTGGATGGAGACCGTTTGGACCGACATGATGAGAGGATTGGAAAGGGAGGTGAAGAGGAGAGAAGAGAAGAGGAAGGAGTTCGTAGTAAGTTCGACTGAAGGAGACGAGGGGTTGGCGTCATGTGTGGATCATCCCACCTTTTGCCTTTTGGGTGGCACTCCAAACTAACCAACTGAGACAGCTCCATTGCGCATGGGCCTGGGCCATTGCTACACGAAGCTTGCAATTCCTGCCAGACCAGGATATTACTGGACTAGTTGAATAGCTCCAAGCCCTGGTCACACATATTATCCTTGGGTCCTTGAGTCCTTGAGTGCTTGAGTGCTGGAGTGCTTGGACAAATGTCAATAACAATGGGCCATGCCCTGCGAAGCTCCCCAAAACACCGTCAAACACCAGCCCCACGGAGCAGAGAGCTCCCCTCCCAACAGAACCAGAACCAGAACCAGAAGCCAGAAACTCAATTGGTATCAAACATAACGAATCAATCCAGACTAAAAAAAAAAGAACAAATTCTTCAAGACACAAAACCCCCACCCAATAATAGTTATATGACAATAATAATGACAAAGACAATTCCCCACTATCCAAACAACTTCTCCCGATAAAAGCGCATCTCCTCAATACTCTCCAAAATATCATCTCGAGCCAAATGCACCTCCCTCTTCCCAGGCACCATCGCCAACAACGCCTCACTCCCCCACCGCCGCGCCGCCTCCTTAACACTACTCACATCCAGAATCCGATAATGCAAGTATTCCAGCACCTTTGCGTAGGGCCCGCGAGCCAAAAACGCCTTGTCGGCGTGGACGCTGTTGCCCGCCAACAAGGCCGTGCGTGGGGCGGGGACGTGCCGCTGGATGTACTCGAGCAGCGAGTTGGCCGCGTCGGCGGCGCTGGTCGTTGAGGCCCGCACGGCGGCGGTTAGGCCCGTGCGGCCGTGGGTGTCGATGCACCAGGCCGACATGGTGTCGAGGGCCGAGTCGGGATGGTGGATGACTGCGTCGAAGCCGTTTGGCTCGAGGAGTTGGAGCTGTGCGTCTGTGATGAAGCAGCAGATTTGGAGGATGGTGTCGTTCTCCGGGTCCAGGCCCGTCATCTATGGGCTTTGTGAGGACGATGAAGGGGAGTTTGGAGAGAGAGGGGGAGGGGGAGAAACGCACCTCGCAGTCGATCCAGACCAGAGGATCATTGGAGCGGGCGAGTGGCATGGTGGAATTGACACGGTGCGTGGGAAAGGCCTATACCTTAAAAGTGTTTGTTAATGATGTTCTGGTGCGAGTCGTTCGAATTGGCTTAGCATTATTACTCCGCTTTCTACCTTGGGACCCGCAAGGCCACTGGAGGGATTAGACCCTCTGAAAAGTAGGCCCCCGGAGATAGGCATGAAAAATGTAAGCAAGCTGAACATTTCAGGAATCCTTGCTCCTGTCAGCCCATGGTAAACAGCCTATTGGAGGGAAAAGGCGACTGACTCTCTGAGCTGAATCTAATAAAACCTTCACCGCGGGGTCATCATTGAAGGGTGTTTTACACGATAGAATCTTGTGTAGATATAAGAGGAGCCTAAGTATCGGCTGGGTGCGCTACGAGCGTAATACAAAATACACCCTCAGGTATGAAGGTGGAAAACACTGCACGTATATAAGCTAGAGACAGACATCCACCATGGCGTTCTCTTCCATGCTGACCCAGTACTGGCCGCCACCACCGACCTTCACCGAGAAAGATGTCCCTAACCAAGAGGGACGGGTGTTCATTGTCACTGGCGGGAACCAGGGCGTTGGGTACGAGCTCATCAAGATGCTCTACCCTACCGGTGCCGTCATCTACATGGCTAGCCGCTCTAAGGAACGCGCTGAACAGGGTATCAAGGACATCGTGTCTGCGGACCCATCCGGCTCTGCGCGCCTTCGGTTCCTCCATCTCGACCTCGACGACCTCAATACAGTCCGGAGTGCTGCCAAAACATTCTCCGAGCAAGAGTCACGCCTCGATATTATATGGAACAATGCCGGGGTTGGAGCTGTGAAGGTCGGCTCCAAGACTAAGCAGGGAATCGAGGCCCACATGGGAGTCAATATCATCGCTCCTTTTCTCCTCACTCAGCTCCTCCTCCCGAAATTGCAGGCGGCGGCAGTAGCCTCTCCAAAGAACAGCGTCCGCATCATTTGGACTAGCTCTTGTATTATGGAGCAGCTATCCCCGAAGGGTGGCTACAACCTAGAGGACATCGAGAAGGGAGGGACCAACAACGCCTACATCAACTATGCCACGTCCAAGGCGGCAAACTGGATGATTGCTGAAGAGGCCGGGAAGCGCTATGGCAAGGACGGCATTATCAGCGTGGTCCAGAATCCGGGCAACCTGAAGACTCAGATCTACAACACTCAGACCAAACTCATAATGTTCTTCATAAACAGGCTGCTTTATCCACCAAAGCTGGGCGGCTATACCGAACTATATGCGGGTCTCAGCCCGGAGATCACAGAGCAGCAGCAGGGCGGGCTCATCATCCCGTGGGGGAGAGTCCAGGTCCGCAACCCGAGGAAGGATATACACGAAGCACTAGAGGATGGTAGGGGAAAGGAGTTGTGGAATTGGATCGAGGCCCAGATCGAGGCGCATGCTTGAGTAATGCACCGCCGAATTCCTATAGCTAAGGCACAACGAAATTTTAAATGGTTCCCTTCTGCCTGCAGTGCCGCCCACCAACAGCTTGACCAGTAACCTTACAAAAGCCACATAATATCTTACTCGTAGTCGTACCCAAATCCTCGTTATCATTTCATAAACATGCCGCCTACAGGCGACCCAAAGCTAATGTATTTTCCAAATCCAAGGATGCTTCCTGTAGTGTAGGTGGGACATAATGGCGTCACGGTAGGAGAGAGAGGGGATCCAAAAAGTGAGCATCAACAAAAAAAAAGAAAGGCAAGGGTTTCCAAATCGCTCCCAGAACACAGACAACAAAGACAAAAAAAAAAGGGCAAGGCTAATGCTGCATGGAAGACAGCACTATGCAGTAACCCATCCCTCCTCATGGTCACACGAAGAGGACTGTCTGGTCTATCAATCCAAAAGGCCGCTTTCCAGGGCGACTTTGAAAAAGAAAAAGAACCCCACGAGAGCCCCAGTATAACATTATAGCTCCTCATCCTCGTTCTGCGACATGATGGCTGGTGGCTGCGAAGCGATCTTGTCGCCGAATGGCCCCGTGCTGGCCGTCTTGTTCTCATTACTGTCACCCAGAACTTCGTTGATGCGACCTGATGTCTCGGCAATCCGACGACGCAGGGCGTTCTCGTCAGCACCCGAGACACTGGCCCGTTGTTTCTTCAAAGGGCTACCCAGGAAAGCCTCAGGAACATCCCCAGTGGGTTGAACAGGCTCCGCTGGTTTTGCGGGGGTAGTCTTGGGCGGCGTAGTAGAACGTCCAGTGCTGGCAGGAGGTGTAGTTCCTGAAGCAGGCGTATCAATAGATGTAGCACCGCCGCTAGAGAGGGGCTCGGCAGAGTGTTGACGCTTAAGCTGTGGTAGGGTTAGCCCATCTAGACTACGATATAGGTGCGGGTACAATCCCCAAAGACTTACGTGAATCCTTTCAACACCCTCGGCCAGCTCTCCTTGGCGCTTAATATCATCAGGAGAAAGGAACCGTCCGTCATCCTTTGCCTCTTCATCGTCTGCCTTCCCTAGGATGGGATTGTCGGTGTCATCATCGTCACTATCCATCTCATCATCATTGGCTTTGCTGCCCTTCCGGCCACTGTCATGGTCACGGAAATTGAGGAATCCAACAGTTCCTTCCGACTTGAGGGGACCAAGATTGGAAAAGTCTGCCTGTAGTGATTTCCGCTTGGCTGCGGGAGTATCTTGCACCTTGGAGTCTTTCAGTATGCCCATCTTTTGCAATTGCCCTGGAAATCGTTTCAGCGTTAGCAGTGCACAGACCTTTTGGTCAAAGTCACTCTTTCCAATGATAGTACTTACGTTCGCCTCTATACATGAAAGTGAAAATGGCGTAGGGTTTGTCTGTAGGATCAATGCCAGTCACTGTCTGGGTGCTGATAGATTTTGGATCCAGTGTTTTGGGCTTCGCGAAACTAGTCGTATGGTCGACATCGGCATCTCCATTACTGCCATTATTCCCTTGGCCACCTTCTTCATCGTCATCATGAGCATCAAACTGCGGAGAGTACTCTCCCCGCTTGATCTCGCCGGAAGCCAGCACGCGAAACAAAGCAACCTTGATCTGGCCGGTCGTCTCGGGAATGGGGTCATCATCATCGGAATCAGAGGAGAAGTCATCATCAGAGACATTTTCCAAAGGTGCTTTCTCGTCATTTCCATAGCGCATGACATCCTTGGGCTTGGAGCTGCTCGCTTCCGACTCCATGCCATTTGCATCATCCGCCTCGCGCTTTGCCCGGCGCTTCTCCATCTTCTGCCGCCGTCGTTCAATCTTGGCCGCGGCGTCCTTGCCCTCCAGGTCCAGCCCATTCAGCCAGCGCTCCAGACCAACCTCGCGGAACAGGAACTCGCGCTCTGCGATACCGCCGCCTTCGGATTCTGGCACGCTCACCCAGCGCGAGTTCACCCACGTCTCCTCCCCTCTCCGTAGTAGTGTAGCCACCTCCTCCTTTTGTCGGCCATCGAAGTAGATGTACGCTGCCACGGTCTCGTTCGGTGAGTTCGTCAACGCTTGGTACGGTGCGACCGATCCGGAGTATTGACCGCGCTCGCCGGTCTGGTCCGGCAGGCCTCCGACAACCTTGGGTTTGGGAGAGGGGCAATCGGCTGTCGGCTTCGGGGTCGAATACGGGACATCCTGGCCGGAATTCAGGAGGGTGATGGAGATTGCAAAGGTCGATTGTTCGGGTTTACCCTTGGACGAGGCGTCTGGGACTTTTGGAGGTGGAACCGGAATGAAGCAAGCTATGCGTGACGCTCGCGACTGTCGCTGGATCGAGTATTCGGATATCGGGCCGTCCGGAGTGTGGATGCTCACGGCCAAGCCTTTGAAGCACGGCATGGCGAAGCCTTCGAAGGAATCGAAGATCGGGTGGGGAAAGATGTGTTGATATTGACAAGCAAGGAAAAAGAAAGGGGGATTGCCCCACGCTTTCAACGCACAAAACTTCCCCCAGGGCAGAGAAAGAGAAGCAAAATAGGGTCGGACAGGTGGGGAAAGAGGTGAACAGTAGCGTTGTCCCTGTTTTGTTTTCTTCTCTGAGGTGCTTCACGAAGTGCGAGTTAGCTACAGATGGAGAGACGGTCAAAGTAGCGCGAATTTAGGCTGGGTTTGGAGCAACCCAGCAACCAACTGGGTCGGGGCCCCACTGTTATTGTTGCTGGTATGGAGATACGGAGGCTGGTGAAGCTTTTCGGGGGCGCACAGGAGAGATGTGGGGGCACGAAGAAAGCAGATCGAGGGATCGGGCCTTCTTAATCTCGACAGGAGTTGGGGATCTTGCACCGAGGTCAGGTGTACCAGCACACATCCGTGGAGATCAGAGCCGGCGGTGGTGGTTGCTGGGGTTTGACTTCTCTTGGGCAGTTGAGAGTTGAGAGGAGGGGCGGAACCTGAGAAAGTGGACCAGCAAAACATTCGTTTGCCCGCTTTGCTCATCCGAACTCCTGCCAGCAGCACGTGATGTACTTTATTTAATTGGGACTAAGCCCTAGCACTGGCATCCAAGGGACCTTTGCTAAGACAACCATCTGACTATTGATGCCACGGGAGGGTATCCGGGCATCTTCTGATGCTCTGAATCCATCCTCCTGAGCTCCAGGCTTGACCTCGTCATCCCCCACGCGTATCCACATCACCTGACTCCCGACCGTGGATCAGCCGCAAGTCCCCCAGGGTCCGCTTCAGCAAGGTGAGGAGGAAAGTAAGGCCATTAACTAATAATCAAGTTTCACGGGCTGTGTGATTTGACAGGTATCTGACATAAGTCGTGGTTTCAATATTTTACCTGCCAGGTCAGGTCAGATAAGGCTAGGGTGTATAAAGGCATCACCTTAGGCTGGTAATGACCAACCAACTAAAACTTAAAAAGACATTCGAAAGTAATCGCATTCCGCATTATTAACATCGTCTTCCTCAGTAATTCCAGTATTAATCCTCTAGTAGCCATCGCCAACATAAGCAAGAATCATAACCCAGGTATTCATTAACATGAAATTTTCCAAGCAAAAATAGCTCCAAAAGCAATTCAAGGCTTCAACTTCATACACTAGCCACCTATTTCTCACCCTTGACGTCGGTGCTATCAGCAATAGTGCCAGTAGCAATGTGGTCAAACGTGTACAGTGGCTCCAACGTCACATTCTGCCGGAAGATATAGCGCTTGAACCAATACGGAAGTGCCTTGGTGACTTGATAGTGCATGTGCACGCGTGTAGGCACCGCAAAGATATAGTCGAGTTCCTCCAGGGTACGCTGCTTAGTCTCGGGGACCCACAGGAAGATCATAACCAGGGCGGTCACGTTGAGGCCACTATTCTGAGATTAGTGGTTGAATGGAGACGAGATTGGTAAAGCTCGAACTTACGCGTAGAACCCGAATGCGCCGGTGGGGGTCATGGCAAAGAGCATGCGAGGGAATGTAATCGAAAGCACCGCAGCCCAGCCGAGGCAGGTTGCGACAGCCCAGGACATACCAACCTCTGTTGGAAAAAGTTAATCTTTGATAAAGAGTAATGGCTGGGCTGGGAAATACATACCACGATGAGACAGAGGGAATACTTCGGCAGAGTAAGTGAAAGGCACGGGTCCTTCTCCAGGAGAGTAGAAGGCGGCAAAGAGGAAGACAAAAAGGGCGATTGAGCCCAGGTGAGCTCCACCAGTTCCGGGGACATAGAAGCAGAATGCAGCGGCAAGTAGAGTCCACGCCATCTGGGGGAAGGTGAACAGAAGCAGAGCCCGTCGTCCATAGGTATCGATCGTCCAAATAGCTGGGAAGGCGAAGAGGAAGTTCACCAGGCCGAAACCCCAGGAGGCAAACAACGCGCTGGTATCACTGGCACCGGCCTGGGAGAAAATAGTCGAGGAATAGAAGGCAATGATATTGACTGAAGGATGTTTGTTAGAACATCACTCGAGTAGAAAGCAAAAGGAATGACTTACTTCCGCACATCTGCTGCGCAATCATCACAGTGAACGAGGCCAAGGTAGCTCGACGCACGCGAGGAATAGTAAACAGCTCAACAAAACGAGTGACATAGTTGCTGTCACCAATCAAGCCCTGCTCAATCTGGATCTGCGCGTGGATATAGTACAGATCCCGAGCTGCCTGCAACGAGGTGTTACGAAGACGGCAGAGAGACTGATAGGCTTTGCCCATCTCACCACGCCGGATGTACCAACGAGGAGACTCGGGACAGAAAAAGACACCGCACACCAGAGGAACTGCAGGGATGAATGCCGACCCAAGCTGCAAGCGCCACGACAGTCTCCCAGTATCCTTAACAGCCAGGTTGGCACAGAAGCCTAGGAAGATACCAAATGCCGTCCATAATTGCCAACACATCACTAGCGAGCCACGGATGATGGCAGGCGAATTCTCGGCACAGAAGATAGGAATGGTAGATGCCTTCAAGCCCATGCCAAGTCCGAGCAGTAGACGGGCGACGAAGAGCTGAGGCCAGCTCTGGGTGAGTGCTGAACCGATGGGAGTCAAGACACAGAAAATGGCGGAGATGAAGATGACACCACGACGACCGAGAACACGATTCAATGGGTCAGAGAGCCAGCAGCCCAGACCGGCACTGGCAATGTAGGGAGCGGCGTTGACGACGCCAACGATCCATTGATTACGAATATTCCCATCTTCGGGAATGCCAAAGGCGTCGGGGAAAGAGAGATTAGCACCATTGGAACCGGTCTGATCCCAGCCTCTAGTATAGAGTTTAGTATATATTCAAAACAAATACTGTTCCTGGGAAGATTCACGTACTGTACAGCGGCACCAATCGAGCAGAGGATGATGGTAAAGTAAAGAGCCGAAGGCTGACGCCACTTATGGAGGACTTCGTCGCGTAACGCGTTGACTTCTTGCTCTGTCAAGTCAGGCATAGAGTCGAACTCCTCTGGGTCGCGTGCAACCAGAGCGCCCTTTTTCAATTCGGGAAGAATATCAGTGACATTGTATTCGTTGGCGAACTCTTCCACGTCACGGAGGACCTGGGATTTGCTGAGGTCGGCCAGGGGGTTCTTGATCCTAGTTCGGAGAATCTGCAGTTAGAAGCTGCCGAGGTACCAAGCGGAAGGATTATAGCCAATTCATGCCAAGTGGAATATCGGAGGTAGGATATTCAATGATAGCATAGGGTCTGTGAGGGATTCAGAACATACTTGGCTGAGATATTATTCTGCAGGTTGACTCGTTCGACATGGCCCTTTTCGGCACTATCATCGTCGCTGGACCTATTTGAAATTAGTCTCGCCGATTGATTGGGTTTACCATGTAGTTCAAGTGTGAAACTGACCGGTACGTGGACTCGAGTGCTTGTTTCTCGACATGAGTGACGGTCTCCTTCCCCATTGGCGCAACTGGCTCCTCGCCTACCGAGGTCACCATGTCGTTCCTGTCATTTTCCATTTTGGAAAAAGAGATAGGTTCGAAAGATATGTGATTGAGGGCAGTAGTTGATCAACGACGGGAAGATTGTAAAGAAGAAATCCGTCAATGGAGATCCCAGTATGGTAGCTGGGAATTGTAAATGTGATCGAAGAATTGGAGTCCAGCTAATCACGCCAAGCAGAGTGTCTCGACAGGGAAAGTCAGACACGAAGCAGGACAGTAACGGTCAGAACCACAGAAGAAGGGAGAATCGCTGCCTTTTATGCTTCCATGCACGATTAGATACTCTTTCCACCACATCGGCCCGTTTGACAAGAAGTACATTGGCCTGTTCGACCAAACCCAGAGCAGGGCTAGCTCCATTGACCTGATAGGACGAAGCGATTTGACTTCCTAAAACGGCCCCGATTTTCTGGGGCTCTGGGGCGCGGGGATTGGAGAGATTGTGGAGTATCGGGAATGACATTCGAATCCTCCAACCGTCACCTCGCCCTCATCGCTCTGAGACAATCTGTGCTTGGACGGCTTGGACGGCTTGGACGGCTCCATTATTCCTACGCCCATTCCTGGCGACCTGATCCTGCACTTTGTTGACCAGTCAAACTCACCAGATTCTAGGGATAAGATTACGCCATGTATCTAGTTGTCCTGCGAGAATCCGGCGAGGGGTGTGATCCCCATCGAAACCAACTGGAGCCAACAGTGGCGCATCTTAGAGACACTGGACCGGGATACCGGTTCAATACTACAGACGGGTTTAACAGTAGAGTGGATCATATCCGATGGGGTCGGATGCTTGGGGCAGTTGGAGAAGCTTCGCGGCCTCGTACCCCTCTCCATGTCGACTCTCCTCGGCGACAATCAAGCAGACTCTCCAGGATGAATCTCGATTCCCCACTCTACTGACTTCTGTGGACCCAAAGGGCCACATGTCGCCCTTGCTTCGTACAGCGGATGGTCAGTCTCCCATGTGGTTTCTGGTTGCGGAAGTGACAAGGAGGAAACGAGATAATCGACGCCGGAAACGGGATCACCACGGGATGGCCTAACCATGGCAAGATGGACACTCTCGTTGAAAAGATGTGACTAACGAGAACCATCTATGCTGCCTTTTGGAGACCAGCATCAAAAAGAATCCTGTCTACGATCTGGATCCGAAAATTCCATGCGGCCCAGTTTGGCGCGATTGACTTGGCTTCGGCAGTGTACACGCCACCAAGTCCGCTGATTCGCTGGTCAAAGCAGGGCACCAAAGCCAGCTTCCTGGAGGAAAGGCAAAAGCACAGGCTACCGCTGAATCAGGTTTAACCAGGTCAATCCCTGTCTCCGCCACCAATTTTACCTTTACGGCCGTGGCTGATCCTGGGTTGGGTCCTGGCGGTGATCGACAAGAAGGAAATGGCGCTGTGTTTTTGATTATATTCGGGAAGGGTCATGCGGGCCGAAAGTCGCGAAGATCAGAACGCATCCGGCGATGACTCCAAGGGGGAAGGGCATCCTTCCATGTGGTTGCAACGTGAAGGACGATGACATCTCTCCCGTTGTGGAGAGCCGGGGAAATTAATCTGGGGATTGGGCATTTTTTCCCCAACCCCTTACAGCGACAAGAAAATGGAAACTGATGGAGACCGGAAACGGGGACCGAGCAACGAACAACGAGCAACTGGAGTCCGCCCCAGAAGTGGGACATGTTTAAGCTACGCGTCCACGAATTTGACTCGCTTCCCGACCCCAAAGTGTGTCCATCTGTCCTGGTCCACTTTCCGTCGTGTTTATAGGGTCTTCCACACTGCCTTCGGGCATAAGTTTCCCTCCTGAGCGAGGAAAAAAAAAGCCTCAATTCTGTCCGCGAACACGGACAACGCCGTACTTGAAAAGCCTTTCTCGTGGGGAAAATGAGGAACTAGGCTGGCTTCGGTCGGTAGACTCGGTACGGTCAGATAAAGACTGATCAAAGCCGAAGCGGCTCGGCCTTCCGGAGGATATCTAGCATGTCCACCTCCGTCATCCCTAGCAACCGAATATAGAACCCTAATCACAAACGGCAAGTTGACTCCTGCACGATCTCGCGCTGATGCCCAGCATGGTGCCACTTGCAGCAATCAATCCTTCTAGGTTTTCTTAAGTTCCGCCAGTCCCGGGCGCAGGGTGGTCGCATCATACATAGTCTTTCCCGGTCGTACTCTTTGCGATACCGCCCGGTCTCGGTCCGGCGAGAATACGACATCATCGAGGCTCGAGCGGACTGCCCCAATGTCTGCTTTACAGATCCCCCGGCCGTGCAGGGCGGGGGATTGTAACGTTCACTCGTGGCTTCGTACCATGTGGGGATCGATGAGTTACACATCTGCCCAATGCGTCTATACTTTTCTCCCCGAATATTGGCATTTGATTATTTAGCCAGCAAGCCCTATGCGAGTCATGACGACGAATGGAAATAAGACGTATATCCCGTGATACTCGAGAACTTGTTGACCGGCGGGAATCATCTACAGTGCGTGGACGATTCGGCCGATGTTGGTTCTAATTCGAGAACGGCGGCTAATTGACTTCATTAAAGTCTACAATATGTTCTACCGCTACATAACCCTCAATATTTTTGTCACACATGTCATGTGGTTATCTCCAAAATAAGGATAGTAACACCTAAGCTAGCCCCAGGTTCGTTCACCGTAGAGTAGGAGGAATGTTCACAAGGGTGCGGGCCTGCATTTGTATTTAAATAATCAAATTGCAGCGATTCTCCATGAGTGGGAAGAAGGATTGGAGATTTCTTGTTTCATTCATCCGGTTAAGGAGTTGTGCGGACGACGCTTAAGTTCGAAGCTCTGAGATAAATGAAGATTCCCTTCTTTTTCAATGGCGCAGTGTAGTTTCAACCCAGTGTTACGCTATTTGCAGTTTTCGCTCTAAAGTATCGTTTTCAACAAATCCCTTCTAACCCAACATTCGGTCACTTTAATCCAAACCCTTTGAATATGAATAGAATATCATCTATGCAAGATTATTGACTTCCCTTTGCAAATTGGTAGCGTTACAGTCGGTCCAAGGCTTATTTTGGTCCAGTCATCGACTCTTCTACATATGCGAACGGAGATATTGAGCACTGCCTTCTAGCATTCCAGATGAACTCAAAAACTTTAAGTTTTGCCCGACTGTAAGGGGGCAAAAAAAGTCAGATCGGTCGGATACTGTAGAACCTTTCGTATCGAATATCTAAAGATAATCGCTCCCCAGCTGCGAGGATGATTCGTTAGATCAGCTTTAGGCTGAGGTTGAACTTTCTACGTTGCTTTGATGGAAGATATTAGGGGGTCAGGCGTAGCAACCCTTGTCAGCCCCGGCCGCCTATTGCCTCACAACACCTTTTAACTCACCGAAATCAAGCGTATATCTTTTTTCTCGGAGGTGACTGATAGTATTTCATAGCATAAGATATGTGGCGTCACGTTGTACGCAATGAAGTGGTTGTAATGCATAGAAATTGCCCTTGGGAGACGCGACACTAGTTTTAATCAGGCTAGATCTGTAACCAACTACGGAGTAACTTACCTAAGAGTGGGTCCTCGACATGACTCAGATAGCCATGCAGACTTTTCAGTCATAGGATTATTATTTCCTCAAAACTCAATAACAAGCAAGCTGGCGCATAGGAAGCGCGTCGGGCTCATAACCCGAAGGTACCTGGATCGAAACCAGGGTTTGCTATCTTTTTGTCTTTTTTTTCCCACCCACCTACAGCCATGCTGCTCGCCTTTTATCCCTCTCACATTTCTTTATGCGGTCGTTTTTCATTACAAGAAAATTCTTTTTCAAATCAAAAAATCTTAGATCCCTAGCTCATCCATCGAAAGATAGACATGAAAGGCGAAGTCCCTCCTGTCCATCTGATGAGGGATCCAGACCTGAGGGTTGGATCCACCACCGATAGTCTCTGTGGTTCTGTCGAGTTGAGGGTGAAGGGCTAGGTGAGGATAATCCATTACTTTCTTTATTTTTGCGCCAATTTAGACTCGTAGGTTAGATATACTTTACCTTGCGTACCACGGCGTGTTCCAGTACTTGGTTGACAAGCCCGATGAAATGTATTATGGACAGCCAGCAGGGATCCACGCGACAGTCAACCTCCAATCGTCAATGGCTCAAAAATGCGTTAGCCGATGCTACACACCAGAGAAGGACATATGAACATAGTAAGTAAGTCGCCAAAACAATAACTATGGATTAACTGAATAGACTACTCTACACATTGATATTTCAGGACGCTAGCCTTCCAAGCGATCCGCCTTTTCTCGAGCGACGTGTGAAATTCCGGGGCAGACTAGGGATACCCAAAAGCCAAACTAGGGCAGTCAAAGTGCTTGTCATACAATACTATTTCGACACTTAAGCCTCAAGATCATTAATATTATTAGTATCCTCTAGCCCAACTAGCGAAAGAAAAATCGCGGGCTTCAGGGTCAGATTCTGGTGTAAGAAACTGACAAATTAACACTAGGGGGTAAGATTGTATTTATCGAGCTCGAAGTTTGAGGATCAGAGTTCTTTGTATATGCATCTTCCTAGATACGCTGGGAATGCTGCCTCACAACATCAATTCCAGTGTACTCAAAGCTGCTTCGCGACTTTCCAGCCTTTCCTCCACCATCCGCGCCTACTCTCCACCATGTCATCCGACATCACCCTCTACACCTGGGCGACGCCAAGTGGCATCAGGGCCTCTATCACCCTCGAGGAGCTTGATCTGCCTTACGAGACCAGGCCAATGGACATCATGACCAACATTCAGAAGGAAGAGTATAGCACCCACTCATAGAGCCTTGGCGAGGAACGCTTTTGCTGACGACACCTTAATCATAGGTGGTTCTTGAAGATCAACCCCAATGGCCGCGTCCCTGCTATCACATATGGTTCCCAGCGCGTTTTTGAGAGCGGATCGATTATGCTCTACCTTACCGACAAGTATGATACTGAGCGGAAGATCAGTCACGCGCCCGGTAACCCCGAATACATCGAGGAGCTATCCTGATTAATGTTTTCAACGGGCGGATTGGGTCCCATGCAGGGTAGGCTGAGCAGAACATGAACATTTCATTCATCTCTAAATCTTGCCTCTAGGCCAAGCAAATCACTTCCGACTCTTCACCAATGTCCGCTCCGACTACGGTACGAAGCGATACATCGACGAGACAAGGCGCCTCTACTCGGTTTTGGAATCCCGTCTGAAGGAAAGCCCCTACCTCGCCGGTTCGAAGTACACGATTGCCCATATCTCCAACTTCACGTGGGCTCGAAATGGTCCTAGCGTCCTTGATATTGACTTCTCTGAGTTCCCTGCTCTGAAGAAGTGGGTCAATGAGATTGAGCAGAGGGCTGCGGTGCAGAAGGGGGCAGATGTGCCTCACACTGGTCGCTCGGATGCCGATCGTGATGTATTCATTAAGAGTATGCTTGCTAGGATTGCGGGCATGACCAACACTGATAAGCATTAATTGGACACACAATGGAGTATGGTGATGTAAAGGATTTCAATGGATAACGCAAAATGAAGTACAAATGAAGCTCAAATTATTCTACTCCTATTATTCGTAAATACTCGGAACACAGACAAGATAGGTTCTATAGATAGCAAAACATGAGCAGAGGAAGTTGCAGGATGCTCATTCTGGGACACAGTCATTTCGGCTCTCAGGAAGTATTCGACCTATGGACTGCTTGTTGAATCGTTTGACGTGAGAAGGTCGCCAATACGGTGAATCATGTCCTTAGTCTTCTGATCCGATTTACCTTATTCGAAGGGTGACGTTGCCACATACAGCCAGGGTCGTCTGAACTCCGAACCTTGATCCTGTTGACGGGGGGAATCAATTCGTACCTATCTTTACACAAACGGCATGCGGTGGTACCAACAATCGGAGAGATCTCTCCCTACATATCTTGTCCAATCGCCAAGGTCTCACAGTATACACATGGCATTGCCAGGCATAGGGAGCCCTAACATGTTCACCATTTGATGGGCTAAGGGTCCCATTTCCCATCGGTATCGAATAATTGAAGCGATTTCGAATATCGTTGGTGCTTCATCCTCTTTGAGTTCTCCCTCATAAAATGTGTGGAGGATACTTCTTAGTGATGCTGTGGGTGGACAGTCCCAGTCACCTGGGCATGTGTTCTCATGGAAGAGTCGTGCCGGTTGTTTGACTGGGCCTTTTTTGGGTAATGTGTCATTTGCTCCATTAGATCTGCCTCGCTCAGCGAACTATAATTCTCTATACAGTGGTATAGAGACGTGGGTCCGAAAGCGGGGTTGGCATTCTGTTCATTTTTGACTGTGATAGTGGCCCTTTTCAACACGAGATAAAGGATTTTACTTAGGAGTCAAACTAGATATTGAAAAAACGATCTGCTTCATGAAGAATCATCTTCTGACCTCAATTTCCCAGACGCATATATCATTCCATGGTACCGCGTCCAAATGGAGATACCTCAGGGCACGTGAAAATTTCCAGGTCAGCGATGGCTGAACAAGGCTCTTATTGTACTTGAAAGCTTTACCGTTGCTTTGAAGCGTCTCCCTCAACATGAGACAATCTAACATTGGAAATAATACGAAAAGCTCTTAGTTCTGAGTCTGATCTAAACGCTGACCACTACTGTAGCAGCTTTCTAGCGTCTCATATGATGAGACGTTGCATCCACCTAGTGGATCCCCAGGAACGCCGAGCTATTTATCGCCCTGAGATTCCCCGCGCCGACCGTCAACCATTCGTCATTCAATCAGCACAATGGCAACGACAGAACTCCAGAAGCAAGTTGGCCAGGTAAGGATAGAAGGATATTGTTGAAGCTGTGAGCCTATTTAGGCCATATAGCTGACGATATATATAGCTTTTCGCGGTCGGCTTTCACGGCCAGACGCCGAGCCCAGAGATCAAGACCTTGATTCACGACTATCATGTCGGTGGCATCGTTCTCTTTTCCCGCAATTTCCAGACTGCCTCTCAGCTACAGGTAAGACTTGTCCAATACTTTCTCATTCGAAGGAATTCCATGCTAACGAATCAACTACCAGGATTTGACACTCGCTCTGCAAAATGAAGCGCGATCTGCGGGGCATGCTCGGCCTTTATTCATTGGAATAGACCAGGAGAATGGTCTGGTAACCCGAATCTCGCCCCCGATTGCGCCTCAAGTTCCTGGTCCGATGGCCCTAGGCGCTACGCATGATCCAGAATTGGCTTACGAAGCCGGAAAAGCCACTGGTGAGGTCTTAAACTTCTTCGGGGTCAACATGAACTATGCCCCGGTCTGCGATATCAACTCCGAGCCGTTGAACCCTGTCATTGGTGTTCGCAGCCCTGGCGATGATCCAGAATTCGTCGGACGGTTTGCTAGTGCGACGGCACGGGGATTACGGGAGCGGAAGATTGTCCCGAGTGTGAAGCATTTCCCTGGACACGGGGATACTGCCGTTGACTCGCACTACGGATTGCCTGTCATTCCAAAAACAAGAGATCAACTCGAGCGTTGTGAGCTGATCCCGTTTCGTCGAGCTGTGGCCGAGCAGGTTGAAACTGTCATGACTGCCCATATCTCCCTTCCTAGCATTGACCCCATGTATCCCGCGACGTTGTCGCCTAAGGCTCTAGGTATTTTGCGAAATGATATGAGCTACGACGGTATGGTTATCACCGACTGCCTGGAAATGGACGGAATCCGGGCCACATTTGGCACAGAGCAGGGCTCCGTGCTCGCGTTGCAAGCTGGTAGTGATAGCATCATGATTTGTCACACATTTGAGGTGCAAGTGGGCTCTATCAAGAAAGTCTGTGATGCAGTTCAGTCTGGTGCCATTGAGCCATCAAGACTGGCAGATGCGTGTCGCCGCGTGGCTAATGTGAAGGACAAGTTCTTAACCTGGGAGGATGCCTTGCGTCAACAGAATCTTGAAGAGCTTGACGCCTTGAATAGGAGAATTTTGCCAATTTGTGAAGAGGCATACGGCAGATCAGTCACGCTTGTTCGTGACACCGCTTCAATTCTCCCACTCTCTAAGACTGCAAATATTATCCTCCTCTTCCCAGGCGATAAAACCCCTGCTGGTGGCGCAGTCGATGGAGAGGGAATGGGTCGACAGGGATCATATGAAGCAACTGCCTATTTGGACGCTCTTCGACGGCACAATCCATCAATCTCAGAACTCAAATACGCAGAAGCCGGTCTCAGTGACGACGAATTAAGTCTCATCACGTCAGCTGATGCAGTTATTTTCGTGTCTGCCAATGCACGAGAGTCTCCGTACCAAGAATCGTTAGGCAAATTGCTTCCCAGCAACGCTCGGTCGCTAGTCGCTATTGCTGCTTGCAACCCTTATGATTTCCTGGAGGTGCCAGAGGTCCAGACATATCTCGCTACCTATGAGCCGACCGTTGAAGCGTTCTCTGTTGCTGCTGACATCATCTTTGGCGCAAAGACTGCGCAGGGGTCTCTGCCAGTCGTTTTGTCTGATCCGGAAAAAGCTGATATGCATGTGGTGCGGTTTGATGCACTTAAAGACGTCGATTCTATCGTCTCTGTTTGGAAGGAAGCATTGCCAACGTACATCTTACCTGCGGATGATTTGCGATCTCTGATTACTGATGGTAAAAACGCACATCATTTTGTGGCTCGTGTCGGATCAGAGCTAGTCGGATTCTGCCTTGCTTATACTAACGCCCACGGAGGCCCCAAGCCCGTTCACATTGCAGTGTTAGCTGTAGCGCCCAAGTATCAGGGACAGGGTATTGGAACTGCACTTCTAACCGAAACGCGATCGTACTTCCGCACGCAGTTTGACATAAATCAACTGAAGCTTGGTAGCTCCTTTCCGCGATTCTGGCCGGGAATACCACGGGAGCTTCCAGAAACGGTTCAAGATTTCTTTGTCCATCGTGGATTCCGACTCAGCCCGCCAGGGGCAAGGTCAGTTGACTTATACCAGGACATCCGGAATTTCCAGGCACCGGAGAAGTATATCACGCGCGCGGAAAAAGGAGGGTTTCGCTTTGCACCGTTGCGGCCAGTGGACTATGAGGCGTGCTTAGTTGGCCAGAGAAGGAATTTCTCGGATAAAACCGTATGAACACGAGCATTTCCTCCCTCACCGTACAACGATTGACGAACTAACAATTCCATATTCTTTTCCCTAGGGTTGGGTAGAAGCTTACGTCACACTCCATCCCAAGGATTACCCTGATTGTGTGATGACTGCCTTTGACTCCCAAGGTCAACAGGTCGGATGGACCCTGATGCTGCCCCCAATCCCAACGCTAAAGAAGGTCTGGGCATTCCCTCAAATTTGCGGTCCTCAGACCGGTTTAATCGGCTGCGTGGGCATTGATGCGTCTCACCGGAAGTCCGGTATTGGATTGGCGATGATCTGTCATGCGATCAACAATATGAAGCAGCGCGGTATTGAGGGGGTCTTTGTGGATTGGGTGGCATTGGATGGATGGTATGAGCAGGTTGGGTTTAAGACCTGGCGCAGCTATCGGCCTGGCGAGATCTGAGACGTAACTCTTGGCTATGATATATATATACGAAGTACTCCGTACATACGAAGGGACAGTGGGGTTCTTAAGTTTGAACCCTCCGATCAACCTGCAAGGTTGTCTCATTAAACTATTACGAAAGAAGATAGAAAAATATTACTGTAACCAAGCAATTTATTATGTATTAAAAACAAAGCAAAAAAATAAGACACGTGGATGATATTTAGGATATCCCCGTCGGAACGGCCGCGGTGATGTTCTTCCAAACGCTAGGAGGTGCCCTATTCATTGCTGTTGCCCAATCTGTGTTCCAGAATCGGTTGATCGGTGGAATTGTGGAATTTGCGCCCGACGTGAACCCCAAGGCTATCGTCGGAGCAGGTGCTACTGAAACGCGCGATATCTTGAGTCAATTGGGCCAGCTAAACCAGCTGGAAAATGTTATCAAGGCCTATATGAGCGGACTACGAAATACTTTCCGTGTCAGTCTTGCGTTGGCTGTGGTGGCCTTTGTGGCAACTCTGTTTTTGGAATGGAAGAGTGTGAAGAAGGGGGGTAATAAGGACGAAGCCGCTGTCCCTGTCGTGTGATGGTCATACAGAAGATGATACTAGCCTAGGGCTTTTTGCTTTTGAATTTGGGTGAAACATTTAATGGCTGTAATATTAATATTTGTCAATATATCTCCTCTTCAAGAGTATTCCTTGAGATCCGCCATTATAGTCGATTTTACCTTCCCCGTTTTTGTCGCGGGTAGTAGATGTTTCTGGCCATGGCGTATAAAAGCAGCTAGAATTCATTGAGTTTGACTTACTACAAAGTAATTGGATGCCAGCGGGACGAAACGCGCAGATCCAGATCGATTGAATGGAAAGTAAGCCCAAAAGACATGGAGGAAAGGTCTCAGGAATGCGCTACATGAGTTAGAAAATCTAGATGAGAGAGAAATTTCCCTTCGGGTCTTCTTTGAAAGATCCCATATTCATAAGATAGGCGAACGGCGCAGGGTCTGGACAAATAAGGATTCTCCTGAAGGGGAATCTCCATCAAAATAGCTGCGAAGCTAGAAGTAACAGTCCACTGCTTGTAACAAGGACAAAGTGACCTCATTTGATCTACTTCAGCCGCTATTTCTCCACCTATCCTCTACACTCTTGGCACATTTCCACGAAACATAATGCGCAGCTTTCAACCTTTCTGCACGTTCAATGGATGATTATTAACTTGTCGATGATACGGCGAATCGCCACTACATAACAATCCATAGTTTAGACCAGGTGCTAGTACTTTTAGTGCAATTTCCCCCTTCTTCCTGCAAGATGCTATTGGTAAATTTGTACCATACTCACTGATCAGAATAGCATGCTTACAGGTTTGCTTTTTTTTAGTTCTACTTAGCCCGCAAAAGCGGCGCGGGAATGAGTACTAAGACGGAGATGGGTCGAAGTAGTGGATGGTACCTAAGGCACCAGCCTCCCCAAGGTTACCCCAAGAGTCGGGTTTCATGGGACGGCTCCGATGTTACCTAACGTCTCAGGAGACCATAACCTTATCACTCCAACCTCCATTAATCCTAACAGGTGGATGATAAGGAGGGGACCAGCAGCGACTAGCTCAGTCGTGAAATGCGGGGTAACTCTCATGAAGGAGAAGGGAGACGAACAGTCTTAAGTGAACGAGTTTGCCTTCCTTTTGATCTTCTCTCGCTCCAAAACTCCCAACATACCGACCGAGATGGAGAATTCAACTGTGAGATCTCGAAGCGGACAGGGGTCCAAGACCGACGCCACGGTGGAGGAAGCTCCCACCCCACCTCAGCCCGAGCATACCCTTGAGGAGTATGAGCGGCTATTCGGCGTCGATGAGGATGCGTATGAGCAGCCTACCACAACCCGCAAAGAACTCTGGTCCTACTACCTCTACTACAATGGTAAAGCCCCAAAGTTGGGGGATTTCCCCCCTCGTCTCATATTTTGCTGGTACTGACATGATCGAATCTAGGCGACAATGGCGTTGGTCCCGGTTCTTACAGTCAAGCCCTGTACGTGTGCCTAACTAGCAGATGAGGCCAAATATACAGATAACTGACATTCTTCTAGCTTTCAGTGGGCATTGAACGGTGCTGGCTATCAGCCCGACACAAATCCACCACAGCCCTGCACCAACTCTTCTGCATGTGTCGTACCCTGGGCAGGCGGCACGCGATCTATCTCATCGGTGGTGTTGATCGCCAATGGCCTCTGTTTCGCATTCATGACAGCCATCTTCGTATGGCTAGGCAGTGCTGCTGACTACGGCTCGTTCGGTCGGTGGCTACTTTTGGCCTTGACCGTGGTTTGCTGGGCGCTCCAGTACGGTATGATCGCCATCCGGGATCCAACCCAATGGCCATTAGCGATGGGGCTGTACGTCGTAGCGTACATATGCTATGGTAGCACACTCGTATTCTATGCTGCAGTCTTTCCCCGGTTGGCAAGGTATATGCCTCATGTGCGAAAGGCGCGAGAGGAAGATCTGAGGGAGGGCAAGATTGACCAACAGGAGTATGATGAGGTTGAGTCGCTGGAGCGGAACCATATCAGGTATCAAGGGTCATCTTGAAGCATGAATATGATAGCTAACGGTTCCTTTTAGTAATATTTCGACTGCGCATAGCAATATTGGATATTTGCTGACGTTGGTGCTTAACCTGAGCGTCCTTCTGCCAATGCAAAGTAACCAATTTTCGAACAACTTGGCCCTGTGTCTGACTAATTCATGTAAGAAACACTATTATCTGGAGTCTGCTTTTTCACTAATATCGTATTTCAAAGACTGGGTAATTCTGGGCATTTGGTGGTTCATATTCCAACAAAAGCGTCCTGGCCCCAAAATCCCCAAAGGCTCCAGCTATGCAACCATCGGATTCAAGCAGATCTGGTTGGCTCTTCGTGAGATTCGGTCCCTTCCACAGACATACATCTATTTCTTGGCATATTTCCTACTTGCAGACGGATTGAATACAACTGGTAAGTTCTGACCGTAACCTTGGGAATTGATGTACGCAGTTGACCTGTAATTTCCCTAGGAACTCTCGTTAGCATTATTCAGAATGATCAGGTATCATTCTCATTCCTTCAACTTACATACCTTGGAATCACTCAGGCTGCTTGCTCGATTTCCTCGACCTTTGGCTTCTGGTATATCCAGAAATACTTCAAATTCAAGACCAAATCCATGTTCCTGTTCACCAATTTCTTCACTGTCTTCATCCCTTTTTGGGGTATGCTCGGACTTTGGACGAACCGGATCGGATATCATCATACCGTGAGTAATAAACTACCCGAGACTTCGACACGATAACTGATCATTTGAAGTGGGAGTTCTATTTCTACAACGTCGTATTTGGACTTTTCCAGGCACCATACTATGCGGTAAGAACCTATCATTCAACACATATGGCCATCAGCTGATAGTGTGATTGATGTATAGTACGCCCAAACAATGATAAGCGAGTTGATGCCCCGCGGATACGACAATATGTTCTTCGCACTCTTTGGAATCACCAACCGCGCGGTAAGCATCGATAAATCGTTCTCGAATTCGAGCCTTCTTTTACTAATCCGAGCAATTAAAAGTCCTCCATCATCGGACCAAACGTTATCCAGGCCATTATCAACAACACGCGCAACAATTGGATGGGCTTCCCATTCCTCTTTGCCATATGTGCCGCGGCAATGATTGCCATTTGCTTCGTGGATGTGGAAAAGGGCCGTGAGGATGGCAGAAGATACACCGAGAGGCGTAGGGTGGATCGTGTTGCGGCAGAGGCGGGTGTCAGTGCCGATGCAATTGTCAAGGGTAAGGGTGTGATGAGTGGTGGAGAGACAGATGAAGCGAATGGTAATCTCAACGGGAATGGGCATGCCTCGACGGAGCGTGTAGAGAGCGGGGAGCCGGCTTGAAGCCTTGGCCAAGGTCGAGTATGCACCTCAACTAGAAGCTTTACTACGTTATCACTGGCTCAAACCCTATTATGAATCGTAACAGTCATTACTCATTTCTATTAGTGTAGCTCATTAAACATTCTTGGGTTATCCCCTATATGCCAGGGCAATTAGAAAGTCAAATCCAGTCACGTGGCCTAGACCTCAGCACTCTTTTCAACCTCTCGCTCAGCAGGATTCTCCTGTACCTTCTTCGCCTCGTTGCGCTGGTTCTTCTCATCAACTTGATTGCGCCACTTATCACCGAAGATAGTCGTTGCCCAGACACAAAGACCCGAGACAATCAAAAACACTGCGCTGATGGTACTAAACCATCCAACGCCAATAACTTCTACGGCAGGAAGCACAATGCCAGAACCCAGCGCAGCAAAGACGTACCTGAACATGTAGTTTCCCGCTACAACTTCAGCGCTTCGGCCACTAGACTGCATCACGTCTAAACAGTAAGTATTCAGACTTGGGAAGCAGAAGAGCTGTCCCACACCCTGGAGGAACATAGCCAACACGGGGACAGGAATACCGCCGACGGCTTTTTCAACTGTCCAGCCGTAGACGAGGATACACCCCGGGATGACAAATGTGATAAAGGCTAGACAAGACTTGAGTCGGTCCTCCGGGACACGGACACCACCACGTTTGCGAATCCATTTCTTCACAATATGGTCTGCCCATCGTCCGCCCATAAAGGTTCCGACTAGATACCCGCATCCAGGGGCAATGTAGAATAGACCCGACTGGATTGGGCTCGTGAGATTGAAGCGTGGGTTAAGCACGTATCGAATCGGTGTGAGCAGGGAATACTGGTTCCAGACGAGCGCGCCAGCAGCCAGACCCGCGAAGAAAAGATTCGGGTATGAGAAGAGAAGTACACCGACACGTAATGGGTTCACCTGGCGACATAGGTACTTCGCCTTTTGAACCGGGGTTTTGGAGGTCAGGTCAGACTTGTTGAGATGTGGGTATGTCTCGGGGAAGAAAAAGAAGACGAGTAGTGTACCGCAACCCCCGAGGGCAGCTTGTAGCCAGAAGACTACTCGCCATGAGCGGAATGTGACAATGACGCCCTGTCGTGAAAGGTTAGTGAAGGGTAAATATAATAGTAGAAACCGGAACCTACACCGATAAAAGGACCGAAAGCAGGCCCGATGAGAGTACCGGACAAGAACCAGCCAAGCGCCGTAGCGCGGGCTCGTGGTTCATAGATATCACCAAGGGCAGAGCTTCCTACCACCAGGAATGATGTTCCTTGGAAGGCTGTCAAAACCCGGAAGATGTAATAGGCCGGTAAATTTGGTGCCAGGGCTGTGCCAATATTGAACGCGAAGAAAAGGAAACCGCTTGCAAGGAAAATCTAAAGATCGAAAGATTAGCATCTGAATCTTGCCAGTGACTAAAAAAGGTAATTGGTCCAACGAGAATAGCTACTCACCGGACGTCGTCCCCACACTTGACTAAATGGGCCCCAGAATGGGGCGGAGACGCCCATAAATGCTAAGTACAAAGCATTGCTAGCATTGATAATACTACCCGTAGTATTGTAGGACTTTGCGACCTCTGGAATACCCGAAAGTATGGACGTCGAAGATATAGGAGCCAAGAACGAGCAAAAGGACAGCACAAAGACAATGACCACTTTGCGTGCCGGCGAGAAGCGCAAGTATTGCTCAGCGTCTACCTCGCGGAATTCATCGGTGGCCACGGGCATATCATGGTTGGATAGATGACTCTGTACAAGATGAAGTTCATTCGTCGTCTGTGGACCTTTTTGTGATTTGGAGCCCTGGTTGGTGCGTATTGCCTCCATTGGCGGCGAGGTCTCCTCGATGCTACCGAGGGAAGACCGGGAATGCGACGGAGACATGGTTGATACTGCGATGACTTGCCTTAAGACGAAGATTCGCGTCAAGATAGACTGCTGGGCAAATCTTCTGACATGGAATTTGGCTTCTATTCACCAAAAAAATTGGACCTTTCGCGACAGGGCCGAGGGTTGGCTGTGGTGTTGTTAGGGTCACCGGCGTCTTTCCGAAAACATACTCCCCGGGCGGACAGTTTCCGGAACGGGTGATAACAGAGAGTGCTTCAATTGAAATAAGAAGCAAGTATATATGGAAAGAATATTGAGTAGGTATACATAAACGAGAATGGCAGTGAGTCACAGAAGAGAAGGAAAATTCTGAGCCCTTCGGCGATGGCTATCAGTGGCCGAGGATCGGCGTGCTCGGGGGTCACATCCAGACAACGGTTGTATGTACTTGGTAGTACAGTAGGGCCGGAGTGAATAGCGAGCCAAAACCAGCCAACTACTTGGAGGAATTATTGTCCAGGGTCCATTCTAGATGCCCGATTAAGGGATATGGCGACCAATGATTCGGGCAGAAGACCGTGGACTCGTTGGTTGCCACTCCCGACAACCGAGATAGGACAAGCACGCGGAAAAGAATCCGAACGAGCGTTTTGGATGCACGAATGTCAAACGGCTGACCACCAGTTCAACACTTCGAAGGCACTAAGCCTCAAGGATCAACGATAATGCGAACAAGCATGAGTACGCATCTCTGGGGACTTGGTTCGGAGGCAGAACAAGCGAAATCTTCAGAACACAACCCATCGAGGACCCCATCCTGATCGGGTTGGATCCATGCGCAACATTTCTTTCCTTCGATTATTCAAGGTTAAGCATCCATCGAGGAATTGGTCAGGTACCGCAATGGACGGCTCCACCATGATGAGTGCTATAATGTGGACAGCCAGCGTGATCTTGACTGGGGCCAGTTATGGATCTAGCGGAGTTCTAGCAGATCGAGAGAACCTCGTATCTTTCCATCAGCCAATTCCTACTGTAGCAGGAGGCAAGTACTCCGGGACTTACAGTAGTAGTACTGTCTCAAGAATAGAGTTCCATCGAAGGTGGTCTGTGGGTTTTGAGCGTGGCCAGTTGAAGTTGAGCCAGTCCAGCAAGACCCAGCGATCCCCTGGCACTATGACGTTAACCTTCGATGCTCTGACCGCCAACCATCGACGACTTTCCCCCACCACATCTTTTTGGAGACAGACGTCACGTTGACCCTTGTTTGACATTTTTCGAGACTTCATTTGAACCCTTTTTTGCAAATTATTACCCAATCTACAACACCATGTCGTCCAAGAAAGAGCCCCAGAGCCAGGTCCCGCCTCAAAGCAAGGGCTCATGGACCAGTTTCCTCAAGGTACGTTGCATTTACCTGACTCTCGATTCTCCGGAGGTCGCAGGCGAAATAGACTATCGCTGACGTTTCGCGATAGTCAATCGCCTCCTTCAACGGCGACCTCTCTTCCTTGACCGCCCCGCCGTTTATCCTCTCGACAACTTCCCTTACCGAGTATTCGGCCTACTGGGCGGAACACCCTGCCACCTTCGTGGCGCCCGCTAAGGAGGCCGATCCCGAGAAGCGTGCGCTCCTCGTGCTCAAGTGGTTCCTCACCACCCTGCACCAGCAATACTGCAGCCGGAGTGAGAAGCTCGGTAGCGAGAAGAAGCCGCTGAATCCCTTCCTGGGTGAGCTGTTCATTGGCAAGTGGCTTGCCAGCGGCGCCGACTCGGAAGTAGGCGAGACCACTTTGATCAGTGAGCAAGTCAGGTGTGTTAGACCAAGAATTCCCTATGAAGAGTTGAATATCTTCTAACGAACACTACTTTTTATAGCCACCATCCTCCCGTCACCGCATACGCGATTCAGAACGAAAAGCATGGAGTCGAAGTAAGTAGAACTATTCCGGTTGCCTGCTCGTGGCCAACGGGAGTCTCATCCGATTAACCAAATCCATTACTGCAGCTGCAAGGATACAATGCCCAGAAGGCCTCCTTCTCCAGCACCATCCAAGTGAAGCAAATCGGCCATGCCCAGTACACCATCACCCCGCCAGGCTCCAGCGAAAAGGAGAAATACCTGATCACCCTGCCCAGCCTACACATCGAGTCCCTGATCTACGGCACACCCTTCGTCGAGTTGGAGAAGTCCACAAAGATCGCCAGCAGCAGCGGCTACATCGCCAAGATCGATTACTCGGGCAAGGGCTGGCTGAGCGGCAAGAAGAACACTTTCACCGCGAGCCTGTACAAGGCTAGCGAGGGCGAGAAGAAGCCCCTCTACACCGTTGACGGCCAGTGGTCGGATACCTTCACCATCAAGGACGCCCGCACCAAGGAGGTCGTTGACCGATGGGTCGTCCAGGACAACGAAACCACCCCGCTCACCCTGGCCCCGCTCGAGCAACAGGATCTGTACGAGAGCCGTCGTGCATGGGCCGACGTCGCCGACAACATCAAGAAGGGCGATATGGACGCCGTCACGGCGTACAAGTCCCGCATTGAAAACGCTCAGCGCGAATTGCGCCGTGCCGAGAAGTCCGAGGGCCGCGAGTGGGAGCGCCGCTTCTTCAACCGCGTCGACGAGAAGGACGATGACCCTTTGTTCCAGAAGGTGTCCAGCTCCATTGATTTTGATAGCTCTCTGGAGGCCGATAAGACCGGCGGTATCTGGCGCTTTGACACGACACGCGCTGCGGGCGCCCAGCCACCTTATCACAAGATTGGTGGTGAAGGACTGGGTCTTAGCGAGTAAGGGATCATGTCGTCATTCCTTTTTCCTTTCGAAAATCTAGGGTAAACACCCTCGGCGTCCTAAGCATCCAAATTCCCTGGGAAATGGAAGCCGGCCATGATATTTTCACTTCTTTTGGATCCAGGGTTTCTTTTCTCTTCTGGAGGGACCGCTCGGTTGTCGCGGAGCCACCTGTCTTCACACATAGATTTGGCCGTTGTGGGGACTACTGGTTCCTACTACTTGCTAGGTGCTGCCTAGGGATTGCGTCATGCTGCATTGCGATTGTATATAGTTTCCAGCCCAGGCGAGGCTGTTTGGTTATATGCTTGTTCGAGCGGCGAGAATGCTGCTTCATCTAATCTGATGGTATTTTGTGTTTTTTAAGTCATTTATCTTGACCAAGTCAAAGTGACTAGGGTCCGAAATGTAGAAGGAGGGCACGTGCTATAAATAATATAAAGGTGGCATGTGCACCCAACGCTAAATAATCAGCAGCTGGATTCCTCCCATCCTTTCCATCGACAAGCACCCACCACCAAGACCCCCCACCAACTACATTAACAAGTCTACAGATACAAAAAGCCCCAAATATGGTCCTGGAATATCTGATTTGTATAGGTGCGTACATAACTCATCACACTTTTAGCCGTTAGCCGACCCCGTAAAACCCACCCAAGCAGTGTCCATCACGATCTCCCTCTCGCCCCGATCCAGCGCAACCATCATGTACTCAAATTGCAAACACGGCAGAGAGGACAGAGAATGAGTAAAAAAAAACAAGGGCATCAGAGAAAACACGAATCCCCATCTTTCACAGAATGACACCCCCGGACCCGAATTGACACCATGAGCTAGGTTTGGAAGAACAGGAACAGAAAAAGCGGGGGAAAGAGGAAACGGAAATAATGAAAGAAATAAAAGAGAAAACATCATCCCGAGGGTGAATTGGTGGATTTAATACAGACTACATCGAGGAGGATGTAGTGGGAGCAAAAATAAAGAGGAGGGAGGAATCGATGTTAGAAAAGCCAACGCGGGTAAAAGGAAAATGAAAAGACCAGGAAGCAGGAAAAAACAAACAAACGCAGAGTCAATTCCCAAGCCCAGCCCAAAGCTCCCAGAGAGAAGAGATTACACAAATGTTGAGGAAAGAAAAGATGAAGAGAAAACTCAGGGGTGGGTCTTTTCATGATTTGCTCTTGTCTGGCCCGAGTCCAACGAGTCTTGTAAGGAATGTGATCATCCTGTCTCAATTGATATTGAAGACAAGACAAAAGAAAAACACATACCTCCCTTTTTATTTTCTCAATTCACCTGCAAATGCAACGCCATATGTGTGTTTGTGAGCGGCGGGGAAAAGGTAAACAGCATGGAATAATGGAGTTTTCTCCTCAGCTTTAGTGGCCGTAGTTACCACCCCAGCCACCATTGCCACGGCCAGTGTTGCCGTAGTAGTTACCGAAGCCAGCACCGTAGTTGCCATAGCCGGTCTGCTGCTGCTGCTGCTGCTGCTGCTGCTGCTGTTGGTGGGTCTGCGAACCAGCACCCTGGTGGCCACCAAGACCGCCGAGACCACCATACTGGGGGTTCAAGTGAGGGTAGCCGCTGAAGCCCTGCTGACCCTGCTGGCCCTGGAGAGGGGGGAGGCCAGACTGAGTCTGGGCCTGACCAGGGGTGTTGGTGGCAGAGCCGGGGCGGTTAGCCTGGGCCAGAGACGGAGAGGGGCCGCCGGTCTTGGACGCGTCGAAGCCCTTAGACTCTTCAGCAGTCACAGGGGGTTGCTGGGCAACGGGAGGGTTCTGGCCAAAGCCAGCCTGGGACCGACCGAAGACGTCCGACATACCGGTACTGAAGGCATTCGAGCCCGCAGCTGTCTGCTGGGTGTCGGACGGCTGGGCGGAGCCAGTGCGGCCGTACACGGAGTCGCGGCCAGGGGCGCTCTGGTTGAAGCTACCAGCGGCAGCGTTGGCGGGGGAGGAGGTGTGGTCGTAGGAGAAACCGTGAGGCTGGCCGTACATACCGCCCTTGCTACCAGCACCACCATAGGGTCCGTACTGGCTGCCGTAGCCGTACTGGGAGGTGTGAGGCATGCCGTAGTGCTGCTGCTCATCATAACGGCGGGCATCATCGTAAGGGCGACCAGAGCGGCCGTAGGCAGCACCAGCGTGCTGACCCATCTGGTTCATGTACGAAGCGTAGTGGGGGTTGGAGTAGTAAGGGTAGCCATAGCCGTAGCCGTGGGCACTCTGCTGACCAGGCATGTGCTGAGCAGCAGGGGTCTGAGTTGCTCCAGGCAGAGTCGGGTTGGGGGTGTTGTGGCCACTGTTGGTGGCATCAACGGGTCCGTAGCGACCGGCAGGCTGAGTGGTAGGGATCTGCGGCTGGGCTTCAGCAGCAGAGACTCCGCCGAAACCAGCACCGCGGGGGCCGGCGTTGGCGTCCTGAGACTGGCCGTAGCTGCCGTAGTAGTTGTAAGGGAAGCGCTGCTGGTCAACAGCGTAGAAGGGAGAGTATTCGCTGCCAGTGGTGGCAGTAGGCTGAGCCGGAGCCTGATTGGCGAAGGGCTCTTGGATCTGCGGCTGGGGCTGGCCGACTTGCTGAGTGAAGGGGTCGAAGGGCTTCTGGGTCTCGGAGGAGTAGCGAGCGAAGTCGTTGAAGGTCTCGGCGGAAGCCTGAGGAACTGGAGGAAGACCGGGGGCAGGGCGAGTCTCGCCAGCGCCCTGGGTCACAGGAGGAAGGGAGGCACGCGGGGCAACGGGGGAGTGCTGAGGAGGTTGAGCGCGGGTCTCGGCCTCCTCGCGGTTCTCATCAATGTCGACAGCGTCGCCGTTCAAGCCCATGCTGCCGAACTGCACGGCGGCGCGGTCCACAGCGTGGTTGCCAGGCATAACGACAGCCTGTTGCTGCTCCATCACACGGCGCTGGAATCCGGGGGCACGGCTGCCCGGCTTCAATCCGCTACCGGGGAGGATGCTTGGGTGTGCACGCGAGGGAGTGGCAGTCGCCGCAGCGGCCGGATCAAAGGCGCTACCGACAGTGCTGGCGGCAGTTGCAGTAGGCGCAGGAGCGGAGACATCGGGAATTTGTTCGAGGTTGGTTTCGGTCAAATCATCCTTTGGATGCTTGAAGTTGGCTTGGGGAATAACAGGAACGGTCACTTCGGCGGGCTTGCTCACGGGAGTCTTCTGTGTGGCGGCGGGGACGGCGACGGGGACGGGGACGGGTGCAGGTTCGGGGGCCTTCTGCTGCTCAACAACAGGCACTTCGGGCTGCACTGGAGCAGGGACAGGAGCGGGCTCAGGGGCCTTCTTGGGCTGAGGTGGTGGAGGAGGGGGTTTGGCGAAGAGGCTGGCCCATCCCTTCTTTGTGCCCTCGGGGATCACACTGGTCTTGGGCTCAGTCGGCTCTGAAGCGGCAACTGCGGGCTCACTCTCAGGCTCTCCCCACGCCGCTGCCGCCGCGGACTCGGCCACCGGTGCAGTGGTTGAGGCAGAGACGTCTGCGGCGCGGGAGCCGTTAGTGGTTTGGGCACCTGCCCGTCCACCACGTCCGCCACGACCGCGATCCCCACGAGCACGACCACGGCCCTCAAAACCACCGCGACCACGGCCTGCGCGAGCAGAAGCTGCAGTCAACTCGGTCGAGGTGCTCTGGACGTCCTTGGGCTTGGGCCGAGTTCGGTCTGTGGTCTTCTTCTTGACCTCTCCCCACTGCGACACGTTGCCTACATCAGAGAATCATCGGTCAGCATGAACGGCCCTTTTGAATCAAGGGGTGGAAAGATTCAGTCTACAAGGCAAACGGGGAGTGGGTGAGGGTATCGACCTTCGGTAATGCGCTCAATGGCTTCCTCGATCTCGCCATTGGAGTCCTCGAGAGCGAACACCAGATCTTCGTCCTTCCAGTCAGGGAACAATTCCTTGAGGGTGGGCAGGACGTCCGAGTATTTCTTCTTCATTTGTCCAATTTCGCCCTCATCGAATGGGGCAAGGTCTGAGTTGTCGGTGTTTGCGGCTCTGCTGTTTCCACCACGGCCACCTCTGGAGCTATAACCACCACGACCACCGCGGGTGGATACTCTGCCGCGCGCAGACGACCGGCTCTGAACTTCGGACATTGTGTCAAATGGATGTGTGAGATGAAAGAAGCGGAACGGGGAAGGAGGTCACGATGGGAGTCGTCGCAAGGGTTTCGCGGTAGGAAGGATCTGAATTGGAAACGAGTCGGGATGCAACCTCGCAAAAGAGGAAGGGCACCAAGACCACAAGCGGGCCAGAAAAGAATCCAGAGACACCTGGTAAAGAGAAGCGATAGTTGGGGGAAGGGGAGGGGAGGAGGGAACAGCAGTTGAATGGAGAAGGTAAAAGCTAAGGTTCTGATGTGTTGCTCGCAGTCGCAGCTGGTCTTGGCACTGCCTGGCTTTTTAGCGAGTGGCGCCTATTGGGTCGATTCCCGTCTTTGCCTTAATTCTCCCCCATCTTTCCATTATCTTCAAGAATCACGGGGTAGATCTAGATATTCTATACGCGATCTTCGACTGGAAGATCCCAGATTACTATTGTACAATTTCTTTTTTTGCTTTCTTTCGTGATCGCTCTTCTTTCTGAAGAGTCGAGTCTTGCGTGCTTGCCTGGTCTCCTCGTCATCCACTTTGGGCACGTCTTCCCTCACCGCCCACCCCCTCGCGGCGATCTCCCTTCCACGATCCCGCCCTGTGCATCAACCTCACGGCTTGATTGGGACTCACCGACACCGCAACCATGAAGGGCACTTCAATCTTCCAGTTCAAATCATGGCCGAAGATTCATCAGCCTTTGCCTCGAACACCACGCCAGTCTCAGCAGCTTCTCAACGCCCTCACCTCATCCTTTCGACACCAGCTGGACCGCGCGTACCCGGCCCCCAGCGGTTCCAATCCCAATAGCGATCGACAGCCCTTGAATACCGACTCCTCTGTTCATGCAACCGACCAGCACCTGCATAGTATTCTCGATAACCCTTTGTTTCGGATTGTGCCCCAGAGAGCAAAGTCAACCCCTCGTGATCATGCCACCACCTCGACCATCGATGAGTCCAAGCAAGCAGTTCAGGATCCCATGGCTCTTTTCGACCACGCCGTTGCCTCAGGATCTGCTACACCTTCCTTCATCACAGACTGTTTGAAATCACAACTGCTTCTTGCCCGGTCATTTGGTGAGAATGGAGTGCGAGATGCCATGAAGATCACTCGAGCGGGCTCGAAAGTGGTTGACTGGTTCTGGGCTTCGGATGGTGCTTCTAGGCAGATCCTGTTGCAGACCCGGGCATCGACAGGCTCTCTAACTAAATTCATGGTCGCGGAGAATCTGCAAGATACCGTGATGGAGTGGCTGAAGATGCTCATGAGCTGCAATCTTGGGGGGCTCAATGGCGAGATGACAGAAGATCGGGCCCGAACATCCTTCAATCATCTTCTCCAAGATCTCCTGGATGCCGAAATTCGCTACGGAGACGGACTCGGCTCGGCCATCAAGTACTACTTACGTGCATGCCACCTTCATTTTTCATCCGTGGAATCACAGGGTGATTTGAGAGTCGCCAAGGCAGTGTTGCTTGCATCGGGCGCTCAACTAGCTCGCACACTCATGGAGCAGAAGCCTTCGAGTGATCAAACTCCCGTACATACTTTTGAAGAGTTCGCTGAGACCATCTCGACTTTGTCGTCCTCTCGGTCGTTATTGTTCTCTTCCGTGGCTCTTTGCCATCCAACACATCCAGACCCGACTCCGTTCATTCATTATGTGGACAGCTTATCCCCCAACAAGTTCGAGAAGTGGAATCAGACTCGGCGGGATGCCTTCCTTAGAATCAGCTGTGACGCCCTCCGCACGCTGATTGACCGCAAGAAGATTCGCCTCGCGACTAGCCTGGGACATCAAATTCAAGAACTTCTTCCTGAGGAGACCGCTACTGCGAGCGTTAAAGCTTCTCGCTCTCGTGCCTCGGCTGAAGAGGATTACCTCTTACAACGCTTGGAGTTGAATTGGACCTGATGGATTGGGGGATCAATCTCCTTCCTCTCGATGGACATATACTACCAGCTCTTGTACCAGTGCTCATCGATATACTCGGACCAGCCAGACCCTTAGAGGATATTGCCATTTACACGCAGCACCGGTCCTGGGTCAAATCATAGACTACGCCACTTTGATTCTCTTTGGGAACATGGCTCAGTCTTCCCAGTCTAATTGAGACACCAAGTGGCTTTAGAGCAGCGATCGATACCCGGGGAGCTTTGCATCTTTTGGGGGACAGTGGTGCGATGACGATTTTCACATCAGCTTTCACATCAGCTACTCCGCACCGCTCCACCGAGGCTGCGTGATCTGAGTACATAATCGGTACCCGGTCTTGGCATTGCTTACATACACATGCTTGGTACTGGGTCGGTACCCTACTAGAGTTTCTAGGGTCGCGGGACTTCGCACTGCCCCTCCCTGTGGAAGAAAGTGGAGGGGCGAAATGGAAGCTGCGAATGGGGGTTCTCGGGCTGTGAATTGAGGTAATTTCCCCGTTGTGTGACACCCACCCACTGCTGATGGAGGAGGGTTGCAGAGGGGCGAACCAGCCCAGTTCTGCGGATGAATGGGGTTAGCGTGTCCAGCTGCTCTTAGTAAACGTCACCGCGCAACCTCACCTCAAACCTCCCTCGAGATCAATCGACTTCATTTCAATTTCTTGCTCTCTCTAGTAAATCTCCCGTCTAGTCTGAATCGCAGTCGCATTCTCAACGCGATTTTTTCCCCAGCTCACGCATCCCCTCAACCTTGCAAAGCACGTGCGCTTGTCTGACATCATCGATCTACCATGGCCAGCGAGGGCTTTCCAGAACCGAGGGCCTCCCCAGTACCAGGTATGTTGTAGGGAGCTGCCACGGCACTCTTGCAGGTGAATTGGACTCTTGGTACTTGTCCAGCTTCACCCGTCCATCTGGATGAGAGCACACGCGCCCCTGCTGCAGTACTTTCTTGTCTACCAACTGTATATGCTGACTAAGAACCAGCTGCTGTCGCACCAGCACCCCCGAAGATCAGCGAGCCTCCCCAGCCAATTCACAATGTGTTAAACACTTGTCAGACGGACAGTGAGCCTGTCACAGCGGAGACAAAACAGGTGGGTGCCGGGATCGAACTTCCAGAAGCTCCCAAGCCGGTGCAGAGCATTTCCGGTGCAGCTTCGGAGCCCGAAGTTCCGGTTGTAGCTCAGCCGGGTCCAGAGCCGACACGGCAAATCCCACAGTCCGTTACAGAGGCCCCCAATCCAGTCCAGGAACCCTCTACTCCCGTGGAGGAAGCCGCGAAGCCAGCCGCGCAAGAGCCACAAGTTGGTGAGAAGCGCGACCTTGATTCTATTGCGACTCAGGCCCCTGATCAAGCAAAACCACTCGCACCTGAGCCTGCTGCTGAGAAGGTCAAGGAGCCTGAGAGCAAGAAGCAGAAGACGGAGCAGGAACCCGCCCAGGACACCAATGGTACTACATCTGCTACTCCCGCTGCACCTGCTCAGCCAAGCACAACTACAGCACCTGCAGTTGAATCCCACGAGGAACCTAAGAAGGCTGGTCGCTCCAAGAAGGAGAAGATCAAGGACGCCGTGAAGAAGATCATCTCGACCGATGGACCTGGAAGCCGCACTCGTAGCCGCACCAAGGATTCCTAAGGGATTGGGAGACTCGAGAGACTGCTTCTGACAGGTCAAGCTCTAAGCTTTATTTTACCTGTGATTGGATTCATTTGGTTCAGATATCTCTGATCTGAATACGCAAGCTGAATGCACTCCAGACGCCATGATGCGGCGAGAATCCATGGAGATGACCTGATGATGATGAGGTTAATCAAAAACATGTCTTACACGACCGACTCTTTGATATTTAAAGATATTTTTCCGTGCACTTCTAGCCTTTCAGTCGACCACCAGCTCTATCAGATATATGTAAATGCCAGTATATTTCGTAGTCACTACCTGCACAATGCCCTAAATCACCCGATGCCCTCAAGCGGGGCCGATCATCGGGGCTGACTCATTTTGCCCCGGAACGGAACAACCATCCCCGCCATCAGAGAGTCATTGGTGATAGATTACCATTCACAGGTGCTTGACTTTCCCTAAATTTTATATTTCCATTCCATTGACCTCCAAATTCTCCCACATTCAGAATGGCTGGACAGAAGATTTGGCTGCGTGCCGAGACTAAGCCCGCCGAGGCTCGGTCTGCTTGTCAGTACCTGTTGCCCCTCCCCCACATTGATGCAATGGCGGTATTGACTCATAGCTTGCGATTCGTAGTGACCCCGACCACCTGCAAGGCATTGATGGATGCCGGGTATGATGTGACAGTCGAGCGCTCTACCCAGCGTATCTTTGATGGTTAGTTCACTCTCTGGAATGAGGATTATACAGAAATGGGACTAACAAACCCTCGATAGATGATGAGTTCGCCAAGGTTTGCCCGCCCTCAGCCTCCTACCTGCCTATACGTGATTCGAAGAGGTCCTAACCACGCCAATGGCTCTAGATCGGAGCTCCCCTTGTCGAAGAGGGCTCGTGGGTCAAGGATGCGCCCAAGGACGCCGTTATCCTGGGTCTGAAGGAGCTGCCCGAGGATGACTTCCCTTTAGAACACGTCCATGTCACTTTTGCCCACTGCTACAAGCAGCAGGGTGGCTGGGAGAATGTCCTGAGTCGCTGGCACCGTGGTAAGGGTCTCCTGCTGGACCTGGAGTTCCTTACCGACGAGTCTGGCCGCCGTGTTGCTGCTTTCGGTTTCTCGGCCGGTTATGCTGGCTCTGCTCTGGCCATCAAGAACTGGGCTTGGCAATTGACTCACCCCGAGGGAGAGCCTCTTCCCGGTGAGGTCCCTTATGCCAACCAGGACCTGCTCATTGCCTCTGTGAAGGAGAGCGTTGAGGCTGGTAAGAAGGTTGCTGGTCATTACCCTAAGATTCTTGTCATTGGAGCGGTAAGTACCCCCCGAAGCTTGCCCAGGAGCATTGGTACTCATAGACTTCTAGCTGGGTCGCTGTGGCAAGGGTGCCGTGCAATTGGCCAAGGATGTTGGTGTTCCCGAGTCCAACATCATTCAGTGGGATATGGCCGAGACCGCCAAGGGTGAGTTGTTGCGACGGAGGAACATACCCAACAATAGGATCTGTTGACTAATGTCTACTCACAGGTGGTCCCTTCACTGAGATTATTGAGAGCGACATCTTCGTCAAGTCAGTACATCTATAACCACGCAGCTTTTTACCGTGGTGACTAACTTCGTCTTCAGCTGCATCTACTTGAGCTCTCCTATCCCCCCCTTCGTGAATGTCGAGACCCTGTCTTCCCCCAAGCGAACTCTATCCGTCGTCTGCGACGTCAGCGCTGACACGTAAGTCATTCCTCATTATTGATTTGGCTTTCTCTTGAAAGCTCTAACGAGATAAATCTATACAGCACCAACCCTCACAACCCTATCCCCATCTACGACATTACCACCACCTTCGATAAGCCCACCGTCCCCGTCAAGCTGCTCGCAGATACTCAGGGCCTTCCCCTGAGCGTGATCAGCATTGACCACCTGCCCTCCCTGCTTCCCCGCGAGAGCTCCGAGCAGTTCAGCGAGGCCCTCATGCCCAGTCTGCTCCAGCTGAAGGACCGCAGCACTGCCCGTGTGTGGACTCAGGCCGAGGATCTGTTCAACGAGAAGGTTGCTACTTTGCCTGCGTCGTTCCGCCAGTAAGCCGGGCTTGGTTGTAATGAGTGGGTAGATATGAAGAGATATGACTTGATGGCACATTGATAGAATTTGGATTGGAATTGGACTGAAAGCAGGGAATGCTATAAAAGTTGTTGCATGTCCACATGATATGTTTCGAGAATACCATGCCTGTTGTCATGATCTGTATAAAAACTTTCCAGACGCTAGTTCCAGTAGTTCCCTCGGAAAGAAGGAGATAGGGGACGACTTTTGATTACGATCTCATACCCCTGCCGTTGCGATTCTATCCTGATATCACCGAGGAATGGTCTGCGGGACTATAACTGAGGAGAGGCCATGTGTACTTGGTTGTACAAGGTAGCGGTTGTAGTACCAGGTACTTGGTTGGAATCAATATTCAGTCCCAGGGAATATTCTGCTAGTTTAACTTATGCTTAAGACTCCTTTCCTGACTTTCCATCTCCCTCAATTTTGTAATAACAAGGCTTGTATCTGCGAATCGTTAGGCGAGGACGCCATTCGCATGGTTCAGAATCAAGTCGACAGGTACAAAGAAACTCCCTCAACAGTGACACCTCCCTCCCACGGCTTCTTCCGAACTTTACCCGACCGCAGCCTCTCCTTCCAGAACACTCGATGCAACCGCAACCGTCCAAGGACCTCTCCAGTCCAATGCGGGGTCCCTCCATCTCTCACGGACATCCGGAGGATCCGTCGCGGGGAGATGACTTAATGCAACGGTGTCTTGGCCCAAAGAAATGCCCCGGCTGCCAGTCTTATTATTGGGCGATGGGAAACCAATTCCAAACAGCCCGAAGAGCGCAGCCTAGCAGGCGACGAACCTGTCGGTCGCTGCCTGTATCTTTTTTATCGAGGCGCGCTGGATTGACCGGTCGGAGTTTGCCCCGTTTGGTGCTGAGTCCTGCGAATTCCACCCAGAAGAGAAGGGCACTGTTTCTTCAGAGCGACTCCGTTCCCCGTTTCTCTTTCTCCGCATGAACCCTTCGGTCCACTCTCCCCTCTTCCCCAGCCGAAACCCGCTCCAACCGTAGCAGAATTCTTCACACGAACCCTGCTGGACTACGAGACTCTAGCGGAGAGTTGCCAGGATATCGTCGTCACACCTCTCCTCACCCTACTATCGAACATCGGGCGACTTTCCTCGCCACTGTCACGGCCAATCTGAGAATGGGGCGATGAACACGCTGAGTTGATTTGCCTCGAAACCACCACCGACACGCCCCAAACCACTCCCTCCCCCCTCCGACCCCTACATCCTCACCCGCAGCAATTCCAATGCAGGAAAAGCCGACCACGGTCGCGGCCTACGCGGCCGGGGCCTCGCTCGCTGCTGTCGCTCTATTCTATGTCTTTGGGCCCAACTACACAATCGACGGCGACGAATCCAGCGATAGTAACCGGAAAAAGAGCATTGTGGGATTGTCAAACGTGGCCAATGACTGCTTTATCAATTCGGTGCTGCAGGCTCTAGCAGGCCTGGGAGACCTTCGAGTGTACTTGATCCGCGAACTTCATCGGCGCGAACTGGACGGGCCAGAGATGTACAACGCGGTGCCGAGTCCGGATGAGCTTTCGCGTGCCGAGCGGCCGGACAAGCTGCGGGAGCTGCAACAGGGTATTATCACTCGGGCATTGAAGGAGATGTTGGACCGTTTGAACGAGCGTCCCATCTATAAGAAGATCATCTCGGCGCGCGGGTTTATCCAGGCATTGGAGTTTGCATTCCGCACGCGCATCAGCCGCAACCAACAAGACGCGCAAGAGTTTCTCCAGATTGTCCTGGAGCGACTGTGTGACGAATATCACGCTGGTGTTCGCGCCAGGCAACGCGCCCTCGGCCCCATTGCCACGCCGGCTGGCTCAGGCGTCGTGGGAGCAGTGGAGGCTGACGTTGATGAGAATACGGCCGAGGTGGAGGTGCGAATTGATGACGGATCGCCTAACGGCCTGCCTGCAATTATAGACAACAAGCTGAAGGAGATCGATAGCGAAGCTGGATTCCCGTTCGAGGGCAAGTTGGAATCGCAGATTGTGTGCCAGCATTGCCAATATCAGTATAAGCCGAATCAGACGGCTTTTGTCAACCTGACACTCCAGGTGCCACAGAAGAGCTCTGCCACGCTCAATTCGTGTTTCGACGGTCTTTTGAAGACCGAGTACATTGATGACTTCCGATGCGACCGGTGCCGTCTGCAACATGCCATTGAACTCAAAACGCAAGACAAGTCCAGAGCCTACTCTGAAAAGGAAAAGGAACGACTCGATCGGGAAATCGCGCGTATCCAGGAGGCATTGGAATCGGACCCCGAGAAAGAGCTCGAAGGAATTGTGATGCCCCCGGCAGAACTTGCGCCGAAGCGAAAGATTGCCCGCCACATGCGTATTGTGTCTTTTCCAAAGGTCATTGCAATCCACCTTTCACGGTCGATCTATGACCGCAACAGCTCCACCAAGAATGCGGCAAAGGTTTCTTTCCCTGAGCGTCTGCCTCTGGGCGGGATTTTGAACCAGACATGGTACAAGCTGCTTGCGATTGTATGCCACAAGGGCAGTCATCACAGTGGTCACTACGAGTCCTTCCGGCGCAATCATCTCTATGCACCATTCTCAACCCCCGAGGCATTTAGTTCCTACGCACAAAGCCGCGTTGCTAGCGAGACACCCTCGGTAGCTCCTAGTCCCCGACTAGCACCACGGAGTACCCCCGACTTGGACGTTGAAGGTGAAAGCAGCAATCTTTCCTCGACGAACTCATCCACGTCGCTCTCAAACGTCTCCCCAGCCTCCCAACTGACCCCTCCCATGCCCCGTCCCACCACCTCCAGTTCGCGCCGGTCCTTACACAGCACCAACTCCCGCTCATCCACTCCTCAACCCACCTCAGGATCAGACAGCAACCATAGCCCGGCCCCGGAGCAAGGCCGGTTTAGTACTTCGGCTGCTCCCCGCCCATCACGGACCATTCCCCGGTCGCCGGGGGACCCTATCTCCGGCGTGAGTACGCGGCTTCGACGCCGACGCAAGCCGAACGATCGATGGTGGCGGATCTCCGACGAAAAGGTTAAAGAATGCAAGACCTCGGACGTGCTGGGCATGCAAAAGGAGGTTTACCTGCTCTTCTACGAGATGGAGCGGCCCGATTTTAGCCCCGCGGCTGCGGTTGGGCGGCTGTGAGGGGGGAGGGGGTTGTGCAGTTTCTATTTTTTTTCTGTTCTCGCTTTTCTCATTGTAGATGACACTTTCACGTACATAAAACCCATGAGATATTTTCTGTCTAAGGGGGTGAGTTGGGTGGAAAAGTGATGTGCTGGAGAGGGCGATTTGTTGATACATAGCTGGCGCTCATAGAGGAATTGGTTCCATGTTGGATGTTCCGGTCCTTCGACTCTGAAATTTGGTACATACTATAGTGAGAATCTGATGCTATGTTCAATGGCATGGCCTATCACAGCAATTCTGCGGAACAATGTCATGTACGGAGGAGAGTTACTGCTTCGCTCCCTGACGGAGGTGGGGGCAGCATGGTCATGTGCCAATCCATGACTGAGAGGCCGAAAAGGAAGCTGTCCCAAAATCCACCCTTGAGAAGATGGGAGGTAGTAGATGACATTAGTACTAGCGAGTTTCTTGAGGAAGAATTGAGAATCCTTTTCAAGTCCAGCACCCACGGCTCCGTCGGGTTTGCAATGCGCCCGTGTTGAAGCGAAACACGGCGAATGGCCTCGAATTCCTCGGCACCCCGCTGGCGGACGAACAAATTACGGAGAAGACGGCAGGCGCATGGATCAATTCTTTTCAGAGCAGAGGTTGATCGGAATCAGTGCTGGTCGAGCGATTCAGCTCGAGCTAGTTTTCCCGGCTGCTATATACCATCGAATTCCCTTTGGTGAGATGCTGACGATTGGCCTGTTCGAGGGTTGGATTAGGTGCCGCGTGTGTCGTCGTGGTGGTCGGGTGGAGGTGGAATCCCCCGCCAACGGGAGCTGTTGGTGGTGAGCAGGTTGGTATACGTCGGCAGGAGAGCCGAACGGCAACGAGCATCGGGCTATCACGGAGAGAGTCGGAGCAGCTGTACAAGGCGTGGACGTGGAATCTACATATACTTCATAGCACCCCTCTTTTCCCCGATCCGCTCTTTCTCTCTCGCTCCTGGTCCCAGAAGTGCATTAGATCATCACTCCCGCTGAAATCATCGTGACCTCAGTCCGTTTCCACAGGACCCAAAAAAGCTCCACCGCTCGGTGAGTAGTTCAACCCAGTCCTCCAGTGCCCGGTGCTGTCCAAAGGGATACCCAAGTGCCTCACCGATGACGATTCTGCCCCTCCAAACCCTCCCCAATTTGCCCCTCCTGATTTGCCTGCCCCTCGTGCATGGAATTATTTAACCCTGCCCGCTTTCGTCCTTCGGTAAAGCCCAGAGCGTATATGATCCAAGATTGCAACTGACCGTCTCTCCCTTCTTCCTTCTTCTTTTCTTTCTCAGGTCCTATCCCATCAACGACATTTTTCCAATTTCCAATCCACCATTTCTACCTCCAATCAATCAATATGGGTATCACTGAGAAGCTGAGCCGCAAGTCCGGTGTCATCGTCGGTGACGACGTCCTCCGTCTCTTCGAGTACGCTCAGGAGAAGCAGTTTGCTATCCCCGCCATCGTAAGTAATCCATCTCCCATGATGGCAATATCTCTCGATCTTCCGCCCATCGTCATCAACCCTCAAGCCGCAGCAGCAGCAGCAGGAGTAGCATAACAAAAGTAACTCTCCATTTTTCAGAACGTCACCTCCTCCTCCACCGTCGTCGCTTCCCTCGAGGCCGCTCGCGACCGAAAGTCCCCCATCTGCCTGCAGGTCTCCCAGGGTGGTGCTGCTTACTTCGCCGGCAAGGGTGTCAGCAATGACGGCCAGGCCGCCTCCATTGCCGGTGCCATCGCCGCTGCTCACTACATCCGCGCCATTGCTCCCACCTACGGCGTCCCCGTTGTCCTCCACACCGACCACTGCGCCAAGAAGCTCCTCCCCTGGCTCGATGGCATGCTGGATGAGGATGAGCGCTACTTCAAGCTCCACGGCGAGCCCCTCTTCTCCAGCCACATGATCGATCTGTCTGAGGAGCCCGTTGACTGGAACATCTCTACCACCGCCGCTTACCTCAAGCGTGCTGCCCCCATGAAGCAGTGGCTCGAGATGGTAAGTTTTGCACTCTTTTCTTGGAATTGACCCTCTCCTGTCGGGCTGAATAGCTGCTAACAGATACTCACAGGAGATCGGTATCACTGGTGGTGAGGAGGACGGTGTCAACAACGAGGACGTCGACAACAACTCCCTGTACACCCAGCCCGAGGACATCCTGGCCATCTACAAGGCCCTCGCCCCCATCTCCCCCTACTTCTCCATTGCCGCTGGTTTCGGTAATGTCCACGGTGTGTACAAGCCCGGCAACGTCCGCCTGCACCCCGAGCTCCTCTCCAAGCACCAGGCCTACGTCAAGGAGCAGCTCAAGTCCCAGAAGGACAAGCCCGTCTTCTTCGTCTTCCACGGTGGCTCCGGCTCCTCCAAGGAGGAGTACAAGGAGGCCATCAGCTACGGTGTCGTCAAGGTCAACGTCGACACTGACATGCAGTACGCCTACCTCTCTGGTGTCCGTGACTACGTCCTGAACAAGAAGGACTACCTCATGACCACCGTCGGTAACCCCGATGGCGAGGACAAGCCCAACAAGAAGTACTTTGACCCCCGTGTCTGGGTCCGCGAGGGTGAGAAGAGCATGAGCAAGCGTACCCAGGTTGCGCTTGAGGACTTTAACACCTCCAACCAGCTGTAAGGGGAGACATTTTCCTCCTCACCCACCCCACCCATTCACCACACATTGATGCTATCCTTTATTTTGGCTGTTAAAGGAGGCGATGACGTATTACCCCCCAATTTCTTGAGAATCATTTCCATGCTGCCGAAAAAAGTGGGCGCGCCTGGGGACGGCTGGCGTCCCGGTTGTATGTAGCGATGTAATTTCGACATGTTGTAATGAAATGAAATGTCCATATTACGGTCTTGGAACCCGTTGGAAATTAAAAAAAAAAAAAAAAGACAAAAACAAAATAGTGCCATTGATTTGCTGATCTGTAGATGTAAACATGTAAGGGGGGATTGAATTGCTTCGTATTCAGATGCACGAGTCTTTGTGCTCAGAGGGGCCATGTGACTTGACTTGATCAGGTGTACTGCCAGAATTTGTGGCCTGGGTGCCTTGATGCCTTAGGTATCTCAGCTTCTGTCGTCAGCGGCATTTGCAATTTTATTTTACCCAGTCCAGGAGCACCCTCCTCCACCACACACTGTATTCACTCCACTAATTTCTTATTGTCCCCCTCCACTTCCTTTGAATGTGTGCCAGTGCCAGCGTGACCAACTTGAGGTAACCCTGGGTCTTTGCGGGAACCGCTTTTCTGCCCGTGTTCCAGATGTTCCAGGCTTTCTCCCCCACAGGATATTTCATTGGCCCACCTCGAGTCATCCTGAACCGGCTCTGCCAATGAGTTGCTGAAGGATGGGTCTGAAAGGGGACTGGCCAAACGTGTCGAGGCCGCCACCAGGCACACATCCTGGACTCTGGTACGGAGTACACATCTGGAACACAGTGTTGACAGTCCGATGCAAAGCGAAGGGGCATGGACTGCTGAACTGCTGACCCGGTCATGGTTGTTTGAGCGAGGGCATCAGTTACATAGGGCTGCCTCCTCGTCTAACGGCTCCGGATCGGCGATGCCGCCTATCAATTATGGACTATCGACGGAGTATCGATCAACTAGTTCAACTTGACTGTCTCTTCTAATAATAACCGAGCTAAACCGGTCTGGACTGTCTGGACCCCCTCCAAGAACCCACTTTTCTTTCATTCTTGCACTTGCTTGTCTCACATCCGCTGCCCTGTCCGTTGATCATCCTTAGTTTTTCTGTCATCACTCCGCTTTTCTTTCTCTTCGTGTCTTCTGCCTCTGTTCTTCCTTCACGTTCTCTGTCGGTCGCTTCAACTCCTGCTCGACTCCCCTCCTTCCCTCTCCACATTCATGTCGACTTGTCATTCGTTTTTCCTGTGATCTCTTCCTGGCGGGCCATGATGGATCTGCATCTGCGCCAGAACTTGTGGCCTCGGGCCGAAGAGTCTGGAACTGACAAGTTTCTTACGCTGATTTCGAATCCCTTTTACTCTCAGGTAGGCGTTGGAATGATCGCAGAGAGGATTGATCTTTACTGACCCTCTGGGAACACAAAAAGTTCCAAGTCAGCGCTATTTGGGCCTCGCTGGGCACGTCCATCGGCATCTCCATCCTCCTCGCTCTACTCTTCTCCCTCTTCCGACCCCGTCACAACCTCGTCTATGCGCCGAAAGTCAAACATGCCGACCGCAAACACGCCCCTCCCCCGGTGGGCAAGGGCTTTTTCTCCTGGGTCAAGCCCGTGATCAATACTCGTGAACCGCAACTCATCGAGACCGTCGGATTGGACGCTGCGATCTTCTTGCGCTTCACCAAGATGTGTCGCAACATCTTCATTTTCATCAGCATCATCGGATGTCTGGTCTTAGTCCCGGTCAATATCTCGCAGAGTAAAGATGGAAAATCGATCAGTGTGACCGCGCTGAGCAAGATGACTCCGCTCTACGTGACCAATCCAACCGCTATCTGGAGTCAAGTCGTGTGCGCCTGGTGCTTTGATATCATTCTTGCTTTCTTCTTGTGGAGGAATTACAAGGCTGTCAGAGGTCTGCGCCGACAGTACTTTCAGAGCTCGGATTACCAGCGGAGTTTGCACGCGCGAACCCTGATGATATCCGATATTCCTCCCTCAGACCGCTCTGACGAAGGTATTCTGCGCATCACCGATGAAGTTAATCCCACTGCTGCTCTTCCTCGGGCTGCCATTGGCCGCAATGTGCGTGATTTGCCCGTTATAATCAAAGAGCACGAGGAGAATGTCCGGGAATTGGAATCCGTGCTCGCCAAGTACCTCAAACGACCTGACCAGCTGCCTCCCAAACGACCTACCATGCGTCCGCCCAAAAGCCAGCGTAGCAAGCATCCTAATGGCAAGGTCGATGCCATTGATTACTTGACGGTGCGCATCCGTGTCTTGGAGGAAGAGATCAAGCACGGACGGGCGTCGATTGACCGCCGTAATGCGATGCCATACGGTTTTGCTAGTTGGGAGAACATCGAGCACGCGCACGCTGTGGCATGGACTGCCCGAAACAAGCATCCCAAGGGTACTACTATTGATCTTGCACCTCGACCCAGTGATCTTATCTGGGAGAACCTGCCTCTGTCTAAGAAGGCGCGCAAGTGGAAGCGTTTCCTCAATGTAATTTGGGTCACTGCTCTCACACTCGTGTGGATCGTTCCTAACGCTCTCATCGCGGTTTTCTTATCCAACTTGAACAATTTGGGCGCCGTTTGGCCAAAGTTCCAGACTTCCCTCTCCGCGGATCCCAAAGTCTGGGCTGCTGTGCAGGGTATTGCCTCTCCTGCAATCACTTCCCTCGTATACCTGGTGTTGCCGACCATCTTCCGACGTCTCTCCATCCAGAGTGGAAGCAAGACCAAGACTTCCCGCGAACGACACGTCTTGGGACAGTTGTATGCGTTTTTCGTGTTCAACAATCTGGTCGTCTTCTCGCTCTTCTCGGCCGCGTGGGCTTTCGTCTCCACTGTGATTGACAAAACCAACACCGATGAGGGCGCTTGGCAGGCTATCGTCGATAGTAATCTGTACTACAAATTGATGAGTGCCTTGTGCACTGTCTCGCCCTTCTGGGTGACTTACATACTGCAGCGCAACCTCGGAGCCACCATCGACCTCGTCCAGATGATCAATCTGGCCTGGGTTTGGTTCGCCAAAACTTTCCTCTCGCCCACGCCTCGCCAGTCGATCGAGTGGACTGCTCCGCCGCCATTCGACTACGCCAGCTACTACAACTACTTCCTTTTCTATGCAACCGTTGCCTTGTGTTTCGCTACACTTCAACCGATCGTGCTTCCCGTGACTGCGCTCTACTTTGGTGTCGACGCTATGCTGAAGAAGTACTTGCTCATGTACGTGTTTGTGACTAAGAACGAGTCCGCTGGAACGTTTTGGCGGGTCCTCTTCAACCGACTCGTCTTTGCAAGCATTCTTGCCAATGTCATCGTTGCCCTTGTCGCCAAGGTCCAGGGAACCTGGACCATGGTGTTCTGCATCGTCCCATTACCGTTCTTGATGCTGGGCTTCAAGTTCTACTGCTTGAAAACCTTCGACACCGATATCATGTACTACAACCGCGCCAACCTCACCGACGCCGAGGCTATCGGCGGATCAAAGTTGAGCAAAAAGGCCGCCGATCGCCTGAACTCCAAGTTCGGCCACCCAGCCCTCTACAAGCCTCTCATGACGCCAATGGTCCACGCCAAGGCCGCCGAAGCTCTAAAGGAGATCTACCAAGGTAGACTAGACCATGGCGACATGAACAACGAATACTCCGACATCGCCATGAACCCAATGCTCTCCTCGCAACCCGGCAAAGCCGAGCCCGCTCCCTTCGAAGTCGTCCCCGAGGCCCACCTGGACTTCTCCTACTTCAAGGACCGCGCCGACTTCCGCGACGAGTTCGGCGGCGGCATCTACGGTCGACCGGAGGACCTGATGACCGAGCGCTCACAAACACCCCGCAGCATGCTCGGCGGCGAATGGTCACCTTCTTCATCGCGCGCCTCCTCGCCCGCACCATCCCTGCCCTCACTGGCTGGAATGAAGATGCACGAGGGTTATCAGGACCCAGACCAGGGACATATCCACCCTGCTTTCCGCGTGCCACTCTCACGCGGCGACAGCGGCAATGGCGCGTACCAGTCCGATGAGATTGAAACTCGTCTTCTCTCGCATGTCCAGACACCCGGGCAAGTCGATACAAATCCGCTTGATCGTTGGCGAACAGGCGGATACGGTCCTGTCCAGCAGGACGATCATCCGTCTCAGACTTCGTACGAGGCGTACCGCGGCGCGAGGTAGACCCTCTGCGCAAGCAAGATGTCTCGTTTGTTTCCCCCTCTCTGTGAAAAGTCATCTCTCTGTGCATAATGCATATATTTGTCATCTTTTTTTGGTCTTGTTTATATTGGCGATCTTTTTCACTTATTGGCCCCTGTGTGGCTGTCGTGGGGTAGGAGCAGGCCTGGCTGCTCTGTTGCACATACATACTTATCTGTTGGATACGATATCACGAAATCTGTTCTATTTTTTTTTTTGGTTAGACCTGGGTTAGGTGGGTTTGTGGGGATAGGATTCCTGCTGTACTTATTATGTGTACAAAATCATATTTGCGTATTTATTGATTGCATATTGGAAGTCGAGTGGTATGCTTGTTGTAAAGTGATCTAACAAAGAAACAGTGCTAGACTTGGACAGTGCTCTTTGTAGTAACTAACGGCAAGCGAGAAACCCTGGTAAGCGATCAATTCGGAATATAACAGAGAGCAGACTTAGGAAGACTCTTTCTGGGTCTCGCCCATCGACACCATCTGAATCTCTTTTTCATATTCCTTGACAGTTTGCCTCCGTTGTACATTCCCCTTTCCAGTCCTAAGCATTGGTCTCGCCGCATCCGTGAAAATAATCCGGCTTCGTTCCACTCGAGCATAAACAGGAAGCTCCTCGTTGATCCTCTCCATGGTCAACCAAATCTGATCAAGAAATTCCCCGCCCACGGTTTCATGATTTGCTGTTCCTCTCTCTCCCCGACTTTCATTAAGCTGGAGACGAAGTTTAGCAGTAGGCTCCAGTAAAACCACCGACGTAGCAAGGCCCGTCCCAATAATCAGAACCTCCTGAATCAGGCTTGAATGCTCAGCGAGAATCCGACGCTCCGTCGTAACAGGGTGCCATTTCCCTCCCGAACGAAAACACTGCAGATCATCACTCCGGCCATGGTGAGTCCAAACCCGCTCCTCTCCCGATCCAGAAACAAGTCGGAATAAATCCTTAGTATCGAACTCGTCCAGTTCAGGAAATACACAGAAAATAGACTGTATCTCTCCCGGGTCTGAGTTTCTCACGAAAACAGCAGAGTACAAGTCATCCGTTTGACGGCGGAACTCGATATTCGCCTGTGTGTGGAAGCACAACGAGGTCAAGTCTTTATGCGTATTCCCTCCTCCATTCAGACGACGAATAGAAGGCCACATGCCCGTCTCCGTAGATCCTAGACACGTAAATAGTCGCAGACGGCTCGAGACTGCATCAATGGATGATTGCGAGACAGATCCACCGGCCCAAACAACCGTCTGAACACCCCCACGAACCATACAATCCACCAGCGTCTCATCAGCACCAAGCTCATCCATATGAACGGGTAACAAGAAAAGACAATCCACAGAAGGTGACGAACTAGCCACGGCTTTTGCCGCTGCGTCAATGGTAGCAGGCAACCCGGCCGGTGGATAAATAAGAGTATTCCCACAGTAAAAAGTAAGGAAAAGACTCGCGAATAGTAAACCCGCATGGAAAGGTGGACACATGCTCAGCATCCGCGTTTCAGTCAAATACGTATCCAGCAACTCGTATTGTACATCATAGTTCCTGTTCAACTCAGACTATGACTCTTCCTCTGAAGCAAACCAACTGTCTTCTAATAGTCCCTGGGCAGAAGGCCGATCTCTTGGGTCGAGTTTCATGACCTTGAACACAAACTCCTTATCTTCATTGCATATCCCTAGGGAGGTCGTGAGATAGAAAGGTCTTATAGTGTTCGGAGGATAGTTTTGCATGACCTAAATCAGAACTGCGCGTCGTTTTTGGCCTGCTATATCATTATACGAAGCGGGGAATGGTCCAAAACACTGATGATGCTTCATGAGGATCTTCAGATCATAATCTTCGTGATCCACAGAGGCATCAGGTTTAAAAATGTGGAAGCCCGCCCTATAGAGCCGGTTTATAAGCTGTATATAGGTTAGATCAAGGCAGATGGAAGAAGCTTTTTTGGGTGGAAAGGCTTGCTATTGCCCTAAAAGACCATATATCAGTGGCTATGTCCTATCTCATCTGTAGATGAGCCTCCGGGCTTCTGAAAATAGGAGTCCCGATGGAGTCTCCATCACGAGCATGAGTATAATCCATGTGCACTGTGCTTCCGAAGTGTGCTAATTGGACTTCTTTGAATCTACATTCACCTTCTCTGTAATTAATTAATATATTGGTTGACTTGATGTCTGTATATTAATAAGTCAGCGAGGTTATAGGTATTAATTACTGAGAGTTGCGGCAAACTTACCCGTATGAATAAACCTTTTGTGAAGAACAGATAACGCCTCTAAGATATGTCGAGCGACGTACTTCACTTCTGCACGGGCAAGACGTTTTCTATCGGAAGCATGTAAGATATTCTCCTCTAGATATTTCAGGACAATCGCTGGTGGAGAAGCAGGGTCCTGAATCTCGTCCACCAGGGGCCGTAGAAGCGGAGTTTTGTGCTGAAACCGTAGAAGGACGTCTCTTTCGTTATGAATACGAAAATGGTTGGCACTTTTGACGACGAAGCTGTCCTTTTCTTGGTTTCTATGGGCCACAACGGTTAAAGGGTTAATCCTTGACTACTAAGCAAACATACATTGCAAGCCAGACACTCTCGTGAAGTTGCTTGGTGATAGTGTATTGGCCCATTCGCCCTCTGATTATCTGCCTTAGCTTCATCGTGATAAATCAAGGCTGTTTCCCCGAGTGCAAAGGAACAGACATGAGGCGATTAAAAGGAGAAGAAAGGAGGGCACGGGAGGGTGGTGAAATCCTTTGTGCCCAAGGCAGGAATTCCTGTGAATAGGGACCCGGAAGCACCTAGGATAATAAACTAAGGTACATCTCCCACCAAGATTAGTCACGTATAGAGCCCATCCAAATTGCTAAGGATTACACTTAGCGCAAAATTTATACCTTAAAAGTTAGAGCCCTCGTTCATAGGGTAGCAGAATACTGTTTAGGTTACCTACTAACTCAATTACGGTCACGGTCGCAACCGGTTAAACCTAGCCTGCCTTAATATAGTGTAGAGTTTATTGAATTTAACCGTATCTATAAGGCTGGGTAAGCCCTAGATCTCGAGATATTCTGAGAAGTCGAGTTCGCCAAGAGACAGTTATCCTTTAGGATCCTTGTAGCACTCTGTTGAGTCACTTATAGGTACCTCTCCATTTGAAATGACCTTCATAGGATATCTCCGAGGCCCCCGACGACCATCGGCTTCTGATCTAAACGGGTATTTAACATGCCTTTCACCCTGCACTCTTTCCCTTCAATCTATTCAATCTATTCAATCTATTCAATCTATTCAGTTCAACTGCTAATTGGTTCAAATACTAGATTTCTCCACTTAGTACATATAATTTCATACTGTATTACCTTGCCGACAGCTACCAAACATTAACCGGCATCTACCGAATACACTAGGGGAAAGGGGCCCAAAGCTCGACCTACACAAAGGCTCCGCTATTAACCATATGCAGTACAACTGACCTGACCAAACTAAGAAGGGGTGGCACTCGGGCCTGGATGTTCTACACCCCCCATAACTATAGTTTCAAAAGGAAAGGATATCTCAGACATGCCGTGTGATTAGGACATGCACCTCACCCGGTAAAATAATTCGATTCGTTATCATGGGGATAAGGCTAGCAAGAAGATAGAAATGGGTATCGTTAAACATAAATCAGAAATAAAAGCAACCTCATTGCCCACTGTTTGCTGTTTCCGGTGGCGGAGTCACCAAAACTCCAGTAGACATTTCCGCAAGTCTCCTATTCCGCAATTCCTGGATTTGTCGTCGTCGATCTTCGAGAGCAGCCTCTCGCTGTGCCGCTCTGGCCGCCACTTTATCCCGCTGCTGCTGCGTTTCCTCGCGAGCTTTCTTCAGCGCCTCCATCTGCTTCTTTCTTTCCTCTTCATCGCGGGAAAATGCATAGAAGCCTGTGCCGCGATTCCGTACTTCGCCATCCGCATCGTAGTGTGCAAACTCCGCCTCGGGTGACAGGTCTCGCTGCGCTGCGAGGCGGGCCATTTGCGCAGCAATGTTCGCATCGGGGTTGAACGCTTCGGATTGGATTGCCTCGCCGAAGATCAGGGTTTCCGGCCGTGAAGGTCGCCAGCGTTCCTGTACAGCGCGACCTCGATTCTCTTCTTCCTCTTTGGTGCGAGCTGCGCGTGCAGCTTCAGCCCTGGTGCCGTGGCGTGTCCGACCAAACTCATCTTCGTAGGAAACAATCGAAGCGTTATCATCATCCTCATCTTCGTCGTCTTCCCCGGAGCCACCTTCCTTCTTGCGCTCCTCGTCCGCCCATTTTGTATCAAAGTCGACCAGACCGGCTTTCTCTCTGCGTCGTAAACGTGATACGTAGTCGTCCCCTCCATCTTCATCACTATCTTCGCCCGTAAGATGTAGCCCTTTCTTCATGTCCTCGTACATGCGGACTTTCTTCGCCATCCGTTGCTTCGATCGATTCAGTGTGGCGTCATCGATAGTCCCAATGTCCTGGCTTTTTTTGTGGACTTGGTCGGGGACATGGTGGTCATCTTCTAGGAGATCTGCGGCTGCACGCTTCTCAGCGCCTTTGTTCTTCTTCGCGAACAGGTCGCTTTTGGCGGTCTTGGATGGTCGCGGGCGTCCATTTGAGGCGGTGCCAGAGCTCTGGGCAATAAGAGAGGATAATTGGCTGGTGAAGGCGAGGTTGGATGATGAGCTGATCTTCTGAGTCTTAGAAGACTTGGCACGGGGTTTCCCGTACAATGATGACTGATCAGAGGCCATGATGTTGCTTTTCGCAGCTTCGAGAGAGAAGCTTGTAAGGACGACGGAGTGAAGGTCGAACTCCGCGCGGGATAACGATAGCGATAGCGATAAGCATTGTGGCCTGGGTTCCCAGGCTGAAATGGCTGACTCACCCGCTGACTGAGCAGATGCCCCGCGAGCCCCACGAGGTGACGAGCTCGAGGACCTTTGACTCAATTCTTCTATTCTCTTGATTCTGAGTTTTCAATTGTCATTTACTCTGTACGGCCCCAATCTGTGCATATTCAAATATACCTGGTTTTGAATATACCCCCAAAGCTATCCAATTGACCGTTTCCATCAACATGTCTGCCAGCCCTATCTATCTCGGCGTTGTTGGTAGGATACCCCTCCGCAATCTAAAGCTTCATGCTTTCTCTATGGAATTTCCTCTAATCGTTTCATCCAGGCGTCGGCGGCGTTGGCACTGCATTCCTCTCCCAGCTTGCCCGCCTTCCCAATGCTCCCAAGCTCGTCCTCCTCGCCCGTTCTTCTCAGACCCTCCTCGCTCCGACACCGGCCTACTCACCGGCCATTCCCGCGGCCGACTGGGCAACCGCCGCTGCAGGCCCTTCCCTGACCAAGACCGGTGCGCTGCCCGCCGAGGAGATTGCTAGCTACCTTGCATCCGCCCCCGGCCGTGCTATCCTGGTCGATAACACCTCCGACATCAACCTCGCCCGCCAGTACCCCACATTCCTGAAGAAGGGCATTTCAATCGTCACCCCCAACAAGAAGGGCTTCTCCGATGACCTGTCCCTGTGGAAGGATATCTTCGCCTCTGCCGCGGAGGGCAAGGCTCTCGTCTACCACGAGAGCACCGTCGGTGCTGGTCTGCCCGTGCTGTCCACCCTCAAGGACCTAGTCGCGACTGGCGATGAGGTCACTCGCATCGAGGGTGTCTTCTCCGGCACTCTTTCCTTCCTCTTCAACACATTTGCCCCGGCCTCCGGTTCTTCGGACGCAAAGTGGAGCGCCGTCGTTGCCCAGGCCAAGGAGCTCGGCTACACCGAACCCGATCCTCGTGATGACCTGAACGGCATGGACGTTGCCCGCAAGCTGACTATCTTGGCCCGTCTCGCTGGTCTGGAGGTGTCCAGCCCTGACTCATTCCCCATTGAGTCTCTGATCCCCTCCGAGCTGGCCTCTTTGCCTTCGTCTGCGGACGGCATCGCTGAGTTCATGAAGCGCCTGCCCGATTTTGATGCCCAGATGGCTAGTATCAAGGACACTGCCGAGAAGGAGGGTAAGGTTGTGCGTTACGTTGGTAGCATCGACGTTGCTGCCAAGAATGTCAAGGTTGGTCTGCAGACTTTTGAGAAGGATAGCGCCATCGCTGGCTTGAAGGGCAGTGACAACATCATCAGCTTCTACACCAAGCGGTACGGCGCCAACCCGTTGATTGTGCAGGGTGCTGGTGCTGGTGGTGATGTTACTGCCATGGGTGTTTCGGCCGATCTGATCAAGGTTGTGCAGCGCCTGCAGTAAGCGAGGTGCTATACCAAATAAAAGTACTAGATATCCAACCAGTCATAAGTTCTCCATGAAAAGCAATTGAATGTCAGCGTTGAAGAATGCATTGAGCGTGGAACTTCGCCGAGAGTGTTTCTCGCGAAATCCCACACAGAGAAGTGTGTCTAGGAGGTTCGAAGAAGAATAAGTATATTCAAAATGAGTATAATAAACGGTCGGTAAAAGTTGCGGTCAGTCTCGATCGAGGTACTCGATCCTCACTTGCCATACCATAAGAGACTGCCGACGACGGGTATCGCCTTAAAAATCGCAAGAAATCAACCCCACAACCGCCAGCATGACAGAAGCTTGCAAACAGACCGTAATCTGTAGAATAATCAGAGACCCAAACACCATAAAAACCAATAAATGCATAGCAATCAAGCTCGTCCGGTCACTCGGCGCTTTACGTCTCCATCGGCAGCAGGATCCATATTCTCCCTCTCAGAATCTTGTTCTCTCCTAGTGGATTTGCTGCTCGGTGCGTTCCCTGACTTGCCAAAGTCACTATCCCCAGCATCTGTCTCGACGCTGCGCAGCCCAAATGCCCGTCGTTGTCCACCCGGTCGTTCCTGCAAGCTCGGTGGGCGGGGCCGCTGTTGACCGCGTGCGCGTCCTCCGATCCAAGGGAGTTCCCAGAGAATCATGCGGTAGAGGTAAAGGCCAACGTCGAAGACGATGAGGGCTGCCCAGGGGACGATGGTGATGAGGCCGAGCAGGAACTGGTTCAAACAGAGTTAGCTCATGTCTTCGGACGGACTGAATCACTTAGTCATATGACAAAGGAAGGTAGAGACGTACGAAAATCCGCACTGCCCAGCTCTCAAACTGAATGAGCTGCGGCGGGAGAATGGAGTACCACGCCATAACGTATGGCTGGCTACCTTGAGATCGCCCTGGTGAAGTTGTCTGCAGTCGCTGCTTGCGAGGCTGGTGAGAGTCCTTGACTCCTCCCTTTCTTAGACCTTTGTATGGCCAGCCAGCGGTCCCTTCACAAGCCTAATGTCTCAACTCTCGACGCAGTTCCGCTAGTCCCGTGTGATGCTGTACTCCCCGCTCCCCATAATCCGGGGTAATACGATAATCTGCCTGGGGCAGGTGGGGTGTCCGAGAGGAGTCCAGTGCACGACACAGAGCAAGGAAGTACGCTTTCGACCCCAAGTCGAGATGGATCTAGTCGAGAACACGCGCCCCTCCCCGCACGGTCCCTCCAGTCTGGAGCCTGGGGAAAAGGAAGGTTGTTTGGAGGGTTCGCGATGCGGAGGAAGAAGGCGGTGTCGGAGCAGCCGAGGTATTTCGGGGGACAGGGTTTGTGGGAGCTGTAGATTAGAGAGTCGGCTTTGGAGGATTCAAACAATGGCGAGGAGAGGTTTGTAGAGTTCAGGGAGAAGCCTCCATCGTCGCAGCTCGGAAGAAGTGGGAAGCTAAGAACAAGTGGAGCAGGGCAGAACGAACCGCGAGGCCGCGGAGCGGGCTGGGCCCGATTAGGCAATTTATCAGCAGAGAGAGTCTACGACGATGATCGTTCTTACTGAACTTTTTATGACAAAGGCAGCTGCTCCACGTATAATGTACGGGTTATGAATACGATCTCCGTACCAACAGAGAAGCTAAATGGCAAATATGACCTTGAAGCAAACCCAGCACTCCACCCATCCCAACTACGATCCAGTTACCAACCCACACAATAGGACCTCCAAATGGGACAAAATACTAATAGCTCCGCCATGAGAAACACAAGAAACCCCCCCAATCCAACTTTTGATCTTCCTCATGACAATCATATCAGCATAAACTCATGAATCATAACCAAGGCTCGATGCAACGGTTGTTGCTAGAAGCCTAGGGGCGCAGCAACGTGGCTGCGCTAATACTTCGCCGCTAGGGCTTCCATTTGGTCCAAGAAGGCATCAGCATCTATAGTTCGGGAATTTGTTAGCTGTTACGACGACGTTGAAAGGGTGGGAAAGGTGAAAATACCCTCGGGGGTTGCAAACTTCAGCACATGCTCACCACGATTAGTCTGCGGTGGGGTATAGTCATCAGCCGACATCAGGATGATAGGCTTCAGATCACGAATGACAACAGTGCGGTCGTCGACTACACGCAGCCAGCTGCGTCGGCTTAGGTGGGGGGTAATGAAAGCAGTCCAGACGGGCGTGCTGTAGGTGGTGCGATTAGCAGACCGCTCCCATGCGGACTGAGAGTCCTCAAGGTCTATAGCGCATCACTTACTGGTCCATATCACCCTTGTGGACGGAGGCCTGTAGCCTAACAGCTTTTGTTGTCTTTTCGCGATAAACACGCAGAGCATGAGCGTACTCGTCGTCAATGATTTGACTATCGCCGGTCAGAGAATGTTTTTGCCAGTGCTATCGTACAAGGTCAACTCACCCGCCATATATTTCTCGTTCCCCTTCCAACTCGTAGTCACGAATATCCTCAACGGGATGACCGGCGTCTTGGGAACGAAGAGCCAAAAACGCCATGTGAAATGCAACCATGCCTAGCGACAGGTCAGTGACAGGTCCCGTCATGTCTAGCTTGGTCTCTTTTGGCAATACATACTCTCGATGGATGTAAATTGGATGCTTGCCCACAAGACAAGCTCACTGCCACCATGACGTCTCCGACACAGCTGGAGACAGGATCCTTCTCGGATGATTTCCAAGAGATTCAACGGTAGACAAAAGTAGTCGCTAGAACGAGACTTATGCGGGACCTTGCAGACGATACGAACGCGATGGTCTCGTTCTCGTAGATAGAAGTATACTGTCATTTTCGAGTCGTCATTGAAGGCTCTATAGGACTCTGTTAACTCAGGGTCTCTCGTTTCTTTTTTTTTTTTTTCGGAGGCTTCAAAATAGCCTTACAATTGAAGGAGCAACTCGAATCCTTGCTCTCGAAGCCAGGGCTTAATCCCAGCATGCGGGTCCCCAAAGCAGCCGGCTCTGTTATGCAATGATGTTTAGTAAACTACGAGAGAAGGATGTGATATCTTCGTTGCGGCTTGATCTCACCTTTCTCGGCCAGGGGGTATTGGTGTCTCTGTATCGTAGGTTGAGAAGACATCTTTAATCCAGTGATATTGTATCGCATCCGAATGGGTAGATTGACTGGTCCCCGTTGCCGACGCAGATCCCAACGGCGAGCTCGGTACTTCCGGCGCGGAAGGAGGGAAATCGGAGAACGACGCAGAGGATGGGGATTGAGGGGATTGAGGGGATAAATGCGGTGGACGGCTTCGTTCATATGATCGTTGCCGGTGTGCCGGTCGGCGTTCATTTCGGGGACTTGGCTGATCGGTGCTAGTGCTGCTGGTAGACGGCGGGTTACGACCCAGCGATACACGCTCAAGTCGTGGTGCGAGACGCTTCTCTTGTTCGACGAGCAACAGTTTCATACTGCTGCGGGAGCCTGCGAGGAGCGGAGACTCGTGGCGGGGGCTACGATGGTCAGTCGGTCTCTTATATTACAAGATTTCGATCATAATTATCTCTGCAGGGTGGTGGTCCTTACTCCCTCACCGAGTCGGCGAGCTCCCTCAGAAAGCTCTTATATTTCGCCAAGCGAGTCCCCAGCGAGTACTGGGCCTCGTTCCAGAAGAATCGGTCTATCGACAGCCACGTCCGCTGGTACGTATCGTGTGTGACATGGCCGCCATTCAGCCGCTTAAAAAAGTCCAGTATATCCTCGATGGTGTAGTTCAGACTCGAGCGCAGCAATTCCACATCCGGATGAACAAGCGCCCAGCTACGGCGATAACGGGGATCCTTGGAGAGGTCATCCAGACTCGACAACGATGAGCTGATAGCGTACAAGTCCGAGATCAGGCCGGTGATCTCCGTGGCGTGTTCGGGAAGAGGGGCACGAAAAGTGCTAAAGCCGTCGGCGGCGCGTTCAGCCTGCTCGGCAGACATGCGCAGGGCCATGAGCGCGTCAGGCCATCCGGGGATTTCTGATTCGGAAGTAGTCGCAGAGGGGAGTGGGTTTTGGAGGGGATACGAGGTTTCCTCGCACGGAATGGAGTAGCGAGGACCTCCTCACGTGCAATGCGGCTCTTCACCTTTTATTTTCTACAGTCGAGTGGTCTGGTCCACTAGTCCCCCTTGCCTTCTTGACGTGGTCGCGCGGGAATGGCGGGGCTCGGTGGGGTAGGAGGGGGATGCATCACCCAGCATGCGTGTACAGTGCACAGTGGTCAAGGAATCCTGGTCTTCCGTGGTATTCCACGGTGGTAGTTATCAGGCAGATCAGGAGGTGTATTGTATACTGAGGTTTGTTTAGTTGAGTTGCCAGTCTTCCCCGGTTTGGGGTCGATGCGTTTCCATGGTTCTTCTCTCCATGGAGTTCTCCACACTTGTCGAACTGTAACCTGCATAGCAAGACGAAAGAGCAAATATAAAGAAAGAATAATAGCTTTGTGCCAAATCAGACATGTCAATAGGAAGACTTGACTAGCAGTGAAAGTGCGAACAGGCCCATAGTCGAGACTGACAGGCAGAGGGCAGGAAGCGGAGAAGAAGAGAAACAGCATATAACATGGCAAACGGTCTTATATAGAGTAATAAGTCATCGCTTGACTCACAAAAGCAAAAATAGAGCTGCCTGCTTAGCCTCATTCTATCTTCCAACTTTCGTATCTGGGGCCGGGGCTGTGCACTCCACGATGATTGAAACATTCGAATGAGTGGTCTGGAACTCGAGTCCCGTGACCCTTGGCTTTTCACAAGAGCCTCTTATAACATACCTTAGGGAAATAAACAGGAGTGTATCTGTGGGATCACTCCCAAGTCACTTGAGCGAGAAAGGAAGGACTGACATTCTATATTGATGGGTCTTGTTTCTTCCTAAATTTAGGTCTTCTATCATACACTCCCTGAATATTGGCATCTTTCTGGCAATTTCAGTTCCAAACTTCAATACAGCGGGAGGTCATGAGGCGTTTCAAAATTCTTTCTCACGAGTTAGACGGCTTAACCGAGCGCAGCGAAATCGAAATCACGCTGTCATCATCAGTGACATTCCACAGCAGAGAATAAATCCCCTCGCCCTCGGTCGACGCCTTGACGTAGAAACTGGAAGAGATATCCCCAGATCCAGTTTCGACCATCACCCACTGCCCGTAGAATATAAATCCAGTAGTGGTCTCGTTGGACTCGGTTTTCGAGGTAAAGCCCATCTGGTACGAAGAAGATGATGAGCTGGGGATGTACAATAGTTCATCGCACCAGCGATCAGTAGTGTTGGTGGTGGTAGTGGTGTTTGGATTGGCAATCCATTCGGTAGAAGAAGAGTCGGAAGACCGTTTGACTAGAAAGTGGATTAGTTGAGACATTGGGTGGTCTTCTAGAGAAAGGTTCAACTAACAAGAGACCGGGATGGCGGAGGATGAAGTTGAGTTTGATGGATCACCGATGAAGGCCTTGCCTATTTCGATTGATCGGTAACTGTAATCAACAAATCGTATCAAGTAGGGAAAACAATACCATCAGCGTAGAAAAGTGAAAGTCCACCAATGGATTCACCATAGGCATACAAGCCAAAGCTCTCGTCAACACCAGGGGCGCCTCGAGGCACAAAGCCAGAAGCTGAGGCCAGAAGACACAAAATAGCACCAGAAACCAAATGACTAAGCATATTGGGAAAGTGAAAAGAGTGTAGTTTTTCTCAAGAAATGTATAGGATGAAAGTCAAAACTTATGCTGACATCTCAATGCCTTGTTCTGACTCTATATACCACGGCTGCCCCGTAACACCTTCAGAAACAACATCCTGGGATCTGATAGGGGTTAAGCTATCTTTGCACTGAAACTAGAACAGCTTAGAATATCCGGAACATAGTGGCCGGAAAACTTGCTGGCCTGGACGTGGAGAACTCCACTCCCCAAGGCCGCGTGTTGGCTGACGTCGGTGCAGGTAGAGTTGCGGGTAGACGGAGAAGGTTATCCGCAGGTTTAGACTTGGCATGGAGATCTCACGAGACTGTTTCGATAGTTGAAAATGTACCTTCGAGTTGGAAAAATACAGTTTGATTCCAACCCGTCCCAAAATCCTATCACAAAGTAAATGGCAGTCATCATGTTCTATATCAATCTCGCGAGAGACTTGGCTCTCTCCATCGTGTAATTAGAACCAGCTCCTGATTCTGAGATCTTCTTTATAGAATTGGCCTATCCAAGATATGAATCTATAGCTCGTCCTGTGGGCTAGATGCTGCCACGCAATCATCCTGGTTCAAAGCATTGACCAGTCACCAGGCCCACGCCGGCCGCAGTGGCGCGAACTCCTCCAGGTCCAACATCAGATTTCCGGTTTGTCGCGCGAGGGTCATCCATAGTTTAAAAATAAATAACCAATAGGAACAATCCTGGCCCTCTTGCCTGAGTCTTCGGTTGCGTGGCTGCATTTAAGCTTACGATCGAGTAAGCGTACCTGGTGCCACCTTACCCAATGGGGAACAAGAAGATTCCAATCCAAGCAAGTCTGTGATCCATTTTGTTGCATGAAGATACACTAAGCTTTAATGAATCAGCGGAGGGTATTGTCGGAGATATTGAGCAAGGCTCTTCAGGTACGGATATGATTGAGAGGGCCTCCCATTAAGAACCCTTCATTGCTTTGACTTCCTCTTGTCGCTGTGTAATATTCATTCCTATTGTTTTCTTCCTCTGCAGGTCCTACAGTCTCTTTTTTTTTTGTTCATAAAATACAATCTTCTCGTCCCTCTTTGAGACCTTCCTTCTTATTCTTTCTTTCCAAATTTCATTCTCGTCTCTCTTTTTCAACAATTTACCATGAAGGCCACATCTCTCCTCTTCGGTCTCATTGGTGCGAGTACCGCAGCTTCTCTTCACCATCAACACCTCCATCCAAAGCTCAAGCGAGATGTCTGCTCTGGAAACACTGCCAGTGACAGAAAGACATGGTGCAACTACAACATCAGCACGAATTACTACGACGTGGTCCCCAACACAGGCGTGACTCGAGAGTACTATTTCAATATCCATGAAGTCACAGTTGCACCTGATGGCTATTCTCGCTCTGCCATGGCTGTGAACGGCTCCATTCCTGGTCCTACCATCCACGCCGACTGGGGTGACTACGTTATCGTGCATGTCACGAATAATCTCGCCTCGGCGAAGAACGGATCAAGTATTCATTTTCATGGGATCCGTCAGAATTATACGAACCCCAATGACGGTGTCGTCTCGATAACACAATGTCCGACGGCGCCGGGTAAAACCACGACTTACAAATGGCGTGCCACGCAGTATGGATCGTCGTGGTACCATTCCCATATTGGACTGCAGGCCTGGGAGGGTGTCTTTGGTGGCATTGTGATTAACGGGCCGGCCACTGAGAATTATGATGTTGATAAGGGTAGTTTGTTTTTGAATGACTGGAGCCATCAGACTGTTGATGAGCTGTATGATTCTGCTCAAGCGAGTGGTCCGCCAACACTGGACAATGGTCTGATCAATGGTACGAATGTCTATGGCTATGATAACTCGAGTAGCCAGACGGGATACCGGTTTAATACGTCCGTCACTGCGGGTACTTCATATCGATTCCGTCTGGTGAATGCTGCGATTGATACGCACTTCAAGTTTTCCATCGACAACCACACGCTCACCGTGATGACGATGGACTTGGTACCTATTGAGCCATTTAATACCACTGTCCTGAGCATCGGCATGGGTATGATCGGAGTGTTCTCTATAGTTCAAGTCCGGATATCTGGCTAACGACCATCTCCTATCTAGGCCAACGGTACGACATCGTCGTTCACGCGGACCAGTCCACAGGTAACGACACCTATTGGATCCGGGCCATCCCCCAAGAAGCATGCTCCGACAATGATAGCGTCGACAACATCAAGGGAATCATGTACTACGGCGACACACCCTCTACCCCCACCACAACCGAGTACACCTACACCGACAGCTGCGACGACATGCCCATGTCCGATCTAGTCCCCTACCTCCCTCAGAGCGCCTCACTCCCCTACTACAACGCAAGCGAACCTGTCACTCTCGGCGAGAACTCGGAGAACCTTTTCCGCTGGAAAATGAACGGAACCTCCATGCAGGTCGAATGGGACAATCCCACGCTGCTACAGATCTGGAACAACGACACCAGCTTCACAAACTCGAGCGGTGTGGTCGAATTACCCCGGGCCAACGAGTGGTCCTACGTTGTCATCGAGACTAGTCTGACAGTACCACACCCGATCCACCTGCATGGCCACGACTTTTTTGTCCTTGCCCAGGGCTCTGGTACGTACAGCGGATCGTCGGATATTGCTAGCCTGACGAATCCCCCGCGGCGCGACGTGGCTATGCTACCCAGCTCGGGGTATTTGGTTGTGGCGTTCAAGACTGATAACCCAGGGGCGTGGTTGATGCATTGTCATATTGGTTGGCACACGGAAGAGGGTTTTGCTATTCAGTTCTTGGAACGATATGAGGAAGCGCGTAAATTAATTGATTATAGTGCTCTGCACTCTGGGTGCAAAGCATGGGATGAGTATGTAGAAGAAAGCAGCGTTGAGCAGGAAGACGATGGGATTTAGATGCGTCGTGTGTGGATTTTTGCATGTTTATCTAGCGGCCCGATAGAATAAGATGTGGTGTTTCTGGTGTATTGACCGGAATTGATTTTGGTTTCAGGTATAGAGGTAGATGAAACGGAATGAACCAGGTTACTTAACAATGAATCTACACCCGGAAGAGTATTTGGACCGATGTCATATAGAATATGTTTGGATGAGTTGAGCCTGTCGCGTTTAGGTACAAAGTGCAGATCTGGAACAAGCTTCGACCCAGTATACACTTTGGAGAGTAGATCGTATGGAGGGGACCAGTCTGAGATGTACCAGGTTGTGACCTGGCCTCTGACTGCCGAGGGTCGAACCAATTCAGTCTAGCAGCTCTACATGAACACTTGCTTTTCATTGTCTTGCTCCAATACTAGATATCCGAGACACATACTGGCAAGAACACTATTCATAGTACAGGCAACCAAGTGTTGCCTAAGGCCATGATCAGAGATTCCCCGGACGCGTCGGGGTAAACAAACGGGGGAAGCTCGGGAGCTTGGGCCATATCCGAAACCGCGGATTAATACCAACCTACTCTTCACGGCTTAACGAGATCAACAAGAGATGGACGCGTGTAGAGATATTGATGATTACAAGCGATTAGATTTCAATGAGACTGTAGCATTGATCAAACTATGATTCGGTCAGACGGGGATTGCACCAAGTATCTCGCAAAGCACCACGTCCAGGCCGTTCCCGCAGAGCATCCCGTCGGTCTCCTCCCAGATGAACCAGGAAGAACCCAGGATGCAACTTTGGGGAACGAAAGGGAGTCCAAGCTATGTCTCATACACAAAACACTAAGCCCATCGGCCGGGCGATCATAAAAAGCAAGTAAGAACCACCGTAGAGACCATTCCGTAAGACCCGTGAGTGATAAAACGCAAAAAGATAACCAGAGAGTCAGCGAAAAGAAACACGAAAACGCCAGCAGCTGCGCAAATCAGATTTGCGGCGGGGGCGTTTAAGAAGACTCATCCTCCTCTTCGGCTTGCTAAAAGAATTGTTAGGATCAGAGCTTGAATTGGTGAAGTGATGTCGCCATGGAGGCTGAGGGGAGGGGGAGAGCTTACAGCGTTGTACTTGGCCTTCTCCTCCTCGTAACGCTTCTTGTCGGTAGCGGCCTTGGCGTCGTAGGGCTTGCGCTCGGTCTCGGTCAGAGCCTTCCACTTGTCACCGAGCATCTTGCCGACCTGGCCTGAATGGGGTGTTAGTTGGGATGGACAAGTGGGAGGTATAGAGAGAGAGAGAGAGAGAGAAAGCAGCAACGAGACTTACCGAACGTGATGCCGGGGTTCTCCTCGCGGACCTTGTCACGGTTGTCGTTGGCGAAGAACATGTAGGCGGACAGACCACGCTTGGGGGCATTGGGGTCTGGGTGGCACGTTAGAATCCACGATGGGCAAGATGAGTCAATTTCTTCTCAGAAGGGACTTACCCTTCTTGCGGCGCTGGACGCGCTCCTTGCCGGCCTTGCGAGTAGTCTTCTCCTTAGGCATATTGGACTAGAGGAGAGTGTTAGTGTTGTTCCAAAGGCAACTGAAGTGAGAGGCAATGGCACCCAAGTAAGGCGCAGAGCCTGCGAGAGGCGAGTGGAAGCGTGTAATAAGCAGAGGAAAGCTATGCGACCACAGGCGACTGCGATGCGACAAGCAATGAGGGCAGAAAGTGAGGTGAAGGAGGTGTGGTGTGGTGTAGTTGGTGCCGCGACGCGACTGCGTAACAAGCGCGCCGGCGGTCCTGACTTGACCACCTCAGGACGGATAGAGACGAGACTTACTTTGTTTGAAAGCGGAACTGAAGTTGATTGAAAGGAAATAGATCAGAACGAATCTAATGGTAGTCATCTCATGTTAGTGGTGGATGTTCGAGTAAACATAGGTGTGTAGTCGCGCGACCGTGAGAGAGGTCGTGGTCGCGCGAGTGAAAAAATAGCATTGATGAGGACAGAATGACAGAATCAAGGCCGATGAGAGTAGAAAAAAAGGTGGGAAGAATAATGGTGGTGGTTGTGTCGAGAATCGGGGCCAGCAGGAATGGGGATATAGTAGATTTGGGGTGGTGAGGATATGCAGTACCTGAGTTGTATGGGCAAATAGTGTGGGAGCGGGTTTGGGTAGTGTTAGGAGGAGAGGAGAGAGGGAGAGAGAGAGGGGGAAGGCAGTAGTAGTAGGGAAGAGCGGACTCCCCTTCTCTCTGGTGACGAGACTACTGTGGGAACGGGTGGGCAGCACAGAGCAAGGGCAGTCCGCTGTTTGCTGACTGGCTGGGGAATGTAACGTACGGCCCGTACACAGTACACCCAGTACCCTGTACAGTACTTAGGGAGGTATACGACAGGCAAAGTACCCTCTACCCCAACATTGTTGCTCATCATTCAGCCTCTACGAAATCATGTAAAGAAAACATACACTATAGATCGATGATAGCCATACTTGGATATATTCTAGCCAAGATATAGTCTATTGTTCTTGATGAAAAGAAAAGATAGTCCTGGGTAAGCCGACCTTGACATCTGCAAGTCCTAGCGTAGCGCGACATGGACTATGGCCCTCTCGGGCTCCTTATACTTGGCCGTTTTTTTTCGCGTCTCTTTCATGTCCTGTTATCTAATCGTCACTCAATTCGGAAACTTCTCATATGATCTTTATTTACATTTACTACTACAGTGGTCTTCCTAAGTGTAGGCCGCTTCAGCATCACAAAGCGTTTGGGTGCTGCTGCTGGTCTGCGGCCATACGAAACGGTAACAGACCTACTGTACACCATCTCAGAGTGGAGTATTACGCCTTGATCCATTCCCATAAAACCGCGCACCCCGTCGTACCAGAGTACGCGGTATCGCATAGTCAAGTGACCTCACAGGCAAGTACCCAGTACCAAGTCCGTACGCGTTCCCTCTGACAAGCCGTCACTCTCAAGAAGGCCTTTCCCCCAGGGCAACCACACAGGGAGGAATACGCAGTCAATAAACCGCGTATTGGAGATCGAGTCAGTGGTCGGATATGCTTTGAATGTATATTTTTAGTCCTTATATCGAACTCAAATTGTTTCTGAAGATAAATCCAGCCTTGTTGGAGACCGCAATATCCATTTTCAATGCTAAAGCTATATTGAATAATTCAAAACAAAGATCCCGTAGCGCGTCGTCTCGTGGCAGGCTGCGCGCCCACCCTACAAACCGCCATGTATTGCACCCGTTTGCGCTGTGTCGGAGCAGGGTTGTGCGATGCTCTTAGCGGAGGGATTGCGATCGCACAATGGCACCTTGGCTGTACTGGCAATATGTCCGAGACGATACGAAGGTATGGAGAGGAGAAGTGAGCTAGTACGGAGAGATCACGCCCAAGTACCGCAAGTACCATACTTTTCTACCCATGTCTCTGCTGGCCCCGACAATACTCGTATTGTATGCCGGAGGAGCTAGGACGAGAAGTACATCCGCCAGGGAGAACAGAGTCTGGCTAGAGAATTTAATAGCGCAGCAGATCTAGGCGCGCTTCGGTCACGAGCAGAATAACAGAGAGAAAAAAAAAGAAAGAGAAACAGCATCAAAACTCCATTGAAATCATGCGCAGTATCTACTCAACTGACAGCATCGGCCTACAGTAGGTAAATGTGTATGTAGGCATGGTACCGTATGTAAAAGCTTCCCTAGGACAAAGACTCGACGCAGTGACCTACTACTATGTATTATGTACATACATATGTACATAGGTAGTCAGAGCAATGGCCATCCACCGTGTCGACTGGGCATGCAGAGCAATGCCGCGACCGAATTAGCTCGAGGTAAGGGCCTGGAGTTGCAACTGGAGCAGGTTGCTCAATTCCCAGATTTCTAGTGTGGCGTACAGTAACACTTCTAGCCAAACCGCCCATTGGAAACACGGCCATCAAGAACAGTCCAAGATTTTAGTTACCAGGAAAAAGAAATGAAAGAAAGAAAAGGGAGAGACGTTATCAAATGGGACTGCAATAACTATGATTTTTTGATACCCTTAAGCCTTGTTTTATTTGGTCATTATTCTGCGGAAATAGCTATCAATGGGAAATGCCTTGATACCATGATTATTATCGAGGTACACAATATGGTATTATCAATCATGGCAGTGGTTCCCTATGCCAGGCTCTTATTGCCGATGCGCGAGGGTACATTTTCTGAAGATCGTACTGTAATTTAGGTCGCTGGGCCAGCAGGCTGGCAGGCTAGGAGGGGGGCCGTACATTGTTGGAGGTGGAGGTGGGAGGTAAAGGACTCGATTGGCGCAGCAGGTTCCGTCCTTGCCTGGATCACACCATGATCACAAGCTCAAAATTAATATTGGCGTACCGACAGGATAATTTACCATTCCGTACTAACATACTGTTAGGGGAAGGAATCGTAACGCGGTAGTGGTGGTGGACTGGGGGTGCTGCAACGCGTCGAGTCCCTCGGTACATACTCTCTAGCAATCGGTACTCAGAACCTCGAGGACCTAAGTACTAAATCCCAACGCCTATACGATCTCCTTATAGGGCAAAGAGGTCCCCGTCATGTCGAGGAGTGGAGAGAACAGACTGCAACCCAGATTGGACTAATGCGATGCCCCTGCTAGGATTCAGCAGCGCCCAACGTGAGCCAGCAAGAGTTCAAGGAGGAGAAATTGCATTTGTTTCAATATTACATTCTTCGGGGAAGGGACGAGGAGCTTGGAACTTGGGTGGTACACAGCAACCTTAGCGTGCTCAGAGTCCTGCCTGTGGCAGGGCTGGGAACCATAATCACAGTCCATTTCGTACTTTTCTCCGTACGCCCCTTTCAAGACTACAGTAAATGTACTCGGTAATAAACCGTGACAATACACCACACAGGCCGTACATCCGTCCCGCGTGAATCCACTGGTAACGTTACCAGCTTCCACTCCTTCCGAGAGGAGAACGTCATAGAGTCGTTGCGCCGCGTCGGTATTCTACTTTCCCCTCCCCAAATCGAAAACTCTGTGTGATAAATCTCGTCTTGGAGCTGGGTCCCCATAGCCACACTCTCATAGTGTGATCCGTTCTCCGCGTACCCATAGTGGTAGTCCCAATGTTTGAGCTTTTCACCCCTCAGGAGTTGATCGCTGATCCCTTTTAGCAGGTAATCACCTCGCTAGCAGGTCGCTACGGAGTTTTAAGCGAAGCATTGCTCTGATGCCCATTATCATAAATATGATGTAGCGCATTATTATTTCCTGTCCTTGTTCAATCCCCCGGGATCTGAATCTCCGAGCGCCGACTCGCGCCCGCAAACGATTACCTCTTTAGCTCTGTTTCCGTCCCTGCGGGTGCCCACTGCCCAGTGTGATGTTGGCGTGGGTCAATGGTCCTACACACAATTACTCTTAACTACTGTACGTTAGTAACTGGAAGCTTGGGTCAGCTAGAGCCTAGCAAGCCTAACATCGGCTATTCAAGAATTGACATTTCTTTCTGGGAATGGTCAGGTCCAGCTAAGAATAACCCTCATCCCTATGAGGCTAGTGGCTGGGGCTCTGCAGGGCCTAGGATCGCCATAGAAGAAATGCCATTACAGGATTAGATGGATAAAATAGAGAACGTTAGTCGGTCTCAGTACTGCATGTAGCGCCCAAAACGCCAATACTATGAGGGTATGCTACCAGATAATAATCAACCATACCATGAAACAAAAAGAAATCAGTCATCACTTTCATCCAGCACTAGTGCACGGAGAGTGTCATCATCAGCCCAGTCAAGTCCGCTACCGACCACCATCGCGCTGGCAATGTTCTTCATGGTTTCCCATTTCGCCTTCCTCGTCTTCTGCTCAGCTTCAAGCTGATCCAGCTGCGACGCGAGGTCTGCGTCCTGGAGCCGCTCGCGCCAGGAGGAATCCTGCTTGGTGAGCTCGAGGAGCTCTCGTACCAGCTCCTGGTTCTCTTGGTTGATTTTGAGGTTCTCAACCTCGGCATCAGATAGCTGTTTTAGCACCAGTTCATGGGCTGACGCTAGATTCTCTTGCGCGAGGGCGAGCACGTCGCGTCGGTTCACCAGGCGGAGGAGAGCGCTGCTCGTTGGATAAGATAAGAATTAGATACCCATAGAGAAGCAGGAACTCACGTACCGTTCAGGAGGCATAGTGGCTTTTAGGTGAACTGCTTTCAGAATGGGATCTGTCATGAGAATTGTGCGAGCGGCCTTCGTTCTGACGGTGTAGGAAGCGCGTGCCTCGAGAAACTCGCGTTCCGCGATCGCGAGTGCTTCTTCAACATTGTCGCCCGACAGCGATTCCAGTTCTACCGAGAAGAGTGAGTAGTTTGAAAACGAGGTGCTTGAGTAAGAACAAAAATCAAATGGGCACATGACACGAAAGAATGTAAAATGAACAACAAAGCAATCAGAAGGTCTTCGGAGGAAAAAAGGCTGCCCGCATAGTTAGATCGTACCTTGCTCCAGCACTGCTTTCTCCAACTGTTGTTCCTGGATCTGACTAGCCAGCTGCAGCACCAGCTCTTCCGTATCAGACAAGGTCACGATATCACGGACATCATCTGCCGCATAGTCCACCAGGACAAGCTCGTTAGACAGCAGGTGAGGCCTTGTGGAGGCCTGTTTGGTCGCCATGGGGGGATCTCGTGGGCGGGCGCGGGCGTGGGCCTTGTGATACCATACACTTGAAGCGGAGGGCGGTGGGGAGTCGCTCACCTGGAGCTTCAGCCTCCTCCCGATTTACCCTCGTTAAACCCGCCTCCCCTCCCACTCCCTTGGTCTTTCGAGCTCTCGCGCTCGGTGGTGAGGAGGGGAAATATGTCGTTGCATATCTATATTGCTCACTCCGGCGAGCATTTGCTGGCGGATCCGGTCGCCTTTGCTTCGTATGTTGACTCCTCCCCCCATGAGGGGGCCCATTGCTGGGTCTCGTGCCTACGAATGAGCTCGGTATGCAAGCTAACGCTGTTCTGAATGTTCCAGACCGGATTCCTTAAAAGGATGGATTGTTCGAAATACTTCGATTCCATCTTCCAGGCAGATCTTGATGACTGCGCGAGGGAAGAACGTCAAGACCCAGACGCTCGCCACCGAGGTATGGAAAGCTATACATTGGATCAACAGGCCATGGCCCATCCCAAGAAGAAAATGACCAAGTTCTAATCCCCGAAATCCAGACCGAGATCTTTGTCTATGACCGGCAGTACGTGAGCGAACCCGCCGACTTTGAGCTTCCCGAGCTTCCTGCCCCAGAAACATTCCAACCACATAAGCCCCCGGCTTCGCTGACGGACCAAAACGACCTACAATCATGGCGGAACTTGTTTATGACGAGGAGGACTTGGGCGCTGGATCTATCTACTCGCTGTGGGTCGATGGATAAGAATATCAAGGAGCATAACGAGCGAACTGATGTCATCAACCGTGCCGTTGGTGTGGCCCTTGAGAACCTCAAGTCACACGTGGGTACCCTGGAACATCGCTTCCAGGAGGCACAAACATGGGCCAACAATCTCCTCGAGGAGCAGCAGGCTGCTCTCGATGGCTGGCAGCGCGCTCTGGAGTCGCTGGAGAATATCCCGGCCCGGAAGGACTTCCCTATGCTGGGGCGCCCATCCACCCCCAAGAAAGACAAAGATCAGCCTACGGGGACGCTGCGGGACTTTGTAGATATTAATGAAGTTCTCCAAGCTGGCTCGGATGCTGGGGTCGTATCTCCGCGCTTTGCGGGACAGGCTCGGGACCTTGAACAGGCTGTCAGCGATATCGCCTCGGATACACAAGCCCTGGTGGACGAGGTGGTCCCCACATCGGCGGATGGCGAGGATGGATTGCTTGAGGAAGTGGAAACACTCGCAAAGAAAATTGGCTCTGATTACGAACATGTTCTCGGCTTGCCCAATAATCAGAAGATGCTGGCCAATATTTCTAGGCTTGCGCTCAACCATACTCAGAATCTACTCCCATCGCTGTTGGACCTCAGTGGCGATCTTCACCACGCTTTGGAGCAAGCAGTCCGTCGACGCGCAGCCGCTGAGAAGACAGCCCTACAGCACATGCGCACGATCTCGTTCATCGAGTCACGCCTTGCCGACGCCCATGCGCAGCTGGTCAACTTTGATATTGACAGCAATGCGTTTGATGTACTCTATGCTGTTTTCCAGATGCCAATGATCTACGGATCGGTCCTCATCGAGTCTGTTCGCAGGCGTGTATGGAATGATAAAATCAAAAGCGACTCGTTGGCCCTAACCGAGGAGATGGCCATTTTGAGGGACGAAGAGCAGCGCCGACGGAAGAAATGGATTAAAACTATGGGCGACTTCATCTCCTTTGGAGATTCTACAACGCCGGGGATTGAGGTCAACCTCCATGGCCAAGATAGTGACTGGCCCGAAGTCAGTCGAAACGAGATTGAGACATATATTGAAGACCTGCGGAACAAACACTCATTGTCGAATATTGCAGATGACCTAGCCCAGCAATTCAAGGATCTTGATGGACCAACTCGCCAGCAAAGACGACGAGCAAAAGCGTTCAAAAATGGTAGTGTCTTTGACTTGAGTCGAAGCTCTATGCTACTACGCGGTGATGACATGGTCCGAAGTCTGCAAGAGGAGAAAGGAAAACTGGAGGAGAAACTCAAGGGGTCTGACAGTCGCATTCGGAAATTGGAGGACCTTCTGCATCGCCAGAGCCACATGAGTCGGCCTTCGAGCGGCAACTTTGGACATGACTTCCCCCTCTCCCCTGCGTCACCCCACCCCGATGCTCTCTCGAGGCGCTCCTCGGTCTCGTCGAGGCGTGTGTCCATGACTCAGTCACCAGAGGACAGAGCTTTGGTCCAACGCATTGTCTCGCTTGAAGCAGAGCTCAACGTGGAAAGAGAAACAGTGCAAAGACTTCATAAAGAAGCTCACGCCGAGCGCCAGTCAAACTCTGACAAATACCAAGAGGCTCAATCCACCAAGCAAGATCTCATTGGAAACCTCGAAGCGCGACAACGCGAATTTGAAGATGAGCGAAGATACTTGGAAGCAGAGGTCAAAAAGTTTAGACTTCGCACCGAAGAGGTGGAAGAAGAGCTGGATAGGCTCGTTGATAGCCGGGAGCATGAGAAGCAAGAGGTCGACGAGCGGATTAATCAGCTCGAGACTGACCTGCAAGCCGCACAAGCTAATTCCGCCGAGGCAACTCGCACGATTACAGATCTCAACGAGCGGGTTGAGTCTCTGCAGCAGGACGAACAGCATCTCCAAGAGAAGGTTGAAGATCTGGAACGTCAGCGTGGCGAATTGACCCGGAAGGATCAAGACCATTATAATGCTTTACAGTCGGCCTTTATGAATCTTTCTCCGGGAGGAACAGTCCCCACTGACATTCCTGGCATTATCAAAGCTATCGAGGTTCTCGCCGAAGGCTTGTCTATCCATGTGAAGAGTGCGGAGGACAGTGCCTCGAAGCTGATGACTGAGAATAAGGCTCTCGAGGAGAGGATTTCTCAGCTAGAGTACGAGCTTGAGGGACGGCTGAAGGTTGCTGATGATCGCGAGGCCGAAATCACGCGATTGACGCAACAGCTGAAGAAAGAAAAGCTGGACCTGGACGTCGTCAAGGCTGAACTAGACCAGGAACGATCTAGACTGAATACGTTGCAGTCGCAAGTTTCAGCTGGCGAAAGTGGTTCTGATGCCTTGCGAGAGCAGCTCGCGGAGGAAGAGCGGAAGCAGGCTAATTTGGCGCGGAAACTGGCCGATGCAGAGTCTCACGCTCGGGATCTACAATCCAAAGAGGCAGATTGGGAGGGAAAGGTTGAGGAAGCATCTCAAGCAGCACAACAAGCTGTTTCTCGACTGGGTGCCCGAGGTAGCAAGTCGCATGACTTGTCCAAGCAACTATATTCACAGATTGAGAAACTGGAGCGGATGCTGGAACAGCTCGGATTCGCGATTATTCAACAAGAAGGCCGTCTAATCGTCCAGCGTGCTTCCAAGCTCAGCACCTCATCTAGTCTAGGAGAAAGTATTGCCCAATCCGGCATTATCACGGCGAGACCAGACTCGGCTCTTCTAGGCTGGATGCATGCCGACAGCCCTGAAGACGAGGAGACTAGATTCACAGCTTTCATGGAAAGCCTGAATCATTTCGATGTTGCCGTCTTCGGGGATGTGGTGGTCAAGCGTGTCAAGGACATCGAGATACTAGCACGCAAATGGCAGAAAGAAGCCAAAGGTTACCGTGAAAAGTATCACCGAGTCCAAAGCGAAGCTCACGAAAAGATCGCTTACCGATCCTTCAAGGAAGGCGATCTCGCTCTGTTCCTCCCGACTCGCAACCAAGCCATCCGTTCCTGGGCCGCTTTCAATGTCGGTGCACCACATTACTTCCTGCGCGAGCAAGACTCTCATAAACTGCAAACACGGGACTGGCTACTGGCCCGCATCAGCAAGATTGAGGAGCGCGTCGTCGACCTATCCAAGTCTTTGAGCGGGGTCGCTCCAGACCGGCGCTCTCTCGGCGACGCCAGCGACGTCGCTTCCATCGACGAGAATCCTTTCGAGCTATCCGACGGTCTACGTTGGTACCTTCTTGATGCCACGGAGGAAAAGCCCGGTGCCCCGGCGACACCTGGCATTGCTAAGAGCACCGTTGCATCTGCCCACGTCGATGCGAAGGGAAGCATTCGTCTCAAGCGACCCACGGAAGAAAGCACCGTCGCCCAAACCTTGTCCAGAAGCCTTGAGAGCCGTCGCAATAGCTCGAACTCGAAACGAGGCACGCCTACCCCCTCGCAAATGGCCAACGACTCCGCCTCCGATCTAGTTCGCCCTGCCGACGCAGACGCCGGCTCTCAGCCTCGCGAGTCTGCCCCGATCTTCGACGAGGTGCGCCGTGACCTGCTCTTCGGCCCGTGAAAAGTAGGACGCAGAACTATCTTTTCCCGGGTCTTTTCTCCAAAATGACGACACTAACTTGGTATTACTTTCCTAGGCACAGAATCGAGCCCGGATCCCGACCTCTGCCAGTCAGTCTCTGAATGCAGGCGAGATCGCCACTTCCCCGGCATCCCCGCCCTCCCGATCAGCCTCTACTCGTCGTCAGAATGGCGCCCGGAGACCATGGGAGAAATTATGGTCTCTTGATTATCGATTTGAAGATGCTACGCAATAGAACGGCAATGGTTACACCGGAGCGTTGCGCGTTGTGCAGTAATCATTTCATGGAATCAATGTTTTTCCTTTTCTGTTCTTGTGATTTGCTTTTTGGACGTGTTTTCTACTTGATTGTTTTGCTGTTTTCTCCTCCGACGCTGCACACGTGGCCTTGGGGAGACTTATATGCCCTTGATGGGAGTTAGTTTGACGAGATACCCAATAGTACATAACCTGATTCCCACGGAAGAGTCTGTTCTTTACGTGTTCTGTTCCTGGGTGGGGTTTGAAACTCATCCTCAACTTATTTTAATGGGTGAAGTAGTCTGAAAGTCCTTCAAGCCGGGTTATCATACCGAATGATTCGGGATCCAGGGAATGGACACCAACTTCGTTGTGAATGAAAGGAAGAAAGAGAAAACAAGAAACAAGAATGAACGTACGGTGGAAACAAAGTAGACTTTCGACTGCAAACCTAACAACATGCACAGTCCGAGGGCAGTGGTGCAAGTGAGGCCTATAGAGAGTCGATATTGGGTCGATATGGGGGATAACGAAGGCATTGACCATGGATCACTTCAGGTGACCATCACCATAAGCTCCTTAATTTTCGTAAGTGGGCCTTGTTTGTCTGCAATTCTAGTTTACTTGAAAAGGCACTACGTAAGGCGCTACATGCCTGAATAAAGATTGGGTATATATCATAGAAGTGGCCGTTAAGATGCTAAAATTCAAAATGTAACCAGCCGAGCTATATGCATTCATGAGAGGAAAAAAGTCGAACCAAGAAAAGAAAAACGAGACCAGAAATCAAGTCGCTGTCTCTTGAGCGCCCTCCATGCCCACCAGCTCATCGTCCCAGAATTGACTGAAATCGACATTCTCCTCGTCGAACATCTGCTTAGCCTGCACCATAGCAGATCGCTGCCTCTCCGGAGTAAATCCGCCAGGCTGCGAGCTTTCCCATTGGACCAGCTCAACCCAGCGGAAGAACAAATCCTCCTTACCCATTGCAGTCAACCGCTCCCTGAAAGCTAGGATCTGGTCTCGTTGAGCAGACTTTCCGGCAGGTGTGTTTTCGTCCCCAACGCGCCAAATCAGCCAGCCATCCGAGTCAGTGTGAACCAGCACCGCTGTGCGGAACTCGTCCAGCTGCACACCCTCGCCCTTACGGGTCAGGTCGACCAACGCGTGGGCGCGGATCATGGCGCGATAGTCCAGGTTCCAGTCCTCGTCGACGAGCAGGTATCCCGTCTTACCGATACGCTCGGGTGTCACAGCGGCGACGATTTTGTCGCGCATAGCATCGTTATCGCGAATCCATTTGTTGCGCTCGAGCTTCTTGCTCCAGCTGCGGTGGCTGCGACGGACGATGATCTCGCGGTCTCGGAAGCCCACGGCGCGGCGCCAGCGGACGGGGCCGAGCACGAAGTGGATGGGCCACGACAGGAACAGCGTGACAAGGAAGTAGTCGATCAGGATGGTACCAACCCGGCGGAGGGTGATCTGTGCCAGTTCTGTCCACGGTGTCGAGGCGATGTCCACGCTCAGCGAACTCTCCATGCCGATCAGAATGGCCACTAGCGCTGGGTATGTGCTAAAGCCCCAGTAGACTCGTAGGGCGATCACTGCTGCCACTACCACGTTGACCACCGTGGGTACGATGAAGGTCTGCCATTTCAGTTCTGTTCCCGTGGTGTCGATGTGGACTAGGTATACCTCCTCCGGGGAGAGCGGGTCGAGGAAGGGCTTGAGGATCGAGGGAGCTTTGGTGAAGGGTGGAATAGGTCCAGAGGATACAGAGCTTGGGGTTGAAGCGCCCGATGAGCCTGGTGTTGACGCGGGCGTCCTGCGGCGGGACGATTTCGCCATGGCTGGTGTACTTCGGAGAGATATCGCGGGCAAGATAGTGGCTGTTCGGTTCTTTCGTGAAACCTGTGTGTCTGTGTGTCCTTGACCAAGGGTACACAGCAGATCTGGCAGATTTTTGGTTCTTATCTGGCGCGTTGTTTGAAACTGATCGATGATCAAGGCAAATGAGCGGGTCACATGTCACAGCATTGAGTCACTTGCGAGGTGGCAGGCGATGCTCGCATGATTTGGCGCTTGCTAAATCAGGCAGCAGGCAGAAGTGGCTGCGGACACGAGGATGGCAGTGATGCGATACTGCGATGTTTGACTCGCAAGGAGAGAGGAAAGTGGAAGTTGCTGAAGTTAAAAACATGCAGTTGGTGAAGCTGGTGCGGGCCCGCTCTAGCCCCTTCGGGGAATGCGGGAGCTCCGTATTTACGTGCAGTACTTTGAAGGTTAAATCATTCCAAGTCCGCGACTCTGTATCAACCAACAAAAGGGATAAAGGGAGTAATCTTTTGCTTGATATTTGCGGGAGAGCAGCCTCTTATTTTCTCTCCGTCGCCATGGCCTCTCCCCGCAAGAGCGACCGAGCTGCACTGGCGCGTCACCACCAGCCGCAGTCGCCCTTTGCCCGCGCGCGAGAGCCCAGCTACGAATTCGATCTCGATAATTCACATTTTCCTACACCTTCAAAACAGACCGGGTCGCGTCCCAGGCCCAGCTTCCGTACAGGCACACTTTCCGGCGCGTATCGAGCCACTTCGCGCGCAAGTATGTCCGACGACGCCGCTGGACTCGGTTTGACCACCAGCCCACGACAGACCCGAGATTTTGTCACTGCGCGCTCGCCTTCGTCGGATATTTCCAACCCACCCGAAGAATTAGTCGATGTGTACAGGAGGATTGAACAGGACGGAACACTGCCAGACTACGTGCCGATGGACGATTGGGAGGCTCCCTCGATACGCGTCCCGCAGGTCGGCTGAGTCGCTCGTCGCCTCGAGCAAGGGAACGAGAATTCGAGGGTCGCGCATTTTCCGAGGCGAGCTTCGGCAATGAAAACCCGCCACGCAGGAGAACCACCGACTATGCTAGAGACGAACAGCGACTTCGACGTGTGACGGGCAAGGATTCGCCGGTATTCAGCAAAGCCAAGGTTGGGACTCGTGCTGCCCTTACAGCGGACAATTTGCAACGAAGGGAGGAGGAAGAACACGTTAAAGTGTCAGAGGAGGAGGATGGTGAACCTGGCCCAGCGTTGAACTTGCCGCGGACTTGGGGGACTCGCGCTGGACGCCGCTCCGAATGGCTCAGGAACGTCAGCGGAAGCACCACGTCCGAGACACAAGAGAGGAGAGGAGAGCGAGCGCCCCTCGACGACGCCTCAAACACACGAATAAAGGCAGATGAGAACGCTCTTTCGGGATATTCTGCCCGCTCATCCTCACGGACTGTCGAACGAGGCAGCCTTCCAGTCCGAAGCGCTCTTGGCGAACTAACAGCCAATCTACATGCCCGGGAAGTACTACAGGACATGAAGGACGAGCTACATAGTTGGGACCAGAACGCATCACAAGGCGAAGGTGTCCACGTACCGAACACGCCTATCGTGGTCTATAAGAGCTCCGGCTTGACCAAGCCTAGCGCAGCAAAACGAGACTCGCAAGATTTGCTCCGCAAGCTCGCGCGAACTGAGAGCCCGAAACTTGAACAAATGCAGACACCGGATCACCCGAAGCTTTTCGAACGAAGGATTCACGACAAAACACCCCGAGTGACGGGTGCCTGGATTGATACCCCCATGACCGAACGAGTGACGGAGCTTCCTCAGGATTTGACGAAGGATATTGTCCTACCATCAGTACCCGCAAAGGAACCCGAAGCTCCCAAACAAGAGCAAAAACCTGTTAATGTTCAACTGCCTGTTAAAGAAATAAAACCAGAGCTGGTTGCTTCGGAGCAGCCCGTCTCTGAAGCCCAGCCTGCTAAACGGAGCAGAGCGTCTGTGATTCGACCAAAGCTACCAAAGAGTGGCCTCCAAACGGTCATTGAGGACGTGAGCTCTGGCAAAGAAACACTTGACCTGGGAGACGATACAATTGAATCCCTCCAAGCAATTATGGACGACCAGACAGAGCTCAAGACAGAAGAAGAGGAAGAAGCTGCCTATGAACAGGAGGTGCTTAGGAGACTTGAGCTGGCCAATGCGAATGGGCAAGACTCGGTTGATATTGACCGCCTGAATGATAAACTTCATTCACTCGTGAGAAATATCAGTGAAGTGAAGAAGGGCCTGAATAGTCTGGAAGAGCACGTTATCCGAGATGCCGCTATTGTGTCGCGGCCAAGCTCCCCCAAGAAAGCCGGTAAGCAGACACTGGAGTGGGACTCCAGTGAAAATTGCGAGAAATGCGTCCACGATGATGGCCGTGTATACGCTGCGATCCCACTTCCTCGCCTGTGGAAATGGAATCCTAATTTACGGCGTCGTCAACTCACCAACTTGGGTTGGGTTGTATTTATCTCGCTCTCCTGGTATATCATCGAATGTCTGATGTGGGATCTGTATGCCCATCCTTTAATCTCCGAGACATGCGAGGGTTACTGCCTTCAAGCGGATGCGCCTGAATTTCCCTTTGTGACTGTCACGATGCTTTGGCGCTGGTCCCATCTGGAATACCTTTTGGCACCTCTCGTCACAATATCCGTGGCCTGCTTCCGTCTAGTGGCACAGCTGCTGGGTCTATGGGATGGCTATGTCGAGGAATCGCCGCAGCTGGGCAATATTGTCGGCGAGATTCGTGTCAATGGTACGCCAGTCTCATTCCCCTGGCTGACGTCTCCGGGGCAGACGGTTGCACCGTCACAGCCATCTGCACCGCAACCACCTGTGTGGACCCCTCGCAATGAAGTTCCGCGGAATGAAGCCCCCATACAGTGGGCCGACGACCAGGTGTCTATGGACGAGGATGAATATCTTTGAGGTTCTAGTTAATTTATGAGAATGAGCATCAACGGGCGTTTTATTTTGGCTGTGTCGGCCAGCTGCAAAGGAAGGGGCATGAGAGTTAGGGCATGTTGTTATCAGCGAAGTAATTGAACATTATCTTAATGCAATATTTAACATCAATGCTTACATTTATCGATGGCTGATAGGATCCGAAGTTTTAATCAGGATGGTTTACTCACAACGCCCCTAAACCCGCGATTGATTTTCTGAACATGGACTATCATCGCGAAGAGGGGATCTGGAGTAAATATTCCAGGAGCAAAGCAGGGAATGTTCTGCATGCAGTTGAATATGCGAGACGAGCTGGAAGCCAGGGCATCATCAGCATGGTTCGGATGACTGGACTTATCAATATTGTTCACGGATGCTAACTTGAGGGGACAGTGCTTGAATCCGGATAATTTTGTGACCAACCTTCAACAATCCATGCCAAAATGCCAATTGGCCTTATTTGTGTGTCTCTTTCCTATCATTATACTAAATGCCTTCCCACTTGTCTCTGGTTTAACACTCCAATGAAGAAACTTATTAGCCACGCCCCAGTCAATGGCGCTTACACTGAACTCTTCGCTGGCCTTCATCAATCCATCACCCAAGAGAACAATGGCGGTTGGGGTAGGTCTACATGCTATAGACGTGATATAATGCACCATATCTACGTATAGAAGCTGATCAATTATCTTAGTCTCGCCGTTCGGAAAGTTTGAATCAGTACGTAAGGATATGCTGGACGCAAATCTCTGCGGGAGTACTGGGAGTGGTGTGAGGCACAGGTCACGCCGTATATGTAATGTAGCTGGAAGAGTGTTGTTGCCATATATATCTGGATAAAACTGAAGAAAACCCTTGTCCGCCATGAACAACTGCCTGATCAAGCATCACATGATCTATTTTGATAGACAGGTCACAGGTAGATCAGTCGACAGATCATGCCAAGCCTCCTCTACAGCTATCATCTATAATAAGTTCACACAGTTCTTGAAATAGTGTTTGTTTCCTATTTTTTATTTTTTATTTTCAATATCTCGATCATTCAGAAAGCAATTTATGTTCAATAATCGCTCATCAATACGACACATACAGTACAACACGGGTATAGAATGATAGAATGAAATCTTGGTATGTATTTACAGCTTCGCCTGTGCACGCCACTCCTTCAGAAGCGCCTCCTCATCGCGAACTCGCCAACCAGCAGCCTTCTTCATGCGCACATCAACCTGGTCATCATCAACCTCAGAGACCTCCTCCAGCGGGATCTCGCGTGTCGACCGTAATCCATGCCCGAACCACGTCGAATGTCCGGTTGGTGTGACACGACCAGCTGCAGCATCACGACAGAACTCGGAAATGCTCTGGAAAAACCGCTTTCCCATCGGTGTAGATATCATCAGTATCCCATGGCAATGCGGCATTCCCTCGAACTGCTCTGCCACCACGGGTACACCGGCTTTGTGCATGCGCCGTGCCAGAATAAGACCTTCGTCTGTGAGAAGTTCCTCACCGGTCGAGATGAAGACAGGTGGGGCATCTTTCCAGAGTTCCGGTTTTGCTGCGAGTGGAGAGGTGAGAGGGTGCAGCATCATGTTTGCGTTTACGAACATGTCTACACGAGGCGGAGTCACCGGCCATACAGAGCTGGGTGGGAATGGTAATGGTGTGGAAGGGGCGGGTTCATCTGGATCATCGGATGAAACGGTCTTCATGTCGAGATAGTCGTATTTGCGATTGCGAATGATAGAGGGCATGGCGCGGGTCATATCACACCAGGGGGAAATAGTAGCTACGCCTGCGGGGAGCTCAATGTCCACTTCCTGGCCGTGAAAGCGGACCGGTCGAGAGGCTCGCTTCAAAGTAAGAAGTGTCTGTAGTAGTACTATGGATAAATTGGCCCCTGCGGAGTCGCCCGCAATGATGATTTTGTTCGCAGGAACAGGCTTGTGGAGGGCACCTGGAGGCGGGTGAATAAGTGACAGGTAGGCTGTCAAAGCATCGACCAATGCTGCAGGGAAGGGGTTCTGCGGCGCAAGCCTATATCGCACTGAGAGAACCGGAGCGCCTGTCAGACGGGACAGATGCGCCACAGGCACGCGATGCGTGCAAGGGTCCATCAAACTGCAACGATGAGTATTCGAGATTATTAAAGCCGGAACTTGATCAAACTTACAAGTAGGCACCACCATGGAAATACAGAATGGCCATATCAGAGGTAGACTCTCTCCGCAGCTGGTGGTATTTTTCTTCTTCGGAGAGATCGGGCTGCGGTGTCTTCTTGCCTACTCCACTGCGATAGCCTGTCCATTCAGCCTCCACTGCTGCAACAGGGGGCATGTCAAACGTCTCATTGCCTGTCGTCTTGAGATCTTCAATAGCGCGTATCACAGCGTCACGCACATCGAACTCTGGCCGGGGCAGCGTGACTTTGGACACCCACATGGGGCCCTTGATGCCAGGGTCGCGCATACTATTCTTCTGCGTCTTATCCACTGGAGCACTGAAAGTCATGAAGGAGCGAATGATGGACGTAGTGAGTTCCGTGCGGATGTCTTGCTTTCCCTTAACGGGAGACATTTGAATTCCATGGAGGACGAGCGTTTTCAAGATCAAAGGAATTCGGACGAGTAGCTCCTTCAGGAGGTGGATGGTACGTTTGAAGTCGCCCATTTTGAGCAGGGGAAGAGAGTGGCTTGGAGCACTGCTCCTGGTAGGTTGGAAATTGGACAATAGGAGATGTTCCAACGGACCAGGAGTACTTCCTTGGAGATATCCAGCCTGCAGAGACAACCAACTGGGTTATAACTCATGAACTGGTCGAACTACTGGAGAAAACGGGATCCTTGGAAGTGGCGCCCGTCCAGCCGAGGTCCGGTTTTGCGGGGTCCACTCGTGCTCATTTCTTGGAAAACAGCCAAGAATGTAAGAGAGACTAAAAGTTGAGATCTAAGCAAATGATACTAGACCCTACAGAGGGAAGATCCAGCAGAGCCCAACCAGTATTTGAGGAGAGATATGTCCGTTCTTATAGACTTATGCCAGCCCTCCGTATATGTACGGCTGGTAAAGTTCCTGATGTATGCACAACGCCGACCCTCGAACCAGAACGCCCATGCAAATCGTAAACTCATAGCACCAGAAGATAGACTTCAGCAAATCCAGATCAGGGTTGTGGAGGGAGATCCTCTGATCTCTTGGCATGAACTAGTGGTGCCGTCTCCACAGTCTCCGGACTGCTTAGGCGATCTTGCGCCTTTTCAATGTCAGGCACTTCCCGCAAAGGATGGAGTTCCTTCTGATAAACGGCCTCCTCTTCTTCCTTCAGACCCGATCCGGTCGGGTCTCTACGAATCAGGAAACTCTGCACTCGAGCATCATTGTGCGGCATCTGAGCAACCGTGTGCTGTCGACGGCCCGTCAAGAATCGCATCGAATCTTCGCTTACCTCGCGCAAACGCTGCTCGTGTCCTGAATTCAATTGTCCGATCCAGGAAGCCTGGACCGCACCGCCGAACAAAACGAGAAGAATGACCAGTCGGGTAAAAGTACGTTGGTCAACGACGTGCTGTTGTTTTCCCTGATGGCGATTATTCCATCGCTCCCAGTCCTCCCACGTCGCATTTGCATAGATTGTAGGCCCATAGGGTCCCCAATCGGCAGAAGCATCGGCCACGGTGTTGTAGCGTTTAGGGTTGTGACTCCACCCAGCACCCGTCTGATCATAGGCAGCTCGCCGGGTCGGATCGGAGAGGATCTCATGAGCAGTGACCACTATTCGATACCTCTGTAGCCGAACTTCAGGAGAGATGTTTCGACAGAGAGGGTGCTCGTCGCAGGTCCGGTCTGGATGGTAGATCTTTACCAGGTCGTAGTACCGAGCTTTTGAGTACGGAGCGTTGCGGTGGAGGTTGAGAACTTCATATGGTGTAAAAGATGAGCTTGAGGGCCAGGAATACGGGCGAACCGAGGGATCCGCTGCGGTTGCATAGCCTCGATTAGACCGGGTTGTCCATAGTCCAGGACATGAGGCATTGAAGCTCGCGCGACTAGGTGGCAAAGTCGTGGTAGACGAACTCAGGAGCAGAATGCCACCATAACTAGAGAGGCTAGCCTTCTTGAACATGGCCGCATGATTCTGGAATGAGATCAGGGTGAAAATCCCAATCGCTCTCTGGTGGTTTGAAATGGGAACGGCAAATAGTGAGGGGATTCGTCCCCTCACAAGATACTTGGAGATGGTCACGTGGGGCCGGAGCTTGATTTGCCGGAGATTTCGAGAGGAGCTCGGAGTGGCATCACTCCACATCACTCTCACTTGAGCTTGTCTCCACAGAATGGCAGGGTCAGAAGACGACTGTCGAGACCGCAGGCGGCTTTCGCCATCCGATGCTTCAGATCGGAGCCGTGAACGGCGACGAGACACCCGGGACGACTACAAGAGCTCACGGCCCCGAGACGACGATCGTCGAAGCTCTCGTCGAGACAGTCCTCGGCGCAGATCTTCGCGCAGCCCGCCTGCAAGAGAATCTACTCGAAGAGACCATGACAAATCCCGCCGGGAGCGCAGAGAACGCTCTGCAGACTCTGCAGACAAGGATCGCCGAAGAGATAGACACCGCAGTCATCGACATCGCGACGACCGCGATCGCGACCACGAACGCTCGTCAAGGAGACATCGAAGCCCACGACCTCGGTCTCGATCTCGTTCTCCCCGCCGGTCACACACTTCACCGCGCGCGCTAGAACGGCGCGGCCCCCTACCTCCACAATCTGATGCCTTTTCCGGCGAACTGGCGCAGTCCGGCGACGCACCTCCACCCGAGAAGATCAAGCCCAACTTCAACCAGACTGGACGACTTGCCGCTGAAAGCAACACGGTCCAGGTTCAAGGAGGTGAAGGAATTGTCTTGAAATACCATGAGCCTCCCGAGGCCCGTAAACCACCTGCCAAAGAGGCCTGGCGACTCTATGTGTTCAAGGGAGAGGACTTGCTAGAAGTGGTGGAGCTCGGTGAACGAAGCTGCTGGCTGATCGGTCGTGAGAATCGCGTGGTGGACTTTCCACTCGAACACCCAAGCTGCTCTAAGCAACACGCCGCACTTCAGTTCCGCTACGTCGAAAAACGGAACGAATTTGGAGATCGAATTGGCAAGGTCAAGCCTTATCTAATTGACCTGGAGAGTGCAAATGGTTCTCATGTCAATGGTGAGGCTATTCCCGCAGGTCGCTATGTGGAAGTCATGGACAAGGACGTCATCAAATTCGGTCTGAGTACCCGTGAATACGTTCTAATGCTGCCAAACTGAGCGTTCCGCTTGTCACAACATCCTTTCCAGCAATCTGGAACTTTTATGATCCTAATGAAAGATATCGAATACAATCTTGATATCATGGTTTGTGGTGTACAGTACAAAACGGCGAGAGACGTTCATCCTCTACGAGGACAAGAGTATGCATCGCCATCAACCCAGATGCTCCCGCTTAGCCTGCTTGGCCTTGCCTTCCATCTCATGCATCTTTCCCTTGGCTTTCCCGGCTAGCTCCTCGGCCTGTCCCTTGCCCTTGCCCATGTACTCCTCCGCCTCACCCTTGACTGATTTGGCCTTTGACTCGGCCTCTGAACTTGTGGTACCCACGGTCTCCTTGACCTTCTGGCTAGCATCTCCTGTAAAGGAACCTCCGATTAGTGTCCGAATGCTCCACGATTGGTTTCGCTGCGTTTCAGAGGAGGTGTATAAACATACTTCCGAGGTCAATACCCTTAACTGCTGCGTCGGATACCACCCGGTCGGCTGCCTTCAGGGTATCCTTGGTGGCGTCCACAGGTCCCTTCTCCAATCTAGCGGTCGTTGAGATAGATCGCAAGCTCACTGAAGTCGGGGCAACGCAAGTGGCCACTCGGGACCTGACAGCTGGGACAATACGTGCGGCGGACATTGTGAGTGTTTATTTGATGGGAAGAGTTGAAAGTATTGAGTTTGTAGGTAGTGGTTGGAGTTGGAGGAAACTTTAAAGTATTTGATGTTTGAGTGTAGTGCAGAAGATGTACAATTCCGAGAATTGGCGTGTGAATCGTGGTTTATCCTACTTTATAGTTGGGAATAGTTGGCCCTGTGTTGGCCGATAGTTGGTAATTGCCGACGTCATCGGCATCACATTCCTGACGTCGACAAACGATCACAATCCTGCCACCAGATCTTGCTTTGCTTGCTTGTTACTTGATTGGCGATCACGAAAATTAATTAGAGCCAGGCTTGATCCGGCCATTGTTCTCGGCCTTGATCATCATTGTGGGCTCTAGATTTGGCTCTTTTGTGAACCTCTAGCTACGGGCCCTGAGTGGGCGCACAGACTACCTGTTCCAGAAAGTTACTATGAACGTAGTTAAACATTTTAAAACAACGGCAGCAGTTTCTAGCTCATGCAATAATAGGTTTTCCCTGTGACAGTGCGAGACGATTACGATGCCACTGAATTCCAAGTTAGTTCAAGTCACACATGAAGAAGGGGAAGAGACATGCCTTCCCACAAGAAATAGGCTCATACAGAGCAGGATGATCCTCATCAATGCACGACGGCACAACCTGACACACCGAATCAGGATTGAATCCCAAGAAAAACGGCATCGAATACCGAGACGTAGTCTGTCGATTATAAACCCGATGCACCGTCGACTTGAATCGATTATTCGAAAGCCGCTGCAAAAAGTCCCCAATATTCACCACCAATGTCCCAGGTATAGGTCGCGCGTCCAACCACTCATCGCTCGCAGAGAGAACTTGTAACCCGCCAGACATATCCTGCCACAGCAACGTGACACACTGGATATCAGTATGCGAGCCGATGCCGACGTCTGTCTCGGCGTCGGGGGAAATTGTCTCTGGAGAACCGGGGTAGTGGACGTACAGTCCGTCGGCACCTGGGTTGGTGGTTACGGAGTCGAAGTAGTCCTCGGGCATGTTGAGGGCCAATGCGAAAATGCGAATCATTTTGCGGGCGAGAGTTAGGCGTTTCTGCCAGAATTCGATGGTCGTTTCTCGGAATCCCGGGATATGGGAAGTTCCCTCCCATAGGAACTCATCGTTTCCATAGGAATAGCTTGGATTAGAGAGAAGGGGTTCTGGATTGGACATTGTTGGGTCGTTTATGGGATTATAGCGCAGTGAAAAGGTTTCCTTGCGATCTGAATGACATGAGTTAACTTCAACTACAAGTCATCGATTCCTCTTTTTGATGAGAATCCCCACCTCGTGTCTCTGTTTTATTGACCTGTGTACTTCCAACCCCGTGAAAGCCATCTGCATGCTTGGACTTCTTATTCGAGACCAACTCTTTCTGCTCAATCGTTTGACTGAAGAAGGCCTGTGCTGTGGAGAGAGCACGATCCAATAACTCTTCCGAAATACCATGGTTCTTGATATAAAAGAACCCTGTATTCTCAGCCGCAGCTTTAACTTGCGATGCGATAGCTTTTCTCGCTTCCAAGCCGTTATCGATGGTGCTCAGATCAATGATCGGGATCTCATCTTCGGTAGGTAGTCGAGGCGGCGCAGTAGACACTCGGCGAAACTCTGGTCCCTGGAGGGTCAGTAATTCGACCTGGGTGTATTGAGTCACTGTTGCCATGGCGTGTACGATAAGGACGGAAATTGCGGGGGTTGAGTTGACTTTGGAGATCGAGAGGATGGCGTGAGCGGGTGGCTGCAGATTTATCTATAAACGGGGTACAGCTTGCGAGGATGATTCCTCCAGATAAGTATAGATGGATAAACCAGTCATGGAACCACGGAGGACGCCGATTTCCTATAGCCTCATGGCATCTTTCCATGATAAGAGCATCTCTAGGGATCGTGACTCTGCGTCGGGTTTTCTTCGGGCTTATCACGTCGAGGATCCAGGTCGAGTGTTGACTGGCAGTTCTTATCGCCGTCGGATGCGTGGCGTAGCCCTAACGACCGCTAGCATCTTGGCCCTGACTCTGTTATCGCCTGGTGTCTTGTATCTTTATCTGATCGAGATAAAGATACAAGACCATTCTTACTTCTAAGAGGTCGCCTGGAGAATGTGAACGTGCCTCTTTCACCTCCTAACTGGAAGAGAACGCCAGGCTTCCAGATTTGGAGAACCCAGTTTACCAGCGAAGCCATGACACTCATGATATCGCACCTGCACGAGCAACTTCTTGTCAAGGCCGTTGACAAACATGGCTCCCAGCGACCCGTGGACATGTTGGACAATGACTCCATCCGTCCCACACCAGCCAAAGATCGAACCTGGACTCAATTCACGTACATGATGTTCTGGTTCTCTGCGACGGCAAACGTCAGCAATTTGTACTCTGCCTCTACGGGAATGACCATGGGGCTTACCATGTGGGAGGCTATTGCCTGCTCCTTTGGTGGCCAGATTCTTGCTGGATTCTTGATGGCACTGAACGGTCGTGCTGGTGCAATGTATCGAATTCCCTTCCCCGTGTTATGTCGGTCTAGTTTTGGGCCGTGGGGTGCTTTCTGGCCGACTTTCAATCGGGCGGTCATGTCGATTGTGTGGAATGGTGTTAATTCTGTTCAAGGAGCGCAGTGCTTGTAGTAAGTCTACCATCAGCTTTCTTTTTGAGGAGTATAGATAGCAGTTGCGCTAACAAGTGATTGTCAGTGTCTTCCTACATGCCATCTTTCCTTCCATCGAAAACATTCCTGATAAGATGGGCTCCAAGTCCGCTCTTACCTCTGCCCAGATGATGTGCTTTTTCGTCTACTGGTACTAAAAACACCATTTTCTCCACCTGGAATGGAAATCACTAATCTCAATCAGGATCATTAACTGCGCATTCCTCGTTGTGCCCGTCCCCAAGATGAAGTCACTGGTATACGCAAAAGTGGTAGTCTACTTTGCCGGTACCATTGCAATGCTAGCATGGACAGTATCCCTAGCCGGTGGTTCTTCCAAGTTCCTACACATGTCATCCACTGTCCACGGCACGGAGAAGAGTTATCTGATCCTAAAGTTCTTCTGGCTGGGACTCGCATCTTGTGGGACATTCGTGTCCAACGCAGCCGATCTTCAACGCTACGCACGAAAACCAAATGATGTGCTCATCGGCCAGATTATCAGCTTCCCAGTGTCGAATCTGTTGGTTGCGATTCTGGGCAATGTGATTGCATCAGCCAGCAAGGCCATCTTTGGAGAGGTACGTTTCTGGCTATATGAAAACTTGTCATAGAATTACTGATCACTCATCCTATCGTACAGTTGATCTGGAACCCTCTCAATTTCCTGGATAAACTAATGGAAGGAGAGCGATATACCTCCGGAAACCGCGCAGCCTGTGCCTTTATTTCCTTGGCTTTCGTGTATTCCACTGTGTTCTCTGCCATATTCGAAAACTCCATTCCGTACGATCCCAGCCCAACCGCTCCAAACATCAACCCAGCTTGCTAACGCATCTTCAGCGCCGGAAATGACATCGCAGCACTAATGCCGCGATACATCACAATCAAACGAGGTTTCTTCATCTGCGCAGGTAAGACCTTCTTCCCTCCCCACATTATCTACATCTACAACCACTTAAGTACTCTGCTAACCAACCCCCCATCCCAGTCCTTTCATACGCAATCTGCCCATGGTATCTCCTCTCCAGCGCCTCGATATTCATCACATTCCTCTCCTCCTACCAAATCTTCCTCTCCGCCATCGCCGGTATCCTAATCTGCGACTACTACCTAATTCGCCGTGGCAACCTGAACATTCCCGCTCTGTACACTGCACACCCAGAGGGACTGTACAGATACTTGTACGGCTTTAACCCGTGGGCCTTTGCAACTTATATTATTGCCGTAGCGCCCAACTTCTATGGTTTTCTTAGTCAGATGGGCGTTAAGGCTCCGGTTGGGATCCAGCGGTTTTATTATGTTGCTTATCCGACTGGGTTGTTGGTTGCGTTTTGTGTGTATTATGCTGGTAGTTTGGTTTTTGCGCCGAAGGGGATGGTTAAAGGTCCGGGTTGGAAGGAGCCGAAGGATTATGTGGATGAGAATGATCCGACTGGGGATGAGCGGTATGCCATTGATGGGGTTGAGGTTGGTGATTCTGCGGCTGAGAAGGGGACTTTAACTGCTTTGAAGGAGGTGAAGTTTTGAAATTAGTGTTAGATTGTCACTCGAACTTCGTTTATAATGAATTTAAATCTTATATCAGATTATTCTAGAGCTAAATGACCAAATAATGGCAAATTCGCCAGAGCAAAGAAAAGCATACAGAGAAGATCCAAAGCAAGTCACGTAGGAATGATCAGTACCTAAACATAAGTTTTTCCGCCATTGGGTATATTATAACAGACGGAAGAAGGATCCCAAAGTAGTACACAGTAAAGAGTAACAATGCCCAAGCAAAGCAAATAATGCAAGTCATGAAACAAACCTCAACCCAAACCGTCTACCACGTATTCATGCAAGATCCGAGAACAACAACAAAAAGAAAAACAACACCCACATATGCAGATAACCCCGTCTTTCTAGCAGGCTTTTGAACCAGCAAAGCCCTGAGAAGTGACACCCGGAAACGCCTTTCCTCTGCAGTCACCACAACACCCTTCCCATGACATGACATCTCGTAGCACATACAAAATACAATCCATCCGAATACTACTAGAAACTGATCAGCAAGACAAACCAAACACCAGCTGTAAAATATGCAAATGCACCAATGACCTCAAACCAAAGAACAAATATACGAAAATCAATCAAAAACACGATCATTAAACTGCACACCCAACCCATTATAATTCGGCCTCGACGGGGAACTCCCACTCCTAGCACGCACACCATAAACTTCCAGCGCCGGCGCTGGAGCATACACATGACCATCATCGTGAACCAACGGTCCCGACATATTGGAATGGTAAAGCTGATATGTCGGGATATGTCGCGGGGTCTGAAGTCGTCCCACTTCATGCAATCTCTGCCGCGCATCGCGAACATCAACACGGTGTCCACCGAAATGCAAAAGCTGTGCTGGTTCAATCTGCGGGTTCCAAGCTAGATCCATGTTTCGTAGGCGCTCGTCGACTGAGCCTAGTCGTCGACGGCTTGAAGGTGGAACCGGGTAGAGATTATCAGATTGGATGGCACTGGCGCTGCTTGAGAGGGCATGATCGGAAGTCCAGATTCTAGTGCCAGAAACTGCGCTTTGATGCTGGAGTAGTGGAGTTGGACTGCGCGTGATGTCGTTAGGCTGCGCAAAGCTTGAGGCTGGCGAGAAGCGCGGTGGGGATCGAACGGGCTCTGTGGCCCAGGACTGGTGTGAGAAACTGGATGAACCACGCGAGAGGGCTTCAGGACCGGGACGTTCAGAGGCCTGAACGACTGTTGAATCGGACGCACTTGAAGATAAGGGAAGAGCTCCGGGCATGATGGCAGATGGATGAGCAACTGGCACGGGCGCGGGTGCCATAGGAGAAGAGAAGGCCGGACCTGGAGCGCGCTGGGGGACCGACCGTCTATGCGGGATGGTGATGGTAATATCTTGGTCATAGGGTAAAAGAGGGGGAGGGTATTGAAGCAGTGAAGGTGTGCTTGCGGACACTTCACGAATGGGGATACCAAAAGGAAGAATGGAGGGAGTGCTCGCAGACAAATCTCGTATAGCAGGCTCGATGTTGGCCTGGATGGAAGCACGGCGAGATTGTATTTGGGAGGTGGGAGCAGTATGCAGATCCAACGCTCCGAGCGACTGTCCCATGTATTCTCGGCCTGGATCACTGTATGTTGATCGGGCCAATGGCTCGGCGATGATTTCATGGGACATCAGCTCGTGAGAGAGCGGAGACGCAAAGACACGGCTTGCCTGACTGTCGAGGGACTCCACGGACGGTTTCATCTGTAGCCCCGAACTTACCTCCAGACTCCGAGAAGCTGGCATAGATGCTGGACGTCTCGGCAGAGTCTCAGTAGCCTCAAGAATCTTCCTGGCAGCGATGCTCGCATACGTAGGCAAATTCTCTCTATTGGACGGAGGGTTTGAAGACGACGAGCTCATGCTATCCGAGCTTGTCTGGCCCCCCGCTGAGCCGGCGAACAGCAGCCAGTGCTGTTTCTGCCGCGGAGGCCAAAATCGAAGAGCTTTCACTCTGCCCCGAAGATACGCGACTGGAAGATCCTCTTCCCTGGACCGTGGAAACTTTAACCACCGGGGTATCTGGTTGGGCTGCTCCACGAAGCCTGCCAGGCCCTCGTGGCCGCTTGCTCTGTTTCTTTGTCCCTGTTGAACGGATCCTTGAATGGCGCTCAACGAGCTGCCAGTCTTGCGAGTCGTCACGAGGAACGGGTGGACTTGACGAAGGAGGGGACTGTTTCGGTCTCTCCGTGATTTGACTCATCTGCGAGAGTGCTGGAGAGATACGAGGTGCCTCTTTCGCTTCACCATCAGTCTCGTAACCGTCCTCTGAACCCGAGCCAGCTTGTCGGAATATATGAGGAGGAAAGAGCTCCAATTTAAACCGAGGCGGGCCCATCATCTCCTCTGGTGACTCTGCACGATTAGAGCCGGATTCGGTCCAGTTCCAGGTTGACTGGCGTGAAAGACCGCCTTCATCTGCCGATGATTCAGGGAATGATGAAGATGAGCTGCTGGACCGGTCGAAAACAGACTTTTGATTACGAGCCGATTCTTGTGAAGAGCTGGGTGACATGCGGTCGATCTCGCTGCTGATACTTTTCATCAACTGGCGCAAGCTCTCGCGGGCTTCGCGAATGACGTGCGGGTGGTTCCCGATTGCAGGTTTCTTGGGGAAAAGCTCGACCAGGCGAGATGCGTGAGTCTCATATTCGCGATAGTCACGGACGAGTCCACAGTCATGGTAGTGAGCCATCCTCTCCTTGGCCACCTCGTAAGATCTGCAAAGGAAGCGAGTAGCAACGACCAGCCACGAGTCGTAGAATCCCGGGTTCTGCTTCAGATCTCTGTATTCTTCATCCTTGATCTTGAGCTCATCGCGGCAAAAGCCCTGCACAACGCTGTGAATTTTGACCACGTCAACCACCGAGTTGCCCCGGTAAATGGAGAAGAATCCATCCCCACTACTTTCTGTGAAGGAGTCGGTCAACTGGGGAGTCACTTTGGGTTCGACGTGCATTTCGTCACTTGAAGTCTGCGCCGATCCATTTTGTTGAAAATTCAGGTCTGCATCTGATGTCCGCTCAACGAGGCCGTAGTGAATCAATGTGCCCAACGTGGTGTCAAGGTCCGCGTCCTCCCCTGATTGAGCACTGGACAAGATCTCGGCATTCTCCGCGGTCATGATGGATCTTCCGAGAATGAGCAAGCCAACGGGGACGTGATGACCGAGAAACGAAAGTAGATTGATCAAATTCAAGGCTTCCCGCTGTTTCAGGCGATATAGATCGTTCATTATGCACAGAAACGGTTCAGCAAGCTTCTTGTCGGTCACCTGGTGCTTGACTCGGTATCTTTCAATTGGTTTTCCCGTGGCATTTAGGCGGTGGCCAATAGCATGAATTGCAAGAGGAAGGCATTCATAATGCTCAACCAGCTCTGTAGCCTTGGAAGCTTGTTCCGGCGTCGGTCTCCTGATGCCAAGATCTTTGTAAAGAAGCCTGCAGGCATCCGCAACCTTTAAGCGAGGCATGGACAGACAATATGGCTCGAACAACCTCTGTTTCTTCCGCAGCGTAGCATCGATAGACGTATAAATGATACTACACCTTTTATTCCAAGGCAAGAAGGGACGAAAATCATTGATATCGTCGTCGTGGTCGAAGGTGATTCCGTCAAAAACCAGGAGCCACTCATTCCGTGATTGAAGCCAGTTCCGAACGGCATTCACGTATGTGCGGGACTCTTGGTAGTTGGGGTCTTCGGCCTCTTTATGGTCCACGAGGGTGGCGGCCTGCGCAATCTCCCAGAAGCACTTGTATGCTGACTCGCGAGACTTTGCATCAACCCAGAATATTCCACCCGTATAGCATTCGCGCTGCGTAAAGACGTACTGCCGTGCAAGGTGTGTCTTTCCAGATCCGGGGACACCGGCTATTAGGACGGCCATCGTCCGTTCCGCGCGTGCTTTGGCCTTGAATAGCCGTCTATGCAGCTCTTCCAGTTCCTTCTCCATTCCGAAAAAGATCGCGTTCGGATGGAACCCCGGCGGTGCAACGAACAGCGCAGGCTCTCTTTGAGATGGGAGGTCTGCATGAGTTAGTAATGAAGATGGTGACATGTCTGTATGAGGTCCTTATGAGACTTACTATTTAGAGAACGGGATAACGGCACAACGGCACTTTTGCCCAAATCAGACACTGGAGAATTGCGACCATCGGTGGCAGCTTCGCGGGGTAGGTTTGGTACGGAGTAACCTAAGGGAAGGATAGTCAGCGTTGGCCTGACTGGGAAAAATGGATATTGGAGGACCAGATTGAATGATATCAGCTAAATTGCAAGGAAGACAAGAACGGGAGCCACCCTGAAGATCAAACACAGCAAGCTAGGTACACGAAGTCGACTTATCGACTGGGAAGCGGAGAACAGTCAAATAATTGCATGCGAAGCGAGGGAGGGGAGGTTCGGCGCTCTTGAAACAAGTATATCATGCGGTCATCGTGCTTGGTAAGGTCATAAATCATCGCCAGTAACAATTCAAATAGCCAAACTCAAAATCATCAAACAGCGGGCTCCTCAATCTCATAATCCTTCAATGTAACTGACTCTTCCGGTGCAGGGAGGAGATGGGTTGCCCTACCAGTCGGAGGCACTTGCAAATCGGGCATGCTTTGGCCCACAGGATCATCCGAGCCGTCGTATATCTCGCGCGCCTTGGCCTTCTTTTCCAACGTCCGGGTCTTGCGCTCTTCGATCCAGCGATCAGCGATCACGGAAGGTGCCTGGCGGGAGTACCGGAGGATGGCCTCCGCGACCACTTCATAGCCGGGTGAGTTCTCATCGTCAAATTTGCACATGTGGCTGTGGTCGGCCTCGATGCCGCCTCGTTCGACGCCTTCAAAGTACGGCGCAGCAGATGCCTCGTCGACAATGATCTCCCGTGTACCTCGTACGTCCATCGACCGAGTCTCATGGAAGAGATATATGTGGAATCGGCTCATGATATCAGCGAATAGGCTGTTGATATGTTGGAGAGTCTCGTTGTTGGTCTGGAGTGCCTTGATCAACTGTGGCGAGCCTTCCACAACCTTCTTGGGCAGGACAGACGTGCAGATCTTGTGAAGCAGGAGACCCCATTTCGCAACATCCGAACCGTTGTGCGGGGTGCCAAGGAAAAGGATGCCGAACGTCGAGACATACACGGAGCGTAGATGCTCGGTTTTTTCATTCGACAAGCTGCGGGAGAAGATGAGGGCACGCTTGACCACGAGGCCGCCGAGGGAGTGACAAACGAAGATGATCGGTCGATCGAGACAATTGCGTAGCTATACAAGTGAGAGTTGGTCAGTCTTGGAAATACAGACAGGATATAGAAAAGAGAGGGTAAAGGATAAGAAACTGTATGTTCACATACACTCCGATTTGCGGCGAGGGAGGACGCCAGCGTTTCGGCGTGGCTCACGATGGAATCGCGCGACGCGCCATCCGTGAACGCGGCGACGTTTGCATTATACCCATAAGTTAAGATTCGCGGTCGCAACTGTCCAAGGACATCGGGTAGGAGATCGACGGGCCAGAAGCAGCCAGACGTCTTGCTGGTCCAGGAATTCTCGGGGTGGCCATTCAAGCCATGGACAAAGACTATATCCACGGTGGGGATTTCCCCGCGCGGAGGGGCGTAGACCTGCGTCAAGCCAAATGGCTTGACGGAGGGATGATGGGTCATGATCAGATGGAAATGGTTGCTTTTTTGATCAGAGAACAACCATTTTCTGTACCGAAACGAAGAGGCAGTAGAATGAAAATGCCCCAGAGCCAGGCCGGTCCGAGCACTTCTTATAGGAGGAGGAAGGCCGGGGGTGGGTGTCTGCAGGTGTGATGTGATGGTCAAATGTTTATTTGGGGAAGTGTTCCCCTGACCCATTCAGATGACTGCGATCCACGGGTTGACCGGGACTGGGTACCCTCGGAATATAGGGCCCGATCGTACTGACAGGAAGTACCTAGTACCTTGTCCAACCCGGCCACTGACCCCACAAGTGCCCCAGTGCCCTCTCTCACCCTGGCCCCCAGTGGAGTTCGGCCCGCTGCAGATTCCTTGATCGCCCCCGATGCGCCCGGTTTAGTCCCTCGGGGTTACGATGCAAGTGGACTGGTCTGACTGATCTCATTCGCACCTGGGGCTGAGAGGGTGACTGGGGTAGAAGCTCTGCGCCACGGACAAGTACCGTCCGGAGGGCTATGTGTGCGATAGTCTCATGCAGGAACCCATAGTCCCAAGATTTGCCTAACTATGTCTGTGTGTGCCCCGAAGAATATGGACGCCTGTTCATGACTCATGATCGAGATGGGAGATGGTTTGTGTTTCCAAATCGTGGGTCGTGGTTTGAGGGTGTTGAAACCGCGGAAAAGGGACATGGCCGAGTCGGGGTCTCCAATGGGCGTGTACAGGAGGAGCAAAGTGACCAGGGCGATTGCACTGCACGTTGAGTGAATAATAATAAGTGACATCTGCATGCCAAAATCGACGTATCCACCAAATACGAGGGGCCAAAAGACGAAGGCCATGAGGTGAAACTAGGGTGGTGCAGGAGTGCTGATCTACAGTACCCGTCGAGGCATCTTCATAAATGTTTTGAAACTTTAGGCCACATCAAATCAACATTAAACATTCATGAAAGGTGGCAGACTGGACCGAGAAATTCGATGTATACATCGTTTTCTTTTCTCTATGTACTGCCACAAGACCAATATTGTCCAGGAACCCCAATCTTAGCCTGGGTATTCAGAACCAGGGGTATCAAGTACATATAACTAGGTGGTCATTTCAGAGGGGTGGATCTATAACCCATGGCACCCAGTTGGACTATGTTGGACTCTTTACAGCGTAAAACAAAAGAAACAAACATAACCCAGATAAACGAGCAACTCCATCCATATGCAGAGGATATACAAACCCAGGCCCAGGCTGTTTACTTGCCTCGATATTGGTTCGCGGCGCCCTTCCGGCACGATCCACGGGTGGAGTGGGACTGGGAAAGCCCTACGGTCATAGTCATATCTGATGGCCCAGAACGGGGTCAAAGAATGGGTTCTTATGACTCAAATTGTTCTGCCTAGACCCTACTACATATCAACATGTACATATGTCTACTGGAGATATTTTCTCTCGTTTTTCTCGCTTTCGGGCAACCACTGCCGGTATTCGCGCAGGCAGTGTACGTGGCTATACACCACACTGGAGAACGGGGCAACGTCATACATCTCACGCCCGTCTTTCTAGTTCTACAGAACAAGTAGTCCATTAGACTCCATTAGAACTAATTACACGCCAATCCAATTCACCAATAGTAGTTATACCTTTTTTTCAAAAGGACCATTCCCCCCTCTCTCCTTACAATCTCTAGCCCAAGATCAATCCACTACCGGCCCCGAAAAGCAGGCTTCCGCTTCTCCGCAAAAGCACGCAGAGCCTCATACCGGTCCTCCGTCTCAATCACCCCCTCATAAGCCTGATTCTCCGCCACCTCGCCCAGCGCAGATCCCTGCACAGCCAACAACGCCTGCTTCAGGGCAATAGGCCCACCCTCACAGATATCCAGCGCGAGCTTGATACTCTCCCGAAGCACCTTCTCACGCGCCAGGCCCTCTTGCTGACCCTCCTCCGGCAACACCTCCACCAAGCGATCACAGAGCCCGATGAAATACGACTCGGGTCCGGAAACCCGGCGCCCGGTTAGGATGAGGTCGCGTGCCCGGGTGGGCCCGATCAGGGCCGGGAGACGGTAGGTACCTCCCGCGCCTGGGATGATCGCGAGCCGGGTCTCAGGCAGACCGACGGTGCTGGAGGAGCCGAAGACGCGGAGGTGGGTGCACAGCGCGAGCTCGAGGCCGCCGCCTAGAGCCATGGAGGAGATTGCGGAGATGGTGGGGATTTGGAGGCCGGCCAGGCCCTTGAAAGTAGCGCGGAGCTTCTCGAGGAATTGTTCAGTTCTGTAGAGGTGCATGTGCTGGTTAGCAAAGTGGCACTTGGTTCAGTGTCGTTGGGTTGTTCTCACTCTGCATGGGTCATTTTAGCACGCTCCTTGAGATCTGCGCCGGCGCAGAAGGCAGCGTCAACATTGCTTGCTACCACCAACGCCCGGGTTGGTCCGTTGCCATTCTCTGCGGCGATGGAGTTCACCTGCTGAGAGAGGCTTGCCAGTAGCTGTCGCGAGATCGCATTGCGGGCTTTGGGCCGATTGAGTAGTAGCACGCGCACATGTCCAGAACCCGGGGCTGGGATTTGTTGGACCTTGATGATCTCTTCTTCAGTGCTCGTGCTGTATCGTGAGGCGAATACCCGGGTGGACAGGAGGGTTGGGCGAGAGAGGTGGCCGAGAGTGGTGAGGCGGACGAGCCGCGGGGATAGGGTGAGTGTTGCCATTGCCCGGGTCAATGGAGAGGTGTGTTTGCAAAGTTGCACTGTCCAAATTCCTGCAAGGCAGATAGATCACAAAAAAGAGTCGGTTGTGAGTGACTGAAGGTTGAAGGGTCCGAAATGCGCGGAGCTCGGATGAGGGGAAAGCTTGTTGCGAAACGCCGACGTTTGCCGAAGCATACGGAGCTGGTCAAAGTAGTATGGTTTGTAAGTAGGAATTGTATAGAGTATCGACAACCAGAAGACCTGCCAATAACCAGCCATCCCTACTGAGATCTTGAGATGACCGAGGACTCTCTATGTACCTCGATCTCGATTCAATTTTCTGGCTTCAGCCCGAGCTTAGAAGGCGCGGGGTGCCAACGCGTGTAACCTTCAACATGCTTAATGCACAGATTCCTCCGGACTGGTAGCTGTAGCTGACTCGGCCTCTCAATGAAAGAATATACAATATGACTTGAATTTGAAGCATCGATTTAGCTCAATCATATAAAGCCAACGATATAAGCTCAGAAGCACAGCGAATCTAAGACGCGTGCTCCGATCGATCCAAACCGGATCATCCCGTCTTGGCTTCCAATCAAATGATCGCTCCTAGAAGTGACCTAAAAGCAAAGATCGATTTTCTATTTGGGATATAGAAAATCTGCCATCGTATAGACTTGCGGAGCCGTTATCTGATGGCGTGATGGTCTCTAGTCTCGATCGCTGGGGACGAGAGCACATGACCACCTAGGCTAGTAGGTCTCTTCACAAGTACAGCAGCTGATACCAGTTGAATGCTGCCCTGCTTGGCTTTTTCCATCGAAGCCATCTTTAGATATCCCACTTCTCTCCGCATTAGACTGGCTAGTATATTTGCGCCTAAACCCAAAAAAGCTACGCTAGGGCCCTGGAGTTACCAACAAGCTTTGGAGGCCTCAAAGATGGGTATCACATTTCAAATCGAGAAGCATGGAAATCTAAAAATACAAATATCTGTACACAAGAGGACTCGTTCAAATCACTGACAGTAATCCTCTACCTCTTCGTCACTAGGCCAGTGCCAGCCTGGGGTCTGACTGATGATATCGTACGCCTCCTGCACTTTAGCAGGATCCGACGCTATCTGATCGAAGTCGGTCGGCCCGGTATGTGTCCTCTCTAAGATCACTCGGATCGCCGCCAGAGTCTGCCGTCGCATTTTATCGCCGTTCAGTCGCTCCTCTGCGGCTGCATTCAACGAAGCAACCGATCGACTCATCCACTGCAACAGGTGCAGCACTCCGTCGTCATCGCCCACGGCCCCCAAGACCCGGACGAAACGATGCAGTATCGCAAATGATGGCACGTGGAGAATCGTGGGCACTTGAAGCTGCGATTCGACTGCACTATTCTCTGTGAATATGCTCTGCTCCGCTAGTTGCGATGCCGAAGAGACTGGGAGGACAAGGGAATCGAACTGTGATTTCAGCACAAGCAGTCCATTCTCAACCATTGCGTCAAAGTGCTCATGTCCAAGGACCTCGCAGTCCTCGGCGCCATGGATAGCTTTTTGGACAAGTTTGAACGCCTCTTCGGCCTCTTCTGGGTGCTTGAGCCCTGCATTGACAGCTTCATTGAAGACCTTGCACATAGCATGAAATCCCTCCAGAGTGGGTTCAATATCATGCTCTTTCATCCATTTCAGAGCTAGAAGGAATTCGTGCCACGCGAGAATACGCCTCCAGGCTTTGTTCTCCTTCAAATACTTGGAACTTGTATGCCCCAAAGCGTTTAGTATATGCGTCCAAGCCACTGGGGAGGGAGCTTGCAGCGCTTTGGTCAATTGAATTGCATGCCATAATGCCCTTGGGTGGCATCCTTGTCGTGGATGATCTTCAAAATCGGGAAGCACGGTCACAGAACATCGCGACCAACTTTCCGTTGCAAGGAAGGGGAATTGGTCAATCGTAAGAGATTTGGGTCCAGCGTGCAAAGCAGAGCTCGAAGACACGCAGAGAAATTTGATAAAGGAGGCAAATACGCGGTTCGGCACGGTCTGGAGCGCATCGTTGTGATTCGCTTCGTAATCGGATGAGTGGCTTAGTACAGTGCACAGCACCTTAATCTGATCCTCTGTGAGGTCACTGGCAATCAGATACCGCAGGCCAGTCCGAAAGTCCGGTTTGGTCTGAAGCAGCAGGGAGAGTAGTCGGTGGGAGAAGCGAAGTCCCTGGGAAGTCATTTGTTCCAGGAAATCTTGGAGCACAGGGGGCTCTGTGTGAACATATATGACATCACGTGCGGAAGCAGGCTCAGCATAGACCTCACGGCCATCGCCCGGTAAAACGTGGTCTGACTCGTCAAATCGGTTCTTGAGAGCCAGTTGGCGATAGATCAGCTTCTCGGCCATCTCGGTGTATATGGCCACGCTGAGAGGAAGACCGCGATCCTGATAAGACAAAAAGCAAGCCCATGCTTCACGAACAGTTCTAGTGGCACGGATTCGAGCGGCCCAAATGGCCGCATGATCAGGATTGGTATGAGATGCACGGGACAAAGACCTCGACCAGCGCAGAAAGCTTCTGGTCTGAATTGTAGGGCTTCGATCAGTGTCCCAGCCTGCCAGAATTGAACATACATCTTCCCAGAGCTTGCTAGAATAGCCCGCCTCACGCATTTGCGATAAAACATTCATCGCACGGCTGTACATGCCTTCGTTACCCCGCAAGGCATCTATCCCTAGTTTGGCTTCTTTCCACGGTGGCCACGAAGGAGCTTTGAGCTCAGCCGACTGCCGCTCTTCTGATGTCTTCTTGTGTGCCAACTGGATTGCAGCAACGGCTCGATAGCCTTTCCGCGTAAGGGGGAGCACCGGCTTGTGGCTGGCCATGGCTCGGAGAAGCTCAAATTGGGCTTGCTGTTGAAGATAGGTAGATTGAAATGGGTGAAGTTTGGATGGAACCGAAAGTAAGCGAAGGAAAAAATTGAATTCCTTGGTCTTAAGTCGGTCGGAATTACACTTTTTGAGAATGGATTTCTTTTTCTCGCCTGGATCCGTGGCCATCACAAACCGCGAAAAGGCAATTGCAATGGTGGGCATTGCCTGGGGCCACACAGTGCGAGCATGCCGAATCAAGCGGGCGAACAGACGCATGCCAGTAGAGCGGTCAACCCGGGGCTGAAATTGCCCCGGTGGAAGTTGCAAATTCTCTTCTAGAGACTGTTTTGTCTTCTGTCCAGATGGCAGGTGTTGGCCACTGATCAGATGCAATGAATAAATCAAAAGTAGTCGAACGGAACGAGCATCCAGATGCTTTTGTTTCAAAAGGAAGAGAATGATAAATGAAGGAGCGGCGGGGGAGCTAGCGCCGTACTTGGGCTGATGTTGGACTGCGTGTGCAAATAACCGCGCGATAGCCTGATCAGCATCCTTGCTCTTCAGGATCCACGCCCAGGCCACCACATCGCCAACGTCGTAGCCACGGGTAGTCAAATAGCGATAGCTACTGTCTCTGAAGACTTCGCTCAATGCAGAGTCTAAGCGGTCTGCCGAAGGGTTTTCCGTAGAAGAATATATCAACGGGTCAACCATTCGTATATATTCTCCAAGTGTAGTTTGGAGGGAGACTCGCGCTGGACGGCCATATGTTGGCTGCAGGGCGTGCAGGCGTTGATTGGCATCAACATCCTGAGAGCCAAGGTAAAGAGTTCCCAGGGTGTGACCGGTTTGGCGGAGAGCTTTGGCAAGATATTGTGATGGGGTGGGGTTAGGTTGGCCATAAGCTTTCTTCAAACGTCGTCGCGACATCGCGTTGTCGGGGTGTTTTTGGTTTGACACATGTTGACCGCTCGACTGCCGTCTTTTGGAGTCTTGAACCTCTTCACTCCAGTTGCTCAATAGGTCTTCGGGATTACTCTTTTGTTCTTGTGCTGCTCTGGAATGGTTTGCAGGTAATTCAGGGGATCGGAGAGGGGCCTGAGAACAAAATTGACGTCGAACAACGCCTCCGGGGGTACTCCGCGGCAGGCCAGCGCAAGTTGCGAGGGAGATATCACCACGATGGTGTGCCTGAGGTTCCAGAACGATAAATCAGCATATTTCAACACTACTGGATCAAAAACAACCGGGTTGTCCGACATCACCCTACCTTGCAACATTGACGGCCAGCCAGCTGTGCCGCTCTCAGAGACACCCCCCGAAAGGCCGCGAACATGATTGAGAGCCAATGACATCCATGAATGTCGTCATCCACAATGCCTTCCAATGCGATACACTCCAGCTGGAAGACTATGAGGTTCCACTGCCTCCTTTCCCTATAATTGCGAATCGCGAATCGCTCAAATCAGTCGAGTTTGAGAACTCGAAAAAGTAACGCAGCTCCCGAGCGACGCGGAAGAGACTGGGTCCAGGTCACGTGCAGGATCGTCACGAACTGCGGTTTTCGGGATGGCGCGCATTCTGAGCGTCTCACGAACAAGCGATATCCGCCTCGCCTTTCAAAAACCACTCCAAGGCACCCACTCGACCCAGTGGAGGCATCAACTTCATAGTACCTCGGTCGATTAATGCCTATATTTCTCCTTAGTCTACCTCACTCATTCCTTGGTTGCCTCCTAGGCGGAGAGACAATCCGCTTCTTGTTTGGTCCCTCTCGTCGCGATCCCATCCTTTCCTGATCTCCCCTCGGGCCTCACATCAGAATCTACTTGACCACCGGTTCTGGACAAGCTGAAGGGCCACCGTCAACCCCAACACCCCATTGAATATCTGCTATCCAGTCGCAAACTACCGATACTTTTTTACTCGGTCGTTCCCGGAGGCAATCGAAAACGCCAGCTTCGTTCGAGGGGATCGCGTCGACGCTAGTACTGTCAACCCTTTCCCCCGTCGCAGCTTTTGCGCCATCATGAGCGCCGACGAAAACGGAGATACCCCAATGATGCCTGCCCCGAACGGCGAGCCTCTTCCTGACACCTCGGCGACTGCGACCCCAGGGAAAAGAAAGCGGTCTGCCCAAGAGGAGAACTTGGTTGTCGACTCGAACACATCCACCACGTCGCGTGATAAAGCAACTCTTCACGAGAATCTACGCAGCCTCGTGGGCCTCCTTATCAAGTTAGTTCTCACTTTGAAACTCGATACTCTATTCTCACTAACAACATGGATAAAGACATGACGCCGAGCTTCAGCTTCTGTCCTGCCCCTTCCCCACGTCCGGAACGAAGCCGCGCATGAAGCGCGCCAAAACGTCCAGCGACCAAGAGACGACCAACGTCCAAGCTCGCGTCGAATCGGGTCGTTACAACACGCTGCAAGAATTCCTAGCTGATATTGAAAAGGCATCCGCGGCGGTGATCGAGCGCAACCAGAACCAGTCAAATGGCACCAAGGCTGATGGCAAACCTCTGACGGAGGTGGTGAATCGCATTGCGGCCTTCAAAAAGCACATGAATAGCCTCGTCGGTCAATCCTTCGTCAATCAAACCGAGGTCAAGGCCGAAGCCTCAGAAGACGAGTCCGAGCAATCAGCGGAAGCCCTAGCATCCATTCCTGGTGCTCGTGAGGACCGACAAGCATTGACATTCTTCGGTGCAAACCCTTCAAACCAAGGCAACCCGAAGCAGTTATTCTCGAGTCTACAAAAATCGGTCAAGGTTCCATTACAATCCTCCGAGTCCGACATTGAAAAATTCGTTGAAGTTCAGGAGCAACTTCGCGAGGCCGCCCTCCCTGCCGGCATCACATCTACCAAAGTGGTTCCGTACAATCTTAATGTCACGAAGCCGCAAAAAAGGACATTTGGCGAAGTTTTTACTCCCCGCTCAGGCCTACCGCCCATCCATCCTCCGCGCACCCGAAGCCATCGAAGCTCCTCAGCCACTTGGATCGATCCCTTCGATGCGGTCTTCGATACGAAGCACTTTTTGGGCGATCGCAATAGCTACTGTCTGACACCTCTCCCTGCCGGCCAATGGCTGCAATACGGTGGCGTAACATCCTCACCTTCCTATTGGGCTCGACTGGAGAAGAATCATGCGGAGGTAGATAACGGCCCGAAGCACGGCGATCCTGCACTCTGGACTGGTGACGATCCTTCTTTGCTACAGGGTGTCTTTTCGTCATTTGCCCCGTCTTATGACAGCTCGGGGGCCGTTCTGCAGGTTGATACTAAGGACTTGGTGTGGTGGGGGAAGCGAGGCGCGAAGCGCTTGCGGACTTTGCTCTCTCTCCCAGATGAAGAAGTTGAAACGCCAGTGGTACAACCGGGCAGCATTGGTGATCTCGATGAGGGTGCTCTCGATGAAATGGTGAAACAATTCAACCCCGAAGATTTCGCTTATGACCCCAGTCAAGAAGGCCCCAGCGAAGAGGATCCTGAGTCGCGAGAGGTCGAGGAGCTGCTTCAAGAAATTTCGGAACTGCTAGACACTCTGAGCTCGTACCAGAAGATCCGCAACCTTCATATTCCCTCTTCGGGAGGCGAGACCTCTGAAACTAACGAACCTGCTGCTCCTATGTTCGGTACCCCTGATACCCCCTCGGACGCTGAGCGAGCTGTTTACGAAACCCTCAAAGCGAGTCTCTTCGCCATCATCAAAAATCTTCCTCCATTTGCTGTTGCAAAGCTCGACGGCGACCAACTCGCAGAGCTGAACATCAGTCAGAAGATTCTCGTCGAGAATCCGGATTACAGCGGCACCATGGAGAAGGATGACAATACGCTGCATCAGGATCGTGCTGCAGCAATCGCCGCTGCTGCCGCCACGAACGCGGCGGCGGCTGCGTCGAATTCCATGAACCGTACCTCGACGCCTACTGCTGCTCGCTCTGCATACCAACAAAGCCCGCAAGCCGCATATAACCAACGTGCTGTCCCACCTAATAATCAGATGTCGCAGCCTCGGCCTGGATTCCAGGTTCCACCGCAAGCGCGACAGCCCTCCGCGGGAGGCCCGTACACCGCTGGTTATACGGGAGCTCGCCCCCAAGCACCCCTGGACAACGGCCTGGCTACATGCCTCAGCAGTACTCACAGCAAGTGAATCCACAACACGGCCAAGTGAGCAACATGCCACAGTTCCCGCGACCCCCGTCCAATGGCTACGCGCAATCTCCACAGCAGTACACTCCGCGACCTGGACCGGCTGTGTACAATGCTACCCCCAAGGACGCACACCTTACGCCAACGCAGGAACTCCTCAGCCGTACCAAAACGCGAACCTTACACCATCGCAGACGGCATACTCGAATTCGGCTGCCGCAGTGATTTATGCACGTAGTGCAGCTGAGAAGCAGCAAGCAACAAAGGCTCAGCTTGCCACTCAACAACGACAGAGCCCGTCGACTCCACAACCTCAAGGACTCGAAGCTCGCTCATCCCACGAGGGTAGCCTTACCCCCGGCAAGCAGAATGGAACTCCCGTTCCACCGCAACAAGCAAGCTAAACTTCCTTGGATCGTTCTGGAGCTAGGTGTACTGGACGATTTTTTCTTTGAGAAAGAAGTTTTCCTCGTTTCGATTGATCAATCAATTCGTGAATCTCGATTTTGCCCGAACGTCAGGGTCACGTCCTTTCTTCTGCTTTTGAATATGGCTTTCGTGACACCTGCCTCTGTATTTCCTTTCTTCGCTTTTTCTTCGACTTTCTTTCTCCACTGTGTTTTTAATGGTGCTTGTGCTTATATTCCTGCGGACTCATATTGGTCCTTGCGTTCCGGTGTTCAGTGCTGAAATGACAGCGATTGGCGTGTGGGTGGGTTTCAAGACGGGTTTTCTAGCCTGGGTGGGCTAGGCTGCTGGCGGCGAGGCAGTCTGTCTGTGCTTTGAGGTTACACTTGGGCTCTTTCTAGATGAGAAGAACATTGCTTTCGATTTTCAATATCCATGATGGATTGCGTCAAAGCTGATAGTTATCACGTAGAGATCAGATTCCAGAACGTGTAGGTCTCCAACTACCATAGCATAAGCCAACCCACGTAGAACGATCCTTCCCCCAAAGCAAATCGAAGGAAAGAAAAGAAATTGGAAAAAGCAATCCGAAAGGGATAAAAGAAGAAGGTCCCGTGAAGTTGGTTTTGATACTGGACGGCTTCCGCTACGTGGTCCACCGGACGGCTAAGAAGTAGATATAGTTCGTGATAATCTCAATAGAATTAGTTGAAGACCTACGTATTCTGGACCGCGTTGAAGAGAAACTTTCAAGATTCATAATCCCGGAATTTGTTACCATCAAATAATTCGTACATCAAAAAGACATAGGAGATTCAATCAAATGAAAACTATCAAGCTCTTTCCAAGAAAACTAAACACCTCATCCCATATCCGCTGTATCCCCCATCTCAAAAGTTAGGTGCGAGGGGTATCTTCCGTGTTAATCCCAACAGAGCCAAAACCAATCTACCTTTCCATGATATCCCAGTGATGTAGTAAATCAAAAGCAAAAAAGATTTTCCCGACAATCCTGACGCCATTCATTCACTTCCGTTTCTCTGCCTCTTTGCTTCGAGAACTTTTGGCGCGAGGTTTTAGGCAATTGTTCACTTTTGTATGCAATCGACGTGAGTCGTTAATGAGCGGCTGAGGTGAATAAAAAATGGGCCAGAATGTCCAGGGTCCGTTATAGCGGAATAAGTTGGACGCCAAATGAGATCGATAATCGATAGTATGAAATTCGTGAGTCATGTGTTTCTCCCGTTCATGGGATGAACATTGCGGCGATGGTCATGAAGCCAAAGTATCTGTTGACGGGTTAGTTCTGCCTTCCATTAACCAAGCTGGAACTCGGGATAAACATACAGTGTTGCACACCTCCAACCATCCCTGGAATCCACCAGGGCTTCAATACCCGTGGAATAATTTGCGGCGATAGCAGCCGCTGCGCCACCGGTAACCGTCACCACGACGAGTCGGCCCGAGAACTCGGCAATCATGCTAAATGCCAGAAGCGGCATCAAAAGAGCGCCAGAGGCAATGATGATGGCCATGTAGACCGGTGCTGCGGCGGCGGAGGCTGCCAGTCGCGGGGTGAGTGCGACCAGGTCCGCGTCCTGGTCGAGGAAGCGGGTTTCGGCGGCGGCGATCGGGTTGTGTTCTTTCATCCATGAGCGGTAGTTGGTGATGTCGTCATCTGAGGCGCGAGGGAGAGTTTGAAGGACTTTGCTGTATGCACTGAGTGCAGTATCTGTGGGAATGTCAGTTATCTAGCTTTTTGTAGGCTTTGTGGGTTTGCTTACTGTATTGCTCTGTCTTCTGGACAAGAGCAGCCATCAAATCCATGCGCCGGTAATGAAGCGATGAATACGCCTGAGACTGAAGGTCGACTCGGCGTGAGGGAGGTTGTGGTTTGGTACCCTCTTGCTCGGCCGTGGCGACTCGATGCATCTCCTCATACTCGTCGAGAGTGTGGAGATCTTCCTCCATTTGGGAGATTTCATCTTGAAGATGCAACAAGACACGATGGTTCACGCTTTCAAAGCGTCGATACAGCGGAGGGAAGGCTGCTTTCTCTTGCGTGGCAGAGGTGGTGAGATGCGATGCAACAAGCCCATATCCTGATAGTATCTGGGGTGCATTTGAGTCTCGTCGTTTGACCGCTATGCCCCGATGAAGGCTGTCTTCTGGACTACTCGGTGGCGATGGAGGAAGAGGTGGTCGGTGAAGGGCAGTTGCGTCTGTCGAAGTGTAGTAGCTTTCTGGTCGGGAAAGTTGCAATTGATGTTTCTCTGAGGAGAGAGGCTCTATCGGAGATGGAGATGCTTTGGGCGACGGGACTGGTCTTCGAGTGATCTGCAGTTGTCTCTCTAATGGCGCCGGTGCACTGGGTGCCGGTGGGGGTGGGCGTGAGTCACTTGAGATTCTTGATGTCGTGGTAGTTGGCGGAGTTAATGTAGGCTTCTGAGATACCAGTAGTGGGTGCGGGATGGGACTCGATCGAGGCTTCGGCGATTGGATCTTAGCGATAGCTTGGGCATGCACTGGGGGTGCTGGTTCTTCGTCACCAGAAGATTCCGATTCTGACGACGATGACGACGATTGATCACTCTCTTCCAAAAACTCGAATACGTTCGGAACTTTCTTCGCCGGCTCGACAGGCTTGTCTAGCGGGGCCTCAGGCGCTACCAGCGGCTTCACGGTTTGTTTTGCTGCATTGGATTGTTCAGTTGGTGATGGCCTCTTGTCGCTAATTTTTGGACTTTGCCCAGGGCCCGCCTGGGTGATTGTTGTGGAATTGGAAACGGTGGATGAGGTTCTTTTCCTTCCCTCCTTCTTAGGCTTCCTCGAGCGCAGACTCTGAGTATTGGTATGGAGCGGCATGATGATCGGAGAAGGTCGGGAGTAGTTCTCGGTTCATCACTTTAGCCCCAAAAGCAAATTCAAGAATACAGACAGTGGTTTCAATTAGGCCATGCCCACGGTCGGCGAATTCAATGCGCATGAATGTGTTGCAGAAAGTCGCGATAATAAGAATAGCGGAATCCAAAGCGACAGATGTATGGGGGCCCGAGGCATGACACAAGGGAGGGGGCACCAATTCCGATCAGATCACGACCATCCACAGCGCGGAATCCAGGGATGCTAGTCCTGCGTGTTGACTGAAAGTCAAAAGAGTAAGGGAAAAACACAAAGGAAGCAGAAACACGAAAGCCAAAATGGGGCAGCGATGGTCGATAAGATGTGATGTCTCAACTCTCCCCGCGTCTTCCCCTCGACCAGTTGTCTTCCGACGAGGGTACTTGGGCTGGATGTATACCTTATATGCCTCTCCCCCCCAGGGCTGAAGATCCCGCCCCAAAAATCAATAGTTTCGATAAGTCTGGAATAGATGGAATGATCATAATCACGGCCCCGTCAGCCCCTTCCCAAGACCCGACGTTCGTGTCACTGGGGCGAGTCGCTGGGAATGGAGGATTGCAATTCGTCGCACTGGCAATCCCCAAACAATCTGAGGCAGATGAGAAGCGCCGAGGGCTTCAGATCGACGGCCAATGACCGTGGGCTCGCAAGGAGGTTCGTTGAATCCCTGTCGATCTCCGAAAGAGGACCAGTCAGCTTATCTGGATACAGGCAACAGATTCTCTTGGAAAAATCGTGACTGTTTAAAACTCCCTTTGCTCGTACCGGATGTGAAGAACGAAGGAACTGGATTTGAGTCGATCGGATGGAACTAGTGGGATGACGGGGCCTGCTCGTTGGGCCTTTGGGATCCCATCGAGTGGGCCAGTCAGGACTGTCGCAACAAATCAGCCGGGGTTCCTATCCGACCCGGATGCCAGGATACTGTAATAATGCATGTGTCTGAACGTAGTCAAGCCATTTGCGATGCCCATGCGCTGGCGATTCGCTCGTCGATCATCTCCTTGCGTCCAGCCCATCTGGCGGTCTAGCGGCCCTAATCTTCGAGCATCAGGTCTTGGGATTTTGGGAGGTTGCAGTAACGGAACATTAATATTGCCACGTTAATGCTTTTCCAGCTTGATCCCAGTCATTGTGTCGTGCAGGGTTGCTTCTGTCGTGCAGTGTGGAGAATAAAGAAGCGCGGATGTTGGTCTGGAGGTTATCCACGATTGCATCCTGCACCTCCAGCCAAAGCCAGTCGCATCCGAACACGAGTCCAGCAGATTTCCCCAAGTACAAAGTGGACTCAATCGTTCGTATGACAATATATTTGGTATACTATCAATAAGTATCCCAAGTAGTATATAGCTCTACTGTATTTAGATCTAAGATACTTTAAATAGCTAGTGTTACTATACTTAGTCGAGGGGCCCCCAAGCTGGGGGCTGCCCCCCGTCATCGCATAATCGCAGGCGGTCCGCAGATCGTCTTCCTTCGAGTTCCGCGAATGGACCTCTTTCTGATCTTTGAATCCTCCAACGGCCTCTGCAGCGCCCTCGAGTCCCCCTCTCTATGCTCCGGCCATGGCCCAGCGGCGCCGTCCGCATCCTTTGCCGGGTCAATCGGCCATTCCTGGCTCGCCCCCATGTTAATGCCGCTCCTTTCATCTTGACGCGCAATCTTCAGTCCGCCGCTTCAACAGACCGCGTCCCCCTCCGCAAGCAGCTTAAGCAGGAGGCTAAAGCTCTCAAGGCACAGAAGAAGCTGCGCAAAGGGTCCGAGGAGGCCTCAAGGCAAGAATGGGAGTTGACAGTGGGTGTCGAAATCCACGCGCAACTGGATACTGAAGCAAAATTGTTCTCTCGTGAGTACACATCTGCAGACGCCACATCTTTATCTGAGCGGTTTGACTGAAATACACTGGCAGGTGCCCCGACGTCTACGAGTGAGCACCCCAATTCCAATGTCGCCTTGTTCGACCTTGCCTTCCCGGGCAGTCAGCCGGTTCGCATTGCACTTGTCCCGCAGAATGACGAGAGAATATCAGAGCTCATGCGACTTAGGAATTCCAAGCCGCCACCCTCCTCCCAGCCCTCCGCGCCGCCATAGCCTTGAATTGTCAGATCCAGCCCGTCAGTCGATTCGATCGCAAACACTATTTTTACCAAGACCAGCCAGCTGGTTATCAAATCACACAGTACTATGGTCGGTGTCGCCCCGCTGACGCTTATCGATCGGCCAGAATACCAATTAACTCGATACAGAGCCGTTCGCACGAAGTGGATATGTGGACCTATTTGACTACGATGGCATTGCCCCGGAGGATGGCGATCGGGTCCGCGTGGACATCAAGCAGGTCCAACTAGAGCAGGATACCGCCAAATCCCAAGAATACCCGCCCGCGACACAGCTCCTCGATTTCAACCGCGTCTCCCATCCGCTGATCGAGATCATTACCATGCCGCAAATACATACCCCTGCGACCGCTGCCGCCTGTGTTCGAAAACTCCAGGCGATTCTACAAGCATGTGGTGCCGTGACAACGGGAATGGAACTGGGTGGACTGCGTGCCGATGTCAATGTCTCGATCCGCCGTCGCGGGGAGGCCCCGGGGCAGTGTCAATATGATGGGATCGGTGGACTGGGTCAGCGCACGGAAATCAAAAATCTGAGCAGCTTCAAGGCGGTGGAAGACGCCATTGTCGCTGAGAAGAACCGCCAGATCGCGGTCCTGGAGAGCGGCGGTGTGATTGAAGGTGAGACGCGTGGATGGACCATTGGCAGTACCGAGACACGCAGGTTACGAGGGAAAGAGGGTGCGGTGGACTACCGCTACATGCCCGACCCGGATATTCCCCCACTGGTGATCGGACAAGATTTGATTTCCAGTTTGGTGGAGTCGTTGCCAACCTCCCCAGATTCCCTCGTGGCGCAGCTAACTGGCCCTGAATACGGTCTCTCGATCGAAGACGCAAAACCGTTGATTGAGCTGGATAACGGGGCTCGGTTGGAGTATTACCAGGATGTGGTGGATATTCTCCGGTCTCTGCACCCCGACCAGGAACCCCAGACCCAGGCGGCTCTCACACGAATGGCGGGGAATTGGGTTCTCCACGAGCTCGGCGGGCTTTTGACCAAGGCGGACCGGGCCTGGGACGACCAGATTGTCCCGGCCCGGTCATTGGCGGATATCGTCGATTATCTCCAGCAGAAGCGCATTACAGGATCTATTGCGAAGCAGGTTCTGGCAGCCGTGTTTGATGGCGATCGGCGACTTGTGCCACAGCTGCTGGAGGAAGACAATCTTCTGCTGCGGCCGCTGTCTCGTGAGGAGTACGTGGCACTGGCCGAAACGGTTCTCGCGCAAAGGCCAGAGATGGTTGAGCAGATCCGCAGCAAGAACCAGTTGGGTAAAATGGGCTGGTTCTTGGGCCAGATGATGCGCTTGGGGGAGAAGGGCCGCGTTGAAGCACCCAAGGCCCAGGAGATCCTCCACGAACTGATCCTAGGGAAGCAGTAGAGCCGCCCCAGGCCCAAAAGGAATCCCGTTGTATGAATACGTGTACTACATAGCCCATTCTTTTCATGATACCCGTACTTCTTTTGAACTTGTACCATACTCTACCGAATTAAAAAAAAAAAAAGAAAAAAAGGAAAAACAGAACCTGCCCCGTAGGTAGTTGGTAGATTCGGCATCCTATCGAGTGCTTGGCCCTCAATATACCGCCGCAGACGCGCCTCAACCACTTTCAAACCCCTCTCAAAGTCTCTCCGATGCCATTACGACATTCCTCCGGCTTCGCCCCCTCACTAAGACGTAAAATTGCAACGCGGTGGGACGGCAAAGTGCCCTAAACGGGGCCGCTCTCCTCAACCTGTACTTAACGGAAGTGATGGAGTACCCGGCGGAGTGAGATGTTCCCTAAAAGCAGTTTTTAGCGACTGCGCGGTCACAAGAATGAAAGCATGGCCCGCGACTCGGAAAGGGGGGGGAAGGGTTATAAAGATGGAGATCTGGCTGCGATTCAATTTCAATTTTCTTCTTTTCTTTCATTATCCTCGTGGTTGTCTATCCTCGATACATTCGAGTCTTGTATACTTCGAGCTTCTTCATACCTCCGTCCCACACCCTCTGGTCCCCCCTCCGATCCACTTTTTTATCTTATCGCAGATCGGACTTTGCGATTGGAATCTTTGGGTCGCGGAATCTTTTTCTTCTGTCTTTTTTCTTCTTGTCAGCTATTCTCGACCTCGTCGCAGATATCTCCTTGTGTTCGGCAAATAGCCCTGCATACTGCATCCTACATCCTTCCATAAAAACACAATGACGCTGCCACCCACTATCGCTTCCCGTTTCCTTTCCCACCCCAACCAGTTGGGCGTTGTGGCCGTCGGTTTCAATGGCGGACAGGTAAGATGCTACTGCAAAGACATTCGCAGCGCAAACAGACATGCTAATACTACGGCTTTACAGATGAAGAAGGGCGTCGAGGCTGCCCCTATGGCCCTCATTGACGCTGGCCTGCTTACCCAGCTGCGCGACGACCTCGACTATGAAATTCACCATGACGACATCATCCACTACTACGAGAAGGACATCCCTGCTGAGGACCCAGACCACCGGAACATGAAGAAGCCGCGCGCTGTCAGCGCCGTCACTGAGCGCCTCAGCTCGCAAGTCTACAACTACGCCAAGGATGGCAAGTTCGTGCTCACCCTGGGCGGCGACCACTCCATCGCTATCGGTACCATCTCCGGCACTGCCAAGGCCATTCGCGAGCGATTGGGTCGCGAGATGGCCGTCATCTGGGTCGATGCTCACGCCGATCTCAACGTCCCCGAGATGAGCCCCAGCGGTAACATTCACGGTATGCCCATGGCTTTCCTGACCCGGCTGGCCCGGGAGGATCGCCCCGATATCTTTGGCTGGTTGAAGGATGAGCACATCGTCAGCACCCGCAAGCTGGTGTACATCGGTCTGCGGGACGTGGATCGTGGTGAGAAGCAGCTTCTCCGGGAGCACGGTATCAAGGCGTTCAGCATGCACGACATTGACCGGTATGTCCATTTCTTCTCTGACTTTCCCTGCTTACTTGTCCCCTTGGTATGACAGCCCGGCTAACTCTGATTGCTTTTCGCATGACAGTCACGGCATCGGTCGCGTTGTCGAGATGGCTCTCGCTCACATTGGCAATGATACTCCCATCCACCTCTCGTTCGACGTCGATGCGCTGGACCCTCAGTGGGCTCCCAGCACCGGTACCCCAGTCCGTGGCGGCCTGACTCTGCGTGAGGGCGACTTCATCTGTGAGTGTGTCCACGAGACCGGCAACTTGGTGGCCATGGACCTGGTCGAAGTGAACCCGAGCTTGGAGTCTGTGGGTGCTGCTGAGACGATCCGCGCTGGATGCTCGTTGGTACGGAGTGCCCTGGGCGATACCCTTCTGTAATGACTTGGATGATTTGTTTTTGTTTTGGAATTCGGTCGGATTTTGAGAATTAGATGGGAAAAGAACCGCCATATAGAAAATACAGGATCTCCCTCGACTGATGACGCTGCAAAGTGGATGCGGGTAGGCGGGTAACGCGTAAAATCGGCCGAGTATACTTGCGGAGAGACTAAACTCAATCCAATCCCCTGCCACCTCCATTTCCCGCCGATCATCAACAAACCCGCCCCTCCTGGCAACCTGCGATCTCTTTGCTGTTTTTCTAACAACAGCCCACTTCTTGGCTATTTCCCCCCCCCCCCCTCCGCCGCATACCATCGCCGTTGTGCCATTCGCATTGCTGCGACAAACAGTAAACGGTCACCACATCACGTCCCAGGCTCGAATCCAACCCCCCGACGCTGCGCCTACTGGCGCCCGATGCGCTGTCAGCTCTTATCGCCCGCATTCTCTACCTCCACCCGCGAAGCCCACCAAGCCATTCACTACTCGCCTCGAAATCGAAGCCAACTCGACTACAATACCCACACTTGGGTCGCATTTCATTCGCGACCTGGCCACTGCCCATCAAAGTACCGAGACCGACGGTGTGTCGGGCAGAGGCGCATCTCATCTTGTGTTTATAGACTCCATCGCATCCCACGGACGGAAGCTTGAATCGAGTTGAATACCCGGCGTCGCAACGGGTTCGACGCACAGTACTGTGACACGGTCTCTGAAAATTGACTACCAGCACAATGAAGGCTGTTCGTGTGCGCCGTGAAACCCGGCGCCTTCACCACTGGCCCGTGATTCAGCTTAATGTCTGGTTGATCGTGGTGCTTTCCGCCTCGGCAACATGTCTTGGAATCTTTTCGTGGTTTATGATCGTGCAATCGCAGATGGATCTAGGTACACCCTGGTACGTTTTCAACGTCAATTCTCGAATCCGGTCATCAGGTCTGGTCCCCCTTTATACTGACTTGATAATCTCCCAGGCTCTTCCCATACATGGTCGTCGTGAGCGCCCTCGGCGTCACGTTCTTCTTCTTAGTTCAGATCCTCATTGCACGAGGGCCACTGCTGCCAGGCATTCTGATCGTTGGCAGCTTCATTCTCTTCGTACTCTGGTTGACGGGGTTGATTGAGACGTCGCTGCAGTTGTACGGTGTGTCTGGCAATGTGAATGATAATTGTCAGATCTGGGTGGTGGAGAACGAGTCTCGGGGGAACAGCATCAATACATTGGCATGGTTAACGCAAAGCACGATCTGTAAGCCTCCTTTCCCTTTTGCATCTTCTACCTTGATGTACGGTGCAAACCCCTTCTGACTCGTCTTTGCAGGTAATTGCTGGAAAACGGCCTTTGCGTTTGAGCTTGTCAATACGATATTCTACCTTTGGATGATGATCATGTCGTGGCAGGTCCATCGGGACTTTTACCACTGATGTGTCGGATGTTTATAATGCCTGATGGATCTGATCTTGATGTTCTTTCATGTCCTCGTCTTCTCCTGTGATACCATCTTTTTTTTGCATGATATTTGGCGTTGGAAAGCATTCCATGCTACGTATTGGGTTCCATCTATAGCGACTCTCTTCTACAACATTGCTCTTATTCTTAGTATGCAGCTCCTAATGAACAAAAGCCACTCTGTCATATGATCCGATATTCCCGTATACATGAATGATATACATTATTATATGCGAGCTTGATGTTCATTCAATGCACTTTGCTGTATCCCCCATCAGAGAGCATTCCCTGCTATATAATAGGTTCCGTCTCTCGCGTCTCTGTTCTACAATATCATTTGTACTCCCACTATGCATGTTTTAATGAACCAAAAGCTAGACGGCAACCGACCTAATGCATCCATGTCTGTATTTTGATATCCAGGATCGGATGCGAGCTCCAAGTCCATATATTGCACCTCACTGTCTCCCCCATTAGAGAGCATTCCGTCGCGGCCCCAGGTCCCCATTGGACACCACCTGCCCGTTTAAGAAGGTACGGGTCGCGACGTTTGCTTCCAAGGCAACGATCCCTCCCAAGGCAGCGATGCCTCTATTCAATTCCCAATCGGGCAATCGAGCTCTGCTAGTGCGATTTTCCGATTTCCTCAGAGTATAAATATCCCCATCCCCCCAGATATAAATATTTCTTCCCTCCTCCACGAACTCTCCTTCTTTCTCTCCCCTCCTCCACAGATTCCATCCTCTCGCCAGTCCACACCCTACATCCACATCCACCTCCCATCCACTGGCGCTTCTAACTTTCCTTCTTCGCATTCTATCTGGACTCCTTATGGCTTTGCTGACACACACCTCCACTCACATCTTCTTCCATCTGGACCCTTGACCTCTCTATTGGTCTCACACCTCCACTCATACTCAAACTTCTTCTTTCATCTGGGCACTTCATTTCTCTCTTGGTCACCCACCTCCACACACTGTTGACCTTCATCAAGTCTTCATCAACTTCTCTCATCTTCAAGACTTCAACATATTGCCCTCCATGGAGTAGCCCTTCAAATATACCAGAGCAAGGTCATGCAGTTCTTGCTCTCCTTCTCCCACTTTGCTACTCACGTGCCTACTGTCATACGTGCTTGAGCCTCATTATCTCTGGTCAAGACCACCTTTTCTCTCACGTCCTTCCTGGCTGCCCTCATTCCATCGACTGGTGTACGCCCTGACGTGTCTGGTCCTTTGTGACCTCTTATTTCTTCGGTGTCACGTCAACATCCATCTTATGGTGGCTCGCAGATATAAACACAAAGGTTTGTTTACTCTTCCTTCCTATCTTGTCTTGACTTTGACTAACACCAACAACAGCAGCCTACACCGACGTTCTTGAGTGAACGTCGATGGCCATAAACTTGGTGTCGAGCCTGTGTAGGGCGTGGTTGACCTTAGGGCTCCACTGCCTCACATCTCAGCCTCCTCGTTTATCCCTCTGCTGGTAGTCTCTGGTTTGAGAGATTACTTCTTCTTCTCCCTGGCACACGAATCTTCGATCACTGTCCTACTTTGTTGATACTAGCTACGGCGTCGCGGCTCTTCCCCTTCACGTTCAGATCTTACCACTCCCTCCTTCGGATCTCTCCACTGACCCTTGCCCTTCGACACCTTCCATCACTTGTGCCTGTCGATACTGCTTCGCCTCCATTCAGGTCTTTCAACACATCTTTCCACAGATCTTTCCACAGGTCTTTCCACGGGTCTACTTGATATCCCCACCATTTCTTCATACCAACCCTCAAATTCTTGACCTCCATTTTCTTCTTCATCATTCGTTTTTCTCCATCACTCCTTTACTTATCCCTTTACACATCCTCCTTTCCTCTGCTCGGTCACTCATCATCATACGACTTGATTACCTCCTGGCCGTTATACCTCGCAGCAAAAAAAAAGAAGAAAATCCAAAACAAAACAAAAAAAAGAACAGAACAGAAACAAGAAAAGAAAAAATTTCGAATCCCTTCGCCTGGTCTCATAACCTCTGACGCCTCAATCTCCGGTCTCACGATTGAACTCTTGACACGTCCACTTCTCAACGTGTCCGCCTCTTGATATTACTATCCACATCTTGAACGTATCAAGACGGTTTTCCTCTTCCTGGCCTTCCATCATCTGGCCTCAACTTCATGGGGGCCTGCAAAATCAAACAAAGAGGTATGCGTCTTTTCCATTGTCTACAGGATTTTCCAACCAGCTAACATCTTGAACAGGAGCCTACACTAACGTTCTTGAGTGAACCTCGTTGGCCATGAACTTGGTCCCGGGCCTGTGTAGGGCTTGGCTGACCCCTGTTCTCCATTGCCACACATTTCAGCCTCCTCGCTTATACTCTCATTGTTTCTATTGACAGTTTGGCAGGTATCAAAGCTCTCTCTCTCCAGTCTTTGGCACATCAATCTTCAATCACTGCCTCGACTGTCCTCTTGTTAGCTTGCGGAGCTAAACAAAAAGGTCGGTATGCCCTCGCCCTCATCCTCCACGGCTTCGACTAACACCTTCAACAGGAGCCTACACTGACGTTCTTGAGTGAACCTCGGTGGCCATGGACTTGGTGCCGAGCCTGTGTAGGGCATGGTTGACCAAGTTTCCATTGCCACACATCTCAGCCTCCTACTCATTGGCACTGCTCCGCTGCCAAATCGTTTGCTGCTGACCTTCGTCATAGATTCCCCCGCATTCTCAATCATTTCACCCTCTGGCTCACTTGATCTCTTTCTGGACAGGCGTCACGTAGCTGGACTCCCAGTTTGCGTGTCAGGACAAATCCAGAAGGAGGTTGGGTCGAGCTAGACATCCAACCCACTGGCCGCAATCGCAACTTGACGCTTCGTTCGACCTTCGATCCCTGCCTATTCCACATCCACGCCACTTTCTGGCCTTGGTTCGTCTTCCTCTTGAACAGGCGTCACGTAGCTGTTAATCCAGTTTGCGTGTCAGGACAAATTCAAGAGGTCGTCGGACAGGCTAGTCTCCAATCCACCACAGCAATGACAATTTGCTCAACCGCCATCCGATCCTCCGTACCGTTTTCGCGATCTCGTTTCCACGTCTGCTTTCGCTTTGACAATCACCTCTCTGGCCTTGGTTCGTCTTCCTCTTGAACAGGCGTCATGTAGCTGTTGATCCAGTTTGCGTGTCAGGACAAATTCAAGAGGTCGTCAGGCAGACTAGTCTCCAATCCTCCGTACCGTTTTCGCGATTTCCTGTCCACTTCGATATCACCCCCTGGCCTCGACTCGATTTCCTCTTGAACAGGCGTCACGTAGCTGTTGATCCAGTTTGCGTGTCCGGACAAATTCAAAGGGATATCGGGTCGTACCAGCCAGCAACAACCAAACTCGATATACTCGCCTTCCGTTACGCCGTCTCTCCACCTCCGTTTCCCGCGCTACCTACCTCGTCCGATTTCCACTTCGAGCTTTTACCAGGTTCCCTCTTGAACAGGCGTCACGTAGCTGGAGTTTCGGTTTGCGTGTCAGGACAAATTCAAATGGGGAATTGGTTCAAGCATTCGACCAACCACGACGACACGAACGCTCGTACACTCCTCGATCCACTCCGAAAAACAACCTGGTTTCGATCGGTCCCTTGTTGAACAGGCGTCACGTAGCTGATATCTCAGTTTGCGTGTCAGGACAAATTCAACAAGGGACTTGGTCAAGCCAAGTCACCGCCACGACCGTCCTTCGCTTCTCGATATCCCGCACATCTGTTAATATGATCTCTTCTTGAACAGGCGTCACGTAGCTGGATTTCCGGTTTGCGTGTCAGGACAAATTCAGGAAGAGATCGGGTCTACACAACCAACCAAGAAGCAACCACGGGCCACATTCATCTTCAGTCACTGTCCATTGCTTTTACGACTTGCTGTTGCCCTCCACAACTCACTCGGCCGCTTTTTCGAACAGGCATCATGTAGCTGGGATTCCAGTTTGCGTGTCAGGACAAATTCGAAGTAGAGGTTGAGTAAACCAAACCACCCACCCACCCATCCACCCCACTGCCTCACATTGACGTTCAATTACTGTCAAGCCCCTCTGCTACCACGAAGATCTATCAGTCTCGCGTCTCACGAGCCAAGGTAAGTTTATTCCCCGCCTGATCCACGTTTCCTGCTAACATTGAGATTCTAGACATGACCACATTTCAAACGACCTGGTCCATTCAAACCTCAACCCCATACCACACATTCAACCAAACATTGTTCAACAAACCACAAACGGGTACACAAGAGACAACCACACAAGTGCCCTGGACAAAGTCCAAACAAAGTCGAGTCTCATGGGCTTTATCACAGTCATGTATCTAGTTATCCTTGACAGTACCACGCTCTGCATTCTCCAGGCCTGGCTTCTCTACAGAATAGAACTAACTGGTTTTCACACAATTCACACTCTACTCTGAAAGTAAACTTGTATTCAGTAATAATTACCCAAAGACCTACTGCTACAGCTGTAGTATAGTAGCAATTCAATTTTCTGAGTCCAGGAATGCAAAAGCAATGCACCACCCTTCCAGATGTCCTCTTGGGTGGCCTGCGTGGGATCTTTAGACGAGTCTATCAGTGCAGGGATAAAACATTACCAGGAACCTCTACAGGAGTTTCAAATTTCATCGAATGCCTTTATATCTCGAGGACATATTCAATTTTTCTCACACACCATACATAGCAAAATCCAGGAGCGCACAACTCCCCTCTTGTATGGAACACCAGCTATCTTTGACAAAAATAATTCACACGAACACACAAGTAAAAGGAAGATGAAGAAAGACATCACTGACAAACGCCACCGCTATGCCAGGTACGCATCGCAACTGCAAAAATCAGACGTAACAACAGACAAGTCCAGGACAGCAGAAAGAAGGAAGACAAAAATGGAGAGAAGGAATCAACCAGCTGGAAGAGTTGGATGAAATGGGAATGGTGCAGAATGATACCAAGTCACCGGAGTAGAACAGTGTGGCTTTGAGGCAGACAGGTGGCTTTGCTCTTTAGCTTTATTCGGCAGAGGCCTCATCGGCACCGGCTTCTTTGCTGTAATCCGGATCATCAAATGCAGCCATCATCTCGCGCTCAAAGTCATCCGCATCTGATTCGTCAACGGCCGTGTCAGATTGCGTCTCTTGTTCACCGACAGCAGCGCCAAACTCTTCTCCCTCGTCGTCATCATCTGGAGCGGGGAATTGTCCTTTCTCAAAGCGAGTTTCTTCCGTCTCCGAGCCTCCAGCGGTAGCAACCTCCCTAAGACCAGTGCTCCGCTCGTATGACCGCTTGATACGTTGTGAAAGACGCGAGCCCTTGGTATCAGCGTCATCGTTGTCTTCATCGGTGGACTCGTCGTCCTCGTTGCCATCGTTTTCTTCGCCGCGTTTGCGTTTCCGGCTTGGTTCGGTTGCGTCCTCTGCCCAGGCCTCGCTGTCGCTCTCGCTTTCGTCGTCGCTGCCCAGGAACTCCTTTAGTTCGTCGTGCACCGCTGCTTGATCGTCTTCGTCATAGCTGAGCGGGGAAGCCTCGGTCAGTCCGGCGTCCTTGAACATCTCGTCGCTAGCGTCGTCATCGGTCACATTCGTGGCTTCGTCTGAAGAGGAGATCCACGAGTTGTCGATAAGATCGCGAGAACTGGGTGAAAGAGGCTCGCCACGGTCATCTGGGTGGACGGGCAACAGGTAAGGATCCTCGTCCAAGTGTTTCCAGTTAATGAGAGAGTCGTAGAGCCATTGCGTCGTGACGATCTTGATATTTGGCCAGCGCGTGGCTTCCCGCACTTTGGCTGTGCGATTGCGGCCAGCGACGAGGTGGGTTACGCGTTTGCCGATATTTTTCAGGATGACTACGCCGAATGTCTTTGCCCAGAGAGAGACTTCTGCGTTCTGGAGGTCTTGACCTAGCGGAATGACGCCGGAGAAAACAATCACCGCACCACCAAGTACTTGGGCTTTGTACAAGGGCATAATGTCCTTAATATCGGGCACTAGTTTCAAGTCCACGTCCTTGTCCTTTGAGGCAGCTTTCTCGCCGCGGAGGGCGGCTACACGGCCACCCAGAGCATGGGTCCTCTTCTTGTCATACTCTTCAAAGAAGATCTTATGTACCGCCTCCAGGCGCTCTTGAAGTTGGGAAAAGCTCCATGTCATGGTCTACCAGTAGGTGGTGTCGAGGCTTGGCTGTCTCCTGCGACTCATCCCCACTGGAAGACGATTCGCTGCCATCAGCAGATGCATCGTCATCTGCATCCAGTTCTTTTTGTTTCTGCAGCAAAGGACGATCTTCGACTTGGTGCATGAGTGTTTCCTCCTGTGCGTCGGTCTGCTCCTGCAGGAGTCTGGGATCATCTCCCCCACCCATCGTCACCAATTGTTCCAAAGCCGAGACCTCCGTCTCCAAGCCTGTCTTCATCGTTGCACCGTTGACATGGTGCTCGTGCAAGTCCTTTTCCTTTCCCTTTTCTTTCGATCCTCTACTCGATTTGGGCGTCGCCGCGATTTCTTGCTTTTTGGGCAAGAAGCTGGAATTGATATCGCCAATTCCGACAAAGAAGTCATAAGGGACGACCTTGATCAGATTGGGGATCCATCGCCACACGTCACCGCGGTCATCGATAATGACCACCATCTTGGTGTCCACCGGGAAGAGCCGCTGTAAGTTCTTGGCCGTCAAGCTTCCGCTCTCGTCACGGCTCAGAATGCGGTCTCCAAAGAGTTTGCGCGTTGGGTCAATGAGATCGGCAATGTTTTGGGCATATGCTCGAGTGCCCATGGTGTAAATGTGTAATTCAAAGAGCTCGGCGACTTTCTCCAGGAATTCCTCCAGCCCAGGTCGAAGCTTGATGTAATACCAGCATCCGCGCGCCCCGGGGGTATCATCAACCAATTGGAAAGACCGAACGTCCTTCAACGCCTCATAATTAGGATTATCCTTATCATCCTTCCACTCTCCGACTGTCGGATCAACGGTGGCATGGATGATGGTCTGATCCAGATCAACCACCAGCGACAGACGCCGGGATGCCAAAAGACGACGTTTAGCATCCTCCTCGACACGAGTGGCCTCCTTCTCACTGACGGTCAGTGTAGTGTTATCATGGGTCATCTGGATGGGAGCGCGGAAGGTCTCCGAGATCTCGGTGTTGTAAGTCGATCTACCCAATAGGGACAAAGAGGCTCGGTCAGTATTGCGATGACAACTAAAGCATTCGTCTAAGCTTTTGAGATCAGATGGATAAACATACTCAGTCATATCCTTGCCACACTCAGCGCACATCCCACCGAACTGGACCTCATGCGCACAAGGCTCCTCGACTTCGACAACATCCACACTAGACGAGTAACAAAGAAAACCGATCAGTTCACCGCCCACAAAGGATCAATGAGCATCAGATAATAAGACTCACGGTTCATCGATAACATCGCCCTTAGCGATATTCCATTTCACAACCGTCCCATCTACGGGTGACTCAAAACGTGTGGGAAACTTGCGCTTCACCATCACCTGGTTTCCCAGCCCATCGCCCTCCTCCACAGTAGTCTGGTAAATGTACCAAAAGATAGCCTCATCCCGCTCCACCGTGTCCCCTTCCTGCTTGAGGAGCGAAGTCACGGTGATGGGATAGTGCAGGCTGGGGGGCAACCGGAGCTGCATCTTGGCTCCCAGTCCGCCCCTAGGTGATCGAAACCCACCTTTCTACTCAATATCTCAAAGGAAGCCGCCGGCAAAGACTGCACTGTGGCCCTGTTCTTGGTGTTTCCGCGTCGACAGGAGGCGCGGATGTTGTGTGAGCTTGATCGCGTGCGCCTCTGCCTACGGCGCCATGCCCGACACGCGACGCGTAGGGATAATGGATGACAAGGACGGGGAGAAAGGTCCAGCAGATGGTTGAGAGATATGGATCAATGAGGTTGAGAGGTGTTAGAGGGTTTCTTTGCGCTGTTGCGAGGACAAGTCCACCAGCGCGTGAATCAAGCTAGGCAATCGAGTAGTCGGATATCGCCACACGAACGCGGAGTCCCAAGGGAGCGTGCGCTTTGGACACCCTAGTGCGTGGAAATATCAAGAGATGATTCGCGCAGTAAGTGGTTCAAGCGACTGGAAATAAATGTTTGGAATGATGAAGTGTTTGTTGGATGTGGTTTGGAGAAAGGAAGAGCTCGTCCGGGAACTTGTGCGGGGACAGGCTTAACCGGCTTCTTTGAAGAAGCTCCGCTTATGTCAACATCCCTCCACTCCGCTACTCTGAATAGGGAAGCTTGGTACTTGGCAATGAAGGCCTAAACATAGATGATTGTCATATTATAGCATTTTATTGTATTTTTGGACTTCTACAAAGTGTCAGTATAGCTCAGCTCACTGGTTTAGACTCACTTGGACTGAACAGCACTCATGATTGGCCATTTGGGCAGGAGACTGCTGCAGCCACGGACCTTCGGCTCCATCCAAGCTTCGATCCATCGTCATTGGGGCGACTATCAAATTCATCAAAAAAGATCTACGAGCGGAAATAAACTACAAACATAGAAGAAACGGATCAAATGCAGAGCTAGGAGGGGAAATTGATTGGTAATAGCGAGACAAAATTCAAAGAAATGCAAAAAGTAAATCCATGCTCTTGACAATCTGCGTGATCCTCAGCGAGCAAATCCCCAGGAAGGGCTGTGCCAGTGGACGGAACAGGATAGGAAGAGAAAGTAAATCAGGCATCAGTCAAGATATGCGTGTAAGCCATGAGGCGCGGATGATAAAAGCAGGCACCTTTACAAACCACACGACCCCCCTCCCTGAAGATAGAGCCGCATGTACATGGGTATATACGGAAGATGCGCTCGACTCGGTCTCCAGAGTTGTCAACGGCTACAGCTTTCCCCCTAGTGAGAAGTGGATGAACGCATTTAGTTGGCCTTGGCCTTGGCCAGGCCAACGGAGCCCTTGCCGTGGTCGTACACGCTGTACCACTTGCGCAGGAACGCGTCACCCAGGATGGCCAGGGGACCAACGGGCTCGGGGAAGTCCATGCCCATGAAGCTGCTGATGCAGGAGCCCTGGACCTCGAGGATGTAGTCATAGGAGGTAATGGTGAAGTTGTGACCGGCCAGGGTGAAGGTGAGGTCGGGCAGGCTGTCACGCTTGTCACACTCGACGGTGTACTGGCCAGTGAAGCCCTTCTTGGCACCAATCTCCTTGTTCAGGAGCTCGGCCATGGTGGAGGGCAAAGCAATGAGCGAGGTGCCGGTGTCGAGGATGACACCGGTGTCCTCGAGCTCGGCAGTGTTGTCGCCGAGGCTGATGGCATCAAAGTCGACCTCCCAGTAAGCCTTGCGGCGGAGGGGAATGTTGATCATCTCGCCGGTGTAGTGGCTCTTGTCGACGCCACCGAAAGTGGCCTCGGACTCGTCACCCTCCTTGTTGGTGTCGCCCAGGTAGAAGGCGAAGACGGGCTCGTCCAGGAGACCCTGGTTCAGCGCGTTGTAGAAGGGGGGACCATCTTGTTGACGGAGATGGTGTCGAAGCCCAGACCCAGGATACCGTCGAAGCGGCCAAAGGCGAAGGCCAGACCAGGCTCCTCGGTCGCCTCGGCAAAGTCCTGGTGCTTGATCTGCAGGTCGCCGATCGTCAGAGTATCCTGAGACACGAAACCGCTCAGGCTGCCAGAGCCGTACTGAATGGCGAACTCGGTGCCGTTCTTCTTGTAGGTGCTCGATGAAGACGAGTCATACTTGCTGTGAAGGAAGCAGGCGATCGAGTTGCACTGCGACGAGGGAACCCACAGGTTGGAGCTACCAGTGTCGAGGACGACCTTGAAGGACTGAGGGGGACTACCCAGAGTAATCTCGGAGAAGTCTTATGTGGAGTTAGTACAGTGGTTGACAGATGGATGTTGATGATTGTAGGGGAGGAGAGTGGGTTCACGGTTGGTGTGGAGACGGCATGCTTACATTGGGCGTTCAGGAAGTTGTCGACTAGCACGTTGTGACCACCCTCGGGCTTGATGGAGGTGTCCTGGTAGCTAGAAGACGGGCGGTAACCCATGTACTTCTGGCCAAGCGACTGAACATGTCTGTCGATGTTGGCAGCGGCCTGTGATGGTGAGGATGTTGTTAGCTTTCGGGTACCAGGCACCGCTTCCGGCCCGGGGGGGAGACTTACAAACTGCTCGTCCAGAGGGACCTTGTTGAGCTTGAGCTTGTGGACCTCGGCAGAGGCAGCGCCCAGCAGCGCAGAGGCTGTGAGCAGGGAAAGAGACTTCATGATGGTGTAGGATGAGGATGGATGATAACGCGATGGAGAGAGGAGGAGAAGGAAGATAAGGACGAGCTGGGGGCGGAGCCTACAGGACGATCGGCATAACGTGATGGGGAGTGCGTCATTGCCGGAATCAGCTGGGCCGACCACAACCAAGTTGGGGTTACACTCGACGACCCTTTGTCCGGGACAAATTGATCGCAATGTATTATCACCATAGACTATTTATTGATTGGTGTCTCTACAAAAAGAATACTGCCCCCATTCTACATTCTAGAGGTTCTGGGAGGTGGGAAAGACTGCCATCACGGAAGGAGGAGGTGGCTGGGCGTTTGCCTGCTTGGCGCTGACCAAGGCCAGAGAGAGACGGTCGAAGCGCCGTACCTGACAGATGCAGAATGAGGTGGCGACAGTTGTCGCTGCAGTAGTACTGGAGTAGTAGTGTGACCACAGAATTGACTTGCTTTTACTACCTATCCTGGCTAAATCTCCTGAATGCTTAATTTAGGCTGGTTGACTGTACCGAAGTACTTCCCAAGACCTAAAATCAAGGATGATGATTTGTATGTATTATGTCGACTTTCTGCCTTGTTTACGACGAACTCTGGGGTAGGGCCGGAGATCATTTCCACACAGTGGATCGAGTCGATCGCGAAGCCTACAGGCTGATCGTAAACAGGTTCAGAACCAACAGTGCACTCACATAATAGCAATGTTGAAACATACTGGACGCCTGGTCTATACTTACTGTCCAGAACAATACTTCCTAGCAGACCCTGCGTGATACAATTCAGCCAAATTTTTGCGGATCGCTTGACCTCGACGTACTACCACTCGTTGCTATCACATCGCGTCTTATCACGAGGTTCCAAGTTGAATCATGTATTCCCAAGTATCACAAATTATTGATGATAATACAACGGTCCAGGCCATGCTTTCACCATTCCGTATCCACGCACCCCCCCCCCCAACAACACAGAGCTTACCGGTAGAAATCGAGGCTGAAGAAAAGTCAGTAACACAACACACGAGCATGGAGCAAGAGAAAAAGTCACATACCGGTCATCCTCATGGCCACTCTTCACTTGAGCCGCATACGCATCCTCCAGGTCGCTCTGGATGATATTGTATCTGTTCTTACGCACTGCCCGAAGACCGGCCTCTTGCATGACGGCAGCGATCACGGCACCCGAAAGCGGCTCGTTGCGGACAATGAGGGAGTCCAGATCCACCTCGGGCGACAGAGACATCTTCGATGCGATGGTGGTGAAGATCAGGCGGCGCTCACGGCGGTCGCGCAACGACGGGAACTCAATCTTACGGTCCAGGCGACCTGGGCGCAGCAGAGCCGGGTCCAGGGTGTCTGCACGGTTAGTGGCCATGATGACCTTGACGTTGCTGGTCTGCTCAAAACCATCCATCTGGTTGAGCAGCTCCAGCAGAATACGCTGCACCTCACGGTCGGCACCGGTCTGGGCGTCGAAACGCTTGGTGGCGATCGCATCGATCTCGTCGATGAAGATGATGGCCGGTGAGTTCTCGCGCGCCATCCGGAAGACATCACGAACCATACGAGGACCCTCACCCAGATACTTTTGTACGAACTCGGAGCCGTTCACGCGAATGAAGCTGGCGGTTGTGCTGTTGGCCACGGCCTTGACCAGCATCGTCTTACCAGTACCGGGGGGTCCATACAATAAGACACCACGGGGTGGGTCGATACCTGTGTTGCCGAATTAGCATTCTTCCATCATCCATGCTGTATCATGATTGTACCCACCGATCTGTCTGTAGAGGTCGAAGTGTGTCAGCGGCAGCTCGACGGCCTCCCGAATCTCCTGCTTCTGCATATCCAGACCACCCACGTCGGCATAGGTCACATCTGGCTTCTCATTCTCACCCAGCATCGCAATCGAGGAGTCGGCCTCGGGGGGAAGAATATCAACGAGAGCATTGGAGTGACGGTGGAGGGCGACCGAGGATGAGGGCTTCAGCTTCTCACGGTCGAGTGTGGACAGGATGCGGACGACGTAATTCGACCCGGTCGAGCTCTGGACGATACCAGTACTAGATAAGAGCCTGTCAGCAAGAGATACACCTCTCATTATTGACCGTAGGTGAAGGTCGAGCATACTTCTGATCGATAGCCTCCATGAACTGCCCAATCACCAGTGGCACACTCTGTATCCGTTTGATCTCTTCTTGTGCCCGGACAAGCTCCCTCTTCAAGCTCCTATATTGCAGGAGTCAGCAATCAAGTCTGGCTGTCAAGAGCCGACTTAGTGAGAAGACTGACCTTTGCTCATCCTTGATGTATTCCTCCTGCAGCTGAATGTATCTGTCGGAGGCGTTAGTAACGTCCAACGGACGAGGGCATCCTCATCAACACTGACTCTAGGTGTCGCTGTAGCCGCTTCAAATTGGCATATTCATCATTCCCATCGGCTCCAGTGCCCTCCAGCGAGTCCAGGTTGGCAAGGGCATCCAAGGCACCTGGCTTCGGGAGAGGCGTGACGTTGTTCGCCGGATTCTCCACGGCGACGTCTCCCATGATTGCGGTCTATGTGATGAGGAAGAGAAATGAAAGACAGATGGTATCGGAGACGATGGATGGCTTTCGGAGATGGGTTCGTAGATTGACGTTGCAAGGCGCGTTGTGCAGAGTCCGGAGATGGAGATGGACCGGCCTTGGAGCTTGGATCGGGCAACATGGAGCTTAATGGTTGATCACGTGATGTCTGTCATTGGGCCAGCAGCGAATCCTGTAGGTCTGCTGTTATTCTTCCTCGATTTTCTCTCCATTTCGAACTTGTCAGAAAGGCTCCAGTGTACTCAAGGTTGGATATGACAAGTTACAGCCACAAGCCACAGTTCTGCAGGGAGCTCGGAGATCAATGTCATTATCAGGTCTTACATTGGTACAAGATATATATTGACGGCACTTACTCCTCTACCTGTCAACTTGCTTACGGGAGGCACAAGACTCGTCTGACTTTATTTGGTCATATATAACTCCTCCTTCGTAACCAGCCATCTTTATTGTATTTACTCTACACAGCACGACCTGATCACCCTCTGACAGCATCTCGTCAGCTCAGTACTCTAATTATGAGTGGCTGTTAGCCAGGGAACCCATGGTCACCAACGAATGTATTGGGGCCAGGCCCAACTTCAGCCCATGACCAATCAGGCCTATGATCGGGGCTGTCTCGAGATGATTCGTAGAGATGACGCTGCCAGCACGCCTCTGTACGCAGATCGAGGCAGCTGATCCTGGGGCGAGCCGAGGATACAAGGCTAGGATTCCCGTTATTCTTATGATCCTTGGGTCCTGGCTATTCTGGCCGTTCGAGCTGATTATTTTTACTAGGTGGACAACGAACCCACCACGGATCGCGGGGGCTCGTGCTGCCATTTACGTCGCTTAGACCAAGATGTCATTTGAGCCATGAGAAAGCATAAATCCCGTTGCGGTGGAGCCTAGGACCAGGATTGGGTTCATCCGTCTACCTTTAAGTCGGTAGCGGTTGGGCAGATTGGCAGGTTGGCAGATTAGCAGGCTAGCGGTGGTCGCAAAAGGTGGGACAGGCACAGAACCATCACGATGCCCCATGCGGATCGAGTCGGATTCTTGCACCACTAGGGGAGGCCCTTTTGGCGGAGTTTTTCTTCTGGGTCCTGGAACGGCTCTGCGGGGAGTCCGTTTATTCCGTTCGTTTCTTTTCTTGCCTGCGATTCGGTTTTTTCCCTTGTGAACCGCGAGGGGATTGGTTGCGCTCGTCATGATTATCAGACGCGAGTCCGAGCTTTATATAAGGAGAGCCGCGCCCACTAAATACCGTGACCGTGCCTGACGGGGAGATTTCCTTTCCCCCAAAGGCCTTACTTTCTTTTCTTCTTTCCCATATTCCCTTCACTGCGGCTTGTATTGTCTCTTTCTTCCCAACCACCCTCTCTCTGGAGGGGGGTTTTTAAATATTTCATTCTGCCTCTGCTGGGGTGATCCAGTGCTGGTCAGCCAGAGTATACACACTAACCGGACTGGGCGAAGACCGTTGGAATGGATCTTCGCCGAGTTCATTTTGCATCTCCAGCCTACGAAGATGATTTTTCATTCTCTTTCTCCTTTTTCTTCCCATGGGTTTCTGGTACTGATGGTCTATTTTCTACGAAACTATGATTCTTTATCTTCGTGGCCTTGCCTTCAAGATTCTTTTACTCGGCATAGTTGGCGAGAGGGCCACCTGACTAACACACAGCCTGACTAACTAACTAACTAACTAACTGTGGAGGAGACTCACCATGACAGGGGAGCCAGGACTTTTCCAACCTCTTCAGTTGAAGAATGAAACACAATCACCAAAGAACCCCCCAAATTTATTCTCGTGAATCACTAACAAGACCGCGAACATACAAAAGGAAACAGAAACAGGACGGGATACATTACAGTATGGAAGACGTAATGGGTGTGACGAGTCATCTATGAAACAAGCTGACTACTGGCCACCAGTAGGGGCCAATTACTTACCATACAGGGTACTGTCTAGTATCAGCGTGACTGCGCTGGTGCGTCTGACGGCGATGACTGCGGTGATCGGGACCGGGGCGCATTCCCTCGCTGTATTTTTGTATTTTTCCCTCTTTCCTCTCCACTTCGCCCTTCCATCCCTAACTGCCTTTGCTTTGCTGCCAAAAAGTATACGGTAAGTACGCCATTTGGATTGCTTTGCGTGTGCTTGTATTGCGGCTTTTTGGGACCCCCCTAAATTGCCCCCATTTCTTTCCCCCAAATTTCCCTCCCTTTTGTCCTGTGGCCACGCACCCACTTACCCCCCTCTTCCCACCCCTTCTTCCGGGCAACCCACCGACAGCACACCCCCCAGCCCTCATTTGTCTGTGGTTTCTAGTTTCTGGACCATCATTATTATCGTGGAGGAAAGATCAACCAGACCCTTCCAGCCCGTCGCCTTCCCACCCCCCTGCTTGAGCACCCCCCCCATCCCACAGCTGGCCCTCTCTCCCTTCTGCCCCTTCTTGCCCGTGACTCCTTGCCGCCTCAGGCTCCTACACCACGTGATCACGGGACCTCCGTCCAAACCTCTGCCCTTCGATCCATCTGCTAATTCCGGGACCCGGCCTTAGCCATCCGTTCGCAAGTCGGGAATTTGAGTGATCCAGCCTTGTCGGTATGTATATCATTTTCATAATCCCTTCCCCTCGTCTCTCTCAATAGTCATTGTTTGTTTCGCGGCTATGATCCCATCCCCTTCCATCTGAGACCACCCCCTCGGAAGCGTGTCGCGACCGAGCGCGCAGACCCTCAACACTTCCGCTCAAGACGCGTTCACACGATCTTGGGAATTGATGAGGGGGTCATATTTCCTTTCCCATTGATGATGAAGATGGAATTCATTGGGGTGCCTCGAGTCGCGATGATGACGCGACCGCCCAACGTGGACCTTGCTAACCTGCGTTACTCGGGACATAGATGGGTTGGAAGAACCACACGACATGAACGCTTGGCTCGCCGACGCCTCGAATATTCCTGGCCAGGATAATGGCGCCTTCAATCCTTCTACCATCGACCCCTCAGCCGCCTTTCTCCATGCCTCTCCAAACCCTCAGGACCCCAATCAGTTCCAGCGCATGTTCAATGGCGTGCCACGGAATGCCTCCCCGGGTTTCCACAACCCTAACCAGGTAATTCCATCCAAGCGACCACGGCCAGAAGATGGGATGCCCATGTCGCCGCGCCCTGCCCCGGGTGCCGGTGTCACTGGGTCGCGATCGCAGACTCCCCATCAAGTACCATTCCCGGGCTATCAAGGTGCTGCAAATGGAGCCCAGTTCACCCAACACCCGACCCCCTATCAACACCTCCAACAAGGCGCTTCGCCCAATGTGGCCCAATCTCCAATCATCCAAGATTTTGACCAGCAAAGTGTGCGTATGGGAACCGCCTCGCCAAGCCCATATTCTCCTGCCGGCCCACATGTAGGTGGACCACATATGTCTCCCTCGCAGTCGGATGGCAGCCGTGTGAACACCCCGCAAAATGGCCAGTTCATGCCCGGACAAGCATTCCCTCAGGCCATGAACGCACAATTTCAGCAGGGACCTGGAATGACCTCGGGGTCTCAGCAGCCGCCGATGCAGGCGCAACAGTTCAACGGGATGGCACAGATGCCCCAGAGTTATCACCAAGCAATTGCGGCTCAGCAACAGCGGCTTCGCCAGATGCAAATGCAACAGAGCCAACAAATGAATGCCAACTCTCAGATGGCCGGTCGCCCCCAAATGCCGAGTGGGATGAACCCTATGGCAAATCCTCAGCAAATGGCTGCTATTCGCCAGATGCAGCAACAACAGCAGCAGCAACAGCAACACCAGCAAGGCATGCCAAAGCCCAACAACCCGGAGATGTTCATGCGAACGTTACAAAAATTCATGATGTCACGAAACCTACCTTTGGACCCTAATCCGATTATCAGCGGTCGGCCTATCAATGTCATGCAGTTGTATGGAACTGTGATGAAAATGGGTGGCTCGAAAAAAGTAACTGCGATGAATCTGTGGCCGATGGTTGCACAGCAGCTCCAATTCCCCCAAGTCCAGTTCCCCATGGCCGCACAGGAGGTTCGGGAATACCACCAAAGGAACCTGGCTCCTTATGAGCAGGCATATTTCCAATCTCAGTCCAAACAGTTTGCCGAGATGCAGCAGCAACAGCAGCAGCAGCAGCAGCAGCAACAACAACAACAGCAGCAGCAGCAGCAGCAGCAGCACCACCACCAGCAGCAGCAGCAACAGCAACAACATCTTCAACAATCTCAGCAACAACAACATCCAGTTGGGATTCCCCGCCAGCCTAGCGATCCGTCAGCGATGCAATTCCAGTCTCCCCAAGTAAAACCGGGCCAGGGCTTTGAGCAACCCCAACCACCAATTCCTCACACCCCTCAGCACAGCACTCCGGTCTCCAATAATGCTCAAGCTACCCCAGTCAATGGGTTCGCCACACCCACTCAGGCCCGAAGCCAAAGCAAGCCACCTCAACCGGGTCACCGACTTAGTGTCTCGCGACAGTCACAGCCACCAGCTCCTACGCCAGAAGCTGGGGGGCAGTTCGTTGCACCGTCGCCCGCTCAGCAAGGGAAGTCTTCTATGACTCCAGTCCAGCAACCAGTGCAAGCACCGGAGCCCAAGCAAGACCAAGTAGTCAAGCGGCCAATTGAAGACCCCTTCAAGCCCATGGTCATCACCGAGCAACGACTTCATGGACCTATTCAAGTGGACGAAATGTACCAGATTGGCGAAGAGATTTCACAACTCAGGCCCACTGTACCAAGTTTCGCCGAGTTAGGCTTGGTAGATATCCATGCAGTGACCATGAGCTTGAAGTCTGGTATTCATGCTGAAGTTCGTCTTGCATTGGACACACTCACCACTCTTTCCTGTCAGCAGGGCTTCCAGGTTTCGCTCGAGAATACCGAGGACTTGGTAGAGAGTTTGGTGGATTGTGTTGATGATCAGGTGGACTTGTTGTCTGAGCACACTCAAGAAGTCTCCGATGTGATATCCCTGCGTTCATATGAAGAGGTTACCCGGGGCTGTCAGTCCGAACACACATCGCTTGCAGATGCGCCCGAGTTCGGAAGCCTCGACTATGAGCTGGACCGTGCCGTGGATCGTTTGATTTGTATAACCACCATACTCCGGAACTTGTCATTTAGCGAGTCCAATTTTGGGCCGTTGGGAGTGCCGTGTATCACTCAGTCCTATGCGAACATCTTCCGGAACATCGGTACTCGCGTCAAATATTTGCGAACTGACCAAAATCTGTTGGACTTTATGAAAGATGCTGTCATTTTCATGAGCAACTTGGCACATGTCATGCAAATACCTGGGGAAAGAGGAGGCTCTTAGTCTACTGCACTTCCTCCTGGCATTCTCGCCTTTGCCAGGCCCCACAACTGTGAAGTCGGGCCAGATTATGTTTTCGGCGTTTAATCCTTCTATTCACCGATACACTCCCGCTGCCGTGGATGGTCTTGCTAAGTTGTTGGCAAGAGATGACCCGAACCGTATCTACTTTGGTGCCATCTTTTCCGGGGACGGTTCTGCACCTCCGCAACCCGAGCTTCTCACTCGCACATTCGGCCTCGCAATCTGCGCGGTTCCGGACAAGAAGCCTCTGGCAGTTGCAGATGCCCGCATGGTCTTCCTCATGCAGGGTCTTCTGGCAGCTGATGTTCTGACCACTTTCGCTGATGGTGCTCTGGCTAAGTTCTGGCTGGGTTCTGTCGACGGTTTTGCTATTCACCTATTACGCATTTCCTGTCTGCTGTGCACAGAGCGCCTCCCAAATATTAACCCGCGCCAAAGTCGGCAGGCCGAGGCTGAAGCATATGCTTATGGCTCAATCATCCACCGCGGACTCGCCATCCTGCGCCGGCTTGCCGAAAAGTCCAAGCAAGTGGCCAATGCCTCCGCCCTCCATCTCCCCTCCGGTATCCTCCCCAGCAAAGAGAGCTTGCTTGGTGCCATGCTTCTCGCGAACATGGACCCTACTATCGTCCGTCAACTCCTCACATATGCCAATCTAGCAGAGTAAAGGATGTCGCCGCACTTTCTTTTACTTTCCTTGTGTCAAGCCTTGCCCTCTCAATGTGTTTGTACGAAAGACGCTTGGTTCGGTGACTATCACGAAGAGAGGAGCGTCTGGAACGAGTGGATCTGCTCCTTGCGCGCAGCATATACGACAATTTTTTTTTGAATTTCTATCATGTCATTTGTACTCATGTGTCCAAGCCAGCCAATTTCAGTCCGTCCTTGCTGCCGGTGGTTAGGTCAGGTCGGGCCAGGTCAGGGCCGGTTCGATCTTGTGTTTCTTCCCTATGGATGGTTTCTCCTTTTTGGGCGCCGGTTGGATATCGGGGGGCCTTCCTTTCCCTTTTCTTGTTTCTCTTTCTCTGATTGCGGTGTTTGACCTCTTGACTCTTCTATTTGTGAGATAGCGTGTTTGTGATTTTCTTCTGTGTACAATGCTCAAAATACCCTCGGCTGAATGCGAGAGATTGAGGTTCATCTGATGGGTCATACCCCTCTGGGATTTGTAACGGTTGATTTTGTAAGATTTAGCTTTTGGCCTTGTAGCCTGATGCAAGTTTCATCCAATCTTGTAGATGGTATCGGGATCGGGTACTGCAAACGTCAGCCAGGCGCGCGTGTGCCTTCAAATGCAGGCAGATATGGCTACACTCTTCTCACTTGCTGCAACGCCAGCAATCACCCACAACATTTCTACTCCTTCTGACCAATTCCCGTCAACTGCCCTCTCATCCATCTCTCCATTATTGAGGTCCTCTATAAGAGGCCCTCCCTAGCCCTGTTAGACCTTTCCCTCTTCCACCCCCTATTTCCTCTTCGTGAGAGCTCTCCTTCTCTTTATTATTATATTCAATGACTATATATAGACACCTTGAATCTTCCCTACGACCTTCAATACTGTCTTTGACGTCTTACATTGTCCGCTTTGGTCAGGCTGCCGTCCTCTACGCCACAGATGACCCTGGAACTTGGTTCACATGAAGAGTCAAGAGAGCTCATTCCCTCCTGCATCTTTCTTCCCTTATAGAGCCAAAGGGAAATCCATGGGGTTCGATGATGGCTTGGGCTTTTCACTCCCAGGGACGCGCGATCGCGACCTTTGACACAAGAGCCGCTGCGATGGTGGTGTGAGGAACCTTGCTAATGAGGCATGTCTCTTGCCTCAGTCTGGCTGCTCAGTTTCCGCTCTCCTCTGCCATACAGTCCACCGTTCGAGAGTTTATACAGATTGATGAACCCCCACGATAACAGTGCTATCTGTTCGGCGTCCATTATTGCTTCGGTCGCGCGACAAAAGAATTACGGCGAGAAGACCTGTGCTTTACCTTCGTACGGTGCAATATTTACATTCATATGTGATCGCTGGAGAAGTCCAGAAACCGGGATCTCACCGGAGACTTCTTGATGTCTTGGGCACCGGTGGCGCTTCGACTTGTCTGTTTGGAAAGACTGGCTCTGGGCAGAAGGATACCACGATGTTCTTCCCAGTGACGACGAGATGGCACAGTTGTCTCCTCTACAGCCCCAAGTGGCTTCGCATACATGCAGTTTCCATGTCTCCTGAGGTAACCGTACTCCGCGTACAATCACACCTTTCCCGACTACGCAGAATACAGGCAGCTCTCGACACAAGGGTCTCTTCTCTCAGCTATCACGATCCAGCAACATAACGTTTGCTTACTTCCTGAGGAAATCTATATAACCGTGAAGAGCGTGGTCGTTGGCATCCTCTACCTGAGCAGACGCTCCCCTCGGTCCCTATCTGTGGTATTTCCGCGACCTTTCGGAGACGTCCACTCTATCGCGGGCATAATCGCCACGCTATTGTGGACGCCAAGCAGGAAGCACCAATGGCAAACGTGTTCCTCGACTTGTGCAAACCCCCTGACGGGTGGCTTCCCTGGCGGAGGAATTGGAGGTCGAGAAGCTGGGCTCATGGAGGAGAACGGTGTCCTGGTGATGGTCCTTCTGGTAGGACTGTGTGCATGCTACAACATTACGGAATTTTGGGTGTTCAGCGGCGGTTCAAGATTACGGCTTTTGCCGCCGAGTTGCTGAGGAAAAGTCGGGCCTGCCATACTCGAGAAGCAAGTCAAATGTTGCTGTCGAGAAGCCTGTGGCTTGATGATACTGTCGCTGATGCCGATCAGAAACATCAACGTCTTTTCAGAAAGAGATCCATATCCTAAGGATTTCCTTCAACCTCTATTTCGAAGATTCTGCTCCTTGTTGTCGAGGTAAACTTCATGACCTGCCGTGTCCTTTGCATTATACCAGCCACTGTCTTCATGTTGGGAAAACGGCAAAATCTCGAGCTGGAGATTTCCTCGTGAATGGTGACAACGAGGAAGCGAGAATCTGGTGTGCCCACAAAAGACCTCATCGTCATTTTCCAGACAACCGATTCTACGGTCAATGTCACGACGGCGTCTTTTTTGATTCACAAAGAGCTTTCAGCGACTGGAACCTCGTCACCTGTGCAAAGCCCCCTGTTTAGACCGACTAATCCACATCTTATATCCACAAAGTCGATTTAATATGTCAAGGAGGCATATGACAAGTACATGCAGTCATTAATAAAGTCCTGGAAATATTCTCAATCCGGAATGAGCGCTGATGGCCCAGTCCCACCCGGTCATGCCGATGTCGAAATCTCCCGATAGTCTATCTAAGAAAGCCACGGACGGAGGGTAAGAAGCGACAGACAGATAGAAAAGCAGACATAGAGGACAGGAAGGAGAGATCTCTGACCAATGACGCTCCGTCATGCCACAACTCGCTTTCCTTCATCCAGTCCTCGGCGTCAGCGTTGTCTGGTTTCACGAAACCTCATGTGTTGTCTTGCAAGGAACTGCCATGCAATGATTCTCCCGCAGGGAGCCTTCCACAAGTACTATCCTCCTAGCGGCAAACGAATTGTTCCCCTGACACACGCATTGTCATGATGCATTACCAGGCCCCTGACTTTTGCTCGCTCACCCCTATCGGATCATGTAAAGATGTAACCAGTAAACCTGGGCATTCTGGAGCTCAGACTGGAAGAGCTGCATCTTCTACCTATACCTGTCTGGGAGTTGGAAGTGAGGAGTGAGCCACTTGCCAGACGATGGTTAGTCTTTACTCTTAGTCGGTTTCTTCCCTTGCTTCACCTCCTCTAACATTGCGAGCCTGCAACTTTTAAAAGATCTTGCAAATGAACAGGCACCACGATACAGTCGGAAAATCGAGAAAGGTTGACAACAGAGACGAGCAACAGCGGAACAAACAAGCAGCAGGTGCACAATTACTGGCGCAGGGTAGAGTTGACCAGGAGAATCGCCATCCTCAGCATGCACCAACATCGCACCACTCAGACGGGCGGATCATTGCCTCTACAGAAATACGGTCCATGCTTCCTTTCGCCATGCTTACCCTGACCATCCAGGTATGACCCCCCGGGGGTGGTCACGAGAAGAAAATGCCAGGTCTGCTGACTCAATTGGACTCACTGGGTCAGGTTTTATTTGGCGCCGGTCTTTATCTACTTCCTTGTGATAGCCTGAGTTGTTCTCTCTCTCAAGAATCTACATTGTTCAAGTCATTATACGTCGCTAGCCCCATTTAGATCATTCGCATCGCGGGCCATGATCATGGATCTCATTTTTCAAGTAACCGTAAATAAATTGTTGGTATCACCAGGCCCATTTCTGTTTCTGTTTCACGGCCGGGCTATACCATATACCCAAGTCCTGGTCAAGATTGGGAGTTGTTCTTTTGATGCTTTGACCAGTAGTATCACATCGGTCTGTTTCTTCTGCCTTCAGGATGGCTGCTTTTCTCAGCCCGAACCCCGAAGGCCGTGCAGAAATCCATACGCTAAGAAGAGCTAATTACAGCCATACTGAAACATTAGTCACAACGATCAGATGAATCATTCTACTACCGAAGAAATCAGTATAACCGCCCTAAATACTGGCTAGTTGAAGGCTGTATTCCGTCTATTGCATTGCGGGTTGGCCTGTTGTGGACCGCCAAGAGATTCTGTGCTTCCAAGTACGTTCTTGCTGCAGCAAGTTCTTGCATCCTCCAATCGGCGTACTGTTCTGGATCGCCATACTTGGGGTATCAGGGTACTGGGATAGCGCGCTCTTGTTCTCGCTTACTTGTTTTTGTTGGACAAGCAGGTGTTGACTTGACTACCGCGTGAGATGCCAGTCTATCCGGTATAAAAGTGTCTTTTCGTCGCAATAGTCGATTGCGTGTCGTTAGTTGATCGACTGATGATATTTTCGATTTAAAGGCCAAATCTTGAACAAAGTAGGTCCTAAAGATGGACACCACCTTAGTGCATCAGACTGCCTCAGGTAGTTAGTGCCAGTCTTTCTTCAATAATGGAGACAACTTCGGTCCATTCTCGCATTCCTCCAATTCCAATGTCTCCGCATGCGAGCATTTTCTGTAGATAGACGTTAGTTACCCGACAGATAGAGTAGAACAAGAAGAATAAACAACATACCCCAATAGGCGTAAAGACCTCGAACCACCCTTCGCCATTTTCATTCTCATCTCCACCATCTTTAACACCCCAATCTTCTTCCAACACTCTTATTTGTTGCGCGGTAACCGGGTGCAACCACATAGCCACATTCATAGCCGGAAACACCACAATCCGCTTTTTCATTCCATCCAGTTGCCCCGACGTATCCCATGCCCGAATTGTATCCGTCAACAGGTTATCCGACATCCCGTTGACGATCTTCGCCAGCGTGTTCGCGCTCAGCGGCGCAATGACCAAGATATGAGCCCACTTGCGTAGATTGATATGCAAGATGCCCGCGCCACGAGTCCAGGACTCCCCTAATTCATCTTTATCCTGATATATTCCGTCGACGTGGGGGAGAGCAGCGAGGGATTCGACGGTGGGTTGTTCTTGGGATTGACCGTTGAGGAAGTGTGTGGCGGATTTGGTCAGAATCACTCTGATGGATAGGTTCTGGTAATTTGAGAGGGCGGATATTATGTTGGGAAGCTTAATAGTTGCGACGGAGCCACTCCTAAGATTGATATCGTGGTCAGCAAAGGGTGACGTAACAGCGATGCTGACGGAAGAGCTTACGCAGCTAAGAGGAGGTGCTTTTTGCCGTCGTCCATTGCAGCTGCAACGGCTTCGGCTGGAGCTATTGAGCTTGCCCGTGACATATTGAGATATTACAAAGTCTACAGTGAAAGAAGAAGAAAAGAGTCGACGGCGGCGATGACAGAAGGAATGGTTAAAATCAACTCGTGCCCTCGCCCTCGCCGCCTGCTTATTAATCCACGCCTCGGGGCCGAAAATGTGGGGTATACACAAACTCGAAGTATAAGATGACATCAAGGGATCTCTATCATTAAATGGGTGAACAATAAGTCATCCTTTTTCAAAATCGAGAAGTTAATTGGTTTTAGCTCAATGGTTTGATCAAATATAGATCCGAACAAACATTTGAGATCATCATGGCAGCACACGAAATGAAGCCCTGTAGCCCAGGCTAACCATCAAGTCTACAGAACGAATGTCTCCGTAGTGGTATTGTTCAAAATCTCAGCCTTCTTCTTCTCCAAATCATCGATTTTGCGCTGCTCTTCTTGTTCTTCTCTAGCAGTAGCCTCCGCCTCTTCCTCGGCATCACTCTCGGGTGCTCCAACCTTTGCAGACTCAAAGCCCAGCTCATCGATCAGCTCTACCTCTTCGACAGGGCCAGTTCGCAAGTAAGAGTTTGCCTGGGTCTGTTTGATGGGCTAATCTGTATCAGTATCAGGTCTCTCTTTCACACGGATAACACTTACAACAGTGCGGAACCGCTGGAATCGACGAGGCTTGAAATGAGATCCGCCGAAGCATACGACCAGTCCTTGATCATCCTGTAGCAGAATAAATGAGTATTTGAGCTTTCGAGAGATAAGAATAAGACATTCATGTTCCACTTACCCCTTCGGACTTGTACGTAGTCCACCCTTCATTCTTCAGCTTGTCAAACGTCCCACCTCCAGCCCCAGCCTTCGCAATCCCAGTCGCCGCAATATCCAATCCGACCTCAATCTCCTTGTCCGAGCTGTTCGTCATATTGATGGCACACTCATCCGTCACCCACGTATGCTGGATGATCCAAATGCCATTCTTGGCGATATCAGGCGCAAAGTCCGAATCCAGCAGCGCTTGTGCATTCTCGCTCGCCCATGTTGCGACGGGCTTATCAAATGGGGCGAGTACCTTCTCTCGCATTGCGGTCGACCCCGTCACTAATGCGGCTTTGCCCGATGTGCTGATTTTGTGCTTTCCGTCCCCCGAAACGTCGACTGGGACGGCGGCTGCAGCGGCTGCAGACAGGCCACCGGACAGTCTGATATGCTGACCAGCCTCAGATTCGGAGGATCGAGTCTTCCACATAGCGGCTTTGGGCCGCTGATCTCGAGTTAACAGTCGTTTTATGGGCGTGAAACCATCTGCCTGGGGCTGGCCTTCTTTGGATAGATCGGTGATCTGGTTCCAACCGCTGTACTCGTCGAAGAAGCCCACCGAGCCCGGGTGGAACTTGCAGAAGGTTGGTGGGCTGTACAGATAAGTACCCTCTGGATTGCGACTCATCAGAGAGGCATATTCGATGTCGAGGGTTGTTTGTTTGACCATGGTGATATTCGTATTGGATATTCCGTATCTTGCAACAGAGGCAATGTGACTTGAATAAAGGAAGAAATTCGGGTCCTGTGGTCGTGGGGTTCAGACTATATAGAGGATCAATAGCCCTCGCTCAAAGATGCGGTGCCGATCTAGACGTCATAATGGAGACGACATGCATGATGTTGTAGATCTCTCAATGGGTAGAAGTGACATCAGTTGCTGCCACTGCGGCCTATATTTCGGCGAGCGAGTGCGTCAGAGCGAAAAATCAGAATGATCAAATCGATTTCTGAAAGAAACAGCCTATTGTAGAGTCAACATTATTACGAAGGTCTTTTGTATGGGATATCGGCTTTATTCATGTATGGATCGACAATTGTAATATGACCATAGCCACGTCGAACCCTCTCCGTTCAAACGTGGTGGCGACATGTTCGCCAATCGATCTCAAACACGAGGGTTGGTTGTGGTAAACAACAGCGCTAATCAGTGGGGAAACGTGGGTCAAGATACAGCGTCCCGCTGCCGTGGAACGAACTATGCCCTGAACCGGCCTCCGCTTGCCTCAGCTTGCACACTGACCTTTCCACAGAACCTCTTCACTCACGTCATCCTGTGTGAGGGTTGCGAACTGGCTTTGAATCAGAATTTCTTCAGTTGGGTGTTTTTCAAGGGTTTAAACCGCATTGAGGCGGTTTAGGACCTTCAAATTGGCTGGACTTCTCTGACTGAACAACTCATCTTAATCTAGGTATACATAATTCCACTTTCAAATCTACTTCTAGTCCCTTTGCTGACGAAGGCGAATTTCAGATGGAAGAAAAAAATTGACATCGTAAACAGTTGTCGCGTTATGGCCTCGAGGTGGATTTCTGGGCTTTGTGGACAAGTCCAACTACTTTATGACAAGCAGATATGACGATGCATAGATTCATTCGATTAGAAAAGACTAGAGCCAACACCCATCGAGTCATGGAGCATGTACAGAGTAGGAGTGATAGGGAGAGATGAAAAGAAATGCAAGCGCCGGAAAATAGGGCCAGAGAAAAGAAGGAGACCAGAAACAAATGACAACACCCGCAAAGAAAAACAAGAAACAAAATGACCCCAAAGACTGAGCTTAAAGAAATACACACCGAGGAAGTAGGGAATCAAGGAAAAAAAGGGAAAATTCACCCATGGGGTATGACATGCCCTGGGACCCAAGTCTGGTATCCTCCTCTTACTGGTTCTCCATATGCTTTTGTTCTCACTTTTTGCTTCTTCCGCTTCCACGCTCTCCGGGGAACCCTTACTCTTTGGGAGCCCGGTCAATGCTTTTGTGTAGACATCAGGCGACTGGTCGCCGCGAAAGGATGCAAATCAGAGAGGAGAGTTTAAAAGTTGCGTTCCTGGAGGAACTTCACAATCTCGGGTTTCCGCCAGCCCTGTCATATACACGTTATTATCGTATTCAATGAAAGCTGTCGGCGAATGGCAGGCTAGAACGAAAGCATACCTTGACGATAATGTGACCGGTAAGACGGTTAATTGAAACATCGGGGCTCCGAGTGTCAACACCTAGGGTCAGTGCCAGATCGCTGCGCAACGCATCCAGATCGCCCTCGGTCTTCTGAATCTTGGTAAGTTGCTTGGTACCGCCGGCTTTTGTGACGAGGTAAACAGGCAGCTGGTTCGATCCAGTTCGGCGAACGAAGTAAGGAAGGTTGGTTAGTGATAGAGTCGGCTTCGGTTGTTTGCCGTGCTTGGGCAAGGGCGCGGACGGTGAAATAGGCTGTTCCTTAAGAGCTTGCGCTTGGCGGCGAAGTTGCGTAAGGAATGTGCGAGTCTGGCGGGTGGAGATAGAGAGCTGAGAGGAGGTCGGACGGTATGAGGATTGAAGGCGAGGGGCTGTAGAAGAAATAACAGCTTTGTTAGATGTGCTTTTGTCCAACAATCCAATATAGCAAAATCGGGAGGTAGATGCTCTCTTCTCAAATTTCAAGGTTGAGCCGTCTCACATCGATGCCTTATCATGCCAAGTAGTAGACCCGACACAATCGAGTCCAACAGAGCAAAAGAGAATCACAACGCTCGGAACTTACAGGAAGATAATGAAGGGAATCGGCTACATGTCTGCACGGAAGCCACGGACTGGGCCAAGCGGGGAGTGGCAGTCTGCTTGCAGACGGAGGAAGCGACCGAGGCCGACTGACGGAGAGACGCCATTGAACGTGTGAAGGTGAACCGGCCGGGGATGGGGAGAGCAAAAGTTGAAGATCACCAGCAAAAAAAAAGAGAACCCGCGATACTCGACAGATTGAAGCAGGTTTCTTCGCGCCGGTTTTCTGCCACCGCCCCATCACCCAACTCGACCCCCAAAAGGGTTTAGCGCCCACACACCCTCCCGCACACAAATTCAAAGTGCAAAGTGCTTTGTGCCTCGTCTTCGGTCTTCGATCAACCCATACCAGCGTCCACCATGGCAGACAACGCCCCTCCCTCCGCTGAGAAGCTCAGCGGCGCTCAACCGACCGATATCACCCCCGAGTATGACCTGCTGCCCCGCCTGATCCCATACCTCGACCGCCACCTGGTTTTCCCTCTGCTCGAATTCAGCGCCGGCACCGATGAGGAGGACAAAGAAATCACTCGCGCCAAGTATGAGTTGCTCAAGCACACCAACATGACCGACTACGTCGCCAACCTGTGGAAGGAGATCAACAATTCCGACACCATTCCCGACGAGTTCGTGAAGAAGCGCGAGGAGGTTCTGGCCAAGCTGGAGCACTACCAGGTCCAGAGCGAGAAGATCACCGAGCTCTTGCAAGATGAGGAGGTTGTGGGCAACCTGCGCAGCGACAAGGCCGCCAACTTGCGGTTCCTCGAGGAGCAGCACGGTGTCACCAACGACATGGTTAACAGCCTGTACGACTACGGCCGGTTCCAATACAGCTGCGGCAGTTACGGTAATGCCGCTGAGCTGCTCTACCAGTTCCGTGTCCTGTCCACCGACAACGACAAGGTGGCTTCCGCTACCTGGGGTAAGCTGGCGTCCGAAATCCTGACCACCAACTGGGAGGGCGCGATGGAGGAGGTCCAGAAGGCCAAGGACTCGATCGAGACCCGCCTGTTCAACAACCCGCTCGCCCAGCTCACCAACCGCAGCTGGCTCATTCACTGGTCCCTGTTCCCCTTCTTCAACCACGACCCCGCCCGCGACGTCCTGACCGATCTCTTCTTCTCCCCCGCCTACATCAACACTATCCAGACCAGCTGCCCCTGGATCCTGCGCTATCTCGCTGCCGCAGTTATCACCAACCGCAGCCGCCCTCACAAGCACCACGGTGTCTACCAGAAGCAATTGAAGGACCTGATCCGTGTGGTGCGCCAGGAGGGCTACGAGTACACCGACCCCATCACCGACTTCATCAAGGCCCTCTATGTCGACTTTGACTTTGAAGAGGCCCAGCGCAAGCTGGGTGAGGCTGAGGAGGTTCTGCGCAGCGACTTCTTCCTGGTTTCTGCCGCGGATGCTTTCGTTGAGGCAGCCCGTCACCTCATCTCTGAGAGCTACTGCAAGATCCACCAGCGCATTGATATCAAGTAAGTTTGAGCCAGAGACATGCGATTGACGAAAGAGAAACCTTGAAAATCTAACATTCATGTCCAGGGATCTGTCCACTCGTCTTGGTCTGAGCCAGGATGAGGGTGAGAAGTGGATTGTCAACCTCATCCGCGACACCCGGGTTGACGCCAAGATCGACTACAAGGAGGGCACTGTTATCATGAACCACCCTCCCCAGTCGGTGTACCAGCAAGTCATTGAGAAGACCAAGGGCGCCTTCTTCCGGACACAAGTCCTGAGGTAAGCGAACACCACCCAGTACCGTGTTACACCCATTCTAAATCTAGCAACTAACAATATTCTTCCAGCTCCGCTGTCGCGAAATGAAATACCTCTTGCATGAGCTGATGCCAAAAACTGAACTTCCTCTTCCATGTTATTATCGACCATGTTTTTCTCTGCCTACCCATTTTAGTGATCCCCCCGTGTATGTCACAACACGGTATTGTGAGAGATGGGGACTCTGTGCAGGAGTGGCATCCGGCTGGCGTTCTTAGGTGGTCCACCTTTTTTTGATGTTTTTTCCCTTTCCTTTTCCCTCTTAGTCCACAGTTTCTCTATCCCCTCTATTTCCAACTTCCCTCCTTCTCCCTGTGCCGTCAGATATTTCTTTTTTTCTCCCACTTTCTTCTTCGTTTATTCTCTTCTTGGTTGTTTTGTCGTATGTGCCAAGGAGGTCTTTCTGGCCCTGGTGGTTTTGCAAAGAAAGAGGAAATTCGAGGTCGGGAATGGAAGCCTTTCTACATCATTGGCTTGCATATGTATGGGGGATAGAGAGCATGAAGAAAAAAGAAGGGAAACATGTAGAGGACCCCAGGGATTTAGGTTGGGGTCTGATGGATCTATGCTGTTACGAATGGTCTATAGAGATGAGTGAAAAAAATGATGTCTGACAATGTTTGGTCCAGTTGTGGTTCTTGTATTTGCAACGCGGTAATGAAAAAGTACCCATGGACATCATAATGCCATATTGCGAGTGCCTTGGGGTAGAATCTCGGTGTGTATAAGTAGCTAGTTGTAACTCCTGTCGCCAAACGCAAAGGGGGTATCGTCAAGAAACAGAAAGAAATAGTGCCTCTGAACGCCGTGGTTGGAGATCCATGGCGAAACGTCATCACTCCTTTGCATCCCAGGGCAATAATTCCTCCTGGTCAAGTTTCACCGATTTGAGTTAGATGAGCCCACGGACCTGTGAACGAGGATGTGTGTCTTTCTCTCCGTGCCTGGAGGAAGGCGGGAAACCTTGGCTTGGAGCATGGAATAACGAGCAAGGCAATATAGCAGGAAGGGAGAGCGGGCGAGAGGGAGGTGGCCACCAGTGCGAGGCTTCCAGATAATCACAGCCAGGTAAATAGGGTGAGCATCCGGGAATTCCATGGCACAGGCACGACTGGAACATCCAAGGCTTTTGGACCAGGCAGGATTGCCAATTCCCCTTAGGACAATGGAAACCAGGAGACAGGCCGTACTTCATCTCAACGGGTACTCCGGGAGTTCTGTTCCAGAGGCCGCCTGCGGGCCCGGTTAGGATCCACTGGAATGATCTCGTTGATATACGGCTCTGAGGGCTGTCGCGATGGGCCATCACCAATGTTGCTGGTAGCACCAGAACCGGGATTCTGATTGGTCATGCGCAGTGCTTCTTGCCTCTCATATTCCCGGGACATAGCTGCAAGGTCGTCGATTTGGTCCTGAGGGTGAACGGGATCAGCATGTTGGTCGATTTGATTTCCTACCGCATAGAGACTGGACAGACCCGAGTGAGAGGCATGCCCGTGATGAGGTAACCTTCGCGTCCCTTTAATCAAGACAGTTCATCTGGTTAGAGCGTGTCAACCGTGGCGCGCAGCGGGAGGCGGTGCCCTAAGTACCTGATAACTATAAGGCCTCACTGATGCGGACGGGCCCAGGAAATAATGGATATGTCCGAGGACGATGTGCCGGGACAGACCATACCCTGGAAGCCAGTACTGTTGGACTCGAGACATTGCGGGTAAAAATCTGTCTACTACTGGGGAGAGGAGGCAAAAACGAGGTGTGTGCGTTGGGTCTCAAGAGCCAGAATAGGGCTTGGGCTTGAAGGTTGAACTTGTGGTCTGACAAGCGGGGGGCCAAAGAAGCAGAACCGGAAGGGGAGACGGGCAGCGGAGATCGTTTGGTATCTTTTTCCATCTGGCATCAAGACATGAGGACCAAGTATGGGGGTATAAATAGCTGACCAGGCCTGTCGAGTGAGCCCCTCCCTCTGGGGGAAGCTCCCTCCTCGTACAGCTTGCGGTCAAGAGAGAAGCATCAGCTGGCGTGAGAATAGCCAGGAACGAATGAAGACAAGCGCCCGGGCTGCAGTCCACCTCCTACTGCTGCTACATCTCTTTCGATCTATTCGGGGAAAAGATGATCATACACCGGCGGTCCAGGGCGAGCACAACAACTGCGTACAACTTGCCCAGTTCAGGTAGTACCTCCATCCCACTAGTCTCGGTCTAGTGCCCTCCCGCTAGCGACACGCCGGAAGGAACCATCATGGATCCACTGGTTCTTGAACTTCCAAAGTCCAGAACAACTGCGTGGTTTTTCCGCGGCGACGAGACCAGGTAAAGTCCCGAGCATAAGCTGGCCACGGGTGTCTTACGGAACAAAGGGGGGCCGCTAGAAAGAGTCCAGGGATGACATGACGAACCAGTCAGTTCCGAGCAGCAGCGCTTTTGTTGGGAACGTCTGGCCATGGATCATTCAAGTCGAAACTAACTGTCGGGGGGTGAGCAGAGAAAGGGGGTGTACGCCTCACTTCGAAGAGACAACGACATCCAACCCTTTCCTTCTGTGCTTCCACAAGTTTAAATTAAACAAGTCGGATCTGACCATGGCGGTAGCGTTTGGCGGACCTATCAAAAATACGCAAAAAGGCCAGTCTTGCCCGAATTGTCTTCCTGAAAGACCAGGAATATCAGAGGAAACGCCGAGGGGGGTGCTAAAGTGCTCGCTGGTAGGCCCGTGAACGAGGAACTGGGGCGGGCCGGTGTCAAAGTGAGGCTTGCTCGGGGATGCGATGCCCCTCGAATCAATTCGACACTACTCGGAAGGAACAACGCACCTGCAAGGGAGAAACCACTGCAGAATTGCCGAGTTGTTGAATTGCTCAAAAGTTGAAAATAGGCATGGCAGAACCGCCCAAAACGGGTATTGGTTCAGCCGTGCACGACACTTCGAAAGCTATTCGAGCTAGTCGGAGCAAGTCGACCAGACCATTCCTGCTAGCCGTGGTCTAAACCAACTGAGTATCGAGTTAGTTGGCGGGTCCTGTAGCTGACATTCCAGGAAAAGCAGTGCAGACAAGGTTGTACGAAGCCCCAGTCGATGATTCGAACGTTCTACTCACCGCATCTATCGTCTCTCTCTTGTCCCCCACCTCTTTCTCTGCAGTGCCAGATTGGCTCTCCCTGCGGCGATGTCGTGGCACCACGAAGCCGGCTTCGTTTTGTCGTGGGGCCCAAACTGAGCTGCAGGAGGCATTTCTGCATCCTTTCGTTTTGGGGAGCCTAGTGACAGAGCCCGGAAGCCGAAGAGTGCAATTATAATGGGAGTTGTAATTGTGTTGGGAAGGGTTGACGTTGAAACACATGGCAGGTGCAGGCGAGACGGTGACGAGGCGTTCATTTGAGACCTGACAGGCTGCAGCAGCCGGGCAATAAGGGTTTATCTGATTTGCTGTGCTGGCTGGTAAGGAGATGGTCAAGGGATGTATTGTCGCAGGAAGTAGTTGCAAGTTGCAAGTTTGTATCAGTAGGGAAAAAGCAATGGAAATGGGAAGGGTTGGAATTCGGTTTCATGTCTGGGCCGGACATCGGCAATGAGATGTGACGAGGGCTGCATATGCCGCCGGCCATTGGACCTGGCATCTTCTACGCTCCGGAAGTTCTTTGATGGTTCTCTGCATAGCACCGACTTTTATAGTGCGCCAGTGAGCAAATGCCAAGGGGCCCACCGAGTACGTAGAACGGGAAAGATTGGCATCAAAAGATATTATTGCTCTAGTCTTTTCATAATTCGTCCGACGAGATATCCCAGCTCGTATACCTTACTCTTCAGCCTCCAGTCAACGCTTACTGCGGAGGCACGTATGGGTGTACCAACATGTCGCTGAACCTAAAAGGGACGAAGATGGTTAGCCGAGCTTGCCAAAAGCAAAGAAATTCTTCAGGGCCATCATCCTGAGCCACTTACTTCTCCAACTTGTCCTTTCCGCGAACCTCCTCCACCAATAGAGGCATGCGCACCACGTTGAAGTCCTCATACAGCTCCTCGATCTGCTCGAGGTACTTCTTCTGCATCTTCCTCCGTGCATTGCACTGGTCGCAGGTGCTCCCATCCTTGGGGAACAATAACTGATTAACCACGATCGAGTGGGTATCAATGCCGTAGCTAGTCAATTCCTGGATCATGCGCTCCGTCTCGTACAGGGACAGGAACTCTGCAATGCAAACACACACAAAAGTAGTCATGTCCGGGTCCTTGAACTGCGAGTTGACTTCGCTGATCGTCTCACGGAGAGACTCCATCTTCTGAAGCAGCTCATCCATGTTCTGACCGCCGGGGAGGCCACCCCGGGCACCGAGGATCGAGTTCAGCATCGGGCCGAATTGGGAGGACAGCTGCGAGAGCTTGGCGAGGGCCTTCTCAAGAACGGTGGGGAATTGCAGGAAACGCAGGGTGTGACCGGTCGGAGCGGTATCGAAGACAATGGTCTCGTAGGAGAGCGACTTGACCTGCTTCAGGACTTCGGCAAAGGACATGGCCTCGTCGACACCGGGGATCTGAGAAGCTCGAAAAAGGTCGGGTTAACACGACCGTAATCCATCGCGCGCCACGGACATAGATCGGAGATTACTTACGCTGAACGCCAGATCCTGCATCATATTGCCCATGCCCAAACCCGCCATAGGATCTTCACCCTGACCGTCACCATTCGCCAAGAGATCCTGAATGCTCCCGTTGGGGTCGATCTCCATAGCACTCAGGTTGGTGTAGCCGTCAACCAGACGGGCCTCCTTTCCGAATTTCTGACCAAAGGCATCACTCAGGTTGTGGGCGGGATCGGTGGAGATCAGCAGGACCGACCTGCGGACCTTGGCCAGCTGGATGGCGAGGGAGCAGGAGGTGGTGGTCTTGCCGACGCCACCTTTTCCGCCGACGAAGATCCAGCGGAGGGTGTTCTGGTTCAGGATCGACTGGAGCGTAGGCTCCATGTCGAGTTCGTCGCCATGGACCACGGCGGCGGAGGACATGTTCGGCGATGCGAAATGGCCGGAGGAAGGAGAGGGGGAATTGGTGGAAAGGGAGGTGTGGTCTGCTTTGGGTGCTCTGGCGGGGAGAAGGAGATGGTCGAAATTGAGGATTTGCCCCGCAAAGCGAGAGAACGTTCGGGAAGATGATCTAGAGACGGACATGATAGGGTGTCCTGGACCGGGGAAATAAGAAAACGAGGCTGATCATTGTTGCATTTGATAGTCTACGCTTCCTTGATGTTAGATTATAGAAGCAAAGTAAAGAGTATCTTCTTAGGGATCGACCCAATGGTTTGCGGTGCCTTGCCCGTTGGTGATGCAACTTGCATTGCTATAACACCACCAGGGTAGGGTAACTGTCTTGAGGACATGGATGAATTGATCAGGAATCTCAAATATAGGATAAATTGATGATCTACATCATTCAATTTAGAATGTCTATCCTACAAAGTGTATACTCTACAAATATCCCCAGAGTCCTACGCCCGCTCCACCCCGCCGTGGCATCCTCCGCAGCTGTCGGTGCTCTCCGATGGCACTCACGTAGAAATAATGGCGACGCTCCCCTGCTGGTTATCTTTTTAGATCTTTTTTTGTTTTCCCTTTCTCGAATATTCTCCTTTCTTCTCTCCTTCTCACCTCTTCATTAATTTCATGGACTCTCGTGATTCCTCCCAGGGCCGCATCACCAACCGCCTCGCCCTCATCCAGCAACAGCTCTCTCCCTCCAACCGCTCCACCTCCCCATCCACATCTACACCTTCCAACAGTCAACCGCCCAGCATGTCCCGCGATCCCATCACCTGTCACTGTCTCAACACGTTGACCGGCACACCCGCCGCCAACCTGCCCGTCACTCTGACGTTGCTATCGGCGCCCGCTTCGCCCTCCAGCCCGGTCACGTTCCACGCCACGACCAACGCCGATGGCCGCGTCGCAAAGTGGACGCCCACCAGCGCCAGCGCTGGCGCCGCTACCTCCGTCCCTGAGATCCTGGCCGCGCTCCCTGCGGCGGATAGCAAGACCAACTGGGCGGTGCGCTTCGAGGTTGGCCCTTGGTATGAGGCTCAGGGTATTGAGAGCTTCTGGCCGGAGGTGGAGGTGAAGTTTACGGTCAAGGGCCGTGGGCGGGATGGTGAGGAGGGTTGGCGCCATTATCATGTACCTGTGCTGTTGGGGCCCTGGAACTACTCGACTTACCGTGGATCTTAATTGTGGTTCCTCCTTGTGTCGTTGTTGTTTCTGTTCCTCTGTATATAGATGTGTGAAATGTGACAATTCTCGTGGAAAAGTGCTTTCAATTCAAGTTGGTGCAAGGTTATGCATACGATTGGTTACTTCTTCGAAATCTGCGTCTCATCTTACGGTCAAATACATGTAACCAAAGTTTCTGGAACATTCCATCAAGCAAGGCAAGATGGCCGAGTTGGTCTATGGCGCACGGTTCAGGTTTACCTGATCCAAACTTCCGTGTCTCGAAAGGGGCGTGGGTTCGAATCCCACTCTTGTCAAAGCATTGTCTTTTTGCATTTTCTCTAGTTACTCCCAGGTGGACAGCTCCGGGTGATATGTGAAGAATGTCGGATTTTCTTCTTCTTTTGTTCTCCTTCATCAAAAGTGCACCAGCCATCGCCTATCGCGTGTCCGTATTCGTAGATCGCATGTTGACTTCGGCCTAAACACACATACGGTAGGCTCTAAAGGCACCATATGACGTGACCAGCACGTGACCCCCTGACAGCCGCGGGTCACAGCCGAGCTGCCGTTTTCAGACCATCCTCCACTTGGGGCGAAGCTTCTCTCCTTCAGCGGCATGCTCCCCACGATGCTTCTGCACTGTCATCATTCATATGCTATTTGATCCTCTCGGAAGATGCCTAGCTTTATATTGTCGCATTTAAGCTCGGTGGTCTAACTCGATAAGCTTATACTTTCTTGCTTTCTTAGCCGCATTCTATTCGCCCTCATCATTACATCTCCGCCATGGCTTCTCTCCCAAACTACTCCGCTACTGAGAGGACAAGATCGTCTGACGGTGCCACAATCTCCAATGCCGATGCAGAAATATCGTCCGAGGGTACGGCAATAACCCAGGCAGGACAACCGGAAGATGGAGAGACCGAGACCATCATCTTGAACAGAAACACACCCACTTCGTCTGCGCAGACCGTACCGGATGTCGCCGACAAGACCATCGTCAAGTCCTCAAATAATGCCGATACCTCCAATAGCCAGGAAGAACCCCGCAAGTGTTGGATCTGCTATACAGACGAGACCGAGGACTCGCCGCTGAACTCAGAGTGGCGATCTCCATGCCCTTGCGCATTGACGGCCCACGAGGCGTGTTTACTCGACTGGCTCGCAGACATGGAAAACCCTAGGTCTCGCAAGCGAAATGGCAGCGGAGCAAAAATGGTCTGCCCTCAATGCAAGTCGGAAATCGTCGTTACTCGCCCACGCAGCTACGTCGTCGACACCCTGCGCCTTATGGAGAGAATTGCGGGTCGGTTGGTTCTTCCAGGCATGGTATTCACCGTTGCTGGTACTGTGTGGGCCGGATGCTGCGCCCATGGCATATACTCCATGTACCTTGTGTTCGGCATAGAGGAGGCAAAGCAGATTCTCGAAGATAGTGTCGACGGCCCGTGGAATCCCGGCATGAACCTCGGCCTACCCCTCATCCCCATGGTCTTAATATTCTCTCGCACTCGTTATGCCGAAGGCCTTCTCCCGGCGATCCCCGTTCTATTCTTCGCAGCGCATAGTCCGGGCCAAGAGCCCGACTTTGATCTTTGGCCACCCACCCCGGCTATGACATTCGCCGCCCTCCCTTATGTCAAGAGCTTTTACGGCGCCCTCTACGACCGTCTTTTCGGTGGGCTTGAGAAAAAATGGATCGCCGAGGTGCAACCTCGCGCAGCAGAGGAGATTATGGACGAAGTTCAACAGCAGGACCAAGCAGAGGGACTTAATCGTTTTGGCGAAAATATGAATGGCCAAATACTTATGGAAATTGATCTTGAGTTGCAGGTAGGAATGGGTGAAGATGATGAGCCGCCCGAGGGTCAAGCTCTCCCAGCAGCAGAGAACCAAAATGGCGCTGACCAAGGCGCCCAGGACGGCCAAGCACAGGGACAGAATGCCGGGCAAAACAACGGGCTGGGTCTAGGGCGTCGACCAAATGAGATCATCCACGACACCGGTAACCTTGCCGACACTGTTCTCGGCGCACTTGTCTTCCCTGCTATCTCGGCATCCATGGGTGGACTTCTGAAGTACATCCTACCCAAGTCCTGGACCACTCCGTCATCAGTCCTCGAGCGCAGTCGGCCAGGGTTTCTACAGACTCGATGGGGTCGCAGTGTGGTTGGCGGATGTATGTTTGTGTTGCTTAAGGATGCCCTTGTACTTTACTGCCGATGGAAACTTGCACAAACACACCGGCGACGTAAGGTGCAGAATTACGATCGAACTAAAAAGCATCACGGAAAGAAGAGATAGGAGGGATTGATGGAAGGGAACCATGACAGTCCCTTCTGCTCTATTATCTCACTGGTTTGATCTGACACACTGTTTGCATTCTACGGCGTTCTCAAGGAAATCTACCCGGTGAATTTGGTGGGACACGCCACTTACATGTTACTTTGACATATTATGCCCCTCATGACCTACAAGATACCGTTGAATATTACTACTACCTTGCTCCTCTTTTCATTTCCCATTATTCTTTGGCGCTTTTAAGCTCTGGGTTTTCTCTTCATTGTATCTATCGAAGGAGCAAGGCCTGCTCTTTCAAGTAAATGTCTGATATGATTTCAAAAGTCCCTCCAGCATTCATGGAGAAAGTGGAAATGATAGGCCTTGTGCATTGAAAAGATTAGAGAAGGTCTATATACAGTTGGAGACTTTAGCCCAGTCATTGATAAATTGCCAGTTCACTAAAACGAGATGCGGCGACATGGCTCTGAGTTAAGCGCGCGGCTAAAGTAAGGCGGTCAATATTCTGCCATCAGGGAATTATCCCCCGTACAGCGAACACAAGTCTTGATAGCCTACATCCACCATATACCACCCACCATGCGGTCCCTATCACCGGCTCTCGCGTCTCTCGCAAATGTCTTCCGAATTCCAATGTCGCTAGCTCCAGTGCGCCCAACTGCCTCCCGTGTGTGCCACGAAGTCCTTGCCCGGCGGACACAACAACCCGGTTCGATCACCACAGCCGTGCAATCCGCTCCATTCTCCTCGACGAGCACCCTGGAGAGCCGAAAGAACAGGGGTCCCAATGTGGACAAGCGAATTAGTATGTTACCCTTGAGATACAGCTCTGCCAAACACCCCAATTGCCCCGAGACTTGCACCGTACGATACGGCTCGATAGCCCATCACACGAGCGAAATCAAAATGCCTCATCGACACTAACATACGGCTCTAGCTCTCATCCGCTACTTCCTCTATCATCCTCTTACTCCCCGCCCTTTGCGCTTCTCCCGAAACCGCTACCTCCGCCACTGGACCATTCATCGCGCTTGGCAATTGCTCCAAGCCAAGCAGCGCCATGCACGAGAACTCGAGCTGGAGCGTCAGTACCAGAGCATGCAGGCTGCTTGTGAGGAGCTGCGGACTGGTGCTGGTGATGGTGGCAGATTATTCCGCAAGTCGATGATTAAGAAGGGCATTTTCACTGATATGTTCCCCATCGAGTACGGCCGCATGCAGACCGACTACCCTCCAGCCGAGGGGTGGAATCATGATTGGAAGCGTCCTGAGAAGAAGGACCGATAAGTGTATGAGGTGGCCATGATATGAGGGTCAGAGTTTTAAGGTTGGGTTGACTAGATCTGGAATTGTTCGGGGCTAGTGTTGGGGTATCTTGTGTATCATTTGGCGCTATGTACTATACGCATTGTTTTGCTGACCTTTATTCCGAGAGCTTCTGTGTCATCTCTTGGATGGGCATACCGTGCTTTCATATGTGTTTTATAAGAGCTATCGTTTCTTGAATTTAAGAGCCAATGGCTCGACATATCTACAAGTTGAGTTGTATCATGACTGCCAAGAGTTACAGAACTGGATTGTTGTATAGTAGTTCTGGATAGCAAGGACAAGAAGAGCGCTGTATAAAATGACTGGGGAAAGAAAGAATCGACAGGAATTACTACAAGAGAAGAAGAGAAACATCAAGGAACGACATTCGCAATGCACTTCGGGGGAACAGTGACAAAAGATGGGAATCCGGAGACGCACGTGCATGAGATGATGGAGAACCAAAAAGGGAATGACCAAAAGGAAAGACATGAGGGAATGTACTCCGAGAGAATAGACATGGCAAGAAGAGCCGGAATAACAAGAGAAGAGTGACAGATGTCATACCCGGACCAATCGACCCAAGCAATCACAAGAACCTCCCGAACGCCAATGATGCATGATACAGCGGTGATTGCCAATCGACACGGGTCCAAACACGGACTGAGCAGAGTCCATCGACTTGCAAGGCGAAAGAAACAAACCGAACGCTGGGCAAAGAGAAAGAGGAGTCGCAATGTCTGTTTCACGCAATCAGGTCGTTATAGAACAATGCAGCAGGAGCTCTTGCGCTTGTCGAAGGACAGCAGAGCAGCTCGGGTGGCTGCCTCGAAGACATCATCGACACCCTCGCCCGTGAGGGACGAGCACTCGAGATACTTGCGAGCGCCAACCTGAGCCCCCGTCTCATTGCCCTCTTTGGGCGTTACGAATTTCAGGGACTTTTTGCGCATTTCTTCAATGGCCAATGGATCTTCGCGGAGATCCTTCTTCAGGCCGACAAGGATGATGGGGACGCCGGGGCATCGTTCGTTAGCTTCTTCGATCCACTGTCACCAACTGTCAGTGACTTTGATTTGAGCACCTCCACACACATCAATCTAACGCACCTTGTGTTTCACATTCTCCAGTGAATCTGGAGAATCCACCGCGAAACCAATCAACAGAACATGTGCTTTCGAGTATGCCAGCGGCCGCAACCGCTCGTAGTCTTCTTGGCCTGCTGTATCCCAAAGAGCCAACTGCACCGATCGGCCATCAACTCGACAATCGGTCACATAGTTTTCGAATACCGTGGGCACCTGAAGATTCAATTTGTTAGATGGATAGGCAGTGGATAGGGCGGGGGTGATCGCCGACTAACGTAATGCTACGTGGGAAATATGAGTTAGCAATAGATCCGTCAAGTGCTCCTTTCAGATTGCAACTCACAGTTGGAAAGTAGCCTAGTGTGAAGACACTTAGCAGACTTGTTTTTCCACAGGCACCGTCGCCGATAATCACGAGCTTCCTATACGTATGATTGTTGATCAGCATCTGCTTGAGACCTTGACATCTTACAAATTATCTTGTAGTCTTGACAGCGAACTCTTCAACAATGCCACTTCCATCGACCGAGAGAGGGGGTCTCGGCTGAGTGTCCCGGCTCGTACGATGGGGCAGTTTGAGAAAAGCACCAATAGACCCAAGAGAAAAATAAGCAGGCTGCGCGTACCTCCGCATCACATTATCATTCTGTTGTTGGGCCATGGTCAATGGTGTTGGATGGTTGAGCCCGAATCCTGACGATACGGAAGGTTGGTGAGGGAGCGGAGGACGGTGAGGCTGATCCCAACTTCACAGCGGGATACGAAGTTCTCGAGTTTAGGCCTGGCGAGGATGATCCAAGATCGCGACACGAAATCAGGCAGGGGTACGGGAAGTCCAGCCCGGCACGGTGTATCCCGCCCAATAGCGTTCAGGGGTGAGGAGGAGGCCTAACGATGCACCACAACAGTGACGTGAACGGGGGTCAGGATGTTGGGTAGTTAGTTTATGGTTTTGTTTAAAGGCGGTCGCGTCGGGGCTGAAAGTCGTAAGATAGAGAAGGAGGGGAGGATGGACAGAGGGCGAATTGGAGGGCCAGGCACGACGATCCTCACGAGGATCCGATCCACTGCCAACGAGAGGAGCAGTTGAATTTGAGTAGTAAGCGAGAGTGCTGCAGTCGGTCTAGTCCGAGGCGTTTTAGGCGCCAGGCGGGCGGTAGATAAGATGGATGGGAAGAATGCGGTTGTTAGAGCCCCGGAGATTTAAGGCTTGCCCCAGGGGGGTTGACAACGGACTCTGAACCATACACGGGCAGCTGGTCCGTCTGATCGTCCTTGTTGCCGTTCCTGATGTAATTTTCTTTCCCCCTCCACCTGGTCCTGGCTTCTTGCCCTGACGGAGTTATTTTTAATTAGCGCTGGCCGTGTCTCACAGCGCGGTGGAGTAAATGAGGCGCCGATTGTTGCCTATCACGTGGAGAAACACCGCCTGCCATTTTAGCCAGCAGAATCATCGGGCGGTGTGATCTAAGTCACGTGACTCCAGACGAACCGCAGTTTGTGCCTGAAAGGCTCTTTGACGTGCCGAGATGAATGATAGAGAGCAAAAAGTAGAACATTGAATGACTTGAAACCCAAGTCAGTCTCTCACTTGAATCACGTCCTTTCACAATACTTTGCGGTGCCTGACTGATCAGGCACCGGCTCGCTTGCGGCGGCTATCCCGTTGCGGCGGCACGACAACCAGCCAGAACGCAGGAAAGCCCATTGCTTCATCCATCTCCCGCCATACGATCTCACAACCTCCGTACCTTGCGCTCTCAGGGCTCAGCAACAGTGCGAGTCCTGTCATTTACTCACTCATCTTATCTTTCCGAGGGTCTGCCAGCGCCCCGGTCTCTTATCCCAGCAGCGAACACGATCTGGCCCGCCCGGATCATTGGCCTTTCAAACCCCCTCCTTGAGCCTGATCCCGCACTTCCCCCTCCCGTTGGCTACTCAAGAGATCTCCCTCACAAACAACTCACAAAAGGGTGCGACTTGATTCTACTGTCCTTTCCCGGGGATCTCTTACTGGTGGCTTGGTCCCTGCATTGGATTGAACGGAGCTTTGTTGGTAGGTTCTTTCGCCATCCCACTCTCCGCTTTGGCTTGCCCGCTCTTGTCCTCTCCCCAACACCTTTATTTTCCCTTCTTTGCGATATGCTAAACCTGTTGCTGTTTGCAATAGACCACTGCGAAGGCGGTCGCCGCAAGCTCCTCAGTCCACCATGGCGACCCATGTATCAGTGACTCCAACACCATCTACCTCCAACGGTGACGCGCCGGGACCACTGAATATCTCGACCGCTGGGAATATGTCTGCACCGACGCCCACCGTGAATCGCAAGAAACAAAAGCGTCGACAGAAACAAGCAGCTCGCTTAGCGGCGGAGCCATCAGAGGCTCATGCCGCCGGAGTGGCTGCGGACCACCCCGACGAGCGACATGTCTACGACGATAACGCCGACCTTGACACTGCTGACTCCAACCACACGGATCCCGATAGCATGTACAAGAACGGAGAGCCTGGTTCCCAGCAGGATCTTAACGGACCGTCATTGTCGAATGACCCCGCCGATTATCCAGACCCACCCGGCGATAAATCGAAAAAGAAGAAAAACAAGAAAGGCAGGTCTGGCTCTCATACTGTCGCAGATGGCAGCTCAACTCCTCTCTCGACTCCCTCCGCTACCTTCTCTCATCCGCCTCCCCATTCACACTCTCTACCCTATGGCCATCGTTTCCCGGCAAGGTCGACCAAAGAAAGCAGCATCTGGAACCAGTCATCGTTGGAAGAACGTGAAAACATTCGGACCTTCTGGTTTGAACTGGGCGAGGAGGAACGCCGCCAACTTGTCAAAGTGGAGAAAGATGCTGTTCTGAAGAAGATGAAGGAACAGCAGAAGCATTCTTGCAGTTGCACTGTCTGTGGCCGAAAGCGAACCGCAATCGAGGAAGAGCTGGAAGTTTTGTACGATGCATACTACGAAGAGCTTGAACAATACGCCAACAACAACCAAGGCTCCTTTGATGAAGGCGCCCCCATTATCCCTCCCCCTCGTCTGTACCAACCCCCTCTCCGATCACCTGGTCAACATACTCGCACGCATGGTCAATTTCACCCGTCCCGGGGTCGAGTGCAAGAATTGCCCGAGGACGAAGAAGATGACTTTGAAGACGATTATGACGATGAAGACGAGGATGACGAAGATGAGGACGAGCTGTACAGTGACGAGGAATACGAGGATGAGGATGCGCGTGCTGCTCGAGCTGATTTCTTTGCCTTTGGGAATAGTCTCACGGTGAAAGGTTTGTCGCACAAAATTATCGTTATCTACATGAAAATTGGCCATCAGCTGACTTCTTTTTTTGCACAGATGGTATTCTTACTGTGGCTGACGATTTACTGAAAAACGATGGCAAACACTTCATTGATATGATGGAGCAACTAGCCGAGCGCCGAATGCAACGGGAAGAAGATACGCAGTACAACATTGCCGCCGCCCACCAATCTTTCCATGCCGGTCATAATCATGGTCCCCTCGACGACGAAGACTACGATGACGAAGAGGATGATGATTACGATAGTCAGGAGGAAGAAGAGTTCGATGAGGACGAGATGGTGTGTTGCCATTGGCAGCCTTCTGAACAGGGATTGGTGACTGACAGATATGACCAGGATGCTATGACCGAAGAACAACGCATGCAAGAAGGGCGGCGGATGTTCCAGATATTTGCCGCTCGAATGTTCGAACAACGAGTCATGACAGCATATCGAGAGAAGGTCGCCGAGCAGCGGCAGAAGCAGCTCATAGAGGAACTCCTAGAAGAGGAGAACCGAGAGGAGCAGCGGAATGCCAAGAAGGCCCGAGAGGCGCAGAAAAAGAAGGACAAGAAGCGCTTGCAGAAACAGGCGAAGGAAGAGGAGAAGGCTCGTCGCGATGCAGAGAAAGCTGCGGAGGAAGCTGCAGCAAAGGCGGCACAAGAGAAGAAGTTGGAGGAGCAGCGGATCAAGCGTGAAGAGCAACGAAAGAAGCGCGAAGCCGAACGCAAAGCACAGGAAGATGAGCGTGCTCGCAAGGAAGCTGAGAAGCAACGGCGCGCTAAAGAAGAGCGCGAGCGGCAAGCCGAAGCCGAGCGGAAGCAGCGCGAGCAAAAGGAGGAGAAGAAGAGGCGCGAGGATGCGAAGCGCAAGGAGAAAGAAGAGCGAGAGAGGAAGAATAAGGAGGAGCAGGATCGCATGGCCCGTGAGGAGCAGGCTAAGAAAGACCGCGAGATTGCCACGAGGGCAGAGCAAGCGGCAAAGCCTTATATCCAGGCTAAGCCGATTTCGCATGTTGGCTCCATCCCTCTTACCTCTGCTCTTCAAACACAGACTCATCCTGGCTCATTCCAATCACCACACTACGCCGTGGCTACTCCTATCGCCCCTAAAGCTTCAACTCCCAGCAGGCCACGCCAGCCCTCCCAGCAGGGGTCTCACTCTTCGTCTCCTCACTCGCAACCAGCAAGTTCAGACTTCCCCTTGCAGCCTTCAATCTCTCCGCGCTCTCTAGCACAGACACAATCGGGAGCACCAGGTCTTGGTCGACATGCCCAGCACCAGCAGCCTCAGTTGCATCATCCTCAACCCTCTGCGCCTCTATCGCCTCTGGGTCGCAGTAACCCCCCAGGATTCCCGGCCCTCGGTGGCTTGCCGATCAACCCTCCGGGCTTACCAGGCATGGGTGGCCGACCCCTTCATCCACCGGATATGCCAATGTACTCTCCCAATTCGGCGATGATGAACCCTCTTCGAGGCTTCGGTGGCCCTGGCAGCATTCCCGCACCCCCCGGTATCAACGGAGCCCGCCAAATGCCCCCAGGCCGAGGGTTCCCGCTACCTGAAACGGGACACGGTCTGCCATTCCCGGGTCACCATGGTGTTCCCGGAGCATTCGGTATGCAACAACCTGGGTTGTCTAAGTCTCATTCAAGACAGCCATCTGGGTCGTTCGAACGCTCTCCTTTAGAGTCCGGTACGCAGCCGTTCCCCATTTCGCGTCCGAGCCCTATCAAGCGTCCGCCGAGCACTGCGCAGGACCAGCAGGAGCATCATGGCCATGGTCACCCTCCATCCCAGCGCGATATCGATGACTTGAGCACGCAGCTGGGGAGTAGTGCGCTCCTCGATGACACGGACGCTGCGTTCGCATCGAAGCTGTCTCAATCATTGCCCGGTGCCCCTGCCCCTGGGCCATATGCATCGCCAGCGAGAGCCAGCTTCCAAGGGTCGTTGTTCACGGATCCTCTTGGTAAGATCAGATCCCAATCATTTTGGTGATAAAATTTTGATTAATTTTGTTGTAGGAGCCAAGCATACACCTTTTGTAGGTGGTTCCAGCTGGGGCGTACCTGCACCCTTCGGAGGGCCCGCTTTCCCTGGTGCCTCTACCTGGGGAGCTACGACCGGTATGAAATCTTTGAATTACTCATGTACCATGTAAATATGCTAATGATCACAGGGAGCGGTTGGTCTCACAATGCTTTCGCAGCCGGTGGCCATCACCGACCACACACCTCTCGGCCTGTCACCGTCCGTCTGCTGGTAATCCAAGCCTGCAAGTATCTCAACTCCCTCAGCCCACGTGTCGGCTCGGGTGGTTATCACGATGTGAACCTCGTCCTCGACCAGGTAGAGCAGCTCCGGTCTCCCTCTGAGCCCGCGATCTCGCTGGATGAAATGCTCGAGATCTGCGATACGGAGGGCAGTTCTCAAAACGGTGGCGGCTCTTTCTCCATCAAGAATGAGGGCAAGGGCCAATTCGTCAAGTTCGAGCCGGACACAAACAGCGCTGTCGCCGGACATCGAGGTAGCATCGTGCCGGGTGATATTGGTAGTCCGATCCCTGGGAATAGCAATCCCGCCGTCTTCGGCGGATTCGGTGGGCCTGCGCCCTCGGTGCTGCGACAGTTCTCTTCACCCGCGGCTGGGTTGTTTGGCGGAACTTCCTAAGTTTCTGCTTCCTTACGAGTCCATTTGACCGCTGAAGGCTTCGGGCCGTCCGCCTTCTCACGGTCTTATGGGAATGATTCCTAACATGCCTCCTCTTCTTCTCCCTCTTTTCTACCTATTTCCTCATCTGCGTTTCTCTTTTTGAATTCAAGCGTCACGGGTTAACGTCTCATCCACCACGTTCTGAACTGTCTGATTCTTTCTTCATTGATATGGGTTTCTTATTTTCGCGTCCAAGTCGGTCGGCTGCTGGACTTGGACCTGGGGCATCCTGGTTTGGTTTATGTGTACGGTATGATTCTGTTGTTTTACTGGCCTTTCTGCATTATGCAGCGATATCCGTGGAGACTGGGACAATCTCCCTCTCCTTCATCGTCCTTGACCCAATTGCATGATCGAAGGTTTCTTCGTCTTTTGCCATTACATCCAAACTCGTAGACTTCTACATTGTCCTCTACTTCGGACAGAGACTAAACGTATGAGGCTAGTTGTCCAACTTAATGATTGGATGAATGAACGTATTGACCTTTGTAGGAAGCAAATAGGTAGCGGCGAAGGGTATGGAATGTTGTCCAGAGACAATAGTACACTTGTATATACTCGGAAACGAAGGAGAAAAGCAACATGGCAGAGGGCCGGCTTCCAGGAGAGGACAAGGACAGTGAAAGAGAAAGGAAATATGAAAGGGGAAAAAAAAAAAGGGAAACCAGGATTCCAGAATCCCTCGCCTACATCACATACACAAAACAGGCAACTTCTCACGCGAGGAGTCGCTTCGATCTACACCCAGGAGACCTTGGGAGCAACTCAGAGCTTTTTAAATCCGCAGTCTGCATTTACTGCCGCTCAGTCACAACGCCTTCATACTCCCGGGACCTAATGTACTCCAGGGTTCGTTCAAAGTGGCGCTTGGGACCTTCGAGGCTAGGATTTGGTTCGTCCTCGCTTGTCTGAAGGTTGGAGTGGATAAGCTCAATCAGCCCATTGAGATACTTGGTGGTGACGGTTTCGTTTTGCTGATCGAAGTAGTAGACGTAGCGGTTCAAAATCTCGACGAAGAGCTCCACGGAGACGGCCGTGTCCATGCAGGCATCAGCGACACGGAGGGCACGCTGGAGACACTCGAGAACCCGTTTTCCATCGCGGTAGAGCTGTAAAATTTTGTGAGTAATCGAGATTTGAAATAAATAGATGGAAGATGGCTTACATTCTTGGGATCCTCTTCCCCACGCTGTGGGTTCTCAACTACCCACCAGAGATGGCTGGCAAGGTAAACTGCGCGGCACTGATCAGGCTTCTTGAGGAGCTTGCTTCCATGCAGGGCAGCCTTGGTAATCAATGTATCGTAGTTCTCCTTGGAGAACCCTCGGGTTCCGTGCAAGGCACCCGCGATGATGCAGACTGCCTGGAACTGAGCTCGAGAGTCACTGATCGCGTCTTCGTAGATCGTGAATGCTTGCGCGAAGAATTCGTAGCTAACTTCCTCAAATCCTGTCTGGTCGGCAACTTCACCACACATGACGAACAACCGAAGAGCGAGGTCAGCACAGCCGGGGTTCACCCGTTGGTACAAGTTATTGACACATTGGTGCAGGAATCGATAGAGAGCGGACGACTGCGATTGCCAGTTGTCGTCGTAATGCTCACGGGATTTCAATTTACGGGCCAAGCGAATTGATGCCGTGACAAGAGCAGGCGTGGTATATCTGATGCGCTCGTTGCCATCGGCGTATACTTTCCGAGTTGCTTGAAGGAGCTGATCCAGGATGTTAGCATTGGAGATTGGCACTTGGACTTACACGGGGCCTACCTTCAGTTGGGTGTCGTTATCGGGCGCTTGTATCAAATGCACCAATCTGGCAAGCCACCCCTGCTCCTCAATGGTCTCATCTGTCTCTCCACCACGACGCTGCGATGGTGCTCCAGGGTATCCAGTCGACTGTTGCAGGCCCTCCTTGATCAAAACTCGGGCGACTTGCAACACACGGTCAAGGTTTTCCGTGGTTGTGATCAGGGTCTTATTCTTCAGTAGACTCCGAACAATCTCGCCTGCCACAGCCCTACGGGTTGGATATGATTGTGACGTTAGAAGAGGCAGATAGTGCGGCAGCGCCAAAGCTGTAAAGATCGACACATAGGAGTGCAGAGGAGCGCTAAGTAGGTGGAGGATGTGCTGTTGGGTCGGAGCTGAGTGAAGATCAGCGTGATCGGTATATTCGGCGGTCTTTTCAGTCGCAAAGTCGAGGACCTGATCAACATAATGCAGCTCGTCTGGGTAGATGTTCAGTGCCAAATTAACAAGGGATACCAAAAGTGCCATGGTATCTTGGATCGGTAGTGCGCGTGTCTTGATCAGATTCACCACTTGATCATAGAAGATGTCGTATAGCTTGACCTCAGCTGAAATGGTCGCTTTGGAACCATCTCCATTCGCGGCCTGTTCCTGCCTATCGTTCTGTTCCTTCGTAGTTTCGGTAGACTCCTCCGTCTTGGGGGACTCCTCGGTGCCATTCTCCTCAGCCTTGCTTGCAGCGGTCGCTTCCGCTTCGGCTTGCTTCTTCTTCTCCTTATCCAGTTCGAGCTTCTCCAACAACCGAACAACAGCTACTTCTTCATTTTGTTTTCTCGCCTCTGGTTCCATTGTTGATTCATTATCCTTTGTCGCGTATGTTGACAGGCGATCCATCAATCCGATGACGATTTTCTTCAGGTCGACGTGTGGATGTAGTCGAGCGATAGCAGACAAGAGGTGGTCCAGGGTGTGGAGGTGGAATTCGTCCGGGAAAACCTTCGTAATCACTATTGATTCGATTAGTCTCAAACCAAGGTAGGAAAGTGGACGAGCGTTTTACCCTCTAGAAGGTATTCCTGCGCCAGGACATCTCGACATTGTACCACCTGCTCCAGAAGTGCTTGCAGAATGCCAGACTTGTATCCTTCAAGATCGACCAACTGGCTCAGTCGAACAATATTGCTACCGACAAGTAGCTCCAACTCGCGCCTTTCCTGTATCCGTCGTTCCCGCTCTCTGGATGGACCTTGGTGCTGCAGCCGAACCCAGAGCTTGTTCATTTCCACGAAATTGGTCAAAACGAAATTGATTGAGTCTTGGAGGTTGCCTTCGGGACCATCGCCGGTTCCCGATGGAAGATAATCGCGCGCTTGACCGGACAGGTAGTATCGCAGGAAAAGACCGCGGATCGGGTGCTGAATGCCACGACTCATCTCCATCATATCCTTCATAATCTCCTTGACGGGCGCATCCTCGACCGACATGTAAACGGTGCCGACAGTGATCATAAGGTACAAGCGGGGAACAATATTTCCAGCATATTGGACCAGCTCGTACAAGTCCGCCAGGTGGTTGACAGGGTGGTTCTCCTTGAGGTAGACGGAAAGGTGTCGCAACGCGTCAAAAACGGCCATGTACAACTCGTAATACTGCTTCGGACCAAGGCTAGGGGTTCGCAATTCGGAGACAAGAGTTGACCTGTAGAGGGGGTTCCCAGCGGGAAGCAATTAGCGCACGAGTTCATTACGCAGACATCCGGGGCCGCTGCCTGGAGGGACCGAAGATTAGAGAAGCTCACCCGCACTTGAGCGCATCCATGAGCTTGCCAGGAGTCTCTAAGCATTTGCGCATCAGAGCTGACTGTTGCCTCACCACCCCCAATGCCTCCTCGAGGAGGCGGCTTTGGTCCTCGGCGACCGGCGGTGGGCTCGCCATCGTGGAGCGAGTGAGGGGGAGCTGAGGATGGATAGGCGGTAAACGAGCGAGCAATTAATGGAGTCGGGGGCTCTTTTCAGCACGGGCGATCACAAGAACAATTCATAGACCGCGGGGAGATCGAAGGGGTAGAGGAGGCGATTGGGGTAGGGGTCGGGGTAGGGGAAGGTGGGAAGTTGAGTTGGATCGAGTGCCGCGAAGCCAGCGAGGATAAGAGGATAAGCTCATTGGGTGGTGACTCTGCTCATTCCGCCTAAACGTCACTCTGCGGGCTTTGCTCTGGAGTGTCCACCGCGGCCATCGCGCAAATATATGACCAGATGAATACCTAGGTGGATTACAATCCATAGAAACACACATGGAGGATGTATATAATGTATGTATCTTCATGTTAAGCGACCGTTAATCGAGTCTTCAACATCGTGTTCCCCGGTTTCCTTGCTGGAAACACAATAAAACTGTCCTATCAGGAACACAGATTGCAATTTAGTCTATAAAATGTGTCTAGTCTACTTGAATCTAACTAAATAAAGTCTATTATCTATTCAGAGATGTAGCTGTAGCCAACAAGGCTGATACCTGCTCATATACCGAGAATACAATTCCACCGCTGAGGAACAGGCGCCCAAGTCGCATAGAGCTTCCTTTCCAGAACCCCTTGATTCCATAATCCCGCTTCACGCTTTTGAATGCCTCTACAATGCCAGCACCTTGGACACTCTGCGCCCGGGTCTTGATGGTGTCAAAGGGCTGAGTTGCATAGACCGTCACAATGCCTGCCAAAGCGCCCGTTCCGAAGGAGGTCATCATGTTCGGAGCAACCCCTTGCCTTTTGGTCATCTCTTTGAGGATGTTGTATGTTCCCATGCGTACTGCAGACGTGGCTGATTGTTTGATTGTGGTGGAAACGAGACCTCTATAGAGCTCGGAGGGACCGTGTCGTTTGACTAGCACTGTTGCAGCATGTATGCCGGACTTGAACTGGCGATTTGTCTTTGCATCATCGATCCTGTTTGAGAGATGAGACAGAGGTCTTACATAAAGCTGTATGTAGGATACACTCACAATGCAGTCTTGATCCGTTCGGTAGGGGTAACTGCTAGAACGCTTTCAACGGTGCCAGCTGCCATGCCAGCCAAGATCCCTCCTCCTGCTGAAAGCTTCCCATGCTCATCAGACAAGGAATTACGGATCGTGTCATAAGACACGAATCGTACTGCTGCCTTTCCGGCAGTGCCCTGATCATCGAAATTGGGATTAGTGAATGACTGGGTATCTATCTATCTGTGAGTGCTCAGATACTGACAACTATCAACGTGGTACATCCCGTGTACAAAGAACGGACTCCTTCTTGTCGAGCTACCTCGAATATCAAACGAAGGGGATTCGTCCCAGCTACTGAAGCATGTTGTACAAGCTGGACTCTCGTTTTGGAATATTCGAATGGATACTATGAGAGTCAGCGGAGTGGGCACCAAACATGGAAGATCGAGGGAGGCCATTATCTCTTACCGTCACTGCTGCTTCCACGCCACCAGCGACACCTCCAGCGACCAGCGAGACCCACTGCGGAGTGATATGCTGGGGAAAGAGTCAGAATCGGAACATGGATGCCTATAGACTCATCACAAGTTTAGGAGAGCAATGGCATGAAACTACCTTTCGTTGGCCAATCTTGCTTTCACTTGGCTGGACAGAAAGCTGAGTCGCCATGACCAACCATAAATGGCGATTCAATGCTATTGATCAACTGAAATGGTGCAATTGGCTGGACATCTCGAACCTCTTGGACATATATCCTTGGTGGTGGGGCCGAACGGAAGCAGACTTGCCGTGGAATCTGGCATCCCACATAACCACCCACAGATCCCACGGGCCTTTGCCTTTTCTTCGTCTTCCATCTCCCATCGCGATTGACTCCATGGCCGAAGCCCATCCGCGGAGGCAACGACGAGCTGCGAAGGCATGCGCTTTCTGTCGTCGACGAAAGGTGAGTTGTTGAGATGCGACAGATCGCGATGAGAAGGGTTTCGTTCTGAGTGGGTTATACAGCTGCGCTGCGATAACGGAAAGCCCGCTTGCTCTAACTGCCGGGGATACGACAATGAATGTGTCTACCCCGCGGATATTTTACGGCAAAGGTACAAAAATTTGGCGTCATTTACGAATATCAAAGATCATCCATTGACATTTGTGAAGACCCACACAGGCCCGCATTTCTCAGCTAGAAGCAGAGAACCAGCACTTGCGTCGGCAACTCGGCGCTCTTGAGACTCGATCTATCCATGAAGGTGGATCTCCCGAACACACACCAGCTTCATCTAGGCAGGAAACACAAGAACTGCCTCAGGAAACACCCCGCGAATCGCCTTGCAACGAAGAACAAGAGGAAGCTACTGCCGTGGAGCATTCTCAGTCGGCCGTCTCACGCATATTTATCTCGCCGAACGGAGACTCCAGTTATCACGGCCTTACCAGCACTCTCTTCGATGACGCTCCAACCGACAGACGCGGTCAGGTGCGACCGACCGACCAGAAAATCCCTGCAGATCATGTTTCTAAGCGCTTGATGGGAGAGGCTGCGTATCAAAGTATGGTTCAAGAGGCATAATGATTTCAGTAACATGAGCTAACAAGAGTGCAGGGCAGCTCGAGGGTCTGAATCTGCGACATGGAAAGCTAGATTTCGATGGCGTTGACCCAGAACTGGGCATGCATCTTCTATCCCTTCATTGGAATCGCCAGCATCATTCATTCCTGATCACATACCGCCCCGCTTTTATGCGCGACATGGCCTGTGATGGGCCGTACTTCTCTAAACTTCTTCTCAACGCAATATACTTCGGTGCATCGAAATTCAGCAATCGACCCGAGGTTCGCCGAGACCCTAATGATGTTCGCACTGCAGGTTGGACATTTCGCATGCGAGTCAAGGAGCTCCTTGGCCGTGCCCTTGATCGTAGCGAGATTACGACTATTCAAGCACTTTTGGTTATGACCAGCTCATTATTTGCATTGGGCGATGAGCGCAGTGCTGCTTGGCTTTACTCTGGTACTGCATTTCGAATGATCATCGATCTGGGGATGCATGTTGACGCCACAATGTTACCAAACATGCGCCGGCTCTCTGACGAGGATCTAGAGATCCGCCGACGCGTTTTTGGGGAGCCTTTGTCGTCGATAAGATTCAGTCGCTATACCAAGGTCGTCCGGCAAGCCTCCAAGATTTCGATACCAAAGTCTCACTTTCCTTTTTGGACAACTACGAAGAGCTCGAGGAATGGGAGCCGTTTGCATATTCAGATGTCCAGTCGTACCCAGGGTCCCCTGCCTATAGCGTGTCAACTTTCACGCAACTATGCAAGCTTTCATTAATCTTGAATGGGATCCTAAGCAAAGTGTATTCTGAGCGAAGCTCAGCGCGGTCACCGGATGAGCTTCTTGCAACTCTGAAAACCTTGGACCTGCAGCTTAAAAGTTGGCACGATGCAATCCCCGATCACTTGCGATTCAATCCGAGCACAAGTCAGATCACGCCGCCACCACATGTTGTTTCACTCCTCGCGCTATACAATGTCCTCTTGATTCTTCTCCACCGACCCTTTGTAGCTGAAGGGCATCTCCACACCACGGATTTGTCAGTCGCAATTGCATCCTTCAACACCTGCACTGTGGCTGCAAACCGCATCATCCAACTACTTCAAGCTTATGATCACACATACTCGATTCGAAGGGCCCCGTATTTGATCTCATATGCCACATACGTTGCCGCAACGATCTTTGTCCGAGTCGCAGCCCAGAAGGAAGGAGGTAGCCGAGCGCATGCAAGCTTGCGAGCCTGTTTCAGTATCTTCAAGAAAAACCAGGAGACAAACTGGGCTGTCCGCAGAGCTGGAAACGTAATTCTTCATTTGATGAACCGAATGGGAGTGAAGTTGGATATCCACGTCACTGGAGATGACGGACGAAGGCTATCCCGTCCTCTTCCAGAAGTCCTCTCCCCAAAAAGTCCACCCTACGTATCTGGAGACGGCTCACATCTAGATGCAATGGCTATCACTAGCTTTGGAACCCCATCCTCTGGGGAAGTTGAGGATTCTGAACTCGATATCGACATGATAATTCAGAGCTTCATCCGACAAGATAACAGGTCAGCTGAAGGTCAGCTCTACCTTGAAAACACTGAAGATCCACTTGCAGGGTCTACAGCAACGCCTTTGGGTGGACAGAACAATCTGGTGCCTAACATTATTCCTCACTATGATGATGTTTATCCCGGTCCCCGTTTCGACGATGATATGCTGTTTGGCTTCAATGGTTCGCTTCAAGATAGTATGATGTATGAATAATTGACGGAATTTACATTTTCCTTCTCTGATATCAGTCTCCTACACTGAGTCATTTGAAGAACCAGGCTCAGTGATTTGTCACCAAGCTTCCTGTTTGTTGAAATATGATCAGGTTCTACTTTATCCTATTGCTTTTTCTCTTTCTTCCCTCGATTCTTGGTCTGATACCTCGACAATGTTTAGACACAACAAACAGGAAATCAGCTTTATAAACAAATCGAGAAACGGAAGTAATCTCTGCTCACACCAAATATCCTACATTAAACTCAATAGAAGACATTTCCCTCAAAGAGCCGACGGGCAGTTCGTAATACGGCAACCCTTTCCACCCGTACGTCTCCTTCTTGATCCATTTTCAACATGGTCTCCGTATGGATGATACCAGAAGGATGCCGAATACCAACTGGCAAAGGCGGTGCAATCTCCTGATTTGCAACCAACATGCCATGTTTCGGGACCTTTTCAAGTCTCTTCCCTCCCGCCAATTCCCATGCGACTGTACCAGGAGTGGCCATCGCAGCTGCGATACATACTGCGCCAGTCAGTTGGAGACTTGGATGCATCTTGCCCATGGAAAATGAAAGCACGTCAATGTCCGCCTGTTTAAGATCTGAAGTGGTTTCTGACAAGAATGCGATCTTGGGTGTTCCACGGATAAGACCGGCCGCGGCCGTGTCCTTGGCGAGTCCGAATTGGACTGCGCCTGCACGTCGAATTTCCTCAACAACACAAAGGAAGTTGCTGTCGTTATTCTTCATGTGTAAGGAGTCACTCGAAAAGGGCAGCGAAGATGCATCAACAAGAACGAATGGATTTGCGGCGTCAACCAGGCTTACGCGTACTGAGAACGTCCCGCGAGTTTGAGAATCCACACTCAGAAACTGTTGTTTCATACCACTTGGAAACATGCTTCCAGTCATGCTACCTTGTGGCTCGACAAAAGCTAGTTTGATTGGACTTGCGGTACCAGTCACACCGGCAAGCTGATATTCTCCATCCTCCCGAGAGGTTCCGTCTGGAGCTACCTGAACGGTCTCGATAATGATCTGTTCAGTATTGGTGTTGAAGATCCGAATATCGATCTTGAGTAACAAAGTGAGTAGCTTTTCTATACTCATGCTCAAAAAATATCAAATCCTACCTCGGATTGGCCCGGACGAGCTTTCACAATACCCTCGTCGAGACTGAATGGCCCAACTCCGGATGCAATGTTACCGCAGTTGCCAGTCATGTCAATCCTTGGTTGATCTGGAGCGACTTGTATGAATGTATAATCAATGTCAATATTCGGTCGCTTTGATCTCGCAACAATAGCTACTTTAGATGTTGTTGACGTCGCACCACCGACCCCATTGACCTGTCGCGAGTTTGCCTGTGCCGAACCCATGGCCGAGAGAACAATGGACTCCCAAGACTGGGAGGAATCAGGAAGATCTTTCTGATGAAGGAAAAGACCCTTTGAAGTTCCTGCTCTCATCCAAACCGCAGGGATTTTTTTCCTTTTCTGAAAGAATATAGGTGCATGGACTTGTTCCAAATTGGTTATCGTCATGGTTTTGCTCAGATGCCGGACGGTTTGCATGAATCGATTCCGTGAAAATTTTGGGACTTGGGACTCTCAGACTCGAGAAGAAGGTACAGTATATGAACCATATTTCTTACTATCTAAAATTAACGCGCGCTCAATATGCTCCTACGAGCGTAAAGCAATACCCTCCGCGGAGTCTGACCTTCCGTGGCTGAGAATTGCCGCGATCTCCACGGCGGCATTCTTCCCGGCCCACGTTCTTCGATGGTAAATTCCCCGAATTTTCCTTTCTGGGTCTGGGGTAATGCGGGGTGCATGAACATAAAAGAAATCTTGCTGTCCATCGACTCCAATGTCCATAGTATTGCATAGATCTCAGCTCTCTTAGCCTGGTCTTCACCATGGCTAGCTCTTCGAGCGACATGTCAAACAACCCTCATCCACACGCTTTGCGTGTCTATCTTCTTGCAATTGTCACCTCAATGGGTGCATTCATGTTTGGTTATGACCTGGCGTTTATCGGAACGTCAATTGGTCTTACATCTTTCAAGAGGTAAGATCGTCCCTGACATTAAAAATTGTCCCCAACTAACCGTTTCAGGGATTTTGGCCTAATCGGCACAACCCAATCCGTCCAGGATGCATTTTCAGCCAATATTGTCTCACTGCTTCAGGCTGGATGCTTCTTTGGTGCCCTGGCTGCTGCACCACTTGGAGATAAGCTCGGCCGGCGAATCGCGTTAGCACTTGGTGCGATATCCTTCACTGTCGGCTCAATAATGCAAGTCGCTTCGGCGGGCAGCAAGCCCATAATGTTTGTTGGCAGAGTAATTGGTGGAATGGTGAGTTCCCCAACGATATCTTGAATCAACTTACTCGATATCTACATGTTCACGACTAACTGTAAAACAGGGGGTCGGCTCTGCCAGTATGTTAGTTCCACTATACACCGCTGAATGTGCACCACCAAAGATTCGAGGTCGACTAGTCGGCATCTATGAGATTGGCGTGCAGATCGGTACTTGCATGGGTTTCTGGATCAATTTCGGTGTTGAACAACATATGGCGCCAACATCGGCGCAATGGATGACCCCGTTTGCTTTACAAATCGTTCCTGGTGGTCTCCTTTTGATCGGCCTCTGGTTTATGCCAGAGTCCCCTCGATGGATGGCCAAAGCTCATGGCAGATCCCGGGTGACTGAGGTCCTGTCGCTCCTACGAAACCTGCCAGGCGATCATCCCGATGTACAACATGAAGTTGATGATATCTTGCAGCAACTCGAGCTTGAACGAGCAATGAGCCCGGATGGGACTTTGTCATCTGTGAAAGAGCTCATGCAACCGGGTATCCGCTACCGCGTGTTCCTGGGAGTGGTGATCATGATATTCTTCCAGATGGCCGGGTCGAATGCCATAAACTATTATTCGCCTCGTATATTCGGATCGATTGGACTCACTGGAACCAAGACAACATTAGTATCCACGGGAATCTATGGCATCGTCAGGTTGGTTGCAGTATTTTTCGCTATGTATTTTGTGGTCGATCGCTTGGGCCGAAAGCCAATGTTGATTGCCGGCAGCATCGTCATGGTAAGTGCTCTCTTTATGGTGCTTCATCTGATTAGCTTAATGGATAACTGACTGGATATAGGCAATTTCAATGTGGCTTATTGGCGCTTTTGTCAAGATTCAAAGCGCAGAGGTCAAAACCGGAGAATCGATAAGCGGCACGTCTTATGCGGCAGCTGTGTTTATATACTTGTTCGCAGTGTCGTTTTGCTTCAGCTGGGCCGGTGTGCCTTGGATCATCTGCTCCGAGATATACCCCTTACAGGTCCGCGGACTTGCCGTCAGTATTTGTGTCGCAACGCACTGGTTGTTCAACTTCGTTCTCGCAAGAAGCGTGCCCTATATGATCTCGAACATCACCTTTGGGACATACTTTGTATTTGCTGCCTGCACCACACTATCTGTACCCTTTGTCTGGCTGATGATTCCAGAGACTAAGGGCTTGTCTTTGGAAGAAGTTGATCTCTTGTTTGAAGATCGTATTTTCAGTCTTCGACCGCGAAGCTCGTCCTTTGGACACGGGGTATCTGACCATAAAGCAGCAGTTGAGCAGGTTGAAACCGTCTAGTTATGTATGTACAAACTTGGTTGTCTCATTGTCTCGTAATCGTCCCTGAAGACGCCACAAGGACACACTACTCACTGACAGCTCTCCTGGATATTTATGGAATTGGTACTGAGAAAGCCATTCGAGGCTCAAGTTCATGAACATTCACATGAAGTAGAGATTAAGAACAGCTAAGTCTTCATTTCATTGCTATGACAAGTTTCTTGCTAGCTCTGCATTTTACAACAGTCTGGTAAAAAGTAGGACATTACTCGTATACTCTGAGTCAGGGGATCTTCCTTGCAAGACTGGCCTTCATAAAAAGCATCAATAGTATTTAACAGAGTCACCCCTCGCCGTTTAGTGATGTTGTCTAAGTGTCATGCCGATCGTAATTGTTCTAGTTGGAGGTGGCGTTCCCATCTGCTCCCCGCCAGAGGACTCGTTCTGCAACACGCAGCAATTCAAATTGGATTTTTTCCCCTGTCTTTTCGTGACCTCTGAGTGATCTGATAGGGAGGGAGAACCGTTGTGCTACGTGCCGTATACTAAATCTTATAAAATGACAATGAGTGCATGTCCACGAAGGGTGGCGTAAACGGGCTTGGATCGCGGCTAGGGTCTCTTCTGTCGGTCTCGTTGACAGCCAGATACAAAGTCGCCATGATGACTCCATCTCGCCATTCTTCTTTGGTAAAGTCAGCCACATGCTCGTGCAGCAGACTCAGAAGGCGGGCCTTGTAGAACAGCTGGTCCTTGGTGTCTAGCACTGAATTGGACCCGTAGCTGATACGTAGGATGTCGCGATGGCACGAAGCAGACCATAGGGTACTATAGATGAGAAGTTTATTTTCCCAATTAGGTGTAAGGGGCCGATTACCCATGATTGATAGCATCTCACGGCGTAATCTGCAGGGCGGAAGGTTAGCCAGATACTTTGGACCGCTAGAGAAGTTCTGTCAGGAATCCATGCGCTGACGCAAGTCAACATGCAGGAACCAACTTTACTGACCATAATGGAGTAGATCATCCACACCTGGCCCGAGGCTGGGATCCACTGATGAAAAAGGGTCTGCCCTGTCACTAACAGAACTCAGAGACAGGGTCGGTGCGGTGGTACGATGCGTCTGGTGGGACACACGGAATCTTCCGCAGGTGCCACAAGTGCTGACAACAATCCCATCACCGTTTCACGCTGGTGATGCTATTGGCCTATCTCTGGTCGACTCGTCCGTTACACGGCAGGCGCACCAACCTGCCGATGAGTAGGAACGATCCCATCCCTGGCGTTATGCGATCAATTCCTGTCTCTTGGCTTCTTCCTCCTGTCGGTAAATATTCCGCTTTTCTGAGACCAGGCGGCGTATCAAAGCTGATTGGGTGTTACGAGATCTGGAGCTGCCCCCTCGGCCTAGCGACGGCGGCCGTTTGGAGATTTTGTGGGCTGAGACGAAGTTAGTATCGGGATTGGCGCTGCAAATTAGGGTTCTCGGTCGGCACTGATCGTCTGCCAGCCATTTGTTGACGCAGCAACGCTGACGTGGGAAGTGTTTTCCCCACGTGCTAAGAGGTGGTTCGAGCGTCCCGCAAACTCAATCGGGCATCACAGCGTTTGTACTCATGCCTTAGGCAGTGGGTTGTTTTCGGGCTTCAGGAATAGACATGAACTTAGGTCCACTACGTTGACATAGCTAATAAGCCAATTTCACCAGCAGAGTACAATTTTGACCAATTCTAACTTCACGTTGTGGCTAGTACTACTCTGCTTTCATCGACCCCGACCTCTTCTTTGTCGGCAATATATTCCCTTCAGTTACTCCCGCGTAGGCAGTAGAGCGCAGTAAATGTGCTATTGTTTACAGTGGCATTTGTGCACTCGGCATTGATTGGCTAAACCCCCAATCACTTCCTTCAGGCTTTCACCAACTGACATTCTGAACACGCTGTCTCCTGAAATTCTGTATACTGCTATACTGCTTCAATGATCCCTCCCACCAGAAGTTCAAGACCACCTTCCTTAATGGTCTTGCCTGCCAAATTACCTGCGAAAAGCCTAGTTCTGCCCTCGGTGAGTAACCAAGTATACTCTAACTTCCTCTTGTTTTGGGTCTCCTCTCTCAGGATTGTCAGTTCACCCTTCCCTTGGCTGGACTTTGAACTCATCAAACCCCGTCTATCATGACGAGTGGGGTGCCGCTGACTGAGAAGGCCAAAAAGTTGCTCGATGCTATGGCTTCTAACCAGAACAGTCGGTGATGGAGCATCACTGGGCGTGGACAACGATTTTCCTATCTGGTGATGAATTCTATCTTGGGAGTGGCTGGACGATAAGTGGTTCGATTTTGTCAGTCAAGATATATGCGAGATTGCTCTTGTGATTCCGCAGTCGGGGGTTATAGGGCTTGCCAGAAACCCTCTCGCTAGCAACCTAAAAGAAATATGCTACTCAGATCCGACCTCAACTAATAGTGGTATGCCTCGCGTAGCCCATTTTATAAGTTCACCCGGTAGCCTAGACTAGACGGAATTCAAGGCAAGATCTTGAAAATCATGGAGAATGGCCATGATGCATATGAGGATAAGGAAACCACGAGTATACTGGCATCACAGATCAAGCTACTACCAATCATGCTGCTTTCGCATCAAAGAATCAAGGGATCATTAATAACCTCGTGGTACAGCCTGTCGTTGAAACCTTGGAAGTTCTTGGGGTGGTTTGGTCAACAGTGGTTCAACTTGATCACGTCTTCAGCACTGCTTTTACTCAAAATTGAGCAGTTCACTACATGCCAGTATTGGTCTTGAGGCTTCTCACGTCATCAAATAATGCTTGATAGGTGCGCCCCCTTGCATACAATAAGCATGAATCCCAGTACATATTAGGCACAGGCCCCCGACCTGCATCTACCGATAGCCGACCCCGCACACTATTCCTTAGCTTGCAGAAGATCTTGTCCAATACGGTGATATTATGCGACGATCCGCCGTAAATCGGACCTCGAGGACAAGGACATAGCATCTGAGCATAAACAATATGAAATTCAGGCTCTTACCAACTTTGTGAAGATAGTCAAGTTTCCAAATTACAAACAAAAGGGTAAGGTAAAGGCAAAGATGGCGAAAAACTTGAAATGTTTTCAGTGACTACTTGCTCCAATAACATAGCATCCGAAATGGCACATCCCCCATCGCGACCTGTGACTCATAAAAAAACACATGAACATTATATACACACAGGGCGAAAAGGAAAATTGGCGGCATAGATGGAATAAGATGAGCCCCGAAGGAAGACGAAACAAGCACAATGCAAGTCATCAATAAGGAGGCAGCTTCATGTCCCCACTAAACAGTTGGCAACCATTTCACAAGGCTACTGAACTGAAATTTTGCCATATTGGTCTGCAGGGGTGAAGGGGAAGGCGATAGTTTTTTGGTGCTAGGGAGATTGTCGAGTTCAACTGATTGATTTTCCCAATCGCTTTTGGTGGACCCGCCAGGAAAACGCCATGGATATCAACGGTAAAAATAAATGACGGTCAAGATGGATGGGCTTCGTGTGTGGCTAGGATACCGTCCAGCCACTCGTAGAGCGCATTTATTCGCGCAGGTTGACTTCGGTGGGGGCATTGCGCTTCTTCATCATCTCCTTACGCTCAGCCTCCTTGGCTATTTAAAGAATTAGTATGTTGTTTTAAGAGCAACGCAGGACGAATATGCTTACCTTCGTCATAAACCAGGAACTCGTGGAGACCGCGGCCGGAAGGCACCATGGGGAGGACAGGGACCTTGCGGGCAGTGATGACCTCGAGAAGAGCCGGGCCGGGCTGCTCAATCAGCCACTTCAGCTTGGCCTCGAGATCAGAAGCCTTAGAGACACGCTCGGCAGCGACGCGCATAGAGCGGGCAAGGAGAACGAAGTCGGGGTTCTGCTGGTGGGTGTGGGAGTAACGGTCCTCGTAGAACAGGTTCTGCCATTGAGTGACCATACCCTGCTCCTCGTTGTTCAGGAGGAGGACCTTGACACCGATATCGAACTGAGCAGCAGTGGACAGCTCAGTCAGGGTCATGTTGAAGGAGGCATCGCCATCGATATCGACGACCAGGCAGTCCGGACGGGCAACCTTGGCACCAATAGCGGAGGGAAGACCGTAACCCATGGTACCAAGACCACCGGAGGTAATCATGGTACGAGGGTGGCGCCAGCGGAAGTGCTGAGCAGCCCACATCTGGTGCTGACCGACACCGGTGGTGATGATAGTCTTGTCCTTCATGTGAGCGGTGAGGTCGCTCAGCTTCTCAATCACAGCCTGGGGCTTGATGGTGCCTTCGGGAGTCTGGCGCTCGTAGAGAGACAGAGGGAATCGAGACTTCCAGTCGTTGATCTGGGCGAACCACTCAGGGCGCTCAGCAACGGACTTGACCTGGGGCAGAAGCAGGCGGAGGTTGTCGGCGCAGTCACCCTCGACGGCCTCGGTGGCCTGGACGACCTTGTTGATGTTCTTGGGCATGATCTCGAAGTGGACGATACCACCACGGCCCTCGGCAGCAGCAGCCTTGGCCTGGGGAGCGAACTTGGGAATGCTACCAGTGACACGGTCGTCGAAACGGGCACCGACCGCGATGATCAGATCGGCCTCCTGCATAGCCATGTTGGCGTACGCGGAACCGTGCATACCAAGCATGTGCAGAGCCTTGGGGTCCAGCTCGTCAAAGCCACCTAGACCCTGAAGGGTAGTGGTGACGGGGATGTTTGCCTTCTCAGCGAACTCCTTGAGAATCTCAGGGCCATCCGGGCGAGCGAGAAGACCCTGACCAACGTAGAGAATGGGCTTCTCAGCCATGTTGACGAGGCGAGCGACACGGCTGATAGTGTTCTCAAGCTGCTTCTGGCCGAGTTCGCGAGCAGCAACGGTGGCAGCACTGGGGAGAGAGGGAATAGTACTGTTCATGGGAATGGGGTTGCGGAGGATACCAGCGGTGACATCCTTGGGCAGATCGACGAGGACAGGACCGGGACGACCGCTAGTAGCGATCTCGAAGGCCTCCTGGATGCGGCGAGGCAGCTCACCAACGGACTTGACCATCACATTCCACTTGGTGCAGGCACGAGAGATACCGATCACATCGGCCTCCTGGAAGGAGTCGGTACCGATGGCGCTGGTGGGAACCTGACCACAGAAGACGACCATGGGAGTACCGTCAGACAGAGCATCCTGCATAGGGGTAACAACGTTGGTTGCACCAGGGCCGGAGGTGACGAGGACCACACCAGGCTTGCCAGAAGCACGAGCGTAGCCCTGGGCCATGTGACCGGCACCTTGTTCGTGCTTGGGGAGGACGAAGTCGAAGTGTTTTGAGTTGTAGATGGCATCGAACACGGGAAGAATGGCACCACCGGGGTAACCGACTGTTCGAATAATGCATAAGCTAAATTTTGAAACCAGGCCAGATGTACCGAGGACGAAGTGGTAGGAGGCAGGAAGAAAACATATCACTTACAGATCTGCTTCACGCCGAGGCGGAGCATCATCTCATGGAAGATCTCACCACCACTCATGCCAACCATCCTAAGTTTTGATACCCATTAGTTCTAGTCCATCCCAATGGCATACATCCGTCAATAGGGAAACCCTTACGAGTCATCGAGCTCGGGGAGCTGGCGGTTCTGCAGAGGCGAGATTTCATTGCGGTGAGGTTCTTGGTTAAATGCAGGGCTGGGAACAGGCCTGGAGTCACTGTTGAAGGCAATTAGGATCCAATTTCAGGATGAGAATGTCCAAGAAGACTCACGAAGTCGCCGTGACGGTACTCTGAGCACGCTTCTGAGGAGAAGAGCGGTGGGGCGAAGCAGCCGAAGCCACGAACGAGGTCGAGAAGGGTCGACGACCAGAGGCAAGCTGCCTCTGGAGGTGAATGGCGCGCAGAGCGGTCTTTGACGGTCTGAGAGGCATCATCCTGACCGACAGCAGCCCAGCAGCACTTGAGGACTTGAGAAGGGAGGCGAATGAAGGGAAAAAAAAGATCCAATGGGCCTTTGCTGTGAATCCTCTCTGGGGGAGACGAAAAACGCCTTAAACCCAAACCAACCGACCGCTCTGAGTCAAGAATCCGGCGCTGCTGATTGGTCGAGACCGCCTCCGCACCTCCGACCTCGGCGAGCCTCGGAGTCACCTGATTGTCCGGAGACTTGTGTGTCATGTGATTCCTTGGTGGTCTGATTTCTCAGGCCGCTCACATATCCGGGGAAGCCCCATTGGCAATCCAGCTCGGCCACTCGTTGTACAGTTGTACATAGTAATAGTAGTAGTAGTAGTATCACCAGCAATCATCCCAGATTACTTTCTAACTCTCTCCGCAACTCTAACTCACTCCGCAATATTACTGTCAGCCACTTATACCTGCGGGTCCCTGTGATCGCCCAAGCTTCCCGACATTGGAACGGCCGATCGTAGCCGACACGGATATCTTTTCTTTTGGCCGAATCTCTCGACAATCCCGATCAACAATCCGAAAGCCGGGCGGGTCCCTTTCAATTCGGGCCGTGTGCGCTGTCCGTTTTACGACATTGGTCTCTTCTTTGCACCGAAATGACAGGATCCTTGATGCTCAGAATTCGACACTGACCGGGGCTGTTCCAGCCTATCTCGGGCCGTCAATTGGGCTCTTCTGGTGAGGCATGGATGGCTCTCGTCTATAAAAAAGCGGGACTAACGCCACTGCGTCAAGGGCTTTCTTACCCTAATTGCGGAGACGTGGAAGCACCGGGATATCCGAATGGCATTGTAGCGTGTAGACTGTAGCACACAATGACATTGGCATCGTGTACTCGTATATTGGAGCCGGCTAGCTTCCGAAAATATCCATTGCTTTCGGACTTGATATACTTCTGCATAAACTTTGATACTATCCTGGGAAAGGGGCACAAGCCAGCGCCCCCGCAAAGACTTCGCTGCAAAGGGACACCGGCGGGCAGGGAACCCTGTTACGCTTTTACAGAGGCCACTCCGGAGCCCGCAAAAGCGCAACCCCCCACCAAAACCCAAATCCCAAATCGGAAATTACCTGGGGGTCCCAACTTCATTAATCCGGGGCCACCATCATCTCTGCCCACCTGCTCCTGTTTCTCTCCCTCTTCTTCCTGACTTCCATTGACACACTGTCATCGACATTGTCTTTGTTCCTTCTTTACCTTTACCTTCTCCCTTCCTCCTAACCCGCCCTAAAACACAAAAATCAAGACCCCTGCACCCCCACCATGTCTGCCCCGCAGGAGCTCGTCCCGCAAACAGAATCCATCGCAGAGGTCTACGCGACCGACGATGCCTCTGTGAACTCGGTTGCCCCCGAGCACCAGCAGCGCTGGGCTGGTCTCATCACCAAGTTCAACAAGGAGTATAGCCATCATCCCGACTTCGTGGCCCGTAGCCCAGGCCGTGTCAACATCATTGGCGAGCACATCGACTACTCCCTCTACGATGTTCTCCCCACCGCCGTCAGCGTCGATGTGATCATGGCCGTCAAGGTGGTTCCCGCTGGTCCCTCCGGCTCGACCGTCAAGATTGCAAATGTCGCATCGGAGAAATTCCCCTCGCGCGAATTCACCGTTCCCCACGACACCGATATTGAGATCGATCCCAAGAAGCACGAGTGGGTGAACTACTTCAAGGCCGGCCTGCTCGGCGCATTGAAGTTCTTGCGTAAGGCGAATGCTGGCTCGCTGGTTCCTGTCAGCATGGAGATCCTGGTGGATGGCAACGTGCCCCCTGGTGGTGGTATTTCCAGCAGTGCTGCCTTTGTCTGTGCTAGTGCCCTGGCTGTTATGAAGGCCAACAACCACAATGTGTCGAAGCAGGATCTGTTGGATCTCGCTGTTGTTTCTGAGCGTGCTGTCGGTGTCTACTCTGGCGGGTGAGTATACTCTTTCCTCCCAAATATATACGATGTCACATTCGGCGATCATTTCTAACGCATGATATCGTTCTCTACCGACAGTATGGACCAGGCTGCCTCCATCTTCTCCAAGCGCGGCTTCCTTCTATACACCCAATTCTACCCCCAGTTCAAGGCCCAACACATCCCGATCCCCAAGGCCACCGACGAAATCACCTTCCTCATGGCTCAGAGCTTCGTCACCTCCAACAAGGCCGAGACCGCTCCTCGACACTACAACCTGCGCGTAGCCGAAGTCACCCTGGCCGCCGTGATCCTAGCCAAGAAGTTTGGTCTGACCCTACCCAAGGACAACAGCTCCCTGGGATACAGCCTCCGCAACTTCCAGCAAGAGCTGATGACCAAGGAAGAGCGCCTGCACGATCCGCTGGAGTACCAGATCGACTCGGTCATCCAGGCAGTGCAAGATGAACTGACCAAGGAAGAGGGCTACACCCGCGAGGAGATGGCTACCATTCTGGACATCACCGTCGCCGAACTGGAGTCCAAGTTCCTCTCTTCGTTCCCCGTGCAGGCGGAGCGGTTCCTCCTACGCCAGCGTGCGCTACACGTCTACAAGGAAGCACGCCGCGTGTTGGACTTCAAGGCTTGCCTGGCCAAGGCCTCCGAGCTCGATGAGAGGCGTATCACCTACCTGGGCCAGCTGCTGAACGAGTCGCAGGAGTCTTGCCGCACCGCTTATGACTGCAGTGCCCCCGAGGTTGATGAGATTTGTGCGATTGCCCTTCGCGCGGGTACTTGGGGTAGCCGGCTGACTGGTGCGGGTTGGGGTGGCTGCACTGTGCACATGCTGCCCCAGGGTAAAGTTGAGGCTGTTACGACTGCTTTGCGGGACGAGTACTATCTCAAGAAGTTCCCTGATATGAGCGAGGAGAAGCTGAAGCAGGCTATGGTCATTAGCAAGCCGTCTAATGGCTCGTTTGTGTATGTGACCCCTACAACACGATGAAGGTATTGAGATTGAGCTAATTCGATTATAGTGTTTTCGGTGCTGCTATTGACCAGTTTGCTCAGTGAACTTTGTGTTATAATTGACATGATCGGAGATCTTCATATATAGATGTCCTAAAAACATTTTCAAGTTCCGAAAATTCTCAAAAATTCCCTCGGGATGCATCACCGGGCCCTGGACGTAGAATCAGGAGCCTTGGTACGCTCGAAACATGCAAGGCTCCCAGCTGAGCCTCTCGGGCTCGATATCTGTAGACTTGGCCACTCATCACAGAGACAAGCCCAAACGGTCGCCAAGCCACACTTCAATGTATTCGGGGCGTTCTCTGGGCCCCATCAAGAGGAATGCATTGGGACTGGAGTTTCCGGGATTTGCAATCCTTCGCGGGGACTCACTCTGGGGCGTGTATCGAGTGTAACGGCCTCTTTCTCATCAGACGAAGCATTATGCGAAGAATATCGTTGACTGGTTGCCAATAACCGATCAAGTCTTCTTCTTAGCAGCAGCCTTTGCAAAGAAATCACTCATTTTCTTCATGCCGGTCGTGTTGACCTTTTTCAAGTCGCGAACTCCCCGAGACTCAGATGTCTTTGCTTTCTTCTCCTCCTCTTCCTTCCGTCGCTTCGTTTCAGCCCTATCCTCGGTCTCTTCGTCATCCAACCCACGCTTGCGGCTGAAGTCAGACACACCCCGTGAAGCTATAGCCTCCGCCCGCAGAGTCGCAAGCTCCTTAAGACGGTTGGTCAGCGGCTTAAGATCTAAGGGTGAATCCTCCGAGGCGAGAAGTTCATCGATTCGAGAGGATAGAGCAGACGGCAAGTAGGAATCCTTCATGAATGACAAGGCAATTGAAATCCGCTGCAAGCGGCGGATATCATCCGAGTCTTCACCAGCAGGTTGGGGTGCAGGAGTGGTTTCACCAACGGGCGTCGACACCGAGGGAGTCGCTGTAGTGGCCATTGTCGAAGGTGATTCCGACCTCTCATCGGATTCAATTGGGCTGGCATCGCCATTCTTCGAGTCTTGGTTCGTCAATGCGTCCTCGCGTTTGACCGACATCAGGGGAGCAGCCAATGCCTGCCGAACGAAACGCTCCTCCAGACTCGTAGGTAGCCCGTGCGAAGCCATCCGCTCGGCCTTGGCCAGCAATTCCTTAAGTAGTTTGGTCTCACTGAATCGGAACATGTTCTCATCACCGGCCTCCACAGTATCACAGATGGCTTCGGCGCGTGCGAGGAGCGCTTTGCGGAATGTTTCGTTGTAGAGGACATGGCGGAAATGTGGGTGTAGGTCATCGTTCGAGTCAATTATGTCGTCCAGCGGCTGGAAGAGAGACTGTCCAGATTTTGAGGAGGATGACAGCAGGGGTACCAGGAAGAAGGCTGCATCTATGGGTGTTGCGACCAGCAGTTCAGCCTTTTTGGCAATTGACGCCGTAGCGGGCGACTTCTCATCTGCTGACTTGGACTCCGCCGATTGGTGCTTCTTAGGGGTAAATAGGATACTCCGAGGAGCTGACGCGGGCGATGCGACGACTGTAAATTCAAAAATACCGCGATCTGGGCAGAAGAAGTAGCGAGATAGCTCGCCGGACTGTGGGTTCGGCAGGGAGAGTAGACGCGCGTTGGCATTTGTATTGGAAGGAAGGATAAAAGTCTTGTTAGGTTTCTCGGCAGGTGTCAATGTTTTTGTCTGCTGCTCAGTAGCAGACTCAGATTGTCCCGAAGGAGCAGTCGAGCGAGTGCGGGGCATCTTTGCGACGAATTGGTGGTTTGGCGAAGGAGATGAGGCCGAGTGGATTTAAAAGGGAAATCGCGAAGACGCGCCAGGACGCGCGCCTTGCGGAATCATGTGCGGGCGGAGCCCATGCAGGTGATCTCTCACATCTCACATCCCCTGCGTTCTTCGGACTGAAGAAAACAGTCGCATTCTTTGCATTTCCTGCATCGTTGGCATTGAAGATAGTCTTATTTCTTTTTCTATTTTCTTGTCAGACGTCCTACTCTTCCGTCGCGATCAAGACTCAACGTGCGGCCTGCGGGGCGGCTGAAGCAGCTGCGAATGCCGCCTCACGTTAGCTTCGATTCTTGACTACCTCCTTGATTTCGTTCTACCAGTGAGTGTTTTTGTTATGACCATGGTATGAATAGCTGATTGTTGACCTCTGCGCAAGTGGTGGACCCTGTATGGCCGCCGAAATCTCCCCGCGATGCCTTACTCAGCTCGCCGGGAGGACGAAGGAAATATGAAGACATGCAACAGCGTCGCCAACTGCTTTCTTCGCCATTGAAACGATCACATGCAACTCCCAACTTCCGCTCGAAAGCCGATCAGATTCTAGACGAGGACGTGGGTGAGGACGACAGCGAAGAAGATGAAGAGACGCTGCAATTGAAGCTTGCAGAGATACAAGCTCGCCTCAAGTTGAAGCAGCTACAAAAGAGTCGAGGCCGATCCGGGACGGCAAGCTCGCACACAGAAGATGGAGAGGAGAGGCGGGTGCGACCCTCCTCCGGTATCATACGGTCTCAGAGCCATACCTTGATTCCGAAGAGCCCTCAGGCAGTGTCGCGGAAGGCACCTACGGATAATGTTCAAGTACCGTTGTCGCCGACACGACGAGAAGAGGCTCCCTCCGCCCCATGGTCGCCACAGCGATACAAGATGGGAATCGATAAGGGCTGGACGGCTGCCGATGTGTCCCTCAAACGACCCCCTCGCCCAACTAGTCAATTGGGAACTCGAAGCGGTGCCATGTCACGATCGAGATCGAGTGATGTGTTTTCGGCCAGACCTCAAACATCCCCCAGTAGTGGAGGGTTGAACAGGATCAAAAGTTTCAGTGAGCGAATGGCTGAAGGCCGAGCTGCAGAGAAACTCCGTATGGAGAAGGCCGAGAAGGCTGAGAGAGTCAAGGCAAGCCGAAGCTCGGGCTTTCAGTTGGACAAGGCAGAAATGGAAGCTTTCAAGACCGCCGCCGCCGAAGAAAAACCTTCAACGCCGTCTTCTGTTAGTCGGGAGCCACAAGCACCAAGTTTCAGTCGTGAGGATATCCTCAGATCTATTGGTACGCCTCGCTCTGGTGGTGTGAAGCGCAGCCAAACGACACCAAACGCCAGGAACATCAATGGCCACTCCACAGCTTCGTTACACAAACCGTCGGAAGAAAATGAACAGAGGGGGAGTACCCCAGATCCATCCAAATTTGAGTCCTACTCTGGGCTCCATCTGTCGAATCGCATCCTCCCGCACTCATTTTTGAGTCGCAGTCTGGCGGATAAGACGACGTTAAAGATCCCCGACCTTCTCAAAACAATCAAAGCACCTGCTTTTGAGCTTCCAGAAGAAGTAGACGGAGACTTCGTGGTGTTTGGAATTGTTGCATCGAAGTCGGACACTAAGCAGACCAAGGATTCAGGAAAGGCTACCACCAAAACAGCCGACCCGTACGATGATGGGATGAACAATACCAACAGCTACATGGTCATGACATTGACTGATCTTGAGTGGACCATTGACTTGTTCCTTTTCGATACAGCCTTTCCTCGGTACTACAAAATCTCCGAGGGAACCCTTATTGCGATCCTGAACCCGACTATCATGCCTCCTCCCAAGCATAAGCTGGATACCAATCGGTTCAGTTTGGCATTGTCCTCATCTGATGACAAGGTTCTTGAGATCGGCAAAGCACAAGATATCGGCTTTTGCAAATCCGTTAGAAAAGATGGGAAAACATGTCAGTCTTGGGTGGATGCTCGGAAGACCGAGTTTTGTGATTTTCATGTTGATCTTCAAGTACGTCGGACCCAAGGTGCTCGCTCTGGTGTCAACAGCGGTACGGGCATGTTTGGTGCAGTCGGTAATTCTGGCTCCCGTACTGGTGTTTGGCAAGAGTCGAAAGGCCGTGGTCGAGGCTCGCGCTTTGGCTCAGGAGCTTCTAGGTCGGATGGCAAATTAAAGCCAGAGGGCGCCCAATATCACATGGGTACCCAGTCTGTTTACTACGTCGCCCCTGGGCCTAGGAACGGGGGTGCTGGTCGTGCCTCATACAATCCCGCTGCAGGACACTCGGCTGCGAGTCTGCTGGATGCCAACGATGATCCTTTCATCGCGGCTGGCATGATGGGCCGAGGCATGGAGAACAAGGAAGAGCGAATGAGAAGACGCCTGGCAGCTCAGCAGCGTGAACGTGATATCACCCGAAAGCTTGTTGCTGGCCGCTCCGGTGGTGTAGGTGCCGAGTATCTCCGCACGCGCACCGCCAACGAAAGCCCTGCCGATAGTGAAAACAAAGACAAGGTACCAGGCACTCCTTCAACACCCAAGACACTGCCTTCGAGTCAAAGTTTGAACTTTGTTACTTTCGGCAAAGCAGACAATGTCCGCCTTGGCCCTATGAAACGAGCTCATGATGGTGACAAACCCCATGGCAGCGGTGTCAAAAAGACTCGGTTCATCACCTCCAAAGGAATTAGAGAGGCCGGCCGTGATAGCTTGGGCTTCGATGCGACTCCTGTGAGACGGATACTCTCGGATGATGAAGACGATGACCTGGAATTGATTTGAGTGCATGATTTGATACCACCGTGTGTTAGTGTTTCTGGGACTCCAGGCCCCAGGTCTGGTTGTTTTATGATGGTTTTATGACAGAACAAAAAAGTAACCTTGCATGAGACGAATTTCCTTTGTTATGCTAGCCGAGCAGGAATCTGACTCGCACTTCGTTAGGCATACGTCAATAACATCAGGCTGCCTTGAATTTCTTGGAAAGATATCAACAGTATCTAATCATTGCAACCAACTAATTTTTCGCTTGTATACGAGCACCATTCTCCTCGATTTATCATGGCACTGAATCTCTTCTTGCCCCGCCTTCCACAGTCAACATCTGGATGTGGACTTGCTGATCCACAGTCAAACTTGATGCTGCGACTGTTGCGATGGAGCTCGAAGTAATGTTCCCCAAATCATCAGAGCCACGGCCAACATCGCTAGCAAAATGGGTTGCAACACCGACACACCCTTGGCCTGCGCAATAGCACCAATCATGAAAGGGAAGACAGCTCCTCCACCCATAGAAAACGCAGCTGCAAACCCAATAGCCGCGACATGCAAATGCTTCGGCAACATCCGAGTAGCAACGACCACCACGCCTGGGAAAATGGTTCCCAAAAAGAACCCAACCAGCGCAACTGCTACGGCCGAAACGATAAACTGAGGCACAAGCCAGAAAATGAGTTCCAGTGCGATGGCCAAGATGATGTACACGATGATCGACAGTTTCTCTCCAATATGAGGCGAGACAAACCCAAGAACGAAGCGGCCAACCGTCACGCCCAGCCAGAATCCTGTTTCGGCCATTCCGGACGCAAAAGGACTGCCATGGCGCACGTCTGTCATGAACACGACAATCCATCCTCCGATAGCGACTTCGCAGCCACCATAAAGGAAGAGGAAGATAGCACATATCCAGGTGACTCTGTATGTGAGGGACAGTTTGGTCTGATTGAGAGATCCACCTCCTTCTCTACCTGGAGCAGAAGGATGATCCTGTCGATACTTGGATCCTGTCTCAGTCCAGAAGGCGCTGGTGGCATTGATGAGTTCAAGAGCAGCGGCTCCAGTCTTGAGTTTATCATTAGCTTATGCAATCCTCAGAAGCTCCATGGCCCACCTGAGAGAAGTGATATACGTACCAGGAGATAATAGAATGAATTCCATTCCCAGCTGGCTTTGGTGATCAACGTTGTCGCAACGAGAGGACTGACAGTGGCACCCACGCCATAGAATCCGTGGAAACACCCAAGTACTTCGTGAGAATTGGCCAGACTGCTGATCCACACGTTCCATCCTGCGTTCTGGATGCCGCTTCCCAGTCCCACGAAGATATACATGATCACTAGGACCGGGAAGGGTGGGTTAGTCGATATAACTGCAAAGGCAAGCAAGTGACATGCTGGGCCGATAGATGCCACTCCTCGACGGCCGAGACGCTGGTGGATCAGATTACTTAGGACTGCAGACACAGTGTAGCCCAAGAACGGGGATAAAAACACCAAGGAGATGATTGTGTAGTTCTTATGATAGGAAGTCTCGAGCTACACAATGTGTATGATCCCGATTAGTATTGTTTGCATTCACGTTGTCCATGGAAGGTAGTACAAACGTAGGGAATAATGGCTCCATACGCAGCGTCATTGGAGCCCATGACAAATGCACACCAGAATGTCGCCAGGACCCTCCACATCATAGTCTTTGACCCGTTCCATCGGAGCGCGACGTTGACGGCATGTAATGGCGGAGTGTCGTCTTCGGATCCCGGGCTCACTGGGACAGGTGCAGGGTGTATCTCATCGATAGGGGAGCTTGAGGATGGGCCAACAGGCCTTGGACCAGCAAGAACAGTCTGGTCAATAGCCATGTCTCCTCATATGTTACTATTTGAGAGGGAGAGGTTGTGTGCTCGAAGATGCTGGTAGTGATCTGGTGGATCTTTCCACTTACCTAAAAGTGGGGAAAATACGACATCGTCATGATTGATCAGTCATAGTTATCCTACCACGCAATATACACTCGGTTGGGGGCCTGATTTATGCTGGATTCTTTATGGGACTCTACGGTTTACAAATATCAGAATGTTCATCATGTCAGTGCTCATTTCATTGACAGGTCAACGTAACCGTCGGCTTCTTGCTCTATCCATTTATGTCCAGATTACAGTCCCACGGAACCAGGGAGAGATTTGCCAATGGAAAAGGACAAAAATGCAAAGAAAAAGAACCGGAAAACAAGAAAAAAAACAAACAAACAAAAAGCAAAAAAAGCAAATCCAGACTCCGCAAACCCCATTCCCAGAAAAGACACGAGATACCTGGTATCCTGATTTCCCCATATTCAAACCCACGCGCCAAGTTGAAGCAGAGGAATCCAGCGCTTGGAAAGACACGCATGTCATGACCAGGGGAAAACATTAAAACGCTGGAACGGGAAAAGAAAGAGAAAGAACGAAAGAAAAAACACAATTGAGACGCCGCAGAGAATGAGGATGGTGATGAGCAGCATAGCAGCTGCCGAAAAGGAATTGCCGTGCATCCACATTCAAAGCAGCAAAGGAACCTGCAGGTCGGAGGGAACAGACCCAGCAGGACACAACGACGAAAGAGGGAAAACGTGAGCACTCGCTACCCAATGCACCATGTCAATGAAAAGTCGTTCCGAGGCTAACAGAGTCATCACTTTAACTACTGTGAGTGCAGTAGTGAGCACAGAAGTGAGACTAAGCCGAGGGAGCGGTAGAGGCACCTCCGCGAGTGTTGCGGGACTTCTTGGCAGAGGGTGGGGTCAACGGAGGGTCGCCCGAAAGATCGGCCTCACGCTTCGCCGATGGGGCAGGGGAAGACATTTCCTCAATGGCCTGCTTCTTACGCAGCCATTGATCGAATGGGCTGATACGCTTCCGCTTGGTGTCTGCGGCGTTCGTACCAGTCGGGGTCTCCTCACCCTGCGTTGCCATGCGAGCGTTAGATCGCAGCAGACGAGTAGTGCCAGGAGCACCGGGAGCTTGAGGCACTTGGGGCGACTCCGGAGTAATGGCGGGTGTCTTGACAGGTTTCTCGACAGCCTCAGCCACCTGGGCATCTTCTTCGTCGGTAGCAACCTCTTCGTCAAGGGGGTGTTTGTCCTTTGTCGCAGCAGGGAAGAGGACACGGGGCTTGATGGAGCCGCGAGTAAGAGGCTTGACCCGCGTCAGGAGGTCTGGGTTGGCTGCCAGCAGGTCCGGTCGGGATGCAAACAGCCCCAGGTCATCCTCCTCATCGTCCTGCTCTTCCAGATCTGCAAACTTGGTGAAGACCTTCTTACCACGGCTGCAACTCATGTCATTAGAGACAGTTCAAAATTACACAACAAGTGAAAAAGAGTGAAGATACTTACAAAATCATGGTGATTCCTTCTTCCGGGTTAGGCAAAGGGTCTTCCTCACCAGAGGAACTTTCATGACCTCTGCAGGAACCAGTTAGATGCATGAAATTGGCAGAGAAGTGAAAGAAGGGGAATTTTATAAAACTCACTTGGGAGAAGTGATCGGGGTACGCTGCGAGCTGACACCCTCTCCAGTGGACTGGGTACGACCAGCAGCCTTCTTACCCTTCTTGGCAGGCTTAACAGGACTGGAGGTCTTGAGAGTGTCCGCCTGTGAAGCAAAGGGATTGCCCGTTGCAGGACCAGGAGCGGGGATGCGATCACGGGAGTCGGTGAAGATTTGGATCTCATTAGAGGAAGATGTCTCAAAGCTGTCTAGCGAGAAAGGAGATGGCTTTCTGGCCGACATCTTGCCGGTTGATGGGAAGAGAGTACGAGATGTAGACGAAAAATCACCTGGGATCGTTCGCTTTGATGGGGTTTTAGCAGGAGTCGGCAAGGCCTGAGTCGCTGCTGAGCGAGGATGAGAAAGGGAAGAAGGCGGACGGTGAGAGAAAGAAGAAGGCTGATGTTGAGGGTATTCGGAAATATCGGGAATAGGGTCGCTTATCGATAGGAGTAAGTCGGACTGCTGTCTTAAGGCTTCTTTTCCAGTCGATTTCAAGCTTCTGCCTGTCTCTCCATCGTGTTTCGAGTGCTTTTTTGGCGACCCTCGAGACCGCATCTTGCTTGGCGAGCTTGGGCAAACTGGTTCGGGCGTCCTTTCCATTGATCTGGCTGCACGCTGACTTGCTAGTCTAGCTGAGAATCGAGGAGGATATGGCTCATATTGGTCATATTTAGCTCCATACAGTGGTGCAGAAGGAACCCGTAGGCTTGATGGCGAATCTGGTGGAGGAGTCTGAAAGCGTGATGACGAACGCGGCGGGGGTGTCGTCGCCATTATGTTTGATGGCGCTTGCCGGGAAGTTCCAGAGGTTTATGGCGGTACAAAGGTCCAGTCTTTGAAGACCTTCAAGGGATGCGATGCTGGTTGGGACCAGAACAGCCCTGGTTCTCAATTGACTTTGACACCGGGGAGACAAGGGCGCGATGATACTTGATCGGAAGGCGTGCAATGCAATTTCAGTCGAAAGATGCGATTCGAGGACAGACAAAAGCCAGCAGCTCTTTCAAGGACGCGAATATCGAGAACAACGGCTGTTTGAAACGCGATGCAGAGTGGAAGATATGAAGAAAGGGCGAGATCCTTGGGAAGGGCGGGCATGTTTGGCGCCCAGCCACTCCAATTGTTCACCGCCCCCGAGCCGTTACCGCCTTGGCGATTATACTTCCCGCCCCGCGCGGTTCGCTGGTTCCGTGTATCGGTTGTTGACGTTCTTCCTGATTTGATCGCCCCAGAGTTGGGTACAGTTCTACGGGTCAGCTGTTGGGTTAGAGGGTCTAAAATTTGCACCTGGTTCCGCAACGACATTATCTACATTCTACGTCCTCAAGCCACGATCGACACCGCACATCTATCTCGACGCGATGGCTGTCCGAAGCACTGCTGAGGAAATGGAGCGACTCCAACTTTCAGACGAAGATACAGACGACCTATGGAACTCCCCGTCGAAGCGAGGAGCTCACAAAACGTTCAGACCACGATCATCTGACGAGATACCCCCACCAGAGCCTCGACAAGCCCACGAGGGGGGCGACACTCTTTTCGACCGGCAAGAGGCCCGCGAAGCAGCCCTGCAGCACGAGCTACACGCCGTCCGAAACATCAACGAGGTCATTGAAGGCCTGTTGAACAGTATTGACAAGGCCAAAGGCAACATGGAGGTCTGTCCTGGCTATGCTGCATACATGTGCATTCGAGCCCAGAGGCACTAACAATCTTCTCTACAGACCGTGTCGAAAACAGTTGCATCTGCATCGACGCTTCTCAATACCTGGACCCGAATCTTATCCCAAACCGAGCATAACCAGCGCCTCATCCTCAATCCAAACTGGCAGGGTGCCACACAAGATGTGGCCGATATGGAGAATGAAGCGATCCAGAGACAGCAAGCGGCCGAACGGCGTGAGCAAGCACTCCAACAGCAGCGAGAGGCAGCGCTTCGTAAAGCAGAAGAAGAAGAGAGACGACGCGTCGCCACTGGTCGTGGTGGTCGCGGAGCTAGTCGAGGCACGGTACGCAGTACTGGCCTGGGAAGGACGCCAAGTGTGAGCACGAGCCGCACAGCAGCCACGAGGGGGGCTTCTACAACTGGAACCACTCGGCGACCGGTCAGTGGGATCGCTCGTGGGAGTGGAATTGCACGAGGCCGGGGCAAGACTTGAGTTTGTGGCCTTTCTATGTATGATAAATTTTTACCCTGGAGATAAAACAACAACGCGCCCAATGAAGATGATACCCAATTACACAACACTCAGAGCCCTAAATTGCGACAATTGTATTTAACTTGGTGCCTGAGGCAGAAAGGCACACGGGGACACGCGACCCGCTGCGCGATAAGAACGCGATAAGGAAAGGAGGATAAGGAGCTTCCCCCGACACCCCGAATAGTTGACGAGTTTCCTCAGCTTAGCTCTTGTCAGCTCAGCTCTCGCTCCACCCTCATAATGAACTTCGCCCCTTACCAGGACGAGTCTCCTGAGATTGAGCGGGCGCTGTCCCCTCCGACTCTGGACGGTCGCGTCAAATCTCCCGCCCTCCGGTCGCCGCGGGCGTCGACGGACTTGCCGTCTCCAAGCCACTTCGCTGGAGGTGGACATGGTAACACAGGCTACGGGCGTGACTTGGAGGGTGGCCATGTGAGCTTGGGTGCCTTTGAGACAAGCCTTCCGATCCGCATGGATATGGAAGCTGCCCTGGCATACTTGCTCCTACCGCCAGCGGGAGGGTTGTTTTTGCTGCTGGCTGAGCACAAAAGTGACTACGTGCGGTATGCATTCGGTGTCAACCCCGGGGCTGATTGAGAGGATCAGAGTGGCTAATGCTATTTCATAGATTCCACGCCTGGCAATCAAGCATGCTATTTGCGGTCATCTTCGTGAGCTACCGCTTCTATCCAATGAGGTCAACTTCCGACTAACGCCGTATAGATAATCCACCTCATCTTCTCCTGGAGCAGCTTCATCTCCTGGACTCTCTTCATCATTGATCTTGCTCTCATGGGATTCCTCAGCATGCGTGCTTATCGAGATGGTGAGTCATGAATCATAATCGGGTAGCTACCATCCCAGGTCCGTTCACTAATATATCATGCGTCTCTAGTTGACACCCTCGACCACTTTGAAGTTCCATTCTTTGGTCGCTTGGCTAATTCATTCGTTGATAATGAATAATCAATTTGGGCTGCTATTTTCCTGGGCCGTGCGTGTAATTGATTCTCGCCGAGAATCGTCGCTCTCGATATACCCCTTGTCTACCAACACTTTAATGAGTTCGATGGATATTTTTGCTACTAATACTGTTCATATACTTGATGTTTCTCTGATATGCACCTTCTTCGCGACGAGTGCTAGCTCCTTTGTACTTTAATGAATGATTCGAATCGATGATCTGGAACGTTTGATCCTCCAGAGATTCTGCCACCCACCCACAGCTTCTTTGGCCCTACTGCATTCCGTGTGGGACCTATACCTGGAATCGGAATCGAGGATCACGAGTACTTGCAACTCCCTCAGTGACCAAAGATCCTGGTCCGTATTTCTGGTCCCGACGCCGGTTTTCCCACCTCATCCACAGTCCGTATGCCACCCCAGCGAACAATAAGATGACACTCATGGATATGTTGGTCGTCAAAACAGTAGTGTACCTAGGAGCCTCCTTCTGCGTGTAAATATTGCTTGACAATAACCCAGCACAATTCCCCACGGCGATATAGAGGCCACTGGTCATAGCGCGAGCGTTCAGGTTGGGAATATTGGAAACTAGCCAGGCTGAACCGATAGGAGTTTGAGGGTAGGCCTGTTGCAGAATATTTCATTAGTAAATCCTGGACCATGGTTACATATCTAGAGGTTGAAAGACTCACTCCGATGGTGCATAAGAACATGGCAAAATATAAAACAGATGTGTTGGTTGTACTGATGGTGTCGAGAATAATGTATCCAACCAAGCTGACAACCGCAGACATTGATATGTGGTACCCACGTTCACAGAAGTAGTCAGAGGACTTGCACCATGCTACTAGAAACACAGCCCCGACAAGAGCAGGAGCTACGGTATACTGAGCCGATATCAGCTAAAGCTGGTCGCCCCGAGAAGCCCACAGGCCAGTCTTGGATGAATGGAGTGGCTTACCAAGTTTGTCTTCACGACATCGTATCCCAATCGTGCCACAACCATAGCCAGAAAATTGGCATTCGAAGTCAGGAGAGTGCCACCACAAAACGAAAGCGCACAGCGTAGGTAGCCATGAGGAGTGTAAAATTCACCGAATGCTTCTTTCCAGTTGAACTTCGTGTCGACTGTGGACACAGAGTCTTGTTCAAGCCGCAATATAGCTACATCCTTCTCTCTAGGCTTTAGAAACCAAGCAGACTGAGGACCCGAAGGCAGGACGACAGCCAAGATGATTCCACACAATATAGTCAATCCTCCCTCCAGGAAGAAGAGATATGACCAAGGAAAGTAGGAACCACCCTCTATCTGGAACATGCCGTATGCGAGGAGGCCACCAAACGCTGAGGATGCTGTAAGTGCAGCATAGAATACACCGATGCGACTGGCCAACTCTTTACGAGTATACCAGATTGATAGGTAGTAGATGGTACTGTGAAACAATTAGCATCCAGCTAGATAATCTATTATATATAGGGTAGGAAACGGGGGCTCACGATGGAAGAAAACCTGCCTCGGCGGCACCCACTATCACTCGACAGGCTACCAGGTGCTTGAAGGAAGTCACGAAGCCAGAAGCGAGCGAGGCCGCACCAAATATCAATAGCATAGCCGGTAGAGTGTAGCCCGCACCGAATTGCTTCGTCAACATTGTAACAGGTGGCCCGAAAATGATGAATGGAATCTGGTAGTAAGTCAGGGCTTGATTGAATTGGTTCCCAACTAGGTGAAGATCTTCTGCCAGGCCCGCAGTATGAGCGTTTGACATGTTGCTTCGATCGAGGGAACTAAGAAAGGTCAGCAAGATATTGGTATTTTCACGGTGAAGTGGGGGTACATTTTACTTGAACAAGTAGGCCAAGGATAGCAGAGGAATGAGAATGAAGTCTGCCTTCAACTTCAAGCGCTTACAAACCATTGGATCAAAAGTCGTCTCCATCTCAGCAGCACTAATTGATTTTCTCTGTATGTCGACATGATCATTGTCAACTTCCGGACTGGATTTCTTGATTCTTGATTCGTGATCCATTTTTGGTGTTAAAATGGGCTGCGGGTAGACTGAAAGGTTACCAGTGTACATCAGGGCTATTATATACAAGCTCCCTCAACATAGAGTCTCAAATACGTCTACCCCAAGTTCACCTTCCCCGGAATCCTGATAAGCCTCGAGCATAAAACCCCGCATCGGACACGATCGTACTTCTTCCGATTGGTTCCTACATTTTCTTGCAATTTTAATTGGCCGCATTGGCCCTCAAGTTATCTCAAGTGTATCATCATCGGCAAAGCCGATCTATGCACCCGATGGTTGCCACTTGGCGAAATGCGTTATGGCTTTGGTATCCGTAAACATATTATAATGAAATATATAACAGAGTTTGAATGATGTTATGTGTGTCTCTAGAGATTAGGCTCCGTGGGCCATGCGTAGATGAGCGCAGATATCATCCACGTACATCTGGGCCTTCTTAACCACCAGCATATGCATGAACGGATGCGGCACACCAGTGTATCGCCGGACGGTCACTTGCACCCCGTTTTCGACAAGCTTCTGAGCGTAGTGCTCCCCTTCATCACGGAGCGGATCACAGCCCGCGGTGGCAACATAAGTCCTACAAACGCCACCCAGATTACCGTCAATCGGACTCCTGAAGCATCCTGGTCGTGCAGTAACCTCGGCCTTTTCGGCATCAGTCTTTGGATCGTAGAGTGATCTGAAGAACTTCAGACGCTTCCAGTTGAGACAAGGCGCATTCTCATTCTCAGAAACAGACGGATATGGAGAGTCAGCAGGGTCGTGCATATCATCTCCCTTCCACGTTGCTGGGACTGAAAGAATTGCTGTTGCTCGGTTAGCTAAACACTCCTCGTTGCCGAACAATGCGTCAAAGCTTACCAAGCTTAAGATCGATCTTTGCATCCCGAGCTAACTGTTGACACACGGCACTGATGTGTCCACCAGCTGAGATTCCACCAATTGAAATCGAGTCCGGTCGGCCATTGAGCTCTTTGCCATTTTTGACGGCCTAGATATGGGATTAAAATCTGGTAAACTATTGCACCCATGCTTATAGACTGGAACATACCCAACAAATAGCAGCCCAGGCATCATCATGCCCTTTACCAAAGGTGTTTTCTACTTGATGTTAGAGCTGAATGAACGGGCTTTAATAGGACCATTCTCACCGGGTGAAAGCCTATAGTCAACATCCATCACGATGATTCCAACTCGGTTTCGCACCAACATGCAAAGCTCTGCATCACCAGTCAGGTCTCCCAGCACGAAGCCACCACCTAGAGAGAAATTCAATTTTTAGCCGATGTCTGTTTTAGCCTGATTAAATCACAGTACCGTGAAAATTGATGTGGATGGGATACGGCCCTTCGCCGAAAGGAGACGTTCTCGGATCAGGATGATAACATCTCACGGTGAACTCATGGCCATCTTCAGCTTTGAGCTTGATATCCTTGACAAAAGGCTCGTAAGTAAAATCTTGGTACCACGGCGAAGCGAACTTCTCAGGAGCAGCCCGAATATCCTCGATGGTGATGTTGTGAGTCGCCGGTTTGATGGCTAAGTTCTTATTGTAATACTCGACGAAGTCATCGTCTAAGCGTGACAAGAACGCGGGATCGATGGGGGTTGGCAGAGCTTGTGTCGCCATGTTGTATCTTGAGAATCTTCTGAAAGGCTAAGAATACCTAGTGCTTCGTGTGTTTTCTGAGTTTGAGTCTGAGCAAGCCTTTATAAGCCATGAAGTGGATAAGACCTGACGGGTATGTGTGCGCGGCTTTGGCGATCGCAAGATCGGTCCAATTCCGACGAAAGTTCTTGTCTCATTGTCCCAAAATTACCGGGAAATAGGCAAAATACTGGGTGGCTTGGGATCAGTTGACTTCTTACTAACATGAGTTGGATGATAGCCATCGGATGTGAGATCGGCAAAGCCGAGATAAGAACTGTGAACGGTATCGAAGCCGAGCACCCACCTACTTTATATATTGGTCGATATCTAGTGTCAAGTAATATATACTGAGCCTTCAAACCAGGAGTTAAATTTAATGAGCTATAATGTACACGTGAGGACTTCTGAAGAGCGTTAGAAGACGTCACCGCCACTCCATAGATGCAGTGGGTTCCTGACCCTGCATAGATTCGTCCCAAGCACTGATATCGACGCTTTGCGGCCAGCCCTGCATAAGTGTAAACCAGATAGACGACTGATATTCCTCTCGTAGATTCAAATTTGCAGTTCTGTTCAATCTAAGAAGCGAATAGATGTTCTTCGAGATGGTGGCTGGTGGCAAGCCGTCCCCAGGGCTTGGACGGTATTCTGGGGATTGCGGGCTTTGCTCGGGTGGAGTGTTATGTCTGGATGGAGCATCCGCGTGCGCATCATCATCAAGAATACCCATGTATGCAAAGCGATATAATGAGCGCATCTCCTCTAGTTGTCGTAACCAGGTATTTGCAATGTCCCAGGCACCCCGCCAGGATCTGATTAGTCGTATGTAATTTTCAAAATAGGTATCCGCGAGGTCTTTATTCTCCTCGGAGCCATGTTCATCTTGTGTGTATCGCAGCCAAAGCAGTGGGCTGGCGGTCGACAGAATTGCCAGAGCGAGGAATAAAGACTGTCCTTGGTTCTCAAGATCTCGGTCGGTGCTCAGGTAAGTTTCGATCAATTTTCCAACTTGCATGGCATGAGATGTGCATGCCGATATTATAGTTGACTCCCTGTGCAGAAACGACCAGCCGGCCGAATCCATGTAATCGAGCAAAATTGAATGTTCATCTGTCTGGGGCAGGTAGTCCTGGTGCGAAACGCACCACGCGCTCTGCAGAAGACAATGAATCGCCAAATACGCCGTCCCTTGATTGAGGTCTTGATGTATTCTATAGTTCTCTTCGGACCATTGTATGCGAGGTGGTAGGGTATCGGCCCAATGGTGAAGCGAGGCACAGAGCTGGGCGAATCGACTGGAGGGATCAGTCGGCGGTAGCTTTGAGACCATTCGCTCTTGGGTGACATGAAAGTCGGCCAAGTCACTCCATATACAAAGACCCTTAATCAAGTATGACTGGATGCTAATATCTGATGGATTCCCGTCGAAAGTTACCAAAGTCTCGAGAGTGATGCCTCGGGTCTTCTCGCCATAGGCTAGGGAGATGTCACTAGCTGGGAGCGAGATGTTCACATTTCTCAGTGACAAGGTTTGTGGCTTGACCAAGCTAAACGCAAGCAATCTGTCAATTTGCAAGCACGCCCAGAACGTGCGCCGGCGGATCTCGCGTTCTTGTTCGGGGTGTCTTGAGTGGTATTCTTTATTGAGTCGCATGATCTGAGCCATCCGAATGGCGGTCCCAGCATACATCCAATGACTGGATCCATTATCAGAAAGAAGCTCTGACAAGGACAGGATGAGATTTGCCTGGATGTTGAGGACTGTGGTAATGAGCATTTGTGCGATTCAAGAGGATTATTTGAGGTACCTGATGGTTGATCTGAGCTTTCACGAGCAAGGCGTTTAGCCAAAGTCGAAGCATCCTTGTAAACCTCCCGTTTTGATGCCCTCCCAAACTCACGTTGCGCGTCGTGTACAGAAAGGTATCGTGCACAGAGAGATACGATAGCGGTTGCCAGAAATGGATGAGCCATTGCCTTATCCTCGAACTGCGGCCTATATGAAAAGGAGCAAAACTCGTTGCTGAAATGTCTCTTGAAGAATTGACTCAAGCATCGTTGTAATGCTGGACGACTTGGCAGGCCACTGTCAGAGACTGTTATTTCTGGATGTAAGACTGGCTCCGCAGAATGCCTTTGAGAAACTGTCGCAGCCTCTGTAGTTGAAGGAGGATTGCTCAATACTGCAAAAGCAGCCCTTGGCCATTCGCATGGAATCTTTCGTGAGGTACAGTGGCCACATTTTGGCCGCACTCCGTTGCATTTGGTCTTCCGTCGACGACTATTGAAGTTCTCAGAGACCAAGTACAGCATGAAGTCATGTGATAACATACCAAGTGCGACAGGCCTGTGGGGTCCGTGGAGAGCTCGTGCTGACTCCGAATGGCATTCTTGCAGATGATTAGCGTAATACTCAATACTCGTTGAGCGAAGCTGTCAGCAGTGAACTTGAAGAAGCCGACGACCCCCGCCTCGGCATTGCCGATGGATTCCGACGGTACCACGTGAGTGGCTATCAGCCAAACCGCCACTTGGTATGTATATTTCTTTATAGACTTAGACTCGGCCGAAATTGGATGACATCTACAAGAACGACATTACACGAATAACAGTATTTAAATTTAATTGCAGTGGTAAGGAGATCGGATTGTTCGACATTGACTACCCCTAAGGGGTGATACGCGAAAAGAAAGCATCATGAAAATTAAGAAAATGGGAAATGGAAGAGATATCCCATTGATCATGAAAGTTCCAGCAATGTACATACATGGCCCTAGGTCGTTCGTTCCTCGTGCAATTTCCCTCGAACTGATCTCCAACCAAAACCGTACATTCAAAAAAAAGAGGATAATACCAAATCACCAGATGAAAAACCATAGGCACGCTAAGCTCCCAAAAATTCATCCCGTGGCAGAACATCGAAAATATTGAACAGCTTGCCCAGTGAGAAAAGAAAAGGTTAGGATAAATGCGCACGTACAGCGCCGAATAGATGAGAATCGAAATGGGTTTGAAACAAGGATCGTGAGTGTGCAGAAAAGGGATTCGGAGAAAGGCATGTGGTATCTACGTGAGAGCGTGAGCATGACAAAAAGAAAGGTGTTCCGTCAGGACGAGAGGTTGTGAGGGTCATGGCGGTTCGTTAAAAAGGCTGGTTGAGCATCTAAATAATCTGCAGGTAGTTGCTCGGCACCAGGCCTGGGTGGCCTCGACCGTTGGTGACTTCGGCCTCCCACCATCCATCGTCTTGGAGGCGGATGACAGCCAGAACATCACCCTTGGTGAAACCAAGTTCTTCGGGGATAGCGGCAGTGTAGGTGTACATAGCGCGAGCTGTGGGGTTGAAGAAGAGTCAGAAAGGAATTAAGAGGGGGCGAGAAATAGAACACCTGCTTACCGAAATGAAGAATGGGGCGTCCATCACGACTGAACTTTCTTCCTGGCTCAGCAACAGCCAGAGTGCGGCTTCGAGAGCGGCCCACTGGAGGGGGAGCATTGCCATTGTCACCATACTGCGACATCGGCCGGCCATCGTTGCGACGAGGAGAATAGCCATAACCGTCACGAGCGCCCCCGCCGTACATTTCAACCTGGCCACTAGAAAGCTGCAGTTCCATGCCTCCAGCGCTCGAGGGACGGACCTGCTGTCTGAACTGAGGCTGAGGGGAGACTTCACGGGTAGAGGCAGCCGGCGAGGCCCGTCGCCCATAATCGTTGGGGGAGTACGGAGGATCTTGTGCGCGATGCGGCGTAGGGGATTGGCTGTAACGGCTGCGCACACTGCTTGACTGGTATGCTGCTGGGCTCTGGGCGGGACTCGCAGATCCATTGTATTGAGCAGCCATCCGGGTATCAACCCGCGGGGAAGCCACCTGAGGGCTGGCGCTGCGGCGAGTTGCCGGGGCTGGTGACCGGGCGCGAGGGACCTCAGTCCTGGTGGCAGGCGCCATGCTGGGACTGTTGGCTCCGCCTCGCAGCATGCTCTGGGTCTGTCCCGTGTATCGCTGGGTAGTCTTTTGCATCTGCTTGGATGTAAAAGCCGGCTCTGGGGCATCAAGTCGCTTCACAGAAGGATCATTGTACGCAGGAGGAGCACCAGAAGTGCTGCCTCCATATGTAGACGAAGGGGCCGATGGATTGGGTGTCTGGATGCCGTGGTATCGGTCCGCTGACACGCGCAAGGTGGACTGCTTTCCACCGGTCTTCAAGTCTGCCAAAGCACGGGCAATGGGATCCATGTCATCCTCGCCCCCCTTGGGCTGCTGGGCACCTGCCTTAGTATTCTTTTCAGGCGAAGCAACGTCAAAGACGTTGTTGCCGACATTCAGTTGGAAGTTGGCGCGGGGATCAACAGGCTCTGGACTATGGCGTTCAGGCTGAGCTTGTAGAGTAGGTTTGGTAGGGATGGTCTGCTTGGTAGGAGAGCTCCAAGGACTGCGTGAGGAAGATTGTCCTCCAATTGCTGGTCTCTCCTTGTCGTGGCGGCTCTTACGGCGGAAGGGACTATTGCTAAAGAAGGCACTCTTCTTCTTCTGGACAGACTTGTCCTCACTTTGACTCGGGAGAGGCGCACTGTTGGTCGGCTTGGGTGGAGACTTATGGGTCGTAATGGGAGCCTCGACACTTGACATAGAAGTAGGGTTCGACACTTCGCTTTGGGAATCGCGGCTAGAGGGCCGGTACGCACTGGCTGAACTACGTTCCGAAGGTGGCCCAGTGCGGCAGAACATGGTCATTCCATCGGTTGGGTAAGCATTGTGAGGAACCGCGTTGATCTCGCCGTGCTGCTCAGGGTCGTAGTTGGGCGGTAGCTGGCCGCCTCGGCGAAGGTCCAGTGGAGGTGGTGGCTGGGCATTGTGAGCCGGCGCTGGGGCAGGGTGGCCCATTCGCGCAGCGAGTTCAGAATCTGGGTCATGGTGGGACTCAAAAGTTGATGGCTGAGGAGATGATGTGCGGAAAGCTGGGTTCATAGCTCGCTGGAATTGGGCAACCGAGTAGCCTTCACCGTCCTCGATGTCCGACACATCATCATCTTCCTTGCAGAAGTTGATGAATCGAGGGGCGTCCGGAATCTCCTGGCCGGTTCCTCGTTCCTTGATAAAGGAAAGGATATCCTTTTCAACCTCGCAGTTCTCAAGGGAGAGACGAATTTTTTCGCAGGACTAGAAAGTCGTTAGTATGTAAGACCAATGGGAGAAGAAGATTGACATACTGCATCATCGCTGACGCAAACGGTAGAGGCGATGTTTGCATAAGTCCAAAGGCTGCTCTTTGTAAAGTCAAGGCGCTCCTCTTCCAAGTCTTGGAATTTCTGTGATGGCATTAGTTTTGTAACCAGGACAATTTCCCTTTGAAGATAATCACGTACATCGCAAGCAGCCTTCCATTCCTTGTTCCAGCGCCCAGTGGTTTCCTCAAGTGTCTTAACAGCGGCTTCGTATTCGTTGCTGTTTGAAGCTAGTTGAATCTGGGTCTTCTCGAGCTTTGCCTTGTTCTTGCGCTCCTCTTGACCCATCACCATGTGTCCTTGGGCGAGGTATCCCTTAATTCGCAGGCAGTCTTGTTCGAAGCGATCGCGAGTCTTCAGAAACTCAAAGTCAGTTTGTCATGCTTGTAATGAACTCGAATCGAGAAACCCACCTTGTTGGCCAGTTGTGTTTGTTGCATCTTATTCTTATGAAGACGCTCAATACCATCCTGGATAATCTTTCTTCTCTCCTTGATTCCCTTAGAGAACGCGTTGAGTGGCTCCTCGAGCTCTGTTTTCATCTGACTGGCGATCGCGGCGTGAGCCTTCGCAATGGACTCGGTTTCCCCGCGGACCACGTCCAGCGAAGCACGGAGAGATCCTGATTCGGCTGATCCGAGGGACTTGCGGCAGAGAGCTTGGAGCTTTCGGGCGTATTCATCTTCAATGGTAGCTCGCACTTTTCATAAATTAGCATTAAATCAAGAAATTCCTCTCCATCGAGATTGGCGCACCACTGTAGAAAACTTTCAATTCATCGCTTGTAACCTTCGATGCGTGCATGCGGTCCAGCATAGGTTGTAGGCCAGCGTCATCCTTCCCCCAAAAGTTGTTGGCGACTGATACAAAGTTAGATCGAATTGTTTTAGCATATCAGCAAGCATGCATCTCTTACAGGACATGGAGACCGACGGTCCCTCTGCCACGGTCCCAGGCATTGTTGTTGATGTCGAGCCTCGGCCAGCCTTTGCTCAATAATGGTAAGAAAAATGAACAGGTACAATGAAGAACAAAAAAAAAAAATGTCAGGTTGGGTATGATGAAAGGGAAACGCGAAAGAGACCCTACGGTCGCTGAATATTCAGGTGGTTGATCAAGAGGGATGAGGCTTGGAGATGTTTACAGCGCGTCACTCGGGGCAACGGCACTCATGCATCCGCCCAACACTCCGCTTACCTAAGGTGACATCGGCGAGCCCAACCAAGGCAACTAAATTGAGACGCGTCACACTTGGAAGAAAAAGTACGGGTTAGTGAAAAAAACGCAGTAATGAAGCTCGAAAGGCGTTTCCATTCTATTCAAGTTCTATCTAAGCCGTATGGGGCAGTATGTTCAAATCCATTCTATGCAAGCCAGCCCAAATGATAAACGCAGAAGCAAAACCCATTTCCATGAAAAAGATAGAAAAAGAATACACAGTCTGAAGTAATCCTCCTGCAAAAATGAGAATAACGCCGCAAATGTTGCCCTGCTGTCAGATGCAACAATAATGGGAACTGAAAAAAAATATCCCCACAAATGGCAGTAAATGTCATCATCATGTGTCGTAGTACATGTCCGTGTCATCTTCGTCAGGATTCTTTCAGTGAAGCCTCATAGCTTCATGCAAAGTCGTGTTATTCATGCTGCTTCATATTCATGAAGCCTTATCGTCGTTGATTAAACAGCCCTTTACTTAGTAAAGCAGAGCATTGGCAGAAGGAGAAAGAGTGAAGCTGGAGCTGGGAGTGGCCGAGCCCGACACGCTCGCATAGTGCTAGTCGTGGAAGTCCCGAGCGATGAGAGGAGTCGAGATAGGAGTGACAGGCAGGGAACTGCTAGAGCTCCAGCTACCAAATTCACGGGCGACCAGAGAGGGAGTGCTGCTGGCGGTGAAACTGGGAGTGGCGGCGGGAGAAGAGTACCAGCCACGGGCAGCTAGAGGGGAGGCAGTGACACTGGCCGTGGAGGATTCATAGCCACGAGAGAACTGCAAAGGATCGCCAGCAGCCATCAGACCCCGACGGAAGAAGCCTGAGCCATCATTGGGAGGAGGGAAGAAAGAAGCGCCGGGAGGAGGTGCGACATGAGAGTGGGGAGTCGAGCACGGAATTGGAGTGCTGGTCGGAGTTGCTGTCACAGTGACGGCGATGAAAAGAGAAGGAGCCCCAATTGCAGTGGTGACAGACTGGACGGTCTCGGTCACAGTCTGAACTTCTGGAGCAGCAGAGCTGGTAGACTTCCCGTCGACATTGACGACTTGGTAGGTGACTTTACGGCGAACGATCTCTTCTTGGGGATTGGCGAAGGGCGCAGCGTATGTGACACTGAAGGTGGAGAGGGCGATTAGAGCTGCGGCGGAGGAGAAATGCATGGCGGTGGAAAGTTTGAGGTTGAGGTTGTTGATGCACGTATGGAGGTGACGGAGAATGAAATTGAAAGGGCGCAAGGTCGCTGGAATCGAAAGAACGATCAGGAATAGAATTGGTTGCAGTCGTAGCTTGGGTTGGGGTGAGTTGAAAGATGAAGAGGACGAGGATGAAAGAGGTCGGATTTAAAAAAAGGAATCATCGCAATCGTGATCGCAGTGTTGGACAGCATGAAGTATACGCGATCCACACGGCAAGCTCGCGATTGGGTTCAGAAAATCCGCAGGCTGGGATCGGCGTGGCTGGGAATTCGACGAGACTCCGCAATTATCAAAACCAGCCACCTTCTTGCCTCAAATGAGGTGCAGCACGGCTCCACATGGAAACGCCACACGCACGTTGCGAAACGTGCCTGATTATTGATGGCCTCGGGTTGAAACCCAATCAAAATAGCCGTTGCCGGGGAGATCATGTGTTTACATAAGCAATCAGCGTGGCTGGGGGATCCACACGGACAGATTGATGGATACTCATGCTCCGTCATGTTGATGCACAACCCAGCACAATAATCTGCACAAAACCCTGATGCCTAATTGGTTTTCTTAGCGCAGGAAGCAAAAAGCTGGTTTCATTGACTTCATTGGATTATTATTTGCCTCTGATCGACCGGTTACTCGGATCTCACCGACTATATTGATCCTGGATCGACATCTGCCGAGACAAGTCTCAGCCGGTGGCAGGGTAAATTAGATAGCAAGATCTTCCACTCGCAACAGGCCACAGCCCATTCCAGCACAAGCCCAGCCTGCAGTTGGGCGGTTTGGATTCCACCCCAGCGCGGTGACGTGGGTTCGTTCATCGTGGACGGTGGTGAGAGAGGAGCCGAGTTGAGGACGCTTGTCGCCTGACAAATTTCGGGCCAGACTCTGAGTTTCCGCCCGGTATGCTTCATAGAATCGGCTGGCGCCTGAGCTGTCTTTCTCAAGACCAGGGGCCCAGTCGTGGGAAAACCAGGTCTGCTGCCAATGCTGCTCCTTGCTGTAGAGAAGTCGACGGAATGGATTGGTCGCCACCACTTCGCCGCCCGCTGTGCCAAATAGGAGAGACGGGTGGAAGAAGCTACACGGCGCAAGGCTGATCACTGCGCTAGGCATCCTGCCTGCTGATTGAGTCGCAAAAAATTTGTGAATTGGCATCAGCCGACCAAAATCGTTCTCATCGTATGAGTATACCGACTGAAGGATAGGAGAATAGCTAAGATGGCCAGGAGCCTGCCGCTGGCGCACGGGAGCCGTGTTCTCACTCTCGGGGTTGATCATGGACCAGAGCCTTGTTTCACCGTCAATAGACGTGGTGGCAATAAGATGTGAGTTGGTCGGATATGCTGATGTGATGCTGAGCACATAGGACGTATGGATGGGCTTGTAGAAATACGGGATGGGTTCCATGTCGGACGTGGGCAAGATACTCCAAATTGCCACGAACCCATCAGAGCATCCCACGGCAATGTCAGTGGGCGAGAGCCATGTTAAACATGAGGAGACATTGGACGGCGATTTGGCTTCGAAGACAGGCGACTGGAACTTAACTAGACTCCGAGCCCGTTAGATGTGCATTTCCTAGAATTATTGGAATCGCCAACCGCACTTACCAAACTCTGTCTTCTTGCCAGGATCTAACTTGACGTCCAAGACCCTGATCTTTCCGTCACCCCATATCCCAGCCAGTAGACCAATGGTTTTTATACCGTTTTGGTCGTCCTCTTCTCGCTTTTCTCGGGCCATGGGACACCAGGCTATGCGGCGAATATCGCCCCAGTCAGTGCAAAGGACCAGCCGAAGCAGTGGCTTGGTCTCCATGTCAAGCGTGCGGGTTACAAGGCCCGCCTGTTTTCCCTTGAATTCCCACAGCTGCAGAGCACAGGGGTAAGAGGGTGCTGGTCGGAATGGCGAGAAAGGTTCACTCCCGTGAGAAGTGTGTTTCTCCTTCTGTTCGGGCGTGATTAGAGTGACAACGGCCAGATATTGGGAGATTCCATCCTGGTTAGGAGCCCACGCCAAACATTGAATCTTTTGCCCAAAGCTGATCAGCCAGCCCTCGCGGACTTTGGTACTGGCCCGGTCGCTCTTCTGGGCTTTGGTATCTCCCCAGGCCTGGTCAAAGTTGAGAGACTCGTGGTGGCCCAGGTGAAAAACTTTTTGGTCATCGACAGGCCCCATGAGAATAGTGTGTTTTCCTTTCTTCGCCTTTGGTAGATATTTCCGACGCGCATCCATTTCCTTCAGTTGTGGTCCAATTGACTGGGCTTTTCGCAGCTCCGCTCCAATGACTTTGTCGTAATACCAGTCCCAGCCCGAGGTTCGTTCTTTCTCTATTTCCTCTGGAGCGACGCCCCAAGTTGGCCCGTACTCATAATCATTAGCTGTTGATTGGATTTCCAGAGTATGGCGAGTGGGAAGACAGGTATCCACGCCTCGAGCCCAACGATCACGCGTGAAAATAACAGCGAGGAGGTCTCTGTCATCGTCACCAAAGGTCGAAATGTAATGCATAGGCTTCGACACGTTCTCTCTAGGATCGACACATCCACGAACACGCGTCTCATTCGTAGGAGCCTTAGTGCTTCGAGTGGTAGCTCCACTGCTCTCAAGGAGTTTCTGCTGGCTTTGCACTCTGTTCAGTCGAGATCTTCCGCCAGGAGTTCTTGGAGTCATGGGGGTGGCTACGCGTTCGTCCATGTCCATTTCGTCCATATCATCAGGATTATAGGCTCCATTTTTATTCCCATCATCTGCCGCATCCTCGTCTTCCTCTTCCTCTTCTTCCTCATCGTTCACTTCTCCAGCGACGAATTCGTCATCTGACGCGGAATCATCACCGCGCCGCCGCTTTCCCTTTCGAGTTGCAGATTTCCGCTGCTCCTCAGAGTCAGACTCATCGGTAATACCGGCCGACTCGAATGGATCATTTGTATAGACTGCCCTTGGGCCCTTAAGGCGGCCTGATCTGCGAGCAGAAGCCATCTCCAGTGAGATGAGAGTGGGGCACCGTGAATATTCTAAAACGACGATCCAAAGCCCCTGAGAGCCACAGTACTCCTTTCAGGCAGTTTACCGATAGACAGCAGCAGCAGCAGGTTGTATGTGGTGAAGGATGGAAAGCGTGGGAGCTGGAATGTTGAAGCTGCTTGACGGATGGTACTTGTGCCTGAGGCAGCTCACCCACAGCGCTCGCGGGAAGCTTGGGATGGCGCTATCCCCGATCAGGATGCGTCCATAAGACAAAGTAAAGCAGACCTCGTCTGGTCGTCTGGGAAAATGGTTTTCCTCAAGGGGCTGTTTTTATCTCAAGATCTCGGACACATTAATTCTGGAGAATATAATACAAAGGTGATATCATGGGCAAATTTTGTTTGGGGATGATGGATGACTAGCCATTTTGTTCTTCCAGATTGCCTTTTATGATTCGTTCTGCTAAGGTCAAGTGCGCTGATTAGTTATATACTGTTCTCAGGCTGACTGAGTTCCGTCATATTCTTTTGGTCTTTTGTATAAGTATGTCTGGAGCTGTGCCATAATAGTACCTTTTCAAGTACGGATGATCTGATCGCCCACGATTGGTATGCATGTTTACGCAAACCAATTCTACTTTCTATTCTTGCTATGTCTAGAGTAGCGAGATTAAATTATCCTAGTTAGTAGATGAACGTTGGTCAACCTATTGAGTGGAGATATTTGTTTCTATCGTACATGAAGCCTGGATCCCACGAACGAGATCCTTCGTCAGGGTTCAAAACTCCCTAGGGGTCAATAGAAATTTATTTGCGCAAGACCCGCAACACCACATTATTTTGGAACCATTTCCGAAAGAATCTGGTCAAGGTAGCGCTGGAGTGTAAAATGTGTGGCCTCAGGAAACTCCTTTAGCTCGCAGTGAGGGAGACGCTCTGCAAGATACCGCATCATCTCGACCGGTGCATTTACATCCTTTGTTCCATGCCAAATTCTAATCTTGTTGTAAGTCACATCCTCAAATTTGATACCCCAGCTGGATGTCAGCAGTTGAGCGTCGTACACAGCTGGGCCTGTACCCTGGCGGAAAGCTTCCAATATCTGGCGAGCTATGGTTTCCCTTAACTCAGCAGCAGGTTTGTCTGATGCCTGTTCTCCCACATTTTTAGCGAGCGCATCATCTATCTGCTTAATTGCAGAAGGCGACGACAAGGCCCTCCTCAGGATCCAGAGTAGAAGACCGAGGACCCCTCCATAGGCAGAGGGCCAAGAGTGTGCCGTGAAAGCACTAATTCGGTATGGTAGAGACATGTGGTGAGCCCCTGCCTCCCATGGACCTGCACCACCCATTATTCCAACTGCTGAGAGCATCTCTGGGGGCAAGCGATATGCACATGCTAAGGTGTATGGACTCCCACCAGAACCGCCGAGGACTGCAAAGCGGGTCAACCCAAGATGCTGGGTCAATGCTTGAACATCAGCTGGCCAATCCAGGATCTTGCGATTGGGATCAAAAGTTGTAAGACCATAGCCATTGCGATCTGGTGAGATGATGCGAATATTATGGCGCTGGGCTATTTCATCCATACCTAGCGTCTCGAGGCGCGAGCTGGGGTATCCATGCATGAAGAGAAGCGGGTAGTCACTGGATCGCCCATGCTCAGCGAATCCTAGAGTACGGCCATCGGGTAGGCACATAGTCTGACTTTCACGTCCACTGGTAGTGGCCGCAGTGCTGACAAGGCGGATCGAGTTTCCTCTATAACCGCGAAGCAGTGGTGGAAGAAGTCCTGGGGCGGCATTCATGGTGGGCGGTCTTACGGTGGAACGAAGTCGTCCAACCAGGCGACGCATGACTCTTCAAGGACCTCCATCTGTAAGCATCTGTCCGGGCTCAACTAAGGTCCGTGTTCAGGCCAAGCCCGCCCCAAGACAAGCGTCTGGCCCCCAAGCTAGAAAGGAGATCCCGTTTTGTTGGCTGACATCAGCGAAGGTTCGGGGATCTTTCAGAGCTAAACAGCAGCTAAGCAAAGCCACAAAATACGGGGTTCTTCCTCATCTGGTACCTGTCCTGATCGAATTCAGATGTGATAAACAGCTGAAATTCAAATGTCATGCCGAGTGTCCTTTCAAGGATGATGGATTGGCGTTGAGCCCCACGGTGGGCCGGGTACGTCAATCATCAATCGCCCCGCCGCCTTCCTCTCATCCTCCAACTCTTGACGGTTATTCGCGTTGTTGCTAGAAACAATGTCTTCGAACCCCAATCGTGGATTGTCACATCGTGGTGTTCTCCACGAATATGTATGACCCGTCCTGCTTCATTCCAGCGAAGCAATTGAGCTGACCCTTGTAGGCTCCCAGGCTCGTAGCCTTTGAGTTCATGTCGCCCACCAAGGCGAGCAGCAAGCCAAATAGCTTGATTTTCGTGGGCGGACTGACCGATGGATTCTGTACAGTCCCTTATGTATCAAAACTTGCAGAAGCTCTGGAAGAAACGAATTGGTCACTATTCTCCGTCCTTTTGACCTCTTCCTACAATGGATTCGGAACCAGCAGTCTCGACAGGGACGTGGAGGAGCTTGGCAAATGTGTGCAATTCATCCGAGACCTGAAAGCCGATCAAACGCCCGGGGCACCCTCAGTGTCGTGTAAGATCGCGATCATGGGTCACTCAACGGGCAGTCAGGATGTCCTACATTATCTTCATGCACCTAACCCTCTGCCGAAGACTAAATTCGATATGGGACTTCAGTACATTGTTCGCCCGGAGCTAGATGGCGCAATCATGCAAGCTCCTGTCTCTGACCGCGAAGCTATTCTCGATATTATCAAATCTGCTCACAATCCAAACGAAACACGAGATGCCTATGACCGGCTGGTGAACGCTGCCAAAACTCAGCCATTGGCCCATGATGGGACGGATTCTATTCTTCCAATGAACATGATCGCAAAGGTCGGCCTACCTGGTGATGCGCCGCTCAGTGCTCGCAGGTTCCTTAGCCTCGCCAGCCCAGACAGCCCGGCGAGCCCGTCGGATGATGATCTCTTTAGCTCCGATCTGAGTGATAAGTGTCTTGGGGAGACCTTCGGGGCCATTGGATCGCGCGGTATTTTGCAATCAAAGTTGTGTGTGCTATACTCTGGCAGCGATGAATACTGCCCGTCATGGGTAGACAAAGAAAACTTGATGGGACGGTGGAAGCAGGCCACCGAGGCTGGAGGTGCCAAGTGGGATATGGAAACCAGCGGCGTGGTTCCTGGCGCCAGTCACAATGTCAAGGACAGAGGCCAGAAGGATCTGCTTGACCGCGTCCTCCGGTATTTGAAAAGTATCTGAAGCGAGTGACATGGTAAATGAACGAGATTGATACTACGGGAACTTTGGAAGCCGTCAGATCATTTTGATGATATTACAACCCACACAGGGGAACCAACAAATATTGTATTCTACCAACACGTAAAAAATTGCGAGACATGCAAACACCACCCAATAGCCACAGAAATTTGTAAGGAGAGACGAGGTAATAGATGGGGTATAAGGAGACTCGGACGATGTCCATCTGTGGGCAACGTTTTCAGCAGATAGGGTCCGAATAAAAGCGCAGGGATCCTTTCAAGCCATTCGGTTCACACAAACACCTTGGTGAAAAGGGTTAGACCTTCAGCCACAGGTTGAACACGCCCTTGAGGTACTCAACGATCTCGGATCCGCCGAGCTTACTTTCACCATACAGGCGGTCTACAAAGGTGATAGGGCATTCCTGAACCTTGTAGCCCATCGCCTTAGCGCGAACCATCATCTCCATCTGGAAGCTGTAACCCTTGCTCTGAGTGCTGGTGATGACCTTCTCCAGCACCTGCTTCTTGTAAAGACGGAAACTACCCGTGAGATCGCTGACCCCAGGCATCAACATGACGTCGGCGATCAGATTGGCCGTGCGCGAGGTGAACTTGCGGAAGAGGTCCCAGCCATAAACACCACCCTTGATATCACCACGGTTCGCATATCGCGTGCCGGTGACAATATCCGCGTCCGTCTCCTTCTGGATCCTGATCATCTCCGGGATGAACTTGGGGTGGTGGCTGAAATCGGCGTCCATGATGATAATGAAGTTGCCGGAAGCGAACTGCAGACCGTGAACGTAGGCGGTTCCCAGGCCGAGCTTGCCCTGGCGGGGCTTGAGGATGATGTGTTCGGGGCCATAGAGGCGCTGGAGCTGCTTGGCGATGTCGAGGGTACCGTCAGGGGAGCCATCGTCAACAACAATAATTTCCCAATCGAGGTTGCTATAGTCAAATGAGGACATCAGTATTTTCATATCTTTCCCTGGGTGCAATTGGTGGTCCTTACTTCTCAGTGAAGGTCCTCTGGATCAACCAGGTGATGATAGGGAGGTTGCGCCGTTCATTGTAGGTGGGCAGAATGACCGAGTACTTGGTCTTGGTGGCAGCCATTTTTCCGAGTAAATCAAAAAAATTGGAGTTCAGTGGATGTCTCCAGGACAGGCGCAATTCAGAAATAGAGAAAAGAAATGAATAGGGAGCGAATGGCTAACAGCTTGTAGCTCCGTTGAGAACCCCCAGACGCGCCAACTCGCCAGATCCGGAGTCCACCGCCTTGGGCAGAATCCGATAGCTTATCGCGTCCCACGAGCTTTCCCCGACTTCTTGAACTCGTTCGGCCTGCTCATCTTTAGTCGCTTACCTCAATACAAAGATGGCTTCACCAGCTTTGCATCAACGCAATGCATCTAGATGTGAGTCTGCCATTATCAGTGGTATTTCTGTCGACTTCCTGATCACGGTGCTGACCATATCAGCTTCACGACCCCGCAGCTCAACACGCGGTCCTTTGGATGTATCAGACGGGTGAGCAATGTACCTATGGCGTTGAAATCATAAAGCGGATCTGACATAATGGAACTAGCCCACTCTCAATCTCGACATTATCCATCTCCCCAACCATGGAAAAACATACACTTCCTCGGAACGACGGCCTCTCCTGTTCTTCTTTCCACGAACTAGACCCTCTGGCTCCAGATGACCTGCCTGAAACTCTCGGCAAGGATCTCTCATTCCTCCTTCGCCATAATATATTTCATCCTCTTTCACATGTTGATATACCTCCACCGCTCCGCTCCGAGTTCCTTGTTCTAAACCCTGGCGAACCACTCTCATCCTCCCTCGGTCTCCTGGAGAAGCTACTCTCCGAAGGTCGTTTTCTCGTCGCCGCACAGTTCGCCAGCTCTATCCTGACGTCCTCCTTGATCTCGCCTACGGATATCAGATTGATATTCTCCTTGTTTTACACGCGCCTAGCTTGCCTGGAGTTATGTGGGAACACAGTGCTGGCAGCCCAGGAGTCCAAGGCTCTGGAGGATCTCAATTCCACATTCTACTACATTGACTCCAGTTTCGACGACTCCGAGGTTGGTAAACAGCATGAAAAGCCTTATCCGCACCTTCCTCGCCACATTGTGCCATGGCCACTTCGAATATTGGCGGTGCGACTTCAGAGCATTGGATTCGGGGACTCCCGTAGGAGTATTGGCGGCTTGTATGAGATTGGCCTGGAAGCACGAAGGGAAATCATGAAGAAAGAAAGCAGTGAGGCTGAACGAAAGATTTGGAGAGAGAGACTGGCAGATCTTGGGATCCGAAGCGTCAATGCACTGGTAGAAATGGGCGACCTAGATGCGGCGAAACGATCACTCGAGGCTCTCCAGGCCTCAAATGAGGATACAGAGGCTATGAAGCTAAGAAAGGCACTTCTGTTCTTGCGAATAGGTGACCTTGATGCCGCGGAACGAGCTTTTGGTGATTCCCGCGAGTCGAAGGAGGCGGCTCTCTTGAAGCCGCTTCTGAGCATGTCAGAAGGTCGCTATCAAGACGCAGTAACTGAGTGGCGAGCTCTTTACGAGGACACACAAAGGTCAGATAATGCTCTCGTCGGGCAAAATTTGGCCGTGTGTCTTCTATATTCTGGAAGACTGGACGAGGTATGTCAAGCAATCTCTTCTCTGCTAAAATCCACTCACTGACAGAACACTAGGCCCGCCAGCTCCTAGAGGCCCAGGTCTCCGCCAGCCAGTCCTTTGGCAGCCTTATTTTCAACCTTTCAACGGTCTATGAGCTCTGTTCAGATAGTGCTGGGAAACTGAAGGGGCAACTGGCTGCTACCATCGCAGAGCAACCAGTATCTGGCCAGACCAATTTAGACCGGCCCAATACTGACTTTAAGCTATGACACGACTGAACAAGCATGATATGACAAATTCAGGTCTCGAATGGATTGAGTCCAACCTCCTTCCTATATCAAGCGCCCATGCGAATAATAATGCCCAACTCCATGAATGAATGCCAAGCCGATAGGAATAAACATAGAGGGCAACCCTTTTCACACTGAACACCATGCATCCAAATCCATGCAAAACAGACACAAAAAACGCCAAGAATGCACTGTACAAGCAGTCTTAAGAGCTCACTGTACTCGGCTGCGCTGGCTCCGGCTTCGCAGGAGCCCGCGTCTTCGGTCGTCTAATGACAATCTTCTCGCCTTCCTTCTCCCAGCCGAGTTTCTCGACATCAACCAGCTTTTCCCACGTCCAGCTCTCGTCGTGGCCTGTGCAACCGCCAACAATCCAGCTCACATGGACATTGAGGTACGCACTACCAACAGCCTTGAGCGCGTGTCTCCGGACTCGATCCACCGCCCAGTCCATCACTGCCTGCATATACGAATCCACCATCTTGCGCACTCGCCAGAACACGATCCAGTTATCGTGCATCAATGCGTCAAGAGCCCGGTCAATGGATTTATCGGAGAACGCGAACTCCTTGCGTGCACGGGCGCGTAGCTCAAAGGCCGAGACCATGTCGTCTTGTCGACAGGCATAGTCGAGGATCAAGTACGAGACTATCTCTTTCACCTCGGAGTCCGGCAGCGGGTGCGATCGTGAGTGTAGCCTATCGAGGCTGTAGCGCAAAGATGGGAAGTATGAGGGAGGGTGTTGGGCGCGTATGGACAGGCGAATGGAAAATATGTGGACACGCTGGGTGAAATCAATAGGTGTCTCTGAAGCGGTGGCAAGAGTGGCTTCACGGAGCTTGCGCAGTGAGAGTAGGAGGGTGGATAGTTCTGATGAAGGTGGGGGGATGCTTTTGTCTGCGGGGTTTCGTTTCGAGGAAGGCAGGGCGGCTGGGGGATTCGAGGTCGCATCGTTCGAGGCGCTCGTAGGAAGGGATGTGAAAGCAGCGTTGAGGTCTTTTGAGTGATCGGCGCAAAACTTCATATACCGCGCCACGATCTTGTCATAGTACTCGTGTTGAGCTTGGAAAGTGAGAAGCCTGCCATACACCCTGTTAGTGAATATGCCAATGGGGTCTTGGCTGGCAGCCGTACTTCTTATCTCCCTTGGACACGAATCCGACATTTTCTAGCGAGTCGGCCACCGGCTTCAACCGGCTTCCCTGCGCCCTGGACTGCATTGCGCGTGAGGGCACGAGGGACAGTTGCGCGGGGAGGAAGCGGGCCGCTGCTGCTACAAACTACAAAGTGCGGAGGTCATAGCGCCAGATGCAACAGTTATGTCATGTGAAGATAGTGAACCAGATAGGATTCTGTTGACCGCCTTGGAAGTATACGTATGGAATGAAGCCATCCTCGATTGGAAGTGCCAGCTCAGGGGTCCCCATGTCTGTTATAGAGGCTTCATAAGTGTTCTTCGTGGTCGCAAATCTTCCGTATTGTTGAATAGATCCAGGTACTTGAATGATCAGCGTCAAGAAGCTACTTCTAGATAGAAAACACCAACATAAAAGGAAGGCTTCCCAGCTCTTAAACCCCCAGTTTTGATCTAGCAATTTGGATATGCAACGATTAACCCACGTGCATCCGTATCGAAGTCGCCGGAGATTCCCTGCAGTAGTGTCACTGACATAATGCCGCATCATCCAGTCCACAGTGGAGTTGGGCTTTGTTTCCTGACTACTAACTAGCGTCGCTAACTGTCGAAGACGTTTCATGAACCTTAGTGGGTACCTTAGCTTGAAAACCTTGCCTCTCTGCGTGCGTTGTTCGCTATCTAGAATCCGTTAATACCATGTCCGTAAAGAGTCGTCGGCTAAGGTGGAAATGAGATCCTGACGATCCTGGTCCGCTAAGCATAAGGAGAAGGCAACGAGAGATGCTTTGTGCCTTAGGTGTCTGGCCGATAATTCCAGGGCTGACATGGCGGGGATGAATTCACATGTGCTTACTAAGTATGTACCGAGGTGGCCTTATTTTCGTGGCGTAACAATGTTTGACTCATTTGCACCGAGGTTCCCAACGAGGCAAATCTTGTGGAGTCCCCAACTACTCAACGCTCCCTTTTGTATATAGATTCCCACTTTCTCTCTTTCTTCGTTCTGCTTCTCATTGGAATTTGATAGACTACAGACTTACGCAAACCCGTTTGTTTGCTTACCTACCTTGCATATCTCGAGGCTGATCTGCCGATTTGTCGACTTTAACATAGCCCGGCTTTCAGCCTTGCATCTGACTTGCATGTGAAGTGACAAGATGTCTCGCCAACGCCGTTCTGTTCAGGAGAAACCCCGAGATACGAGAAGCCAGACCGCTGAAGTGGCTAACTCGGTCCTGGAGGTGCCACCCAAGGTCATGAAGAAATTGCTTCATTGGGATGATCTACCCCATTGGCAGCGCGATAATCATCATATCCACACGGGATACCGACCAGCCTCATCTTCCTTTCTAGCCTCGTTCCAGTCTCTGAGCTACCTTCACAATGAGTCGGTGAACATCTATACGCATCTACTACCGGGCTTAGCGGCTATCCCGGCCGGGTATCAGCTATATCGCATTCTCGCGCCTCGCTATGAGACCGCAGATGATTCGGATATCGTCGCTTTTGCCTGTTTTTTTGCTGGGGCTTCTTTCTGCCTTGGGATGTCCGCCACCTACCACACAATCTCGAATCATTCGCCCCGCGTGGCACGTATCGGGAATGCTCTCGACTACATCGGCATCGTCGGCCTCATCGTGGGTAGCTTCGTACCCAGTGTCTTCTATGGGTTTTACTGCGTTCCCACGCTCCAACATCGATATTGGACTATGATCTGTAGCATCGGGTTAGGCTGCGTGTTTGTTTCCATTATGCCCCAGTTCCGAACTCCCCGCTGGCGACCCTTTCGTGCAGCCATGTTTGTCGGGATGGGCCTGTCGGCCATCTTCCCCGTACTTCACGGGGTGGCTCTCTTCGGGGTGGATCGCATGCGCCAGCAGATCGGTCTTGGCTGGCTGCTGCTTCAAGGCTTTTTGTACATTCTCGGTGCGGGTATCTATGCAGCACGCGTGCCGGAACGGCTGCGACCGGGCCTGTTTGATCTCTTTGGCCACTCGCATCAGATTTTTCATGTGCTAGTGGTATGCGCTGCGGTGGCCCATCTGACGGGGCTGCTGAAGGCATTTGATTATCGGCACAGCGGGAGTGCCGAGGTTTGTCGGATTTTACGCGGCTGAGTCGTGACGAACATCCATGAGAGGCGAGAAGGGGGCTGGAGCTTGGGGGCAAAGTTGGACAACAGGCTCATGGCTCTTGGGTAACATATGATGACACACTGAACCTGCGGTGTTTACAAGAGAGACGTTCTCATGTCCTGCCGCGGGTTGATCCAGGTCTGGAAAGGTCTTTGTGGTTCCCAGCTGACGAGCACCCGGTTCGTGATGTGCAACAATGACCACGATGAGAATTAGCGGTGGACAGCCTCTGGCGTTGTGCGTCCGGTCAGCCGAGTCAAGACGGACCCAAGGGTTCCGTGGCATTCACATGGGACTCTCGTTTTTTTCTGGAGTCCCTGGATTTTCAATTGGAGGGGAAAACCGGGGTGAAGTGTCAGGTCTTACTGGTGACAAATCAGCTGCAGCCATGATAAGTCCAACGGCGCGGCGCCCGTAGGGCTCTCCACGATGAAATACAAAGTGGAAATGCTGATGCCGCTGAAATCTCCAGTGGCCGGGTGCGATTGCATCAGTGTACGACGTGTGGGACCCTTTGGGTGTTTCCAAAGACAGCAATCGAACCAAGGAACGGAGAGGGGCAAAGAGCGCAATCCAGCAGACGCCTATCAAGGTCCATTGTGTTTTCTACAGAATCGGGCCAAACTCCAGGGGGAGCAACTGGAGCATCCACTCGAGTCGCCTTCGCTTCCCTCTATCCTCGTTCCGGTCAGATATCAGAACCTGCGTACCCTCGGGTTGTCTTAGTCAGTACAACGGCCGGGGGATGTTGGAAGAACCCTTTTGAACGTGCCAGTTGGCACCCGCATGCGAGGTTGATCAGATGGGAACACCTAGGGTTTCACAGCGGCTGACGCCTCCATTGCGGCTGGCGTCGGGAGAGGGCTCCAAAATGGGAGTGTGACATTCCTGAGATGGTTGGATCTTTCGGGCATGAATCTTGAGCTTATTCGAGCTTGATGAATTTATATAGACGAGAACCTGCCAGGCCGCGGGCACGAAGGGATGGTATGGAAAGACTCTACACGTGTTGATCTATACAAGTCCATGCTGGGTATCTTGTATAATCGCTACGTGGATGTATACCTTATATATCTAGCCGAATATCCTTCTTTTTTTCGTTGCATCTTTCCAATATTGCAGTCACTGCTTCATCCTGCTTACTGCCGATCATCCTTATCCTCACATTTGGTAGACCCCATGTTGGCTGGAAAAGAGAGGCCCCTCGCTTCAACCACCATCACGACAACCCCCTCGCGGCACCTTCACTGTCACACCAGATGATTGCCGACTCAATTGGAGCCCAGCTTGTGGGAGGCGACGCACCGAAACTCCGAACCGCATGCGAGAATTGCAGACAATCCAAGGTCAAGTGCAATCTGTCCGGCAAGAACGTATGCACTCGCTGCCTCCGGAACGGGCTGCAATGTCAGTATGGATTCGCCAATCGCTCCGGCAAACCAAAAGGTAGTAAAAACCGAGCGACACTGAGGAAATTGGGTCAGTTACCGGAAGAAAAGTCGCCTGTTCGGGGATATCGTGGTAGTCAGCTGGGGCCTCCCAGTATAGATCGTGAGCCACTTGTGACCACGGGCTATTCAACGCATTTGAGTGAGCCGATTATCGATGACGATGTAGGTGATTATCTGTTATTCTCATCTGATGCATTCAAGCTAATTTCTCTGTCCCCGTTGGGACACAAAGGTCTGTTTGATTCAAGGCCCATCGAGTCTTTGGAACAGCCCGCGAGGTCTTAGCAATGTAGCATTGGATACACCCATATGTCCTCCACAAATGACAGCAATAGGTGGTTCACCCTTCGCGGACTTTGTGGACGCTTGCCCTCCCCTCTCTGTCGGTCTGGGGTACCCGCAAACTCCAGTGACACCCACGTTTCTCGCATCGGATCCACTGGGAGATGGTATGACAAGCCCGCCACTTAGCGGTTCCGTGTCTTCCCCTCATACAGGCCTAGCATCGTGCGAATGTGTGGATATGCAGTTGTTCCATATGAACCGGCTCAATCAACTACTCGTCGAGTCCCAGCCACTCCGCTTCGATCACAGCTTGCAGACAATGAAAGCAACCTTTTGTGCTGGACAAATCTTCTTACAGTGCAGGATATGCGCCAAGGATAGTTCCAATCTGCTGCTTCTTATTTCGGTACTGAACTTGACCCTGCAGCTGTTCGAGTATTGGATATCGCGGGAGATTTCTCGAGCTCCACAGGCAGATTACGGGGTTGATATCAGGTACGGATACTATGAGGTTTGCCACGAGGAAAATCACCAAATACGCACTTTCCTACTACGGGGACTACTCCTGCAGTGTAGAGAGTTGCTTTCCCTTCTCACAACGTCGGTCAATTCATCGTATCTGGACGCGGAGAGCTCGACTGTGGCAAAGGAGATTACTGGAGAGGCCGATCATCGGCCCTGGTCCTCTCCAGGCAGTCTCTTTACCCCTTTTCCCGACATCGACCCCGAGTTACTGAGTCAGAATGATTCTGAGAGCACTGGTCTGCTGCCCATCGTCGCGGGCTACAAAGCAACTGTAGATGCATTTCTTCGGTCCGTCTCGGCGAATGAATGCATTTGCGGATCCAAATATGCGGAGGAGTCTCTTTAAGTCTTGGATTTAAACATATTAGCATGAGCCGGTAGGCTTATGATGATTGGAATGATTTGTTTTTGCAATTTGTATTCTATGCCGGGGAGGGCCAGTTGCGGACGGAAAGTCAATTGAACCGTTTGATTCCCAGGAGCTCGACAGTACGCGCAGGTAGGCTAGTCAGACGAATTGAATGTTTAAGTATTCAAATAGCCTATATGATGCTCCTGCATAACCTTAGTATTACGTTGTTTTGCATAGTATGTTCAGTGTTACTGCCTATGTGTGTCCCATACTATCTCCGGCCTTAACCCCAACCCCACACTTTCGGTCCGCGGCGAGCCTCGGCATTTCTGGACCGAGTTAGCTCGCAACCTGCACTTTGACCACACTGTATAAGACCCCATCCGTCCTGTTTCCCCTCACGCCTGCCAAACCCACAGTTTAACAAAAAGTCAAGGCACTGCACAAAAAGGAAACCAGAGCAGAACAAGATACTACACAACCATGGCCCCCTCCGACCGTCTCAACCAGGTCAACAAGCACCTCAACTACCCGGCTGGCATGCTTGCCGGCCAAGTAGCCATCATCACCGGTGCGGGACAAGGCATCGGCGCCGAAGCGGCACGACTCTTTGCCAATGAAGGTGCCAAGGTGGTGGTTGCTGATATTGACAGCAGTACGTGTGACCCTGACTGACAACCGACACCGGTTGATGACTACCCTCCCCGCACAAGGCGAGACAAGCATCAGCGTTGGCTTGATGCTAGTGTATCCACCCTGGCATCTACATTCAAAGATGAGGGGGTTTGCGGCAATTTGAAAGGTCAAGTTCAGAGCTAATTCATCCACAGAGAAGGCGAGTGCCGTTGCTGACGCTATCAACGCCGCCGAGCCCGGGCGTGCGCTGGCCGTCGTCGGAGATATCACGGACGCGAGTTACGTCGAGACGCTGGTGAAGCGGACGGCCGAGTTTGGCGGTGGCAAGATTCACATCATCATTAATAATGCCGGGTTTACCTGGGATGGAGTGATTCACAAGGTTAGTTTCTGCCTCACTGGGGTATTGTACCAGGAAAGCCTGGCCTCCCAGTAACAAAATGGATTTGGCAAATGCTAGTATATACATGCATTGATATGCTGACTATTTCACTCCTCCCACCCACACAGATGACCGATAAGCAATGGGACACCATGTTGGCCGTGCACAACACCGCGCCATTCCGCCTCGTACGTACTGCAGCGCCGTACTTCCGCGTCAAGGACAAGGAGCCCCGAGTCATCATCAACATCAGCAGCACGAGCGGTATCCACGGCAATGCGTACGTACCACGTCCTACCTACCCTTCCCTAATCACCCTCACCTAATATCAATACTAACACCGTTCCTTCCTACAGCGGCCAAGCCAACTACGCCGTGGCCAAAGCCGGCGTCGTCGGTCTGACCCGCACCATCGCCAAAGAATGGGGTCCGGCCTTTGGCGTCCGCTCTAACACTATTGCCTTCGGTTTCGTGACTACCCGTCTGACAGCTGCCAAGGAGGCCGGGGCGTTTATCACCGCCCCTGATGGTACTAAGGTTGCGCTGGGAATTCCGGGCAAGCAGTTGGATTCGAGGAAGGGTGATGATGCTGCTGCAGCGTACCCGGATATCCCGCTGCGCCGGCCTGCGAGTCCCGAGGAGGCGGCGAGGGCGGTGTTGGGTGTTGCTAGTCCATATTTCTCGTATGTTAATGGCGAGACTATTCGTGTTACTGGTGGGAGGAACATGTAAATATGATAATTGGGGTGGTGGAAATGGAAGGGATGTAGGTGATGTTGGCTGTGTATGTACTGTAGCCTGTGGGAGGGCGATGAATTATTTTATTGGTGGGTTTAGGTCAATTATACCACGCCATCTTAAAGCTACAACGGAAAAAGTTACAGGGTCTCCTCCATTCTACATCTAGAAAAGCTTGCCTGGCACAACGTGGAATTCTTATTCAGGTTCAACGGTCATACCTACTTAAGCTATTGAACTACCCAATGTCCTTGTGTACTTCTTTACTTATGTTTCAACGTCAGCTTTCATCACACATACAGTTCCACGCAACGAAGCTCGCCAAGCTCACGTCCTGGTATAGACACAAATCTGCCACAGCACCAGACCTATTTAGCTAATGCAGGTGGCTAGCGTTCGCAAGGTCTCACAGAGTCCAACGATAATAGCAACGGTAGCTGTAACGGTCTGACGGTGACACGAGTGCCATCTGGAAATCTGAAGCTTGCCTCGATTCGAGGAGAGTAGGGTCACGAGACGTGCCGCAGGTTTGGGGTAGTGCTCGTCGGGTTCGCCGCTCTCCTCGAGGTGTGGCATACAGGGATCTTGGAGGGACTGTAGGACAGGCGCAACGTTGCACCGAAGGGTAGAAGTAAGACTGGGAGAGATTGTCGCATCATATCAGGTAAGGTATCGGAGGATGGTTATATGGTGGGTATTAGTGAGATAGTGAATTTGATAGGTATTCGAACAATAGATGAGATGCATTTGTTTGTTCACTTCGCTTCATAGAGTCTTCGAGGTATCATATCATAAATAGTAAACAAAATCCCAATCCCAATATATCGCATCCAGATCCGAATCCGAATCCAAACCAGCCATGCCGCGAAAACAAAAGTCTATGCATATGCGAATCCAAGACACACAGAAAAGCCGAGAAGATCATATCTGATCACCACCCATGAAATCGTAGACAGAAAAAGACGAAAAAAGTATGAACGGCGGGAAAGACAGCCCGTTTCAGACGAGGTGCAGAAAGCGAAATAGCCAACGCCTGAACAGCCTGTGCACAAGGTCAAATTTCCAATTCCAGAAAGAGATGTCGACAACAGCCCAACCCAAGGGTTCTGTCTGTCTTCTTTCACACGAGTCTCCCAATATATTATGCCAATATGTGTCAAGTGAAAAAAAGGGTCAATCGAAACAACCATCCGGCCAATAACTGGCAAATATTAAAACAGTAGAAAGGGAAAAAAAAACTCCATCCTGTCCTGTCCGGCGGGGACAGGACAGGATAATTGCCAGCGGTGTGGGATCCAGTCAAAAAGTCACACGGTCACTGGGCCAAGTCGTTGGGTATAATCCAGGGGGGCAAGAGAAACGGTAAATATGTCCAGGTAATTAAAAAGGGTCATAAGGAATAGGAGCTGGTGGCCGAGACTCCAAATGGGAATGGGGATTGATCATCCTCGGCAAGCACACTTTTTTTTTGTTGCGCGGCAGCTTTTGAAGATGGAACAATCCAAATAGAAGAGCGAAGCAACCGAGATGCTTCGAATATAACTCCAGACGCACAGGAAAATCAAATCCGGGGAATAGGGGTGGGGCGAAGGCGTGAGATCGTGAAGCTGCGTTAAAAGGGAATTGTAGGGAGTCCAAGAGAAAAAGTCGTACAGTAGTGTTGAGGTGGCCCTCCAGCCGTTCAGCAAACCTGGATTGGGGCGCCAGCAGCGAAGACATCCACGGGAACGGGGTGCTCCACGCAGATGGGATGAGGGAAGACAACCTTGCAGTCGGGTACTTGCACCTGCTCCGAGGAAACTGGCGACATACAATTGTAGTCGGAGTAATCAGAGTAGTCCTCGGTGAGGGCAGACGTGTCGGAAACTGCAGACTCGGAAAAGTCCGAGTAGTGCGAGGAATCCGAGGACGATCCGGAAGGTTGGGCATGCATAGGAAGCTGCTGGTGATCCAGATCCACGGGCATAGTGAACGGAACCTGAGAATAGGGAATAGGGCCTTGAAGACGGTCCCAGGCAGTGGGGACCTGGACCTGGGGTTGCAGAACCTGGACTGGGGACGGTTGAGCTGGGGCCGGGGCTGTAGTCATAACTGAGTCGGTGAACCGGGGGCAGTCCACGATCAGCTGTCGCAGTTCCGGGATGGTGATCCTCTTGGCTGGGTCGCGCTCAAAGACACGGCTCAGAATGTAGACCATCTCCGTGGACAGGGGCAAGATGGACTTGAGGAAGAATGGATCCTTGAGGTAGGCCCGGAAAGTGGAATCCTCGAGCGAGGCGCGCTTCCAGGGGTTGCGACCACAAGTCAGGTTGACCAGCATCACACCAAGACTCCAGACGTCATTGGCGGCCGAGGCGTAGCAGGACAAGGGGCGGGGGTGGGATTGTTGACATTCTGTGATGTTACGGGTATATTAGGATGACCGTTTCAGATGAGAAGGGGGGGGGGGGGGGGGGGGGGGGGAACGAGAAGACGAAGAGAGAGAACAAGAGACGTCAAAAGGGTGCTTCAGGAAAGCAACCCTAATGGCGGGGCTCAAAAACAAAAAAAAAAAAAAAGGATCCCAAGACACGGCATCAAGTGTCAAGGGTCAAGACACACTTACCAGGCGACATGTAGAAAGTGGAACCGCAACCAAAGTCCGAGGTGAAGTAATCCTCGGTCGCGAGGCCAAAGTCGGCGAGCTTGACCGTCATGCCCTGGTCGGTCACCAGAACGTTCTCCGGCTTCAGATCCCGGTGGTAAATCCCCATGGAATGGCAGAACTGTACGGCATCCAGGAGTTGGAGGAACACACGCTTGACCAAGGGGTCATTCCCGACAAAGTGGCCCTTGTCGGTGATGCTGGAGAACAAGTCGCCCTCGGGGCAAAACTCCATCACGACGTAGGTACAGTCCACGGAATCCATGATGCGAACAAGGGAGACCACATTGGGATGTTGGCTGGCCTGGTGGTGGAGACGAATTTCGCGCTGTTGATATTTGAGTTGTCGGGGATCCAGCCCAGACTTGTTGAGGGCCTTGACGGCATATTGGATATGCGTGTGGATGTCCAAGGCAGTATATACAACTCCATAGGCACCGACACCGAGGATCCCAGTGAGTTCCAGCCGGTTGGCCAAGATGAATCCTAATCGGTCCTCGGGAGCATAGCAGCGGGGGACGGGCGAGAGGGGAGGCGTTGGTAGTTCGGTCGGATACATATTCTGAATTGTGTATCTATCCGGAGGATCGTCCCAACGTGGTATGTCCAAGGGGGAAACAAGGGAGGGTAGAAGGGAAGGGGAGAAGAGTAGATATAGTCGAACAGGGAAGATCCAAAATAATGGTTTACTCCTGGGGATGAGAGTTCAGGTTTGATCTTCCGGGATAGATGGTCGAGTGGCAAGTGTTGACAAAACAACGGGTCGTGTCCAAGGGATCGAGGTCCAAGGTAAACCAGTGGCAATAGCAATAAATCGGAGTCCAGGGATTGTGGTATCTTTTTGGGTTGGCAAGTTTGGGGGGTTCCAAAATACTCCAGAGAGTTCACAGGTTGAAATCCATTCCCGGGAGAGTGATGGTCCAAGATGGGAAGGCCGATAGGAATAGTCCAGAGAGTGGGAGCAACGAAGAATAAATAAAATAAAAAAATAACAATAAGGTAGATCAACCGGAAGGTATCACACCAAGATTGCTAGTCAACGGGTGAGATCAAAAGGAAGGAGAGAGAGAGGGAGCGAGAAAAGAGGGAGAGATGTATAGAAGAGGAAGAAGGAGGGAGGAAGTAGAAAAGAAAGGATAGAGGAAGTCGAGAAGTCGAGGATAAGGAGGAGGAGATGCAGCGGGTATGATGGTTTGATTGTTTATGGGGCGGGCGAAGGCAACGGGAGGAGGAGGAGGAGGCCAGGAGAGGGGCGTTGATAAAAATAAGATCGATGATGTGGATGAGTGCGTGGAGATATCCAGTATATACTTACTGGAGGAGTACGGTAGTACTGTCTCCGTAGTCCTGGACGACTGGACGACTGGACGACTGGACAAGGACTCCGTCCACTAGGCTGACTTGGGCTGACTGCCTCCACATGGCCTGCCCTTCGAACGTTGTCCTCTTGTCGATACTTGGAAGAGTACTGGATGTACCACCAACTCGAGAGTCAACTGGATGTACTCCGTACCTAGTGTCCGTACTGTTGGCGACTGTTGGCTTCGGTTGGCGGTGTGCAGTGACTAACTTTCCAACCTTCCCACTCACGCTCCTTTTCCTCGGTCAACACCAATCCCCAACGGGCCTGGCGCAGGTCGTGCAGACGCCACCTGCCGGTGGTGATTGGGTGGGCCTGGGGGCAGTCGCACATAACGATCGACTGGCACAGACTGGGCCACTGGGGCCTTTGCCTCGCCCCCTATTTTGGGGGAGTTTTGGCCTGAGAAGACGGTACAAGTCCAACCATGATTGGCAGTGGTAATAGGCAGAATCCTGATCAACGCCAGCGCTTAACACCACAGCCACCCTGCACTTTCTCATCCACTTTCCATCGCTCATTCTCATCATCGTCCACTAGTCTCTCCAGTCTGTTTCTTGACTCCTTCCAGTTTGTGTACTCAACCCCAGTCAGTCTGTCTACTAGCCTCCCTCCCTCAAACTCTCTCAATGGGCTCGATCCTCGTCCCCCCTGGTCGAGTTCCCGCCACCACACTGGATTCATCATGCTCCCCCTTCTCAAGAGTCCAGTCGACCTCATCGGGGCTCCATCTGGGTTCCATCTGGCCCATCTAAACCCATCTGGGTTCCATCTTGGTCCGTGTCCCACCGCCATCCACGCTTTCCACGGCCCACACCTTCCCAGCCCCGCAGGGTGCGTGGTGAGTGGATCATCTTAGCGGCCGTGGAATGAGGCGACCGTGTCTGGTTTGACTGCTGCTCGCCTGCTGCGTGCTCCAAAAGCTAAAACTTCCCAACAGCCTGTCCTTCTGTGCCCCGTTTCATCCATGGGTACTAACCAGAGAGAGACTCGCGTTTGTTTGCGGTCGCAGCTGGATCTACACAGTATTTTTGCGTGGACTATGTACTCTGTTGATTCGGATGAGCTAATACTCCACAAGAGTCTAGAGTCTCGATTCTCTCGATGAGAAGGCCGCTTGTCAAACGGGCTTCGGCTCTTTCTACTCATAAGTTCCAGACTATTGGCATGTTCTTACTACTCTGCCCCCACAAAACACAAGTCCGCAGCAACACAGTCACAGAGAGCCCCAAAGGCGACTCGGCGGGAGCCAACGTCCAAAACAACCATCGGTCTACCGGGATTCGGTCAGTGGCCAGCCCCCCAGAAGTGAGGCAATGAGGACAGACCTCTTCGGGACCAACCAAATGGCTGGGGGAGAGTTCGTTTTCGAGAACGAGTGGATCTTCCCGGATCCGCACGGGCCCAGGACCCTGGCAGGTGAGCTGTCGCTCATTGGGGAGTTCCAAAGGGGTGCACGGTGCACTGCCTACTGCCCTTCCGAGTCGCAACTTGAGTCGCAGACTCGTTGCACAACCAGACTGGCGCTTACCGGATCACCTGGATCCTGGTGGCGGTCGTGACCAAGCCCTTGGCCACTTGGCCTGCTGGTGCTGGATGAGCTGGCGGGAAGAGTCCCCCCTGTCTGCACTGGTGACTGCACCCTCCAGTCCTCAGTAACTAGTTCCACGTCTGCTGAGTCCCGCCCCTTTCTCTCTCTGTCATGACTATGGCAGATCCCCCCACACCCACCACTCAGTGCCAGTCCCCTTCCACCCCCCCTGTCAAGGCCAGTCAAGGTCCGCCTCTCACGAGCGGTGAGAATCACCTGACCGGTTCGGCGATGCATCACATCCATCGACGGAATAGTCTGCTGTACCCCAGGATTGCCATTGGAGCTGAACTCACCCTGTCCTCCGAGTAGTCGTAGCAAGGAGTCGAGCTTGCTTTTTTGGCGCGCCTTCACCGCTACCTGCGACTCGCCAGCGAATGTTACCAGTACATTTTTACGGTGACTGACTGGCATGGTCCTACATAGTTGGATCCATAATCCTTCATAGTCGATGCATAGTCGCTGCAATTAAATTGATGATTGTCCAGAGGATGGATTGTGTCGACCAACATGGCGTGGAGTACTCCGTACCAAAGTATACATTGTTAGCGCAGCGACTGATATACTCTAACCTCTAACATCTCCTCACCTCCCCCAATGCGGACAACGGTATTGGTGCGTCCGAAAACAAATAATGCGATCCATCCATCCATCCACTGCTTCCTCCATTCCCATCTCTCCATGATCTCCCCGGCCTGCAGGTGGCGGAATGCCAGTCGCAGGGGGGAAGAGTATACTGTACCTACAACCCATGAAGGCTGGGTCTCCAACTCACGAAAACACTAAAACCCCCAAGACCCACAAAATAAACACACCTCGACATCATCATCGAGGGCCAAGCAACCATCACATCACGACTCTTGCCAGCTATCCCGATTCGGATAACTTTGCCACCCGCCAACCAGTGGCGAACGGGAAAACCTTTCAACTTAAGGCTCTTCTCCTCTTTGTTCCTCGGGTTCCAGGGGCTACTGTAGACTCGATACGGGTATCCATTGAATATGCTTTTGTGATATAATGATACTCGAGGATCGGGGGGAAGGGGGGATTACCATACAACGGAGGAAGATAGATGATCACGGGGCGATGTGAGATCGACGTTTTCCAGAAGACTCCATTCCGCATCGTGATGCCCAATTGCCTCTCTCTTAACCTATACTACATTATTAATCACTACCGAGTACTACAGAGTTTATTTTCTTCTGCATACCCAAAGTATCTTTACTAGCACCTCAGCTTCAATAGGCCTACCATACTTCGTCTGTCTATACAGTAGTTTTGCCCCACACTATGTAGAAATGCAAGTACCTCCCATCACATCACACTCCCGAAATATATCCAGTACAATAGCACAATGAATCATGCAACCAGGTAATAAAACCCCACCTCCACACGTCCACCTCGCATCCACCCAACCGGCTCTCTCGGCAGGGCCCATCCATCGTATCCACTCTTCTTTTCTTTGTCTGCTTCGCCGCCTCGTATCGCCATCCGTCTCAGGCCACCCAACCCAGCGAAAACGGTGAGTGGCCAGCGGCCACGCAATTCTCTCTATATCCCTCCCTCCCCCGGGCCAATCGGCTGTTATCCACGACTGGAAATCCCCCAAGCGATGGCGCTTCGAGCAGTGCGCAGTGCGCACGCAGGACATCATTATTCTTTGTTCAGACGGGCTGACCCTGCCATGGCCCATGGCCAGCCCACGGCCCGATTGGAGTCGCAAGGCATGGAGTGGAGTACATCTACACGCAGTCATCCTATTTGTCCGCCCTCCTCGTTATCCTCTAGCCTGGGACAGTGTTCAATAGGGTACCAGGAAAGACGTGCAGGTCAAAACCTGAATAAATCCCAGCCTCCAAGCCTCTCCTGTTTCACTTAAACCTCAAATCTACAGTGAGACCTCCACCCATCAAAAGCTATCCAACTACAGTGCAGTCCTCCGTACGTTGCACGGCCAACGCCAGCCGATAGAGAGTTTAAGTGATGGATGGCGCAGACCCACGCGAGAAACAAACCAGGCGCCCGTTGCCAATGCCCATTGAGTCCGACGCTTTTTGTGATGGGTCAACCCCTCATCTCATTATCTTGCTAACCTTCTTCCGTTCGGGAAGTCTTTATCCAGGGCCAATGGAGCCTATTAACGACGATTATCTCCGGAAACGGACCCAGTCGATCGGCGCGACGGTTGCGGTTCCATGGCTCGTTGATGTCAGATGTGCTGATCTAGAACATTGTCGGGTCCGACGACCTTGCCTCCTTCGTAGCTGGTGCAATGCAAATGCTATGCTTCCACTGGGACAGAGCACTATTATGCTTTCCGATCTTCTCTTCATTAGTTACCTCTTGCCTTTCTCGGAAATAATATCTCCGCACTCGATTCCTTCGTCGAAAACTCTCCTGTAGCTGGAGTTGGTTGCTGGGCGGACGGCTGACGGCTGAAACAGGATCTTGCGGGCTTGGAAGGGTTGTTAACTTTCGTCTCTATGTAGGAACTAAGCTAGGATCCTGCCCTTGGTTGTGGTTGAGATGTTCACGAAGGGGGTCCGGATGTAGCTAGCTGCTCGTACTTTCATCAGCCCGAGTCTGAGAGTCGTTAGACTTGGTCTTACGTTGATGTGCACATGGTAGCTTAGACTATTGTTATGCTGCGGCATTGAAAAAGATCGTCTTACAGTAGCGCTGATGGTATGTAGGCTCGGCTATGTACAAGCCAATCCCAACGAATTCACCCAGGTTTTAATTCGTTGCAGCGGGGTAGCGCTGATTTGATTGCGCCACTTACATATACGGAAGAGGGGCAAGGGGCTGTGAAGGCTGATAGGTCTGAGGCATAGTGCTATTGTTGATATATTATTGGTATGGGTTGGCTTTGCCCGGCTATAATTGCTCGCTGGGGTTGCCACGAGCATCCAGAAAGTTAGCGATGTTGTTTATCATTCATCTCAGTAGGCGAGTGTAAAAGGTTTCTGATATATGTGGCGAGGAGGAGGAGGAAGGGTTGCGGTTTGGGTTGACCAATGGTAAGAGGAGATAGTTGTTGACATAGTGTAGCTTGGCTCTATGTAGAGGGGCATCTTCTTGGATCACTAAGTCATGATGAGGATAAACATTTATCTTCGTTGGAGATTGTTACGTTTCTCGAATTCGTTTTCAGACCGAGGCTTATAGTGGGTTTCTTAGAGGGTTTTCCATCGCACCTCTAGGTTATTCTGAACATTCTGGCTGACTGGAAAAGAAATGGCATGCTGACAATAAACAAACGCTATATGAACGTCAACCATGTGAAGATAATGAATTGAACTAAACTAAAATCTCTAGGATATAGACATGAGGATGATAATTCCGTATTCTGGGTAAAAACGCCGTCGTAAAGGTCATCTCGCAACACCTATTTTCGGTTCAAAAAGGGATGCTTCAGCGCCTCAGCAGGTGTGCAGCGCTTCTCAGGATTGAGAGCCAAGCAACGCTCAAGGAAGTCCACGAATAGCGTCAAGTCTTTCGCATCAGTATCCGACATACCCCTGGTTCCCTTGCCCATCAAGCGCGTCTTGAGATCACGAGTCGGCTTCTTAAAATCCATCACTCGGGTCACCGGACGGCCAGTGAGCTTGTCTTCTTCGGCGCTGTGGAAGTTGAGCATATCGTCGAAGTGTAGATGGGCCAGAGAACCACGGCGGAGGAGCTTGGGAGGGTATTTGCCGCGGCACTCCATGATGGACTTGAGCATTTGGTTGTTGTTGCGGCCTGTGAAGAGAATCTTGCCGGTGTACAGCTCAAAGAGGGTGCAGCCGATAGACCACACGTCAATCGCGTAGTCATAAGGAATACCCAGGATAATTTCCGGGGCACGGTAGAAACGGCTGACAAGGTACGGTGTAATCTCGTTTTCCGATGCTGGAGACGCAGAACCCAAGTCACAGACCTTTAGAATATTGCGTTGCTCGTTGACGAGAAGATTGTCAGGTTTGAGATCTGCATGCAAGATGTTACACTTGCGAAGCAGACTCAGACCCAAAAAGATTTGTTGCGCATAGGCACGGATGGCTCGGAGATTCAGCCCAACGTCACGACCGAACTTCTTGAGCACCTCACGCAAATTCATGCTCAGGTTTTCGAAGACCATGCACAGATGACCTTTGTGCTCGAAATAGCGTACGAATTTGATGACGTGCTTCTTATCCTCGGGATCAGCCTCGTGCAGCTGCTCCAAGATCCCAATCTCTTTCATGCCCGCCTTGCGCATGGTATCATTTTGACGGATAATCTTGATGGCCACCAAAGTCCCGGTAACCGAATCGCTGGCTCGGACGACCGAGGAGAACATTCCCTTGCCAAGATTTTGCTGGACATGGTAGCGGCCGTTGATCAACTCACCGAGTCGCACGTTATAGTAACCTTCTGGGTCATCCCAGTTGTCCATCATGCTGATGTCCAGCTCTTGAGGTTGCGGCACAGCCGTTGCCGAGGCATGCGCGGGCTGTTCGTCCTTGGTATCCTCAGCAAACATGTCATCGTCATCCTCAGCGAACATATCGTAAGGGTCTTTCTCTTTAAGGGGTGGAGGTGGCTGCTCAGCGGGGGTGTCAGGGAGAAGAATATCCTGCCTGGTCGTTTGTGTTTCGTCATATGCGGCGGATGAAACATCCCCGTTTGTGGTTTGTGCACCATCAAGCTTTTGTCTCTCTTCCTTTGTATCGAGCATCGGGTCATAATCTGCGGCAGAGGGTTCATCCTTCTCCGTTTCGTCCGCGGGAGCATTCGAATTGGCCAAATCCGCATCTTTGCCGATCGTGAAATCAGAGAAGGCGTCACCAATCTGCTCACTTGGCGTGTGTACGGGCGAGATTTTCGGAGATTCTGTCGAGGCAAATTGACACACATTAGCACATTGCGCGTAATTTTGTCTTGGGGCGTAAGACCTACCGGACATATCTTGGGCACTTGTAGGCTCAGTACTAGGTGTCGATGAATCTGTCTCACCGTCGGGGACCTGCAAAGCCTTGAGGTGCATGGGAGTCGCCTGACTTCGATACTTCGCTTTGATTGCCTCACGCCGCTTGCGACGAGCCTCCAAAGCAGCAGCTTCGTCCATCGGTTCGGGTGGCTGCGACTCCTCCTCTGGTTCTGACATGGGAGTATCGGCCCTGGAAAAAGCCATTAGCATTTGAATCAAGAGCACTGGATGGAAAGCTTCAGACATACTCATCGGAAAAGCGGGCACGTTTCGGGAGAGCCTGCTGCATCTGATTCTTTTGTGTTTCAGCACCAAGCTTAGGGTCCCGAGCGCTAGCTGGGGTCTTTCCTCGTTCGCTCACTACCTGTTCAGCAGAGGATACGCGCCTAGTGCCCGTCGGGGGCCTGGTACCATCCACACTCGGGTTCGAGTCATCGTACTGCTTCGGCTTTCTGACTTCGCGGTAGGGGGAGCGGCTATGAGTACGTGGCCGCTTGTCTCTGCGTCGGTCGTAGCCATCGGTATACTGCAGACCACCGCCGTAGCTCTCCTCGCGGTCATAGTCGTAGTACGATTTTTGGCGGCGGGAGGGGGCATTTCGATCATACGGTCTGTCGTCGTATCTCGAACCGAAACGTCGCGGCGGCTCCTGCCGCGCATGCCGGGCCTCGTGCCCATCATACTCATCGTCACGTCTGCGCTTGTAGCCTCTGTTGTCACGATATGGTGAGCGCGAGCGGGATCGGGATCTCGTCCATGACCTGTGTCGGCGTGGCGATCTGCTGCCTCTCAGGGACGTGGGAGATCTGAGTGCAGAGGAAGTACTATCTCTGGGGGGACGGTCAACGCTGGTGCCATTAAGAGGAGGTTTTGACGCAGTTGCCTTCATCTCTGAGCCTGATTCGATGATCTCACCCTCAGAAGGGGTCGACAGGGACCTCGAGCGATTACGGGACGCCATACTTCCGACCGTCACGTTGTCAAAATTCGAATATCACCGCCTTGTGAAACTGGTATCTTTTTGATTCCCTTTTTATCTTCCTCCTGTTGCAATTTGTATACCTTTCTTCAATCGGCCTTTGGAGGAGGCTTCAATGAGAAAGTCTCAGTTAGCTCGAGCTTCAGAGAACAAAAAACGAATCTTCGGGGATGTTTGAAAGTCCAACCGGCTTGAGAGGCCTGCCTTCACACCAAAGCCTTGCAGCAGAGATTATCCAAGGCACATAATTTGGCCAGAGGCAAGATCTTGAATGGGTAGATGAGCGCAATGATAAAGCAGTGTAGGCTCCGGGTAGAAGGGAAGGAAAGAAAGCAGTGGTGATCGGACGTCGCACCTGCTGGCTGAGCCCCGATAGGCAGATTCTGCGCCATACCTCCTACGGCAGGCGGTGAAAACCCCCCTCTGATAAGCCACTCCTGGGATCTTCAGTTTTTTCCATTTTGCCATCGAAGTCAAGTCTTCTCGAGCTTCTCATTTCTCCTTCATCTTTCGATCAATCCTTTCCCTTATCTTTGAACTCTAGTCAAAATGGGTGGCGCAAGCAGAGAAGGTTCGCAGCACCCCTCAGAGCTTCTTCAAGTACCCCGCTGACTGTATCCATAGGCGGCAAGGCCAAGCCCCTCAAGGCTGCCAAGAAGGAGAAGAAGGACCTGGATGAGGATGAGCTCGCCTTCAAGGAGAAGCAGAGAGCTGGTGAGTATTATACGCCGTCAAAAAAAGAGTCACTTCATTCTAACCCGCATTTCATCGCAGATGCTGCCGCCAAGAAGGCTCTCCTTGAATCCACCAAGGGCAAGAAGGGTCCCCTCAACACCGGCCAGCAGGGCATCAAAAAGTCTGGCAAGAAATAAGGGATTGTCCTGGGACGATGAATAAGCGCCTTGCCTCTATATATATTTCGACTCTCCAGTCCACCTTTCACGAACCAAACGAGCCATGTCCCAATGACAGTAGAAAACGGCTGGCATTCTCCACATTAGCAAATACATACCACTACTGCGCTTTTGATATATCTCCTGCATATATTTGAGTAACTCAGTCTTTAATACTCTGTTCCAACATTTATACCATACTCAGGCCTTGCCTAAATCTTTGTCACTTGGACTCTCCGGCGGCTAAGCCCGCCCAGCTAGTTGGATCATGCGGTGGTTTTAACACTTCCGTATCGCACTCAAGGAACTACTTGACAGATGTCTAGGGAGGCATATGAGGATGTTTGTTTCAAGAAGTCTTGTTTTGAAAGCACATCGTTCGACCAATCAATCATAATCAAACACAGAATCCCCAAAAGAAAGGGAGGGTATCGTTGGCATCCTCGCCCAGCGTGGGAAATCAGAACGCTTCAAAAACGCCAGGGTCAAATCAAGCATAATATCAAGGAAACCAACCCAAGTATCCAAATCAGAACAAGAGAGAACCTCCTTTTCTCAAATCGACCACTTCAACTCGTGACGCGCTTGACCCACAGGTTACTACCATCGCCAAGATTCTCCCTTTCATCCAACCGTCTCCACGCGCGACTAACCTTCAACCCCAGCTCATGCTCTTCTCGCTTGATCTCCGCAATTTCATTCTCGATACTCTGCACACTGCGCTTGACCTCTGCTTTCGCAGCGAGATCATACGCGATAGACCCGGGCTGAATCACGCGCGTCAACTCGTGGATCACGGTCTCCAGGTTGAATCTGCGTTTCGCGAGCTCGTCGCGTCGGGCCTCTAGGGCCGCGATGCGACCTACCGTGTCCTTGGGCGCGTCGTCGGACTGGGTTGCCAATGTTGGCTCTTGAGCGGCCTCCGAGGGAGTGGGCTTTCTTACTGGCTTCTTGGAGGTGGGCATGGAAATGGGAACCGGGCGCCGGCGCGACATGATAGAACCCCGGAGGTCCTCTGTAGACTTCGATCCAAGGGTTAGACTTGCGCGTGGGCTGTTGTTTGGACTTCTATTGGCACTGTCGGTACCGATAGCGGTATGAGTCGCGCCCGAACGGCTTGGAGGCTGTTCAGACCGCACCATGTTGTCTATTGCTGCGTCGAGGTTTGTATTCGATGCCTCTCGCCGAGGGGTCTTGTAGACATGCTCGGTAGCCGGTCTCTCTGGCGACGGTTTCCTGCCGCCGCCGGTAATTGTCGTCACGACCGTAGGGGCAAAGCCCAAATTAGGAAGTTTGGGTTGGGAAATCGCGTCTTTACTGACGGAATGCTCTGTGAACGGCAACACACGTGACGACGATCGATTGCCGGTTTCTGGTGCGGGGTTTTCCTGCTTGGAGAGAATAGGGATCCGGCTCCGTGCCTGTTCAAGTTTCTTCCTGGGCTGCAATTGCTCGCGACCCCAGTGTAGGAGGTTGGTAGCGTGCGATCCGGACGATTTATGGAAGGCTGTTTTTCGCGGCTCTACTTGGACCGCTTGTCCGGCAGTGTTCTTTGTTGGCTCGCCCGAGTATGCATCCCAGCGAGTTGGTTGTTCGTTGCTACTTAGCGTGAACTTGATGGTTTTCGGTGCCGACTGCGAGGGGTCGGGCGGCGATGGCTCAGGATTACCCGCGCGAGATGGGACAGGAGCCGCGACTCCATATCCCCAAGAGCCCATTCGCTCGTGGCGGAACCCTCGATCAGCCTCGCTCTCTTCGATGGGCGAGACGCAGAAGCTGCTTCCACTATCACGTACTCGAGGCCCCAGTTCGGGTGAAACGGCTGGAGATAGATCTGGATATTGTTTGTTCTCATAGCTGGTGCCCGGAGGAGGTAGAGGCTTGGTAGATTGGGCAACTTGAGGACCTTTCACTGAAATTGTTGAATCGCTGTAAGTGCATTAGAATCTTGATACAACGAATGAAATGTTTGGGGCCCATACTATGGCAGCGCAGGCAAGTCCTTGGCATATCCTGCGCGCGCGGGATCCGGAGAGACCAGGCTCTCTGACGTTTCAATCGCGAATGTGGGGTTGCCAATCGGGCGACGCGATTTGAAGGGTCCTTTTAACCACATCTTGATATGAGAAAGTATTGCGGTTTGTTCGATAAAAGAAGTTTCTGATCAGCGATGCGATCGAAGGGCGCTTAATCTCCTTGCGTTGCGCTGTGGTGAGAAGAAATTCAAGGAGAGAGACACTAGTGGGCGAGCAGGCCAGATAGCTCCGACAGAGCCGGTGCAAGAATCCAGAGGCAATAGGCAATAGGTATGTAATGAAGAAGCCGAATGATCCGACTGTTTTCCACGGAAACAAAGCTGGCGGGGCAGCACACGTCAGGCGTCAGAGGTTAGCTGGAGGCTAAGGGATGCGTTGGAGAAGACAACAGAGTGATAGAAGAATGCTGCCTGCGATGCCAGCATGGCATCAACAGGATTCCCGAAGGATTCCCGAAGCGGGCAGGGGACAAATTAAATTGGGGGCGATGATCAAGTGGCGTGGCTTTGAATGGAACTTTCAGGACCTGAAGGGACTGGGCTCCGTGGGCTGTGTTTTTGGGAAGGGGGGAAAGGGAAATCGAGCCAGTTTCATGTTGTCGCTTGGGGCCTTCTCGTATAATGAAAGGGGAGATGCCACCTTAAGCAGGGGGTTAATGATGTCCCTTCTGGTTTCAAGCTAGACTCCATTTTTAAGTTTATTTTTAGGTCTAGCTCTGAATGTTATTTTGGCAGCCTGTCTCCCGTCAAGAAAGTATGCAAAACTGCAGTAGCGAATGACGAAAGAGAAAACAAACTAGTGTAAAGGGTAGCCATCACGTGCAGCGGGGGGAAGCATCGATGTCATTCTTCTCCGCAGCCTCCGGACTCCAATCCACTTCGTCCATCCGAGAAGCATCCCGGAACATTCCCTTCGTCCTTTCCACGCGTCCGATATCTCCTACTCCGTACACGTCCCAACATGGCTGCTGCCGGTGAGTCAGATGCCCAATCTCCATGGTTGAACCCTGCTAACTTCATATTCAAGAGGGCTCCGCGCCACAAGCTGAGGTGTTCGTATACCCGCGCTCCATTACCACCACCAGCCAAACTAACCCACCAGCTAGGATGTCAATCGCCTCACCCATCAACCTCGTCCTTCTCTCCCTCTTCGTCGTGCTGCTCTACTTCCACTTCCGCCCGAAACAGCCCGTCACACTCCCGCGGGGCCCGCCCCCAGTCGTATTCCGCACCTACACCCCCAAGACACTAATCGAGTTCAACGGCGAGGACGGCCGACCTGTCTTTCTGGCCGTGCGGGGCCGAGTCTTCGATGTCTCCCCGGGTAGGAACTTTTACGGTCCGGTATGTGGATAGCAATGCAATGGGTCGTCGAGGATGTTTCGAGAATATGCTTAGCTGATGACGCGATAGGGCGGTCCATACGAGAACTTTGCTGGTCGTGATGCCTCGCGTGGTCTGGCACACCAGAGCTTCGACGAGGAGATGCTGACCAAGGACCTCTCGGGTCCATTGGATGACCTGAAGGATCTGGATGCCGACCAGCTGGAGAACTTGCAGTCGTGGGAGGAGCGCTTCTCCGAGAAGTACCTGGTGGTTGGCAAGTTGGTTGCCGAGGGAGATCCTGAAGCTCCCAAGTCATGATTGTCTTTCGGTATATCGTCAGATGGTCACGAGGATAAGGATATGCCCACCAAAAAATGATGGAATCGGCTCTTTGAGCGGACGATTCCGCTTTGCATAAAACCAGCCTTAGGCCGTCTCGAGGGCTTGGGTTTAAGTCGGATATACTTTCGGATCATTTCAATGCATTTCTATTTCCAGCATTGGTTTGAAACTATTCTACCGGGTTATAGAACGTATAACTAAATACCAATCCAGGGCATTTCATTTTAAGCAACTACTATTGACACAGCATGAAAGAAGAAAAGCTAAAGCCCCCGAACAATAACGTCTCCATTTAAACCCCCCAAAATCAAGAAGTCGTAGGCATCGTATTCAGAGCGTGATGATGGCGGAACGGAATCCCGATCACCTTTTGAACGCGCTCAATTCAGAAACGGGAGGACATGGTGTTTACAGCTCACTCCGAATCTTCTCAGTCTGCTCAGCGGCCTGTTCACGGACCTTCTCAGCGGCCTCCTGGCCCTGAGCGCGGCCGCTCGCCGCGCCTACCTTGAGTTTCTCAAGAGCCCAGTTCAAAGTATCCATTACCTTGGCGTATATGGTCTCTTGTGGGTTACTGGTGCCGAACCGGAAGTAGGTCGCCTGACGACGAGCAGCAGCACGAAGCTCGTCGATGCTAGATCCCTGGTAGACAGGGATGCCGTACGAGTCGAGGTACTTCTTGAGGTCGGATTGCGACCAGTTGTCGAAGGTAGCCTGCTTAGCAGAGCCAGTGGCCTGGGCGAGATTCTTGGTAGCAGAGGCGTAGTGCTCGCCGCCAGCCTTCGAGGCCTTCAGGTAAGCATCCTTGGCGTGCTTGGTGAGCTCTTCGCGGGAAGCATCAGCCTTCTTTGCGGCCTTGGAGTTCATGGCAGAGAGGTATTTCCTGAATCTCACTGTTAGGTCAAGCTTCTCATGAAATTTGTATTCTCCAACTTACAAAAGATGCTCCTTGTCCCAGGTATCAAAGTTGTACTCATTCCATCCACCAGCAGCCCTGTGTGCATTGGCGCGAACCTTGGCGATAAGCTCATCACGCTTTCCGTACTGAGGAACGGGAACACCGCGAGCATCGAGGAAGGCCTTCAGGCGCGAGTCAGACCAAGTCTTGATAGCTGCGTCGAATTGATCCTCAATCTTCAGCTTGATATCATCCTTAGCACGGGCATACTCGTTTCCGGCTTTGGTAGTGGCGGCACCGAACGCCTCCGAGGCGGCGGCAGAAGCACTAGAAGCTTGCTCGACGAGGTAGGCACGGTGCTTACGAGCCAGGGCGATAAGCTCATTACGCTTCGAGCCCTGGGGAACCTTCACGTTGTGCTCGTCGAGGAATTCCTTCAACTTGGAGTCGGACCAAGCGTTGAAAAGCTCCTCGCTCAAGGATGCCTGGGCAGCCTCGGCGGAAGCCTTCGCGGACGCAGCAATACTCTTGGCCTGCAGGCTGGCAAGGCGGGAGTTGCGGCGCACCAAGGCGATCAGCTTGTCGCGGTTCGTGGGCTGGGGAGCAGGCCATCCCCGCTCATCAAGCCATTCCTTGAGATCAGACTCGGACCAGCTCTCGTACAGCCAGTTACCAGGGTATGCAGCAGTTTCGCCAACCTTCTTCGCAATGGACTCGTAGTTCTCACGGGCAGTCTTGATCAATACATCGCGCTTGCGGGGTTGAGGTGCCGGAATGCCATGGCGATCGAGGAATGCCTTCAACTGGGAGTCCGACCAACTAGCAATAATAAGGTTAGCAATGAAGAATAAGAGGTCACAGAAGAGAGCATGTAACTTACGTGTCAAAGACCCATTCCTTTGCCTCATGGAACTCATCAGTGACTCGATCCACGGCGTTGCCAAGGGGCTTCTGAACACGGGCTTCCCAGTTCGACTTGACCAGGTTCTCGAGATCCCGGCGGTCGGCGGGGGAAGGGTAGGGAATATCTATTGAGAATGTGTCAGATTCATACACAATAAATAGCAGGGAAATGAGTTGTCCATCCATACCATGGTCCGAGAGCCATCGCTCAAGCTCAGTTTCATGCCACTTGTTGTAAACTACAAGCCCGATGACGTTAGCGTGTGTGCAGGGATCACCCATCTAGATCCAGTCTCATCAACTCACCAGCTTTGCTCCACCAGCTGGAAGCTGCAACAGCTTCAGTGGTCGCAAGCAAGCACACTAGGCCAGTGGCCAGATTGAACTTCATCCTGGCAGTTTGTGTTTCAATGTGGTGTTAAAGAGCTCCGGGACAAGCTGTATGATCAAGAGTCAATCGTTAGTATAGGCTGTCGCAAGCTTGCAACATAGGCAGTGAGCAAGGACATACCACCAATAGTCAAAGGATGTTAACGAGGTTGAAATGAAAATGGTGCGATTATTTTATTTAATATGGCTCAGATCGCGACAAAGGGTGGTTGCAGACAGGGAAATAACAAGCCGCAGGGATGATCGCGGAGTGACGTAGTTGGGAAATTTACCTGGTTCCCGCCCATGAGTGCATGATTCATCAAGTGGCCCATTCTTTTGCTGGGCAGCATTGGCGTCATATTGAAGATCTTGCCTACCCCTTCTTCCTTGTTACACAAAGCCTATGTTCGTGGCTGCCCAGATCGCGCTGTGCAAGTCAAGGAGGCTTTGCGCACCGAGTCTTTTCAGCTGTGAGCGGCTCTGCGTAGTGCCACCATCCTGAACTGTGGATTTGTTGTGGGGGGTTTACTATTACGACTCATGTTTTTCAGACACATTGTTTACATATTTGACTATCCAACTAGTTGGGAATAGAGGTATGACATTGTGGAGCTTATTCTCACTAAGCGTGTTTATAGCTGTCAATGTGTCTGGAATGTGGCCAATCCCCAGCTGTCAACTAACAATCCAGGTTTGGCGCCGCAAATCACCGATGCCAGCTCATAAGCCTCTATCATTCTTTTAGTGTGTTTTCAGCCATCTCTTGACCTTCCATTAGAGGTAACGAGCTAAATTTTTTCAATCTGATTTGCAATGTCATGATCCCCTGGCTTGCATCGGTCTAGAATTTTGTGGCCTAAGGCATGAATGTATATTTATCATTCAGCCAATCAGCGATCGTTCCTTATGAACTGCCTTGCTGAGTAACATGCATTATCCCCATTGCACAAAACTAAATGCGGCTCTTCAACAAACTAAATCCATCACCGAATGCAGCCCACATCGCATTATACACCTACATTGTCTGGGGTCGATCATTGCTAAGTGCAATTCCATAGAAGATGTTACATGAAAGAAGAAAGCCCCTAAAAGACAGCCTGACCCCAGATCCTGGTCCCGATCTATCTGTCTTTGACAGTCCTACACCATACATATTGCTGAGGGCAACCTCATCCATGGCATCGGACTGAACCCTCGCAAGACGTCATGATTCGGACCGGGCGTCCAGAAGACTTCATGAGCAAGAAGCTTTTCGTTTTTTGTCTCTTTTCAATTGGATTCACCATATTCCTACTCTTTGGCTCTCCAGCTCCACCATCGCCTGACGAGCTCAATGACACTTCGGTGTCCAGTCAACATCGCCCAACCACATACGGAGGTCGCCAGGCAATCAGTACTTTCCTAGCTTCGAAGTCTTCCGAGAATGCAGACCCAAATGATAACGACGATGCCTACTTTGTGAGCGCGCGGACGCTTATATACCAGTTGCTCCACTCTCCCATCACCAAGCTTCAACACCCAGTCCCTATCGTGGTACTCGTCACCAAGGATGTCAATGAGAGCAAGCGCCAAACTCTTAGACACGATGGTGCCATCGTCGTTGAAGTTGAGGACGTCACACATAGTACGCCCATTGATGCTGAACGTTGGACTTCTATGGCGACGAAGCTGCACGTTTTCGATCCCGCCATCGTGCTCTATGAAAAGGTCCTGTTTATGGAGGTAGACATGGTTCTGACCCGTCCAATCGACAAAATCTTCCAAGACTTCAGCACCGAGCTTGGCCCAATTACCAATGTCTCCCAGGTTGAACCTGGCCTCGGTCCTCTTCCTGAGCAATACATTCTAGCCGCCTCTCCAGAGTCACACCAGAAGGACCATGCATACCCGTTCCTCGACTCTGCACGTACAGTGAGCACCTTCAATAGCGGCTTGTTCATGTACTCTCCCTCCGTCGAGATGTATCAATACTACATGCGGCTTCTCGATCACCCAGACCTTTATTATGCTGGCATACCCGACCAGGACCTCCTCAACTACGCCCATCGCTGGGGTGGACCGATGTCATGGAAGCGCTTGCACTGGTCCTGGTACATCAATTTGCCTAACCAGAATGATCTACAAGGTGATATGGCCTTGTTGCATGCCAAATGGTGGGAGCAGGGAGCGTCCCTTCCCAGCCAATCTGTTGAGCAGTTTGCTTTTGCTCGCAGGTGGGAAATGGAAGGATATTGGATGAGACAAAATGAAAAGCTTAGTTCTTGATATAGAGTGATTTACACTGTCAATCTGGATTTTTTAGTTTCTCTGTGTTCATTAGGGAGGCATACCATCTTCAATGATATATGTTCAACATTTCGAGTCCAGCCGTAAAAGTCATTCGAGTAGATATAAGCCATACCTAGAGTCTGACCAGCTCAAGCTAGCAAGCTGTGCTGTCTTAACTATGCATATCTTAACTACTCATGAAAGATCTAGAGACAGCGTTTCTACAGTCATTGAGTAGTCATGCTCTGAATTCTGAATGGTATTGTATGCATGATTTTGGTCACGGGGCTCTCATGTACGCCCTACTCCGCTCACTTATCTCGCACTTTCCCATCGTTTCCAAATAGGGAAAGCGGTTAGTTATGCTTCAATAAGTGGTGATTGTTCATACAAATAAATCTGGATATAACCTCATATATCTGCTGACCGCCTTGCTCAAAACAACGCGTTCATGTTTACTCTCACCGGCGTCAGCTCTCTCTTCTTCATCATCTTCCGTTCCATCCAGAGAACCTTCGTTTCGTTCCGAGACTAAGAAATCGACAAATCCCATCATATTTGCCCTTTTCGTACCCACTACCTACCAAAATGCCGCTCTTGAATCTCCCCACAGAGATTATCATCATCATCGCCAAGTCCATCGAGCACCCTGGAGAGCTTGCGACCCTCGCCAGAACGAGTCGCTTCCTCTACGAGGTTGCCATCCCAATCTTGTACGCCCGCAATGCCAAGTACAAAGGCAGTTCTGCACTTCTCCGGGCCGCCAAGATGGGCATGACAGAGACCGTCAAGTTGTGCATCAAATATGGTGCCAACTTGAATGCCTGTACCGAAGATCACAGGACGGCGCTGATCCATGCTGCCGACAACGGACACGTCGAAATAGCCGAGTTGCTCCTCGCTAACCAGGCCACCCATATCAGCGCGTGTGATATGACTGGTGACTCCGCAACCTACCTGGCAGCGAGAAATAACAATCCAGACATGCTCGAAACGTTGCTCCGCCATGGAGCTGATGCTGATCAGGTTCACAGGGATGGTATGGGCTTGTTGCACATGCCTGATCTGTCTTCCGAGATCATGCGGATGCTCCTTCAGTATGGCGCCAACCCGGGGCAAATGGACAGCGCCGGTAACACACCTTTGCCCAAGGCCGTTAAATCCCGCAATTTTCAGCACATGGTCCTCCTTCTGATATGTAGTGCCGGGAGTATGATCGGCCCTGCCGATCTCGAGGATGATCCTTTGGCGGTGGCACTGCACCGCCAAGATGAGGGCATTCTCCGCCTGCTGCTCAGCTATGGCGTACATAGCTCCTTTGCAATTCATTTGCGGGGTGCTACTGTACTTCATATGGCAATCCACCTCGACCGTCCGAGGATGTTGCAGGTACTCCTGGAGGAAGGGTTGGACCCGAATCTGCGAGAACGGACTGGACCGACTCCGTTGCACTTCGCCGTCGAAAAAAGAAACCTGGAAACCACACGGATTCTTCTCGAGCATGGCGCCAACACTCAGCTCATCGACAATAATAACAACACTCCGCACCACATAGCAGCTTCGAACCGGCAGATCCTCATCCTTCAGCTTCTACTCGTGAACGACGCTGATCCAGTCGTTCGTGAGTACTTCTCGAGGACCCCAATCGACGAGTACGACAGCCCCGAAGCTGAATCCGTCCTTCTCACCAAGGGACCGATGGGATCTCGCCTGGTACGACTCCTTCGGGACGCCTCGAGTGCGAAGAGACCACCAGGACACCCGGTCATCTTTGCCAGGCGGAAGGGGAGTCGAATGAAAAGCTCTAGTCTATGGTGCTGGACATGAGGTCGCTGGAGAGTGATACAACGGGGTCAGTGTGCCTGTGATCATTGGAGATGGAATTAGTGGTGGTGGTGGTGGTGGTGGTTGGACTCTACAGAGTTGGGGAGTTGTCGTTGTCAGTATCGGTATGGATGGCGGATGCCCAGTGGAGCCCAGTCCCGGTTTAGCGCCTAAGCCGCCAGGAACCCAAACCCGCTTGGCGCGGATCAGTGCGGGGGTTAATCCTTGTTAACCTTCAAACCCCCTTCCCCCCTGACCTTCTATTCTGCGACCTGGACAAGTACTTATTCGACCACTATAGCATGCAGCTATAGCGACTTTGTCTAGACCGCGTGTGCTATTGAATGTGACTGTGCTTGTCACCTGACTCGCTGTCACGAGAGCTTCAAACCGATCGAAAGCTTAACGTCAGCCAAGGTCAACGTCATCCGCCGACTGGGAACTCGGAACTCCCAAACGAACTCAACGTTGTCCATACCCAAGCCCTGGATAATACCATAAGCACATCATGGACCCCTCAACACCATACTGCGGGGAGCTGGCATCGCCTGGCTGGTTTCAGCCCGTGCTCTCTGTGTACGAGCCCACGCATCGAACGTTGGGGAATATCCTGGCACTGACGTTACCATGGCAGTTTGATCATCATCGGCATCCTAATCTCCTACCTCCCCCAACACATCCGCATCATCATCCGACGAAGTTCATTCGGAATCTCCCCCTACTTCGTCCTCTTGGGCACGACGTCCGGCACCTCCGCCTTTGCCAACATCCTTGTCTTTCCCAAGACCGCCGCAGATGTCGCCTGTTGTCAGGAGATTAGCGGATTCGCTTGTTTTGCTGGGTTACTGGGTGTGTTCCAGATGGGCATGCAATGGCTGTGCTTCTTCTCTATGTAGGTCGAGTAAACCTTTTTTCAACTTATGTTCCTCTGCTAACACGAAATCTAGCCTACTCCTCTTCGTGATCTACTTCCCTCGCGCAACCTCGCCCACAGACCCCACACACTCGGTATCCTCGACCTCAAACGGGTCGACATACCGCACGGCGCTGGCCATAACCGCAATCTGCCTCCTCCATGCCTTAGCGACCGTCATTATTTCCGTCGCCTTCGCCATCCGTCAGCCCTCCGCGCTTCATGCTTGGGCAAACTTCCTCGGAATCGTTGCCGCCATCTTAGCTTCTATCCAGTACTTCCCTCAGATCTACACTACCTACCGACTTCGCTGTGTCGGCAGCTTGAGCATCCCGATGATGTGCATTCAAACACCTGGGAGCTTGGTGTGGGCGGCCAGCTTAGCTGCTCGCGAGGGCGCCAAGGGCTGGAGTATCTGGGGTGTATTGGTGGTCACGGCTTGCTTGCAAGGGACGCTCTTGGTGATGGCGATCTACTTTGAATACTTCGGGCCGGAGAGCAAGCAGAAAATTGTGCACCAGGCTGACCAGGACGGCTATGTCAACGGCTCTGGAGCTGACAGGTCGGAGAGACAAGTGTCTGCGCAAGAACCGATGCACGCAGAGCGGCCTTCGGAGGAAACTCCACTGCTCCAAAGCCAGTGAAGACTGGACCACGAGAGCCTTGCCAATTAGCGTATTTTGGCCTTCTTTACATGAATAGAAGGAGTCATTCCGAGCCACACTTGTTAAATGAAGTACATGTCCAAATGAATTTGAAATTTTGACCCACGGGCCAAGCCGGGCCTGTGTCTTATTGAAATTCGAATGACCTATATCCTGCGAAATGCCATTCCGGGGACACGCAAAGTCCCACCATACAAAAAGATATCCTCCGCAGTCATCGCGTCGTAGCATTCAATCTTCCATTTTCGCTGGTAATTTAAGCGGCAGCGTAGATCAGGCGGAAGACATCGTTAAGCACGAAGAAGCTGCCGGCACCGTCGGGCTTCAGCGTAAAGAGCTGGGTGTAGTTCATGGGCTTCTGCTCCTCGTCGACCTAAACGTGTCAAACTTGTTAGCACATGGAACATGAGATATGCCGTTCTTGGGGAGGTTCAATGGCATACCAGGAGAGCGCCAGTGACCAGGACGATGATGCTGTCGCCGGAAGGCTGGGCGTCAAGGGTGGCCAGCTGGTGGCGCACCTGCTGGAAGGGCAGGCTCTACTCGTTGAAACCACATATTAGCATTGAATGTTTGATTTGATATAGATGCGTTGGTTATTCTGCCAATAAGTTTGGGTGAACATACGGTCAGCTTCTCGGTGATGGCGCCGGCACCTTGCACAGAGCTGTTCTCGAAGGTGAGCATCGACTCATCGCGCTATCAATGCAAGTCATATCGGTCAGTTTCATTTCCTGCGATATAATTCTTTTCCCAGTCCATTGCCTGGCAATTAGGGAACGATGCGAACATACGTAGAGACCAGTCAGACCGCTGCGGTTGCTGTCGAAGGTGTTGTAGTAGAAGTCAACGAACTGTTCTGTTGGACGAAAGCATCACGGGTCAGATTTTGTATTTTCTCGGTATGGCTGACGGCTGTTTCAAGCAAGAAGTTCTCGTAGGAGTAAGGGTTCGTGCCCGCGCGGGGCTGTTCTTGTGTGCGGCGCATCGAGGGTCGGGAGTAGGGGGGAACATACGAGCGATGCTGGTGAAGTCTACAGCGCGAGAGACAATTAGCACTTGATCATATATAAAAAGGTCCAAATGGGTTTAGATTGATCTGGTTGAGGTCTGATATTGCACGGCGCAATGTACTCCTCCAAGTGGGTTGATTTCTGACGCAGAGGCCCCCTACGCTGGGAAGTTGCTGGTGCGGGTTCAGGGTATGAGAAGCGAACGCGAGTGAGTACTTACCGGCCATTTTGAGAGGAAGGGCTGAGAAAACAGGAAGGATGCGGCTGTATAGAGAGGAAGAATAGAGGCTGAAGGGGGGGGGTTATTTGTTGACGCCGAAGAGGAAGAGGAGGGATGTGTGGGGCACGAATTCTGCCGTTGATGCCTGGCTGCCTTATGCTCGCCCAAGTCGAGTATAAAATGTGAGTTGTTAGGGAATAGAGCACCCTAGATTATGTTTCGAAATTATTTCTTTAAAGCCAATGGACTTGTGGAAAGGAATCCGATATCATTACAGTCGTCGCTATCTATACCAGTTACGCCTGACCAGCTCACTCCGAGTCCGATGCAAACATGTCCTCGGCCTTGGGCCGTGGTCTGCGTTGGCGCCGTGATCCCTCTTCTTGGTGCCCGTCTTCATGCCCAGGCTGTGAGGGCTGATCGGGTATCGGGGATTGTACATCACCTTCCAACGGAGGTGCGTCTTCGTCCATAGGTTCCCCGTCATCGTCTAGCATTTCCAGGTCGCTGTCTTCCATGGGAACCCCGTCGAGATCACTCATGGATTCATCCTCCACGACAGCTGCATCAGCCGCAGGGCGCGCCTGGTTCTCGGCATCAACGGATCGATCCGAATCGAACTTTCCAGATACAGGGTCGTCATCAACTGTCTTCCATCGACTCTTGGTCTTGGAAGCCACTTGAGCTGCTCGTTCAGCATCTTCCTTTTCCTGCTCCTTTTGTAACTCTTCCTCGGTAAGTGGTGGCTGTTCAAGCACCTTGAGGAAATGTTCCTGGTTTGCGGGCTGAAAGATACTCCAGCCTTCCCATAGGTGGAGAAGAGTGCCCACGCTGCGCTTCCATTTCTCTGCGCGAAGTCTGCCCCAATTCAACTCTTTCTCGAGCCTGCCAAGGTGTTCAAAGATCTTGTGTGACCGAAGTGCAGCCTCAAACAAGGACCGATATCGCCATCCTTTGGGAACTCCACTGGTGGCTGACGATGCAAGAATATCGGAGATGAGATAGAGCCCTACCAGTTTGGCTGAGGACATGTCTATCTTCTGCTTCGAGGGATTTGACTTGTCCTTTTCACCATCGTCCTGCCTCGCTGCATCTTTCTCCATTTCTCGTTCGGGGTTGGCCCCTGTATATGCCAGTGGATGGAGAATATTTAGCACAATCATGTCCACAACCTCGCGCGCACCCGACCCAGCGTGTTTGATCGCGAAGGCTGTGACTCGAGCGACATCACCCCGCCGAAGCTTTGCATGGGTTGTAGGTAGGCGGGCAAGAAGATGAGTAAGTTTTGCCTTTTGCAAGGGATTCATGTAGCCCAGACTGTCATTCTGTGCAGTGGTACCCTCTGGAGGAGGCCCTCCTCCGAGGTTGCGCCTCTCCTCCTCACCATCAGACATCTCCTCTTCGGAAGAATTGTAGTCTTCTTCTGATACAAATTCATCTAGCCGTGTAGTGTATTCAAACTTGATTTCCATCTCTGGTGGAGCCCAAGTCGGCCCACCTTCGAAAATGAAGGATGTCTTTTGGGAGCCAAATTTCCTTTTACTGTAAGCCCGAGGATTGGTGATGATTTGCCATAACTTCCATCGGTAGTAAACGCCGCCTGGGCTTCGTGCATCCCAGATCCAATCCCATTTTTCTTCCTTTTGCACCTCCGGTCGACTCATGAGCAACGCCTCAAATTCAGGTCCGTAGTTGAGGAGGTTCTCCAGCGTTTTATGGATCAGCCTTAATTGCTTGATATCCGATGGTGCTTGTACTTCGATCTGAGTCGAGCCTCCACCTCGCCCAATGTTTGGCCCATACGATTCTGGAGGTGCGAATCCCCTGTGAGGCCCTGGTGGTGGAGCTCGGCTCAAACTTCCGCCAAAGGTCGGTTGAATGATCTTTGCACCGAATGGGAGTGACTTGGCCGTGGTTGTGCCAATGGTCGTTGGCAATGTTGAGTTGATGGCGGCAGAGGAATGGCCTTTGTGGATAGATAGGTAGTGACCCCGACCAAGGTATTTCTTATCGAGCATGCTAATGGCGCTATTGACGTCTGAAAGCGGAGTGTCACTGGCGAGGGTAAAGATGGCGGCTGCGGACTTTCGCTCGGTGGGTGATTGATTCGTTGGTCGAAGAATGTTGATATTGTCCACAGTCAGGAAGGATGGTATTAGTGACTTGAGCACAGAAGGTGAAGTTCCGAGTGGCAGCGACTCTAGACACAGAGTATATTTAGCCGCTGCCTTCTCTGCCTCTCTTGCATCTGTTCTGCGATCATCTTCGTCGTCTGAGGTGCTGCGAAATGCCGATCGAGGACCTGTTGGCCCTGTGCTTGGCTGGTCGTATCCCAATATACCTTGGGCTGAATCTCGGTTGCGCGGGGAGGGCCCAAATCCTCTCTGGTTACCACGCGGTGCCAGAGGCCCCGAGGGAGGTGGTAGACTCCCTGGTCCACTGTTCCGAGTCTGGGAGCTTGAGAAGTGTCGCGACGGCCGCGCTCCTCCAAATCCACTACCTCTGTTACCAAATGCACCGGGTCGTCCATCTGAAGCCCGGGAAGCTGTCGACGTGTCCTCTTCAAATGACTTGACAAAATCTTCGTAGACCGCTGCGGTTTCCGCTTTTTCGCGAGCGCGTTTGGCTTCGGCTTCGGCTTTCGCTTTCTCGAATGGCGACTTCTTGGGTAATGTTTTGGCGTCCGCATCGAGGAAACCCCTCCACTTCGAGTCGTCGGGCATCTTGCGGAAGGAGCTGCAACTGCAGCAATAGTGAACCAGCCTGCTGGTATCAGGTCGAAGCTGTGAGGATAGCTGTACGGGATCCTTCCCAATCAGGAACCCACATCATCGCGCGGGCGGTGAGCAAGGCGGTGGTCCGTCGTCACCTTCTCAATGGGCGCCATGACAACCTTGGCCTGCGTTCTCATGAACACGGGATTGTTATGGACCTCTATTGAATTTTAGAGTCCATCATGTCGACCGCACAAGTTCCCGCTCTCCTGCGCTTCTTGACTCAAGATGCCAAGGTCCCGCTAGCCGTTGCTATAGGCAAGACACCAGAGCTCCAGAAAGCTAACCTTACCAGGTGGGCCTCCTTAGGGCAATGATATATTCTCCATTGGCTCCTGCTTACATCCATACAGTGCAGATCAAATAGCCAAAGCAGACATTCAAGTTCTCCAAGACATATTCAAAGATCATAAGGTTGCCAAACAAATACTCAATGCTGGCAAACGAGTCTCCAAGAAACGCGGAGCCCCGACTGACAGTACAGCGACATCACCACAAAAGAAGAAAAAGAATGCCAGCATCACGAAAGAGTCAGCTCCATTTGAGATTGAGTCGTCACTCAGCCTGCCAACCTCATCAAGCCCCGATAGCGAGCTCCAAGAAATGGTTATTGTGACAAATCGAGCACCTTTGGTGCTTGCGTTTGCTATCTGTGTCTTGAAATACACAATGCCAGAACAGCCTATATCAAGCCGATTAAGTCTTGCCCAGGCGCTAGTCAGCGCCAATAGTCGTTCTAAAGCTGTGAGCTTGGGCATAGAGAATGGCCAATCTGCCGAGCAAGAAGGCTGGGGCGAAGGCCAGCCGGTTGTTAGGGTCCTTGGAAGAGAGATTCGAGTGTTAAAGCGCTGGGACTATAATCCGCGCGAAGGGCAGCCAGCCAACTGGTCTCCTTCAGAAAATTCAGACTCAAACACTGTCTCCGTCGACGACTTTCTTGGCAGAGCTGACATTGATGACCCCGATAAAATGCCTCCCCTCTGGGGCATTGATCTAGAGGCTGCTCGAAGTTCTCAAGGCACTACAGGCCCAGAGAAAAAGACTGGAGTGCTACCCATCTTCACGGCTGAGTCTGCGCGCTCTTATCTTCTGCGGTCCGTATCAAACGCGCAAGTGACTACAGCGCCATCTAAATCAAAGCCAAATACGGCCAATGGTCTGGAAAAAGAAAAATCTGTTGCTTGTCTCCTATCTGTCATCGACTCTGTCTCCCGATCATGGGCCACAAATTTGAAAAAAGGCGAACTGGATAGGCGCGCTTGGGCTTGGTATCTCAAGGTCCGACCAGACGTTCAGAGCGGAGTACAAGGTTGGGGGCAGAAGGGGCAAGTGAAGTTATCGGATATTCTTGCCCTTCGGAATGAACCATGATATTACATCTATATCAGGAATTTCGTGGATCGTTTTCTGTGATAAAAGGCTATGGGGAGAAAAATCATTGCTATTCACGATTACTATTCGTTGAAGGGAGTGGACGCTTGGTGAAACTAAACTGTGAGGGCTTGACATTCCCCCCGACGTTGTTAGCAGAAACGCTGGTACTCAAAGATCCGAAGCAATGATTCGGGCCACTTCCTCGGCGATGTTGTAGTTTATCACTTTCTGGAGTTGACCACCCATGAGACTCGGAAAGAGGCCTAGAAGATGTTAGTATTGTCATCAAACGATATTGAGAAGATCGTACTCACCGATGATTTTCAAGATAGCATACATCGAGTACTCTTGCACTGCGCCCATATCACGCTTCTTACTCTGATTCTGCTGAGCATGCTTCAAGATCTCTGTGACGTGGGGCTTTCGCAAAGCCAGATACTGGCTAGCCGCTCGCTTGATGACATCTTTCTGGGTGCTCTTCGTCGCCCCATTCTCCTTTTGATCGCTTTTGCGAAGATAATGCGACAAAAGGAGCACAAAAGGCCTCCACATCTTCCAATGCTTGCGACGATCCTTGTCCTGAGCTTGGAGGAAGCGCATGAGCTGCATCTCCCACTAGAACAACGCCGTCTCGTTCCCATGTCGGAAGGGGAGGGACGGTCCATGTCGGGTACATGCTTTCAACTTTAAGAGACTGAATGACCTTTTGGACGACTGGGTCTTTCCAGTGCGAGTGTCTCTCACGCAGTTGGCGTGTGACGTCGGCCATGTCCAGGGTTTTGCGATCCGGACATTCTTTGATCTCGTACGTAGACCACCATGCCAGCAAATCGCCGGGTTCAGAAACGTGATATGGTGACTCGCGATTAGGATCTGAGGGTGCACTCTCTGAGTAAAAGTATCCAAAAAATCCGTTTCCACCGAAGATGAAGTTCATGGAACCTTTTTCGACCAGGCCTTTGACATCTGCAGATGGGATGAAGCCTCCAACGCCTACAAGGCCCCTGGTAAAATCAAACCAATCAATACATTGTTTTCAAGATAGTGCCCTTATTATGATGTGTAACTCACTCGTAGTTCGGCGGGTAGGGGTCTTCTTTAGCTTCCGGGAAAATTGCCCGCTTGGCCGTGCTTCGGACGCCATCCGCACCAATGACCAGGTCAGCCTCCACCGAGGGACTGCCATCCACAAAATGTATCAAGTTCATGCCATTTGGACAAGCCAAGACCTCGGAAATACGCTTGTTGATGATGTGTCTGTCAGGGATTCGGGAGCGAAGGGCTTGCCACATTGAATGCCGGCTGGCGGCTACCATATGCATGCGTTGCTCCTTTGAAGAGGTGTGGCCGGTGGCATCCATAGACACAAGAGACCACCCATTCTTACTCTTCATGTGAAATGTAGAAGCAGCGTATCCACTGCGCACGACATCCTTCAGAAGATCCTCATCTAGACGCCGTAGAACGTTGAGACCATTCGCGCCAATGCCGAGACCGCCACCAACGAGCAGAGTCGAAGAGTGGGTGTTCTCTTCTTGCTTCTTCTCCCTCTCTTCTGCAGTTACATGCAAGTCGGTACTATAGGCCTCATAGATGATGATCTCATGGTCCACCTCTGAGCCCGAAGGGGGAAGGTGCTTGCGTAATTCAAGGTAAGCTGCGCATCCAGCGATGCCAGCGCCGATGATGACGATCTTCATTGATATTGCAGGAGAATGATTTTGGATAAGCTCAATGCACGACTAGAGTGATCGAAGATGGTTCATTCCAAGTATAAATACCAGGCGACTGCCTATCCATGGGTAGTATACTCACAGGTCACGTGTGAGCTGTCGCAAAGCTAACCGAATTAGGCTTAGTCCCATGGCATAAACTGGAGTGGGTCTCTCGCATTTTTCGACCTCCGCAGTCATTGTGTTCCAAAAGACGAGCCAAACCCGAAATTTTCTTTGTGGCTCATGCAAATTCGTTCGCGCCCCGGTCAAAATATCATAGGCAGCAGTGAAATGAGCCTGCTTCGCCCCAAAATGGCTTGGAACCATATCCACCTATTTGTGCTTTCCCGTTGAACTCCAGAACTCCAGAGCTCCAGCCAGGTGACTCAGGTGACTACCGAGAACTCAATATTCAGGGAGCCTGAACAACCAACGGCAGAAAATGGTATTTCGTGCAAAGATTCATCGTGTGAAACCCCGGGGTTGTAACGTTGTAGCACATAAGAAGCCACATCTCCAAAGAGCTCCCTCGAAGGAGCTGAAGAACTGGCGCATTCATTATCCTGGCCATCGAATCCGAGTCCTGGCGAAGTATTCCGGGGACTAAGAGTCATATCGGATGGGCTCCAAATCCTGGCTATCTCAAGTGGTAATTTCACCATCACTGACCCACGACTCGCAGCAGGACTTGGGAATGTCGCAACAAATTTCTTCGCTAACAAGATTGATCGGACATGTCGCTGGATTCTCTTTTCATACAAATGCGCACTTTTTGAGACCAAAGACATCAATCGCAAGACGATGACATTGACTGCGTCGTATAGTGCCACTAGTGAAGCGGTCGGCATATCCATGTAAGGGATTAGCGGAAAATGCTCGGGATCACCAGGAAGATCTTGGAATGTGTCGTTTGGCATTTTCATCCACAATCCAGCATTGGCTTCGATGAAGCTCGCTGAGAGGATACACTTTGTCCACCAAGAGTGTAGTTGTGACATTATATTTCGAACAAGCATGGTTAGCTTGGTCTTAAGGATGCTGAACCCCTCGTCTCCAGAGGTTATCATCTCGCTCGCCGCGCCGAGACAAGGCAACAAGGAGAGTAAAATATCGACGAATTCGTCGAATGCCGTCTTTGAGTGAATTTCAAATGGGATCGTAAGCCACTCCTGGGAGGAGAAGACATGCTGCTGGTTTTTGAACAATGCAGCAGTGAACTAGAATCCGACCTATCGTGTCAGCGAAACTAGCCATGGATATTTTCAAAGCATATCTCGAATACCCACAGTTAAAAGCCTGAGATGCCTGAACAGCTGGTGCAAAAATCCATCACGACAACTTGCTGGACCGCCCGATTCAAGCATTCTGGCTGCGCCTTGCACATGCTGGAACCATGCCTCACCCGACGTTCCGGCGGTTGTCTCAAAATGGGCAAGCATCACAACAGAGCAAATTATATCACCAGAGAAAACATCAGATTGCTGTGCTAGTAGACATCGTAGCCCGTGGAGAGCTTTGAGGTACCATTTGTTAGCTTCTGTGCGTATAGACACGTCATCCACTAGTGAGCCGTAGAAGAACATTGACCCAGCCCTGATGGAATTTTTGACGAGTGTTGGAGATGGCGACGTGATGAACAGAGCTAACTTGTCCAGCCATGTTGATGACGGGTTATCTGCTGTTGACTCCTTGAATCCAAAGGACTCGATGAAATGAGAGACGAAAAGCTGGTCAAAGAGGTCTGCCCGGCAAGGCTGTTGATAGGACGGCAGTCGAGGCGCTAAATATTGATCGTAGCCCGACCAGTGAGCCTCACCAGCAACCGTTGGGGCCTTCGCTTTTACTGGCGTTTGCTTCACTATTGAGTGACTTGATGTCGACGCTGGTAAGGCATGCACGAAGAAGGCCCCTGTTCGGGCTCCAGGGCAGTGAAGCCCCATTTTTAGACATTGAGAGCATTCTGGATGCGATTCATCACACTATAGGAGATGTTAAACGGCGAATTCTAGGGGCGATTGAGATTTCGACCACATACCTTAACCTTGCGTCTACGGCATGTTACACAGCCTTTGCTTCTGCCCGGAACATTAACCATGGCTCCAGCTGATACTCTATGGTATATGACACATATTTCAGCTCATATTGATGAACGGATTTTGTTTAAAGATGCTTGAGATGTGTGGGTGTAGTGTGACAAGGAAAGTTGGATGTCTGTGTCGATATGGGGCAAAATGTTCCCGGAGACCTGATTGGCCGGTGGTTGGAAGGCTTGGACAGTAACGTAATCAATATCGGGTCCAGCTTCCACCACGAGATCACATCGAAGTATACTTTCCATATCGACAGATTCTATAGGCAGATTGATATCTTTTCAGGGATAATATTGGTTGATTTTACGGGAGCGTTTGTGACCAACTTCGATTAATTTCCCTAAACTATTTGGGTCATCACAACCTATCAATGTTTCCATAATCTCCATTAAACATACCCCGGAATTTGGCGTCAATTGACCTCCCCAAACATTGGGGCTTATGCCCTCTCGGTATTCTGGGTCTCCACTACTTCCACATTGGTGGCAATAGGACCTCCCTCCAGCTCCAGCTCCTTAGCACTTGGTGCCTTGACATTAACCTCAGTGTTACGATGCAGATCCATATTGTCCCTTTTGTAGATGTTCACGTAGATCGGGAAGGCCAAAGCAAGGATATACCCCATCATGGGAATAGCCATGGCAGTATGAGCATTGACCCGTGTCTGAGAAAGAACGTCAATGTTAGTGGCGAGAGACCAAGTATTAGGCGGAGATAAGAATGGAGAGATAGAGACGACGTACCACGACAGCTCCAGTCATTGGAGGGAATACCATTCCTCCCGAAATGGTTGCCACAAGCATGGAACTACCAAGCTTGGTGTGGCGACCGAGACAACGAAGAGCCAGGCGAAGATGGTAGCGAAGCAGCACTGAACTCGCAGTCAGTCATGTGAACTCAGCGATTAATTTGACATGATAAAAACTAACCGACTCAAAGCAAAGGACGAGGATGAGCATCGCGATAGAGGTAGGACCATGGGTCGTGATGGCGGCAACAGTGAAAACAAAACAGAGTGACAAGAAGACGGTCAACATGTTGCGAGGCTTGAAGGCGGGCATCATCATCAAGCCAGAGCACACGAAACGCATAAATGCATATGTGCTCGTGGTTTGAGTCGCTTGAAAGACCCAAATACTCCACAGTGTTTCGTAAAGGTATCTCGTTTCAGTGCTGCATGTGTATGTCTGTAGGTATCTACAAGGGAACCAAAAGGATTGAATACTGAGATTGTAGTACCCAGGCATGATGTTGAACTCAACTCTATCCATACTCAAGACCAGTGCTAGAAATATTGAACGTATCGAGAGCTGCCATTGGGGTTCATTGTGTCTTTGCTGGAGGGGGAATAAACGGCACATAGAGAGGAGAATTCCGTGGAGTTCGTGTAGAATCAAAAAATATATCTCGGGCGAGGGCCACGTCGTGACCTCGATAACAAAGGCAGAAACGACTGCCGTTTGTAAGCCTAGTGCATCACACCTACCTGCCTGGAACTGGCAGCGAAAGGAATATCTTATAATCAATGACCAGAAAGGATGTATGTCCTCTGTGGACTATGGTGACCTACAGTGGCAGTTCAAAAGTCTGAATCTCGAGACCAGGAAAAGGGTCCATCTAAATACGCTCCAACTTTCTCTTTGCTGGAAAGGTCTTTCTGAGTACCTTTTTTATTTTTATTTATTTTAGATAGCCCAGGCAATATGCATCAAGTTACCTTTTAAGTATGACTGATGAGACGATGATGAACCTTTCTGGGTATTTTAAACTTATGAAACCCCCACTGTACAACGTGTTATGAGCCAGAAGAAGCTTGAAAATAAACTACGATATTGAATGAAGGCGCCGAGTCTGTAGACAGAAAAGACGAAAGAAGAAGAAAACAACAGCAGTAGCTTTTACGAAATCGCTCTCTAGGTGCAATGGTATGTTCTGTTCGAATCCTGCACCTGGTTGTGTTGTTGCGTTAGTAGGTAAATGCCTGGGTGAGAGAGGCATTGACAGAAAGAATCCAGTGGTGTAGAGCCCTCTCTGGATTAATTAGTTGGGAACAGTTCCAATCACCCAACAGGACACTTATACTTATGCCCAAGGGAGGTAAAGTCGATCTCTACTCTTCGGATGATCTCATTGTGCCAGCCAGCCCACTATGAGCCCCACTATTGTAGAAAGAATATGTATGAAACGACCGACGGCAAAGGTCCAGATGGATGACTTCGACCGTGGGTTTAACAAAGGAACCCTTGATGGCAAAGAACATGGTCCTGTGTGCCCTATCGAGTACCTGACTGGGTACCTGACTGGGATGAAGCTATGAACGCGTGGCTGGTACCCCGCATCGAGAGGCTGGACTGGTCCATCATCAACATCGATGGGGCTGAAACGCCGCTATCCGGCCAAGTTTCAAGAGCGTTGCTTGATAGATACATAAACACACTTGGAGACTTGGCAAGGAGAAAAGGATGTATGGCACACTGGACCGATGTTGTTGAAAGATCTTCGAGCTCTACCCATGGTTTAGGCATTTGCACGGAGTTATATTCTCCCCACAGCATAACGGGAGATATCCGACAGCCCTAAGTACAGTAGCCTTCTTGGCAATAGCCCTGTTTGTTTCCAAATGCCTTCTATGGTTCCATGGAAACAAGACCTGATTTGATTTTGTTGCGGGTTCTGTGCTCGATGTGATCTATTATCATTGAGCCTTACTGGAACATAGAGAACTAGCCCGAAAGGGATAGGCAAACGAGGACATGCCTCCAAAAAGTGCGACTTATTATTCATCGTCTTTGATCATTAAGGCGGCAAAGAGACCCTCAAGTACTCCGCCAATGTGGCCGACTTACCCAGCTTCAGCAAGGTAGTGACTCTTTTTGACTGGCACGGGTAACGGTTAGTCCGCTTCTTAAGACATCCGATGTATGGTCCGAGATATCCGCTGGCCAATCTTCAGCCCTGCTGGGTCGGGTTCGCTCAGATTGAGTTTTCTTTGGCCAGTGGGTTTGCCAGGTTTTTCTTGAGATATCCGCTTCCCAAGGATTGTTCGGACTGGAAATTGCCCATTGAAGGTCGTTGTCCGCACCCGCCGGCAGAGGTTGGGTCCTCCTGCATTACTGGTCGACAACAATCACACAGTGACCGTGTGAGCCAACATGTCCAGGCCCCAGGTTCTGGCCGGAAAATTCTCCACTGACTGCATGGTAGATGGCTCTGATGCTAGAAAGTGACCACTCAGCTCTCCGGGAAAATACCGAACGCGTATGGTGGCTCTAAGCTTCGAGACACCATGGGCACTTGTTGGCTGATTGCAGCAAGCTGATTCTAGACTTGATGCTGAGCAGCGGCTGTGTGAGGACACCACCAGTCGATTTTCCAGGCTTGGGGGTGGGTGGCGAAGCCCCGACCCACCGCGCGTAGTCAGAGGTGAGTCTAGTCGCTAGTCTCGTCGCCCTAGTGGCCGTAGCGCACTCGGAGGAGTCCTAGTCGATCATGTCCAGTCACAAGGGTCCGTTTCGTCCCCTTTCGGGGCCATGGGGAAAGTTCCCTGGATTGGGCAGGGTCTTTGTAAGAAAGAGAAAATAGCAAAGGCAAAGAGAACACAAGAAGAGAAATCATTACTAGTTTATCGAATCGTAGGGTAGAAAGAAAGAAGCGGCAATGTCCCGTGATCTCAGAGATTACCTCGTCATTTCAGGCGGTTTCGTACCAGCCGTACCAGCCGTACAAGACACTGGTCGCAGCGCAGCAATGCCCCCCTTCCCCCGAGGTATTACCGCCGTCACACTCAGTCTCAACCTTGTTCCTCTCCCCCCCCTCAGGCCACCCCCATCCCTCAATCCTCAATCTCACCCTCTCGCCCTTCTCCTCCCTGTTCCATCACCACCCACTACGACCATACTCAAACCCCAGGAAATCCCGATCGTCGCCCTTTTACCCGACCGCGTCGACGACTACGCCGCCTTTCGTTCCTTTTTCTCATCCACCACCCAGTATTTCCGGGTGCCAACCTGCGAAACAGAATTGAACCGAATCAAAGAGGTGGCCCGATAGGGCTGCCGTTAACAAGGGGAAATGTCTGGACGCATTTCATCCGATCACTCTCGCTCGGCCTCACGATCATCCCAAACCCCTCGTACATCCCAGGGACAGGCTTTTGAGCCGATGCCTCGCCAGTCCTTCGGTCGCAACTCACGCGTCTCCAACCCCAATGTCTTCTCCGACGAATACTCATTAGAACCGCTCGATACCGGCAACCAGATTGAACGAGCTCCCTCCCCCGCCTCCGTCTGTTCCTCCACCACCCTTCGCTCTGTTCACCACCCTCAAAAGACCGTCAGCCAGGCTACGACCGAAAATGAGAATCCATTTGGCGATGACGCTCGAGTCTCCTTTGAGGAACCTCGTCGATCGAGTCTTCCTCAGAAGGGAATGGGCGGCTTCTCCACGAATCGTGGCTCGGTCGCTTCGGTCAACAACAGTCCCTTCGCCGTCCAGCGAAACCAGAGCGTTTCTTCCCGTTTCTCGATTCCGCGCGCCATGAGCCCCTACACCGGAGCGACCGGACCAAGCCATCCCTACGCCATGTATCCCCAGGTTGGAGTAAGTCGCTCGCCCAGCGTGGGAAGCACCTCGACTATTCGCCAGCATGATCGCCCGTTAGGGGAATCGAGCGGACCTCAACATCCGTACGCCATGTACCCGCAGAACGTCGTCGAAGAAGGGATGGATGACGACGTGATCCCTGTTGGATTCCCTGGTCACAATCCACCTTACCAACCGCCTCCGGGCCGTCGGGATAACGACGTGGGTGATATCATTGGAGCAGATGGCCACGCCGAGCCATTACCACCATATTCACGATACCCAGCAGGCGTGGTTCCGAAGCCTCCCGGCGTAGAGACCATGGCCGATATGAATGCCCCTTCAGAGAATCAACAACTGCATTCAGTCTCAAGAGACCAAGCACAACCAATCTCGGTAACGTCAACGAGGGCTCTGGTCCCCCTGTCTTCTGGAGGTACTACGGCTGTGAACTATGATGGTGATGATGACATTAGGGAGCGCAGGGCTCCCCTTACGGGCATCATGGCGTTCGAGGAGAAGCTTAAAAAGAAAGGCAAAAAGACTGCATGTTGTGGTATGCCCGTCTGGACTATTATTCTCGTCGCAACCGTGATGCTGATCGGCGGATCCATCGGAGGCGCTATTGGTGGTGTGATCGGCGGCAAGAGAGCAGCTGAGCATGATCGACAAGCGGCAGCTCAGTCAAGCGGCCCACAAATCGTGACTGTGACTGCAACACCGCAGATGGATTATTCGACCATGACAAGTACTCCGACGAATCTCAAGTCGGTTCCAACGGGCCACTATCTTGTCCCTGCTCAGCTGCAAAACTCGTCGCGGATGTGTGTTGAGGATAGTCAATTCAGACATGCTTGGGGCTGCATGGACAATCCGACCAATTTCGACATCGTTATTGGTGAGGATCGTGGCCACCATTCCATCATCTTCAGTAGCGCTGGCCCTACTTCGACATTCACGTATGGCGCTCAGCCCCCAATTCTCCCCACCCCTACCCAATCTCTGGGCTTCGCGATCGATACCAGCGATACTGGGCTGGGCCCGGCTCTCTTTTTCTTTGCCAAATTTGACAAGCTGGTCATCGTTCCCGAATCGCAGTTCGAGTCGTCGAGCTCTGTTTCAGCACGCTCATTCACCGGAGATGATTCGTTATTAGACAAGCTTCATCGCATGCAAACGGCCCAACCCGGTGACAAGCCTTGGTTCTGCTATTGGAACCAAACGATGATGGAGTTTTTCATTTATGTCAACCAGACAACGGCGGAAGCTTCCGGCTCCACCGCTGCTACTGATACTAATATGGCAGCCAGCACAGCCAGTGCTCAATCCAACAAGCGCGGAGACACAGTTCTTGACTATTCACGGAAGATCAAGATCGAAGAGCGCCGCGACTTCGCCGGAGCTCAGCCACCCTACTGCCAGCAGATGCAAGTAGGGTCTGATGGCCATCTCATTGGACCTATTCAAAGCCAAGTCATCAACATCAAGGAGCTGGAGCCCACCCCAACAACCACCTACATCAACACAAGTGGTGGCTCCCAGCAGACGTATACGGCAAAAGCACAGTTTGCAACACCGTGTTATTGTCTCTCTACGACTGATTAGTGTTACTCTTTTCTCCTTGACGTTCGAGCGAGTTTGTCCTTCTTCATCATGGGTTTTCGGGTCTGAAAACCTCCGGCGTTGGCGTTTGATTGGCCGGGAAACTGCCTACTAGCATCGGCTTATGTGCACATGATTGTCATCTTCCGTCTCTTTTGTGTCATTTTACTACCCCATTATCTTGGAACCTGTCTCTCCGAGCTCGATGGCTTCTAGAACAACATGTGGACTCTTTGGAACTCATTTCTTCTTCGACATTACGTTCTTATATTTGGAACATCCGATTTGTGACATGATAGGATGGTCCCTCTTCTTGCTTAACTTCTCTTTCTCTTCTTGGGTTATATATGGTCTTCTCACCCTCTTGGTTGTTGCCTGACTGGATTATTCTTGGCGTCCATTGGATAATGGATGCGGTGCGATTCGGAGTATTTTGTCCTCTAATTCTGCGAGTCGCGTGTTGTTTTTATCTTTCTCCCCTGTTTCGCTTGGGACCAATGGGGCTGGTTCTTTCCGTCTTATTTGAACATCTCATGATGTGGTAGCGTTGCCACTATTGTTTGTCAAGTTATATCACAAAATATAACGATTATTGGGGACTTGTATCTGAAGTCAAGTAGCCACTGCGTAGGATAGCGTTGCTGTCTTGAGGTATACATTCATTCAAATGAATTTTGCGGACGGGTAACTCCCTGAGTGCTGCCATCCATTTCTCTTTCAATTCTATTATCTACAAGATCCCCAGTTAGGCCAGCTTAGAATCGTGCCTTAAATGGCGACAGAGTGGTATCTGTGTGTGAATGAATTTTCGACTCTTTTTCAGTGTCATGTGCAGATAGAACTGGTCAATACTCTATCATTTTAAAGAATGTAGCATAGACTCCACATGTAAATTTGATTTAGCAGGATGCATAGAATCTGCATTTACATACTCCGTACTTGGTGTAAACAAACCTAAGGTCGGATTGTCAGGACGGGGGACTGCCTGGGCTGCTATCCAATGACTAAGCACATATCAGGTGACCTTGCTTGGTTTTCGAAGAGCAGAACACGCGACAGGCAATTCCCTTGTAATGGCTGGTGGAACGCCAAATTTGTGCATGTGAAACTGAAACTGGCCAGGATCTCTCACTGTGGTCGGTCAGAGTGCGCGCTGGGTGAAGACTGCCTGACCCCGAATTCCTAGCTGCTTCTCTCCTCTCACCCACTCCTGCCTACAGCCCAAAGCTCACGTTTGTCTGGAGACACCTGAGGCACCCGCACTTCCGACACCTCGCACCTTGCACACCAATCCTCCAACCTCTCCTCACATCGCCATCCTGTTTCTTTTGCACACCCCCACCCCTATCCTTTCACTTTATTTCCACTCGACTCCCGACGTCGCATATTCACTCTCACCTTTTCTGTCACCTACATCGGTCTCATCCACGTCCTCATTCTTAAAAATCTGTCTGTGGACCCTCCAGATCAAATGATCGCGTCTCCTAGATGACCTTCCCTCCCCCTCACCCTTCCGCCCAATCATCGATTGCTTCTGGCACCGATAAATCTTCTTCGACCAGGACCGAGATTGGTGCCTGGGGTCGGTCCTCGTCACAGTCCGGAATTCGTCGTGGGTTGACTCCTCTCGCGACCAACCTTTCCTCCTCCGCCGCTCCCTCCACATCTGCCCGGGGCTTGGACGCAGGCCCTGGGGTTTCGACACCTTCTTCATTTTCAGCCGTTCTGAGCTCCGCCAGAGGTCTTTCCGGGGGTAGCCCGAAGCCCACACCCTCACCGTTCACTTCACTGCAGTCGGGCTCGCAGCAGCAGGCCCAATCGCTTTCCTCACCCAAGTTCCGCGCACACACCCCCTCTTCAGGGTCTTATTTCCCCTCCGCAACAGGTTCCATCCCAGGCAGCGGGGGAACCGGGGGCGGTGGTGGGCCCGGATCGTCTAGAGGTGTTGCCTTTTCACCACTCTCGTCCGGCACAACCGTGAATTCACCTACGGGTTTTCCTTCTGATAAGCCAGGCTCTGCAGCAGCCCACTCAAGCCAGTCATCCCTTACGAAGATCTCAATTGCGCAGGTGTTTCTCCTTTTGGACTCAATCACAGAGAAGGAAGGCAAAGAAAAGTGGGAGACCAAAGCTGCTCAAATCCACAAGGTATGTCTAACTGGAACTCGAATTACAATCTCCTTGAGATGCATGCTGACGATGTGAATGATTAAGCTTGTGTCATCCAACGGAATGGAGGTCTTTTCAAAGTATTTCCGCCGCCTGCTGACAGGCAATGCCCCGCAGATCTTCCCTGGCGTGAACAAGTCTGTCGAGAATGCGGGCAACTACCCCCTTCTAGTCCAGGAGATGCAGAAAGTCGCTTCGGACATCGAGCAAGCACAGAAGATTGCTGAGACGGTAGACACTTCTGAGGGGGACATCTTCCGCGATTTCGACCTTTCTACCTTCCTGGATCACTTCCGTCTCGACCCTGTTGTGAAGGTTTCCCTTGCATTGGCTTTCAAGCTCACGAGCAAGTCTGATCTTCGAGCCAAGGGTAAGCACTCTACCTCAGATCTAGAGAGTGACACACTGCTAACTTTACTGATCCTCACCAGCCGATGCCATCCTTTCAAACTCCGTTACGCCTTTCCTCTCTAGCTTGGCGAACCCCTCGGAAGCGAACAAAGATTTCCCGAACACTTTCCTAGGAATGACACTCGAACGATTCATCCTATACCCACCGCGCAATCTCACCAGTGAGGTGAAGGCGAAGTTGCTCTACGCACTCAATCTACGATTCCAAAAGCTCGGCCAAGACCAGCCATTCGAGATTGTCTCTGCTCTGCAAATGTTCACTTTTGTTGATTCCGAATACACTTTTGTGCGACAGCTCCACGCCAAGGGACCTCGTGCTACAGCGAATACCGAGGCTATCACGGAAGTTATCAATGCTGCCGGGCCAGATGGTTGGAGTGAGGAACGTTTGGCCAGTGCTATTCTGTTCATGATCTCGTCGCAGTACTGGGAGCAGTTTTCGCTCGAGAATCTTTTGATCGCCTATGCGGGGAAGCAAATTAATTGGGCATTGGTCCTCCAGACCTTTGATCGCGATGGCCTCCGGGTGAATCCCAAGCAATTCTCGCGGTTGTTTGAAGCGTTCTCCACCGTCGCTGCCAGTGATTCTTCTCTGGACCTTCAAAAGTTGTGGGGTGGAGACTGGGAGCATCGTGACGCACAGGTGTCCTTTCTAACTGCCTTTATTGCCTCGCGCCCAGATCTATCGCTCATTCCCAACCTGCGTGAGGCGTTCCCCCAAGATCTCTTTGATGAAGCTCCAGAGGTGATCAAGCTGCAGAGTGAAAGAGTTGCCAAGTCCCCTCTTCGCTCTATGGATGCGATAAAGGCCATCTTTGATGTCGTGCTATTCTCACAGTCTTCGTGGGCCGCAACAGAGAGCCAGTTCCTCATCAAGGTCGTTGTTCAGTTTGATCTTCCGATCTTCCTCATTGCTGCTCTCGGTATCAAACAGCCATGGACTGACGTTCAGGCAAACTTCGTCACTCGCACTCTACTCGTGTGCTTGTCTAAGCAGGATGAAGCCTACCAGCTGGCTCTTGATGGGGCCTGGCGCATGGACCGCCAATGGGTGTCAGCGAAGCTCTTTGATACTTTCACCCAGGATTCAACGTCCACTGCCATGATTTATGAACACGCCGTCGAGCAGGGGTGGCTTGACTATCTTCTCGGATTTACCAATGGCTTGGCTCTGGATCTCGCTTGCTATTCTCACCGAAAGAGCAACTTTGATCTCGAGCAATGGGTTCGCAATGCTACTCAGAAAGGTCATATGAACATGGGAGACCTCCTGTCCAAATTCCTCCGGATCAAGGCAGAGGATGAGCTCCATGTGCAACGCAAGGAACAGCCGGTCCCGCACATGGTCAGTCTTGCTGTGAAGACTGTTTACACGCTTTTATCTGTCTTGGAAGAATACGTTGGTGATCGTGAAAACCTTACTCCCGTCCAACGCATCTGCATTCAGACCTACCCTCGACTGATCAATTACGGGGAGGGCTACGATGATATCATTGATGCCAATGGTGAGAATGGAAATTCGCTCCCTGAGGCCATTGACAAGCAGATGCAAGATCTGTTTGGTAAGATGTACCATGAGGAACTCTCCCTGCGTGAAATGTTGGAGTTGATGCGGCAGTACAAGTCGTCTCGCGACCCCACCGAACAAGATCTCTTTGCGTGCATGGTGCACGGCTTGATTGACGAGTACCACTGCTACCATGAGTATCCGCTTGAGGCTCTGACCAAGACCGCGGTCATGTTTGGTGGTATCATCAACTTCAGACTGGTGGATGGAATAACCCTTAAGGTTGGCCTGGGCATGATTCTCGAGGCTGTCCGAGAGCACGAAGTGCATGACCCGATGTATAAGTTTGGTGTGGAGGCCATCGAACAGCTAATCAACCGTCTTACCGAGTGGGCTGGATTCTGCCATTTGCTCCTCCAAATCCCGACTCTGCAAGGCACTCCCATCTTCCAGAAAGCCGAGGAAGTGCTTCGCGACCAAGGGTCCCAGCTGGGTGAAGGCGAGCGATTCGATGATTTTGGCGCTGCCACTTTGCCCAATAGCAACAATGACGATGCCTCCGCGACCGATGGCGGTTCTCGGAAATTCCGCTCTGTCCAGGTCGATCCACCGCTCCGTTCTGACATCTATCACGATCCAGATGAGGACATTCAAGACAAGATTCTCTTTGTTTTGAACAACGTTTCAGAGCAAAACATCGATGAGAAGCTTCGGGACCTGCGCGAAGTCCTCCGCGACCAGCATCACCAATGGTTTGCCGCGTACCTGGTGGAAGAGCGTGCCAAGTTGCAACCCAATTTCCAGCAGCTCTACCTCGACCTCCTGGACCGAATTGGCGACAAGATTCTCTGGGCCGAGGTCCTCCGGGAGACCTACGTCAGTCTTTCAAAGCTTCTGAACTCCGAAGCCACCCTTACCTCTTCCACGGATCGTGGTCATCTTAAGAATCTGGGCGCCTGGCTTGGCTCATTGACAATTGCAAAGGACAAGCCCATCAAACACAAGAATGTCTACTTCAAGGGCCTGCTCTTGGAGGGCTATGATACCCAGCGTTTGATGGTCACCATTCCGTTCACCTGCAAGGTCCTTGTCCAAGCTACCAAGTCTCGGGTTTTCAGGCCTCCAAACCCGTGGTTGATGGACATTCTGGGACTCCTGCTCGAGCTTTATCATTACGCCGAGCTCAAACTCAATCTCAAGTTCGAGATTGAGGTGTTGTGCAAGGATCTCGATCTTGACCACAAGACTATCGCACCAGCCATTATCATCCGCGACCGTGCCGCTCATATTGGCGAGGAAGCTCTGCCGCCAACGGCCGCCAATATCCCAGAGGGACTGGAACCTTTCAATGATCTGGCCATCGGTCCTCTCAGCCAAGGCATCCAGAATGAGCGTTTGTCGCCAGCTGCCATCATGTCAACACTGCCCAGTCTTGACAAGATCCTCGTGCTTCCTCCTTCGGCGAGCAGCATGGTGGACCCCAGCGTTCTCCGGCAAATCGTCCACACCGCGGTTGAGCGTGCCATTGCGGAGATCATTACTCCAGTTGTGGAACGCTCTGTCACTATTGCCTCCATCTCCACCGTTCAGCTTGTCTCCAAGGACTTTGCCACGGAGCCTGATGAGGAGAAGGTGCGCCAATCTGCTGGTATCATGGTCAGACAATTGGCTGGAAGCCTAGCCCTGGTTACTTGCAAGGAGCCGCTCAAGGTCAGCATGACCAACTACATCCGAATGATTCAGCAAGAGTACTCTGATCAGCCTATGCCCGAGGGCTTGATTCTCATGTGCGTAAACGACAACTTGGACGCTGCATGTGGTATCGTGGAGAAGGCAGCAGAGGAGAAGTCCCTGCCTGAGATTGAGAAGGTCATTGAGCCACAGCTGGAGGCACGCCGGCGTCACCTGGCCACACGACCAAACGAACCATTCGTGGACCCTTCAATGAACCGCTGGGGGCTTTTCATTCCCGAGCCGTATCGCCAAATGCCCGGAGGCTTGAACAAAGAACAATTGGCGATCTATGAGGAATTTGCACGTCAATTCCGAGGCCCCGTGACTGCTCATCCGCAAAACGTTTCCACAGATTCCGGCCGTCAGATCCCCGACGTCCTCCAAGAGGCTTTCCCTCCACCAATCCCCAACCTCTCCACCCCCGCTGAACAGCCGGCCGTTCCTCACCGCACCCCGCAAGCGCAGAACGCGGCCGCCCAGATGGGTGTCCCCACCAACGGTTTCCTCGAGGCCCAAAGCCCACGGGAGCGTGTGGAGTCTCTGATCTCTGAGCTCCAACTTTCTGCACGGAATGCCCCCGAGGAGCATGTGAAGGATCTTGGTCGAGAGAGTGCTGTTCTTCAGGAATACAACCAAGCGTTGCGCGCCATCCTGGCCTCACCAAATGGGGAGGAACTGGCCCGTTTGACTTCGCTGAAGATTTGCACAACTCTCTACTCTCAGTCCTCTGGCTCACTCGAAATTGAGGTTCTCGTCCACCTTCTCGCCAAGCTCTGCGACATGTCTTCCCTCATCGCTCGATACACCTGGGCGCTCCTCTCAGAGGTCGATGATGAGCACATGTTCAACGTGCCTGTCACTGTTGCTCTCATCGATGCAGGCCTGCTGGATATTCGCCGGGTCGATATGGTCCTGGCTCGCCTCATCTCTCAGAAGAATGTCAGCGCCTTGGAACTCCTTGAGAACCTAATGAACCGCGTGCTGTTCAACGACGAGCCGTCAGCTCTTCGGTCTGACTTCTCCGGAAGTCTGGAAGCCATGAGTCAGTGGCTTACCGAAGACGGAACTGTCGCTCCTGCCCTGGAGATCGTTCGCAAATTGCGCGATGTCGGCATCCCTGAGGTTGTCAACACTCTTCTCACCGACCAGGCTCGGTCCAAGCGTGACCAGATGGAATACATTTTCAGTGAATGGATTGGCGTGTACAAGGCCTCCGGCGCCAGTGAGCGCACTTACTTGTCCTTCCTCCAGGACATGCACAACCGCCAGGTGATGAACTCTCAGGAGGACTCTGCCCTATTCTTCCGCCTCAGCATCGATATTTCGGTGGCTATGTTCGAGCATGAGTCGCAGAACCCGAACGGTAGCCTCGACGAAGCCTTCCTGTACATTGACGCTCTCGCGAAGCTCGTTATTCTTCTGGTTAAGTTCCAGGGGGAAAGCACTGGCGCAGTCAAGGCCGATAAACCTTCTTACTTCCATTCCATCCTGTCCGCTCTGGTGTTGGTCCTCAACAACCACCAAGTCATGCGGGGAGAGGCTTTCAACCAGCGTGTCTTCTTCCGCCTGTTCTCCAGCATCCTATGCGAATATTCAGTCGCTGGCCTCCAGCACCATGAACAACACCAGGGAATGATCTTCGCTATGGCCAACAAGTTCCTGTCTCTACAGCCTCATTATGTGCCTGGTTTCGTTTACGGATGGCTGTCTCTCGTTTCCCACCGTGTGTTTATGTCCGACATGCTCAACATGCCCGAGCGCGCCGGCTGGGCTCCCTACTGCGAGATCATGCAGGCTCTGCTTTCTTACATTGGCGAGCAGCTCAAAGCTGCTGAGATCCACTATGTCGCCAAGGATCTGTACAAGGGTGTGCTTCGCATCCTGCTGATCCTCCACCACGACTTCCCCGAGTTCGTCGCTGAGAACCACTTCCAATTCTGCAATGTGATCCCTGCGCACTGCGCTCAACTTCGCAACTTGGTGCTCAGCGCCTACCCATCGTCCTTCCAGAAACTCCCAGATCCTTTCCGTGAAGGACTCAAGGTTGAGCGCCTCGAGGAGATGCGGGAAATCCCTAAGATTGCCGGTGACATCGCCGCACCTTTACAGCAAGCCAACATCAAGCAAGTCATTGATACCGCTCTGCAAAATGATCAACCTTCCGATGTCGTGGTGCAGCAGATTGTCGAGGCTGTCGTAACCTCCGAGGCTAGAGACACTGCTCTCTTCTACGCGCCAATCAACGTGGACGTCGTCCTCGTAAATGCCCTTGTCCTATACATCGGCCAGCAAGCCGTTGAGGAACATGCCTCAAAGACTAACACCCGCAATGCTTTCGAGACCTCAGCCCACGCCACCCTTCTAGAGAAGCTCGCCCAGGTCATGCTGCCTGAGGCTCGTTACTACCTGCTGAGTGCGATGGCGAACCAGCTGCGCTATCCCAATAGCCACACCTACTTCTTCAGCTTCACCATTCTCCGCTTGTTTGGTGTTGACTTCTCCGAGTCAGATGACTCGGATATTCGCCAGCAGATCATCCGTGTGTTGCTGGAGCGACTGATTGTCCACCGTCCACACCCATGGGGTCTGATCATTACGCTGCAGGAGCTTCTCCAGAACCGAAGCTACTCTTTCTTCCGCCTTCCCTTCATCCAGGCGGCTCCCGAGGTAGGCTTGAATATGCTCCCAACTTTCTTCTTCAGAGCGTGCTAACTCTTTGTCCCACAGATCGGACGACTCTTCGATGCTCTTCTCCAGCACATCCAACAGCAGAGCCCCCGCCCCGTCGCATAGGCTTTGCTTCTCTTTCGCCCTCTCCTCCTCTCCTCGCACACCTTTTAGTCGGTACCTCTACTACCAGCCGCACCGGACTTCCCTTCTCATTGTATTTTTCAAGGAGTTTATTGCTTTCACGCTTCCAATATTTTTATGTCTCATGTAACGGCCGGGATATGCCGTGGGGATGGCATGCATCTTTTTCTATTCGTCTCACGATGACCTGAGATCCTATGATAATTTTTTTCTCTCCGAAGATGCAACCTGTAATGATAAGATTGTAAAAGCTGGAGTTAATGGTCCTTTTTTTCATGTTTCTCATCTGTTTTCTGCATCAACGGTGGGGGTTCCTAATGCAATCTGTCATTGTCGTTCGTGTCTTGGGGGCAGAATTTGATTTTCAAACTGTTGTTAGAGCATGAATATACTTTATATCAAAGTTCCGTTTCAAGCTGTAGAGAAATTGCTTTTCGTCCATACAGTACAGGCTTTGTGGCAGTTAGTAGCGGGGAGCTTGGCCTGTATCGAGATTCGACGTAGCTCCGATAAGCAGCTCATGAAAGGGCCGTGTGACGACCTGCCGAGGAACTTGCTTTCAACAATCACCGCCTCCCATTTCGCCAGACCCTTAATATGGCCGACTCGGAGTATACCGATGACGAGACAGAATATGGTGGTCCTTCGCACTCTCAGGCTGTCGTCATGGTCGGTTTGGCCCGTATTTTGCGGTGATTCTCTCTAACATGTGATAGGACGCGCTCCTGACGCCTTTCCGCGCGTTGGTATCCAAGACCGCCCTCCGCATATACCTCAACATTATCCTGTTCTCTGGAGCTACGTTATTGCTTCTGGGAATTTCGGGCATTGCATATGCAATCTTCTACTTCAGATTCATCCCCACGGTCGGGGTGGACCGTGAAATCCACCTGCAATTTGGGTAGAGCATCCAGCTGTCCCTCGCGCGCAATGACGCTAACTGTGGTCTTCACAGTGATCTCAACCTTTGGGGAACCGCATCCTTCGAGTCCGAGTTTGTCTCTTCTCAGCCCTACGATGTGTCTGTGGCACTCGATCTCCCTCGTACGCCTTCGAATCTCGAGGTTGGCAACTTCATGATCGACCTCACCCTCTATGCACCCGAAACCGCATCCGTTCTTCCAACGACGACCAACTCACAGAATAAGATCTCGCAATCGCGCCGACCGGCGATCCTGACATATACTTCACCGCTTGTGGATCTTGCGCGGAGACTAGTTCGCTTGCCGCTGTACGTGTTGGGTTGGCGCCGCGAAGCTGAGACACTAGAAGTGTCGATGATGGAAAAGATGGAATTTGCGCGAGGCGCCCGGAACCGACCGCAGAGCTTGCGGCTTGAAATTCATAGCGACAGAAAGATGCAGATCTACTCGGCGCGTGTTGAGTTCCGTGCGAGACTTACAGGTCTACGGTGGGCATATCGTGATTCATCTATCGTTGGAAGACCTAGCTAATGCATATGTAGGTGGTTCATGTACCGCTGGAAGTTGACTTCCTTTGTTGTGTTTAGTTCCTTGTTCTGGACTGTCTCTATGGCCTCTGCAAGCCTAACATGGTTCCTCTTGACCTGGGTCCTGAAATCCGAGACACCGAAAAACGAGATCAAGGAGGAAGAAGAGCTCCCCGAGGCAATCAAGGAAGAGCTCGGGGAGGATAGCTCATCCAGCGAACCCATCAAAAAGGTCAAGAAGGAAGAACCCGACACCAGCTTGCTTCAAAGCTATCCTGTCGAGGGCGATTATGCAGGTATCGGCTCTGGACGGGAAAGTGCAGAAGCACGAGGGGTACAGAAACGAAGGAGTCATTCGACCGAGGGTAGTTAATCTATGAAAGTAATAGTGATGAGAAATAATGAGTGCAGTTTAATATACCCGTAATAGTTTATTCCATGGCCCTATACGTGATGTAAATGCCGAGGAATGGTTATGATGTGATCTTGGGGCTCTCCCGATCCGATAAAAGCGTTCTGCGGGGCACGTTCTCCGATTTCCTTCATCTTCCCCTCCAATTCCCCTCAATCGCCCAGCCCAACATGCACATTCTGGTCAGTACGGTGTTTCTAACGTCTTAAAATCCTGACCTATGACTGATCTCTACTCAGGTCACCAACGACGACGGCCCGCCGTCGAACCAGTCGTCGCCCTATGTTCATTCCCTCGTCCACTCGCTCCAAGCCGCTGGCCACACAGTCTCCGTCGTTCTGCCTCACCAGCAGCGCTCATGGATCGGTAAGGCGCATATTGTCGGCGCATCCGTGAAACCTACGTATTTCCGCCCCGGTACTCTGCATCAGGAAGATGGGACGATACACCACTTGCCGAAGGGCAGCAATGGCGAGCCCGATGAAGGCGGCGACGAATGGATCCTGATTGATTCGACCCCGGCAAGCTGTGTCCAGATCGGCCTCTACCACTACTTCCAGGAAAAGGGTCCGATTGACGTGGTGGTATCCGGTCCAAACTATGGCCGCAATACTACGGCGCTCTTTGCCCTGTCCAGTGGAACCATTGGCGCTGCGATGGAGGGTGCCGTGTGCGGGAAGCGTTCGATTGCTTTATCGTATGCCTTCAGTTCCCGAAACCATGACCCGGTAATCATCGCAGAGGCATCCAAGCACTCTGTCAAGGTGATTGAATATCTCTGCGCTAATTGGACTGAGGGTGTCGATCTCTACAGCGTCAATGTCCCCCTGGAGCCTGGTGTGAGCCAAAACAAGGTTCTCTACACCGCAATGCTAGAGAACAAGTGGACTTCTGGCAGCTGCTTCGAACCTGCTGACCCCGCTACTGGCGATGATCCCGAGCTTCAAGAACAGCGGCTGCGCGACCAGGGCGAGATGACCGGAAAGAAGCCCGATCCAACTGAGAGCACGACTGATAAGCCAGTTGGGCAACCTAGGATCAAGCACAAACACTTTAAATGGGCGCCTAACTTCCAGGATGTGTATCGCAGTGTTGAGGAGGGTCCTGCTGGGAATGACGGCTGGGTCGTCAAGGAGCAGATGACCAGGTGGGTTTCCATTTCGTGTCTTCTTGGAGGTGGCTACTAATATGCTTTCTTCAGTGTCACGCCTCTCAAAGCGAGTTTCAAGCATATGCCCGGTATCACGGGAGAGATCAAGCTGTGAGTGGAGTTTCAGGCATGATGGTTTTGACGGTTTCTTTGCAAATATACTACACTGTGCTTAGCTATCTGGCCTAGCTGATAGACCTCATGCCCCCTTATTCCCATTTGATATCGTTCTTGAATTTTTTGGTTTTTGATTCGTCTGCAATACTATTCGATATACTTGGAATTGTTCTGATAGAGGAGGTCTATGTAGATCAGATAACCAGCCAACAATATTCTCCGTTGTTGACTGCGACGTTCCCTACGTGCAAGCTCTCGTTGAGCGAGCACTAACCCACCGTCTTGGAGATGCTGTTTCCACCAAGCGCATCTCAGATCTATCTGAACTGCCCGATCCTTCTGCACCTGTATTCCAGTATCGTGAGTACGAGCGACTGGACTTTGAGCATATCATGTCGCACCCGTCGACGTCCCTTGCAAACGCATATATTATCCGCAAGGCTCTGATCCGCAAACATTACTTGTCCAATACGGTGGCCAATTGGATTTCCAAACATCCAGAGAGTATCCTGCGAAACCACTTCAAGCCTGCGTTTGATTTTGAACTCGACTACTCCGAGTTCCTCGATGAAGCTCTTCTGGAAGCTTACGAGTTACGTGAGAGTCTGGAGAAGAATGAGGAGCGGCCAGACTCTGAGAAGGAATGGTGGATCCTGAAGCCTGGCATGAGTGATCGCGGCCAAGGTATTCGACTGTTCAGCACCGAGGACCAACTACGCGAGATCTTCGAAGAATGGGACGAAGAATCCGACGTTGAAGACGAGAGCGACTCTGAGACAAATGCTCCTCAAAATGCGCCTCCCGCTGCACACGACGATGGCGTTGTTACCTCCCAGCTCCGCCACTTCATGGCCCAGCCATACATTGACCCCCCACTCCTCCTACCCTCCTCCTCGCACCGCAAATTTCATATCCGCACGTATGTCCTCGCGACTGGTGCTCTGAAAGTCTACGTCTTCAAAGAGATGCTCGCCCTCTTCGCTGCCAAGTCCTACTGTGCACCTCACGAAGAGGAAGACGAAGTCCAAGACCTGGCCCGCCACCTGACAAATACCTGCTTCCAAGAAGGCGGCAGCTCCAACGAGGGCAGCGTGCGTCGCTTCTGGGATTTGGATCATCACGTCCCTGGCCTCGCAGCAGACTGGAAGGAAAAGGTCTTTGAGCAGATCTGCGCGGTGACAGGTGAAGTCTTTGAAGCTGCGGCGCGAGGCATGATGGTGCATTTCCAGACGCTGCCGAACGCGTTTGAGTTGTTTGGTGTTGATTTCTTGGTGGATGCGGATGGGAATGCGTGGTTGTTGGAGTTGAATGCGTTCCCTGATTTTGCGCAGACCGGTGAGGATCTGAAGGAGGTTGTTGTTGGACGGTTGTTTGAGGAGACGATTGATGTTGCTGTGAAGCCGTTTTTTGGGCTGGGTAGGGACGATGGGAAGGGGAACATGAAGTTGGTTGCTGATTTGGATTTGGGGAGGCATGCATAGATGCGAGTTAGGGGGTTTTTGAATGCTCGTTTGGGTTGTTGGTACTCTAAAATGAGTCAGAGGAGGGATAAAGGTCTGGAAAGGCGTTGAGGATTGTGATGGCATACCCATCAACAAAAAGCTTGGATACACTCCAATTCAAAGATTTCAGAACGCTTTGAAATCAAGAAACCATTGGATATACTACACACAATCATACATATAGAATTCTCCTGCGTCATCAAGATGCCTCGTTCTTCCAGTATATCTTTCCTTCAAAAAGTCGTCGTGCAGTCCGAAATACCGTCGCCGAAGTCAACACCCCATCCGCATCAAAATCAGCACCAACCAGCAAATTCCCACTCGCATGACCAATCGTGATGCCTGCATCATCAACTGGGTCCTTCCCACGAACGACCTCGTTCACCGTGCTCCCAGGCACTCTTGCAGCCGCAGCCAGCGCAAGAGCAACCGTAATTGGAACTGCCTTGTGCGGCTGTCCAACGGAGAGAGCACGAGCCAAGAGGTCAATCTCCGCGGATGTCTGCTTCTGCTTGACATCTCGTGCGTCAGCAGCCGAAGGTACAGCAACGAGACAAATCTTGGGAACACTGCCCGGCACGGCATCTGTAGTAGATGCAAGACCCATCTTGACACCAGCCTGGCGGCGGATGGAATCTAATCGAGGCAGGAGGGTGGGATGAGCAGCGAGTTCGTCTGGTGTCAGATTCCCATTCACACCGAGATCGACGGCTCCGACGAAAACACATGGGTTCGCGGCATCGATGCACGTCGCGGGGATACCGTCAATGGTATCCGTAGCATTGCCTGTTGGCAGCAATTTGCCCGTCGCCGAGCCAGCAGGATTGATGAAATCCAATTGCACTCGCGCCGCAGTCCCCGCTACGCCATCGATGGAAAAGTCCCCGCTCGAAGCAGCTTCACCGTCTACCACGGGAAATGAGGAATGAATGATCTTGCCGGTGTTGGTGTTATGTATGCGCACCGAGGCAGAGTCAAGATCCCCCTGTGGCAACGGGAAAAGTTGCGAGTCCACAGCAAAGGGACCGACGGCACTAATCATGTTCCCGCAGTTACTCGAATAATCAACATCCGTGTTTTTAATCCCCAATGACACGAACGTATAGTCCACGTCCGCGTCGCGATGCGTGGACTTGCCGACCACGCATACCTTGGAGAGACTGGAGATACCGCCGCCTAGACCGTCGAGTTGTCGGCCATAGGGATCTGGACTGCCGATGACGCCACGGAAGATTGGGGCCCAATCTTTGCGATCAAGGGGCAGGTCCTCTTCTTTGAAGAAGACGGCCCGTGATGTGCCGCCGCGGTAGTAAGCGGCTGGTAGGGCGTGTTGCTTGGTATGGAGGAAGCGTCGGCTAGTGATAACTGAGGACCGCGCGGGTAGCCTTGCGGAACTACCGAGACCGAACATGTTTATGTAGTTACATTGACGTAGAGAAGGAAATGGGAGGATGGCGTGTTGATATATTCATAGGGTCATGGTTGCTGGTCGGCAAGGGCCCGAGTGCCGAGAATCGGATATTCGGGAGCGGATACGCGCTGCGAATCCGGAGCACTGATGAGTTGCACTGAATTCCATCGGAGGATTTCCTTGATTCGTGAAGCGGTCTCGGTGAGTGCCAGATGCAATGATAAGAGTTAGGATATAGTAAATGATGGGGTTTGAGGTTTTGTTTCTATAAGGATTCTTAATTGAGAGACAATGGAGAAAAGGCGTGTAACATTGTCGCTAGCAGTCCTATTATCGAGCAGCTGTAGCTATACCAAACAAAAGGCCCTATTTGCGCAGTCTTTTAATTGTAGGACCCATAGCCTCACCTGCCCGCAAAGCCTGCATGGTCTTTTCATCAATCTCAAAGCGCTCCTGGCACAATTCAATTACCTGCTCCAGCAAGGACGGCGGGACCACGACAGCTCCATTCTCATCACCTACGAGAATATCCCCCGGATGTACCCAAAGATCACCTTTAAATTGCACAGGGACATTAATCTCCGAGGCACGAGTGAAAGTGTTTGATCCAAGAACCGAAGTATCCCGCGCAAAGACCTGTTCGCTCGGTAGTTAGTAAAGCTCCTGCCTGCTTTTATGTCTGAAATGGACCCAACCCCCGAATCCCATCATTTTGTCAGTCGTAGATTTGTATGCACTCACAGGATACCCCATCTCAACATGCTCGCTCGTATCCCTCATCCGCCCATCAATCATCGTCCCCAAGCTCCCTAATTTTTGCGCCCGAGTCGACATCAGACCACCCCAGCACGCCGAGTACATCCCCTTCGGTTGCTGAATGTACATAATATGGCCCTCCTTATTCGCGTCAGCGAAATGCATCGCCGGTGTCGGGCCGGGACTATTGGTCTCGACCATTTTCACTGTGATTGCTGGGCCATAGATGCTCCCGCCACCGGGAGAGTACATCTTCAGGCCGTCTAGGAAGCCGCCATAGGGCTGTTTGAGCTTGACTAGGGCATCGCCGATCTGGATTGGTGGCGTTTAGGTTAATGCAAACTGATGAGGGATGCTGGTTATAGGGGAGTGGCCTACGTCACAGGTAGTGAAGCGCTTTAGACCCTGGAGGGTTTGGGAGATGTTGCTCATTGTGGTTTGGATGGTGGTTGAAGCTCGTGATGTTGTCTGGGTAGTTAAATTGTTGGTCAGTTAAGTCGGTACCCACCTCCACTGGAGCATATACGAGTTGACTAAGCGGACATCCACACGAAAGCATTGATTAACTAACTAAACCAGGAAGTTAGCTAAATAGTTACATTATCATGTAACAGACAGCGTAACAAATTGCCTTTGTCTCGATTATGCTGCAATCCGAAGATGTTTTTATTTGATTGGCCATGGTTTTTGTACTCGACAAGCGGGTGTCGTAACTTTGATAAACCCACAGTGTCATGTGACCGTGTTCCGATCGGAAGGCGGATCCACCATTCGCTAGGGCCACACGTCCTTGCTATGTACTCACTCGTCTTATTCAACTCCGTTCAGCTCCTCCATGTCGAAGTTTGATTTTAGAGACCCCTCAACCGGCAATATATCTAGCAAATTGAAACAGGACTGAGCAACAATTAAGTCCAGCTCCAAACAGATCGTCCGAGCTCTGAAATCTCACAGATAATGGAACCAATCACGCCACAGACACCTCGCTCTCCTATGAATGCTTGCGTTGCATGCAAGCGTGGTAAAAGGGGGTGTGATAGAGCAGTACCAAGCTGCTCCTACTGTGTGCGGTAAATAAACTCCATATATTCTTCCAATTCTTCTTTATCTTCCGGCAGCTAAGCCCTAATGAACACCAGAGTGAAGCGAATCTGTACTTATGATGAAGGCACCTTCACTTTCACGACGTTACCGGATGTTGCTTTCGGGGACTCCCTAGTACTCTCGGTATTTCTCTGATCCTTGCTAGGTCATCTTACTGGTCTGATCACGCCCTCACCAGGAACCGTGGGCGACTGCAATCATCGCTCACTTCCGGTCGAGTGCTCTTAGCGCCCTTGGCTCCGTGGAAAAGACACGAAAGATGTCTCATGTGTACTTTAGCTCGACTCATTATAAGCTGGCAGTTCTATCTGAAAAGAAATTCTACGACCGCCTGCCTAGCCTTTTCTCGTCCGCGGATCCAAGCTTCGTCACGCTATGCCTTTGCATGCATTTATTACAACAAACCCCTTCGCCTTCGATTGATAGCATGATATCGTCCCTCTATGTCCTTGCTAAGACAGGTATTAATCAGCTGGAAACTTTGCGTTGCTATTCGATAGACACAATCCAAAGCATGCTATTGATTGCGCTTTATGAAGCGGGTCATGGAATATACCCGGCAGCGTCTATATCGATGGCATCTTGTGCGAGAGCAGCCCGGAACCTCGGTCTGCACAAAATCAGATCTAAGCCACTTTCTGAAAGTGAAGATGAAATTGACGAGAAAAGAAGGACCTGGTGGGCAATCCACAATCTCGATAGGTACGTATAATTGCGAGTCACTATTACCACAGTGCTACCTTATCCGCGGTATCTAAAGAATCGTTGAGAAGATGTGCTAATTAAGACGCGAAGGTTCATAAATCTTTTCAACGGGGATGCCATTTTCAACAGTGAAGATGCGGGTCGGGAAGACCCTTTACCTCCTGATGACGGATCTCCTTTATCAGAGGTCAGCATTGCTCTTCAATTGTCTCGAAGGATTCGGAAACCTATCGATTCCTCTAACTAACACGGTGAGATAGCCTCTATTCGCTCATATCAAACCAACCATTGCCACACCTGCGCCTTTCAGGCTAGGCCAATTCGCACGGGAATGTCAGGTGTCACATCTTGTCGGGAGAGTTGTTCGTCATGTCTTCAGTCCTATTTCCGACACGCACTTCCACGAAGAGGAGGCTACACAGCTCGAAAGGACATTATTATCATTTCTTCCTCTCTTGATCGAGGAAGAACTTCAATTCAGTAACTATTGCGGAGCTCTGTCGACCTGCGTAAGGTGACTTTTTCCCCGTTCTGTCGTTCCACATTGTTCATTTATGAGAGTCCTAACATGTTCTATTCGTATTCCTAGCTCCCTATTTACACTATACGCGGCTCCCCTACTTCACTCACAGTGCCGAAGTCTCGATGAAAATGCCGCATTGCTCGCTATGGAACAGCTTTCTGCGAGGATGGCCGAAATTTCGGATTACATCTTAGGCTTTGCTCAAGACGAAAACAAGCGCTTTATGTTGTCGCCTTTCGTGCCGTATGCCTTATACCAGACCGCAGTAATAGAATTCCGTCTGTGGAAGCAGAAGGGTGAATCACAACATAAGGAAAGAGCAGACAGAATGGTACAATTACTCCGCCATTTTAGCAAGCGCTGGTCTATAGCCGGTAAGTTAGCTATTTGGCAGCCCTGTGACATCCAGTATCTATAGAGAACTGATATAGCAGCTGGGGTACTCAGGAAAGTACTTAGCCGCATTGAACTCCCCTCACCCACCAGTGACCCTACCAGCGCAGGAGTTTTACATCAGCGAGGAATCCCGTGAAAATGAGCCTTAGGATATAAACAGGAAACAGAAGGTCTCCACGCAGGAGAATATATAAAATAACCTCGTTGGGGCTGATCATAAGGCGCGCGATCGAAACCGAGTTCTTGAAAGGACCACTTCTCGTTGAAGCTAAAGACTCAATCTCCTTAGCTTTTCAAACATTTTCAAACACCGCAGAATGATCGACAACTTAATCATAATCTTTTTCTTCGGAGGTACAGATGATTACAGTACAGTGATCAATTCAAACATTGAATTAGAAAACCATAATTTAAGAAACAGGATCGAATCTTTCTTTAATAAAGCTCAAACGAGAATAATACCCAAGCATCTTTCGCTCTGCCATCCTAGTTCAACCTTTGAGCTGCCCCAAGAAAGAGATGATCTCGTCGGCAATCTCCTCGGCATGGCTCTCTGACGCAAAATGACCAGCGTCGAGAAACTTGACCTGCGCATGAGGAATATCTTTCTTAAATGCTTCAGCGCCAGAGGGAATGAAGAAAACATCATTCTTTCCCCAGATGGCCAATAAAGGCACTTGAGAAGACCTGAAGTATTCTTGAAAGTTCTCGTAGAGCGCAACATTGTTCTGGTAATCCATAAACAAATCAAGTTGAATATCCTTGTTCCCAGGACGTTCCATCAGTGCGTAATCTAACGTATAAGACTCTGGTGCGATGCTGCTGGCGTCAGGCGTCCCGTTAAGGTACTGGAACTTGGTAATGTCATATGTCAACATTGCATCCGCCACTTTGGCTCGATCCGCTGGGGAATTCTCGCTGGCCCAGAAATCTTGGATAGGACCCCACACGTCGCCGAATCCCTCCTTATACGCGTTTCCGTTTTGAGAGATGATGGCCTCAATAGCATCCGCGCGCCGCAGTGCCAGACGAAGACCAACCGAGGCACCGTAGTCGAAGATGTAAATCGAGAATTTTGAAAGGGAGATGGCGTCTAAAAATTCTTCAAGCGTGTCGGCGAGTGTCTCGAACGAATATTTGAACCCTTCCGGTACCTCCGTGAAGCCGAAGCCTGGGAGATCCGGTGCCACAACACGATATTTGGCAGCAAGGAGGGGAATCAATTTTCTATATTGATGGGATGATGAAGGAAAGCCGTGAAGGAGGAGGATTGTTTTCGTCGGAGTCTTCCCGCCAAGCTCTCGGTAGAACATGCGCACTTGACTCTTTGGTAGAGTGATTGTCTTGATTTGGGCAGACATGATGCAAGGCGCTTCGAGAATAGCCTTAGAGATTGTTATTCACGATGAAAGAAAATGCTTGTGGAGTGTATTTATGACGCTGAACTCTATCCGGAGTTCCGTGGGGATGGGATGATCGACTAATGTGTGGTTTTCGAGGATCAGAATGGCCCTTAAACTCGGCGGGCCACCCTTCTCTTTTATATATTTGCATGCAGAGCAATTATTCATGTGCTTTCTCATTCTCTTAACCGTCTAATCGCGGAAGTAGCCTTGTGCTGTCAAGAACTGACGTCAGTACTTGGCCCCGGACTAGTCCGCACGCTAGTCCGCGCACTAGTCCGCATATCAATCTGCATGCTAATCCGCAGGCTAACCCGCACCCGCAGGCTAACCTTAACCTGGAGAGTCCGCAAGGTATATTGTACCATTGGCCGTGGTCCTTGGTGAACCTTGTGCTTTACATCTTCCCGAGATGTTCAAGGAATAATCCTCACAAAGCTGACAAACTAGAATTCCAAATTACTTTCCCGTCCGTGTCAGACTCACGAAGAAACGGTTAGAATGGCAAATTTCAATTTGAAATCAAAATGACGGAATGTAACCGGTAAGCCAAGGTAAACACCGCTTCCGGCATTATAAATGTAAGGTAGGACAGCGATGTGACCCTGGCGTTAACATTCGCAAGACAAAAGATTTCCTTACCGCTTCTTTGGATTTCCGACTTGATCCTCTTCGTCGCTCTTGAAGTGCAACATTAACCATGAAGGCCATTGTAATTGAAAAGTTTGGGGGACCTGAGTCTCTTGTTATCAAGGACGTTCCCCGACCTGAACCAGCGAGCGGCTCCGTGGTGATTCGTGTGAAAGCTTTCGGAGTCAATCATGCTGAAATGCATATGCGGAAAGGCGAGTGGGCGGAGTGGATGCCTATCAGTGGCATTGAGTGCGTGGGTACAGTAGCGGCATGCCCTGGCGGCGAGTTCGAGGAGGGAACTCTGGTGGCGAGTGTCATGGGCGGCCTTGGGCGCACTGTCAACGGTAGCTATGCCGAGTTCACGAGGGCTAAGGCCTCAAATGTCGTTGCACTTGGCCCAGCAGCTGCAAAACTTCCTTGGGACCAGCTTGCTGCCATTCCAGAATCATATGCCACCGCATGGACTTGCCTCTTCCGAAACCTTGAACTCTCAAGTGGACAAAAGCTCTTAATCCGCGGCGGGACCTCTGCGTTTGGCAGAGCAGCTATCAATCTCGCCGTCCACGCTGGAGCTCACGTTACTGCGACAACTCGAAATGAAGACCGGGCCGCTCAGTTGACAGCCCTTGGAGTGGAGAAAGTGGTGAAAGAAGGACCGAACTTGTCTGAACGCCTTCCCGAAAAGTTCGATGCGATTCTCGAGCTTGTGGGCAACAGCACCATCCTTGACTCTCTGAAAATGGTGCACCGTGGTGGGAGGGTTTGCCTGGCGGGCTTTTTTGGGCGGCCTAGCCTCGATCCCAGATTTCAATCCACTCCTGCAGATGGCAAGCGGTGTTCATTTCAGCTTCTTTGGCAGTTTCGCTTTCGGGACACCTGAATTTCCCTTGTCAGATGTGCCCCTCCAAGAAGTCGTCAAGATGGTTGCAGATGGAAAAGTGAACGCCAAACCATGGAAGGTTTTCAAGTTTGAGGATATTGGCGAAGCTCACCGTTTGATGGAGAATAGTGAGGCCCAGGGTAAAATGGTTGTGCTCGTGGACTAGTATTCCTAACTAGAGTCGGACAAGTCCTTGGGAGAATTGCTAAAACGACACCCAAAATTGTACAATGGCAGAGTTTTTCACTGCTGGCCTCCCCCAGCTGTTGCTCTACATCAATCCGTCAGTCATTTATCTGGGTTTGTATAACTTTTGAAAACACTATAAGGCAAGGCCGGAGTCGATGTCCGCTTTAAGCCTCGCTGGAATTGCTAGCCAGGATATAGTACATGGTATTCTGACCGTGTTCTGGGCTCTGATGGTTCGACCCTGGTCAGCTCGAATGTCGACTCTTGTGTGGCCTGCTTTGATCATGTCATATAGCTTCTTTTTGTGGCATCTGGTAGACAATGTGGTCTTTGCTGCATTGCAGGGGAGGTTGCTATGGGTTGCTATTAGAGGAAGGGGGGTCGTTTCTAGTGAAGGTCAAGGAAAAAGTTCAGGATGAAGATGAAGAGGCATCTTTACCAAGCACAGTGCGAGATTCTTATTGAGCAATTGAGGATTTAAGAATAGGATCACAACATATATGAAGTCCATATTGACATGGCCACCCCGATAGTGATTTTATCAAGAGCAGATCTTATTATTCAAGCTGATTGAGAGGATGATAATAATGTATGTCAGTACGAGTCTGTAGTAACTCGTCGATCGCGGAACCGTCGCCCCGCACGGAATACTCCTACGGAGTTCCGAGTCACGCCTTTGGTGACTCACGACTGCATCTTTCAAGGCTTCTTCTCTTCATTGATGCTCCTTCGCATGGAAATCTTTTTGCTACAGACCTACAACTTGTGACCAGCGTCTTTTCTCTTCCTAATCCTACCAATTATCCCGAATATCGTTCTCAATATACGTCTTTGCGGGGCACATTCACTGTCAACACCTCCCTCTCCTTCACCAACCATAAAAACTCCAAGTTGATAGTCGAGATGGATCGCCCAGTCGGACCTCCCGTGGAGGTCAAACAAGCCCTGCCACCACCCTCCACCACAATCACAGGTCGCTCCGTCCAACTCGAGCCATTAACCCCCACCCACATTGACGACTTGTATCCCCTCATCGGTCAACCCGAACAAGCCCCTCTATGGACATACATTCCCAAAGGCCCGTTCAACGACAAAGCCTCCTTCGCAGAACTTATCACGACCTACTCCAACTCCAAAGATCCATTCTTCTACGCCATCATCAACAAAACCACCCAAAAACCAATCGGCATCTTCAGCCTCCTCCGCATCGACCTAACCAACCGCGTTATCGAAATAGGCTTCATAGTGTTCTCTCCTCTTCTCCAGCGCACGACCGCTGCCACGGAGGCCGTGTATCTTCTCGCCAAAACGGTCTTTGAGGATCTGGGGTACCGCCGTTTCGAGTGGAAATGCGATAATCTGAATGCGCCGTCGAAGAGGGCAGCAGTACGGTTTGGATTTACGCCTGAGGGGGTGTTTCGCCAGCATTTGATTGTGAAGGGGCGGAATCGGGATACAGCTTGGTTTTCGATTTTGGATTCCGAGTGGCCGGTTGTAAAGGGGGCATTTGAGAAGTGGTTGGATCCGGGAAATTTTGATGCGGACGAGAAGCAGGTCCAGTCTTTGGTTGAGTTGAGGGGAGTTTGATATGAAAAGCGAGCGAGTCGTTTTACTTGGCCTATCAGATGCATTTCGGGATATAGAACATGCCAGGAAAGTGATTAGACAATGTAATAGATATCGTGTGAAATGATGAACACTGGTAAATATGAATTCCTAAATAGGGAAAAGGGTATATGAAGGATCTAGCCAAACCGCTGCTTCGCCAACGCCTGCAGCCAACCGATAGTCTCGTCCTCTTTCTCCCTATACTTCTGCACTCGCTCCTCTCGCTCCGCAGCCCGAGCTCGCATAATCTCCTCCCGTCGAATCTCCCGCTCATTCTTCTTCCGCTGCTCCTTCTCTTTCTCTCTCTTAAGAGATGCAAAGTCATTATCCCCCATAATCTCCGCGTCGGGAGCTGCTTCTGGTGAACCCCCACGAGCATCGGCAAAGGCACGATTCGCAGCAGCGGCTTCCCGGCGTTTCTCAAGCTGACGCTCTCGGGTGCCAGGTTCGGCTCGCGGGGTGATTTCGTCTTCGAGATGGCGTATCTCGGCCTTGTGAGAACGCAATTCGGAGCGGTATTGTTGTCGTGAGTCTTCGCGGGCGGCAGTTGCGTCTTCAATTGCAGTTTCTTTGGGACGGAATGTTAGCTCGTTGCTGTTTCGCTGGAGGGAGTTGTAAAAGCTTACCGCGCTTGAGTTCAAGATCTTGCATGTTCGGTATAGTTGGGCCAGAATGGCTGACATCTCTCGTAGACCCTGGGACCGGCAATGTTGGCCCGTATTCTTCCTCATCGTCCTCGTCATGGCTCGCTGGCGGCGCCGCTCCCACATCCCGGGATGGACCACCTCGTCCATAGTCCGGCGATGCCCTCTCTGTTGGGCCGGGTTGATATTCTGCAGCACTCTTGCGTGCTCTTTCTAGTGTAGCTGGATCATACCATCCCTCGGCGAGTTCACCAAGATTCCTGTACGATCAGCAATGTCCGCCCTAGTAAGAGAAACCCCGAACTTACCATTTGCGAATGAAACTCTTCCACCGCCCTTTCACCTCCTCCTCTGACAGATCTTCAATGAGCAGTCCTTTTTGTATGTCCAAGTACATTGCAAACATCGCCTCGTAGGCCTCCAAATCCCGTCGTGAGAGCTCGCGCGCCTGGCACGGGAGGACCACGGGCTGCGCTGGGGCGTCTCCTTTTCGTTTGTCATGACGATCCCTCTCTGTTCGTTCTCGGCGGTCCCCTCGTTCCTGACCATGTCGATGATGACGCTCAGATCGGTGGCGGTCCGATCGGTGGGGAGAGCGAGAGCGCGAGTGATCGCGGTGTCGGTGCCGATGGGAATGCGAATGCGAATGCGATTGGCCGTGGTTATGGCGGCTGCGGTGGTCCCGGCGACCTGACTCGTGTTCTGTTGAAGGCGATGGTTGCTTTGAAGATCTTTCGGGGGATGGCATAGTGACTATGTTGAAGCTGTGATGGTTGATTAAAGGAAGTGTCAAGTTTTCGAGGTTCCGAGGTTGCGCTCCTTATCTTATCGGGAAGCCATTTCATCTCTACCACTCTTTCATACCTGCTCCTTTTCACGGCTACGGCTGATAGAAAATAATTAAAAATCAAATGCAATCCCTGTATGAATCAGAAGAAGAATAATCCGTAGTGGTAAATACATCTAAGCGAAGAGGTATACAATTTCCAGTTCAAGCTTTGTCCTGAATCTAGCTGGCGGAGGCACTCTGCTCGCTGCTGGAGCCAGCAGGCTTATCGGCCACTGGGGCAGCGCTCGACTGAGAAGAGCTCTTGGATCGACCGGAGGCAGCCATCTGCCAAGCCGGAATGGAGGCGGAGCGACCAAGCTTGGCAAGAGGGCTGTCAGCAGCTGGAGCTGGCGCTGGCGCAGCAGCCGGCTGGGGCTCCTGCTCGGCCGGGGTCACGGTGGCCTGCAGGCTGTTGGTGGCGGGAGCAGCAGCAGGAGTGGGCTCAGGAACCGGCTGGGGAGTCACGGATGGAGTAATTGTAGAGCTGCTGAGAGTGCGACCAACGGTGGGAGCACCGCCGCTGCCACCCAGTCGGTTGCCCAGCAAGACCTTCAAGCTCTTCAACTCAGATCCGAGCTCCTTCAGACGGTTCTCGTTGCCCTCCCGAGCGCCTTCCAGGGCCTTGGGAATCGCATCCTTCAATGACTTGACCTCATCGCTGATGCGGCGGGTCTCGTCGTCCCTCCGTCGCGACGCATTCTTCAGGTCTGCAACCAGATTCTCCACATCCTTCAAAGCCGAATCCAGACGCTCAGTGCGAGCATCCTCGGCGGCCTTCAAGGCTGCGGTATCGGTCGAAAGCTGTTCAATCAGATCAAATGCACGTGAAAACTGCTCGTCGATGTTCTCCTTGTCTTGCTCCAACTGGGGGGAGTCGGCGGGGCAATCAATGGAGCAATGTAGCGCTGATACAGAAGTATTAGCAGGTGAAAGCATGCCAGTATTACCGAGTATAGCGAGTCATACCTTGCCAACGAAGTACAATCCATAGCCCACGCCACCCATCACCGTTGCCATTATAAACCAGTCCCGCCAGTCTCTCTTCGGCGGCCTGTCATGCGATCAGTCTCCGATTCAAGAGGTAATCGAGTGAGTACATACTCTGGAGGCGGCTGCCATTGATTATATGGAGGATAGCCATATCCCTGTGGTGATTGTGAGGGTGGTCGGTATGCAACCTGTTGTGAGGTGTACTGCGACGGCGCAGAGACGGTTCCAGAAGCCGCGGCCGCGGCAACCGGGTCTTCGCCGACTCGCGATAAGGCGAGATCGACCTCCTCTTGTGTAAGATTCTTGGATTGCAGGAATGCCACCCGCTTCTCAATAGGCGACGAAGCCACCGAGGGATCCTGTAGGACTGCGTGACAGTTAGCGCGCAACTTCTCCACCTCGCCATACCGTGGGGAATGGGGATTAATCATACAGGTCACCTAGTAAGCATGAATTAGCGACCGAATGCGGCGGAGAAAGATAATGACAAAGAACTTACCGCAGAGGCAATTAGCTCCTCTCGAGGAGCCATGTTGAAATTCTGCTGTCAATCACTGACGGGGACGATGCAAGAGGAGAAAGTCCAGAGGCAGGGGAAGTGACCGTCATCGGCACCGGCCGTGGACCTCGGAACTTAGGACCGCCAAGCCTCACTTCCCCAGACCGAAGGTCTCGTGATCTTCCCGGCGCGACTGTTTTTCCAGAGTACACCCACCGCTTTCCGCTTCCGGAAGTGGCACGCTCTTGTTTACATCTTCCCGCCGAACCCTACCTGCACGACAAACCAAGTCCCCCTCATCCAGAATTTTGCGCCACGAGTCCAGATTTAAGCTGTCAGTACTGGGACCTTGAACATATTTATTCAAGTTTTACACGAGTCAAGTTTTAATTTCGCCGCGACCGCGGCCTTGTTTTCACCATGTCGCAAGATACTGGGCTGTTCAGCATCAGGCGCCCCCGAGAGGTATGATGATGAACAGTGTACCCAGCTGTCGCAAAGAGTTCCAGGTGCTAATAATCAAATGAAGACCCTCGGGAGTGTACAGAACTATTCTTCCATCCCCCAGCCTTCGTCAGCTATGAAGCGCACGAGCTCCATTGGCTTCAACAATCCCCCGTTTACCTCGCAACACGCCCGCTCAAACTCCCTGTTGAATTCAACGAGCCGACCTCAGCAACCCAATTTCACGCGCATGTCGATGGCTGGCCCCGAGGCTGGTCTCTCGTCTGTACGCCGATCCGTGTCGAGTAACATGTTCCATGGTGCCAGTGCTGGGCGGCAAAGTTTTGCGCCGGGTTCACTTTCGTCTAATTCTGCGTCGCAACAGAACTTGCAACGCCGCAGCAGTGTCTTTTCGCGCCCTTCAGTGGGTGGACCCATGGGTCACCAATCTTTCTTCAACTCGGTTCCAGCCGTTGCAGGTGTGCCTAGGGACCCTCGACCGCTTCGCGACCGATCATTCCAAGCGCGCATCGGACAGGAGTTACTAGAGTATTTGACACACAACAATTTTGAACTGGAGATGAAACATTCGCTAGGACAGAATACTCTCCGCTCCCCGACCCAAAAGGATTTCAACTACATCTTCCAGTTCCTTTATCACCGCATTGACCCAGGCTACAAATTCCAGAAAGCGATGGACGCAGAAGTTCCTCCCATTCTCAAGCAGTTGCGATATCCTTTTGAGAAGGGCATCACCAAGTCCCAGATCTCGGCCGTGGGTGGCCAGAACTGGTCCACTTTCCTCGGTATGCTACACTGGCTGATGCAATTGGCACAGTTGATGCAACGATTTGATAGTGGAGAGTATGACGAGGCATGTGCTGAAGCAGGAGTTGACGTTACCGGGGATCGCATCATCTTCCGTTTCCTCACTGGCGCCTATCATGACTGGCTGCAAGGTGGTGAGGACGAGGATGACGAGACGGCAGAGCAACGATTGGTTCCCCACATCGAGGCAATGTCGCAGGAGTTTGCTCGCGGTAACGAGCGATATGTACAGCATATGGAAACATTAGAGGCAGAGAATCAGACCCTCCGTGAGCAGATCCAGGAAATGGAGAAGAATGCCCCAGACCTGGCCAAGCTGGACCAGCACTTCCGGATCCTGGAGGATGATACGAGGAAGTTTGAAGACTACAACCAGAATGTCAAGGGCAAGATCGAAAAGTACGAAACACGCATCAAGTTCCTGGACGCAGAGATCCAAAAGACCGATGCGGAACTCCAGGTCACGGACAATGAGCGTGCCGAGCTTCAGGCCAGTGTCGACCGGCAGGGGATCACCATTCAAGATATCGATCGCATGAATACGGAACGAGAGCGGCTTCAGAAAAGTCTTGAAGATAGCATGGCTCGATTGGAGGAGACCCACGCCCGCGTCATGGAGAAGGAGGCCGAAGCAAGCCAGAAATTGGAGGATCTGGAGCAAATTGTCAAGGCGTACAACACACTGGGCTACCAGACGAGCCTGATCCCGTCCTCTGCCGTAAATGCCAAGGGCCAGGACTATGAGCTTACTCTCAACGTCAATGAAAACAATTTCTCCGCCAGCCAAATCGGAGGTGCGCCCAATCGGATATCGTCAGAGGGCGATCGCCTCTTAGCCGAGCCTTACACGGGCTATCACCCGGCCCATTTGCTGAATTTGGATCTTCGGGGCTCCGTCCGCAATAGCCTGCAATCGTTGCGCAAGGAGATCAACGAGCGGCGGAAAAAGGCGATTGACGACGACCTTGATCGTCGCAATCTACTCGACAACATTAAGGAGGCGATGGATGAAAAACGCAGTGAGGTCGAAGCTCTGGAGCACCGGCGCCGGGCGGCGGAGGAGGAGTTTGAACGCACCAAGGAAATTACCACCACTCAGAAGACGGCATCAGACGCCCAGATCGAGAAGATGGAGAAAGAACTCGCCAAGATGCGGGCGACACTCAGCGATAGTGTCCAATTGATGGAGCAGCGCGAGATGAACACCAACATCGAGTATGAACAGTTGACACTTCGAGCCAATGCGCTACGAGAAGAGTTACATACCAATGTTGAGACCATGCTCAACGATGTTATTCGCTTCAAGGTCCATGTACAAAAGGGCTTGGAGGACTATGAGAGCTTCGTGGTGGACGAAGTGGAGCAGGAGTTGGGTGGCGATTTACCTGCAGACGAGGAAGAGGAGCTATGAGATGTTTTGGTTCTACGTTCCCCCTTGTGTTTACGAAGTGATGATGAAGATTTGGCATCGGGTTGATTCTACGGTTGTTCTGGTATCACGTTAATTACCTTATCTGATGTGTACATGTTTAATACCCCAGCAATTACAATAGCCCAAAGATGCAGTGATGCTATTTTAGATGGAGGACGCGCAATGCCGGGTGGGCCAAGCGTGTCGCAGATCATTAGCATGAGACTTGTGGCGTTTTCCTCGACTTTCTTTGCTTTCTTTGCTCTTCTCAGCCTGCTGTTCCAGTAAGACGAGGTGGACTCCACTTGGTGCACGTTCCAGCGCTAGTCGGCACTGTACAACGGAGGATATGCCTCCATTGATTGACTGCGCAATGTGTATGTTGGATGTTGCCCTGGACTCTGCAGAACCTCCTCCTTAGCGTGTTTCTTGACCACTACTTTGTCTGGGTTTTGACCAATCACTCAATCCCACGGGTATAGTGTGGCCCCGCTCTCGTCCCTCCTGAATCTCAATCTGAAGCAGTTCAGTGGACCGATCGGCAGACGACGTGTAAGCTCGAGGGGGAGAAGACCTCTCTACTGCCAGCCTCCTGACTTGCTCGTTTCACGTTAAACGTCTCCACGAACGAACACACCGCACGGCGCTTGACGTGATTGCTTTTGCAGCTTGTCCTGCCTTTTTGGGACAGACTGACAACTCAGCGTGGCGCCATCTGCTTCAGAACCTGCCCCTGGTGGCCCTGAAGAGCCCTGGCGAGGCTCCTCCTGTTGAGCCCCTTCCCCGGCAGGCGGCCCAACCTCGCCTTCATGCCGGGCTCCTGCGTCGGCTCCACATGGAAAGTGTGGAACTATATCGCACCAATATGGGTCTGCTGTCGATAGTGCTGCCCATATACCTGCCGTATACCTGCGCGATGATCAACCCTGATTCGACATATTGACCCTGGATGGTCCGTATGAGAAACCGCCAGTTGCAGATTATCAATGCCGATCTCCACAATTCCCTAGGTAGGACAGTCGGTCTAGATATCTCGGATATTCCAGACAGCGGACCTGGTCTCCAAACCGAGACGGGATGCTAAGTCCATAATGCGAAATGCAGAAAACGGCTCGGGATACGAGGTATATAAGGCCCTCGAAATCCTCCTTCAAAGCCTTTTTTGAATCACAGTGCTGTGCGCTTTCCTTTCACTTCTACCAACTTGAGATCAATCGTCACCGAGTGACTCAGTCGTTCTTTTTAAACCCACTTTCTTTTTTTTTTTACAAACACACACATCTTCACCATGAAGTTCAACGTTATCTTCGGCCTGGCTGCCGCTCTGGCTCTGGCTCCCAATGCCGTTGCTTTCAACCTGGTACGTTGTCAGACCAGCCAAGATCCTCTTATCCTCTCTGATAGCTTCATACTCAACGTTCTGTCTTAGTTTGGCAACCAGCAGGATGCTACTCCCACCTCTGGTGCTCAGCCCTCCGGTACTGTCCCCAGTGGTCTCCCTCAGGGCTCCAGCAGTGGATCTGAGGGTGGTTTCGGCGGTGGTGCGCATGAGTCTGGTCGTCCCCGGGCCTCTGGTACCGCCCCATCCGGTGGTGCTGAGCCCAGCGGTGGCATCGGCCATGGTCATCATGGTCACCATGGCCACCATGGCCACGGTGGTCAGGGCGGTTTCCCCTCTGGAGGCGCTCAGCCCTCTGGTAGCTTCGGTGGCTTTGGTCAGGGTGGTGAAGGTGGCGCTACTCCTACTGCTGCCCCCTCCGGCACTTTCGGTGGCTCTAGCGGCTTCATCACTGTCTCCGGTGCTCTCCCTACTGGCTCAGCTGTCCCTGAGTCCGGTAGCTCCTCCGTGGGCAACGAGCAGTTCGAGCGTATCCACGCCCGTCAGATCCGCCCGTTCTAAGTTTAGATCTTGGGTAATCACGCCCTTTTCGGATATCCCCGTTGCTCCGTGTGAAATAGGTCAAAGCTGTGTTACTGTGGCTGCTGGTTCAGTCATAAAGAGAAAGTGTTATGTATCATAGCCTGCAGTTCATGCAAATGAGCGTCCTTTTGCTCCTATGAAAACTGATCGTACAATTGTAAGATAGTGTGTAACTATGTTAATCTCTCTCGTGAGGACTGAAAGGATAACCCGACTACTCCATATTCATTTCTTCCTCAGTCGGCAGTCGACAAGAATCCGCCAGCCCAGTGACCTTCCACTCCCCATTCAGCTTATGAAGTACAAATAGGTCCACCCCAACGTGATCCACAGCCCCATTGATTTTGGCCCGGAACGGGGCCCATACAGTGGCAAGGTTCCCCGTCTCGTGAACCTTCACTTCAGGATCCCAAATTCGCTCATCAATAGTGTCTTTGAGCGCGGCCACATGTTCAATGAAGGAGCCGATTGTACAGAAACGTAAGGCCGTAGGCGATGGAGGTGCGAGGGACATGCCCCCGGCTCGAATGCAGTGCTTTTCAAAGTCAACTCGGGATTTGGTATTCAGCGCTGTCAGAAACCCCTGGGTGGTAGCAATAATAGCTTGGGTCTCCTCCGATAGGTTGGGTTCGAGTGCGAGATTGGCGCAGGCGTGGGTTGGTATTGTCCAGCACATTTTCATAGGAGGCATAGACTAGGTATAACCTATGGACGTAGAAGAGGGTTACAGGCTTGGGTCCTATTGTCTATTTTACATCAAGTTACTTGAAGGGGCAAACGTTCTGGACGCAGCGGGCTGCTTCTTCAGGGCATCGCTAGCATCGCTGGCACCGTTGCAACCTCCTCCCGCCCCGTATTGTGCAACGTTGTACAGACTCCTATCCAATTATAGGATATATTGGGATCTCTTGATCTCCGAGAGTATGCATATCCTTGATACATCATTAGCAAGTAAGTTGGAGTGGTGGACTCACCCTCTCGATGTGAAGTAAATACGGCGACTCCTATTGGCCACAGCAACTTACGCTGAGTCAGCATGCTGGGTCCGCCCAGCCAAATTTCCAGCTTCACGATTTCCTCCGCGATCGATTAACGCTCCCCCTCGCGACGAGAAAATACCACCCGTGACTTTGCTAGAGTTGATGCTGTGTCAAAGGTACAGACCTGGAGACCTCCACGACATGTGCACATCGTGATCGATCCCGAAATGCGCCACATTACACTTGTGCCCATTGAGACCGTGTTTCCTCCGCAGGCGTCCTCCGCGGGACTGATTGCCGTGTCATGAGAAGGTGCTTGAGCGCCGGTCGGCTTCTGCGAATTGGCCGCGTGCCAATTGTGCCTCGCCTGCCTGCTCGCTCACTTCCATCGGTATCCCGCCTCCAGACTCGTTTCGCCTCGACGATAGACCGGAGAACGCTCACCGACGACGAGTATCAACTTCTCTTCTCATACAATGGACCGCCGTCTATTCCTCTCGACTCATCGCAAAGGACCAACCCCGAGAGTTGGCTACCGATATTAGCGAAATGTGCACCGCCACGCAATACGCAGACGCAGAAAAAGACGAAACCGACCCAGCCTGGGGAGCAGGTTGGGTCTCTGCTAGAACACGAAAATGAGCTACTTCGCGCTCATACGCTGATGGGCTATCTATGGCTGGCGAGGACATATTCGAATTTGAATCTATTGGGGCACTTGGGGTTTGATCTCAATCAGTGGTCTACGGTGCATGCCTACTTGACCCAGCTTATCGACGCATATGAAACTCTCGTTCCGTACATGGCCTCGCAAAATGCATTTCAGGGATTCGATTGGAACGTGGATGGCCTGTCTTTGGACGAGCTTACAGATAGGGATGTCCGACGCCCAAGCCAGTCGATGAAACCGCTTCCGCCATCTGATATAGTTCCCCTCGACCTTTTGACAGAACGGCCTGCTCCGCGGGATCTTGGAGATAGGTTTCTGGGTGAGGTTTTGCTAAACTTAGGCTATATTGTGCTAAGAGCTGCCGACGCACCAAAAGAAGAAGCCAATCTCGCCATGTCTCATGTATTCCGAGTCCTTGCTCGCCTGCATCATCTGGATTTGATCTCCGACAGAGTCTATCTATATCCAAGGAACGACCCCAGCCAAGTTTCATTTCGTCCACCCGGTCTCAACCTATTATCAAGCCATATTATGAGCGTCTTGTCTGACGCTGCATGGCTTGAACACGAAGCTGCACTCGCAACGGCAGCAACAGAAGCGGGCGAGGAGCCACCGTTCCTCCCTTTTAAAGTGGGAGTCCGCGAGCTTGGCCCTGAGATCTGGTTTGAGTTGGTTCTCTGGTGCTGTGTCGAGCATGGATTCGCTAAGCAGGGCGCAGCCTTGGTAAAGGATATGAGCCAGCGAACCGGCGATAAGGCTTGGAAGATCGAGAGCTGGGCGCTTCTGGTTCAGGATCTGGATGTTGTGCAGCAAACCAACATCAGCACTGAGACTACTTGGCGTCGCCCAGGTGATACCAATCCGCCTCAGACATTCAAACGCCATGACAAGCCTCCGTTCAATGGTCTCGGAAAACGAACTATTAGCACGGAAGTTGTTGCAAGCCTGCGAAGCGGCCTGGTCAACAAGGCCTACAACGGTGTGGGGTTCCACGGTGCAACTCCCTCGGACATTCTTCAACAATCGGCGTCCTTGAATGCACTACTCGAACCGACCAGCGCACTCGATGATCTGCGGCCAACTAACAAGTCCACGAACTGGCACCTTATCAGAGTCCTCGAGTCGGGCTGTCTGCATCCCTATGAAGATCCGACTTTGTTTGAGCAACTATTACGGTCTACCCAACACGTGGTACCACCGTGGGGGGGATATGGTGATGCATCCGGCCAGGACTTGAACAGTGTGACGCGAGCGCAACTATACGATGAAAGTGCCGCAATCGCTGGGTTGGTGGAACTTAATCTCAAAGCTTATGCTTATAAACGGCAAGCTGGCCGCGCTTTCTATCAGTACGCGTGGCTGCAAAACATCGTTGATGCTAGCAAGGCCTATCACATCCAAGCATTCTTCGAGCAGCTAAGCCTTGCCAAGTCCGAAATCCTTCCCTTCTTTGATTCGCAGCGATTTGACCTGCACGAATACGACACATCCTCCGTGCCACAGGTCTCCAGTGTCACATTGGCTGAACTTCTTGACCTTGCCGCCGTTAATCGCGCTTATGATTTTGGCAATTGGTTGCTGTTCAATGATGCTATTGATGGTCCTGCGATTCCAGCCTCCGCCTATGGCGACCAGGTCATTGCGCCATCGATTCTCCGTTTTGCCTCTGCTTCGCAAAATATCGAACTCTGCGAAAAGGTCATCTCCTCGCTCAGCATGCCACTTTCCGTCAACATGCTCAAAGCCCTGATCAACTCTTACATCGACCAAGAAAATTGGGATCGTGCGATCGTCACGCTCGAGTACCTTCGTGATTTCAGACTGAAGTCATGGGGCTTTAGCAATCTAACCGCATTGGGGGCCAAGATTATCCGACTCGATGCGTCTATCAAACACCAGCAGTCCATAGGGGCCTCCGTAGACGAGAAGATGATCAAAAACCTTGAGTGTGCAAATGATCTTTTCCTGCGCTTCTTTCGCATGGAATTCAACACACCTGCCAGCAAGAATCGGCGAGTCACAGCCTTCCAGCAGAATGTCTTGTTGCGTCTGCTCTCTGTATTCCGAACCCTTCCTGGTCACATTGCAAATCTCGCCAAACAGGTTGACCTCAAGGCACCCCCACCAAGCCGTCTCAAGCTCAAATACATTCCCGCAGTCTCCTTCCACAACCTCTTGTCTGCCGTTGTAGACACATACGGCAGCACATTCGGCTTGAACATGTGGTTCAAATGGTGCATCCATCGTCTCCCACCTGACCGTGTTCGCCAGCGCGAAGGTGGCCTCACTCGCCTCCCTGCTCGCAAGGAAATGTCCTGGCCTCAAGGCGACCCAACCTTCAGCATGCAATGGCTCCAACACACACAAAAGCGAGCCGTGAATCCCAACTACAACACCATCCGTATCATCGCGCAAGCCGCTATGCGAGAATTCGAAATGGAGCGGCATCCGAGAAAATCCCAATCCGACCCCTCATACTCATCCTTACCAATCCCACGCAACCAACAACTCCCCTTCTTCGCCCGAGGCCGCACATACAGACCCCTAATCTCCCGCTTCGAATTCCAAGGCCTCCCCGTCATCAGCGGCAAACCACCCGAAACCGCCCCAGAAGCCTCCCTCGACTTCGCCGTCTACATGTTCCTCCGTCACGGCATGCCGCAGGACCAGATTGAGCTAGAAATCCCGGGCTACTTAGCGCGCATGTGCAATCGTGGAGTCTTTCATAACCCAGAGAAACGGACAAGGGACCGTATCTGGGAAATCCGGCGAGACCCGTTTATGGATTCGGGTCCGGTTTGGAGGACAATGCGGTACAAGCGGAAAGGTGGTCAAGTGGCGAAGACTTTGCCGGAATCCCAGAATCCCGAGTGATCTGGTGTGTATATTATGTGATTCTACGATTGTAATATAGGTTGATATCCAAAATAGATTAAGCTTCACCTGAAATCAAGCATACTCTCTTCTGTCTGAATTGGTTTTCAAAAGTGGAAGAAAAAAAAATCACCTCATTGAGATCACCAGTACAAGCCATCTATGGAACACAGAATAATAATTGACTGCCATGCACAACTCAACAGGAAAAAAATCATTGAGATATTCGAACAGTCTGTGATTGAGCTATGAAAAGAGTCTCCAGTAAAGACCAGGCCACCCTGAAAATCTTAGGCCTTCACCCGAAATAAGAGAACCACCAACACCAGAACTCCATGAAACAAACAAGTAGAAAATGGTGAAAAATCAAATACAAACCTGCCAAATAACCCATTTTCCTGCTGAACTAACCACCCACACACTTTTAGAAAGTCATAGTCAAAACCGCCCCCATCCACCGATGTAAAATACGCCAAAAGGGTTCCTCCCGATGTACAATGTGTTGGAACAATGCAGGTAATTTGGTATAAAGCTAGGGAAAAAGGGATAGACAAAAGGATATTTCAAGTAGACACACCTCCCAAACTCGATGATCAGAGTCGTGGGAGGCTTAGAAGAACGAGAGACGGATTGACAGAGATGATGAACGGGAATAGACAGTTAGACTTATAAGTGGCAATTGAGACCAACATCATTTGAGTAGAAAGAAGACCCGAAAGGTAGGAGTCGAATATGGTAGGTGCGTATATGAAGGAAGATATACCAGATATCAAGTTCGGACGAAAAGGTCATGAAGTAGAAAGAAGAAGGGGGTAAGAAAGGAGAAGATAATCAAAAGTTAGGGCGAAGGGTAGGAGGTATTGAAAAAGTGAAATTGAAAAAGGGATGTAATGAGATTCATCTTTCTTCGTGTTTCTTCTTGACTCATCAAATGTGCATATAAGCATTTCAAAATATCTTCCCTTTTTTGGCACAGACCATAATCAGATCCAGATCCAATTATCAATTCGGATCCCAGTTTACTTCCTCATTCGGATATGGGAAGAAGGAGCGGATGAACTCGCCGCTGATAGGATCGTACGGGAAGTACAGATTATCCGTGGCTGGGCCGTCGAATTGGATGGTTGCCATCTGGTCGGTGGTAGGGATGTTTGAGAAGGTTGGGTAGGGTTGGTATTGGTGATCCCCAGGTTTTATCTCTTGGTCTGTTCCTGGGGCGTGATTGTTCAGTGAGAGGTCCTCCAGGCTGGGGCCCCAGAAGTCATTTGTTTCATTTGTGGCGCTTTGGTCCAGGTGTTGAGTTTCGGGGAGAGAAAGTGTGGATGTGGGTGCGGGGTGGTATGTGTTGGAGGGCATGTCGCTGACGTCAAAGTTCATGCCTGAGGAGAGACGACGCAGGCTGATATCGCAGAGCTGCCAGGCGCGGCGTGAGGCGATGCTATGCTCTGACATGGCATAGAGCCAGCGGGTGCCTTTCTTGGCTAGCACGATGAAGTGCCGTTCTGAATCAGGCACATGTACGCTGCCAAAGGACAGTTCGAGGAGCAGCACCGTTGTTGCTTGCATCAGATAGTGCAGGATGCACCACCAGGGGGAGATCTCGTAGAGTTGAACTGCATTCGGCTCTTCCGGGATCAGGTCTAGCATGCGCTCGGCGGACTCGAGCGTCAATACGGCCATTTCGTGACTAAAGCTCGTTCTCTCAGCGGGGCTTTTCTTCTGATCGTCCCGCCGACAGAGACAGGGGCGGCCGAGAATGATCCGGGCACTGTAGTATTGGAAGGCGAGAGCGAGTTTGCAGCGAAGCCGTTCCGGGCCTTCATCTTCCTTGCGGGTGAAATCGAGGAAAGAGGGGAGACTGTGAAACCAAAGGTCGATTCGAGAGCGCAGCTCACCGATTCGATTCTCAATGTGTGTCCACGGCACCATGACACAATCCACGGAATACACCTTGTTCACAATCTCTTGCACGACAACTGCCAGATCACAGTAGTACAAGTGGCAGAGACCCGAGTTGAAAGGGATACTTTTCACCCACGAGTTGTCGCGTGTGCGAGATGAGTGGGTGGCTGACTTGCCCCCAGTTGGGTTCAGTGGCATGTGTCGAACTTGAGCGCTGGCCATCACCTCGTTGATGCGCTGATCCCGAATGTCGGTGTTGTTGAGGACCTCTGCAGCCTGAGGCTCGTGTAGCTGTTCTTCTTCAAAGGGAACTGGCAGGGGCGTGGTGCAGACACCATCGAGAATGCAAGTAGCTCGGCCAGTCATGATACCGAGCATATGCTCGAAGGTGTATAGACACCACCATACCCGGTAGCGAGCCTCTTTGGAGATGTTCGGAGTTGTGGAGCTACTGCTTTTCATGTTAACGCCGAGCGTGATAGCGGATCGCACCGCCAGGGCGGAGATGCGCCATGCCCTATTGATCTGGTCGGATGCGAGGAGGTAGAAAGCGATTAGGCCCTCAACCTGGACCTGTTGGAGATCAGGGTGGCTAAACAGGACATCGCCATTCATACTGAGTATCCTGGCTCGAGTCAGGTATATCAAATGATCCCGATCATCTCCTTGCCACGATGCCTCGATAAGATGAGCATGTTTCGCCCCAATCGCGAAGATCATGTTCAAGATCGCGAGCCATTTGTCACCAGGTCGTGCATTACTGTCGAAGAACGTTCGGTACTGTGCGGTGAATAGTGGTCGGTTGATAATAGGGAAAAATGGATGCACAGTTTTCAGGTAATCATCGAACAGTTTATCGGCCACCTGTCGAGGAGGCATGGAGTACAGTTCTATCGGTCCGGGCACGGAGATGTCGAGGTCGTCAAGATGGTAACTCACAGCATGTAGAGCAAGGTCGTCGTCCTGGCGCTTACTCTGACCTGGCTCCAACGACCCCGGTAGTCCGTTTGATCTGTGCTCGGCCTCTCGCTGAAGCCGTTGCATCCATGTAACCTCAGAATTCTTCCCCATATATCCAGTTGCTCTCGAGTTTTCGTTTCGGTTCAAGTCCTCTTCCACTCGATCAATCGCTTCAAGGGATCCGATGGATGAGGGTGAACTCATTTCGTCCATATCTTCCTCTACAGCATCATCGTTGGGCGTGACCGAGTGAGACTGGTTGCTGTTGCTGTTGGAGTAGTCGACTTCGGTACCATGCTTCACATTGAGGGAGAGACGTTAGTTACGGCAGCTGTCCCTGCGGTATGAAATGAAACAAACCTTGTCCAGCAAGCTCTTGATGCGGTCTGCAGTACGACTCTCCACCAAATGACCCAACTCCTTGAGAAGATTTTCATATTCTTGCGCTTTTTCGGAAAGGTTGTCCACTTGTCTAGCCCATGTCGAGTATGATTAGCATCAATCTCGTCATCACCATCCGAACGAGCTTCTCAAGCCAGAGAACCTGGCTAAAACACCGCACAGCAGATCATACCTTTTTGTTCTCTCCTTCCATCCCACCGGATAATTGCAAGTCACCCTCAGTTCTCGACACTGGCGACAAATCGGGGTATCACCGCTACACTTTGTCTTGCGCGCGCGACAAGACTCACAAGCACGCGGAACACGGCGATTATATCTGGGGACAATCCCCGCGCGGGATCGTGGGATCGCCACTTTGGCTTGATTCCTCAATCCTAGGGAGTCCGCAACCGATACTGATCTGGCGGGAGGTAGGTTATTGTTCTCCGTTTCAGACTTCAGGATTCCATTTGGAGGCGCAAGGCCCTCGCTGGGTGCCTTCTGAGAAGGTTCCTCCATCGTCATGATCGTAGCCGACCGCTCGCGGGTTGTTCGGGATGGCTGATAATGAACGTCGTGGTCGGGATCGGTGGAGGGGTAGGGTTATCTCGCCGAGGATATTCCAGTATGGCGCAAATGCGATTTGCGCCCGTTGGAAATTGGCGCGGCGATGGCGTTGGAGATGAATGTAAGCAGATCGGTTGGCCTACCATATGTAAAAATCCATGCAGGTTGCAGGTGCTGTACAGTAGGAACGCGACCGTTGTCAAAGTGCTTAACGCGAATGAAGCCCGAGGACGTGGATCGGAAGTGGCGGAGACGAGATGGCTCCACCGCTCAACTGGAATTTGCTGAAGTAAGTGGCGGCGGTCCTGCAGCTGCCAAGCCATCCAGCCAATCGTGATTTGGCTCGGGGACAAGGTGGGCTTGGATCGAGCACTAATATAGAGAGAAAAAGTACAAGACCTTTCTTATGAATTTACGAAGAAGAGAAGAAGGTTTAACGAAACAAATAAATGCGAAGAAAACTTCACGAGTTCTGGTTTTGTATGACGCCTAAAGCATACAAGAAATCAAGTGGCTTTTTGCCCTTCTTTAGATAAAAAAATTCCCAGTAGATCCGATAAATCTCCATAAATCTTTCTTACACCCATCCAGGGTAAAAAGTGAGATCCAAAAGTTAGAAAAAAGATCAACAAAGATGTATATATACAGTGAGAAGGAATTAGCCAAAGAAGTAAAAAAAAGCACGGCACGAGAGATGAGAGCCGACATATACAGAGATCCAAGGAAGCGGGGGGTATAACGACGACGGTGGCTCTCAGGCCGACCGGAAGTGGAGAGATAGAGAGAGACAAGAGTTGGGGAATAGGAGTAGCATGAAAAAGGCACGCAACGCAAGCAGACCGGAGATGCAGGGGAGAGAGATGATCCACTATAGAAGGGACGTTTAGATTTCGCCAAACATCTCATCCAGCTCATCAACCTCCACAGTCTCTGGGTTCTGCAGCTCTCTCCAGGAATCGAAGATAGGCTCACTGATGTCCATACCGGTCAAGGGCCGAGGACCCAAGCTGAGCTTCTCATGCGACTCAGTCAGATCGGACATCTTCAAGTCCACGTCCGGGAGGCCGCTGTTCAACATGTCGAGCGATCGCTTGAGAGTTGAGACGGGGGCCACCTCGGGGAGACTGATCTGGGGAGCAGTGGGAAGCGTGCCTGCCAGCTCCTCGGCATCTAACCCGGCATCGGCGCTCGTGCCAGACGAGACTGACGATGCGACGGAGGTCAGCGAAGGAGAGGGCGATGTGCCAAACAGCGCCGCGGCGGCGGCCTCGTCCAGGTCCGCACCGATTTGATCGGCGGGGTTCATATGAGAGAAATAATCACTGAACTCCTGCTCAGACATGCGGTCGCCAGCCGGCGAAAGGGAGCCACCGTTGACGGGAGAGTTGGAGATGCTCATCTCCTCGTCGATCGAGCTGAGGCCCTCGGACAGGACCGAGAGGCTCCGGGCCGATTGGTTGGCTTTTTCCTCGGAGGCGCGCTCACGAACCGCACTGGCAGTTTGAGTAAATTCCTTCTCGTCACCCTCCAGGGGCGGAGAAGCCGCACGGTGCGAGTGCATTAGGCGAGTATGGCCAGAGGAGTCTGGGAACTGGTCGGAAGAAGTTCCCCGACCCGCGGGATTGTTGAGGTCAACATCCTGGCCCTCTTCAAAGTCAGGCGACGACAAGTCCACTTCGGGACTAGGACTGCGCTGACGCGCGATCAAGTCCTCGTCGTCTTGGTCCAGACTTGAAACGCTAGGCGTAATATGTTTGCCGTCGACACCCAAGATAAGATCGTCGGAGGGATCAGGAATGGGCTGACGAGGGAAGGTCGTCAGGTAATAATATACTTTGCGCGGGTGGATGAGAATCAACTCTTTGGCCATGGGGCATGGCGAAAGAGCCGTCCACGGACGCTTCATATATGCCGCTAGCCGCGAAGAGAGGAGGGCGGCGGGATTTGCGGAACTGTAGCAACGTAGATAGGTCAGTATTGATGTTTATAGGCAATGCAGGCAATGGCGAACAGGATGGGATATGGAAACCTACTTTGCGACAGTCGAGTTCAAAGTCACAAGCACAGCAGCCAACTCCTTCACCAGGTGAGGGCGATTCCCCGTCTTCTCCAGCTGTTCGATCACCGCGATGACAATATCATCGTTAATGCCTTGCGTATCGATTTTCGGAGCGACGCCACCATCCATCGGGGACGGTGGCGGCGTGTGCTCGAAGGCTCCGTGCCGGCCGGCGCGCACGACAGATTCCCGGCGGTCCGTGGAAGGCTCGGGTGATAATGAGGTGTGCGACCTCTTCACTTTTTTGGCAGGCGGGACATCGTCGGTCGCAACAGGTTTTGAGATGGAGGGAGAGCGGCGCGACGAGTTGGGGAGGTGAATGCCGAGTGAAGGGAGAGATAGTGACTTGCGACGGGTGTTGTAAGGCATGATGGTATGGTATTATTTTTGAGAATTGAAGGCGAAGGCGGCGCGAGAGGTTGGGAGGCGGGAAGGAGAGTCGAGGTGAGGGAAAGGAGAGTCACGGTTTGGGGGTTGTTTGTAAATAGAAACAATAGAACAAAACTAATAAAAGCAGAAATGAACTAGAATAAGATAGATAGGAACAATACACAAGATTGAGATAGAGGATGATAAAAAAAGGAAGGGGGGAAAGAATATGGTAGATGAGAGGGGGATTGGGGGGGGGAGATTGAGGGAAGAAGGGGTCATCGACGATGCGACGAGCTCATTTGCTTCGTCCAACGGGGCCTGAGGAATCTCTCGTTGGAACGGGTGGATTTTCTCTTTTTTTTTTTTTCTTCTTCCTCTGTTTTTTTCCCCCTTTTTTTCTTTTCCTGTTCCCATAAATTACCGTAATTACCATTCCCGTTCGACATTTACCACTAGGCCCGTAACCGCCCGCGCAATAGAAAGTCTCTGATTGGCTGCGCAATGCTCTTTTCTGCCACTTGATCCTCTTTTTTCCAGGATTTCGGATGGATCTCCTTACGGAATGTGAACTGGCCAAAATCCTGCCCATCCATGGCTCTATCTCGCGACTTTCCGGGCTGCGAATCAGTTGGTATATACAGCTGCTACACGACGTTTGCCTTCAGTCATGATTAAACTGACTGAACCTCGGCGTTAAAGATTTACAGACAGTCTCTTCTACACCGCCCAAGCAATTAACTCGCATGCCCAGCGGCAAACCAGACAACTCAAAATTATGCAGGGATGCGACATGCATCTACAACAAACAGAAGATCTAAACACACGAGAATTCTTTTTAGACTCCAAAATTCCAGGCGGTCAGTGGAGATGGATGTTCATATTTTCCATCATCTTTCATATTTTCTTAGTCCCATCTTTCTCATCTCGTCCAAACAAAAAGGAGCTTTGCGACTCCATACCTTTAGCCCACTCATGGCCTAGCTCCACTGCTCCATTCCATCCTCGGCCATAGTGCATACCGATGGAAGGGAAGGAGGCAAAAAAAAAAGTACGTGGGTCACACCATGTGTCCCATAGCCCGAAATGGCCCTACGACTCCATTTTCCTCACGTTACGGAGTAGTTATTGTTGCGTCGCCCCATCTCCAAGTCGATGCTGGCTAATCATGGTGCTGGACTGTGAATAATAAGATGCGCCTGATTGGACTAGGAACTATTCGGCTGTTTTCTGGTTTGTTTTTTTTTTTTCTTGTCAAGCTGAAGGAATCCATCCGACGAGTCCATCATGATGTCTTGTTTGACCACTAAACCTACCGCGTCCTTCGTACACAGATCCAGGCTACTGAGAGACGGACGAGACAAACCACGATTGCGGGAAGCGATATGTCAAGGATCTGAAAATTGTCCTCTATAGATTGGTTGCTAGGTGACCAGTCGCTTTTATCGAAACTGACCGCTGCTCTTGGATCTCCTGTACGGAGCACCCGACAACATGTTTATGCTTAGCTATGTACGGAGTACCTAGCCTCGTAAAGATACTAGCGAATCGGATGCTCCGTACTCCGTACATATGTGATGTATAATGAATCAACTGTATATCATGTACCCGACGTACATACTCCTTGGCTTGTCATTAGCATTACACCACTACATCCTCCAAATGTCTCTCTCCTCGTCATCATGATCTTCCTCTCTGCCGACCAAGAGCACCCGAGGTCTCCGGGCGAAAACACCGATTCCCAAAAAGATCCCTAGCGTCGCCGTTGACTCCATAGGTGGATCCCCGGCCGAAGCATCGAGGAACAGTCCAGATGAACAATTGCCCTGATGGTACAGTGGAGTTCCATAAGTTTGCAACACCCGAAAAAGTTCAAACCCATCTCATCAGCTATACTTTGAAAGACAAGTTGAAACACAGATGCCGGGAATATCTAGAAAAGAGTGTTCAAAAGACATTCAGAAAGATCTATTAAAAACATAAAATCGAGGGCATATTTTGACGGCCTGTTTTCTTCGTCCCTGGTTTCAGACTTTTGAACCGCCACTGTACGGGATCTCCGTAATCTTGTACATCATTTTGTGTCAATAATACGCATAACCATACGCTAGTGGCCCTCATGACAATACCGTACCCGTTCGTTCCAAAACGACCCAAGGGATACTCGCAGTAGCGCCGTCGGGGGGAAAGTAGGCTCGCCACTCTTATGATGCACCTGGTTCAGCTCCAGTCCAACTGCATTGTCGATGCGATCGTGGATCTTGAGGTCTTTGGTTCTGTTTGAGCCTCGGAGTTTGCCTATCTCTCCCTAGCGTTGAACTCTTGTGGCGCTCGCGGTCGCATTTCTGTTGATCGCCCTGTGCCTCTCGCCCACAGAGCTGGGTACCCGATTACACCAAGGAAAGTGGTGATGACATCTGAGATGAGGGGAAGTCCCCGTTCCTTTTGGATGGTCCATCCAGCGACGTCGATATGATGACAAGCGCCCCGATAGATCCCCATTGATTTTCTTAGCTCTGAACTCTGCATTTCGTGTCCACCGGTCGCGGTTGATACCTTGAGAGAAGGTCTGATGTTTCCCCTTAATTGGCCGGTGGCGTATTCGATACATCAGAGGCTTGAGGTTATACTAGCTGAGCAGCACTAGCGAACTACTGTAGATAGTCACTCCCACTTCGTGCTCTACACACATAGCAACCTAGTTCAAGTCCAAGTCCACCTTCTGTCATAGAAGACATCGGCAATTTAGACCCCTGGCCCGTCCCAGCAAGGGTGCGGCAAGCAACATTTTACTGCACAGTATCATCTGCACGTCTGCCCACTATTGGCACTGGAGATCATTCCATGAGGCCAATCCCTACCCTCATGGGAAAACCACCCCAATAACTACAGTATGTGAGCATAATCTCCCCCAATAATCTACCCTTGCTGGCCCGTTGCCCGTTACCCGGGCCACTAGCACCCCTCTTTGATTAAGCAGTTGCCGTTTGCATGACATCGTCCACTGTTGGACTGGATGGTAACCTCCAAGCCATGCTCGGGTCGAACCCTCCTCAACCGTGGAAAGACTTCGTCGCCATCTGCTTATTGTTCGAATGCGTCCGCCGCATCGCATGGAAGCGGACTTTATCTGATCTGCAAGTCCGTTTAAGGAAGATCTGGATCAGGGCATACCTCTATTGTGTTTATAGAAAAATAGTACTTTTGTACAAAGGCCGAACCAAGATAGTGAAAAACACATAAAATCACATCTCGTCCAGCCCCCTCTCGTACTTACATCATGCAACGGGTGGGTGCGCTAATTCTCCGCATCTCCACCGATAGATGTGAGGTTGTCTGCTCCAGCCAGTCAGCCAGTCAGCCTGTATGGTCTGTCTGTGCGATGCGCTCAGACTCATCCCAAGCTCTGTAGCATTGACAAAATTCGTTAGCTTCGTACGGCATTGACTTTCTTGGAAGTCTATCCGCCTTCCACATTGCGAAATAGGCACAGTTACTTCTCAAAAACAAGTAGTCAGTCAGTTTGCATTGCCTACTGTAGTATGGACCGAAGGGGTTTCCTATGAAGTATATTTCGCGGATGCTAGTCTTGGACTGTGGCTTCAAATGTCAACATCATCGTCGTCGTCGAATGATGATAGAGTTTACGTAAGTCCACGTCACCTCTCCCTTCGTCGGAAACTGCTGTACTTACTCTGTGTAATACGCATCTGTCCCTCGGAGTAATCAACCAAGCCGATCCTTGCATGCCCTGTTTCAACACAAAACCCCGCGCCATCTCTCAAGCCCTCCCAAAATCGAGAGCCGAGAGAGGAGTTAATTGAACAGATCCAACAAAGACAGATCCAAGACATCCAAATCCTGCATGTACACCCCTGCAGCGATCTGCGACCTGCATATCGCTATCGATCAAGATTGGAAGGCCGCGTTCTCCGCCCGACGCCGTCGTTTACATGGCAAGTACTCCGTAGACTGGGCCGAATAGCTATGGCGAGTCGCCCTCCTTGGTATGGCGAGGCTGCTGGGTGTATACATTCTTTGTTGGATTTAGCCGAGTTGTACAGTGGTGTTCCATAAGTCTTCGTCCACCTGGTGATGAGATAATATTCTGCCGGTCAAATAACCTTACTGTGTAGGATGGTTGGTCAGTCTGACATCCTTGTTTGTTGGCGCATGTTGGCACATGGCTCTTAAACTTGGTTGGTCGGCTCGGATGACCAAGTTTGGTATTGTATTTTAGACTTAATCCCACTTCCAGACGCTAACAAACAGCGTTAGAAGGGCCTCGGTTCTAGGTTGGTTTTCTAGGTATTGCTATACTACTTGGCGTTCTCTTTTTTGCTGAACCATGTGCCATGGATACATTGTGAAACGGACTTGGAGACGCTCACCCGTTTAATGCATTCTGGTTGGTGGTTTCAGCGGTCTCGGGCCCACACTCATCAGTCTGCGACGCGTTGTGTGGATGGTGAAACTTGGAGATTAGAAGATCAGTTGGACAGTGCTTCCAGTTAGTTGTAAGGGTCAACCATGACCGAGTCGAAGGTAAACACGTAGTTATATATTTCTTTCAACAGATAGTTGACATAATTAGAAGGGGTGGGAAGGTTATGTTGTTTGAAACCTACGCACCGAGTTATAGTCTTACAGTGTCTCAATATATATACAATAACGGATCATACAAAACATCACCAAAGATCAGTCCACAGTCCAAAACAACTGCCAACACTCAAGTTCCCTCAAAATCACTCCTTCTCACCGTGATCCTGTCTTGGCCGTAGAACATACTTCCAAGTCGTCCCAAAATGCCAGCGCTTCTCCTCCACCACCTCCAACCCACTCTCCTTCACTATAGCCCCGATATCCCGATTCCACCAACAACCGTGTCGGTCAGCATGCGCCGGCGCCAGATTATCCAGAATCCGATTCAACCAGCCATAATACGACCGCCCATGCTCCAGAAGCAAGATGCGACCCCGACTAGGCTCCGTAATCGAGCCCAGATGCTTCAGCGTCGCCACGGGGTCCGGCATCGAGCACAATCCCATCGTTTGCACGATAGTATCGTAGTACCGATCTCGATCTTCATCACCAGCATCCCTGGCTGTCTTCGTCGTCGTCACAGGCTTCTCAACGGCAACCTTCGCGGCATCCTGTGCACGAAACAGCACCCTCGTAAACTCCGGCCTCAACCGTCGAAACTTCTCCTCCGTAATCGCCACCATCTGCGAACTCAAATCCACCAGCGTCAACGTCCGACATCCCTTAATCACTCCCTTCCCGTCCGTATCAACCCCACGCCGCTCGCCCAGCTCGTAGTACTCCAAATTCCGACCCGTACCGCAGCTCACCTCTAGCACATCGCCGCGCGCCATGTGGACGAGGTCGGCGCGCTTGGTACCCATGCGCATGGCTTTCTCGGACAATTCGACCTCGGCGTCGAAAGTAGGCGCGGTCGAGTTGTACCGATCCGAGACGTCGGTGGGGACATCGAGGGATTGCGCTTTGCTGACTTCGCGCGTGTACGACGCGTACAGGTAGCCCGTGTACGTGCTGATAGTGAGGGCTGTGATGCCCAGGAAGGTGAGCACGCGTGGTGAGATGCCATGGTAAGTTTTCTTTTGTGTGGCTTCCTTCTCTGTGCGGATGCGTTCTTGGAAACGCTGGAGCTCAGATTTAGGGGGTGCCTGTCTCTGTGATGGACTTGGTTTGGTGCTGGCGTAGAAGTTAGTAATCGATTATGGAGTTGGGAGTTGATTTATTGGGTGCCGGGAACTCACGTTGATTGTGCTGGTCGACGCGCTTTGCTTTTGATGCCTCTGGAGAAGGTGGTGACATGCCAATTGGCCTGTAGAGAGGCACGACAGATCCGGGGCGCGCTCATTGTGGCTATTGCTGGTGATGAGCCACCGGGGCTCTTTTTCCTGACCGAGGCCCTGAAGAGGAAGCGATTGATACAGACAAGGCTAGATTGTCAGATGGTCCTTTTTAAACCGTAGAACCTCCGTCGAGGACGTGTTGAGGTGCGTGGTAAAATGTGCTCGAAGAAGCGTGAGTCCAGAGATATGTGAGCATAGCAGAGAGATCCCCAGTCTGTCTTCTGATCCCAACAAATAACCCGACTGCAGCCTGAGTATAGAGACTGGCCGTGGATAAGCGCTGGCGACAGCGTCGGGATGTCGAATGGAGAACTCGGCAGCGGAAGCCGACCTGAAAAAACCGGGGCAACTCCGTTATCGGGCTATCAATTTCCACTTTCCCCGAGGGCGCATTTCTAAATCCGCCTCTTTCTCTCCCCCGCACGAACCTGTACAAAGTAAATTCTCCCACACAGTCCTCCTTACAATGGCACTGCCGCCTAAGATTCTAATTGTCGGAGGAGGCGTCTTTGGCTGTAAGTCGAGCACTAACACTCTCTACTCTTGCCAATGGCACATCGGCACACGAACGACTCTATGGTGCCACCGACATCTCTCAGAAACCCCGACACAGATTCAATTACAGAAATCAACCTGCCAGACACGAAACGGAATACCAACTAACCAACATTCACAGTATCAACTGCCTTGTCCCTCCGGGAGCGCCACCCCAATTCGCAAATCACCCTGGTCGAATCAGCACCCATCCCCAACCCACATGGCTCATCCGTGGACACATCGCGCATCGTGCGCGCCGACTATGCCAATGCCGCATACAGCGGACTCGCAAACGATGCCATTAAGCGCTGGCGCTCGACTGCTTGGGGTGCCGAGGGCCGGTACACGCAGAATGGCCTGTTGCTAGTGTACCCAGGCGACAGTGCTAGTGCGCAGGAGTATGCGCGCAAGAGCTACGCTAACGTGCGGGCCATTGAGGGCGACAATGTGATCTTTTTGCCTACTCAAAAGGATGTCTTGAGTGTTGTCCCGCCCTATGGGGAGGAATTGGATGTTGCGGGTGGCTATGTGAATTGGGGATCTGGGTGGAGTGATGCGGCGGCTGGAGTGCGGTTTGCGAAGGGGTTGCTCGATGCGGATGGGAAGGTTGAGTTCAAGACTGCCGAGGTGGAGAGGGTTCTATTTGACCGGTCGAACTCGAGCTCGAAGCCCAAGGCGACGGGTGTGGTGTTGGTCAGTGGGGAGACCCTCGAGGCGGACTTAGTGATTCTTGCGACTGGGGCGTGGACGGGCAAGTTGGTGGATTTGCGAGGCAAGGCCGTGGCTACTGGCCAGGCCATTGCGTATATCAAGATCTCGGATGCCGAGCAGAAGGAGCTGGAGAATCTGCCGACTATCTTGAACTTTGCGACGGGCATCTTCATTATCCCGCCACGGGATAATCTGCTCAAGATTGCGCGCCACGCCTACGGGTATCGCAATCCGACCACGGTGCCCGTGCCCGGTGCGAATTCGTCAGGCCAGACCATGCAGGTTAGTCTTCCTGAGACGGGTGTGCCCGTTCCCCTGGAGGGAGAGGAGGCATTCCGTGAGGCGCTGAGACAGCTGCTTCCGCGGTTTGTCAATCGGCCATTTGCTGATACTCGCATCTGCTGGTACACCGACACGTAAGTAATTCTTGTCGTTCTTCTGTTGTTTGGCATGAGGTGCTTCAGTTCTTGTTCTGGCCTGGACGCCAAAAGAAGGCTGAATACCTCACACTTCCTTTTTAAGCACCACAGCTAACAACTCGACCAGTCCCAATGGCGACTTTATCGTCTCCTATCACCCCGAATACGAGGGTCTCTTCCTTGCAACTGGTGGCAGTGGACACGCCTACAAGTTCTTCCCTGTCATTGGTGACAAGGTTGTTGATGCGTTGGAGGGCACACTGGAACCTGAGTTCCGGAAATTGTGGACTTGGAATGAAGTAGTGGCACCTGGTGTGGCTACTGATGATATTTTCGATGGCGATGGAAGTCGGTCTGGGGCCAGGAACTCAATTTTGAAGGATGAGCTGGCCAGAACCAAAAAGGCAGCCAGGAAGGGCGTTCTGTAGTACAGAAAGGTGTTGTACGGGAGAAAGGGACGGTTATGTTGGAAGTGTATATAGCATGGAGTACATGGATTGCATAGAGCATTGAGCATACAACAGATGGCAAGTGAACTACCAAAGGACATACCCTGTTTGCATCTACATACACCGGCCTACACAGGACTACAAATATTACTCAACCGTAGGCAAAGCACTATACGAGAACATGTTTTCTCCAACAATTCCATTTTTGATAACGGAAGCACTGCGGCAGAACAAGAAACAAGGCCGCTCTCGATCTCCCATCACCCATGAGCATAGAGCAACGACGATATCTAGGGAGCCTCTCACCATTTTTTGGGCCTACGATAGGTCGCCCTATCGCAGGTATGTCCAGCGCAGAGAAAAGGAAAACAGGATTAAGAGGCAGCCATTCGACCAGCGCACAGAACCGCCTCCACTGCGGTGTGCAGCAATCTAATTGTAAAGGGAGTCGAAGTGATGAAAAGAAAACCAGGGATCATCCCGAATCGCTAAAACGCCCAACAATGCTTGCATGAGAAATCGTGAAGGGAGCCACAACTCCAAATTGAAAAAAAGAGCAAATGCGAGGCAACCTGGTGCAGGCAACAGACAATGATTTGTGCTGTCTACCGATGCGCAAGGTTGGACCGTCGCGTGGAAGGGGTGAAAAATGAAGAAAAAAAAGGGGAGAAGTGTTAATACATAGATGGATGAATGAAAGATCTTCCTGGGCGTGGGTGGGGAATCTCTTAGACCTTGCGGAAATCTGCAGGATTGTTAGTGGCATAGTACTTCAAAGCGGAATTTACCGTCGGTGTGGAACTTACCAGAGAGCACAGGATAGATCAGCTCGAAAGCCGAATAAATCTCCTCTCGCACTTTGGCGCCAGTCAGGACAATCTTGCCGCTGACGAAGATCAAGAGCACAATCTTCGGCTTCATCATACGGTAGATGAGACCGGGGAAGAGTTCAGGCTCGTAGGAGCTGAAATGGTGGTGACGAGAGGCCAGACCCTCCAGACGGATGGGGAACTTGATATCGCAGGAGCCGACAATATTTTGGATCTTGAAATCCGTGAACTTGGCGTTGAAACCAAGCTTCTGGATGATACGCGCGTACTTGCGGGATGCCAGCTTGGAGTCATCCTCCGACTTGGCACCAGTGACGACCATCTTGCCGGAAGCGAAGATGAGAGCGGTGGTCTTGGGCTCTCGGATACGCATGATGACGGCGGCGAAACGCTATTTGCAAGAAAGAAGAGAGACCAGTTCAGCCACACTGTACCCTGAATGCATGGAACAATCTCAGGGAAGGTGTGGAATATACCTTAGGATTGTACTCGGCGTTACGCGCGTGCAGCGCAATGGTCTTCAAGTCCAGACGGCAGTCCAGGTTGACCGTAGCCACGATGTTCCTTTTCAGGGGAGAAAAAAACGTCTCAGCCGATGGTTTCTTTGGGGTGGGAACACAAAGAGACACAGGGCTTGGAAACATGGGTAATACTCACTGCAAAGTGGGCACGATGCCGCTGGGGTTGTTCTGAGTGGCAGCGCCAGGAGTCGCAGCCGGAGTAGCGGGCGTCACCCCGTTGCCGTCAGTGGCATTTCCTCCAGCTGGCTGTTGACCGTTGATTGCCTGCGCCTCTTTCTCCGACGAGGGCGGGGTGAGGTCACCAGCACCGCCCGGGAAGGAGAGCGAGGAAGGCGAGGTGAAGGCACGAGCCTGTTGCGCGTTCGACGGGTGGGTCGTAAGCGAATCCATGATGGCGATTCTCGAGGTCACAAGGATCGGCGATGAATCAGGTGGGTGGAAGGAAGAGTTCACGGCTGTGAGAGAGGGAAAGAGAGGAAGGTTAGCGACGGTGGCGAGATGAGGATAAGAAGCGTGAAATCGAGGCCGAGTCAAGAAGGCGGTGATATGGGGCAGAAAGGAGGTCATGTGAGTGTACAAACAGGAGGCTTACCAAAAGGAGCGGGAGATGGACAAGTGAATGTATCCCCCTACAAGACAGATGCGGCGCGATCGAGAGATGAGGTGGCGGTGACACGGATCTCAAAAACTCAAGATCGACCAGGAATCCTCGATGATAAGACACGAATCAAGAAAAGCACACTGAAGTGTTTTCTGGGTCACGATCGTCGAGTTGGGTTAAGACAGAAGACGAGGAAGATAAAAAACCACTTTTTTTGTTTTTGCGAATGTTTCTTTTGTTTCTTTTTTTCGATCCTCTGCTTTTTCTTCAAATGGGATTTTTGTGTCTATCTTGTGCAGTGATCTGAATGAGAGTGGTGGAGCAAGACCCTGGGGATGAGCAAGAGACAAGCTTCCGGATTAGGTAAGCCCGAGTATGGAACTGGGAGAGAACCTGGTAGTAGGACTGCTTTTTGTGTTTTGCGACCTCTTTTGGTTCTTTTTTGGATTTTTTTCCGTTCCGGAGAAACAGAAAAAAAAATTCAAAAAAGATGAGGAGCTTCCCGAGAGATGAATCCTTGAGCGAACTCAGGAGCCAAGATTAGTCGGAAGGAGGGGGAGGGAAGGGAAGCGTGTTAGTTTGCAGCGGATGCCAAGACCGAGACAGAAATCCCAAAAATCCAGGAGGGCGCGGGCGTGGGAGATTGGGCCTTTATATAGTGCTGACTCACTGCCCGCGTCAGGGGAGGCTGGGCCCGCTGAGGTGGCGGCAAAAGCAGCAAGAGGTGCCTTTCACCCGGTTCCACCCATTTCCACCCATGGCCGCTGACAGCCACTCAGCATCCCCTCCACAGCCACTAATGCAAACTAAACTCCACCAGGGGGGCCGCTAGCGGCTCTGAGACTGCCAGACAAGCCCAATCAGACTCATTGACCGCTATCGAGGCCCATGATTTGTCGATACAGGCCCACTCAGCCTGGTCCTGGCCCCCTGAATGGCCACGCCGCCCTTGCGTTTCATCCTCTTTTACCCCCCGTTGACTCTTTTTTATCCTCCGCCGCGCCATGGGTGTGGCCAGTGGGCGTCCAGTCCGCGGGCCTCCTGCAGCTGATAGTCGGATCCGTCTCATCCTGCTTCCTGCCCTCCAATCACCACCCTCGGCGCTCCGTGGCTGCTCCCTGGACGACGCGCTATCCCCTCGCTGCTTTAAGCGATGGCAACTGAACAAAAATTGTTCGGGGCGGCCGTCTTTCTTCTCTCTTCCCTTTCTCCACCCAACGACTGGAGAGGCGTTTGCGAAGCGCCAACAAACACCGACTATCCTGGCCTTTTGTCCCTCGCTCGCGATGCTAGAGGTTGCTAATGACTCAAAACCAACAGGAGCTGGACTCCAGGTCAGCTCCCAACACAGAGCGCTCCTGCTGTTGCCCATGAGTCGTAACGTTGGCGGTCATGTTGGAATTCCAGGCGAGAGGACAGGTGGACGCTTGGGGGGCAGATTTTGGGTTCAACTGGGTCGACGAGTCGACTGGTCGAATTCGCGGATCTGATCCACCCGCCCGCCAAGCCTGCGATGAATCTCATGGCATGCGGGTTTTGATGATCGCTGACTTCTCCAGGCTGTCACTTTTTCGACTTCGTGTTCTCCTCATAGGGCAAAAGGTTTCAGCCGCCGTACGGAGTACATTTCCGTACATTGTACTGTGTAATGTACGAGGTGTGTTATGTATATGGAGTACTCCATACACAGCTCCTCGAACAGCATTTTCCACGAGCTCGGTATGCTGAATACCATACCCGACACTACCATCGTCACATTCCTGCAAATCCCCGGTATTTATGCTGAATCTGTCAATACTGTACTCTCCACATAGTTACTCCTGGTGCTGACTGCATAGTCGCGATAACGTTAGTTAGTCAAACAATCATGATGAATCAGACTTGAAGAGCTCGAATATACAGCAGGAGCGCTGTGATGGCCGAAGTAGGCGTAGAGATGTGATTGCTTAGCATGGGGGATTCAAACTGGTGCAGATCACTTTTTGGCTGGCGACAAAAGTACGAGGCTACTCTCCACGGATGTACTTTATGGAGCGCTCTGTTCTCCGTACTCCGTACTCCGTATACAGTACTATCAAAAGCTAGTCCGTTGGCTTGCTCCTCTTGACCATCCCTCAGGTCGATGATGTCAAGATAGGGTCAAACTGGAAAATCATTTTGCATGTGATACACGTGATTGAGACTTCCGTAATAATCCTACGATTAGTGTAATCAAATCACTTGACTACTGACTTGCTATGGACTGACTTGAATAGGCTATAGAAAAGCATGATATCTTTTGACATAGCATCTCATCTCATGTTGTGACTCTCGACAGCCTACTGTAATCGCTCCAGGGGAGCCAGGGTGCATCTCCGAGGACCACTGGCGGTCGGTGACCCAGAAAGGTGTCAACGGAGGACTCACTGATTCCCATCACCGGCACTCTGATTGGTGGACAGACGGGCGCTGAGCCTCGGGTAGGCGGTTTTCGGCGTTTTCGAGTGCAGCAAAAAGTTCGGCTGGGCTCGCCGACAGCCTTTCGGCTATTCAAGGCCCAAAGGTTGAACCTCGAAACCATCAAACATTCCCCTCACAAGAACCTCCAGCGACACACTTTTTGATATCCTCGACTCGGCCATGCCCATCGTTGTTCGGTAGCGCTACTCTCTTGCAATCGCCCTTTCCGCTTTCTATCCTCGTCTAAACATCATTGCGTCCACGATGGCGTCAAAAGGCGCTGTCTTGCCTCTGCTGAGGCGCGAGATGCGATGCTCCTCTTCCCGACTCGCACGAGCTACCCCCGCCCTCGCCATCCCCGTTTGCTCTCCTGCTACTTCTTTAGCAACCTCTCGTCGACAGCTCGCTCGCCGCTCTGTACCATTCTTCCCGCCTACTCAGATCCGTGCCTTTTCGCAGTCAGTAACACGCCGGTTTGCCGACGAGGATGGAAACTTTGACCCCCGGTCCATCGAGCGAGAGTCCGATGAGGTGGATGTCTGCATTGTCGGTGGTGGTATGTGTTTTCAATGCTCGGGCGTTTGACCCCTCCCCTTCGTAGACTATTCCCGGCTAAATCACGCCTTTCGATCAATCTAGGCCCCTCCGGTCTCGCCGCCGCCATTCGGTTGAAGCAACTTGCAAATGAAGCTGGCAATGAGGACTTTCGAGTAATTTTGTTGGAAAAAGCTGGCGAATTGGGTGCCCATATCGTCTCTGGCAATGTTCTCGAGCCGACCGCATTGAACGAACTTCTCCCCGACTGGCTGTCAGAGGACAACCCCTCTCGCTTCGAGGGTGCGACTCCCGCCAAGGGCGACAAGATGCGCTATCTCACTAAGAATTCGTCCTTCCCCCTCCCCACCCCGCCGCAGATGCATAATCACGGCAACTATATTATCAGCTTGAACGAGCTGACCAAGTGGTTGGGTGAGCGCGCGGAAGAGCTTGGCGTGGAAGTTTACCCCGGTTTCGCTGCCAGCGAGGTCGTCTACAACACTGACGGCTCAGTGAAGGGCGTTGCGACGAATGATCTTGGAATTGGTCGGGACGGCCAGGCGAAGGATAATTTTGAACGCGGCATGGAGTTCCACGCCCGCGTCACCCTCCTTGCCGAAGGATGTCACGGCAGCTTAACCAAGCAAGTGATCAAGAAGTTCGATTTGCGCCGGGATAGCCAGCCCCAAACGTACGGTCTTGGTATCAAGGAAATTTGGGAGATCCAGCCCGAGAAGTTCAAGTCGGGCGAGATTACTCACTCGATGGGTTACCCACTACCCAAGGATACCTATGGTGGTGCTTGGATGTACCACTTTGGCGACAACATGGTCAGCATTGGTCTGGTGGTTGGTCTGGACTACCCCAACCCCTGGCTTTCACCGTACGGAGAGTTCCAGAAGCTCAAGCAGCACCCCATGTTCCGGGAAGTGCTGGAGGGCGGCAAGTGTATCTCCTACGGTGCTCGTGCGCTGAACGAGGGTGGGTTCCAGTCCATCCCCAAGTGCGCCTTCCCCGGTGGTGCCTTGATCGGCGACACGGCTGGCTTCCTGAACGTCCCTAAGATCAAGGGTACACACACTGCCATGAAGTCGGGCATGCTGGCCGCTGAGGCTACCTACTCTGCGCTGCAAAGCGAGAACGAGGGCACGGTCTTCCTGTTCGATTATGAGAAGGCTTTGCGGTCTTCGTCCATCTGGAAGGAGCTGTACGAGGTGCGCAACATCCGCCCCTCGTTCAACAGCTGGCTCGGCTTCTGGGGTGGCCTACTCTACTCTGGTTTGGAAGCTATGATTTTCCGCGGCCGTGTGCCCTGGACTCTCAGCCACCACGGTACGGATGCGGCGGCCACCAAGCCGGCCTCGCAGTACAACAAGATCGAGTATCCCAAGCCCGATGGCGAGATCACCTTCGACATTCTGACCAGCGTAAGCCGCACGGGCACCAACCACGAGGAGGACCAGCCCGTCCACCTCCAGGTGAAGGACTGGGAGGCGCACAAGGACCTGGCCTGGCCCGTTTATAAGGGTGTGGAGAACCGGTTCTGCCCGGCCGGTGTGTACGAGTACGTGGAGGATCCCAGCAAGCAGCACGGAGTTCGGTTCCAGATCAATGCGCAAAAGTAAGTTCCGCTTGTCCGTTCCCGACGGGCCGAGGATGTCTATCTGAGTTGTTGTATGATGCATGATGCATGATGCTGACTGTGTTTCTTCTAGCTGTATTCACTGCAAGACCTGTGATATCAAGGTACCTACCCAAGATATCAACTGGCAGACTCCCCAGGGTGGAGAGGGTCCCAAGTATATCATGACTTGAGGGCTCTTTTCTCGGGTTTCTAAAGTTTCTAAAAATTGGAGTTTTGGGGGCTTTCAGAATATAAGGCGAGACCTCGATCGCCTGTATTGTATATTGTATATATGCGAGAATACCAAAATGGCCAAGCGTTGTATTTCCATATTTCTCCCATATTCCCCCCTCGTCCTTCTAAATCTGGTCAAGGACAAGGTACGGTGCAGGTGAACCTGTACATTGTGGATTGTAGTACTTTCTGTTGGCGCGGTCGTGGCAAACCCGGGGGGGGGGGGGGAATCCGCGGGCAGAACCGTGGAATGAGGGTGGAGGTCCACGAGGCGGATCAACTAAATCCATCGGCGTTGAACTAAATCTACTCGACCCCTTGTTTATGTATAGATATCCATTATTATTCTTCAGGTTGATGGAACCCACCACGGCCAAATCCTGTGCAGTGTGAACCCCCCTTCTCTTTCTCCTTTCCAGTGGGGGACCACGTGGATCGCTGAGGAGAAAAAAAAGTGAGGCGGCCAGAGTTTCCAATCGCTGCGCCCACCGCCATCTCGACTTTCTCCTTCTCTTCAACCACTCCCCCCCTCCTCTTTTCTCTTCTGCACTTCCTGCATCTCCCTCTTCAATCCCTCTCTTCTCTGCGCTGCAGTGGAAAAGCGTGTGTGCCCGAAATCTAACCTTACCAGCCTAACCTCACATCCCCCTTCTCGTGCCCGGGGTTCCGAGCGCCCGTCCTTCCCTGATTCGGGGGCTGTTTCGTTTGGGTTCTCTTCTAGGCCACTGTCTCTTGTCGCGTCAGGATCGCCTGACTGACCGCCATGACGGAGGTTTCATCTACCCGACTCTATCTTGGGAATCTTCCCCGCAATGGTATGCTGGCAACCACCTTTTTCCTCGTCTGCCTCCCCTTTCCCCCACTGGCAAGTTGGCAACTCCGGTTCTCCTCTCAAGGATTTCCCTCTCACCCCCACCACTGAGAGGTGCGGTCCACTTTCCCATGGAGTATTTTGAGCCGCATGGAATCAACAGCTCCAATACCCGGGAGCTCAGCCACTTTGGATGCGATCTTCTTCTTTCAAGGCGTGTGCAGCTGACACCGTCTGCGATCAAATGACCTGCAGTCACCAAACAGGATATCGAGGAACACTTCAGTACTCATGGCTCCGGTAAGATTACGGAGATCAAGCTGATGAACGGCTTTGGCTTCATCGAATATGAGGATGCCATGGATGCTCGTGACGTTGTACCGGGTATGCACCCCCCTTCACCAGCCGATCTCTTATCTCTGTCGAGGCTTTCGATGTGGGAGGTGGTCGAGCCTATCATTTTCTGCCCATGATCTGCTAACGTTCGGGCTTTCCCGTTCCAGCTTTCCGTATGTGATCTTATTCTTATTAACCTATGATCATCTGAATCAGTCCAGACTTGGACTTGCTCACCACCCGACTACAGATGGCAGTGACTTCAAAGGCGAGCGACTGACAGTGCAGTTTGCTCGCGGTCCTCGACGCAAGGAGAACTTCCCTGGTCCCCCGGATCGCCCGGCGGTTCCTCGTCCTCGTCGCACCATGTTCCGGATGCAGATCTCCGGTCTTCCTGAAACTAGTTGGCAGGTTAGCAGCCCGAGCCCATTCCTTCCTGGATGCCCTGGATACTTCCTCTTCCCCTGGACTTTTACATCTTTTTTGCATGAACCATGCCATCTTTTCCAGTCTGTGATCCGTTCTGCCGAGTGACTGGCCCTGACCCTTGGAACCCGAGGACCCTCTGGCGCTTGTCGGTTCGGGTGAATTGGACAAAGCTCCCTTCCTAGTGTCTCTTCCACTCTGCCGGACTATCTACATCTGCAGTTCTTGCTCCAAAATGCCCGAGCAGTGGAAGCATGGCCCTTGTTGACAGCCCATGATGATTCCATTCCATTGAGGCCGTAATGGATCACACCCCTTCTTGACTGGATGTAGACTATCACCATCATCATTTCTTCCCGCTTTACCTCTTATGGACTTGATCGGACACTTTTCATTATTCTTCCTGGACCTGGACTCACCATTCCTTCTCTAGGACCTGAAAGACTTTGCTCGCCAGTCAGGACTGGATGTGGTCTACTCCGAGACCGGCCGTGAACAAGGCAGAGGGTGGGTTCTACATCTAAAATTCGAGCCGTTGACCCCAGGCTCTCTCTCTCCCAATCTCTCTTGGACCCCCGTTAACAAGGATCACAAGGTTTGTTGAATTCGAAACTGCAAACGACCTCAAGACCGCCGTGGAGAAGCTGGACCAGCACGAGTTCAAAGGCTCTCGCGTGACCTGCGTTGCGGATGTAAGGAACCCAACCTCCAACCCCGGACATATCAAGCCCTCGTAGTTCGCCCCCCTAGGATCCGACGCCCCGTCTCATTTCTTTCTTCAGATCCAGAGCTTTGAAGACCGTCCCTACCGGGAGCCATACCGGTCTCGCTCCCCACGCCGGCCCTATCCTCCCATGGATGACTACGACCGAAGGTTCCCTGCGCCCCGTGGATACAGTCCCCGGGAGCACTATCGTGAACGATCACCCGCTCCCATGCGCGCAGGCTACTATGATCGCGATGGCTATGGACGCCGCACGCCCCCGCGTCCCCGGATGGAAGACTATCCCCCTCCCCGTCGTCCATACGAGGACCCCTATGATGCCCGGCCTCCGCCGCCACCGCGCCACTACGATGACCCTTATCTAGCAGCCCGTCCGTATGGTCGCCCGCGGTCCCCTCCTCGGGGTGAGTACGTTGGATATGAGCGTCCGCGCTACTGGTAGATGACATCTCGTCTTCTTTCATGATCACTTGCGTGTTTCTTTGGGATTCAGCGAGTGTTGTGTTCTTCCTTACTTTTGTCCACTACCTGTCAAATACCCAGCTGCTCCGTATCGTATTGTGTGCTCTTTTCCCTGATGGTACCATACTTTGTCCTGTCCGCCGAGGTTTTCAGCATGGTATCTCCGAAGGCCGAGATCTAATCTATCTTCTGGAATGACTTCTACTAAGCTCGCACTATGATGCCCCTCAGTCTTGGGCTGGGCTTTTTGAGCTCGGCGTAGGCTTTGGGAGGTGTCTGATGCAACGCTTCTGAAGATAAATTCCAGTTGATGGAGCGTATTTCCTTTTCTCTTGGCCGCCACTAATGCATTTTCCACTTCAATACCCTGGATTCAAACTCGGTCGGTCGCCTGGTGCTTTAATTTTCGTTTTCTTTCTCTTGCCTTTGTCTGTACAGATATTGACGGTTTTGGGGGGCACAAAGTATGAATCAGGATTTATGCTATCACCTGTTGACGGACTTTTGCATCTTACCGTGTCGATGAAAGCGTCCCCAGCTACATTCAGCTATGATAATGATAGAATGGGTGCGATGCAAGCTAATAACTTCCGTCTGGCCTCGGATGGCGATTGTCCTGGTTTTGGATCCGTAATCTATGAGTGCTGAGTCTCCAAAATTGTTTTCAATATGCAGACTGCTGATTCTGCCCAATAAAGAATCAATGATTCTTAGTTTCTGGTTAATTGTGTGCGCAAATCTGGATGCCTGCTGGAAAGAGCTGTCGGGACAGCGGGGAATCTCGTGCCGTCATGATCTGCGCCCCGCCCCAAAAAAAACTTCCCGAGCTCTCCATTCTTTCGCCCCGCCATCATCCAACGTCGTTCCATCGTCCCAACTTCGAGAAGGAATGCTGGACGCGGGCCTTGCTATTCAATTCAGTCACTAGGCCGCCCGAAATATTTTCATACATCGCTCTGGAGATCAATACACATACGACCTTTCGATCTCATCGGAAATTAATCCCGCTATAAAGGAAGCTCCCCCACCTCTCCTTTGGTGCATCGGCGAACTCCTTCGCAACCCATCAATCAAAATGTCTTCCCCCAGATCTGCCGTGCACATCCCCCAAACCCCAGCCTTCCTTGACAGTGTCCGCCTCCGCGACATTGAGCTCCCCCTCCCGGCCGCTCCAGACCCATGGCATCGTCCTGACAAACCGCAGCCCTGCACCGCAAGCCTCAAGCTATCCTACTCATCCGCCATCGCCGCCGCAGAACAAGACGATGTCTCCCTCTCCCTTGACTACGGCAAGCTCTTCCGGCGCCTGGAGACCGACGTCCGCGAAATGGCCCACCACACCACTTCCCCGGAGCACCCGCACCACCGCATGATCAGCGTCGAGGGCACGCAGCGCGAGGAGATGAAAGTTAGCGCCGTCGGCCAGGACCCGCGTGTCACGGCCGGTATCGTAGCGAACTGCGGTCTGGGCCTACTAGACGAAACAGCCGCCGGCGTGCGCCGCATGTCGCATGTGCACCAGAGTCCACGGAATAGCTTCTCGGGCGCGCAATTGCCCCCCGTGCCTCCCCCCGCGCCTCTGTCCCCAATTGCGGCGGAGTACGGGCGGTGCGAGGTGTGGCTGCATCTTCCGAAGGCGCTGCTGCGTGCGGAGGAGGGGCTCAAGTATCGGAGCGTCACGGTGTGGGGGTACAAAGATGGCGCGGATGCGGAGGCGTTGTTGGACTCTGAGTCGCGGTGTCCCGTTGTGTTGGAGGAGGAGTTCCGTATTGAGGGGATCCGATGCTACTGCATTCTCGGGGTGAATTCGCATGAGCGGGTTGAGAAACAGGCTGTTATTATTTCTCTGGGCTTCGAGGGTCCTGGACAGTTGGCTTGGGGGTCGACCGTAGTCGATACGTATGTGGCTCTGACGCGGGCCGTCGCAGAGGTATGTAAAATCTTTTTCATTTGTCATAATCATCTGTTAATATCCACTGTCCGTCCTTGGTTTCATGATCTAATCTTGGGATTACAGAAAGTCGACGAGACTACCTTCCAGACTGTGGAAGCGCTGGCAACCTTCGTGGCTCGCATTGTGACGGTGGACTTTGGCAATGAGCGCGTCACTGTGCGTGTCGAGAAGCCCAGCGCCATGGCGTTTGTCCAGCGCTCTGGTGTCGAGATCACTCGGACCCAAGAATTCTTCAAGAACCACGAGGTGGCGCGCAGGTGAGGTTGTCAAAAGATGATGTGCGCAGGATCGATCGATCGTGCATGCTGCACTGCGGGTGCTCCCGCACACGGCGGACTAAAGCCCCAAAACCCTCGGCCAACTTCTGTACAGTTAGCTGTCTTTTGACTGGCAGAATCTTGATTTCGGGCATAATCCTGCAATGGACCAATTATTATGAGCTTTATGGCAAAGAATAAGTCATTTTGATTAGATTCAAACATATTGACCATATCTCGTAGCTAATCCCAACGCTAATCAGAGAAGCCAAACGGAGATTGGGGTATAGGATGCAATCAATCAAATTCTTATGCCTAACGCGTAAGGTAGCGGTAGAAAACACGGTGAACGTACTTAGAACTATTAATAATGCATCGAGTACAAGTTCTCACTCTGATTTAGGTAGCTTCAACGTGGTCGGGGAGTAGCCAGTCAGATTTGGTTGGATAGTCAGCCTATAGTAGAGATCCTATTAATAGTAGGTCGTGGGAAGCTTCATTTTTTCACTAGCACAGTAGAAAACGACCTCCAGAGTAGCAGTAGCTAGGCAAGCGTATATTCTCTATCTTGCTCGTCCCTTTGGTTGTTTCTTCCGTCCTTGTCACCTCCAAGGAGACCATTCATAGGTCATAGATTGCCCATGCCTTGCACGTGAACACCCGATCCGGACTAGTCCGCGCCCCGGATCTACGAAAGGCGATGCTTTTTTCTTCAGCTTTGTCTTCCACCCTTTCAACTCACCGTTCACCGAGGGAACACCACTAGTCTGTTCCTCCTACCTCACCTCCCAGATCAGCCGATCAAAAGATCACCAATATCTGCCCCGCGATTTCTCTATGTGCCTGTCTGCGCCGCCCTCCTCGCTCGTCTCGACTTCTTTGACCAGCTTACTGGCCAACCTGCCCTTGCTTACCCACGAGATCTACAGCGATCACACCTCGACCAACGACCTCACCGTGACCGCATATCCTCAGCTGACTCCCTCCGCCTTGGCTTTCGACTTCGCTGTCAGCGAGGTGATTTGGCTAGGGGTCCCGGGTCCGTCCTGAAGAAGGGCGGACGGTAAAATTACTCGAGCACTTGCGAGCTGGCTGAGAGTCAGCTAGAAAGAGACTGTACCATTCAGCTATCACGTTGAGGTGAGTCTTGGTTCTTGTCTTTCCCGAAACCCGAGGAATCGTGGTTTTTTTTCCTCATCTTCGTCGCGATTGGTGGGGCAAAAAGTCGCAAGCAAAAGCTCTCTCTACCCCTCCATACCCGTGATCACAGGCAAATAGAAAAGGATTGAAGCTAACATGGAAACGGTGGACAAAAGTGGCAGTTCCAGACACCTCGAGTATCTATTTGCCAAACAAACACCAACTGGTGTGTCCTCTATTCTCCTCCGTGCCGCGACTATCGTCGGCGCCTCTTCCGGGTGCGAAACCCTGAGGGAGGCTCATTCGGAGTCCGACTTTTTCTACCACGCCGTTGACTGCTGTGACAATCGCAGTCGAGCAACATGCCTGTCTCTGCCCCGCCTGATGATATCTCCGTTGGAGATGTCTTCACCCCACAAGCTGACAGCACGCCGCCCTCCGCCGTCGACTTCCCGACCAATCACCGCGCCCCGGATGTCCACATGGGAGACGACCGGTTGTCACCGCGCAAGCAGATGGCCAATTGCAGAGGCAACGGGGACAATTTGATGCAGCCATCAGCCTTTAACCCGAATCTGTTGTCCGGAAAGCAGCGACGTAAGGCTAAGAAGAAGAAGCAAGCTGTGCAGGCTGATCTGGCACTGTCGACGGTTCGCGGTTTCACGCCGCTCGCCTCTGCGGATGAGGACTCTGATTTCTCCACGACTAGCTCCCGCGCTGCCGAGTCTCGTCCGGCCACCTCTAAGGGTGGAGCGAGTCCTCGCGCTCAGCCCAGTGTTGGCCATGGAGTTAGCGCTTTGAAGCTCCAGCTTGATTCGCTCAATCTCTCTGGGAAACACACTGCGGGTAGCGGCGGCTTCTGCTCGGTAACTCCCAGTAACGCCAGCGTGTATTCCGACAGCGATCAGACCGAGATTCTGACCAGCTATGAAGTGCCGCTGGAGCATGATTTCGTCAGCACAGACGCCGCGGAGGATGATGAACCTGCCAGCACCAGCCCCGCTGCAGCTGGAATTGGAGTCGATATGCGGAGCCAGCTTTGCCGGAAGATGACTGCAGAGGATTTTGAGCCTTTGCTCTGCCTTGGCAAGGGTTCCTTCGGGACCGTATTGCTGGTCCGCCATGTTGTCACGGGCAAGCTGTATGCCCAGAAGCAGTTCAAGAAGGCTTCCATCACTGTGCACAAGAAGCTCGTGGAGCAAACCAAGACAGAGCGCATGATCTTGGAGAGTGTCAACCGCCACCCGTTCGTGGTCAAGCTGTTCTACGCGTTCCAGGACCACGAGAAGCTCTACCTGATCCTGGAATATGCCCAGGGCGGCGAGTTGTTTACTCATCTCGCCATGGAGCGTATGTTCCAAGAAGATGCCGCGGCATTCTACATGGCGGAAATGGTCCTCGCCCTGGAGCACCTGCACCAAAACGTCGGCGTCCTGTACCGCGACCTCAAGCCCGAGAACTGCCTCCTCGATCACCATGGCCACCTGCTTCTCACCGACTTTGGGCTGAGCAAGATCGCACTGAGCGATGACGACCGCTGCAACTCCTCCCTGGGCACGATCGAGTACATGGCCCCCGAAGTGATCCAGGGCAAACCGTACGGCAAAGCATGCGACTGGTGGTCCCTAGGCGCACTGGGCTTCGACCTCCTCACTGGTTCCCCTCCTTTCCGCGCCAACAACCACGCCAAACTCCAAGAGAAAATCGTCAAGCAGAAGCTCGTCCTGCCCTACTTCCTCGGCCCAGACGCAAAGGACCTCCTCACCCGACTGCTCCGCAAAGACCCCGCCAAGCGACTCGGCTACCACATGCCCAAGGACCTCCAGACGATCAAAAAGCACCGATTCTTCCGCAAGATTGACTGGGCCGCTCTCGAGCGACGTGAACTCGTCCCGCCCATCCAGCCCGTCGTCACCGATCCCGCGCTGGCCGAGAACTTCTCTGCCGATTTCACCCAGATCCCGCTCAGTCCGACCGTGACCGGTGGATTTGACGATTTGTATGCGCAGAGCAAATCGCGATTCTCGTCGAGTCTTGCGGGCCAGACGGCTGGTGACGGGGATCCATTTGGTGGATTCAGCTTTGTGGCTTCGAGTAGCTTGCTGGATCACGGGCTTGGCGTGATGGCAACGGGATGCTAGGGGATGAATTGCCCTTTCTAGTCCTGTTTATCTGCTTCTGTGCCTCGTGCATTGCTTCTTCCCGGGTGTTTCGGTTGCTTTGCATCGTCTTTTTTTCTGTCCATCCCATGGCCTCTTTCTGTGCATCTCGCTCTGTCTATCTTGTATCCTGTGATGCAAGCGTTCTTGTTCTTAGCTTACAAGCTCTTGGCCAATACAGCACTATCGCGTTCTGGGTTTCGAAATTCCCAACAGGCTAATAAAGAGTACATGAATACAAGTCGGTTGCTTGAATACTATTCTTAATCATTTCAAATTTCGTAGATAGTCATTGACGTACAATACAGTCCATCCACCCAGCAACCCCAATAAAAAGCCAGTCAACACAAACCCCCCAAAAAGAAACAGCACCCGTAGTCCGGACCTGCTTATACGCGCCCCCATCCACCAAACTCCTCGACGAAGAAATTATGATCCGGTATTGTATCTAGATTTCGCCTTCTTCACTTCCACCCCTTTCGTCATTAATATCGACCCTTGGTGCGGACGGCGGACCTGTCTCCTTGGCTTCTGCAGATTCGGCCGGGCCGGTACTCGGGTCAACGCCCTTGTCGCCTGAGACTTCGCCTTCTTCGGCACTGGTTTCGTCTTTTTGAGGGGTTTGGGTGGAAGAAGGCCGGGCAGAGTGCTGGTCTTGTCTGTCGCTGGAGAGTCGATCGGTGGTCTTTGATTGTCGGACGGCTTCCAATGCGCGGAGGGGAATGCGCGGGCGAGCCGTTGTTGAAGGCGAGGCTGTTGCGCCTGCTGCGGGATGAGGTGAAACGGTGCAATGGCGTTTTGGCGAGCGCTCCCCGTTCAGTGAGGAGGATTGTTGTGTAGTTGATGTTGGGGTTGGTTGGTTGTGTTCGTTGGATTGGGATTCTGGTTCACGCGAGCGTTTGCGCCCGTTTGGCGCGGCCGAGTCGCCCGGTGTACTAAGAGTGGGTGTTGAAACTGGGTCGGCGATGGGATTATTATTGAAGAGGCGGGTTGGGTCGTTGGCGTCTGCGTCTGAGAAGGCAAAGTCGGGATAGCCCTTGCTCAGGTTTTGCTGGACACGCTCGTAGATTTTGACGATCAGCTTGCAGGCGCGGATGAGCTCGTCCACTTTGACGTCCAGTTGTTCCCACCATGGCCGCCCTTCTGAGTCGTCTGGAAAGGCGATCTGGCAATGGCGAGCAGCGGCGTAGAGAGCGGCAGCGGCGATGACGCGTGGTTGGAATTGCAAGCAGAGCACTGTGTAGGTGGAGTCATTCAGAAAAGCATATGCCGAGTGGCGGAGGGGTCTGTTATCGCCCACACCGAGGAAGAGGGAGTAATCCCAAAGGATGCGGTACGGCGACTCGAGCTGCAGGTCGAAACAGAGGAACTCAAGGATGACACTCTCATTCTGTAGGATCAGATCGCGCCACTTCCAGTAATCCTTCGACTGCTCATCCACGACCAGATCAGGCTGCTTCATAGCGACACGGCAGCAAGCCACGACGAAATCCTTCATGCGGCGCATCGTCTCGTCTACCTTGAACGCAACGAACAAGGAAACAGCCGCAATGACCTTTGGATGCATGAGGTCCGCGCCCACCTCGGGATATTGTCCGCGCAGAGAGTATCTCATGAGAAAGCGGTGCATAAACACCGTCGCCGTCATAGACGTCTGCGGCGGCATCTTCAGCATCATGCTGACCTGCCAAATAAACTCGACGGCACGGTGCCGGATGTAATCCTCCTTCTCGCGGTCGATCTTATCAATCCGCGACGGTGTGCGCTCGAGCTCTTCATCGGTAAAGATCCATTTCTTCTGTGTAGCCGCTATAACCGGATTTGGCAGGCCGGGGATACGGTGTTTCGGCGGTGCTGGAGACGCGGAGGCTTCCATCTGGTCGTGTTCGGTTGCGCGAGGCCAAGGGTTCGCTCGAGAAGGATATGTGTAGGTGGAAAGAGAGGCAAGGATGATTGGAACGGCGAGAAATGGAGTGGCCACCTATCTCTTTGCCAGAGATAGCAAGTAAAGCGCGCCCGCGCGCTCCTTTGCGGAGGGTTCTCTGGAGCTTCCTATCCCAGGTTCGGGTGTTGTCTTGTCCAATCGCGCATTCCGCAGCTTTTATCGCATATTTGAGAGGTGAAGAAGTACTTCACAGTAGTTCTCGGGTATTTTCAAGGCGATTATATGGGAGAAAGACTCTCAAGTGCCAAAGAGCTTGATTCGAAGGAAACTGGGAATCTTCGGCCGCGGTGGTTCCAGCGAGAGTGAAAGCTGCTCCCGGAGTGGGTTAACGAGTTTTTCCGGAGCACTACTATTGGCCAGCCGAAGTATAAAATGACAGTCCGTAAAAACGAGGTCTCGTTGATCTTGGAATAGAAGAGGACTTACCCATGGCCAGAGATTCGAGCGTTGAAGCAGGGGCATTTAGATGCAGAGAGACCAAGTGTGCGGTCAGTGATTAGTCGTGCATTATGACATCTTGGCCACCCATCTCGCTCTACTGCGTCCGACTTTCTTTAACCCACCTCTCCAGAATAATAAGTTAGTAGCCATAAAATACACCTAAGAATCATACAGGATAGTTGTCATTACAGTTTTGAGCCTTTGCTTAGGAAGTGTGATTGGTATGTGTAGCTAGGTCACTTGAAATCACAACGTCTCATCCATAAGCATTTCCCTGTAGTAGCGCCGCGGCGTCATATCCATCCAGGCTGTCATCTTCATTCATACCACTGCCTTTCACAGCTCTATCCTCTAATCCAACCCGAGCATTTCCCATCACGCATTGCTTGTCGGTCAGTTAGCTCTTCAAATCGGCAATGATATCTTTAGTGGAGAGCTTACCCTTCAATCCCCTCTCGCGAATATTACAGGCATTTTCGATTTGCCTAGTGTAGAGGGCACTCAATAGAGCTTACTTCTCGGGGGTTTGATCAGGTTCAGCATTGCTCGTAGGGTTCGTGGCAGTGGTGGCGGAGTCTGCCGGCGAGACAGGTGGAGTAGTGGTAGCCTGTGGCATCTCTTCATTGGCGGCGAAGCGTTCCATCAGGGCAAGGAATGAATTGAAAGAGCTAGGAATTGTGGAGTTGATGTTGTCGAAGGAGGTGTCATCCATCTCGGAGCCGAAGATGCTGCCCTGGAGGTCCGGGTCCACGGTGATGCCAAGGCTGGCAAAGTACACGTCGCTGCCGGGCATGCTACTGCTGAACATGTTGCTGCCAGGCATGTTGCTGCTGAACATGTTGCTGCTGAACATGTTGCTGCTGAACATGTTGCTGCCGGGCATGTTGCTGCCGGGCATGAGGCTGATGGGCATGTTGCTGCCGGTCACGTTGTTATGAACCGTATTGTTGTCAGCCGGATTGTTGTCAGCCGGATTGTTGTCAGCCGGATTGTTGTCAGCCGGATTGTTGTCAGCCGGATTGTTGTCAGCCGGATTGTTGTCAGCCGGATTGTTGTCAATCGGATTCTTGTCCGCCATGTTGGATTAGCGTACTTAGACTGGTGCAGAGAGGAGAAGGGAGGAATTGTAGAGTTGAGAGTGGCAGTAGGAGAGTTGAAAGATGGTGAGTCGCAATCAGGAAGAAGGATGAAAAATCACCTTGTGCCAGGTGACGAAGGGAAGGGGCACGTTTGTTTCTATTCCTAATCCTAAGCCCAATGGCCCAATGTTGAACCCCTGCTCTAAACTTGAGATTGTGTTATATCACAGTATGATGGATGGAAGCGGGAGTCTACATGCAGAGTTCCTTTGTGATGTTAACTACGCATAACTCGCTTCCTATCAAGAAGATTGGCAAAAGGGAATCAATTTGAATGAAAACAAGAAGCGAAAAGAATATCAAGAAGAAAACCGAAATCATGGCTAGGCCACCAAAGCGGCGACTCATAAATAGAATATCAAAAATGGTATCTCCAGACCTGAACCCAAGCGCCACGCTGATATGCAAAGATAGAACAATCTTCAAGTCCCAATGTTACTTACTCCTCCTCACTGACTTCACTCTCATCATCACTAGCCACCTGATAGCTACTCTGACCATACTCGTGGCTGCGAGCCTCTTCCTCACGCGCACTCGCTTCAAAAGCGGCTTCCATCTCCGCGGCCAGAGCATCATCGTCCTCCATATCATCTCCGGTATCGGCGGGAGCTGAGAAGGCGGGCTTGGTATCTCTGGCTGGGGAGGGGAGTCGGAACGACTCCATTTCCTCTTCCGACTCATGGCCTTCCCTGTCGTCGGTAGGTGTATTATTCGAGGAGAAGAAGGAGGGATTGACTTTGAAGGCTCGTCGGGGCGGTGGTGAGCCCATGTCGATAATCAATTCCCCATCGATGATGATGTTTGAACCGGGTGATTGAATGGACGGTTGTGAGCCATTGCCGGTGCCTGCATCTGATATTGACAGCCGAGAGTCGTCCTGGTGGACTGGTGGTTCTGTGCGTGAGACTAGCTCCCGGGGTTGCTCCGCGGGTGTATCCCGGGGGATCTTCGGCTTTACGGGCGGCTTCTGTACCCGCTTGGTTTCTCGGAGAGGGTTCGTTTGAGGCTTTTGGGTCTTTGGTCGGGGTGCAGGCTTTGCTGCAGATCTGGCAGGCGGTAACGCTGGCGTGTTCGCTTTGCTGGTGTATACCGGCTCTGGCGTAGAGTTCCGCGAGACGGGCTTCACGTCCTCGGCTCCCTCCTTGGGGAGGAAGTGTCGAAAATCGTATGGATTGCTATCATCGGCCGGACCTTCATCTTCACTCGTGTTCCCTCCATTCCGATCATCGCCCGAGGTGTGATCATCCTCCTGTGATATCCGTAGCTGCTCGTATTGTTCCAGGACTTGCTTCTCCGTCTTCCCCGGCGCCGACCGTAGATTGAAATTCAATTTGGAAGAGACCGGCTCCAGCACAAAGACCTTACGGTCAGGGTCGAATACCAAGACGAGGGCTCGCTCACCGGTCGGGTCTTCGCTGCCTTGGTATGAATAGGTCAAGGTGTGATCGGCGCTGGGTGGCTTATCCGTGACGGACAGGTCGTAGAGATCGCGCGACAGGGAGGAACGGGTGATGGATGCTCGCTGTTGAGGCGTTGCAGCTTTGGACTTGTAATTGTAGTTGACATTGATCAGACGATCGGAGTTTGTATTGTTGGCCAGTCTCTCACCCAAGACGATAGAGTATTCGGCCTGCTTGGTCGGGTCGATCATGGTGGACATCGTGGGGGCGGCCATGTCTCCGCGCGGAGACAGACAGCGGTGAGCAGAGAAAGAGGGATTGGAAACAGGACTGGAAAGATGAGTGGAAGAATAGGAAATTGGGACCAGGAATCAGATGAATAGCCAGGCGGAGGAGGAGGAGGAGGAGGAGGAGGAGGAGGAGGAGAGTGAAAGTCGTGAAAGAAAGTCCGAGGGAAGAGAGGCACAAAGCGCAAACATGGGGAAAGGCGGAGACCGAACTCTGAAGTGCTCCGCCTACAACTTCCATTAAATCGTGGAACTTTGGCTTGGAATAGCCACACTTGAATGCATGGTCGATAATTGTGGTCTTAGTAGGTTATCTTTATCAATTCACATTTAACATGAAAGCAAAGGACCAAGACTGTCCGAATATGGTCCATTATTGGTTATCATCTCTGTCCTGTAATTCGGCGGGATAGACTCCTTCACACCGATGTATCTGCAGATTGTACAAATTCTGTCATCCAAGACCATCTTTATAGACCATCTTTATGATTATGATGTCTGATCTAGCAGCGGGTATATCAGATGGTTATATTACACAACCTCCTCCACCTTTCAATGCACCGGTACTCGACTCGTCAGTTGCTCCAGACGTCCAGCCAGCGCCCGATGCTTACGCATCACATCTTCCCATTCATACGTGATATCTTCCTCCCCGTCCAGCTCCGTCAGAATCATGCCAAAGTCGCCTCCTAATCGGCCTAGACTAGCCGCACAGTACAGCAGCTGCGTCAGCAGACTCTCCCTCGAGCTGCGATCCCGAACATTAGGAAGATATGCGCGCATGGTATCTGTGAGTAATTGCACCAGGTGCATCGGGAATGTCGCCAAGGCGGAGGGGAGTCTTTGTAGCGGATCATTCGATCGTGCTGACTGGGACTGGGCCTTGCGCGCCTCGGCGCCCCGGAGGCCTGAAACGGCGGGTTCGGAGTCTGACTGTTCCGAGCTGAAGATATTCTTGTACAGGGAGACAATGGCAAAGCTCTGCTCACGGAAGATCTCAATGTACCGTTTCAGGTAGCGGTCTGTCTGCTGTCCATCAGACCAAGTTTCAGACTTGTCCTTGCCATGGACTCGCCGCTGGGTTTCTTGATCAGCAAGCTCCCGGAGAGGATCCAAGGCTTCCAGGGTCGACACCAAGTGGGCCAAGCGGCAAATTAAGAAAATGGCGCCCAGCGCTCCTTCTCCGGTACCTGCTGCTCCCTGACTTTGAAAACTCTCCAAATCCGGTGCCACTCGCCGCAGCCAGCCTACAGTTCGCATACCCGCTGCTAACCGGAGGTTCTGGGCGCGAAGGCCGGCGATCAAATTCGTTGTCATTTGCTTCATAACATCTTCCGCCTGGGACGCCACATCTTGGATTAATGGTGACTCGGGGTATAATGTCTGTAGTCGCTTAATATGTGCATGTAGGTCGAGGGCTGAGGAATATGTGGTAGAGGCTGCCCCCGCGCCAGAATTGGCGGACGCGGCAGACACCGCAGTAGACAACAGAGAAGGCAATTCGAGGATATCAGACAGTCGGTCAACATTGCGTGCTAGCTGCATGGCCTTTTTCCTCCGTTCCAAGGCGGCATTATCTGTAATCTTGCTGTATTTGGTGGAGAACTTGACGGCCGCTTCGTCGAGCTTGGGGATAGCATCGCGTAATTGTTGTGCTTCGCGGGTCAACTGTGGGACGGAGGAGCGCAAAGTAGAGAGATGGTCGGCAGAGGTAATAAAGGACCGGTGAGAGCGGTTGGATAGGGCCTGGAGTGAAAGGAGTGTTGAATGGGAGGATTGGGCCAGGGACTGTGGTTCGGTGGTTTGGAGGGCGTCCAAAGACAAAGTGGATAGGCGATTGAGATACTGCGATGTTGTAGCATCGTTTGGCTGTGGTTTCTCCAAACGTGGAGCCAGCAGCTCCAACAGCGAGTCGGCCATGTCTCTCGTCGTCGTTGAAGATACCAGACTTCCAGTGTCGCGGAAAGCCAGCGCGCTGAATAATGGAGAGAGAGAGAGAGGCAGGCCTACGGTGGCCCGTGCGGCCAGTTTGCGCATCTCCGCAGCGTCTCCAACATTTTCCGTCTTCTTTTCGTCATTTGCCTCCTCGTCGGGACTACAGTTGAAAGAGGCTTGAAGCTGTTCATAGAGGCACTGATAGCCAGATTGGATGGTCTGAAGTGCTTTCTGTTTCTTCGTTATCGTCTTCATCTGCCCCTCCCCCCGCATCCTCCTTTTAGTGGCCTTGTCCCACATGCCCCTTCAGCCATGGGGAAACCACGGGTAAGTAGTACTATGTCCGGACTAGAGTCTCTTGATGCTCGATCTTGACAACATTCTATTCTGTAGATGATCATTCTGGTCCGCCATGCGCAGTCAGAAGGAAATAAGAACCGCGATATCCATCAGACCACTCCCGACCATCGAGTGAAACTAACGTCCGAAGGACATCGACAAGCACTAGAGGCGGGCCGTCGATTACGCGACCTTCTTCACCCCGATGATACCCTCCACTTCTTTACTTCTCCATATCGGCGGACAAGGGAAACAACCGAAGGTATGCTGGAGTCGTTAACCTCCGACGACCCTTCGCCATCGCCGTTTCCGAGACATGGCATCAAAGTGTATGAAGAGCCTCGACTACGAGAACAAGACTTTGGCAACTTCCAACCATGCTCGACCGAGATGGAGCGCATGTGGATGGAACGGGCAGATTATGGCCACTTCTTCTATCGTATTCCCAACGGCGAGTCCGCCGCAGATGCCTACGACCGCGTGAGCGGGTTTAACGAATCGCTGTGGCGACTCTTTGGCGAGGAGGACTTTGCCAATGTATGCGTTCTCGTCACGCACGGCCTAATGACGCGAGTCTTTCTCATGAAGTGGTATCATTGGAGTGTGGAATACTTCGAGGACCTGCGCAATATCAACCATTGCGAGTTTGTGGTCCTGACTCTCAACCCGGACAATGGCAAATACACTCTACAGAATAAATTACGTACATGGTCCGACTTGCGAAAAGAGAGAGAACGCGAGCACGAGGCGAACAATCAACCTCCTGCAACCAACAATCCTTCAGACCACATTCCTATTCGCCGAAAATGGGGTGGATGTCCTGACGGATGTACTCATGGATTGACCGGCGATGCCAAGAAGTCTCTCCGAGCCCAGTTGGTGGAATCAATGCACCGTGGACATGTACGAGGCAATGTCGCTACGCATCCAGATCAGCCATCGCCGTTGAAACAAGCAGCTTCAACATCCGATAGCATGGAAGGGTCATTCCCCTTCCCAAATGATAAAAGCATATCCACCTTACACGGCACCAACAAGAGCTCTCATCCCACCAATCAGTCGGAGGATGAGTCCAAAGATACACACAGGCGTTCTTCCAGTTCCGACATTCGCTATATTTCTCGTCCCATCCGCCCCAGTCTAGGTCCCCATCGCGATAGCGAAGACCATCTCCTCCACCCTCCAGCTTCATCATCGTCGACCGTGAACCTCAAATTGGCTCTCCTCCATCTAGGCGGCCGCGACGGAGGTGGCTCCATGAGCGGTGCAAACAGTCTCGCGCCCTCCGATGACGAAGGTGATGATCACGACCACCATCACCACCACGGTTCTCGTACCCCCCATGAGAAACACTCGCACTCGCACGTGCACTCTACCACCACGTCTAACCCATCACAAGACCTCGAAAACGACGGCGACGACGAACTTAGTGCACATCCAACCGAGGGATCAAAGCGTCGTCCACACCATCATCATCATCCCCATCACCATCACCACCACAATCATCACATTACATCGACATCTACACAACCTAATACCCGCCCCACCCACCAAAGACAAGCCTCACACTCAGAATCCCAACCACCCCACGGAATGGCAAACATCCTCGGCGACGGCGACGACGAAATCTCCACCAGCGAAGAGATACAAACACCGCGCATCACGGAGCCTCAAACACCACAGACTAACCACAGCGAAAACGAGCTGGCGAATACCCAAAATGAGGAGCTCTGTCTGGAGGCGCAGAGGCGTGAGGATCAGAGTATTCAGGGGAGTGTTTATTGAGTTTGGTCGGTTTGCATGGTTGGTTGAGTCGGGGTTATATACCTGGGTTGGGTACATTGATTGGCATTTGCTATAATTTGATAAAGGGCTGTTCATTAGGCTGGGATGTTGTTCTGAGTGTTCGTTCACGTATAATGTTGGATGGCATCAGGTTTTCGGGTGAAGCGTTACGTTAAGCTATTATGCTACGACTACATGAATGAGAATGACAATGCATGATTTATTAGATGTGAAGATTTCTATTAGGAACTCTATACTATTATTGCCGTGGTAGATAGAATCTCATACACTACACAGCGTAGCATAGCAGCTATCTCAAGTTCCTACTATCTACCAGACTACACTTACAAACCTACAAGGAATACCAGAGAAAAGATGGAGCGACAAAGACAATAGTTTGTCACATATTTCCCGAATCCTAAGACAACAAGACGTCCCAACACACAGAGACCATGCTACCCACCAGCACAGCCAGAACTAGCCTAATCCAGATTCTCAGAACCAGGACAGTCCAGGACTAGTTCCAAGACACTAACGGGGGCCACAGGCAAAGAGCAATTGAAAACATGGACGAAGTCGAGAATCAATAGACTACATACAGGAATCAGTCACCCGCCAGCGCCTCTACCTATCAAGGTAGATAGATAGGGGGGCCGGAGAAGTGAATTGACAGCCTTGGAGAATCCCCATGGCTCCGGAACAGGGACGCGATTGCAGGTGTTCAGGGAAATTGGAAAAGGTGTACTGTAGACGGTCAAGGGAAAGGGAAGGGAGAACCCAGACACACGAAACACGTAGCAGCGGACCTGGTCCTGGTTCCCCCTGCACATCCTGTATGCAATGCCGTCTAAACGGATGGGGAATCAGAGAAGAGAATATGGCTAAGTCGGTCTTGAGTAAACAACAAAGCGCCTTGGTTCATGGTATGAAGGAAGACGAGGGAAAGCTGTTTTGATTTTTTGGACCGCTCCTGGGGAATCAATGGAAGAAGAAAGGGCAATCATGAAGGCTGGATAGAAGAATAAAGTATTTCAAGTTTGTTTGGATGAATCATGGTTGAAGGAAAAGAAAAAGCGGAACTGCAAGGCGCAGAGAAAGAAGAGTTGATGGAATGTGTCGATGAGTGAAGAGAAGTATTAACGCCGGGTGCACATATGCCCAGCCGCTTCATTGCTTTCCAAAAAGGACAGCGTTGTAGCGGGGTGTGGCGTTGATGTGCACAGTCGAATGAAGATAATGTACCGACATGAAGAGGAGAAAAGCGCAGAATAGGGGGAAGAAAACAGCAATCTATGGGTAATCACCGCCGGACGAAGAATGCCAAGCATGGGAAACGGCAAGAGGCAATGGAACAGAAAAGGCGAAGGAAGAAAATGAGCCGAAGATATGAGCGGAAAAGGTCATGGGTAATAAACAAAATCAGATTTTGGGGATTCGTGATCGTCGTGACTGCGGTCCCGGCCAGGGTATGTCAACTTGTCCAAAATGTGACGAGGACAGGACAAGAAATGATCCGACATGAGGGCCATTGCATAAGTCATATTCTCCGATGACCCAGGGAGTTGGGTGTAGAGAGAATACGCAGCAAGGAGACCATATCGAATCGTAGAAGCGGCCGGGACGTGCTAATGTCGCCGTGGAGAGCGTCTTTTTCCTCTTTTTTTTGGTATTTTGGAGAGTTTTTCGCTTAGCCAACACGAACCAGCAAGTCGCAGAACAAAAAGTGTACTTTTCGGGTGTTGACGCGGAATTGCCGATCGCTCAATGGGTGAGTGTGGACAGCGAGTCAAGAAAAAGAGATGAAAATGAAAAGGACTTGGCAAAATGGGGGCGTAAACATCGAATCGAACAGGCGAAGCGAGAAACAAACGGTATCATCGAACAGAGAAATGAACAAGTCGAGAGATAAACAAATACCCATGCAAAACCCTCCCAAGCGTTCGATAGTCGAGAAATGGGCAAGGAAGAAAAATTCTAGAACCGAACAGAGAAAAGATAAAGGCCGAAATAGAGACGGGGTTTTTGCGACCTTTGTAAGAACGCCAAGGCTCAAAAAGACGCTGTTCGTCTCAAGTTTCGTCCCAAGTCATGAAATGATATCAGCAAGGATGCAACAAGTAATAGATCACACACAAACAGTGACTAAGCATGGAATGATTAGCCTGCAACAATGGGCTGCAGCGCGGGGAAAGCACTGTTGCACATGTAATGCTCCATATGCTTGGCACAGTACATGCAGCCACAGGACGAGCCGTGACCAGTCCAGACACTCTGAGCGAATGGCAGGCCATACGCCGGAGTGTGGTGGTAGGACGGGGGCTGCGAGCGAGGTGCGGACTGAGCAATGTACCGTGGCGGAGCAATCCAGGCGCCCTGCGAGTACGGTGGTGGCGGGTTTGAGAAGCCCCAGGGTCCGACTGAGTAGTAGTCGGGGGTGTTGGGGCCACTGTGAGGAGCCGATGGCGGGGAGTACTCGGAGGCAGCAGGGTTGAGCCAGGAGTTCTCGATGTGGGAGCTGCGTTGGTACTGCGGCGGGATGGGTCCCTCGGGGGACATGAGCGGCTTGGAAACGGACTGGTGGTGTCGGACAACGTTAGTGTCGATGGGCGCCAGGGTCTGACGAGAAGACTCCTGGGCCCGAACGTTGGCCTTGGCACTCCAGTTGTCCCAGTGTCGGCGCCAGGAGGCGAATCCGTCTTGCTGGTCATAGATGCGCTCGTGGATCTTCCAGTCGAAGCCGAACAGCCACTCCAGCTCCATCTTGTTCAGTTCAGCCACGGGGATGTTGCTAACTTCAGCCCATGACTTGTTCTGGAAGGTGTTATCATCCAAGAACTTGCTGCCCAGCAGCAGACCCACCGTCAACATGCGGTAGATCTGGCCACTGCCGGACTGGAAGACCCGCTGAGCGGACAAGATGCGCATGCGGCTGGACATGTAGAACAGGCCCAACAGGATAGTCGAACTGGGGAGGCGGGTCGAGGACAAGATCTGGTAGACGTATTTCCGGAACTGAGGGGGCACGGAAGTTCCTGGGGAGATGCTTCGCGCGAAGTCAATATCTGCAAGGGTGATCTTGGTGTTGTACAGCTCATACATTCCCTGGGTCATTTCTGCCACGAAGTCGGACATGCGATCCATCTCGTAATCTAGGTGGGCGGCGACACCTCCGGTAGCCTTCTCCTCCTTGCGGGACTGCTGCTGCTCCAGTTGTTGTTGTTGGTGCTGCTGGTGGTGGTGCTGCTGCATCGAGGGAATCTCCTGACGGCGGTATTGTGGGGGAATGGCGCTGTCCATGGGAGGCAGCTGGACGTTGGCCCGAATAGGGGGCAAGGTAGTTGCCATCGGGCCAAACATCGACTGCTGGTGGCTCAAGGAGTGCATATCACGCGCACCGTGCATCGGATGCGCCGATCCATGGTGCATAATCGCGTTCGGCTTGGTGTAAACCAGAGACTGCGAGTACTGTTCAATGAACTCAGAGCCGCTCTGGTGGTAGCGAGGGGGGGAACGCGGGGTGACCAACCGGATAGAACGAGGGTTCATCCAGACGACCACCGCTGTTGACATGAGGAGGCGTGGGAGGTAGGCCGTGGCCCGGAGCGAAGAAAGACGGCATCTTGAAAAAGGGGGCAGGTTGAGGTAACCAGTTCAGGACGGCAAAGGGTAGACGGCGTTGAGTTCTGTCCGTCGCTAGATCGTCAGCACCGCTAGCCAGGCCCGAGAAGCAGCGTAGAGGTACGGCTGGGATAAATGACTGGGAGACTGATGTGAACCGAGGGATAGGGCGAACACGAACCGTCTACGGCTTCACCAAGCCCTGATCCTGGGGGGAGGGGAGGAGAGGAGAGTGCTGCTCAGGGAGCGCGTCGCTCTGATATCGTCGTAGTGAACGTCTCTAGTTGAATGGCATTGAGGGAAACTCTTCAATCAAACCGAGTGAACCGAAGAACAAATGGAATAGAAGGAGCGTGGTGGGGTTATGTTGAACAAGCCCTCGATAAATTTTCGGAACTGGTCTTGAGGAGGGTCGCAAAGTCGAAGTTTGAGCAAAGATTCGAATCACACAGACACGATAGGTTAGGAGGAGAGAGGAGGGGAGAGGAGAAGAGGCGGGTTGGCGAACGTATTCCCTGCACCGAACGGAGGAGAGGGCGCTTCGGTGGAAGAAGAGGACGCGTTCACAGAGCAACAGGGCGAGCCCGCGGAAAAGGGGAGGAGTTGGGGGAAAAAAGAAGAATCACACAAAGATAGGGAATTCCCTCGCGTAGAGGCAAACCTCACGAATGAGATCAGCAACGACACTTAGTGAAAAGCTCGTTGGAAGGAGGAGAGGTGGTTGAAGGAGGAGTGGGAAGAAGAGAGGATGAGGAGGGAGAGTAGCGAAAGGGGAGAGGAGAGTAAGAGAGGAGAGTGAGAGGAGTGAGAGAGTGACGGGAGTGACGGAGAGTCGTGTGTGTGGTGGACTTGTGTGTGTGTGTGGAGGGCTCTGACAATACGTGACATCGTTACCATACCTGGGCCTCGACTCAGAGTGGACTTTTGGGCGGTGGATTTTGGCTGCGGATGCGTTGGGGAGTGGCGGGCAGTGTTTTTTTTTTCCTGTGGATTTCTCCAACTTTACCGTCACCGACAATTACCGTCTCCAAGCTCAGAATGTCCAGCCTACGGCTGATTATTCTCAGGGCCGAAACCCAACTAACTCCGACCTCTGATCATCATTCTCGACATTCTCTGTACTCCGTACTCTATCCTAATTAATATATCAGGCACAGCCCTTTATTAAATCATAGCAGGAACGAAGATCGTCTTCTTCGACTATGGAGCACTCCTATATTATTCAACGGCTACAGTCTAACTAACTACCCCCGTCCAGCCTGGCATGTAATCGTCAATCCCATTTAATCTAGCTAATACCAAAGCATACCATCCTTAATTAATCCCTCCGTATAATTACCTCATTGCCTCAGAGGACAGCACAGAAGGTCTCTCCGGAAAAAAGAAGTCCTAGAAGGCAAAAAAAAAAAAAAAACCCCCCGGCTACGTAAGTAGTGCACCAGCATCGAAAAGGTAGAAAAAGGGTACCTAGCCACTCCAGCATTACACCCTATGATCCGGGAGTACTCCGTACATCCATCGTGAACGGGTGGCCATATGGCCGAGGGAGGACTAGTCCCGTCTCATACAAAGTATGTCACTCGCCTCCCTGCTCCCAAACCAACCGACGGAGGTGTATGACTACGACTGGGCAGGACAGACCAAGACAAACCCTCCAGACCCGGTGATGCAACGCCCGTGTCACTTAAACTAGTTAGCGTCGCAGAAACGAGCGAGGAAAAAAATTCTAAAAAAAGGGCCCCCCTAAAGGACCACAAAAAAAAAGAAGCGGATCCCCTACTCGTGCGGGCTCCACTTGACTAAGCTGGAAAACTGGTAAAGCTGGTAAGACTCATTTCAGGGATTTTGTATGGCTGTTCCCTGTTCTGGGGCCAGAATTACGGCTGGAATACCAGCGTCGCAATACGGGGGGACATTTTCAGCTGGGTCCAAGCGTTCCAGACTGACATTCCTTCTGTTGCTGGGTCTACGGTGAAGGGTTCATGGAAAAGTAGTAATACAGGTGGTGATACATACTGGAGGAGTAATATGGATGATGATGATTATCATGCGGAAATCACAAGAGCCTCCATAGGAGTTATACTACTCACCTCAGCAGGGAACTCTGTCGACCGTCGTACCTCAGTTGCCCCCCTATCACCCCGAACAACCAAGCAAGGGCCGCCTGAGAGCCACGGATGACTGAAGACCGATGACCGATGACTGACTGGATGATCGATGACTTGTTCACGGCCCCTCTGTGACCTGCTTCTAGTTACCGGGTCTCGTCCCTCTGAGTCACCGAGTCTGGAAGTGATCCATCCCTGCAGGGTGCATAGCGTCATGCCAGTGACGGGAGGAGAGGGTGTCCGATGAAAACGAGTGGCCGGAGAAGGCGGAGAGAGGAGGAGGGGGCAACGCCGTATTGAACGGCGGAGGACCAGTTCATTGCGCACGGGATGGGCCTCTGGAAGAGGCGGAGTATAGACACATGGTTGAATTTTTGTGAGATCATTCTGAAGAAACTCGATCGCTGCCTAGCAACACCAAAGGAAATATTGTTTTTACTGTTATTATTATGATTATTCTCGTAGGCATCGATATATCTGACGCGGCATGATGAGAGCGGCTATTTCGTATACTTCGCCCCCTCCAAACAGCACTGCCAACGATAGTCTTACAGTAAGTCACTGGTGGCTATATACGAGGATCTACCTATACAATGGAATAATTTCAATTTTATTCAAATCACCTAGAATTCCCGCATGCACAAAATCAGGTCTTCTCCAAATCTCATTGGAGCTGTATACCTGATCCTCCATCCCCCCATCCATACAATCCTGTAATACTCCAGTGTCCAGTTCTTACCAGTAATGGTAACTGGTCAATCTCCCCTCTTCTTCCATAATCCATCCCTGCCCAACCAGTGGAGCAACAGAGTCAAGTGCAAAGAAAAAAAAAACACCGGTTTCTCCGGCTACATTCGGCCCAACCCACTAACCCACCAACCACGAGCCAGGCACAATATTAGTACTGTAATACCTCACACTAGGTACCTCCGGCAGTCAGATTCTCGCAGTGCGTCGGGCAGAATATACTTCCTAACCCCCCGCCGAGGAAAAAGCCGGGCGCGGACAGTCACACCCCCTCGTCGGGCCCTCTTTGGCTATCCGCTACCGTATCAGAACTGCAGCCGCAGGGGCGGGGGAGGCAATAATCATACTGTATAACGATACCTAATACACCGTAGTCTCCACTCGCACATCCTCGCAGGTCTCTAACTTCTAACTATACCTCACGCTCCAGAGACGCCGCGGACCGGATCGATGGGTGGGGGGGAGGAGGCGTTTGGACTTCCTCCAGTGCTTGTTGGTGAAGCGTGGAGGATAGCCGGCGTCGGAGAGAGGAGTCGAGGGAAGGGGGGGTTCTGGCATTAGAAATCAACGGACTTTTATTTTCGGGTGGACGGCAATTATACAATAGTTTCTTTCTTGCCTTTTTTTTCTTCCGGTTTTCGGTGTCTTTTTTCTGACTGAGGGGAAGAGAGTGAGTTTACATCTTTAATCACTAGTTCGGGTTTACTGTAGTATATTCAACGGCGTACCTAGGCAGACGTAGCCACGTAATGGTGCGTGTGCAGGTACTACTGGAGAAGAATTCCCGTAGATATGCTTTTGGTATTTTGTTTCTATCATGCTCAAGCTTTTTGGTTGTATAAAATGCGCCCAGATCACAGGACGGGGCATCAGGGATAGAATCGATCAATAATCTAGGGGGAAAAAAAGGGACCGACAGTAAACACGGGGACGGAGACTCATAAACTTTGTTCGGAGTCAAACGGCCCTCGGCTCTCACATTCCGTGATACTTTCCCTCCAAGTGTTGACGGTGGTAGCCGTGAGCCACCCATCCGACAAACGAGAAGGGAATACACGATGATAACCGGGTCCACGCAACAAAAGGGTGGGGGAAAAGATGAACAAGTAAAGCAGGGTAAAAGTAATCCAGAAATTGGCTCGGGTGTATCGACACGCCTGCCAGAACAGAGGGATATCATTAAGATTCAAAAGAACCCATGCGCAAAAAAAAAAAAGAAAAAGACGTAGACTCGTATACTCGGAGAAGTCGTCAAGGGAAGGAGGATGGGAGGCACAAGAGACAACCCATTCCATTCCAATCCAGTCCCTCCCGGTTGAGCACTTCCAGGGCGATGGGGCGTAATATCCAGTCAACTCCCGATCCAGCGCTCATCAGTCCGGTTCAATCCCAATGATGCCAGGCATCACAGAACCGGGACACAACCAGAAACAAAGCTAAGGACTCGCAATGCGAGAGCTCCACATCCACCCCCACACACCAAATGGTAGGAACGAATAAAACAACACCCAGAGACACGTCGTGCTGTTTACTCTTCTTTGAGACTACCCACCAGGTTGCGCAACACATCCATAATGACCGCTTCATCCTTGGGTTCGCCGCCAGGGAATGAACTCTCCTTGGCATTACCCAAGACCCGGGCACGCGCACTGCGAAGTACTTCCCGGATGTAGTTCTTGTCCTCGTAATCTTCCATGAGAACATTCTCAAAGTCGTCAATGGCCTTGTTGGCACGCTCAGTGAACGAGGGTGAGTCTGGGGCGACTTGTGAAGGAGGGCCGGACTGTACAGAATGGTGCTGCGGTTGATGCTGCTGCGGTGGTGGTTGATGATGGTGGGCTTGGGGCCCTGGCGGCGGAGGATGGGGTTGGTGTGACTGGTGATGCGACGGTGGCACATGCTCATGGGGCGGAGGAGGTTGTTGCTGGGTTTGTTGATGCGGCTGGTGTTGCATCTGGACCGGTTGCTGGATTGGATGCTGGTGCTGAGTTTGATATTGCGGCGCAGCGGGAGGTGGATAGGCTTGGGACTGAGAGTTGATATGTGGCTGTGGAGTGGAAGGTGGCTTTTGTGGCGGGGGGTAAGGGGAATGATGATGCTGCTGCTGCTGCTGATGTTGCTGCGGTGGTTGTTGTCCCGGTGGTCCCTGAACAGGCTGTGGCTGTGGCGGCGGCTGCGAATTGTGTGGAGGCGGTTGTTGTTGTTGTGGAGGCGGGTTGGAGGCATATGGAGAAGTGTAGGCTCCAGGCGTGGTCCGAGCAAAGGCAGCTGGCAGATTGCCGCGGAGAGCACTGGGGATAGGGAAGGATGCAGGAGCTGGGGCTGGCACGGGCGTAGGCATAGGAGCCGGGGCCGGAGCTGGAGCACTTGCGCTTGACGGCGCTGATACGGGCATAGGTGCAGACACAGGAGGTTGAGATGCAGCAGGCGTCGGTGCCGAGACTGGAGGAGCAGCAATGGGAGCAGGAGGTGGAGGGGCAGTAGAAGCAGGAGGGGGTGCGTATGGGCTGGTATGCTGTTGTTGAGGCGCTGGAGGTGCAGAGAAGGAGTTGGAAGGAGGAATGGAAGGGAACTGGAAATGCTGGTGCTGATTCTGCATTGGAGCAGGGGCAGCCGTTGGTGGTGCATATGAATGAGGCATTGGAGGCATGTAATGTTGAGGAGGCGGCACGGATGCTTGAGGGGGTTGCGGCGGAGGAGGCGACGGACGTCTCTTCTTTTCCTTCTCAACAGACGCACCAGGGCGAAGTTGCCAGGACCAGCCCTTGCCATCTCGCTCGGCGTGCATGAACAAATGGCTATTGCCGTTGAGGTTGTGTCGCACACTCGATGTCCATCCTTCGGTTTCACATTTGAAGCGGAAGTAGGGATACTTCAGTTTCAATGCACGATAGATCTGTTTCAGCGTCATCGGGTTTCCAGCTTCCGTCAGAGCATCGAAAATCAGCACAGCGTAGTTGTAGGGTGGCTTGGCCAGATCCTCGGGAGTATAAGCAGATTCTGGAGGATAGTTCGGAGACGGAGACCGCGAGGGCTTCCGCTTCTTGACTGGTGGAGGCTTGACGTATTCCTCGGGTCGTTGCTCAGTTGTAAACTGTCCCCCTTCTGTTGAAGGCAAGGGAAAGTCCATGCCTTCGCCCTTTTTCCTCTTCGTATACTTGCGCTTCTCGGCAGGCTTGACGGACGACGGCGGAGATTCGGCTCCAACCGACTCTCTGACAGTCTTGCCAGCCTTGCCAGCTGGTTTAGTTGGAAGAACGAGGGGTGGCGGAGTGACACCACCGTTGGCCTCGCGTTTGGCAGCTATCTTTTGCTCCCTGGCCAATTCGGCCCTCTCGCGCTTGGACATGATACCATCCTTGGGAGGGCGACCAGGACCCCTGCGACGTGCAGGTTGTCCGCCATTCTCGCCACCAGCTTCGATGGAAAGAAGAGCCTTTGAATCAGAATCCTTGGTCTTGAGGACAATCTTGGTCACCTTGGAAGAAGGCTCCCTGCTCTCGCTGTCGCTGAGAGGCTTGTCGGTATCATCAATCTCATGCTCTGCATCGACTGATCCCCGATCAGCCTCTTCTTCCTCGGGCAGCTGCTCCTCTATACGGTCTGCACCAGTCTCGCCGATGGGAACATCTGGAAGTAAGAATCGGATTCGCACCCCTCCAATTTGAATATAATCACCGCTATGCAATGGCCGGATTTGGCCAGGGGAAAGCCAGTCAGCACCGATAAAAGCTCCATTGCGGCCCATGACTTCCATTTCAAACAGATTGCGATCGAAATTATAAGCGATGCGGACATGCCGACGAGAAATGCCACGGTGGCCAGCGGCAGTACCATCAATCGTCGAGGGAGGGTGGATAGGGATTGTCGGACAAGCATCAGGAGACGGGAGCAGAGCCAATGTATCAACCGGCTTGGGATCACCGTTGCCTTCTTGAAGGGATTGCATGGCGAGCGCATTATAGTCGGTGGTTGCTTGTAGCTGCGCCGGATTGGCATGCAGCGGCACCACTGATCCATCAAAGGAGGATTTTGACGATCGTCGGTTTCCAGGCATGTTGCTGCCAGAGATATTGGGAGGAACGTCGGGATCAAACCCCATAATACCTCCACGATCGCTGACCACACTGCCCATCATTGCAGCACTCTCTTCTCCCTTCATTCGGTTGGGCGTATGAGAAGCATTACCACCGCTTGAACTCTTGGCTCGAGAGCTCCGCACGGCCTGCCGATACTGGTACTCTCGCTGGTGCGCAGCGCGCGCAGCCCGTACATCGCGACCCAGGATGAACGAGTAGGTGTTGCAATAGAAATGACCATCATCAAACTCCAGCTTCGCAAATGCCTGGATTCGAGGCTCCGACCCGGTCACCGAGGCAGATCCATCCTGGTACCCCAGGGCAGACAGATCGGCGCTCTGCGACAGGTATGCTGCGGTGAGCATTTCATTCTGTTGGAGAGCCTCGAAGGCGTTCTTCGGGACGACGGCGAAATCGAAAGGAGGAAGCAAGGACGGTTGTTGGTCTAGATCTGTCTTTGAGTTGTTCAAAGGATCGGAAAGATCCATCGCATCGGATCCTCGATGTTCTGCATGAGTACCATCCTGTGTCGTCGTCGCATCCAGTTGCGCAAAGATATCATCCGTTGATTTCCCTCCATTCGACATATTTGGCATTCCTGTCGAAGCCGAGGCCTGTTGTCCATCCTGTTGTAGATTGAAATCAAGCGAGAAATCGTGGCTCAAGTCCGGCTTTTGATCCAGCTTTCCATCTTCCTCGCTCATCTCCACATCCTGCTGTTGTCCTGTCCCCGTCCCGGTTCCTGTCTCGGTCGTTGGTGACCCGTTTGTCGGGACAGAATTCGTCGGCGTAGATTGGTTTCCGAGGAGTTGAGCGAGCAGCGCACCTGCAGCGGACTGGGTATTGATATTCTTCTGCATCTCGGACGCAGCCAGGTTCTGACCCTCGACCGGTTCCATCTTGATTCCGATTGGAGTGGCAGGCAAGCCCTTGGAGGTTGGGGCAGAATTATGCATGTCGCGGATTGCGGAGTCGCTCCTGGCGTCGGTCGGAGGCGAGGCGTCGTTTTGAGAGCCGCCATAATCGTACATGGGCGTATCGGGGCCTGGATCAGGCGGTCGATGGCCCACTGCTGGCGCCGTCATGGTCTGCGACGACATGGCTCTGGAAGGAGAGAAGAGGGAAGAAGAACCAAAGCCGAAGTTCTCTCTCCCTCTGGGGCCCGGGCGGTGAGGGCCGACTACCCAGTTGGTGGCTGCAGAACACCGTAGCGAGTTGTTGGTACTTTTGGTTGTAGGGGTCCAGGGAGGAGCTATTTTGGTATTTGCATGATCCAAGTGACTTGTTGCGTAGTCTGATTGAAGCGGAGGGCGTGAGATCTATCTTTTGAGCCGGTCGACGGGCTTTTCCAGAACCTGGATCTTGCACTTTCCCCCTTGGCACCAGACGATCCTCCCGGGACAAATTTTCTCTTGCCGCCCCGCTCCCTCCGATCCACCCAGTTGGGTGCCTGGTTCCTCACCGATTGGAGATTGGCAAGTATGACGGGAGAGACCAACAACAGGGTTCTATCACATTCATGGTCTACATTTTTGTCCGTTCTTCATAATTAAAGCTAGAATATACACAATATCACTCTCCTAGTCTCTCGTTTGATTTCCTGCCCAACGGAAGACCAAGTGGAGTCAACCCCTCTCGCCATGTCCAGTGGCTTGCCTCCGCTGCAGACTCGGACGTCTACTCTTTAGCTTCTACCCCGACGATCAGCCCGCATCCAAGCGATTCCAATTGACCGACCCACGGGCAAGACATGCTCCCAATCCTCTGATACATTCAATCAAGCAAACAGAATATCAATTCATGCCTCATAGTATCATCCAAGCCTCTAGGCGGAGGATAAGAAGAGCGGAGTAAATTGGAGAAGCCAAAACAAATCCCCTGCAGCAGCCGAGCAATCTTATCAGCATCAGAACCCGGACCCCTCCTCTCTCTCTCTTCCACAATAACATCACCACCCCCTCCAAACCAACCATGCCCAAACCCAAACCCAAGAAATCCGACCAAAAGCCTCAACCCCAACCCCAAATCCGCCAACCCCCCACCCCAAACTGGCCACCCCTGCGCCCCCTCCTCCCGCCAACAGACCTACATCTCAACCCCCTCGTCCACGATCAGATCTACCTAATTCGCAACTTCCTCCCCGCCAGCCTCTGCAAGACCTACGCCTCCTTCCTATCAGCACTACCGCTAACGACCACACCGGGCCGGCCGAAGAAAGACGAAGCAGTCCGCGTGAATGACCGGTTTCAGGTGGAAGATGCGCGGTTTGCGGAGAACTTGTGGGGTGGGACTGCGTTGAGGGAATTGGTGACGGAGAGGTTTGATGAGGATGAGGATGTGGATGGCTATGGCGAGGAAGTTGGAAGTGAAGAAGAACAAGAAGGAAAAGAAGAGGACGAGAACGAGCAAGCCAAAGCGCACAAGCTACGCGAGACATGGGGAGGCCAACCACTCGGTCTGAACCCCAATATTCGTATCTACCGGTACTCGAAGGGCCAATTCTTCGCTCAGCATTGTATGTCAAGATCTTCCATATTCTATCCAGGAACCTCACACTCACACTCATATCTAACATCACCAACAGACGACGAATCCAACACCTTAACCTACCGCCCCGCCTCAACCTCCAAATCCATCCCCGCCCGCACAACCTGGACCCTCCTAATCTACCTCACCACCTGCACCGGCGGCGAAACAGTCTTCTACCCGGACCCGACGCGCGAGACTCCTAATCCGCCGCCGATAGCGGTAGCCCCCGAAGTGGGCCTGGCGCTGTTGCATCGGCACGGGGATCGGTGCATGGTGCATGAGGGGCGGGAGGTGACGGGTGGAGAGAAGTGGGTGGTGCGGAGTGATTTGGTTGTTGCGAGGTAGGTGGATGGCAAGGGATGGGAAGGATATGGAGGGTATGGGTGGAAGATATGGAATTCGGGGTATATCTTTGTTTGCATGGATTATGGCGCTGTGGAGTTGGGAATGGCATTGGATTTGGGTTGGTATATTAAACTCGGATAGGTATACAGTTTGTACATAGGTAGGCATATTGGAGTTTTCACTCTTATTGCATGGTGATATCATACGTAGCATAGCATAACATGGCATACAGTGACTCGACTTCGATTTTACCACCAAGGTTGCAGTTTTTGACCCTATACCCCAGAACATTTTATAACCTTTCCCATTAGAGTCTACCGGGCTTGCACCATCTTACATAGACCGATACACATCACTTATACTGCAACTACAACCACAATGGCAAAAATGATCAATTCTAGTTCAATTTGCGCAGCCCTACCTATCAACAGCAGGACCCATTCAACACAATCCAAAAGCAAGCCAGCAAGGTAAGATAGTGTGACACGATGGTATACCTGGTCAGCGAGGCGAGGCCACCAAGCCGAAGGCGAACGTAACAAGAAAAAAAAACATTTGTAGATACAGGAAGTGTAATAGTCATCAAAAGAGAACGTAGTCTGAATCAAGTTGGAGTCCGGCGGGAATCAGGGAAAGAAGAAACGAGAGAGTCGTTGTAACATAAACTGGAATTAATAACGGATGGGAAGCAGCACACAGAAGGTGGGGGAACAGGTGAACACTTGGAAAATCAACAAGGATGAGAATGTCGCAAAAATGGACACAGAGAGAAGTGAACATCCCTCTCCAGGCCACGTACATCCAATTCCTTCATTTTGTCTTCGCAGAGTCCATTCGTTTTCGTCGTATCATATCACATTCATTTGGACACGGGGGAATTGGCTGCATCCAACTGGTAGTTCGTCCGACGCATGATATCCTCCACTGGCCCCAGCAGTCGCTTGAATCCATCCCGGCCCAACCGGGCAACTTTGACGTCAGTTTTGGTGACGATGCTGGCCGCCCGAGGCTTATCATCGAGCAGGGCCAATTCACCAAAGTAATCACCACGGTTGTAGTTCTTCACCGAAACGCCATTCTTAAAGGCCTCGGCTTCACCAGATTCCAGGAGATAGAAAGCATCGCCAGGGTCACCCTCGTTGATGATGGTGGCCTCGGCTGGGTACTTGATAGGCTCTAGAGCGTCGGCAATCTTGGCCCGCTCGTACGGCTTGAGCGAGGAAAGAAGAGGGACTTCTTCTAGGAATGCCTCGTACATGCGGCGCCGCTGGAAAGCCGAGTCCATGAGGATGCGTCGGAAGGTGATGCGGTCCAGAGCCCAGAGAGTGCTCTTGGCATCGGTGGAAATCACTGTCGCGGCACGCGGGGCATTGTACATGAGGGCCAATTCACCAAAGGAACCCCCGGGTCCGGTGGAAGCCACTTTGTTGCCCAAACCATCGGGTCCTGGCTGCACGGAGCCCGATGGGTGGATGTAGATATCAAAGTGACCCTTCTCGACAATGTAGAAGTAGTCACCCGCATCACCCTGGGAGATCACCTTGATATCTTTCGCCGGGATGGGTTTCTCGACCAGGGCATCCAAAACAGTCTTGAACTGGTCGTCGTCTAGGTGAGAGAACAGGAAATTGTTGCTGACCGCAGTCTTCAAGCGTTCCAACTGATCCTCAGTCTTGGGGTGATGCGGAGGTGTCCAACTATCCGATCCCGCGGACGTGGGGTTCAATGACTCTGCCGACACCGAAGTTCGTCGACCCAGCGCATAGTTGTTGGGGAACCCGTGATGCGCTGTACCCGTCGGGAGCGCGGCGGGTTGCTCGTCGTCGTGACCATCTGCCCCGCCTCGAGGCCCCGAATCAAAGGGACTGCGGCCAAACAATGACGCCCCGGCGCTGGTTCCGGGCGCTGAGCCGCCCTCTGCGAATGCACTTCCTCCAAAGATGGCCGAGCCACCGGTGTTGGCCTGTTTGAATGTCACGTCGGTTGGTGACGTCACTTCGAATTCTTCCTCCTCCTCGATTTTTTGAATGTTGGGGTTTTTCTCTTTCGCACTGGTGTCGAGGAAGGGGTTAGTCCCCGGAAAAGAGCTTTGTGCCATCACTGTATGGGCTAAAGGGGCCGGAGAGGCCGCCACTCCGGCCACGGTGAAGGTCAAGGAAAAGGGAAGTGGGGGTAGGAGAGAGAGAGTCGAATGGAGACCTCGTCGCGGGGAACTGAGAGTGGTCTGTAGTCCTGCGAGCAGAATGGTGTTAGGAGAAATTTTCACAAACCAGCAGGAGATCAAGTGAAGTGAAATAAATTAGGGATGAATTGGGAGGATGGCAAGTGGACGGAGAGGTGCAGAGTCAAGAAGCGTCGTCAACCCGAAAGAATGGAGGGGCAAGCCTCGGTCTAAACGAGTGGGGATGGTCTGTTGCATGACTCTAATTGGGACCGGAAGAGGCCATCAAAGGATGCCCAGGTATTTGTTTCAGAGTCGGGGCAAGGGATCGCATCTGGACCTTGCCACGAGCTGCAGATGGGAAGCAGAATGAAAGAAAGGCGTTGGTACTCACCTGAGGGGGCGGTGGTGGTTAAGGGAGAGAAGAAAGACAGATGTGCCGAGAATGGGCTCGGGTAGAAGTCAGACGGTTGAGATGGGAGAAGCAGGAAAGGAAGAGAAGAGTAGGAGAGGAAAGCAAAGAGGCAAAGAAGTGGAAAGGTGGAAAGTGGAAAGGGAAAGTGGACGGAGGGAGGGGTAGCCAAAGAGGAGTAAAGTTGGGGCGGGTTGGTCTGAGCTTCCTCTCGTCGATCATCCTCTTCTCCTCCTGGGCGGAGTGCGTCTGCCGTGTCTACATTACTACTACTACTACTACTACTACTACTGCTGCTGCTGCTGCTGCTGCTGCTGCTTTCCTTCCTACGACTACTGCCTGACTGTGTCTCTACCATTCGGCTCCTCCCCCTCCTCTTCCCGTACTTTTCTAACGAATCCCAATCGAACGATGGGCTGATCGACGTCACTCATTTCCATCCTAGGGCGTTGCCCGTCCCAGAGTAGACGAGCAAGCTGTGGCCGACACTATAGGCTCGAGACTAGAAACTACAGGACTCTAGGAAACTCTATTATGGCTGAAAGGGAAGCTGGATGGACCAGACGAAGCACACGACCCTGGCTGCGACCTGAGAAAGCTTCGTCACCGGGGGGTTCCAGGTGTCTTCTAGAACATCTGCGGGTTCCGTAGGAAGATGATCGGTGCACTGGGGGGACGGTGGCAAAAACACTCCGCTTCCTACGAGGGCCAAGTACTCTCGTAACAAGCTCGTACTTGGGAGGATGGAGCAAGGTACGATACTACGATGGCAGAACGTCTGGATTGGCTAGGGAGACCTTTCGGTGGTGAGGCACTCTGGGACTCTTGAAGTCATGCATTTGCCCGACAGAGCCGTTTTCGGCCAGCTGGGGCCCACTTGGTGCCAGCCTATGAGATTGAGGAGAGACTATAGTTAACTAGGTTAGTTCGACTGTACGTACTACTATGTAAGTACTGTAGCATGACTCGAGAGGGATTTTCATTGACAGCAAATGAGGACTGTCTATAATGGCCGGTGCTCAATTGTGACTACTTGCTTATCACGCAATTTGAAGACCTACCTATATTTTGTTCGAGTAAAACCTGTGCCCTACTCGAGTCATCGGTTGACCGGGCGGGTAGCGTCGATCGGGCCTGTTCTTTAGGGACCACTAACTCTGGGCACAAACTTTCAAAGCTACAGCCCTGGTACGGAGTACATACAGTGTTGTAGGAACTCTATCCACAATGCGTCATCAATGCAGCCCTCTTGCCAAAAAAAAAAAAAATTTTTCTATCAACTCTACCTTGATTTTGCGTTTCCATATTCTTCCATGGGGCTTCTTTACCGATGGGTTATTTGACTGATTTGGTGCAGCTGCCATCCTCAACCAGCCACACCCATACTGTAGAACAACATTCACGCCTGGTTGCGATGGGTCGGCCCAGACCTGAGGGCGGCTCTAGACTAACCAGACTCGAGTCAACCCGCTGCCAGGATGAACCTAGCGGTGTAGCAGTACTCCGGAGGTTGGGATCCATCGATGCCTTAAGCACCGCCCTGTCGGGTCAATGAAATTCGGGTCTAATCATCATTCCGTGAGCTCCAAAATTCCCCTCCCCCTCCCTTCATAGCCCTCGAATAGAACTGTGTACAAAATAGTTAGTGAAAGCGCACCATGAGATCTTAATCGAGGCGGATTCTAGGTGAGATAAAAGTACAAAAGTACGCTGAGATCGTCTGTGCAGGGCCTGTGTCACACCCCCACCCAAAACTGGGCGCGAAGCTTGGAAACTTAGCACTTTCTTGACCCCCCGAAACTCCCCCTTTCTCTTCTTCCTTTCTCCTCCCCTCCCAACCTTTATTCTGTCCATCTCCCTCACCCTGACGTGAGGCAGCTGACCCCATCCTACTCAGCCGCAATGGGGACTTTTACGTTCAAATGGTGAGTCCACCCGAGCGATTGGCGAGCTGGGAGACTGAGAGAGGGATTGCGCTCGTGAGCTATTCTAGCGCCCGAGACAAGAACCCTCCCCGAGATCCCGCCCTCTGTACGCAATGAGCTCGAGTCTTCCCGTGGCACAGACACACAACCAGGATTGGAGCGCTGACTGGTCGGTTCCTCGCATTTGCATGTAGGCCTCACAGTGCAAAGGAGGTGTTCGTTACAGGCACCTTTGATGATTGGGGGAAGACGGTGAAACTGGACCGGGTCGGCGACATCTTTACCAAAGAAGTCTCGTTGCCTACGACGGACAAGAAGATCCAATACAAGGTAGGGGCCACTTGTTTTCCTCTCTCTCTCTGATGCCCCTGAGGTTGGACCTACCCTCGGAGAGACTTTGGACCCTTTCAATTGTCTCATGTTCCCCCCACCCCCAGCCTCTGTCATCATTTTGTGGCTTGCGCGCGCATAGATAAACTGTTGCGGTGAGCATGAGCAGCCTCATATTTCAGGCCATTAGGCAACACCCCAGCTTTCCATGACGCTTCACCTTACCGCTGACGTCATCTCTGACCCCCCCCCTCCCCCTCTCCCCTCTTTCCTCGAAAGGACCAAAACTATAAAATCGCGGGCTATGCGCCACACACCGGGACGGGCACTCCCTTTTTTCTTTGCACTGACTTGGCTAACCTGAGGTATCAAGTTTGTTGTTGACGACATTTGGACCACTGATAGCCACGCACGAGAGGAAAACGACGGACACGACAACATCAACAACGTGCTGCTACCCGAAGACATCCAGACCCAGACCCACAGCAAAGAAGCTGCCACCCACGACGTCACCACGCCAGTTACCATGTCTGGCGTGACCCCCGATTCCACCACGGCTGCTCTTGCAGCCCAGGTCCCCAAGGAGCAAACCAATGGTGGCCTCCCGGGAGCCTTCCCTGACACACCGGGACAGGAGTCCGGGGAGATTTTGTCTGCCAATCCCATTCCCGCCTCGGGTGGCTACGGTAACCCGATCAAGCTGAACCCTGGTGAGAAAGTCCCGGATCTCAGCTCCATCCATGGCAATACCGTGCAATCGACCGTGAAACTGGACAAGGAGTCGTATGAAAAAGGCGACAGCGTGCCCCTCGGCAGCGCTGGCACTCAAAGTGATACCGCAGGCTCGAGTGCTTTCACCGTGCCCCCAGCCACCAACAACCTCATCCCCGAATCCAGTCTCCCCATGGGTGGTCCTGCTCAGCGGGCTGCACAGGCCGATCAAACCCAGACGAGCATTGGTGGTCCTGCTCAACAGGCCGCCATGGCTGACCCCGGCTACACGATCTCGTCCGCTGCACCAACCTCGACTACTGCGGCCCTGGCGGCGGAGGTTCCACTTGAAAAGAATAAGCAGACCAACGGGACTGCCGTGCCTGCCCAGGATGTCCCCCAGGTGGTGAAAGACTCGATTGCCGAGGCTCACGAGAACCCTGAGGCGGCTGCCAACAAGGAAGCCGTCGAAGAGAAGAAGGCGATGGAGAATGAGTTGCACAGGAAGGTCGCCGTAGAGCAATCTACTGGCGCTCCAGCACCGACTACCGCCGCCCAGCCGGTCAAGGATGTCCCTCAGATTGTGAAGGAGTCGATCGCCGAATCCAACGAGACCCCGGAGGCGGCTGCCAACAAGGAGGCCGTGGAAGAAAAGCAGGCGATGGAGAGCGAGCTACAGATGAATGTGCCTGTGGAGGAGTCTGCAGGTGCCCCGGCACCGACCACTACCGCTGCTACCCAGCCTACCGCTCCGGGTACTAGCCTGGCCGTTCCTCCAATCGACTCCACAGATGTGTCTCCGACCTCGACTCCTCCCCCCGGCCGCATTGCACCCACCTCTGCTGCACCCACGTCCGCGCCAGCGCCCACCGAGACCCAGACCGCACCAGTCGTGACCACCGGTGTGGCTACTGCCAAGACCGCCGAAACGTCAACCCCGAGCAAGCCCACTGAGCCAGCTCAGCAGTCCGCCAACACTGCGGGCGCCGGCGAGCTGCACGCCAAGGAAGAGAAAAAGAAGAAGCGCCTGAGTGGATTCTTCAGCAAGCTCAAGGAGAAGCTGAAGTAGATGAATAACAATCGCATTCTACTCTTCAATCTCTTTCGATGACCATTTGACTTGTATTTTCTTTTTCTCGGGCGGACACATTCCCTTTACTGCTGGCTGGCTTTTAGACCGCGACCCTAAAGAAAGCTGGGAAGAGAATCAAGTTTGGGAATTGCTTGAATACCTCGTTTTGGCAAGTCGGTCATTGTTCCTTTTGATGATTTACCTCGTCTTTCTTCTTACGTTTTGTTACTTTTGATCTGGATACCTCATCTGCACTGCACTGCTCCTCTCTCTCTCTCTCTCTCTCTCTCTCCGCATTGTATTCCAGCAAGCCACGTGTTTTACTCAGATTGCAGTGTTCCTCTGTACCCTAATACTGGTTCAGTTTATTTGTGATCATTGGTATTATCTCTACCTTACACGTGCGCGGAAAGTTAGTTTGTAAAGGCCATCAATCGTAGTTCCGTACTCCCTAACTTGATAAGTCCCAGGTATGAATGAAATCAACCTTAACGCCAGCCCGTAATCTTTTATTCAAAAGTGTATCTGATTTAATTTGTGCCTTTATTACCCCTTCATACACCCGTCAGAAGGGTATGGCATTACTAACTTGCCCATTCAGTTTAACGGGGTACCCCAAGACACTGGCTTCTCGTTAGCTCCCTTCCCACGTTTGAAAATAGGAGATGCGATTAAAAAACATACTCTCGTCCTGTCTGTGTACACCCACAACCACAGAAAATAGATGCCGGCCAACAAATCACCTGTAAAACAAGATCTTAGCATGGGAAACCGCCAATTTACTAGACAGCACCGGGAAAAGGGAATGTATAGGCTAATGCCGTGTGTATGCATGGGTTTCGAGGCCACGTACCGCTGCGACGAGAGTACAAAAGAATCCTAGTCAGGCAGAGAAAATCAGTATTGCTTGCCTTATCGCTCTTTCGGGCTGGGTGTAGCTGGGTAATTGAACAATGCTAGAAAGAGGATAAAGATGGGAATAGGCATGGACATACCTAGCGTCGGACCGACGACTTTGCAATGACACGGATTCTGATCAGTGCCGCATTGGAAGCAGATGGGGAAGAAGGGAATGAAGGGAATGTCGCACATGCTGAAGCTCGGATTGGAATCGAGATTGAGATTGAGATTGAGGTTGAGACAGATTTCCCCGGTTCATGTACACTTCTAATGCTGATAGTGTTGTTTCGTAGGGAATGGGCGGATGAATTGACCTGGCCTTAGAGCAGTAGAGATTCCCTTAGATGAGGATGAAATCGACCGAGTTCATGCATGACTTGCTTTTTGCGAGTTTCTTTCAGTCTTGCAGATCCGGCTTTGTCGTCTGGGTTTGCTCGGTTTCTATAGTATCATGATGACGCAGATGAAGAGTGTGGGCCACCGATCGGGTCGGCTGTTTATTGTGGGGTGCGGTGGTTTGGGCGCCGAGTGGTCTGGGTGGTACTCGAGTGTAAAGTAATTGTTAGGATTGCTCTAGAAATCATAGGAAATATTGTGGTAGGGTTGAATTCAACTGATTCGTTGTCCTCATGTTAGTGGTGATGGGTTGGGTCATTGGGATCTTGTTCCGCCGAGGGAGACCCAGTCAATTGGCCTTATGATGGCCTGTGGATGCTATCACTGGTAATCCTTGAAAATTTCGTTATAAATTTCTGGTCATTTTTTAAAGAGTTTGAGATGGAAAGCTCTGAAGCCTAGTAGAGATCCTACAGGGGTGTGTAGGTGTATAAAGACTCGAGAGATGGTGTCTCCGTACAATTACGAGAGAAGCCTTTTTATGCGGTAATGCAAAGGTCTCTCGCTCTACAGAAGATTGAGTATTTTCAAGTCATGCGAACCAAGTTCAAGCTTATTCCCATATACCTCGTTGAGGAGCATGCATCTGAGGTGCCTGAAACATTAGACAGCATCACTTTGAGACTGACACGAAAAGAATTGTTTGAGTACGAGAATCCATTTTAGGTCTAAATTGACTCATTTATGATGAAGACGAACAGTTAAGATTTGATGACTGAGGCCATCGAAAAGATCCCAGGTTTTCTACCGGGGAATCGCTCGGTACAGAGGCGTTATCATACATCGTGGCGCATTCACTGGGAAGCGGATGTATAGCAAGCCGGGTAAAACAAATGTACATTTCAGAATGAAGAAAATGCCAAGCATAGACGAATGAAGACAGATAGACAGATAGTGGAAACCCCGAAACCATAGGTTCATCGAGATACCATGCAGACGAGAAGAATATAAGGATAATGGTATGATTGTGTAGCCAGATGATCTGGCAGGTTGACTGGCGCCAAGAAAGGTGGAATATGTAAGATAATGACAAGAACCAGTCATGTCGCAGATGGAATTTTGTGGACTGCAGTTGCAATCGAAAGGGGGGATTACTTTGAGTGCCTGACAAAGAAAAGAGATGTTAGTTTAGCTAGCGCACCATTATGGATTTGAAGCAATGGAAGACTTGACTTACGGCTTGCGCTTCTCAACACCCTGGTTTGCCTCCTTTTCTCCCGACATATCCCACAGGCGGCTCTTGTAAGCCGGGAACTTGGTATGATTCCACATGTTGACCAGGACGCTGGAAATGAAAAAGACTCGTTAGTTTCGAGACCCAAAGCAAAACCCTAAAGGAAGAAGGGTCCGTTTTCACCTACCTCTGCGTCCGGTCCTTGTACTGCTCATCCTGCATTTCCCTCACTTGAACCTTCATCCCATCCTTAGTGAAGGCGATATGCTTGCGTTCCATCTTGGCGCGTGTATTCTTGCTCACATCCTGGACGATTGTGTACACGACGTAGCCGATAACGGCGAGGACTGCGACGAACAGGAGGAGTAGGATGAGCGGGAGAAGGTTGCTGCCCTTGCTCTTGGATCTGGCCATGGTGGATAAGATTGGTGTTGTGGTGTAGAGATGGTTGTTTAGTTTCGAGAGGAGTGTCTGGTGGGTTATTGTTCAGAATGGGCCAATAGGGCTATCGAGGGGTGTGGCGCAGATGAAGTCAGTCAGGCTTGATGGCGCCGGGGAGTGGAGTCTTAAAAGACGGCTATTGTTCTTGCGCTAGAAACGAGGGAGGGTTAGGGAGTGTCGTGTGCGCGGTGGATGCAGGGCGTGGGGGTTTGTCTCGGCGCGTTTATGATGCTGCCTGGTAAGCGAGAGGAAGATGTGAAAGTGAAAGAGAGTAAGAAATGAGAAGAGCGGGGATTAAATGAGCTAAGTCATCTGTCGAGTCTGCCAGGACTCGCGGAGCAAAGGGCTGAAACCAGGCGAAACGAATCGTCTGTTGGTCAGGGGCTTCCCCTCCTCTCTCTTCCCCTGTGACGTTGATTCGGTCAGAGGATTGTGGCTGTGCCAAGGCCTTTCGGACGAGGCGCAGTCAAGAAGGTGGCTTGACTAATTATGGCTGCCTGATGTTGCAGGCAACGTTAGTCACAAGAAATCATGCCCACAACCTAGGACCAAGACATTTAAGTTTATTTTTCGATTATATTTTAAGGCGTTTATGTTTCTAAGGCATGCCTGTTATCCAATAAAAAACCGGCGTGGCACTAATAAAGCCTCCTGTATCAACCCCCAGAGTTCAAGATGAAAGCATCACTATCAACACGACTTTTTCACCTGAGTTTTAGTCAATGTCGAGGAAAGACGAGTCCAGAAAAGGAGTAGATGGAATTATAGAGAGCTGCCTGATGAACACTTTAAATTAAAAGGATATGTATAGTGTATCTCATTATCTAACATGACCATCGATTGACAGTCTTCCATATAAGAAACGCCGGTAGATGAAAGAAAAAAAAAGATTGGAGGAAAATGGAAGGGATGAGAATGGCTCGACATAGTGTGCGTGAATGCCAGGGTAAATCGTGTAGTGGTGGAGTATAATCAAGGTCAATCCGATCCAAAAGCGCCATATTGAATCCAGAACGCATAAGGGGGTAAAGCGAGACAGAGGGTATAAATCGTATATACTAAACTCGCACTCGGGTGAACAGCGAATACGAGAGTTCGCGCACAGGAAGAAGGAAAATTAGGGCTTGGAAAGTTGCTCTTTCCGGAAGAAGAGCAGGAAGCCGGCACTGATGATAGATTGTTAGCGATGTTCGGATCCACGTTGACAATGGGTGGGATTGATAGCTTACCAGACAAGGAGCTGACTGAACAAGGCAACCCAGAACCAGGCATCTGCCAAAGCGTGGGCACCCTTGGTCATGTCAGGGGAGATGGGTCCCGGGCCAACGCTGTTAGGACCGAAGGCTCGGGCACAGATGGTTGCAATGGAACCCAGCACTTGAGAGGCAATGAGCGCAAAACACATGTGCACCCGTGTCAAGGTCTGCAAAAGAATGACACCGAAGCCGAGGCCTTGAATCGAGTCCAAGACTCCCAGCCACAACCACAGACTACGCGAAGCAAGTGCTCCGCCAGTAAATCCTCCACCAACCCAGGGAAGATAGTAGCCGATGCCAGAAATGGCCCACCAGATTTGGATAAATCGAGGTGCACCCAGACCACAAGCGAACACGGGAAGGAACCAGCTGTGCGTCTTTGAGAATCTGCTGATAATGAAGAGGAAGATACACCAAACAGCTCCGAAGAAGACAACGCAGAGAATGACGATCTGCCATGCGTGGGCGTGGGTAGAGCTCCACAGGACTGGAAAGCGGGGAGACACGTATTAGTTTTTCAAATCCTTTCAAGGGCAGATGTATAAGAGCCGACACTTACAGCTCCAGTTGCGGCCGTATGGCGCACTCAGGAAGAAGTTCTGCAGGATGACGGCCACAAAGTTCCAAAGAACAATCTTTCTACGGAACAGAGACTTGTAGAAAGATGGAACCTTGCCAGGCTTTTGGCGATAGTAGTTGGGCAGACCGAAGACCAGGAGAAGACCGATTGCCCAGAGAAGTATGGCAATTGGGTAACAGATGGCCCTATGATCAACATTAGTACAGAAATCAGAATAATCCTCAGAGATAGTAACCTACGTCATCTTCCAGGTGTTGGAAATAGTGTTGTCGGAGCTCAAAAGCCCCTCGCTGGAAGCCTTGCTCAGAGTCGAGCCCCAATACCAAAGCGCAATGACATATGCCTGCTGAACTCCCTGGATAACACAAGCGCGGAAAATCCAGGTTTCGACAGGAGCACCACCCTCATCACCAAAGTTCGACGCAAAGAAGATAGATCCGCTGGAAGACGCCGCAGCGTAGCATCCGCTTCCAATGTTTTGAATCCATCCGCGATTGAATGAATTTTGTTCGAAGTGAGCGGAGCCAATCAACAAGAAAGCAAGGCCGTAGAAGAACCAGGGAGTGGAAAGGCAAACGACAGATTTGAAGTACCGGTACACCATCCACCAGCAAATGGAGGTCACTGCATAGGTGGTCGCGATACCGTACAGCTTCTCGGCAGTCTCACCCACCTCACCCGTGAGAAGGGTGATCTGGTATGAGTTTGCAGCGATGATCTGACCCAGAGCGAGGAAAATCGAGTACACAGGCCAATCGCCAACCTTGATCTGCATCCACTTCTTAAGTCCTGTTGGGGGAACGTAATCCTTGCCCAGCAAGAACTCATCGCCATCGGAATCATATTCGTCGGTCAGAGCGATATGAGAAAGACCTTCATTGTAGGACTCGTCGGCAGGCGAGGCATTGTTCTTTGCCCGGAAGACAGATGGCGTGGGTGATTTGTAACGACCCAATTTAGCGTCACGGAATTTGTCGAACCACTCTTGCTCACTCTTGACCAAGAACTCCTCGATACACAGTTGACCTTCAGAATTGGAACCATTCAGACTCTGCAATTTCTGCTCAAAATTGTGGTAATACTCGCCAGTGCCGTCAGTGAAGAATGGATCAACCTTCTGCAGCTTGAAATCCTTCTTACCACCAACGACAGAATCAAGAGAAAGAACCGAGGCATTACTGTAGCGGTGACTTTCGCCCAAAGGACGAGGGGGAAGAAGCATTTGATCCGAGACAGGAGGCGTACCGGGACTGGTTTGAGGCAAGAGGAATCGGGGATGCAAAGACTCTTCGCTGAGGCGGCGTCGAGGGGAAGACAGAGGAGAAGAGTACGAGACAATATCTCTCTGAGCTTGTGCCCGTCGGCTTTCTTCGACCTGCGCAGGAGTGAGAGTGTACTCGTCATCACCGTATACACTGTGGGCTCTCTCCTCATCGTCGGTTTCATCCACCGCATCGCTGCTTTCTCCAGACTCTGGGATCTCACCCTCGGTCTTGCCACTGCGTCCACGACGAGAGCGATGACCAGGGCCGGAGCGAACACCCAGGGAGAGAGAACGGCTCAGGCCAGACTTGGGCAGTTCAGTTTCCGAAGGACTGATATCACGACTGTAGACTCTATGAGAACCCAGATCGCTGACCTGGTTGAAGCTCGAGTAACTGCTATCTCTGGAATGTTGCAATGATGCATTCATTCCCGGGGCAGGCAGGGGGCTCATTGGGGTCACGCCCATGTTGACAGATTTCAATGTACCGTTAGGAGTGCTGGTGCCAGACGACGTAAGAGGGCGGCCGTGGCCCTTGGAGACTTCCTTTCCGTGGACTGCAATTGCCGTGGATTGGAGAATCTCAAGGTCCTCCACCCACTGAGCCACGGGGAAACGCTGTTTAGCAGATCTGGCACGCATGATTGCACGGGTTTCCGTCTTGGAGTTCAGCGCAGCATCGATTGCAAGCTTGAATTGCATCAGAAGGTGGGATGTAGATATGGATTCCACGTTATACCACCAGCCAGGCATTTGACCCAAACCTCCAACGCGTGCTCCAATACCCAAGGCTCCCTTACGACCAAACTCCACTGCGACAAGTCCGAAAGGCTCATCACGAGACGGAATAAGGGCGAATTCGGCTCCAGAGAAGATGAACGGAGGGAGAGCAGTGAACTCGGGCTTGGAAAAGACACGACCAGGGTAGATCTCCATACAGCGACTGAGCTTGAGCGCGGCGAATTTACCGTAAAGGTCGATCACAGGACCGATACAAATGAGTTGCACGTTGGGACGTGCCTCTAGAACCGCAGGCATAGCATCAGCGATGAGATCGACACCTTTTTGCATAGACCAACGACCGACAAAGACAAGAAGGTCAGCATCCGGGTTTTGCTCAAGACCAGCCCACTCTTGAGCCTGACGCTTCAACTCAGCACGACCGGCCTCGTATTCAGGATCGACGGTCGCCTCTGTAATAGGTTGCTTGGTCCACTCTCCAACATCAGAGGGATCCGGGTTAGGCAGATTGCCAACCTTGCGCAGACCCCAGAAAATTGGATAACGAGCATATGAGCGTTTACCGTACTTCTTCGAGACTCCCACGGCACCGAAACCTTGTTGATTGACCCGAAGATAGCTAGCACCGGCGTGAAGAAGGTTGAAAACCTCACCGAATTGCACATACTTGCGAGCGACGTCCTCATCCAAGTTGAAGACCTGGCAGACTTCCCGTCTCTCCTTCTGAGTACGCATGGGCCAAAGACCCTGGAACTCGGCATTGTGGAGAGACAGACAGGCGGGAATGGTCTCTGGAAGAAGGTAGAGGGGAGCGACAGAACCGTGGTAATCGTTGATGTGGTAAAGATCGATGGGGAAACGCTTGATAGCTTCGGCGATACACTGATTCCATGCTGAGTAGTATACAGCACTGTCCAAATCGTCCATGCGAGCGGGATATGGCTCGGTCTTTGATTGCTGACGGAAAACCGGAGCGTCAAGGAGCACGTAAGTGATGTTGTTAAGACGGTGGTACTGAACCTTGACCTGGAAGGCACTGCCCAAGATGGTAACCTCCATAGGCTCTGCTTCTTGGTCGATTGGATAGTCAACACCACCCACACAGGGAACGACCCAAATGAGATCTTGGTGACCCAAAGTCTTGCCCATCAGTTGGGCCATCACACCAAGACCGCCGATCTTGATTTTGATGCCCCAGTCCTCGATATCATACTCCATAGTAGCAATCAAAACCATGCGGCGTTTACCAGAAGCTCCAGCAGCTTCCAGCGCTGTAGTGCTTTGCATGAATCCAGTCTTGTTGGCGGCACGCAGGAGTGGATTGATTGAGTTTTCGCCAGAGCGACCGGAGGCAAGCTTCTTCAAGAAGACCATCGGGGAAATACTCTGCTTTTCGCTGACACCCATTTCGTTGAACTTAACCTTGTAGAAGGACATCATGAAGATGTAGACACAGGCCGCACCGGTCAAGGTAGGAATGATCCAGAACAGAACGAACATGATGATCTGGATATATCTGTGTCCAACAGGCAGGAGCTGGAAACGCTGAGTACCATCGTTGATCTGGAGCCTCCACGAGAGGTAGGGTGCAGGTGGAGGCTCGGTGATGTTGATCAGTGTGCTCGAAAGAGACGACGGAGGCATCCGATCCAGCACGCTATCGTTGTCCATATCACCCAGCACCCAACTTTGGTCTGGCTTTCCATCCGGGTTGACACCCCAGATGTTGATTTGTCCAACGGCAGGCCATTCGGAGGTAAAATGGTACTTCCAGTAGCCATCCAGCGAGTCCAGCTGGATCTCATTGTCAAGACCGCCATCATATCCATACTGGTTGTATGGGCCGTTGAAGAAGGCATGAGGGAAGCGGCGCTGAGTTGTCTGATGCCAGTTGGTATCGCCTTCTTGCACATAGGAACTGCTGCCCGTCCAGCGACTCCAGTACTCAACGCGCACATGATCACCCTTCCAATCCTGCTTCTTGGTGCCAGACCAGGCCAGGCGATCAATTGTGTCATTGCCACCCTTGTAGTCTATCCAGTCGGAGAAGGTTGTTCCCCAGTTGGTAGAGTACCGGTATTTGTCGGCACCAGCGGCATGGTGTTGGATGAAAAGAGTGGTGTTACCATCTTCCTGGTGGAGTAGACTGCTCGAGTAGTTGGCAGAGGAAAAGACCATAGGGTTGTCAACCTGGCCAATGCGGAATAGGAAGTGATCAACTGCGTTCGTAGACGCATTCTTTCCGGCATTGGTAACGTTGTTCACAGTCAGCCTGTGGACTCCGTTGTACACGCCGGTCAGGTTCGCGGTCCACTTCCAAACGCTTGGAATTTGCCCGGTGTAGGTGAGGTTCTCAGAAGCAGCGTCGGTGCAATGGACTGTCTTGATGTTGACGGTGGGGGACTTTCCGACCTCAGTCGACGAATTAATGGACAAGTTGTTCGTGATAGAGTCACAGTCCATGGCTTCAGAGAAGTAAAGTTCAATTTCCACATCCTCCGCCTCATTTGGAGCCACGGTCGAGTGCATAGGAACATCATGACCAGGATGGAACTGGGTGATCATGGGCCGAGGTTTTTGGAACAGAGAAACGGGGACGTATGCACGGAACTCGTATGCCTTTAGTGTGAGGTTAGGATAGCAACCATTCCATTCTGTTGATCCGTTCAGGCCAAGTTTCCGGGGTCCATCCACCAACTCAATCTCATCATGAGGGTAGAAGAGATTCTTGACCCGAGTACCCGTATCAAAGGGAGATAGGAGAGCAGTGTCGTTGCTCTTGCAGTTGAATGTATAGTCCATAGTGCGATTGACATTCTGGTAGACGAGCCAGACGGGTGAATTTTTGGCATCGGAGCCGAAATCTTGGACTTCAGTGTTAAGGTTACGAAGAACAGACCACATTCCAGTTTCGGTGACTGTCCCGTTGGAACCAGGATATATTACGTCCCACGTCTGCTTGGACATGTTCAAAAGTGTGTATCCATCGTTGAGAACGGGGAACTGTTCACGGAGCTGATACATGTGCTTCATGATATTGCGAACCGGATGCGATGGGTCACGGTGGTCATAGGTAACATTGTCGCTTTTGCACCCCTCTGTGGCAGCTTCAAGGGGCCACTGGAAGTACTGAGAGGATTGCAATGAGAAACATCCGTGTGTTTTCCAGGCAGTTGCAGCGGACATCGCCTGTCGACCATAGATATAGTTGGATGCAGTTGCGTCTAAGACATAAAAGGCCTGTTCTTCACCCCAGAGAAGAAGCGGAATACCAGGGATCAAGATAGTCGTCACAAATGAGCCGAGCAACTGGCGTTGCACACCAAATTGGATTGCAGGCCAACGGAAAACGTCCTGGTTGGTTGCGCCAAACATGTGTCGAGGATCGAATTTGCCGGTGTTTGCATTAACCAAATCGTTCGAGGTGAGCATCTCATTCCACGCATTAACCCAGTCAATGGGCACATCGTAGCCAGCAGAAAGCTGACCGTCCATCCCGAGGAATCTAGTCAGGGCACGGTATGTCGAATAATGGAAAGCCGCACCGTCGATCGCCTCATGGCCAATCTCACGCAGGAACCACTGAGAATCAGACTCGTTGGTCAACGCCATAGCGTCGGCTGTGGTCTTAGGATATTGGTTTGGTTGCCGACCACGACCCAGGTAGATAGAACCGAAGGTGTTTCCACCTGTGATTTCACCAGCAATGAAGAAGTTCTGTTTTCCAACAGCACGGGCGCACTCTCGGTACGCGAGAGACATCTCTCCAAGCGCATCAACCGTAGCCTGGGTGGCCTTGTCGTATCGAAAGCCATCGATATCCAGAGAGGCGATGATCATGCAAGAATGACGGATCAATCTCTCTCGCACGCTCGGATACCATTCACGCAGACGATCCTGTACGGATGCGAATTTTGCAAGCTCACGCTGCCAATCTGGGAACACACCGAAAGCCTCAATGTCACCATACTGATCAAAGTCGCTATCGTAGCAACCAACGAGGTCGGCGGTCTGAGATTCGTTGACAGGGTACCCATTCTCGAACCAGAAACGGGGATAATCGCAAGTCTCATTATAAGTGTTTCCAATGTCGAAGTCCACGTAGTGACGATCGCTCTTCCAGGTTGTCATGTGCTCCTTCTCGGAGAAGGGCGTCGTGGTGTTGAGATATCCGTCGAATCCGATGAGATCACCCATACTGTCAGAGAAAATTAGCGACAATCTGTTACAGAGAATCGACATGAGATACTTACGTGGCGATTGTGTTGTCGAACAGAACATACATCCCCCTCTTGTGAATTTCGGTGATAGCATCGCGCCAAACCTGAATGGTACCGTAATGTTGATCGAGGAGGGTTGTATCAAGAGCCGAATACCCGTCGAATCCCCAAGGCTGGTTCATCAATGAGGTTCCTGCGAGATAGAGGCCCTATGGATTGTAAGTATTTGCCATTATCCACTCATCTGTGGGGTCAAGCCTTCCATACCTTGATGCCCATTCCTTGCAGGTAGTCCAACGTATCAAGCAAGCCAGCAACATCACCACCATGGCGCATTTGAGTTGAATCCAAATCATGCTCAAATAATGTGCCATTGATATTATCATTAGTAGGATCGCCGTTTACGAAGCGGTCCAAGAAGAGTGTATAGAATGGGAATCGCCAGTTATCCGGGGACGGGTGGTATTTCCCTGTATGTTCTGGCCATTCTCCCCAATAGTCGGCAGGGTTTGTGGCCGTCTTATTCTGGTTAAGATTGTACTGAAGTAAAGACTCGTCGTACGGCCAGCATGTTGACGTTGTTGCGAGGAGGGCAACGAGCCCACTGGAGAGTAGCCACCTCATGGTTAGAGCGAGAGTGACTTAAGTGCTTAATGATTCTCCAGCGCCTATCAAGGCTTCAAATGAGTCTCTGGAAAGAGGAGAAGAAACTCAAGGCTCTCAGGTGGAGGGCAGACATGCGTCGAGCTAGGTTGACCCCAGGTACTGCAAGTAGTTCGTTGGGATCCCCAGATTATCACAGATGCAGAGAGATAACGATAGATTGTAAAGAAACGAGAGGACGACGCTCAGAGAAACATAAGTAGGACAAACAAATGCCAATACTTTTCGAAAAAAACGAGAGATAAAGGTGATACGATGGGAAAAAGCGAATGTAGCGGAGGGAAAATGTCAGATCACGGAGCAGGACGGTCCTTAGATGTTGGCCATTTTAGTGGCGTATGAGTTCAGCTCAAGATAAAAATAAAATGGCGAGACAGGCCAAATATTCTGGAGCAAGTGAGACCCCGAATTAAACGAATGAGGCTGATTACGGTTACGAAAAAGCTGGCGGTGATGGAGATGTCCCGTTTCCTGTGCTGGTGGATGCATTGGATGCTCTAGTCTACCACGACAGTTCGGACTAGGCTCGAAACTGCAATGGTCCTGGATTTTTCCAGATTATTGATGCATCATAATTATAGCTTTACACGAGCATTGGGCCCGCAGCTAAGAGCTTACTCGTGGCTCGACGGATATCAGCCGCGAGAAATCACCAAATTGGGTAGAGTTGACTCTTCGTGTCGGTGGAAAGCCTTTTGAAAATTTCTTTTTGGATCCAGACCGTAAGGCTAAAGACCATGTATCTTTCCCAATCAGTTCCGTTTCACTAGTATGCTGCTCCATCTGTCCTGTCTCAACCAAATAATTCCATCCGAGACAGATCCACCTCGTGGCGAATCAACCGAAGTGGTTGTTCGAAGCCTGTCCAGGGTAAAGAGGTCGACAAGAGAGTAAAATATTTAGTGCTCGAAAACTGTAAGGCTGAATATACCGCATAGTATTCTACAGTAGATAGGATATCCTAGTCATTCTTGCCGAGTGTGTAGGTTCTACATCCAGATGCACACCGATAGGTCTTCACCGCAGTTCGTATTTTTGGCGCAGCCCGATTTATGCGAACCTGATCGGACGGTACTTATACATAGAATTTCACCGATAAGAATCATACGGCCGAACACACGGCCCGCAACTGATGCAATCTTCGGTACATATATCGTAGCTCTTCGGTAGGCTGAGCCGGTGGATCTCTCCGGCTAGCCCTGGCGATTTTAGGGCAGCACTAACGAGACATGTAATTTTCACTTTTGCTTTGAAAATTTCGACACAGGTCTCTGCCAAGGAGTTTTTCTTAAAATAATAACATGTAAATCAACAATGGCTTAATCGCTGAGCCACTTACCGTTGACCACTGCTTATCTTAGATGGCTGCCAAGCCGGGAGTCAGACAGAGCCCAACCAATGCGAAAGGATAGCAGAAGAGTGTCTTTGGCTGTTTTGACTTTTTATTCGGATATCGCCGTTATTATTGCTGGAGACTGATGGACAATCCTCTTGTCAGAATTTCTCAGCCTCAATCTTGCTACATGTTTCTTCGAATGAGTAAAGACCTCGTTTTCTGAGTAGTCCAGAGCCAGAAAGGACTATTATGGCTGGAGGAGAGAGCCGTGGAATTGGTCGATCATTTATTATTCAGACAAAATTGTCGAACACTCCCAGTAGTTCAGCCTTACGTTTCTATCCTCGGTGTGCTAAGATATTACCAAGAAAACGCAAGTTATCATGCAGCCAGCTTATGGTAACTTCGGACTCATTTTATATCCGATAACGCACCAAATTCGCGTTTTTCTCCGATCCTCCAGAGTCCGTAAGTTTGAAATTTCTTCGACCCTCTAAAGAACCGATTTATACGTATTAAATCGAGCGTTCCTTGAATACTGCCCCTTGTTATTTTTGAACTAGCTCCTTTCACTCACTTTCTACGGAGAAGATTGGACCCTGAGATCGACCCGTGGAACGCTAGGTTTACATGTAAAATAACAGCTGAAATTGTCAATACCGCTACAATAATACAGCCACCCGCTTTGAATTAACCGAACTGGGAATTTCCATATCTCGTCATGTATTTTGGTACACAGATAACGATATAAAATACCAACAAATCAATGGAACGCATCCGTACTAATATAATATTCCTGCTCCAACATTTCGCCAAGGCGCCTTGTTCGCTCTCAAATCCTTTCGAACTTTCGCTCCCTAGGAACGAGATTTGACTTGGTCAAAAGCCGACTTACGTACGATCGGTCCGTGCTCAGGTCATCCATTTTCCTTTTTTTTTTCAATTATGATGGTCTTGCGCCTGATCTTCCGACGTGGCTTCGAAAGCAGCACATACATCTCTGTGGTGCCCCTCTCAGAGGAGTGGACGTTATCGAGTCTCAATTTCAGGGCACTTGAACTATAATCTAGTGTGTCTGGCAATTGGCAAGGAAAGGCATCTTCACACCAGATATGTACGCAGTACTCCACACTCTTTACACCTGCCGACATGATGCTCATGCTCGGTTGATAATCGAGGGGAGACATGCCACTTTCTCAATTTGTCTCGGAGCAGTAGCCAAGTTAAATCCCGTCAACTTCCAACCCGGTTTTAGCCGCAACGGTGGTTAGATGGTGCCAATTGCTCCATACATGTTTCAGCCTCATACGAGTGCCTCCGTTCACACTCGAGGGATTGGGGTTGACTCGCATGCTCACATACGTCCGACCCATGCAAACAACCCATCTAGGATATTCCCGTCACAGCTGCAGGATTCGTAACGGTAGCAGGTCGTGTCGTCAACGCTGAGTCAAATTTTTTTGGCTCTGACCCAGAGGCCCTTTGTAGCATATATGCGTCCATATCTCCCTTGATGTGCATAAATTCCGCAAGGTACCGCTTCTTGGAACTACTTCTCCGCGTGTTCGATTTTGAAGAAATCTTGAACAACCCCGGATTCGAGGCGAGAATTTTCACATTCTAAATATGGATTTCAACCTTGTCCGTGGGAGCATTCCCTGTCCAAGGGCAATGTGACCATGTTCCCAAATTGCTCAGACCACGACTAGCCGTGAAGCTAGGCTCAATGACACCTAGGCGGGCTCACCTACCGCGGTAGCATCCAGCAAATAGTACGGAGAAAGATGCACCCAGACTCACCATGGCCCCAGTGGTTCCAGTAGCTACAATAGGGCTTTTGCCACTTCGTTCGGTGGGCCGGCCTTTACCCCAAATTCTGCAGAGGGAACTTTAACCTTGATTGCAGTCTTTTCTTTCTTTCTCCAGGGGCCGGCTTCATTATTCCCTTCTTTTCTAGTCTTTTTCCCTCCTCTCTACGCTCCTTTCCCATGTGATCTAAGTCCTAATACGTCGTCGCTCTTTTCTTATCACATTCTTTTACCCCGTCACTCGCTCTAGACCGATATTTGTCTCTCTTTCTTCGACCTTTTCGTGGTTCTATCTCTTGATTTTGAACACGAGGGTGGCGCGTCTCAAGGGCCCGCCATGTTGCCAACAGCAGCAATCTGCTATCTAGCAGGCCTTGCTTCCATTTCAAGCCTCTTTAGACACGCTTTCGCTGCGCAAACACCAGCATGGAAGTCTCGATCCGTTTATCAAACCATGACGGATCGATTCGCGCGCACCGATGGGTCGACTACGTCTCCCTGTGATCTCGAGGAGGGAAACTATTGTGGAGGCACGTGGAGAGGAACGATTAACCAGCTCGACTATATCCAGGGGATGGGATTCGATGCTGTCATGATCTCCCCAATCATCAAAAACATCGACGGCCGGGTTTCTTATGGTGAGGCCTACCATGGATACTGGCCACTGGACATATATGATCTGAACTCGCACTTTGGAACATCCCAAGACTTGCTGGACCTAAGCGACGCTCTGCATGCTCGCGGAATGTACCTGATGATGGACACGGTCATCAACAACATGGCCTACATCACCAATGGTACCGATCCTGCCACACACATCGACTACTCGGTCTTTACACCGTTCAACAATGCAGATTATTTTCATCCCTATTGCGAGATTACGAATTGGAATAATTACACCGATGCGCAGCTTTGTCAAACAGGTGACAACGAGACAGCACTGCCTGATCTCTTCACTGAACACAGTGATGTCCAACAGCTTCTGGAAAATTGGGCAACGGACACGATAAAGAAATATTCTGTCGATGGACTTCGAATTGATGCCGCAAAGCACGTCAGTCCAGGCTTCTTGAAAAATTTTGGAGATAAAGCTGGTGTGTTCATGACCGGAGAAGTTCTCGACAGTCATGTGGACATTGTTTGTAACTATCAAAGCAATTATATTGGGAGTATGCCCAATTACCCCATCTACTACGCTATGATCCATGCATTCATCAACGGCAACACCACCGAGCTCCCGAATCAAGTGGAAGTGATGAAACGCACGTGCCCAGATGTCACTGCAATGGTCTCATTCTCTGAAAATCATGACCTTCAGCGTATTGCAAATATGACGGATGATATGTCGGTACGTGCAACCGCGTCGCATGTCAATGCACACAATGCACCCTCTCTGACCGAAGTTCTACCTATCTAGCTTGCGAAGTCAATCATCACGTTCACGTTGCTGTTTGATGGCGTTCCGATGATCTACCAAGGCCAAGAGCAACACTTGAATGGAGTATTCAACCCGTGGAATCGTGAAGCTATCTGGCTATCTGGCTACAATAATGACACCGTGCTTTACAAACTCATCGCGACGCTGAACAGAATCCGGAAACATGCCTACAACATGGACTCGGACTATATTGATAGCAAGACACATTCTATCTACACGGGCGGCAGTGAGTTGGCTTTCTCCAAGGGCGTCGAGGGCCGACAGGTCGTCATGCTTCTATCGAACCAAGGCATGCAAGGCAAACCCTACCAGCTTACGCTACCAGTCTCCTACAATGCTGGGACTGCCGTGACCGATGTGTTGAATTGCAAAGCCTACGCAGTCAATGAGTATGGTGGGCTCGCTATCGACATGAATCAAGGAGAGCCCAGAGTGCTGTTCCCTACCAAACTGATGAGTGGGAGTGGATTGTGCGGTTACTCGTCAAGCAACGTTTCCTATGCTGATATCATGACTGGCCGTGGATCCGGATCGTCGTCGTCTTTGGGGGCTAGAAATAAAGGAAGCGCTAACAATAAACAACCCCTTTTACTGACATTCATGCTGAGCTTATTGCTACTAGGCTCAATCTAGGTCTCGGCATCAACCACATTCTTCTGCATTCCGCATTGGCGAGTGTGTTTACAATCTGACTTGCCTTCGTGATATCCTCTATGTTTTCCGGGTCGTTTTTGTTCTTCTTAGCCATGTACACGATCGCGCTCTTTCTGAACCATCCTCTTCGCGTGTTCATATTAATCAATTTCCATGTACATATTTTGACTGCCCCTTTTATCTCGATTAACTGCTCTATAAGCTATTTTTGGCATTTTCTTGAGCATCAAATTCAAGGTATGACGCAATTAAGGAGAGCGGACTTGGGTGGGAAGTTGATCTTACTCTTCGAGTGGTGAGTGGTGGTGTAATTTTACGCTGAATCCTTCAATACAAAAGGAGTTGAGTCGCCGCCCCACTGATAGAAATTTTCGGTTTCCACACGGTCTCGGATCCTGCGGATACCGAGAAGCGAACTCTTAGGTAAGTAAATATTTGTTGTCCTGAGTGGATATTATAGGAATTCAAGGTCTTGTAATGTGACTAAATGTGGAAATTGATGAATCGCAGCTAAACCGTTTCTAAGAAGAGCCCCTTCGCGTTTTCATTGGCTTTGTTACGTTTGGTCTTTAGCATTGTTTTCACGCTGAGCTCCAAACCCCCCATGCTGTCTTTGTTTTCGTGCTATAACCGGCCTTTTCGGCGGAGACAGCGAGTTTGGAAAGAGAAAGAAGGTCAATTGTTTCCTTTCAATACCTTTTTGAATACTCTCGTTCTAACTTGTAACTTATATCTAGTAGAAGCAGCCAAGAACCTTGATCAATTACCCTCGTGGACTGCGCCCGATAATACACTAATTCTGCAGGCATTTGAATGGCATGTTCCTGCCGATCGGCGCCATTGGAATCGATTAAAGGCTGCTTTGCCGGATTTCAAGGCGATAGGCGTTGACCAGATATGGATTCCCCCGGGATGTAAGGGAATGGACCCTGCGGGCAATGGCTACGATATCTATGACTTGTATGATCTGGGGGAATTTGATCAAAAGGGAGCGATCTCGACAAAGTGGGGCACTAGGAAAGAGCTGGAGGACTTGGTTTGCCAATCTCAAGCCCTGGATATCAAAATTATCTGGGATGCTGTGCTCAATCATAAGGCTGGAGCTGATTTCCCAGAGAGTTTCAAGGCAGTGGAGGTAGATCCTAAGAGTAAGTTGATGTTGATTACTACCACCGGTCTAAGTTGGGATTATGTCAGGCCAAAGGGTTTCTTGGTACTGATTTTGAAATTACAGGAAGGGACATTGAAATATCCAAGCCGTTGGAAATAGATGGCTGGGTGGGCTTCGATTTTCGTGGCCGTGGCGACTTGTACAGTTCCATGAAGTACCACTGGCAGCATTTCAGCGGCGTCGACTGGGACGACAAGCGCAAACACCAGGCGATCTACAAAATCCATGCGCCCCACAAGGACTGGGCCTCTGATGTGTCGGGGGAAAATGGCAACTACGACTACCTCATGTTTGCTGACCTTGATCTCTCGCACCCAGAAGTCCGCGAAGACATTCTACAATGGGGAAACTGGATTACTGATACATTATCCCTTGGCGGAATGAGGCTGGATGCAGCAAAGCATTTCTCCGCGAAGTTCCAAAAAGACTTCGTGAACCATATTCGCAGCACTTCCAATCCGGATTTCTTCGTGATCGGAGAGTACTGGACCGGGGACGTGCAAGCCATTATGGACTACCTGGAGACGCTTGAGAATAAAATTGTGGCGTACGACGTTCCTCTGGTTGAGAAATTCTCAGAACTGTCGCATACACGCGACGCAGACCTTCGTGGTATTTTCAAGGATTCTTTGGTACAGCGCAGGCCAGACCAGGCTGTAGTAAGAGACCCTCCTTCTCCCATCTCGTCAATTTTGGACATCAAGAGACTAACTTTCGAAGACCATTGTGTCAAATCATGATACAGTAAGTGGCGCGGATCGAGACCTGCTCTTTAGGTTGTTGGGCCTCATGTATTGACTTCCTTGCTTATGGCTTAAAGCAACCAGGACAAATGCTTGAGGTAAGCCACCACCGATCTATTTTCCATCAGAACATTGCTGACTGAAGAATTAGACTCCAGTAGCATCTTCGTTCAAATTGCTAGCCTATTCGTTGATACTTCTCCGAAAAGAAGGCCATCCTTGTGTATTCTATGGCGACATTTATGGCATACGAGGCGAAAATATCGCACACCCAAACACCCCAGCATGCAATGGCAAGCTCCCAATCCTGACCACAGCACGGAAACTATATGCCTACGGCGAACAAGAAGACTACTTTGACCAACCAAACTGCATCGGTTCGTATTTCCAATCCTTCCCCCCCTCCCCCTTTTTAATTTTGCAATTTCATTTTGGACTTATCATTCCTGAGGATGTCTCAGGTTTTGTTCGCTATGGAAATTCTCGTCACCGTTCGGGTCTCGCCTGCATTATCAGCAATTCAGGCGCAGCCAAAAAGCGGATGTTCATTGGTCGAGATAATACGAGCCAGCGGTGGATAGATATCTTGGGACACCGGGCAGGAGCTGTCGTTATCGACAAATGGGGCTACGGGTTTTTCACTGTCAACGCAATGAGTGCCAGCGTATGGGTTGATTCAGACGCAGTCTCCAGTGCTGGCCTCGCGGAGAAGTTGTACGGTCTTCCTATCTTCCCCCATTTCTCGGTTCTGTGCTAACCCGGACGCTTTTACCAGCAACGTAAACATTTATGACTATTAATCATTGACAACTGGCTCAAAGGGGTCTTCTTCCAGAGGCTTCTTAGAACAGATAATAATGTACTATAGTTCCTAGTGGAAAAATTTTTCGATTCTGTCCATTGTTAGGCAGCTCAGTTCGGCCAGCCTGGGGAGTGCCTTCATGCACACATGAGATAATCGTAACGGCCACTTCCGCAGACCGAAAGTTAGATACAGCAGTAACGATTGCAAATGTTTTTTGACCTTGGAGCCCAGCTTCAGCGGTGACTTTGGGAACGGTCTCCATTCTCGAGACACGCTGAACTTTTCGCTCTTTATTACGGGTGGTACCTGAATCGGCAGATGCTTGGTGAAACAGTCCGTATCCACGTTGAGCATAACTGCCTGTTCCTGAAAAGTAGCTGGGGCCACCACGCCCATGGATGTCTCGAAGAGTTTTCCTGGTGGTTCCGAAATATTGGTTCCCACTCAATATCCTGGTCTGCTCTTGATTAATCGGCCAGTCCTGGTTTGTTGGATATGACTGAGTTAACTTTGGGTCCTGCCAAGACGCGATCGGGCTTTTTGCCAAGCGTTTGGTAATCTTCTGGATGTGCCAGATCTCAACCTGGTTACCGGGTCTCTCGATGCGGTCTAGTGTTGATCAGAGACATCCGTCCATGGAATGGCCAATCATTATCGATGGTCAATACCAAAAGCTTCGATACAGTCAGGACAGTTGCCTGCATGACAATTAGTACTCATTGGGAAGGAAAATTATTTTACCGATACACAGTCTGACTCAGTGAATAAGACTGAAATCCCCGTAACAAGGAGGTGTGTGCTGTGTTTTGACACCTGGCCAAGAGGCTAGTAAGATGGTGTAACAAGATAAGGTGGCCGTTAGATCAAAAATAGCATTTGCACTACTGTAAATTACAACAATACATATACACCCGTGAGGTTGAATTTACCTGTAATTGGATGACCGGATTTCCATATCGCGACACAGGAAGGCGCTAGACATGCACCACCAACGCCAGCAACACTTGGCATGTTTCGGCTCAGCCTCCGCGGCGCCTCATCTCGCTAGAATGCGTTAGTGGCTTGCAATGTCATTATCGGCCCAATCGGCTGTGCCATTAATACGAATTGACCAATACACCGGCCCGTGCGACCGAGAACTCTTTCTCGGAACCCGTCACACACCTGGGTCCCATTCGGGCGATCTTCCGCCCGAAGGCTGGCTTTGTACAGTTCTGTACAGAGTAATTGTTCATGGAATAATATTCCATTGTATTTGCAAAACCTGGAAATTTCGCGTAGCAATGACCTGGTACCAAGACTGGTTCGTGATTCTGATGGAGACCATGGAGACCCTGCATTACCTACCCTTTTCCAAGGCTCGTGTCGGAGCTGAACTGCAGAAGTCATGTCATGTCAATGCATCACTTCCAGGTTTGGGCCAGATAATTTCATCAATTGATTCAGGTATTATTAGACTTGTCTTAGGTATTGTGCCAAAATTGTTTTGATTGTCGGTTGTGATCTTTTTTTGGAAAATTTATATCCATCTACTACTTGACTATATTAAACTCTCGAGTGCTTTATTGCTGTTTGAGATATTCCTTAATATTGCTTTTACTCAACACCTGTCCATCTTTTTTATTTACTATTCACTCACTATACCACAACTATGCGTCTCTCGCTCGCCTTGTCTCTTCTGCCTCTTGCAGGCTTCGTCGGAGGTAAGTCGAGTCCCGCTTCAACATGAATACTTCCTAACAAAATCGTCAGCTCTTCACGTCACCGAGCCCGAGAAGGGTGCCGATATCAAGACTTCCAGCTCTCTGGCTGTCAAATGGACTTTTGTTGAGTGAGTTTTGCCATGATCTATATCTCATCAGATGTTCTACTTCGTATCTGACTCTGAAAAGCACCGATGCTAAGAGCTTTGACCTTTACCTCGTCAACAACGCCGTCTATCCTAGCATTAACAAGAAGATTGCTTCCAACGTAGAGACTTCTGATGGCTCCTACACCATTGACAGCCTCACTGGCGTCTCGGCAGGGTACGAATTCTTCTCTATACAGCGCTTACAATCTCTTTCCTCAGCCCCCACAACCTGTCATACTAACTTCTCTTCCTTAATTAGACAAGGATACCAGATCAACCTCCAGTCTGACGAATCCATGAACACCGGTATCCTCGCCCAGTCCGAACAATTCAACGTCACCGGCTCCACTCAGAGCTCCTCCACTTCCAGCTCGTCCACTTCCAGCTCGTCCACTTCCAGCTCGTCCACCAGCACTTCCTCGGGCACTACCACCGGTTCTACTACTACCAACACCTTGATCACCAGCACCACCTCGACCGGGACTTCCACCAACTCTGAGACTACTGGTACTTCTGGTGCTACTGGCGCCCGTTCGTCGTCCGGCGCCTCTGCTAGCGGTACCTCTTCGCAGACTTCTGTTCCTTCTACTGGTGCTGCTGCGGCTCTGGTGGCTCACCCGGTCGCTGTCGCTGGTCTTCTCGCTGGTGCGTTGGCTTTCGGCCTGTAAGCTACCTAAGAACACGGCTTACTCTTACGAGTGGTCTGACAATGGATCATCGTCTGTGGGTGGAGCATGCGAGTTGGGAATAAGAGATATACACGGAACAATGATAGATGGAGTGGGTGTTTTGCTTTCAATTCTCTGTTTTTAATTTGTGATAGCATCCAGTTTGGACGTTAATAATAATTGTAAACAGTTTGATGATGTGCGCTCTGACCATATTGCCTCATATATGACTATCCTGTCAGGCATCGCATTTCACATTGATCTTTGTTGCCTTTCGCTCTTACTCTTTCACTCTAATTTTTACCTGCTCTCCCTAGTCAATACTTGATTGAAATCCTGGTGTTGTTACCCTTCTAGGTACCTTCCGTGACTGAGCTGCAACCTATGTGGAAACATCTCACCGACTCCGGGCCCGCTATTTATGGGTAGAGAACTTTTCAAATATATATAGAATGACTCTAAAATGATTCTAGTTAATCTAGTTAACTTGGTCTTATGGTAACGTGCTCAGTTGCGCCGTGCCCTTGAACGCATTTCTGTCTCCAGTGATAGGTGTTGTCGTGAGATATATAATCTCGCACACTGGTGTTGCACCATACACCGAACAAAATTAGTGAATACAAACGGGAAAACGAGATTGTATATGGAAGAAGGCACAAATCCCTCCTAACATTCTGAATTGAACTCCAAAATATACAGGTAACTACTCTGCTTATAATTACCAATAGAGCGATTGAGAAGAGCCCGCTGGCTTCGTCTGAAAATTGACGGCCTGATATTGGTTTTTGCATCATCATCGACGATAGAATAACATTCGAAAAGATATCAATTTGCCATAAATAGGTATACCAGGCCAATTAACAAGGGCATGCCAAATCCTGCAATGCCAAGTTATATTGCTCGAAGCAAATACTAAGGTCGCAAGTTCCACCTAGGAATTTTCATCTACCACTTATCTCCACCCTGCATACTCTCACCGAGAAGCATAGTAGCTTTCATCCTGATTCAGCAGGTAGAACGGATCAGGCTCAGGCTGTCCACTGCCACCCTCCCAAGTTGGGGTCTTCAAGGTCTTAGGCGTATTCTGTCGACCAGTGTGTGAAAATACATACTCAAAGGTCTTGGCCCATTGAATCCGGTTGTTCAGGCCTTCCAGCTCCCACAATTCCTGCAGGAAATGCAAGATCGAGGTGTGGGTGTAGGCAGAGATCTTGGCGTACGAGGTACCTTCGTGGTGGATGAGGGTGTTTGCGGGGACGAAGCGGGAAATCAGGAATGCAGGGACGCTGGGTGGGTTTGTTAGTCAAGGAGGTGTTCTCCCGCGTCTAAGGGGGATGGGATTGGCTTACCGGACGCCCAGGCGAGTGAAGTCGTAGCTGATCTGGAGACCCTCCGACTTGCCGTTGAAGCTGATTTTATCTTCGGGCTGGGGCACGTTCATCGGGGTCGGGACGTGGTCAGCGAAGCCGCCGTGCTCGTCGAAGTTGATGATCAGGAGGCTAATTGCAGGTTCAGTCTCAGAATAGGATCAGTCTTTGCATTTCCAGCATGGTGACTTACGCATTGTCCCAGTACTTGGACCGACGGAGAGCATCGTATAGGTGCTTGACCATCTGCTCACCAGATACCATGGGACTGGTTGGGTGCATCGAGGTGATGGTGCAGCACTCGGGGTTGATGTACGAGAATGTGGGCAGGGTACCCTGCTCCAAGTCGCGGTAGAACTCGTCTGCGTGGACGAGACGGTCCATCGCGTTGTCTTGAACCCACTGCGAAAGGTTAGCACGATATGCTTTTGATATACGGTCGACGAGAGTTATTACCTTGTAATTAAATGCGTCGACAATGTCGGTCTCGTAGTACTAATAGCTTTACTGTCAACGGCTGTCATCTACTACTAGAGGGACCAGTCTTACATTCTTCCAGCTGATCTTCTTCTTGCTCGGCGATTCGAAGATCGATGTTGCACAAGTAGTACCCGTCACATTGTTGAAGAAGCCAGCAGCCTGGTCAGTGTTATCGACAAAGCTACAAGTGGATCCGGAGGTTGCGAATTGGCGATTAGGGTTGGTTGGGCCGGGGTGCTCAGCGAACTATATTTCAACTCTTAGCCTCGACACTCCCTCATCCCTACGGCTTTCAAAGCCAAGGTAGACTCACATAAGCATCGAAGAAGGCAAAGTTCTGTGCCAGCTCTGCCAACAACGCCGTCTTCTTCTGATCATAGGCCTTGATCACGAATGCTGAATCTCCGGGAGTCGACTCAAACTTCTCCGATGGCACTCGACGAAACCACCCATGTTGGGGACGTCTTGCTTGGTGATGTTCCACTTGCGGAAGATCTCGTAGGTGACTCCGGCAAAGTTGTGATCGGGATCGGCCAGCGGGACTTCGGTCTCGTATGGACCAGCGCAGATATCCAGTGGCTCTCCCCACACAGTCCAATTGGGGTTGGTGTATTCGTTGCAGTAGTCAATGTTGCGCAGGTTGTCGATGTCAGGGTGGAAGTCCCAGTAGCCGGCGATGTTGTCGATGGAGTGGTTTTCCAGGGTGAGGTAGATGACGTGCTTAATCTAGAAGAGCCGGGTAGAGATCAGTTGCTTTGGTCATGACTCTCATTTGAAGGGAGACGCCGAGGGATCACTCACGTTTTCACGCAGCTGGCTCCAGGTCTGGGTGTTACGTGCTGCAGGACAAGCTGATGCTGCAGCGATGAGGCCCGAGGCCACGATGGCCCAGGTCGACTTCATGATGTGAATAGTCTGTTTCCTCGCCTCCAGTCAACGATGAGTGGTATATTGAGAATCGCTGAGGACAATTGCCTCCTCGAGGTATGCAAGGACATTCTTATATAGAGTCAATCGGAAATTGCGATTTGTGGCAGGACAGTGTCTACAAATTCCCTTCTTGGGAGCTTCTGGGAGCAGATATGCACCTCGATCGGCACCTGCCATGATTGCACTTCATCATGGGCTCTGTCTCTTGATCTAACGTCTTGGCCACGAGACTACGACCGGCGCTCAGCGTATATAGCGACGGACAAGGAGCCGATGCTAGTGCTCGGATGTGTCGGTATTGAAGTTGACTCCACGCCCTATCATCGCTTGCAGACGCGGCATGGTCCGCTCTTCACGCCATTCTGCCTTGGATGGGAGGAGGAGTCTGGCATGGTAGTCTGATCAGTGATAACATCATAACTGTACTAGGCTGGACTAGACTATGGGTGAAAGGAGACGAGAAGGGGCACGCAAGGGATTTCCCTTTCTGTGCCAGTTATGATTAAGGACTTCTTTATTCAGCTTGACCGGAGAGGGCGGGTGACCATGTCCGCTTGATCGTGTTGAGCTCTCTGAGTCCATCATCTCCGAATCCATCTACGAATACGAAGGATCCCATACAATGGAGAAGACTAACCAAGTCGGATCTACCCGCTTCAGAACCGACCACGAGGTTACCGTTGCCCGAATTGGGATAATCAATCGGCATCTACAATCCGACATTATCAGTTATTAAATAATCAGGACAGTCACGAGAGTGCCAATGGACTTGATCTCAACAAGGACTGGAGTCAGCACCAAATAACCAATAAACATTGAGATCTCACCCGCGATTACATTTACACGGCTCTGATTGGTGATTCTCTTGGATTTAAGCACTAACAAGCTCCACATGAACCCCACCGCCTGCCCATTCTGCCCCGCTTCCCAGCTGCTCCTCCACGAATCAGCATGGCACGTGCCTGGCAACCCCGTCCCATCGCCAAGCACGTTGTTCCTTAATAGGCTGGGATGCGCTGCGATCGGCGGGGACCTTGATTACTGGACGGGCTTTCCCAGTCCTCCGTATACGCCGTCAGCAGTGAAGCGCCGCTTTCTGCCGCGCCAGTGTAACGCTTCCATTCCAAGCGAGGGGGAGCACATGCACCTCCACGTTCGCGTCCCTCTCTTAAGTCCACCTGCTCGAGATTCTGGTTTTTGTTTTTTTTCTTTTTTTTTGGATTTCCCTTCTCTCTGCTCGCGTGGAACACACACTTTGGAGACATCCCTGGACAGCAAGGGAGAAACAACACAATAAATAACAACAACACATTCCTCTGGATCGTGTGATCTAACCCATTTCCTCCACACAAGCCCTACGTGGATCGGACATGTCAATTACGGCATCAAGCGGCCTCATGTCGAACTACTCCCGTCTCTCCGATCACCGCTCCTCTACGGACGAGGAAAATGAAAAAGAGATGCATCTACGATTGCAATCCGATGTCGAGGCTGCCGACGGTCACAGTCATCGGACGGTGACAGAGAAGAAGCCGTCCCGCTGGATTGACGGTCGTACCGTCTCCGATGCCATTATCGGTCTTTCAGACGGCATGACAGTCCCATTTGCACTCACGGCGGGACTATCAGCCTTGGGGGATACCAAGGTGGTCGTCTTTGGTGGTATGGCAGAGCTTATCGCGGGCGCCATCTCCATGGGCTTGGGTGGCTATCTGGGTGCAAAGAGCGAAGAGTAAGCCAAAGTTCTACCTTCCAATAGACAGCCTCTAAACATCCAACGATCAAGAGAGAAGGCAATTGCAGAGCAAGCATAGCTAACCAATCTATAACAGGGAATCCTACAAGGCTACTCTCAAAGAGACTGAAACTCAAACCATGACCGACCCTGCCTCCGTTTCTACCACGATCGAGGAGATCTTCGAGCCATACGAGCTGCCCGCCGAACTAGTCTCCCAACTGACCAGCCATCTCTCCGCCTCCCCCCTGCTCCCTTCGTTCCTGATGAACTTCCACCACACCCTCCCTGAACCTTCCGGGTCTCGCGCCGTGATCTGCGCCCTGACTATTGCTCTGGGCTACTTCATTGGCGGCTTCGTGCCGCTTCTACCTTACTTCTTTGTCGGTCCTCGTGATGCCTTTGTCGCGCTGCGCTGGTCTATTGCCACAATGGCAATTGCCCTGTTCCTCTTCGGGTACGGCAAGACCTGCTTCGTGAGTGGGTGGAGTGGGCGCAGAAATGTGCGTAAGGGTGTAATCGGTGGCTTCCAGATGGTGTTGGTGGGTGGTGTGGCAGCCGGATCCGCCATGGGACTGGTCAAGGCATTCCAATTGCTAGCGAATGGATCAGAACATGCCAAACATGACTAAGTGTGTGTGTGTGTGTGAGATGGACAACTTTTATCTTAAGTACAGCCTCGATCCCGCTCGTTCCTTTCTTCTTGGCTCAGTTCTATTTGGCGTTCATGGCATGGTGTTCTGGATGGGGCCACCTGGTTTGCATCGGCGTTTTTCATCTTCTTCCCTTCTTCGAGTCTCCGCTTCATGACATGTGTTGATGAATGGAGGCTGTCTACGGACTCTACGGACAAAAGCATCCCCAGTTTCAATCAATATAGACATGCTTTTCTGCGTACCATCTCGCCCGAGTATGCAAACAAATCTGATAAATTAGACTGACTATGAAACAATATGAACAGGCAATGCGTAGTTATAGTAAGACTATTTACAGAAACGCAAATTCGAAAAGTATGGACACCCCAACTCCCTTCCCAATCTCAATATCACAGTTTCGAAGCCACTGGTCTCACAACCCTCAACTCATCATGAACAATCTTCGCCACTCTCCCACCATCATCAATCGCCCCATCAATGAAACCCCTCCACCCGAACGACGAATCCGAGCTAGCAAAGAACACATTCCCATGCCGTTCTCGCAACGCTTGTAGATACTTTGTCGTCATACCGGGCCGCAACCACTCCCACGCACCGCGGGCAAACTCATCTTTATGCCAATTATGGAACACCAACCGTCGCACATTCATATCAGGGTGGAAAGCCTCGAATGCTTTCTTAGTGACTTGAATATCCTGCTCAGGATCCAAATGGACACCCGGCAAGGAACCGCCAAATGCCACGAGATGCGTATTTCCCGCAGGCGTGGTCCCATCACCGAACGTATAGGTGAGTCTACCATTAGGGTAATTCGTTGCCCCGAGCGAGCGCATCTCGGGATTCGCAACCTCGGCATGACACTTGACGACTTTATTGACGTGGCCGGCCAGGGAAGCCTCCGTCTTGAGAGCCGGCAGCGCCGGTGTAAAAGCTAGTGTATGCAGGACATTCAGCGGTACTGTGCACACTATGCGTCTTGCCTTGAAGACCTCCACCCCATTTCGAGCGGTGACTTCTACCCCGTTGCCGTGGTCAACCACGTTCATGACTGGCGTGGAGAAAGTATAGTCCAATCTGCCCGTGGCAACAGCTTCGTCGAAGATGCGTCGCGCCAGTGCAGACTGGCCATCGCGCAGCTTGTACGTGAGTCCGATGGCCATGAAATCGGGGTAATTGTAGTTCATCAAGGCCCACCACCGGAGGAGCTCGAAAAAGGACGCTTCTTCCCATTTTGCGCCGTGTGTGATGGCCAGAAAGCCTTCGAACATGTTCTTTTCTAACGGCGTTAGGTGCAGCGCAACTTGTGCCATGCGGTCGGCCATGGACATGTGGTCGTATTTCTCTACGCCGGCCATGTTGAGTTCGATATCGTGCGGGTAGGGAATGACGCTGCGGCCGAAGTCGCCGTCCACGTTGATGAATTTCTTGAATGCGGACTCGACGGTTGCATCCTGGATGGACGAGTTAGTAACCCTCCACTGTATCTTTCTAGTCTTCCGTCTAGACAATAGACCTGCATACATACCTCCTCATCATGCGATATATGTTTCACCTCCCCGTCCAAGTTAACGGTAACCTTCGCCCCTCCTTCAACATTCTTCCTTGGCGACACCTCCAATTGATCCATCATCCCGTAGCGACGCAACTCGCGCCACACAAATGGTTGATGCCAATGCACCCAGGTACCACCCATATCGTAGGGGTATCCATCAATATTGGAAGACCATGAACGCCCGCCAATGCGGTCTCGGGCTTCGATGAGGAGCACGTTGTTGCCGGCGAGAGCGAGGTCCCGGCATGTTGTTAGGCCAGCGTAGCCACCTCCTATCACGATTACATCGTACCGTTTGTTCTTTGTGAAGTGGGTGGATGGTTGGATTAGACCTAGGGTTGGAACGCCTTGGACTAGGCCGGTGGCTTGGGTCCATTGATAGCCGTCGCGGCTTTTCGGTAGATTGGTCATTGTCAGAGATCTGTGTAAGGCAGTTTGTTGTAATGTCGGTTAAACTGATTCTTGAAGATAGGTGTCTCTAGGAGGGTTCTTATATTCTTGTTGGTCGAATTTGGGTGATCCATACCCCATGATTCAGCGGCTGTCGGTGTGCCTTGGAACTTTCTTGGAACTTTCTCGGAACCAGGTATAGAATTCCGAGGCCGATACCGATGCTTATCGCCCGCGCGTGCGGAGTACTGGCGCTTGATTTCCCAAGTTGGGTATAGATCTTTATTCTCTCAAATATGCGCATGGTATAGTTTCCTATTTCCGATATTCGGATTCTGTAGTGCTTCCATAGGGCTGATCACGGATCCTTGGTGTCTCCTGCTGTGCGAGGTTTCCGGCAGTGACAGTTCAGCAAATAATTAGCGCTTAGACAGATGCTTCAATTATGTACCTTCTAGTAATCTTATTCACACAAGCAGTCCATCAATTCTTTTTGGCAACATTGCTATGAAACAGTCTTCTTGGTGTTGGGTTGGATGTGTCGCTCATGGAAGGTTAACCTTTGTGCCACACCCCACTTTCTCCCAGATTGCCCAATCGCATCGCCCCACTACTCTGCGATGTCTCGGTCTGCCTTTCCGCTTCCGAGTTTCCTTCAACTCCCATCGAACTTGCAACGACGCCTCCTCGTTAGATTCCGTTGCTTCATTCCTCAGATCATGACAAGTGAGTCGCCCGATCGAGACGTGGATCCGTCTGCATCATACCACCCGAAGAAGCGGTTGAAGTATACGCAGATAGCATGGTTCGTCTGCCTCGCTCCATTCCGCAATGTCTCCCTTCGGCAACCTTGCAATGACCAGGTTTCTGAGAGATACCCCGTGCTCATGCTAACAATGATAGCAATGAATGTAAGCGGCGCAAAATCAAATGTAGCGGAGGATCTACGTGTTCGCGCTGTGCGCGTGGTAAGATTCCCTGCGTGTATCCAACTGATCGCATGCCAATCCAAGAGACCGAGTTCAAAGATGCACGGTGAGTGTTCATTGCAGAATTTGAATAGCCGAGCCTTTGCAATCAGTCGCTTATTTTTTTTTTCTATAGTGTCGGTCCCAGATTTGATTCCGTGGATCGGCAACTGGAGATGCTGCAGCGAGAAATGCGGAGTCTAGCTACTCGCCTGCGAGAGTTGGAAGCTTCCAGCCCGGCATCCTCGAGACCTGTAAAGACATCTACTCCAAGGGAGTTGGATCGTATTTTGAACGCGCCAAAATCACCACCGTACGTTGGGCCGACCAGTGCGGAGTTTGGCCTGCGGCGACAACGAGCTTCTAGAAACCCTGCTAGTGAAAATGAAGCTGATGAGGATATGCCCTTGTCTACACCGACCCGAAGTCCCACCCCAGAGGGTACAGCTCCGCATTCAGGGAGTGGTTTCAGTATAGGACTTGATGATGCCTTACGCTTGGTGCAGGTGTATGAGGATCTTGTCGGGGTTATGTATCCTTGTGTGGATATTGATAGTGTTCGTGGCTATGTGCACGAGTATTATCGCTCCCATGATATGATTCTTACTGATGCCACTGACTCGTTGGATAAAGGCTCGACGGATCAGGATTGGTTTTTTGCTCGGGATATTCAAGTGTTGAAATTGATCCTTGCGACTGCTCTTCTGGCTGAGTCACATGGCCGCAGTGAAGCTGCGGCGCAGCTTGCGGATAGTGTGGAAGACCGGTTTGCCAGCCGATTTAAGGTTGCTGAGGTGGATATGAAGGAAATTTTGATCATGACATTACTGGTAGGCTGATGTCCATCTATCCATTTTGCATCTTTAACGTTCCAGAGATTCATCGGTGTCTGACATTAATCACCAGTCAATCTTCCACTCATATCGTGATGATGAAGTCATCTCCTGGCGCATGACCCGCATCGCGACTAGTGCCTGCATGGAACTCGGCCTTCATCGGCAAGAAACCTGGCAGCGGACAGGAGGTGTCTTCCCGGGTGAGCTTGCTAGGACTTGGGCAATGCGGCTCTTCTGGTGCATATACGTCCTGGACCGAAAGTGGTCTTTTGGCAGTGGCCTTCCTTTTGGCATTCAAGACATGGATATGGATACAAATCTCCCTGAGCCGGGACACTCCACCCCATACTTGACGTGCATGATCTCGTATGCACGGTTGAGCACTAAGATCTGGGGCTTGGTCATGGAGTGGCCCAAACACTCGAGATTAGCGACTGCTGATAAATGCGCCGAACTGGATGCGCAGGTGCAGCAATGGATTTGGTCGATCCCACGGGATCTACGCTTCAATCCGAATTGGCAACCTCGCGCACTTCCGAGACCTGAACAGTCGCAGCAGAATGACCGAGTGATGATGCTGCAAGTTTTGCTTGCGTTGCAAGGAAACCAACTTCGAATCTTAGTGTATCGACAGAACCTGCAAAGCAGTGACCATATCGCCGGAGACGTTGCGGGCGCTACTATAGCTGTGGAAACGGCGAAGAGCACGATCCACATGTTGGAATATTTCAGCGGCGTGACGAATATTTACTTTCAACGGCCGGAGCCGTTCAATTATTTTTTGATCTCTGCATTGGCTGCTCTTCTTTTGGCAGTCTTGCACGCGCCAAGTCGCTTTAGCCATGTCTGTCGTCCAGAGTTCTATACAGCTATAGAACTCGTGCGTCGCTCGGCGACTCGTGCTCGAACATCACGGCGCTTACAGAAGATCATCCGCAGTCTAAAACATATTCAATTGCACAAGGGTGGCCCAGACCAGGCGGTCTCTCATGGTCGTCCAGCAAAACCAGCAACCCGAGGCACGAAAAGGCCCGCAGACTACCATTCGCGCCCAACGACACAGGCAGAGTCTATGTCTGGACGGGGGCCGTGGGATGTCAATCCTCTTTCTAATCCAGCTTCGCAGCCTACATCCAATCTCCACCCTAGTCAGAACTACGACACATCGACGACTTCGTGGCAAATCTCCCCGGGAACAGTGATGGACGAGCCCAACATTTGCGAAGATCTGAGCAGTTTCTTCGAGAATGCTGGTGACCTGTACTTTGATTCTCATGCAACCTCGGACCTCCACTTACCCACTGGACCAGATCTGTCGCTAGCCAGGGGAGTGGATATGGGTTTCTTTTCTGTACCTGCGAACCCGCAGTCCCCTAATAACGCTTTTGATGCATTCGAGACTGACAATGAGGAATTGACGCGGGTGATGGCAGGTTTACTATAAGATGTGCATATTAAATGATTGGATGGCCGGGAATTGACGGGCTATATCTTCTCGGTCTTTGAGCATGGAGAAACAGATATCTGATATCATAAGACTAGAACGATTGATCAAGCTTAGGTTGTCAGATGATTTAGCATTGTAACTTCAAAACCAGACCGCCACACATCCCAAAGCCCCCAATCGGTACATCAATCCGACAATCCATCGGCCAGCAAACTCCCATTATGAGTCTCTTATCGTGCGAATTGGCGGCAACGCCCACAACACCTTGTCGGCCAAGAAGCGTGGCGGCGTGGGAATTCGAAGCATTGCGTCATCGCACACTCATCAAGTATATCGCCGCTGGACTTCTTTTGCCATTGTCGACTGCTGAAGTCACAAAGGCTTGTTCTTTAAGGATGAGTTCATGTCAGTTCTAAAAGTCTGATCTGGCCAGGCCTTAAGTCTCGGGAATGTGGGTCGATCGCCGTGGTCGTTCAATGGGAGGGGTATATATACAGGGCATAACATCTTGATGTAAACCTACTAGAAACCTGGAAGTTGAATGGAATCAACGGGCGATATTTTGAATAACGGAGTCGCAGTAATTATTCCTATTGAGAGTGCTAGCAGTCCAGTCGTGGCCCGTGGGGGCCGTGCCATCACGTCATGAGACCATGGTTTGGTCTCCGCGATTCGGCGATCTACGAGATCTACGATGTGCGGCAATCCTACTGTACAAAGTAAATTACTACCTCCACGTAAATAGATCAATTATCAGACTCTGGTACCATCTTCTTATGGGGGGTTAAAAGTCGCAATGATTATCTGTGGGATACCAGACCCAGAATTGGCCCCCAGGAATGCTGGCTGTGTGCAGTGCCAAGGTTGGGGTTACGGGCGTAAGGGGTCTGGCTGAGTACATAGCCACTCGCTGACATTCTTGGGGGTGGAGTTAAGTAAAATAGGGGTAGAAGTCTCGTATTTACTGTAGCATATGTTACTGTAGTCTGTAGACCCCAAATGCTGCTGTCTGGACCTTGTTCTATGTTTAGCATCTCAGGATCTTGGCTTGACGAGGGGCGATGGTAAAATTGTCTCTTGCCCTTGCGTTGGTTAATGTTACGTGCATTTCTTGGTAGCATCTTGCGATGCAAGAAAGATGCAGGAAAGATCCGATGCGGTTCTTGAGAGGCGTATTGGGCAAAATCAAGGAAGCGATCAAGGGATGTATACACAATTTAGGGTTCGTATCTCCTCTTAAACACCGTAAAGTAGACAACTTCTATCTAGCAGAACATAAGCTCGCGACCTCTCTTCTCAATTCAGTAACCAGTTAGCAGAGAGAATTCAGCCACCCCTCAACGTAAGCTGACCATGATGAGGTCGGACCACGTCCTCCACACCATGTGGCTCAGGGACTGCCTCGTGTGAAGATTGAAAGACCAGATACGTCGACAAAGGCCAGCTAATTCAAACGGAAGACGTAGCAAATTGACTGTCTTTTGGTTGCAACGACCATCTAGCTTCAAAAGGTTAATTAGCACGCACTGCTTACCCGATCCGTGATCAGTGCATGGAAATGAAAGGAGCTCGTCGCTCTCAAGCCTTGAATCACCATGCACAGCCCGTCCCCCATTCCGCACGAACGGCGTATCCACGCTCGCACTAGGCAGCCACCGAGATCCCCAAGCAAAAACGAATACGATTGAGCGATGAGGATAGCTAAGGGAGAAGAAGGTTAATTATAGTCCTAGTACATGGTTTTGTCACGGTCGTGAAAATGGCAACGCCGTTACGACGATCTTTCGTGACTGTACAGAGATGGCGCGGGAATGGAATGGCTGGTTGTGCCGTGTCCTGTAAGCGCCCTCGTGGGGGTTTGAGGAGAGCTATGCGCTTGCTAATTGGGGGATGGTGGACGACGTTGGAATGTGAAACGGCAGGTCCTCTGGTTGAGGATGTCTGTGGGTGTTTGAACGTGGGAGTGTATTCATGAGAGACGTAGGTTGTAGGCCTTGGTGATCGTCTGGAGAGTGAGTCCTCCCTATATTGAGAAGAGTACTAAGCTAGCTCACTTATTGAGATCGAACTTGATGAATGTCGAAGCATGTTTCCATTGATTGTTTGTCTATTCGCAATGATAGAATGCAAGAACTCATTGTTGGATATTTCTAGACTCTTCGTCTAGATCATTGTCTTAATCACTCTATGGAGCCATCTCATACTGTTCATACTTCCTCTCTTTCCCAATATCCCAACGGGTGATATCGTCACTTCTTCTTTTGCTGCCGCACCCGCATCCCAAAAAGGCAGCGATGATGGTAGCGACTGCAACTTGACAAGATGCAGCCTCACCTACACTCAAGGCAATTATCGCTAGACGAAAAGAGACTCCGACCTCCTGGTCTTTACCTTCAATCCCAGTTTTGATCAGCCGTTCTCAATCTTGACGGATGTACCACCACTCCCAAGTCCAGATCCCCACCAATAAACGATGGCCCCAATTCCCGACTGGATCCACGGAGTCCTTCACAATCAACAAGTGATCGCCTCAGATGCCAGCTTCTCCGAAAAGGCCATCGTTCTCCTCGTCGTGGGACACATCCTGGTCCTCTACACGGTCTTATGTTGGCTCGGAGCTAGCACGATCACTGGTGAACCCCATCATGAATACCCGTCCTTCCAAATGTGGAGCTTCAAGCTAAGAATACCATGCACAGCAGCAGACAGCGGCGATCATCGAACGGCCGAGTGCCTCGAGGGCCAGTACGAGCTCGAGCTGCGAGAGGCGAGCAGCTCCAACGTCAAACACGGCCCGAGCACCTTCAGCCTGCATACCTGCATATTTAATGACAAGTGACAGGCCAATGTCGGGACTTGGTTCGAATGTGATTGCGATACGTCGAAATCGCCGGCACCAGACGGATCTCACGCATGCTACAGTATTACTACCGCGGAGCATTATCAAGCAGGCATATTTACTGGAGCTTTGCCTGCTGGAACTCGGCGAATAAAAAGACCCGTTACCGCTCAGGTACCAGGAGCTTTGATCTGCGGTGATTGGACGGTCGCGCGACACGGCGATTCTGAAACTTGGGGGGCGGGAAACTAAACCATGATGGGCTTACGGCGAACGGTGTCATGGTCCTGAATGAGATACAGGACAGTACTGTGTGCTAGTGATAACTGTGCTTTATCGGTTATACGAAGTACGAGGCTTCGAGCTTCCAAATCAGTGGCTGGAAAGGGGGCTGGTGGGATTTCAAATCGGCACTAACAAGTTACATCGGAGCACGGAGCATTGACGAAATAATGTTGGTGGCTGGTTTCTGTTCTTTACCCCTGAACTACCGAGACAGCAACAGGAATTGGCAGTCAATTACAGGTGCATTATGGATGAATTATGGGCCCGTTGGGAGCTTGGGACACTAGGTAACTGCACTTCTAAGACACGAAGGAAGAGAGCTGCACATCCTCATTTCTTCAATGATGCGCTGGGGCCTCGGCGGCTCCAGCATCCGTGAAATAGTCTTCGGTAGTGCCAAATGGATCTGAAATTTCAGCAGTTTTACCTTTGCTTCTTCTGCCGCCCAAGCTGTGAGGAGCTGCTAGTCATGTAACGAGAAGATTATTATCGGATGGCATTGGGAGTTTGCTGGCTAACTACTGTACACTAGTTGACTATTTGGCTACTATTAATCAGGCACTCTACCATTCGCTGGACGAAAGCTGTCAAACCCAAAGTATAACCCCCCTGAGGGGCCTCCTGTTCACTGCCGTGCAGTGTGGACGGTAGTTTCCAGTCTATCTCATCGTACAGAGTAGGATCACACGCGACCAGAAGTATAATCCCCCGCGATCTTCCAACAAAGGTATCACCATGCCCCTGGATCCGCCGCGTCACCCCGAGGCCTGGGTACCTTGGAACGTCCTTTTGATGTATCCAGGTTTAGTAGTCATGGAATTGGAAGATTAAAGACCCGCTGACTAAGTAATGAAATGTGCGAAGTGTTCGGACGAAGAATCAATGGAAATAATCCATGCGACAACCAATGCTTAGTCGGACGCTGTACGACCGTTGGATAGGCTAAGCGAAATGGGGTCGGCGAGTGAAGAGGCCGAAAAGGGCATTCGTTGGCTACGAGGTACCGATGGGGGCCAAGGCCAGGGCGGGCCAATGAATCTCCTGCAATGCATCTTTTTATTGAAACGTTCGAACAGGCCAAGCAGCTGAACCATGAACTAAACAAATAATAATCTCGACAGTGGTAAGCGGAAAAGGCTGACGGCCCGAACTTTGGCGAGGGAAAATTTGCGCTCCCAAAGAAGGTTGTGTACGGAGGATGTATCCATCTTGTATTATATTCATTCACTGCACCAATTTCCTAGTACCGTGCCCTGGATTGGTCTGGATGGGCCCGCCGTAGAGGAGGCTGCATCCAAGATCCGTGGTCTGATGGAGTTATTCTGCACTTATTCTTGCATGGGTGGGTTTTCTTAGGTGAACTAACTCCCTTGCGGTATTTTGTTTTATACCTGCATAATTTTCTTAGCGCTCCCGTATTGCCCTTCGGAGTGGATGTGGCTGCGTTGCCCTGTGCTCCATTTTGGCCCCGTCATCTCGTAGGGCAGCTAGGGTAGCTGAATGGGCTGACAAGAAGTAAAAATCTGGCCTATGATGGTGGAATAGAAAGGCTCATAAGTCATTACTCTGTAGATGACTAGTTAACTAGGAGATCCAAAGAAGACCCCTCGACCTCGTCTATAGCATCAGCAGGGCTCGTCCATTCTGATTGCTCGAGACTCGGGGCTTGTCAAAGCCTTTCCACAATATTAAATACGGTCATCTCGGTGATCTCCATCAGCCTGATCGGCCTCCGTCAACTCCGTTCCGCCGCATCCGCCCGGCAGTCTCGGTGGATGGTATGGCTAGGTATGGATACCAGAACAGAAGAGAAAAAAAACCGGAGCGTAGCGAAGCTTAAGGAAATCAGATTCTGATCTGACTATCCATAATAAACAAGCAGTATCATCATCATCATCATCATCATCATCATCATCATCACCAGTTGATCCTATCCAACCTCCAGTGTTCATGCCTGCCTATCTGATTTTAGTTCTCCTCGGCCGTAATTAAAGGAGCACCGCCCCCCCCTCTAGGAACGGGACTAGTCGATGGAGTAGTTAACTAACCTCATAGTCCTAGTACTCGTACTGGGAAGTTAGTGACGACATGGACTTTTTTTTCTGCTGGGCCGAACCCTGGAACGCGGTAATACCAATACCAGCTCCTTACGCGCCGCCAAGTTGGTCCCCTTCATAATCCTTACTCTTCCCCCCCTCAGCCCATTTACTTCGATCCTGAACCCTTGGCTCTCTCTCTCTCGACCTCGACCTGACGGCCAACACGCCTTGCATACAGACCGGACCACCGTCATCACCTCCTCCTCCTCCTACTCCTCCTTTCTACTACGCTCCTCTCTCATGCCGGTCTGTTGACGTGGATCTCGCTGTCACCGCCCTGTCGAATTCCTTCCGTCTCATCCGCGCGGGTTCATCCCTCGAACACTCCTCCCGCCATCCCTCCCCTCTATCTTCCACCCCTTCACTAGTTCGAGTGATCCCACGAGTCTCTCTCCGCCAGGAGACTCGCGCCGCAAGATGACCACCTTCCCGTCATGGAAGGATCGCACGCAGAACCAGTTCGGCAAGCTCCAGATTCAGATGCCATGGCGCTCCTTTCAAATGCTCGTGCCGCATCGCATGCGTCGCAAGATTCGCTCAAAGCTTCGAAGTCGCATATCGCCAACTTCGTCTATCTCGACCCTGCGGACCTCCTTCTCGCCCGTCGATACGCTTCGCTCGCTCCAGTCCCATCGCTGGACTATGTATGACTTTCAGTATCTCCTACTCCTGATCCTCGGCTTCTTCTCCTTAACGGTCATTCAATCCCCTGGTCCTCTGGCCAAGACCTCCATCGCGACTCTCCTCCTATTCTCCCTTCTCCTGCCGATCACCCGGCAGTTCTTTCTGCCTTTCTTGCCCGTTGCGGGTTGGCTTATCTTCTTCTATGCGTGCCAGTAAGTCTGACCTCCTTCCCTTTCGCCTTTCGGTGGCTGCGTCGCCTCCCATATGGGCTTACACTCGTATTGATGACGCACGGAACGCTTCTCCGAGACTTGGGTCTTGAGGCAAAGCGTCGTTTGCGTTTGCCGCCTACGCCGAATTGAAACAATTAGTTCTAACGAGTCAATTACGATAGGTTCGTTCCTGGCGACTGGCGACCTGCCATTTGGGTTCGGGTGTTGCCCGCCATGGAGAACATCCTCTATGGTGCCAACATCAGCAACATCCTGTCTGCCCACCAGAATGTGGTGCTCGATGTGCTAGCCTGGATCCCCTATGGTCTGTGCCATTACGGTGCTCCCTTTGTCGTCTCCCTAATCCTCTTCATCTTCGGACCCCCCGGATCAACCCCCCTTTTCGCTCGCACTCTCGGGTACATCAGTATGATCGCGGTGACCGTTCAGCTGGTCTTCCCTTGTTCGCCCCCATGGTATGAGAACCTCTACGGTCTCGCCCCAGCCGACTATTCCATGCAGGGTAACCCGGCCGGTCTGGCCCGCATTGACAAGCTGTTGGGCATTGACCTGTACACTTCCGGCTTCAAGCAGTCTCCCGTGGTCTTCGGTGCTTTCCCCTCCCTCCATGCTGCGGATTCCACCTTGGCCGCGCTGTTCATGAGCCACGTCTTCCCCCGGCTGAAGCCCCTTTGGGTCACCTACACCCTTTGGATGTGGTGGGCCACCATGTACCTGTCTCACCACTATGCTGTGGATCTAGTCTGCGGTGGTCTGCTCGCCACCGTGGCCTTCTATTTCGCCAAGACTCGCTTCCTCCCCCGTATCCAGGCCGACAAGATGTTCCGCTGGGACTACGACTACGTTGAGATTGGTGACGCTTCCCGTGAGTTCGGTTACGACCTCGCCAGCCTGGACGGCGACTTCAACCTGGACAGTGACGAGTGGACTGTTGGTTCTTCATCCTCGGTCAGCTCGGGTTCGCTGAGCCCCGTTGACGATCACTACACTTGGGAGGGCGAGACCCTGACTTCGAACCACGACCTCGAGGCCGGTCGCTGAGCACCCCTTGACATGCATATACCTTTTTTTCGACCCTGTTCACCATTGCATCTTATTTTTTTACTCCCCTTGAGGGACGGCGTTTCACTTACGACAAATTTTGGAACTATCATCTGCATCCAGCCATTTTCGACACTTACGCTTTTAATCACCCCCTACTATTGAGGACCTTCAGTCTACGCGGCTCCCGATCCGTTTGAGCTGAAGGTTCTATTTTTACCTTTCTGGCTGTACATGCCACCGTTCACGCTCCATTGGAGTTGAACGTATTCCCGTCTATAATCTTAATACCGGCGGCGGGCCCTGTCTTGCCTACTTGGGCTTGTGCGACCGTGGATGCATCTTCATTCCGCTCGCATCGCCACCGTTGGACACCTTCGCTTGTACAGAAAACCGACTCGCCTCGACGCATTTTTTTTTTCGAGACAGTCCATCACTTTCAATACTTCAATTCTCACTCATGTCTTTCGCTACGACTCTTTTTCTCCACTGGATGAGCTTTATTTTTACTCTTCGCTTCGTGCTCATCCAGTTGCACAAATATTTTTATCATTCGTGTCGATCGCTTACGAACTGGCGCCTGGGAACTTTTTTGGAACACGGTTTACGAGGACTGGTAAAAAGTTTCGGCGCCTTGCTTGCACCATCACTCGCTGTGCATTAGAACATTTTTTTGGTTTGGACATTGGCTGCTTCGAGCACATTTTTTTGCATTTGGCACATAGAACGAGGAATGGGGATTGGAGAGGATCCCTGGGTTGTTGTTCTTCTGGGGTGCCGTCCTCGCTGACAGATGAAGTGATATCCTGTCTTCGGCATCGGGGCAGTTTGGTCGCTCACGAGGAGGATCCTGCCTTGAGAAGTTGAGGTGACGCTGAAAACTCTTCGAACGATTGGGATGGAACTATGGCGACTGGGAGGTGATGAGGGACTGGAATCTGGACGGGACCCGTCTCCATCAACCTGGCCAGTGTTAATCCGCTGATCATCGCTTCTGGCTCTTGGGAATAATGGCGTGAACCGAGCTCCCATTGCTACGCAGACACTACGCACCTCTCCACGACTTAATGTTTGACTCTTAATGTCTCTTAATCTTTCTTCCTCTTGTTTCTCTCCCTCGAGAGACGGTGGTGGGTGTTTGTGTGGTTGCACTATTTTCTGTTTTTTCGGAGAATCGGGCATGCGAGGCTTGCGGTTGGTGGTTATCATCCTTCGCATTATCATTACCCTTAATCCCCTAGATGACGGTATGAAGAATTGTACATTATTATTATCACTATCTTGGGTTTCCCGTGTAGATCTCCCGTAGTCGTGGTCATCATCTTAGGCTCGTGCTCCTCGCGTCGTGGGTATCCAACATGACATGCGACCAACATCAACAGAACATTTCAACCTTGATCTCTTATCATACAGAAACCCCGTATCCCTCCATACCTACACTCTCCAGCGTATTAATTCCATACACCCTGAACCCATTTTTGAATCCCTACATATGATTTCCACACCCCCGCCTTCTGCAGATCGCCCTCTCGCCTCTGACTGGCTCAACCACGCTGCACAGGTCGATCCCACGGGCCCCAGCTAGGGACCCAGAGTGCATGTGCCTTTCCGAGAGTGTCCGGGCCTAACCTATTCGAGTCACAGTATGACACTAATACTAACCTACGAAGGAGCAAAACTGGATAGTTAGTCATGTGAGGATTGGTCAGGTGAGGGGGTGGACTGTGCTGTTATGCGTGGTTTTGTGTTGAGTATGCAGGATTTAGGTTTCGTTAGGGGGGTGTGTGTGTGTGTATGCTGGAGGATATACTTTGGAGGAGCGAGTAAAGTGGATGCATGATGCATACAAAGTACCTAACTTCCTTGGGGGTCTCGTATCCGCGAAAGAGGGCTGCTTTGGTTAGCTGATGGGAAGCGAGGGACTGGCGGGGTTATTGTATTTGGAATGTGATTGACTGCACGAGGGTCTGCATTTGGGTGTGGCTTCTTGTATTTGTTTGCAGTTCCTTGAAGGATTCCCGTTTCATTTCATCTAATACGAGGAATGAAGTGTTATAACTCTTTGGTCTGGAATCTCGGGGACAAAAGGTCTATGAGGTGGCCCACATAGAAGCCTTCCTTTACACGAGCTATTCAGTGAAGCTGATCGAGTCTGTCTGCACTGGGTAGTTTGCGTTGACAAAAGCTGGTATTTTATGTACATAGCGATATTCAACAAATAACTAATAACCTCTAGACAGGATTAACGACGTGAAGCTGGATGACGGATTCTCAACCAATTGCTAACAGATGCTGGGTAGAATCTGAGAAAAGCAGAAAATTTCTGGCCAGATACTATTCAAGTAGTCACTATAAAAGAAAGCTATACCTCCCGACCTTCAAGCTTCTATTGTCTCTTTGCTAGGCTTGCAATTTCGAATCAGCCTACCCAGACCAACTTCCCAGTATAGTACCGACTGAACATCAGCATGCTAACATCAGCATGCCTACATTTAGGAGTCAGGATATTCCCGATCTCCAAGACCAGGTCATAATTGTCACTGTAGGCAATGTGGGTCTTGGTTATGAAACTATCCGTCAGCTCAGTGAACACAACCCAGCTAGGGTCTACCTCGCTTCTCGATCCCAAACCAAGCCTGAACAAACCATTGTAGAGCTAAAGTAAACCCAATCCCAAGTTCGCCAATATCCGTTTCCTACAACTCGACCTGACATCTTTCAGAAGCGTCAAAGCTGCCGCGGCTGACTTTGTGCGCCAGGAGTCTCGCTTGGGCATTCTGATCAATAATGCTGGTATAATGATGACTCCAGAAGATGTCGCTGAGGACGGATACGAGATCTACTTCGGAATAAACGTCCTAGGTCCAGCGTTGTTCACGCAGCTGCTTCTGCCAACTCTACGAAAGACGGCAAAAGTGAACAGTCAGACGCGAATGGTCATGCTCTCTTCTGCTGCCCACGCCCGCGTGCCCATTGACGTTTACAAGTTCGATGAGCTTCGAACAAGTGCCTCCCAACCGACGTACCACTGAGCGATATGCTACGTCCAAATTCGGCGATCTGCATTATGCTAGAGCCTTGGCTGCGAGGGAAACAGAAGTCAAGATTATCCCGGTTCACCCCGGTATAGTAGCGACGAACCTTCACCATGCCTCACCGGGGACTTTCCTGAGAACATTCCTCTATGCTGCTATTTTCTTGGCTGCTACACCCATAGAGAAAGGTGCTCTCTCTCAGATCTTTGCAACTGTGAGCCCTACCGTGAAGCATGGACAGTACTATGGGCCCGTTGGTAAGGCAGAGTCAGGTTCTAAACTTAGTCAGAATCATGACCTTCAGGAAGAATTGTTCCGATGGATTCAGGGCGAGCTCTCGGGACATGTCGAGACAATTTCTTGAGAGATTTTATCTTCTTGCGCCGGTTGTGAAGGTGATGATATCATTTTTCATGTATTCCTATATTCTTCAGTTTGCATACTAATTCAATCCCCGCTCTGAAACTTTTGCTCGTAGCTGGTTTTCGTTCAATTAGGATGCACAGTAAATGACGGAAGCCGGTGGTTGACCTGGCCCACAGCTTCTGGTTCAAGCAAATTGAGAACAGAATATTTCGGTTTGCACTGATAGCATAGAAAGGACTTGTTGAATATGTCCTTCCGAACGATTGTTGCCAGTGAAGAACTCAAGTCTTCTACAGCTCCAGTCTCTCATCTTCGCGCAATTAAGTAGGGAATTAATTGGTATTCATGTCCGAATGAAGTAAATTGACGATCGTTGACGTAGTGGGCTTTCATAATAAGCAAGCATGAATGAGCCTTTTTTTCTTGTAGGCGGACTATCTCACAACTTTTAGAATGTCACTCAGCTATCGGACTGTTGCGGATATTATAGCATTAAGCGCACCTTAGCCATCTCTATAGTGAGTCACCGGCAAGTCCGCAGAATACTGCTAGGTAGAGCTTGCTACAAGCTTCTTTAAGCCTCGTCTGGCTCTCCAATAATTACAACACACCAAAATTTCTGGACACCCTTCAATGACCCAAGACCACTTCTGAACAAACAATTCCGAGACTCCCCAATTCTGCGGAAGCCAAGGATCACACCACACCATGATCCCCATATCGCCAGCAGTAGGATCCATCATATCAACGCGTAGCTCAAACTCGTTAATTGACTCGCCAGCATTAACAAAGATTATCCCGCATTCGCGGAAACGGAAAACAGTCTAGCCAGGGGTGATGAGGGGTTGAGCATTGAGTGACTGTGGAAAACAGACTAGCTGGGATATTTCCCCTATCGTGGGGTTCTGGGATACTAGTATTGAATGGGGGAATGGCATCTTATTTCATTGCCTCAATATTTAATCTAAGGGTATTCATGTTTTCCAGGAATGCACGAAAGACGTTGAACTTTGTCAAGGTAAACAAATGGTCGAGGCATGGATCTGCGGCATAGTATCTCTTATAGTCTTCTTTGTTGAAGCGAGTCATCATTGCTACAGCTTCTGAGAGCGTAGTTGGTCGAGAAGACTATCGCGGCCCTGTGACTTGAACTGGCCGTGGAAGTATCAATGCATAACGGTGCATATCTTCCAGTTTATTCTTGGACTGTAAGGCAAGGGCCTCTTGCCGACGATGGCGTCTTCTTGTTCCTAACATGCGATGAGTTTGTGCTGACGTTGGGTTGCGAGGCTTATCGCAAGCCAGTACTCTTCCTAGCAGGATGTTGTGGTACCTACGTAAAGCACGTTGGTTTAGTCTGTTCTGCAGCCTCTTCCGCAGAGCAGGATCTGTGACCACATTCCAATCGTCGTCTACCCGACAGCACTGTTCTTGCGAGGACACTAGGCAAGGCTCGAGTGGTAGGTGTGGCAGCACAGGCGAGTAAAGCCTTATGATTCACGCTATGGGTGTCAATAGGTTTCGAACATATACTTACAACAGTATAGAGGAGAGGATTTCTATGAAGGGAGGTTGGAAAAGGACTGAAGCTGAAGGAGGTTCAGAATGATATTCCCCTTTGCACTCAGTTTCCTGACCGAGTCACTACTTGACTTCCTATAGGCCCGACAGTGCCAGGGCTTCTGGCAAGAATTGGTTATATAAGCGACCACTGGTGCCTGGAGGTAGAATGGGTTTAGAATCATAAGACCAGTCAAGCGGCGAGGAGATAAGTTATCTAGATGCCTTGGCTCATTCAAGTACTCTGGCTTGTAGCTGGGGTTGCGTGGTAATCCAAAATCCGAAAAGCTGCCAACTATACCATGGCAGTAGAAGAACCTATAGAAGATCTACGCGCAATACTATCGTGACGTCTACAAAATTGTCATATCATACAAGACTGTTAGAAAAACAATGAAATGTGACAATGACAGTAGATTATCCAAGGCGCCTCCGTAAAGTTCATCATAGCTCTATATTATTGCGGATAGGTCTTATTCTTCGTCAAAAATCCGTACACGCTCTGCATACTCGCGGATGTTCGAGACGAACGTTTCTTCGATCTGGTCGCCTTTTCCGCCGGCGACGCGGAGAATAAGTTCATTCAGCGAGGCGCGGCCAAGGATATCGACATGATCACCTGGTTTGGTCAGATTGAGCACAACATATGGAATTTAGATCGGGTGGAGGAAAGAAGTAGTGATGGTGAACGTACCTGTATTTGGTCCGCCTCGCGGTGAGAAACGATCTGGTTCATGGGGCATCTCGAAGACCTTGATCTTCGAGCCCGCTGGGTTATACCGCTTCATGCGCCACCCCTTGGCACACATGTAGCCAGTGCTGAGCAGGTTGACAGTTCCGTCGCCCTCGCCCATCATCACCCCATGGTCGATATTCCCGTTCATGGTCACGGTAGTGTCAATGCTAACGTTGAGGTTGACCAAGGGATCAAGCTCTTCCTGATAGAAGTAGCTCCGCTCTGTAGGCTTGCCAACACCGTAGAAGCAGTAGATCTTCATATCAGGTGCATACGGCAACCGAGCCTCGAGCGGGTTCAACCACGTCCGTGGGTCTTTCTCGTTCGCCTCAACTTCGCGTGTTGTATGAGCTACACCGTGCGAGTAGCTGCCCAGAACCTGCCTACGATACCAATCCTCACTCTGGTCCAGCAGGTACTGCAGACTCTCGGACGTCGTAAGGTTGCGGCGCGTCCAGGAGGAGTTGGTCTCCCGGAAATTAAGCAGATTTCCAAAGCTAATCTCCTGTCCGGCCTGGTCATCTGGGGCCCACGTTGCGTTGCCCCAAACGGCTTCGCCGCCCTTGGGAAGCATACTGGAGATGCCGGGCATGGCTCGAAAGATCTCCGCACGCTCTTCCTTGGATAGGAACTTCTCCAAGCCATAAACAGCAAACGCATTCAGCTGTGCTGTATCGCGCATCTCACCGGACAGCACGGCAGTCAATCCTTTGACGGCACCGAGCATGCAACCACTGATGTTGACCCACGAGTCAATGTGCTTATTGACCCAGTCCTTGCCACCCTTGCCGTGGTCTTCGCTTTCCACCCATTTAAAGAAGTACATCACGACCTGCGAGCCCATACTGTGCGAGGCCAGCGTAATCTTCTCGCCTTGGCCCTCCACCGCGGTTTCGATATAGGATTTCAGCCGGCTGAAGTACTTATCCCGGACTTCAAGATTGGGATACGATAGCCGCCAGTCGTAAGCTGCAGTGAATGCATTGGTCGGGTCATAGCCGATGGTCGCCAGGTTTTCGAGAATCTTATTCCAGATCCAGTATCCCGTAATGAAGAAGTCCGTGGCGTCGAAACCCTGTGCAGCCCGTAGCTTGATGCCCGGTGGATCGAGACCCGTTTCACGATCCAGCATGATATGATTCTTCCATTCTGCCTTATCCATAACCAGTGCGCGCATCATGCTCCAGCTGCCCCATAGTCGGCGGCGGAAGTATTGGCGTGAATTGACACCCGTTCCCCAGCTTTCAAGACCGGTTGAGATGACCCCCGGGATCATCACGACGGGGTGTTTCGCTTCGACTCCTTGTGCTTGGAGTTGTAAGCCGACGGAGAATGAATCGTAGCTAACGGCCTCGCGTTCGTGTTGCTGCAATTGCGCGATGAGAGTTAGCATATGTCTTTTAAGCATAGAGTAGCTAGGTGACAAGGGCGCTAGGCAAGCAAACGCACCGAGAACGCCTTTGCATCACGCACAATTCCTTGGGGTATGGCATCAATCAAAGATTCGAGGTTCAAGTCCATCAGCGACTCCAAAGAAATGACTTCTTGCTGGTTCGCGAAGAACAAGGCAATGAATATGCCGAACAGGCCACCCAACACGAAGATGAATCCATTGCGGCGTTTACTTCGTGGTCGGATGACCAGCTGCTTCACCTTCGCACCATCAAATTCAGCACGGAGCTTGTCCTCTTCTGTTTGGATCCGATTGAGCCGGGGCCGATTCTTGTTGTCGTTCTCGTCGCGAGAGGGGGCGTCGTCCTTGCCCGCGCGGCGGCGCAACATATTGCGACCGCTCAGAGAGGATATGCTCAAGGAAGCTATGGCCAGAACTCAGAAGAACACACTTTGTACAGGGAGATGCTCGGAGTAAGAGAGAAGTGAGGATAGAGAAACGAGGCAGCCTTAAGACGGCATCTCACCTCCCAAAAAATCAAGGATTGTGTACCTGCGCGAAACATGAACGGGAGGATCAGCGTCACATGGCAATCCGCCCGACTTCCAGCTTGCTCCGCCCCACGCACGCTCGTTTACTCCATCGCGAATCAACTTGCTTTCCCACCAGCCACACACGAATTCCACGGCCACTTTCGACCTCGAGCCTTGAGCTTTCACAGTCCCCTTCCCGCATCCATGAGCTCATGACGCTGCGGCAATGACCCAAGATGCCCCCTCCGACCTGCGCTACGTGCGGTACGACAGTGCCCGCGAGAACGAGTATGTCACCGCCATGCGCCAACTGATCTCCAAAGATCTGTCCGAGCCCTATAGTATCTACGTCTACCGCTACTTCCTCTACCAATGGGGAGACCTCTGTTTTCTGGCTATGGATGACAAGGACGAGATGGTCGGTGTGGTGGTGTCGAAACTGGAGCCGCATCGTGGTGGCCCACTGCGAGGGTATATCGCCATGCTGGCCGTGCGCGAGGAATACCGGGGCCGGGGTATTGCGACAAAATTAGTGCGCATGGCCATCGACGCTATGATTGAGCGGAATGCGGATGAAGTATGTGTATCCCCAGCGAGCGGGCGGTTTCTATCTGGTCTAGCTTTGCTCACTGTGTTGTGTCGTGTGCAGATCGTCCTCGAAACCGAAATCACCAACACCGCCGCAATGAAGCTGTATGAGCGACTAGGCTTCTTACGGAGCAAGCGACTACATCGATATTATCTGAATGGCAACTCAGCCTACCGGCTCGTCCTATATCTTAAGGAAGGAGTTGGTTCGATCAGAACGTCATTTGACCCGTATCCACCCCCGCCCCCAGTCCCGGCCTTTGATCAGTTCTTTCATGGACCTGCTGCCACACAAGGCAATGGTAGTTGATCTGCTTTGCAATATGAGCAGTACACGTACTCCCATGAAGAAGGGTGTCCGTGATCATGACATCTCGATGGGAAACGACCTGAATGAACAGACTTGCACTTGCACATGGAATTGGCGTCTAGGTCTGATAGCGAATAGCAATATCAATGAAGCATGGAGGGAAGAGGGGAATCAATGCCTTGGTCTTTCCACGAGGCAATATTCTACCTGTTGACGCCTTACTTTTTGTCAGCTCTGATGTTGAGTGGGCGTAGCACCATGAATGTGCCTCGATAATACGCCAATCAGCCAGTATCAGAAATTATATCTAAGCTTGATTCTGGGAATTGTATTCTAGTTCTCATTGAAGCATTGCCCAGGTCTAGAGGATCTGAGGGCAATCAAAAAGCAACAGACATTAAATGTTGATTGTACTACTCAGGTCCACCTTATAGTGTAGCTTGGTGATCTTTTCCAAAGATATTCAATTTATTTGAAGATCTGCTGTTTCACCGATTCTTATTTAGCCTTGTGAAGAATTCAACTCTCACCTTTCATTCACGAGTGTCCTTCCTTGACAAGTGACGCCAAAGTGTAACAATCCGCCACCTTCGGTTAGGTGAACACGGATATGACATCACAAAAGATTGTACACGCAGCTATCTACTTCCTAATAGAGGCAAGCGAGTAAAGAACCACGGTGCTTTAGATTACAAAGTGGTATGTCCGTCTCAATATCAAACAGGACCAGCGAGAGTAGGACGAGAATAGGACGAGAAACATCCTCTAGACTACGACTTTGAACTGGCTTCTCTCTCTCTCTTCCTGGCTTTCACCATTTTTGCGTACGTCCTTTCCTATTAACAATATAAAAATGACCTCAAATCTTTGCTTTGTCCATCATTTTGTGACAAATAGTGATCGTCAACTCGCATTTTCTGCCATGGTAACCTCAAAGGATACGGTCGTGTGGACGGCATTATGCCTTTTTTCATAGCACTTAGCGATGGCACTTACTTTCGAAGTGGATGGAATGACTCTCGTATATCCTTTATTTTGCAAATCGAAATCGTAAAAGAACTGCACAACCTGTTAACCTTGCCCACTAGTGTACAAGTTGGCGGTTATGTTTCCTTGATCGTACTCGTTTGGCATACGGAACATCGTAACTGCCACTAGCCACTAGCTCCAAATACGAATTCAGAGTATTATTTGACCATTTGACCTACAGGGAGACGACTGGAAAAATATCCGAATCGTGCGTGGAATATCTAAGAAAAAGTGTAGCTTACTTTGGGAATACTTGAACACTGACTAGTGTCGACACTATTCACAATATCTCTCATCGGCTATTATATGACCATACTTCTCGCTTCTCGTAGCATCAATCCTGCAGACTTGAGGTGGCATGAAAGTTCGTTCTCTCTACATTTGATTATATCTTGTTTCGTTGCATCAAGGGCGAACAGAAGCTACAAATTAATATATCGATCAAGTTTATGCGCCGCCCCCTACGTCATCGTCTCCATCATCTAATGCAGCTTGATATACAAAACAGCAGTTCATACCCTCAAACAGCTTCAGATATCTACAATCAACATCCGACGTCTCCTCTAAAACCTACCTAGTGTACCGGTTCCTTTACGCAAATATCCAGCAGATCCATATACCCCCGCGATGTCTCTCGACCCCGTTACCGGCGGTCTCGGCCGCGATCTACCCGTCAACAACAAAGTCACCGAGACAGCCACCAACACAGTTCAATCAACCGCACAAAAGCCAGTCAAACAAGTACAAGAAACAACCAAACCACTTACCGACCCAGTCATCCCGGGCGAATTCCCTTCCGAAGATGGGCCCCGCGACACCGAGCAGCCTCCCCCCGAGATCAACTTCCGCGGCATCTGGGCCGGATTCACCAACTGGTTCGCATCGATGATACCGCAAGCCTTTGACGGATTCGAGTGGCTTGTGACATGGTTAGTGAATCGGTACCTGCCGCCGCCGAAGCAGGCCGCCATGTACGAGGAGGCACTGAAACGGCCGATTGCGTCGACGTTCCTCGTGTGTCAGATGATCTGCTGCGGTGTGCCGCTGTTAGTGTTCCTGGTAGGGGTGTTTGTGTTTGCGATTATTGCGGTGTTGTTGTGGGCGGTTCTGGCGCTGTTGATTCTCGGACCGATCTTGCTTGTGGCGAGTATGATGGGGATTTCGTTGTGGGGATGGGGGTGGGTTTTGTACGGGTTGCTTAAGTGGGTGGATCAGCGGTTCTTGGGTGGGATGATTACGCGTTTTTGGTTGCCGAAGGTACAGGAGCAGGAGAAGGGACAAAAGGAGAAGGGACAAGAGGATAAGGGACAAAAGGAGAAGGGACAAAAGGTGAAGGGACAAAAGGTGAAGGCACAAAAGGTGAAGGTACAAAAGGAGAAGGGTGGGGATGACGGAGAGGGTAAGGAAGAGACGGGGGAAGAGGTGGATGAGAAGAAGGATAATTGAGGTGTTGTTATGGACTGTTTTCGAGAATTTGATGACCTTGTTATGTACTGCGCTTTTCAGGTTGGATGAATCATGGCATAGCATTTTGGACTTTGGATACACGATTTCATTAGCTGCCGATAAGGAAAGCATGCGTGGTTTCTCAATTCATGCTTCTCTACGTTTCGTGTGCAAATGCTCAACAAGATATGATGCAACTGGAGTACAATATCAAACACGAGACCAGAGATGATCAACTCCTCCATCGAGGGATTCCAACGGCGGAGTAGTAGTCGTAGAATATTTCATCCAAACTTTTACCAAAATTGGCTAATTATTTTGATCGCTATCCATGTCGCTTACCAACGGTTTGGGTTAAGATACTATATTACGTTGTCACTTGGGAGCCTTTGTGTGCTTTACTCGTGTTGTCGATTATGAGCAGCCTTTGGAGAGGCGATCTTCTTTTCGTTTCCTTTCAGGTTGTCGAGGGGAAAGCTGCCTTGACAGCGTTGGAGAAATACCAATAGTTATAGTTCAAAGAACCCTTAGAATAACTGTGAATACAGGAGCGGATTGCTAGTGGTGTAGGGCTTTCGCAGAAATTCCTGGGCTGTAATTCAAGCATCGGCAGCGATTGTCTGTTCTGAAAGCTACATTGGGTGTACAATCTTTTATACAGTGGGATTTTAGTTGTTTCGTTCTCTGGATGAACGCATACTCGGGGGTAAGCTGGCATCGTGGTCGTGGTAAGATCACCTGGCCTTGCTTCGGGGGCCGAAATTCAAGCCTGGCTAGTGTAATGCTCCAGTATACTCATGCTGGACTCTGTCTTTCGGCATCTGGTGGTGATGATGGTTTAGTCTAGCTATCTGATAAGGTGTGATGTCACATTGAATCGTTCGGAGTGCGACAGGGGATGAATGGATCCTAGCCATTCAAGATTCCCATTTCTCGCGAGAGTTTCTTCTCTGTGTCTGTTCATGGCCACGGCTATGCCCTCTCATCATTGAGTACTAGTCACTCTCTTTACGCCTATCCCAGACTCGAATGTCATCCCAGCACAGACCAGCTTAGGTCGAGTATAAATAGGTATGCAGTCAGCAGACAGGCAACTTGGTAAATCTCGCATAGGCCATTCCCCGCCAGACAGGAATGCAAGGTTCGACGGTGGATAATTAGTAAATTACACTTCCATGGCGATCTTCTTCAACTTGTTTGTGAGACTCCCAAAGTAGTAAATCTTCGAGTCGATCCTCCGGGACCCGCTGATTATCCGTCAAAGACCCATGTTATGTACTGATAGGGAGGCCTGAAGAAAAGGGGATGGTTTATAAAGTGAATGATAGTAGAATAGAAAGCGCAACCTGATCGTTCTCCGCACTACTAGGTAAGTATACGCATAAAGTTGATGAAGGACTCTCGCTCGTGGATTCTATTAGGGGTGGATAACGATATACTGTACGGCTGCTGCGGCATGCTGCTCCTCCACATATTATCTCACTCGTTCTGAGTGGGACTCGAAATGTACACTGTACATACTGTAGTATGTACTGTACATGCGGCACGGCAGTCCCCGGAAGACTTACTTGAGGGGATTTCATGGGTTGTTACTCCGTCCAGTCCAGTGAGCTGCAACTGATCTGCGACGCCTCTTGGCGCGTTTCATGACGGACGGGATGGGATGCACGTTGGTCCGTGTGGGTTGGATGATCAGCCGAGCTGCGAGGGTCATGGTGGGGATTGCTGCTATTGCATGCGTTGACTTCGCGGGCATCCTTGATTTATGATTAGTTCATTATTGCGCAGGATAAGCGAATTTAAGATGATCGTTTAGTCTATATGCGACTCTCAAGATTAGATATGGGGTACGAGCAGCGGGAAGTCTCATTTCCTGAGATGATATCCATGGTTCTAGTATTATTAAATATAAAGAGCTACTTGTTATGAGCCAAATTCCCTAGTCATTTGGAGGTAGTGGTAGTACGTGCGCTACATAAATTCTAGCCCTCGTACCCTCATTCACAACTTGGTACCTATAACCCTGTCAATGAGTACCTCCTGCCACCGCCACCCCCCCCAAAATGTACAAAGTACAAAGGAATGGACAGTTCCTGCCAGCCACCTGCATGTCTCAGAGGCAAGACGGATAGCTGCACCGCATGAGAACGGTACTGCGATTAGGGGGCATGACATGTAGGACAGGTACGTACGATATGCAGCAGGCCCCAAGGCCGAGTGTTCATCCTACGGACCTGCAGGCTGTGGAGGGGGGAACTCTCAAGGATGGCTCCATCCCGAGGAGTCCCACTAGGACGGATCCACCCATGCATTTACCCCTGACCAGCCCCCAAGCACTGACCAACTCAAACTTCCAAGTAAGTTGAAGGAGTGGGCCAAAGGGAGCAAAAAGAGTAGGAGCAAGACAGAGAAGACCAAAAAAGCAATGACGAGACCCAGTGTCCAATGCACCACCCCCGCATGCGACTCATGCGACTCATGCGACTTATGGGTCGATTGGGTTTAGTGGGGATTGAGCAGAGGGTGATTTTTGAGCTTGGGTCGCTAAAAGGTCAGGAAGGAAGGAGGCTACTTACTATACGTGGATTTATTGAACTGAAATCGCTATCCGAGTCACGCTATTCTGGTGGTAAGAGGTTAAAAGTGCACATTCTTGGAAGTAGTCATGTGGAGTGGAGGACGAGGGACAAAGCATGTATATACTATAGAATTGAGTTAGCCGTGGAAGTCAACCACGGTCAGTTCTTTCTTGCTTGAAGTCACTTGGCTCTTGACTCGAGGTTAGGCTTGTTAATTCTTTGTCCGGAGTATGAAAGCGCACCGCGAAGATGTCGGATGGATGAACCAGTCTGCCAATTCGGCTGAGATCCCGCTGGCAGCCTTGCATCTGAGTCTGAGACATCCTGTTGATAGCGTCGAACGATAGCAGCACCTGCAACAGCCTAGCGTTGTGGATGGAGGAGCAGAGCAGCGAAGTGGAGTGCTGTTTCTTTTTTTGGGCTGTGGGAGCCCCAGATAGAGATAAGTGTAAATTTGAGGCTACAGTAGTTAGTTCTTGACTCCGGATATTTATTGTAGGCACATGGTCTTAGGTAATGAGGTCAGAGGTCAGTGGAAGGGACAGAAGTTTACAGTTTCCGTAGGCTGTAACCGACAGAAGCGACGACTCTACAAAAGACGAGAAGTATGTAGTGAGCCAATAATGAAATCATCTTTGTCGTGGAATTTGCACCTCGCCCTGCCGACCATGGGATGTCTCCGTCTACTATTACTTCAGTATCTACACAGTACTAGTCTTGCGATTCGATTTTCAGCGAATCTTAGAATTGAGAATAAGTTAACCCTCTGTTTCAACCCGTGCCAGAATCAATCTGAAACTGCGGATTACTTGAACTAGAAGTTGCTTGTAAGTTGTAAGCCTGTTTTGAAAGCGAGAGCGGAGGGGTATGCATAGTCAATCCCCGTGCTAGAACCACTCCGCGCTCCATGCTCCATCCATATTGGACTCACAACTGGGTGCTCCTCGTTGAAGCATGCTGGAATGCAAGAATCAAAAAGCATCAATCCCCACATGGAGGTCTCGTGGACAGAACCCGTCCCGCTAGTCGCAGTCGCAAGCGTCCTTGACTGGTTGGCTTCTCCTCCCCACTTGGTCACTCGAAGTCAGTGCGGCCCCGTTCTCCCCCATTCTTGCTTCGGATGCAGGTACCGTGCTGGTGGGCCAGATTGCGAATGAGAAGGAGGCCTGTGGGAGTTGGTTTAACTCGGTCCTGACGTCAAGACTGAATGAGGAGGTTCAAGAGAGGAACACAAAGGGTGTGCTACTCCGTAGGAAGTCCGGAAGATGTCACTTTGGAGGGTGAACTGGAATTTGAGAGTGGAGTAGTTTGGACCAGAGTGGATAGGAGAGAAATATAGGGGTATGAGTCGTAATGGGGGGTTGGAACTGCATCAGATATACACAGAATATATCTCATAGTCGCCGTAGATGTACAGTAGTTCATTACTATGTCGATAAGTTGAATGCGTAAGCCCATCGCCCATACGCTAAGATCGTAGAGTACCGTACTGCAGACTGGCAAAAACCAAGATCTGGCCGGGCTGACAGGCCGTGCACGATGATTGTGGAATGAAAATAAGAACTATAACATTTTCATAGTGTATTCCGTACTAAAGTATTCTCATCAAATATTTTTTAAAAAACAACTAATGATCATCTGTCTATATCCAGGACACCATCCTCGGCTGTCCATCGGTCGGGTACTTGGCGGGACTGGGGTTTGGGTGTGGCAAAAGAGCAAACTTTGGCACCGGGTCAGGGGAAGAACAGAGAGGTTCTATACAGGATGGAGTACGGAGTAGTATCATGGGGACAGTCGTACTGCGTAGTTCGCAGTGGCAAAACAAAAACAAGGTCCGGGAGAACTGAACTAGTGAGAGAGTCTGCATTGGGCCAGGGGTAAAAAAGAAAAGAGAGCAAAAAAAGGCGACAGTTCACCTGAAGAAGGTTCCCCTTGCATGATCAAGAGCCCAAAGTATCCAAAGTATGCTTCGAGTCACAGAACTCACGAGAGGAGAATTAGGAGATCCATTGAGAGATAATAAGGAAGAGGAAACAGAATATTAATCCTGGAGAGAGTATTTAATCCAGGCTATGTATAATAATAATAATAATAATAAGAATAATAATAATAATAATAATAATAAATATTCATAGCGAAGTTAATTATAATAATCCTGATTCATATCAAACCCCCCCAAAGTCCCTGGGTCCGACTAGTTCGTTCACTAAACAAAAAAAGATTAATCTCCCCCTCGGACTCCCTCCCCCCCTCCGCTCTATTCCTCTCGACTCTTTGACACTCTCCCTCTTTTCCTTCTCTCCATCTCTACCTTTCCCCTCCTTGAAAACCCCCGCCCTTGATTCTTCCCTACGCCGGTTGGGCATCCCATCCTCGCCTAATTCTGCCTCTCGTATCGGCCCGTGCCAATTGAGTTGT